AAGGCTGCAAAGCCTAATGCACAGCTGATTGTGGTCGGCGACTTCAACATCCACCTGGCAGCCATGGAGGGCCGACCGTCAGCACCAAGGCACAAGGAAAAGATCCTGCTGGAGACCATAGCCAAGGCTGGAATGAGAGTGGTGACGCCAACCACCATCCCGTCCCACACTCGGGGCCGCGGGGACTCAGAGTCAACGATAGACTATATCTTTGCGTCAAGGGCAATGGCCAACAACGACCCCCGACTACAGGTAGACTCGGTCGGGGCCTTCCGGGGAAACTCGGACCACAGACCGATCTGGACGACACTAAGGATAGAAGTCACCAACTATCCCAAGGTCGACCACTGGAGATGGAAGATTGGACGACTTGACGATGAAGAGGTCAAGGCCGAATACATCAGGGTTTTCGAGTCTCGGCAACAGGAGGGTATCGACTCGATCACAGCAGCCATCAAACCGATACTGCTCGGACACCGTATTGCAGTATCGGAGAGAGGTGCCCAGTACGCTATGAACAAAGCTTGGTCGGTATTCCTAACACTTGTCAACAGCATCGCTGAACAAGTCGTGGGCAAGTCCCCGATCATGCCGCTCACCAAGGACAAGTCAAAAATGCCCGAGGTTCGACAGATGGCCAACATCCGCAGACAGCTCTGTCGGCGGCTCCTTATCCCCGACATTAGCAGGGACGAGGCCGAGGAGTGCAAGCGAGAACTCAAAATCGTCAGACGCAAAGAGGAAATAGCGCTAAAGGCCGCCCGACGAACTCGACGATCCAAGTTCTTCAGCGGTCTCGACCGACTCAATGCCTCAGAGTCGGCCAAGGCACTGGCTTCCGAAAAGAAGCGCAGAGAGATGGCCAATGCATACGAGTTCGACAACTCGGATGAAGCACTCGAGCGACTCGTGGTGCACTATGGATCGGTCTCAGCACACACCCTGGACGCGGGCCGAGAGTACGACCGAACAGCAAGACCAACCGAGGTGGACGGAACACCTCGGCTGCTGGTCGATGATGAGAACCTCCCTGAGGTCAGCAGCCTGGACACTGCCAAGGCTATCCGAGAATCACCAAAGAGAAAGGCATCGGGATCGGACAAGTTGCGAGCGGAACTGTTGCATCCGGCTGCCCATGTCATCGCAGAATGGATGAAGATCATTATCGCTGCAGCACTAAAGGCAGCCGTCGTCCCGTCAGCATGGAACGAAGTACTTATCCACCCGGTCTATAAGAACAAGGGATCGATCCTGGACCCGGCCATGTACCGACCGATAGGACTGACCCAAGTTTGTCGGAAGATTGCCGAAAGAGTAATGTTGCCCTTCTTAACGAAAGAGATTGGACAAATGGACACGGCCCAAGGAGGATTCCGGCCTGGCCGAGGAACGCTCGACCAAATCTACTCGCTCGACTCGATAGTCCGGATGAAGAAGCTGCAGGGACAGGAGTATGCCCTTGTGTTCTTGGACATTAAGGCAGCCTATGATACGGTCTGGAGAGAACGCATGTGGGAGAAGATCCAAACGAGAGGCGCCAGTCCGATCGCACTAGGGATCCTGAAGGCAATGTTCGACAGGACCCAAGTCCGAGTTGCAAGCAAAGGACGCCGGTCGGAACCAGTGTGGCTCCAGAAGGGGCTGATCCAAGGTTCGGTACTTAGTCCGCTCTTGTTCAGTGCGTTTATTGACGATCTGCCCGAGATCCTCAGGCACAAGATCGGACCCCAAGGCTCAACCCCACATCAAGACGTCCAGCTGAGAATCAACGGCCGGTCGTCGATCAGAGTCAATTCGCTCTGGTTCGCAGACGACGGAGTGCTGATCGGGTCCCCGGGATCGACCCAAAGACTCCTGGCACTCTGCGAACAACACAGCATTGACAATCGGTATAGGTTCGCACCCAAGAAGTGTGAAGCCATCTTCTCGGCCGCAAACCCCGATCGGTCTGATGGCATCTATCTCTACGGAGAGAAGCTGCCAGAGGTCCAAGAATACAAGTACCTCGGTGCGATCATCGATGTGGATGGTTTCAGAGTTAGTCGCCAGATCGACCACTTGATCGACAAGACCAAGATGGCGACAGACTACATGATCAAGGTCGGAGCCCGACTGGGAACGGCATCGGCAAGGACGCTTGTCAGAGTCTATCGGACCTTCATTAGACCGACACTCGAATACGGACTGGCCCTGGACCTCCTCCCAAGCGACCAGCAGGACCGTATCGACGAAGCACAGATGACGGCCCTCCGCACACTCTTCCGCGCAGGACCAGGGACATCGATAGGAGCAATGCACATCAGCTGTGGACTACCAAAGATGTCGATGCGAGCAAAGATACTGGCACTCCAGACATGGGCAAGATGGGACGACGAGATCGCAGACAACTCAAAGATGATATCGATCGTCCTCAGAAACACCCGCTCACCCCCGTTCACAGGCGAGCAATTCCTTGGACACAAGCTGTTGCAAGACAAACACTGGCAACGACTAATGGCCAGGCAGGACACCAATCCTGAATTGACAGCGACCGAGGCCTTCCTTGGAACGGAAGCGTCGGCCTTAAGGAAGAAGGACAAAACCATAGGGACACAAAGGAGCTGGTTCCACCCGTTCCTCGACCCCGATAGACCACTACTCTGCACCAACCCAGAGTGGACACTGCGACTAGCCCGGGACCTACGGAAGAACAGGTATCTTCGAGCATTCCCAGACCCGGCTAACGGACGAGCACGACATCGACAGCGAGCCCAGGTTGCCCAAGAGGACGACTTGGCGATCCCTCTGCGAGAAGCCATCCTCACAGAACACATGAGGACAGCGTTCAAACGAGACCAACAACTCACAGCCGCATGCACACCGACAACCTCGATGTCGGCACTGTGGAGAGCCGAGGGATACACAGGTAGTCAGCCTATCCTCGAGCTAATGATTCGATGGCGACTTGGGATATTCCCAGGACACACCAAGGGAGGAAGCAGACCCTGCCAATGGTGCTCCAAGAACGGAATCAAAGTAGACCTTAACCGTTCCCACGCTCAAAGATGCGTCGAACCCAAAGGCATCTTGGCAAGAAAGGTCAACGAACTCGCACGGACCCACCCAAGCTGGGTCAAACCCACAGTCGAAGGAGTGGGGCCTATAGACATGCTGCTTGACTTGCTGGAGTTTGAAGCCAAGAAGGATAGAGAAGAGCAACAGCAGCACACTGGTGTGGGAACCCAAACACCAGGGAGAGAGAGACATGGCAATAACAATAATAATCACTCGGTGGGGAAGCGAGGGGAGAGACCGGGGCTTTTGATCGCATCAATAGTCTCGGATACAGATGATGACACTGGCATCAGTGATGCTGATGTAGACGACGACTTTGATGATCGAGATCGGCTCTGGAGCTCCCTACCGGGAGTGATTGCTCGGATGGGGAGGCTCCGACTGACTGGCCCCGAAGTGGACTCGGACCTTGGCTCTGAAGTCAGCTCAGTGTCAGACTACGACATTGACTTTGACTTCTTGGTAAGAACCGACCCAACGCCGAGACCAATCTGGGACGAGCTTGACGAACTGTCTCTCGATAGTGGAGGACACTACTGCTGGGACACTGACCAGAGTTTGGACTTAGTATCCCACTCCGATCATAGTGGGGACCTAGTGCCTCACTCTGACCTTGGTGGGGACTTAGTACCTCACTCCGACCAGAGTGTGGACTTAGAGCCCCACCACCCCGAACCGAGCTCAGACCTTGCCTCGGGGTCGAACTGGGGAGGAACCTCAGAGTCAGTCTCAGAGTCTGGCTCAGAGTACTCCCCTGATGGCAACCAAGACTCCCTCCCGAACCGAGACCGAAACCGGGCCAGGGAGACGAATAGACATCCAGTCCCCGGCCCTGAACCGAGAGTGGTTCCCACGCCCTCCCAAGGACGAAGTACTGACCCGATCCCAGAGTCCGACGATGACTTGGGACTAGGTCAGACCCCAGGATACGAGATAAATCCCGAGTACCCCTCCCACAGACAAACTCACACTCCCTTGAGGGCAAGTCAAGACCCAACACCGCACAGCAAACCCTGGAGTGGGTTCGAGTTGATACTAGAGAGGGACTTGGAGAAACCAGCCCCCGACATCCCTGAGCGGGACTTGGAGACATGCGACTCCCTCTGGGAGTTATTAGAAGAAGTGTTCACCCGCATGGCTCGCCGTGTGGGCTGGAGAGTCGGCGAAGGCCGCAACAGGGGTGTATGAGCGAGCTTGGCCACCCACTGCCGGGTATCCTGCGATACTGATGGCATGTTGAATATTCTTGAATATACAACTATCAAAAAAAAAAAAAAAAAAAAACCCCGAACCGAGCTCAGACCTTGCCTCGGGGTCGAACTGGGGAGGAACCTCAGAGTCTGGCTCAGAGTCTGGCTCAGAGTACTCCCCTGATGGCAACCAAGACTCCCTCCCGAACCGAGACCGAAACCGGGCCAGGGAGACGAATAGACATCCAGTCCCCGGCCCTGAACCGAGAGTGGTTCCCACGCCCTCCCAAGGACGAAGTACTGACCCGATCCCAGAGTCCGACGATGACTTGGGACTAGGTCAGACCCCAGGATACGAGATAAATCCCGAGTACCCCTCCCACAGACAAACTCACACTCCCTTGAGGGCAAGTCAAGACCCAACACCGCACAGCAAACCCTGGAGTGGGTTCGAGTTGATACTAGAGGGAGACTTGGATAAACCAACCCCCGACATCCCTGAGAGGGACCTGGAAACGTGCGACTCCCTCTGGGAGTTATTAGAGGGAGTGTTCACCCGCATGGCTCGCCGTGTGGGCTGGAGAGTCGGCGAAGGCCGCAACAGGGGTGTATGAGCGAGCTTGGCCACCCACTGCCGGGTATCCTGCGATACTGATGGCATGTTGAATATTCCTGAATATACAACTATCAAAACAAAAAAAAAAAAAATGCCGTTGTACTTGCCGCTCAAGAGGAAACGACGAGGATGAGCCCACCATGAATTGGGGCAGAATATCCTCGTCGTCCAGGCCAGTACCTGTTCAAAACGTGCGTTGATTCTGGCTGTTTTTTCCTTGGGCAAGGGTAAGAACGGGCCAGCATCGACAACAACCCTGTCTGCCATGAGCGATGAAAAATACATATCCATCCACAAACTCACCAAGCAGTTCGGCTTCGTCCCATCCACCCTGTCCAAGTGGGCCGATGCTGGGAAAGTGCGATACATCCGCCCCAACGAAAACCGACACAGACTCTACAATGTGCGAGACATTGAGCGAGTCTTCTGCCTCACCCAGCCCATCACAACCAGGATCGTCGTCTACTATGCCAGAGTCAGTTCATCCCACCAGCGAGCAGACCTCGAGCGACTCCAAGTCTGGAAACGAGAGCGAGAGCCATACATGGCTGCCCGCAAGGCTCTCCAGAAGCAGTATCCCAAGCAGTGGAAGAATCGCCTTGGCGAGATCCTGATTCCAGAGCCACCGAAACCCCATCCACCCAAGAAGAAGAAGACGGTCCTCCTGGAACACCTGAGACAGCGAGTCGGTGTCCTGTCTTGCTACGACAAGGACCACTGGATCCGTCAGAAGGGTGTCGCTGCTGATTTCATCGACGAAGCAGTCCGAGACTTTGTCAAGAACTGGTTCTCGAACCAGCACCGATACCTGTCCCAGCAAGCCCAAGGCAACAACCCCAGTCCATTCGACATGCACTTCTCGAGCAAGAAACGGGTCAGCCAAGAGTCCTGTGTCCTGCTCAAGAAGCACTGGGGCAAGATCGTCAAGGAGGACAGCTTCTGGAACAGACTCAATCCCTTCAAGCTCAATGCCGAGGACCGAGTCGAGCGAGGCAAGCAACTCACTCTCCCCCTGGCCCATGACACCCGCCTGATCAAGACACGCACCAACAAGGTGTATATTGTCGTCGCCGAGCCATTACCCAAGAGGAGCGAAAGCCAAGCTCCTCAAGGTGATCTCAGGGTTGTCTCTGTCGATCCTGGTGTGCGCGACTTTATCACCTCTGGGCTGGTCACAGCCTGGAGTCCCAATGTCAGTGGATACTCCAAGATCAATGACCTCAAGCGAAGTGTTGGCAAGGTCCAGTCCAAGATGGCCAAGTTGACCAAGAAGCAGCGGAGAAAGAAGAAGTTGATGTGACGGGCCATTGGCCGGCTGAACGAGCGAATTCGAGACCTGGTCGACGATCTCCATCGCAAGGCAGCCAAGTGGCTCCGTTCCAACTACGACATTATCTTCATCCCGAGGCTGATCAACCTCTGAGGCTCGACGAGAAGTGGGTGTGGTCTGCACTGGAAGACCCGCCTCTGTGGCCTGGCACCTCCGAGTTTGCTCCCTGTGCTCGGATGAACACATCGTCTGATAGATAAGGTGATATCGACATAGGGTACCATGTCATTTCATCCCATTTTGACGCGTATTCTCATATCTCTTCCAGGCGAGCGTTGAGTTTGCTGGTGGGTGCACGTGGACTTGCAAGCAGTGCTTCTGAGCACTCGAGTGGGCTTGCGGATGTATTTGAAGATCGACTTTGAACAAAAAATAAAATTAACCCTTCGGTGATGGATGGAGCGGCCACTCTGTCCACCATCAAACCAAAAACAACCATGGCGAAACGGGTGGGTGTAGAAGGGCATGGTTCACACGAGGTCGTGAACCACTGCATCCCACTTTCTCTCACAGACCTCGACCATCCCATGTGCCCTGGGATCCCCGAGCCGGTCTGCCATCCTGAACATCATGTACGCCAGTCGATGTTCGCAAATGGGCTTGGAGTACAGTGCCATTCCCATGTCGAACAGCGACATCGAATCTGGTTTCGTGGTTCTCTTCTCAGATTCCATCGTCTGGATCGCAACCTTGTACTCTTGTTCGAATTCCGCACCATGTTTTTGAGGGTCCTTCTTCGTGGCTTGAGCCAGGAGCATGAGTCCCTCTTGTTGTTGCTCGATCGACAGATTGCTTGAATTCTTGATCTCGAGCCACATTTGATATTCTGCTTCGGACCTAGGGACATGTCCATGACTTCTGATATATTTCGCAATGCGCAAATGGAGTGGAAGGGGGACTTCGTTCAACATGCGAAGGATAGCATCGTATGTGGACTCTGAACATATGCACTTGGTATTCAAGAGACAATTCTCTGCCTTTCGAGAGTTGGCGATGTCAAAGTGCTCTGGATGACTCTGAAGCTCCTGGATGTGCGTCTCGGATTCTTTGCATCCATATTCAACAGCTCGTTTGAACCAGTAGAGTGCGAGGATGGGGTTGGGGTCCCTGTATCGGGGCTTGGAAAATGCGACTCCAAGCTGTCTCAAAAGGTCAGGGTGTTGAATCGACTCGAAGAAACGTATTGCAACTCTTTTTTTCAGTACTTCATTTTTCATGATGTACATCCCGCAGCGATAAACCACAAAGGGGTCGAGGCCGTCGAAAGAAGTTACCGCGGCGAGCATGGGTGTGGTGCGTTGTCTGATACCAGCGCCCATGAACATCTGGGCAAGATCGAGGAGTGCTCTGGAATCGCCATTTGTTGCAGCCCGCTGCAAGAAGTAGTAGTGTCGCAGCCGATCGGAAGCTGTGTAGCTACGCTTGCCGTCCTTGATGGCGAGAGCATGTGTGTAGAAGTCGCCGGTGACATCGGCGCCAATGTATGTGGTGTGGAAATCAGGAAGCAACTTCACAATATCCACGTTGATCCTCAGAAGCATGTCAGACGCAATAATGCTTCCCTTGTCTTCGATCAAGCGAATGATTTCCATCAGAGTCGCTTTGCCTGTGGCAAACCTGGAATCGACGATGTTTTTGTGAAGAATCGCGAGCGAAGCAAAGATGTCTCCTCCTTGAGAAAGTTCTTGATTCTCTGTGAAGAGGGCTTGCGACATGTTGTATGTGGTGAATCCAGGCAAATGATCTTTGGATGATTTCGACCTGATCAGCTTGATGCGAGCAGCAACACTCCTCGCGAGCACGCGGAGCTCGGGGGTTTCTTGCTTCTGGATTCTGGTTTGGAGCCATCGTACATTTTCGTGGAGGGGTGGGCTCTTGGGGAATAGATCAGTCAATACCTTCTTGACCTCATAGTCGAAGAGGCCGATCTCGAAGGGGTTCGAGACGGTTAGGCTGTCTGTTGTGAGCGACGAGCTGATTATCCCGAGCCCGTTCTTGGACATCCATCTGCGAAAGGCGATGGCCTTGAAGCTCGCCAGGAAGCAGAACATGTAGCGACAGGTCCGCATGAGCCTGATGATATCGCGGGGCTCGAGAATCCAGAGCAGGTCTCCTTCCATGACACAGGCGTTCACGATTTCCGCCAGTTGGTCGAGGTTGGGCTGGGTGGCCACGAGATCGCTCATGGAAACCCCAGAGCAGTCGAACCCATCGACGTAGCAGATCGTGCGCTTGAGACGCTTGGTGCCTCGGGGAGCAGGGGGCTGCGTGCTGGCTCGCTTGGGCATGGCTTGCTTGGATGTGGTCTGCGAGATGGAGGGGAAAGAGAAAAAGTCCAGCGCCTTTCTGTTTGATTCATCCAGCACAGAAAATCCACACAGAACTCCAGACGCAGCGCCAACAAGATGAATCAACGCATTCCACCGCCCCAACGCTCGCTCGTCGCAGACCCGATTTGCACTCCCCACAGGGATGGCCAAGCGACTCCATGACCCATTCTGGATCTTTGATCCTGCGATACTCCTGACGAGAGCCGACGAGTTTGTGCCGCGCGCCGAGTTCAACCTGGAAGAGAAGCGCAACTCGATCACCAGGTTCTTTGCCTATTCCAGCCTGTTCCTGTCGGCCTGCAACCGCTGACCAAAGAGTCGAGGTTCTGGGCGATCTGTGAACACACACTTACTCTCCATCGGACCATGTACCTCATTGACTCCCCTGTACTCGACTTGACATGCTTGCACCCGCTCTCACTCCCGCGCATCGCAGACCGACGAACATCTGCGCTCTCCATCCCATCAAAGAACGACGCAATTCCGCTCGACCATTCAATGCAACTGGTTGTCATGTGGCCAGTATTGTTGTTCCTCAAGTCGACCCTCCCACACTCACACACAAATCTCAGCCATACTTGTATTTCATGACCGAGTCTGGTCAACTCTTTGCTATGAATAGGAAAGCTATCTCCCCTTGTACTTGACTTTCATCTTGGTCTCTCATCTCACTATCACCGACCATCGACCCAGTTTCACTTCCATGTCCTCGGACACGGATGACCCTCCATTTCCATTTTCATCCAGTGCTCCACTTCCTCCCAGTTGAGTCACGACTCTGCTCGTCACTCGACCACATCCTTCTCACGCTTGTCGTTCCTGATCTGACATATTACTCCCCCTCCCACTGTCATCCCAAAACCATACCACTCTGGTGGGGCCACGCACAAGTGATCTTGGACACGACCTCTGGATTCCCTCTCGTCCGATCAACGAGCTGACATTGGTTCAGGTGTGCTCTGGGATGCAAGGGTATGAGAATATTTGAGGGATCGGGGATGTGCACGGTCATGTACATGGCCAAGATGTGAGTGTCGTGTGTCAGGTGAATCTGATTTTGGCAGACAAGAATGCGAGTTACAGCGCGTCCAGCCAGCAAACCAACGGATCGAGCCAGGCTTGTGTGTGTGTGCATTCGATGGCCAGGATTTGGCTTGCCAGAGTCTGGTTTGCTTCGCCACTTGCTTCCCTCTCTCCTGTCCATCTCCATCTCCCACTTGCCTCCTTCCTGTCTCCGTCAACATGGCCAACATGAATGAGTCTGCTTCGAACACGGTGTCATCTCCCACTCATCATATTCAAGCTGAAGCCAGCACAGCATCGTCGTGGCCCGATATCACCCAACTCTCACTCGAACACAACCCAGACATCTTCACCATCGTCTGCTGCAACGACAGCTTCCAACTCGCCCTCGATCACAACACCATCAAGACCCTGCTTCGAGTGTGCAAACGAGCCCGTCCTCTCCTGAGCTCCAAGGTGGCTCACTTCCACAGTTCGTGTCACAGTATGGAGCTATTCAATCCCGATGGACAGATGCGAATCGGCCTCACACCAAGCGACCAGATCGCCATATCGCTGCACTGCGAGGATCAAGCCACAGCCGACCGATCCTGGCTCGTTTCCCAAGCAGAGCAGGGCAATACTGCCGCATCGTATTTCCTGGCGCGGATCCTCCAAGTCGATCTCGACAAAGGCCGAGTTAAATGGTCCGAGCATCAAACCACCAAGCAGCAAATCTTCCACCATCTTGAGAGTGCCGCCGAAGCCAACCATTCAATGGCCCACTTCTACTTGGCCCAGTGTTATCGCAACGGATTCGGAGTCAACCGAGACCACACCAAGGCTGTCGAGTTGTACCACAGACATGCTGAACAAGGAATCTCTTGGGCTCAAGTTGCCCTCGGTCGCTGCTACGAGAGCGGCGAAGGTGTCGATCAAGATTACAACACAGCCATCGAGTGGTATTCCAAGGCTGCAGACCAGGGCAACGAAGACAGCCGACTCCACATTGTCTTCCTCCGTGGATGGTTCTCGTTCATCGGCCATGGTGTCGATCAGAGCGACGTGGATGCCCTCACCCACTGGCAGGAAGTGAGCACCCAGTCCACCAACCCAGTCATCAAGACCATCGCCACGCACATGGTCGGGTGGATGCACTATCTTGGCCGTGGTACCCAGCTCGACAAACAAAAGGGTGTCAAGATCATCCGCGACAACCAATCGGATGCGTTCAAGCTGGGGGAAGATGAGTGTCTTGCATCGATGTGGAACAACATCAAGTCTGACTCAGCCGCAGCATGCAAGTTCTTCCATCTCTGCCACCTTGGATCGGACCGTGACTGGCTCTGCAGACACTTGATGGCTTTGTGTCTTGTCAACGGATTCGGAACCATCCAAGACCAGGAGAAGGCAGCGGGCATCATTGAGCAACTCGCCAATGAAGGCCACAGCGACAGCCAGTTGTGGATGGGAGAGTGCTACCGTAGTGATGGGGGTGTATCGAAGGACTTCAAGAAGGCATTCGAGTGGTTCAGCAAGTCGGCCAAGCAAGACAACTCGTATGGGCAGTGGATGGTTGGTGTGTGCTACTATTTTAGATATGGAGTCACCAAGGACTACACCAAGGCAGTCGAGTGGTATCGCAAGTCGGCCGAGCAGGGCAATCGATGCGGACAATATTCACTTGGTGAATGCTACCAACTTGGCCGTGGTGTTCCCGAGCACATCGACACCGCCGCCTCTTGGTACCGCAAGTCCGCCGACCAGGATTACCAATGGGCCATCGACAGCCTCAAGGACCTCGGAAAATGGCCGTGACCCCCGATTTCCTCCGAGTCCCACTCCCAAACAACCAAGTGGCAGCATTGAACATGCAAACAGACAAGCAAACTGCACCGCCATCACATCGCAAACACAATGAAACCAATAAGTGGACTTGCAAAGTGGCCCGGATAAAGCAGCAATAGCCGAGTGCTGTTGTATTTGGCATTCAATACATCCAATACACCCAATATACAAATAGTGCATCTGTGCTCGTCTGAGTATCACGGCTTGCTGCTTCGTGAGCACTTTGAGGGTCAGTCCATACTCGAGCATGGGCCGAACGAAGGTCTTGAACACCCTCGTCACCGTCTTGGCCGAGTATCGACCCAAGCTCATTCCGTGCTTCACCAGCTTGTCGGCGGCACCTCTAGCCTTGTGGGTGAGGTTCTGGATCTGGCGGTCCATCCTGAAGCCGTTGATGTCGACGATGGCTCCGAGGTACCGGAACTCCTTGGCGACTGGCAGCTCCTTGCCGTACAGGTACACCTTGGCATCCTTCTCTGGGTGCTGTTCGGTGAACATCGCCTCGCACTTCGGGGGCGAGAACTGGTATCGATTCTCGATGCTGTGGGCCTCGCAGATGTCGAGGAGGCGCTGGGTCTGGTTGGGGCGGCAGATGAGCACCCCATCGTCGGCAAACCACAGTGAGTTGACCTGGACGGCTCGTCCTCGGGTGGTGGTTAGGGTCGTTCCACCGTCTGCCCGGAGTTTCCCAGGGAGGTCGTCGATGAACACGCTGAACATCAGCGGGCTCAGCACCGATCCTTGGATCAGTCCCTTCTGCAGCCAGACCGGATTGGACCGACGGCTCTTGCTGACGACTTGGATCTTCACATCGTCGAACATGGATCAGCACTGTGCTCCGCTCTGTTGGGATCCCATCGGTATTGCCCGTTCCTCTGGCTCCTTCTACATTAGACCCACCACATATCCATCAATATGCTCAAGTCCCAGCGATCGTCACACCTTTTGGATGCACTCAATTCCCCACAGCCCCTGCCCCTGGTCGATCCCGGACCCGCTCGCCTCTGACAAGGGTGTGATGCCACTCAGGACTCATTCCTCATCGTTTATCAAAGGCTAATGCAGAACAAACAGATCGATCGTGCCGCGCATGAACTCCACCAGCGCCACACGGACATCGGCATTGTCGATCGCGATGCACTCGATGGCCACTCGATACACCTCTGGCAAAAGTGCCTTGAGCCTGAGGCCAGACTCGGCCGGTCGCATGTGGTCCTCTCCAGGTGCCACGTCCACTGTCATTGATGATCTCCAGTGGCATTTTTGCTTGGTCGCCAGCAGTTCCTGGAAGATGATAATGACCACAGAGCTCCACATGGTAATGTCGCGCTTGAACTTGGATTGGTCCGCAACCATATCGGCGAAGCGCTGCATCACATCCATCGACTCGCCAACTAGGCTGTTCAGGATCTCGGTGCCCTCGCCATCGTCGTCGCCGCAGAACCTATAGACAGCAAAGAGCATCCGGATGTATGTCGACTCGGAGATTGTCTCTTGCTTGGTCAAGTTGGGCAGGTTGCTGATCAATCCGCTTCGAAGCAGGGCGTGACGGAGTTCGACGTTGGCGTTGAACGTCCGGGCAAAGCAATACGAGTTGTACATGACGCCGATCCAGCGCGAGCGGAAGGTTGCTGGGATCAGATTGATGAACACATCGGGATTGGCAGAATTGTCTGTTCGAGCAAGTTGTGGCATTGTCAGCAAAGGTCTCAGGCACAGGAATCTGGGCCATGGTGCCATGACATGAACAGGCAACGATCGGCCATTCTCTCCACAGCCTCTCCACACATACCGTGGGTGTCCTCGTTCACGTTCAAGATGGGGCTCAGCGCAATGTCGCGGATGCTCTGGATCAGCTCGAGGTGGATGCTGCACTTGATGATGGTGTGGCCAAAATCTAGGGCGCTCAGCGGGATTCCGATGCCGCCGTTGACATCTGCTGCCTCGATAGCGACTCGGTTGCCACGCTGCTGCGTGAGCTCCAAGCTCTGAAGTTGGGTGCGTCCCTGGATCGTCGTTGCACCATTTTGGGATGCACCGATGCTCTCCCGAGGATGCGATGGCGTGTCTATCGTTTCGCGGCTGTCGTCGGGGTCGAGAGAGCTCTGACTCGACTGCACCATGACGCCGCTCTTGGAGGGATACACACAGTTCAACAGCTCTGCCGGGGTGGTCTGTCGGAAACACTCCTCGAGACACGATGTGATGAGCTCCCAGCTGTCGGTCCGGCCGCCGTCGGCCTGCTGCAGCCGCGGGAGCTTGCCAATGTTGGTACGGAGGAGCTGGTTCAAGCAGATCTGGCCCGTGGTCGACAGCTTCTCGTCCTTGCGACACATCATCGAGTTGATCAACTCAAAGGTGCTCTTGATCACTCCCTTGTCCTGCTGGCCCATCAGCGCATCAAAGTAGATCGAATACAGGTCCACGAGCATGCGCAGACCATAGATCCACACGGCATAGTTGGCCTCGCGGCTCACCACGGCGACCGAGTTGCGCGCGCTGCCGTTCGAGCCCTGGGCCTTGGTCTCCCGCAGGTCTTCAAAGATCGGCAGGAGCACACCCCGGTGGATCTTCTTCCAGAACGACGGCTCAAAGTACTCGCCGCTGTTTTTGAGGGTGTCAAAGAGAATGTCGGTGGTCTTGGTGCGGACCTGCCCGCTGGTCGAGTCTGTGATGATGCGCGTCAAGGTCGTCAGCACCGGGAACCACTTGAGGAAAAAGTGCTCCTCGGATATGGTGCCGTTGGCGTTGAAGTAAGGCTGCGACGGCGTCCGGGTCGAGGAGGCGTTGGGCGTCACAAGATGCTGGTAGTCCCCGCTGATCGACCGGACACTTGACTTGCGCTGCTTGTTTGCGATGGCGCTTGCTGCTGCCTGGTGAGTGTGGGCCGGAGAGATGTCCTTGCCCTCCTGTGCGAGATGCACGAGCCGCTCGAGACACTGCTGCAGCAGATCGGTGCTGCCCAGAACCACTTCTTCGTGAATCTTGCCGACGCCGGGAAGGAGCACAAACTCGGCGAGACACGCGACATAGTCGACATAGGCACCGGGCGCGAGCACGACATAGTCAAAGTAGCTGAGGTAGACCGACTGCAGCGTCTCGAACGACAGCGTGATCAGGCGCTCCTCGTCCTTGGATATGGACTGACCGCTGGTGTCGTGCTGGTGCGGCTCCTCCGAATGCGCGGCCTGGCGCTGGGCGACCCTGGAAAAGACCACAAAGATGGTTTTCCAGCCCGAACGGATGCTGCTGGCCCTCAGATGGATCATCTGCGACAGTGTCGACACGATCAGCTCGCGGATATTATGACGCGGGTTATACTTGACAATGTACTCGAAACTCTTGAGGAACTCGCTCTGGGTCGAGTAGTGCCCCAGCTCCTCGCGCTCCAGGAACTTCATGTTGAGCTGCCGCAGCGAATCGATCGCAAAGACGGCCACCTGGTTGGACGAGTGACAGGCCAGGGCGTTGAAGTGGGGCTGCAGGATCTTCCAGATCTGGGTCCACTCGAACCGGATGCGATTCACGTTGTAGTACGAGATCTCGACAATCTTCTGCAGGAGATACATGCGCAGCGGCCCAACGAGGGCTACGGTCATGGCCGGCTGCGAGCTGGCGCTAGCTTGGGTGCTCTCGAGCCCAACCTCCTCGGCCGAGACGATGCACAGGCAGCGGAAAAAGTGCACCAGCGCCGTGACCGACAGTTTCGTGGTTGAGCTAAAGATGCGGTCGACGGCAACGATCAGGGACTGCTGCTGCAGCTCCACGATCATCTTTTCCAAGGCCGGATTGGGTTTGCCCGAAGCTGTAGCCAGCCCGTAGCCCTCGGCGGCAGGGTTGAATCCGCCAGGGGCACCTGAGGCGTCCATCTTGCGCGACTCGCCCGAGATGGACTTGCGAGCCAGGTTCATGAGGCCGCCCCCTGTGCTGGCGCTCGTTGGCAGAGTTGCATGGCCGAGCACCGAACCGGACTGCAGGCGTTCCAGCTGCGAGACAATCTTGAGGATCTGCGTCCACGAGCTCTCGAGGTACTCGCCCAGAGAGTTGGCCAGGGCAATCAGCGTCTTGACGGCCTTGATGTTCTTGCTGTTCAGATCCACGACGTGTGTCAGGCCAGTGAGCTTGCAAAGCGACGTCACAAAGGCGTCGCGCTCCGTCTCCATCTTGAACAGGCTGGCGATTCGGATCGACCCGGCAAAACCCTGGAGACACAGATCTGTGACCTTGGGCGTCGCGTTGGCCTGGAACTCGGCCTCCTCCTCCTCGGCGTTGGCCGCTTCAAAGAGGAGCGAGAAGGTGGCCATCAGCGGCCAGGATGCGACGCCAAACATGGGTCGGGCCACCTCGGGAAGCGTGGCGCTCTGGAACGGAGCCACATCCCGCATGGCGCCCTTGTTGCCGTCCAGACCCTTCATCAGGGCCTGCTGGCTCTTCTTGGAGACGATCGCAATCTCCTTGCGGTAGAGCTCCATGCGCTGACGGTCGTTCAGGTCGCCGGCTCCAAGCCCGATCGCCATGGCGTTGATCTGACCGGCATGTTCCTCCTCCAGGATGATCTCGTTGCCGCTGATGTTGTCAAAGATGGAGCTCAGATACTCGTCCGACAGGTCTGCGCCGTCGTTGATGCCGCGATTGTTCTTGATAAAGGCAGCCTTGTCCATGCGCACCTTGATCTTCTCCGAGTGCTGGTCGACGTTGAGCATGATGATCGAGTACGACAGGGTGTAGGCTGTGTCGGCCTTGGCAAAGACCTGTGGGTTGGTCTCGCAGTAGCGGTCGGCAAACTTTTCCATGTATCGGCTGATCTTTTGGGCCTCGCCTGGTAGCCGGAACGACTGCAAGAATTGACGCAGGGCTGAGACAAAGTCCATGTCCTCAAAGTCCAAATAGTCGACAAAGGCGTGCATCGTCTTGACATTGAAGGCGTCGCCCTCGCCCAGGTAGTCGCCGATGGCAGACTTGCTGAGCTCCGAAGTCGAGTGCAGCAGTCGTGCAATCGAAACAGGGTCGCGCTCGACAAAGCCGTGCTCGACCAGCATGTCAATTCCCTTCTCGGGCTTTTGGTTAAACAGAGTGATGCACTGCTTCATCAGCTGCTTGCGGAGCGTCAGCGAGTCAATCTGCAGCGACGTGGTTGGTGCCTCGGTGCCATCCTCGTTCAGGGTGCCCGATCCGGTGGGCACGTTCGAGCTCGATGTCAGCGACGTTACGCTTGGGTTGTTGGCATAGAGCTGAGTGGCCGCCTGGTGCGCCATCGATACCGTTTGCAGGGGATGTCGCTTGACTATGTAGGGATTCGCCTGGTTCTCGGGCGCAAGTGCCTCCTGGAAGGTCTTGGGCTTGCTGCCGTCAGCGTCGACTGCGATTGATGGCCGGGGCTGGGCCACGAGACGGGAGGGCTGCTCGGAGACCTCGCTGCCAGATCGGGCGCGATTTGCGTCAGAGACGTTGCTGGAGATGGACAGCCGCTGCGACGAGTCCGCTGGCGGCACAGAAGCCGCGGTCGAGGCAGAGTTGGGGCGAATCTTCCCACCCGAGCCGACCAAAGGGATGGAGGGATCGAGTTCCTGGCACCAGTCAACAAGCGAGTTCACGACAGCCATCAGACAGCACAGCCCACGCAGCCGGATGCGCTTCTCCTGGGCGCGGATCAAATCAGCCTTGGTGTCGAGTCCGGCGGCACTGGCAGCAAAGCCAATGAGCCCGCCGCGCGAGGTGGATGTCGTCGAGCTCGAGGTGGCTGCCGATGAGCCGGATCCTTCAGCAGCGCCAACGTCGCGGCCTTGAGCAACACGGGCGCAGGCGTTGATGATCGTCTCAAAGATGGAAGTCATGGCCAGATCGCAGTCGTAGTTGATGTAGAGGTCGGTGAGGGTCTGTGGGCTCTCGCAGATCTTGAGAAGGCCCTGCAGGACCATGCTCTTTTGCTTGTAGGTCGAGTTGCCCATCTCGAGGATGTGGATGTACACACACTTGAGTAGCGACTCGATCTCGACCTTGAGCTGCGACCGATAGAACCGGATCACCAGGAGAAAGATTGAGAGCGAGAGCTCAAAGAGCATCGGGTTGGTGGTGATGGCGTTGCGCGAGATGGAGATGCAGAGCGACTGGCGGATGAGGCTCACGTACAACTCATCGGACTGGAGCACAGGGCCGCAGTTTGTGATCATGGAGAGAATCAGCTCGAGCGCAAGCAAGCGAGCGCGGATGCATTGCTGAGAGAGCTCGTCGATCGGCAGAGCAGCAGCCTGGGCGATGCTGGCATTCTGGTGCGAACCGTCGCTGGGGTGGTCGGCCGCGAGCGAGAGCCGACAGAGCAGGCGGAAGGTAAGAAAAACGTCCTTGCGGAGCAGCTCGTTGTAGTAGACGATGGTGGGATCGTAGGGGTTCTGGGTATCGCTGGTCACTTTGGCATCGAGCGAATCTTGCACGGGGGTGGCGGACGACTCTACGCAGAGGAAAGGCGGAAGGGCGCATCGTGAGTGACATGGTTAGACACGAAGCAATCCCAGACAACGGACCACCGACGGGACGCCGCGTCGTTGATCCGATCTACCACGACAGCGCCATGGCAATGAGACAGCAGGCACGAATGCTGGGAATACCTGGTTCGGCGTCGGGGTGCACACTCGAGTCTGCAGCCTCGGCTTGAGCAGCACCAGTGTCAAGTGCAGCCTCGTGAGAGACGACCGGCTCGCTGCCTGTGTTTTGGGTCTCATGACCAGCGACATCAGCGCCTTGGCGATCATCCGGCTGGGTCGCATTGGGGGACTCTGCGGTCAGACCAGTGGTCGCTTCGTCCGATGGCAGACCCGCACCTCCATCGACATTCATCGGGATAGGCTCGGGCCCGTTTGTTGCTGGGGCGTGCTGCTCCTCGGGCAATTCCGGGATCACAGGGGCAGAGGCTTTCTCTGCTCGCGGAGAAGCAGACAAGTCGTCGTTGGAGACAGACAGATGCTCGGTCGCAGCGTGAGAAGCAGCCGAGGTCGCATCGTGGTCGGACGACACCAGGAGATCGGGGATTGCCTGGGCAGACTCGGTCAGCACTTGGGCATAGTTTTCCATGCGAGAGAACACAATGTGCAGCATCTGGGTGAGCGACGCCTTGGCAGTGATTTGGTTGGTCTGGTTCTTGGAATACAGGTAGATGTTGAAGCACGTTTGAACGGCCTTGAGGAGGGACAGCTCGTGGACCTCACATGTGGTCGAGGTGACGGTGGTGAGCAGGACCTTGAGGATCTGCAGCTGAATAGGCTCCTCGGTCTGAGGGCCCGTGAACGATGTGCAGACGGTGTGGACAATGTCGTCGATCTGATACTTTTGGGCGGCAGTCGGCAGGACCTGTGCGCTTCCCTCTGCAGGCGCGGGTGCTGGGATGGCTCCAGCAGGAGGCGGCGACGATGGTGTTGGAGAGGGTGTCGCCTGCAGAGACGGCGGCGGGCCTGATGTCGGCGACTGGACGATCGACAGCTTTTTGTGGACCGGCAAGGGCGAGCCGACGACGGGAGGAGTGGCATATCCTGCGAGATGAGAGAGGTCGTTGTCGCCGGCAGGCGGGCGCTTCACGATGGGAGTTGCCAGGGCCGGGGTCGACGCCGAAGCGGGCGAGGCAGCAGGAAAGATGGCCTCAGCCTGGGCCGGATCCAGCGGAAGCGAGCCCCTCAGGAGGTTGTGGGCGATGAGCTTCTGGATCGAGTCGAGGGCCACCTCGCGCACCCTGGCAATGTTGGACGAGTGGCAGGCGAGCTTGAGGGCGGGCCAGTAGTGGTCGGCAGGGTTGTTTTTGCCAAAGAGCGGATGGTCGGGCGAAAGCGGAGCGGCAGGAAAGTGGTGGATGGCATTAATCAGCTGGGTCTTGAGCTCCTGCTGCAGGCTGTTGTGTCTGGGAGAGGGCAGCTCGTGGAGGAGCCGCTCCAGCGAAGACTTGATGAGAGGAAACGACTCCATAACGAGGCGCGGCGAGCGGCCTTGCGAGATTCGAGGCTAACAACGACGGCCTGGGGAGATTCGCGATAGATGGCGGTAAGGACGTGGAAAAGGGGGGGGTGCGGCAGAAGCGAACGGCGAGCAGGCCAGAGCGCACGATCGGGCCAGGGGCGGACTGTCCAGACCGGAAAATATCAGGCGGCAAGTTCTGCAAGGGATATGCACTTGCCTGGCAGAGCGAAGGAAGATGCCCTGATGCGAGGGCGATGGACGGAACGGGGCCGATGGACGGAAGGAGGCCGATGGATGAGCTGCGATGAAGGCCAAGCCAAGGATCCGCGGCGGCAGGCGGAAGACCAGAACGAAACGGACACGCGGCGTTGCTGAGCGGCTCGCGCAACAGCCCGTGCTTGATGGGTGCGGAATCAAGTACGGGATCGAGTGCGGAATCAAGTACGGGATCGAGTGCGGAATCAAGTACGGAATCAAGTACGGGATTCAGTACGGATCGAGTACGGATCGAGTACGGATCGAGTGATGCCCAGAGATCGGTGTCATCTGCACGGGCAACAGCAGCACCACTCTGGGGTTGTGGATCGAGCGAGGATCTCAGTCCGACAGATCGCATTCGTCCATGTCTTCAAACAGACAATAGTTCTGATCGAACTCCCCGACGAACTCGGCCGTTCGCAGTCTCCCGGGACTGGACGCACGCTCTCGCCCCCCCCCTCCCGCATCTGCTCGCAGCATCAGGGAAGGCAATTCCCACCACCCGCAACGAGACTGATACTGCAGTCCTGCCCGTTGTCCTGCGAACCCTGGCTATTTTCGACCGCGCCCGTCACACAGCCCTTGCGCCCGTTGTCCCGTGTGCTGCAGCGCCACCTCCCCTCCAACAAGCCATCGCCGCGCAGTCTCTGTGCCGCACACACACACACACACCGTCTTGGCTGGTCTTTGATCCCTCTTTGGCTCTGCCTCTCATCCGATCCTCTTCCTCGATCAACCTTTGCCCGATCGTCGCCTCCCTGGCAAGGCCGTCTGCTGCTACCATGATAGGTGCCTCGATGAACCCACCCCAGAACAGTCCCGCCCCGTCGTCGCCGTCCACAGAGCCCACCGCCCTCGCCGTGGCCTCCCCATCGCCCCAGGCCGACCTCAACCCCGTGCCGCTCTCCTGCTCGGACCGCTACACCGACCGCCTCGCCGGCTGGCAGGTTCTGCTGAAGAAGCTCATCGCCCACTTTGAGCTCGTCTCCGAGTCGCAGAAGCGCATGGCCGAGGCCTTCTCAAAGTCGCTGCAGCACGTCATGGAGCCCGTCCGCTCTGTGCAGGACGTCGATGTCTTTGCCCCCGACGAGTCCTTCCGCTCCGTCTTCCAAACCGTGTTCGAGGCCCAGCTGCACATTGCCAATCTCCAGCTCGCCTCCGCCAGCCTGATCGAGACCGAGACCCTCCCGAACCTCAAGGCCCTGCTGAACGACGTCAAAAAGAAGCTCGACTCGGTCCAGGCCGAGTGGGGCTCCCTCGACAAGGAGCTGCTGCGGGATCGAGAAGCCCTGCCCAGGCTGCTCATGTTGCTCTCTGCGAGTCTGGCTCGCCACTATTGGATCCTGGGCGGCAGCGTCGGCGCCCCGCCGCAAATCACCCTCGGCCATGGGAAAGAGGCCCCGCGCGATCCCTTTATCGCCAAGCAAGGTAGGACGCCGCTGTCGACGAGGCATCCAGCGGCATCGTCCCGTATGGCGGCTGGACCACAGGAACATCCGAATCGCACACCGCGGCCTGATTTGCAGCCGTTCTCTCGACGCAGCGCTGACCTGCTTTGCATCGACCAGACGTCCTCCGCCACATCCGCCTCTGCATCCACAAGCAGGAGCACTATCGGTCCGGCCTCGCCAAGCAAGAGCAGTCCTTCGCCATCTTTGAAAAGACCCTGGTCCAGCACCTGCGTGCCTGTCTGACAAAGTTCCAGGAGGCCAGCCTGAACGATCTCGTCACCAACCGCGATCTGCTCAACGTCGGCCTTGCTTCGCTGAACCAAATCAGCTCCGACTCGGACTGGAGCCAATTCAAGACCCGCAACGCCGACGTCATTCTCGACACGGGCTCGAACCCCTTGCTCAAAGAAAGCGACATCCCCTTGCCTGCCGAGATCGAGGATGCCGCCGTCCAGGTCGTCCACGAGGGCGTGCTGCAGCGCTACGAGTCCAAGATTCTCCAGAAGGGCCAGTGGCGCGCCGGATACTATGTTCTCACGGCCTCGGGCTTCCTCCACGGCTTCTCAAACGGTGGAAAGGAGAAGGAGCTGGGCGACTACGAGATGGGATACTATCTGCCGGATTCGACCATCCTTCCGTCCAGCCCATCGGACCGCGAATCTGGCGAGATCGCCGTCCAAATCAAATCCGGCCGTGTCTTTGGCTCGGACAAGTACCGGGTAAGTGTCCGGGGGCTCACTCCCCATGCCGCCACCGCAATTCCATGTCACATCACTCTGTGATGCTGCATGTGAGGCAATGTCTCGCACGTCCACCTGCATCGCTGCGCATTCTGACCACTGCTTCGATATCGCCTCTGTCCCCAACAGTTCAAGGCCCTGACTGTGGACCAGTCCGACTTTTGGAGGGAGCTACTCTCGACACGTCTGAACTCAACCGTGCCTCGCCGAAGCTCCACATCCACCACCAGCTCTACGGCCTCGACAACCGGACCCACCGAGCCCGCCAACACATCTCTCTCCCCGTCGTCCTCGGCCTCGCTGTTCCTCAAGCGCAACAGCATGCTCCAAGGAGGGCATATGTCGCCGCAGCCTGGAAACAGCACACCTGCATTCGCTGGCGCGCCCAACACTCACTCGCCAGCATCTTCGCCCACACAACCGCCTCAACGGCCCCTGACCACCTTTTCCTCGTCCGCCCTCAACTCGGTCGGCGAAGAGGAAGAGGAAGGCTTCGCGGCTGCACCGTCGGTACCTCACACCCAGGGCTTCAAACCCGCCCAGACTGGGTCATTCTCGGGCTGGGGTGATGAGCTTCTCCCAGCGCCGCCCGTCAATAGCGCAGCAGCAACCATGGATGCCCTGGACCCGAGCCGCAGCGACCCACAGCTCCCTCCTGCCTCCGATGCCTGGTCTGTCCCGACAACGACAGCCCGATTCTCGGATCTGGACCTTGCATCGCACAATGCCTGGTCTTGAGCTCCAAGGGTGAAGACAAAGCCCCATTTTTGCACAACCACCACCGCCGCCGCCACCACCGCCACCACCACCAGTGCTACTACCACCACCGATGCGACCCTTTAACTACCCCGTCCACTTCCTCCCTCCACCCAGTGAAGTCAAGCGCCGATGCATGGTTTGGTAGTGCCATGGCCACCATCTCATTTGGATTTGGTCTGCAAGCGTTGTGGGCACTTTCTTGTTCCTATTTCTTCCTTCCTTTCTTCTCCGCTTTCTCTCTCTTTCGTTCCCGCTTCCTTCCCTCTTGCCCCCATTGCTCCCCTTCCTTGATCTTTCGAACCATGTCCGTTGTATCCAGTAGATATCGCAGATCGAATCGTGTACCTTGATGCCAGGCACGCTGAACAGAGATCTCTTCCACCTGTCGAGGCAATCCGGCGGCCCATCTGCTGGATTCACTTTGTCAAACAGTCTGACATATGCTGCGCCGTCAGCACCTCCAGGTTACGGGTATGCGCCAGATTCTGCGCGGGCCATTTGCAGAGATTGCCCACCAGCCGTACCGTTTGATTCGCTCAGGCAACAATCGAATTGACTTCGTGGCCAGCCTCGCCCTTCTGGCCACGCTCTTTGGTTGCCGGGTTGCCCAGCCAATCCGTAAGCGTGATGTTGAATGTCTTTTTGATGAGCCCGTGGTCATACTCGGGCGATAGATAGGCACCAGGGCCTGTCGTTGGCCACAGGCCGATGAGTTCAAGCCCGCTCGGTCAGTACCTCAAGTCAATGTGCGATGCCGAACCAAGTCAAATCAAAGTCCAATTGGACTAAATCGTGTCAACCCAGATCGATCCCAACCAACTCAGCACTACCGCCAGGGGCGAAGCTGGATGACGGGCGAATAGCAAGATTCCGTAGACACAAACATGACCGACGACTCACCTGGAACTGGCGGTGGCCGTTCGTCGAATCGCTCCTTCTGCAAAGTGCAAGGATGGATTGCCATGAGCAAAAGACAACGGCTCGCATCAGATCAATCAGTGCCAGCGACTCGACATCGATGGAGTGGATCGTACAGTGCCATGCTCCTGGGGCTTACCGAACTGAGGAACCCTCCAATGTCCTTCTGACGAGCCTCCTTCTTCTCGAGCAAGGCTGGCTCGTACTCGCCAGGACCTGGAACTTGCTCGGGCTCTGATGACCCAGGTACACGTTCGGCTGTGGTAAGCATCTTGCTTTGCGGACAAGCAACCGTGCTGCTCGCTTGCTTCCCGAGAAACGAGAGCCGCGTGTGGATGCAGCAGCACACTCACCTGGAAACAGGCTTCGTCGCATCTGGCTCACCATGATGCTGGTCTTGGGAATGCGCCCCTTGGACTGCATGCTCTCGTACGCATCGGCAATCTCGTACGTCCCTGGTGGTGGAACCTCTGCGGTCGACATACGACACCGACGTCTCAACCAACTGAGATTTGCAAGCCGAGTCCTTTGGCCGACCTCTGTCTGCGGAAGTCTCCGATGCGACCTGTGCACGGCTCGAGATCTACACCAACCTGCATTTGCCACATCCGTGAATCGCTCGGTCTGTGTTCCGAATACAGGAATGCGCACATGCGTCGGATCCACAATCGCCGTCCCGAGCATGATCTTGCTTGGTCCGCGGCTCCTTAGCTTGGCGATCTTGCCAACGTTTGGGCCAGCCTTCTCAGGAGCCCTGGGGTCGTACGATCCTGGACCTGGGTCTTTGTTCTAGTGGACAGAAAGCAGTTTCCGTGGGCGCAAACGAGTGTGAGCACATGTTCGTGAGCATGGGCATGGCCGAGACTCAAGCGGAACTCAATCATATGACTTACCACATGCACCTTGCCGAATCGCTGGCAAATAGACCCAAAGCCCTTGGTGACTCCGCCAATGTTGCTGAACACCACGTTGCGCTGTACTCTTTGCACGATGCTGTCGATCTGCAAGCGTTTGACAACAGACCAGGGTTAGTGCCGGGGCACATCCACACTGCTACCCACAATGCTATCCACGATGCTATCCACAACGCTACTCGCAATGTTATTCACAATGCTACTCGCAATGTTATCCACAATGCAACCCACGATGCTGCTTCTCAATATCCAGTGGTGGCGATTACCTCGTCCAGATTGTATGTGCCAGGCGCGGGCTGTGCCTTTGCTCGAATCTCTTCGGCACTCTCGAAGCGAGAGGTAGTCGACCCAAACGGTTGCGGTTTGTATGGTGGAGGCTGTTGTGTAGAGATTCACGACACGTTCATCAACCCAAACTGCGTCACCAGCATTGCCAGCCAACCCATCGCGGAGCTTATGGGACTGCAGCCACGCATTGCCGCATCGGATATCGTGCTCTGCCACGGCCGTACCTTTCGAATGTCCGAGAACTCTGGATAGTATGATCCAGGACCGGGGTTCTTGAGGAGATATGACGGAATGTAGCCTGTCGGCGAGCGATGTTCGCCACCTGTTCGCACAACACGGTCGCTGTAAGTTCCAATCCCGCAGCATCGCTATGGTCAGCCGAGCCCCGGTGATTTCTGCAAGCGCCGTCCAAAAACCTGCCTCCAAAATGAATCCGTCCTTTTTTCTTGCCCAAGTTGTCCTCGATCGTTTCCTTGCAGTCGTAGGCGCCTGGTCCCGGAATGCTCTATTCACAGGGTTTACCACCAGGCGCGATGCACATGTTGAGAATGCGAGCAGCACCCACATCAAGCGACCCAGGTGCGATCGTCATCCAAAACCACACTCGCCAGACAGCACAGCCCTCACCTTCTTCATGGCGTTCATGACAATCTCGTCTGTCACGCGAACACACGGCGCCAGAGTCATCACGGCCGGCCCATTTCCAGTCTCGGTCGATTTTTTCAAGAACCGATCTCCGGCCAGCGAGTCGTACACGCACGGGCCCGGGGATTCGTTCGACTTGAACGAGAGTCGGCCCTTGGAGTGCCCAAACTGGAAGCCGCGGTTCTGGTGCTTGGCGAGCTCGACGAACGAGTTGAGGTGGTTGTATGCTGGCACTTCCTGGGTTGTTCAGAGACATGGCTCGAGTCAGAATCGGCATGACAAATGGGCAAGCGATCGAGCGGGCGGTCATGGCAGATAACCATGTGCAACAGACAAGCATGGCAGTGATCAGTGAGGGATCAAATTGTGGCTGATCCGTAACTGCCGTCTCATCCATCAACGCACATGGTTTGCCTTCTTGGGTGCGATGCGAGGCACCAGTTCGCCATCTGGAGCAATGAAGCAACGAGGCAAACATCAGTCCGGGTAGACCGCGAGCGCGATCGCAGTGGGCAAAAGTGCTCCACATCCACAGCAGTGCCAAGTGCAGTATCGACAGCATTCGACCGCGACTCCACGACTCTGCCCCCGCATGCATCGTCAAATGTCCCGGAGCAGTACCTTCGTTTTCCTGGTATCCGAATGCCGAGCCGCCGCACGGAATGCTCGGCGGCACATACTTGCGCTTCCACACAATCGCAGGCTTGCGCTTTTGCGCACTCCGGATGGCCGAAGCAGTGACCCCAGCCCCTGGTTTGCGGGGGTTGATGGCACACGACTTGGCTTCGAGATTTTCAATGGTTCCCAGCGGCCGCTCAGGCGTCCGTGTGATCGAAAGGCCGCTTGTAAACTCGCCCGGTGTGGCTGCGGGAAGGGGCACACCTGCGGCCTCGGTCAGGCCGGCATCGATATCGCCGCTGCGGGCCAGGCCACCCAGTCCCACGCTGGAGGTCGAGGGCTTCGAGGACCTGAGTGTCGAACTCGATGCGCCCGCGAGCTCGCTGCGGCACGGAACCGAGCTCGTCGTCAGCGGCAGTTCGAGGCCCTGAGCAGCGTGAGTGTGTTCGGCCTTCTTCCGCTCGGGTAGTGTCGCCTTGATCGAGTACGAGCCTGGCCCCGGTGTTATCGACGCTTGGTCGCGGAAGCGAGGCGCTCGAGACTTGCCAAAGAGCGAGGAGCGATAGGAGCGCTGGAAGCCGAGCGGAATGGGAGACTCATATGCGCCAGGAGCGGGACCCGGGATGATCATTCGATCAAACTCGCAGACCCGCGGCGACAGCGAGGCGAACGGCGCATATCTGCCAAAGCAAAGTACCGGTGTGGATCGCCCCGTGGGAACAGAGTTCGCACAGCGCCAGCCCAGCATCGTCCGAGATTGTAGCGGCATTGTCCAAGAAGGCGTAAAGTGCCCGAGAGGTTGCAGCGAGCAAGACATTCGTCGACACAAGCCAAGGCATGAGCGTCAGTGTATGCTGCAAATGTTGCCCAAGCCATCGAACCCGGACTTGCACTGGACATACCAGTGATCGTCGACAGCTGGCCACTGTCGACCGTCCTCCCACAGCCCGCAAGCGATTCATACCCGTCGTCTCCGAGAATCTTGCCCGCCAGCAGTGTCGACTCGTCGGCGGTGTAGCAGCCTGGGCCCAAGTTCGGGTTTGCATGGTCTGCGTCGGGCTGGAGGAACTTTCGCTGTGCTCTCGAGTACATCCTGGCAGCACAAGCTTGAGAGAGAAGCTATGTCGTGGCCAATGCGAAATCTCCGAGTGAACGCTTGCTGTCGGGTATCAGTTGCAGCCGATTTGACAGAGACCCCGGCGAGTGGATCCAGATCAGCGCAGATTGTTGGTTGTGGCAAGATCTAAAGCAACGCTGGCTTGCAGATAGTCACAGTTCCGAGTCCTTCGGGTTCAGCCACAGCTGTTGCTTCAGAAAAGCTAACGTTCCGGCTGAAATAGAGCCCCGAGCTTGTCGCCACAGCCCCTTGAAGCAGCACGGAGTGCTCTCTCTTGCCCATCTGGATGCGCTGCGGAAACAATAGCCCCGACTCGCTAAAAGTTCCGTGTGAATCACACTGTCTGAGATTGTGCAGCCAGCCAGCCAGTCTGTCTGTCAGTCAGTCAACCAGTCAGCCAGCCAGCTCCCATCTCGACTGACCAACCCTTCTTGGCCGATCAGGCGCAAAGTCGAATCGTTGGGGTACTCAGGCCGGTGCTCGGGCAAGCAACTGCGGGACGGCTTGCCTGTCTCGTCCGTGAGACATCCGTGATTGAGCCCCGACACTGTCTGAGCGGGCCAGCCATGCACGAACCTGGTTTCTGCCATGTCAGCCTGGCAGTCAAGCCGGTCGTCGAGGCGGCTCAAATGGCAGGCGGGCAGATACCCGAACCCGCATGTCCGCGATCTACCCTCACTCTCACACCATATCCGCATCTTACTCAACGCGCCGCATCCGCACAGGGCCGACCGGCAACTCTCATCATCTGTACAGGTCTATCGCTGCATTCGATTCGATGCATCTGACGGAATATCTCCAAGCCAAACAGCATCTCAAGGCCCAAGAGAGCTGGGCCGACGCCAGCCACCTCACTCCCGACTCCTCTCGCGCGAACTACCTCGACATTGCTTCGCCTGCTCGGGACAGCAGATCGAGTGGCAGAGACCGATCCCAGGCCACTGCGGAATATGGGGCCCGGCATCAGGCTCGCTCACGCAGCCATTCCTGCAGCAGCAGCACGCGAGATCCCCCCAGTCCAGAACACGACGACGTGGACTGCAGATCCGTCACGTCGAGTTGCGTATCAGCGGGGCGACAAAAGGCGACAAAGAAACCGTCATGGTCGTTGGCGGCTGGAGACCTGTCCTTTGAACCAAAGCACGACCCTCGTACCATCGACAATCGCGGCCTCGCAGATGATCTTCTCACGGACTGCACTCCAAGCAAAGGCCAAGGCGGCCGTCGTCAGGGCCCACGGCACAACCAACAGCATCAGACTCGCTCAAAGCAACCCAACTTGCACCCGCCCATGGTTGAATCGACTCTGGGTGCGGTAGAGTATGCCTACACCGGAGCCAGCATCGCGCTGGACACGAACCAGTATATCCGGCCTGCGCCGTCCGATGTGCGTTTCGAATTGACTGCTTGGTTCGGCTTTGAACGAGCACGCCGCCTATCCATGGGACGGGCTGCAATCCGACACCGCTGCTCTGCCTTGCACCTAGATACCTCAATTCACTCGCGCACAACGAGCTGCCGCGCCGTCGATATTGCCAGAGTGGCTGATTCGCATTCTCTCTCCCACAGATTGCGCGAGAGGGCTGGCTCGTCTCAAAGAGCTCGGCAGTCAAGCATAGACGAGTATTTGCCGTGGCAACGTACGGCTCGAGAAACACGGGGGTCATTCATTTGTACGAGAGCGAGAAGGTGGGCTCTGCTTGGTCAGGCATGTCATAGCCATGAGTCCCGGTCATGATAACGGTGCAGAGTACAAGATGGAGAGCGGCCACTCTGTTGCCAGACACGCAATGACTGCTCGTTCCCAGACTCGCATGTTCGCCACCGCTGCTGCTGGGGGGTCGGCCGTGCGTCTGGGGCTGTATGCTCATGCTGCAAGCGCCGTAATCTGCCCGCCAGGATATCAAGCCGTTCAAGATCATGGATCTGAAGGACTGTGTCTCGATCCAAGCGATCGCCCTGGCGTTCGTCGAGCACCCAGGCATCTCGCCCACAACCAACGGCACCCCGATTGGCCTGCCAAAGTACATCTACTCTGGCCCCAAGATCCGACAGAACGGCAGTAGCAACACCGGTACCAGCTCAGTTGTGTATGAATTCTCACTGTCCTTTCGCATCGGCCACGATGTGTGCTTTGGCGCAGAGTCAAAGGAAGAGCGGTCGGGCTGGGTCCAGGCGCTTCAGCGGCTCCTGCCCAGGGCTGATCCACAGGGCCACGATCGAATGCCTCGCATGGACATGGTGGATCGAGACCAGAAACAGAACCCTGGAGTTCGAGAGGCCGAATCGATCCACAGGTGCCTGGCAGAGAGGCAGACCGATCGACGACAAGTCCCGAGCGACGGAAGCGACGAAGCATCCGTGGTAAAGGCGTTGATGCGAGCCCGAGGTGGTCTTGTCGGAGCCGGCGACAAGCCAGACAAACTCGACCAACACAGCGATTCCACCGACGACAAGACCTCCTCTGACTCCTGCGTCGACAAAGCCAGTGCCGACACTGACCACTCCACAGGCACAGCCAACATTAGCGTCGGCGATGTGTGGAAGGGTGTCTCCACCCCGACAGCCAGCGCCAACAACCCGATCGACTCCTTCCTTGCCGCTATCAAGGCATCGATCGATGTCCGAATGGGCGACATCTCTGAGATGGTGGCTCAGATAGCCCGGCCCAAGGCTCGAGTCCGTTCAGCATCCGAAACCGCTGACCCGGAGGCAGATGCACAGTGGATTCCGAAGGACGAATCATACAGAACCCATGAGATTCGCGATTTGACTGTCTCCATCGACAATCTGTCCAGCAGAATTGAGAGGCTGGAGGAGGAGATCCGCAGGTCGCGGGGCCGGATTGCTGCAGTTCAAGAAAGCACTGGATCCAAGTCGGCCGAGTGGATCGAGCACCTCGAGGCCCGGCTCGAGACCATCATCAGCAAGCGCTGCCAGAGCACTGCCCCGGACAAGTCGCCGTACCTCGCAGACCCGCCGAGACCAAGCGATGCGAGAATCGACGATGCGCTCAGCCATCTGAAGAAGACGGTGTGCTCCAAGCACGACCTGCTCGCGGACAGAATCCAGCAGCTCGAGGCAAAGAGCGACGAGGTCAAGAGGATCGTCCAAAAGTCCAGCCCGTCGTCCGTCCTCCAGGATGTGCTGCAGGGAGATCTCAGGTCGATCCGTCAGTACCAAGAGCGCATTCCCAAGCTTGAGGAATCCATGGAGCAGATCAACGCCGCCCTTCAGTGCATCCTTCAAACCAGGAGCGAGGCAATCGTCAGCCAGCCCGGTGGGTCGGTGCCAACCACCGGATCGACAACGTCGGCCGACCCCAGTGCTGCTCTCGAGAGCACAGGCCGGCCCGACATCGATCCGCCTCGCATCCGCATGATCCAAGACTGGATCTCGGCGCTGTCTGCCCGATTCGACCAGTCGCACACCAAGCTGAGGGACTCTGTGCTCGAAACTACGCGGGCGGTTGAGCTGTTGCGTCGGCTGTCCATGACCAAATCCGACTTTGCGCCGCTGGACGGGACGCTCGATGTCGTCAAATCGAGGCTCGAGAGCCTCATCAAGCTGTGCACCAAGTCCTTTGAGCACGAGAGCGAGCACAAGCCCTCCATCTCGCTGATCGTGGGAGTCTCCGAGAAGGTCACGAATCTCGGCCACAGCGTCGATGAAATCAAGCACCAGGTCGAGACGGATCTGCGCCGGCTGGCGGACGAGCACCGGCAGATCGTCGAGGCCCTCGGCAACATTGCTTCTCAACGACCCGAGCCGGGCTCCAGGGAACAGGACGCACGGGCCATCAAGGAGGTCAAGGCTGTTCTGGAAGACCTCGAGTCGAGATTGCAGGGCATGGGGACGGAAACCCGCGGCCAATACGACATTGTCGCCGGGCAGCTCGGCCGCATCCAGGACAGTGTCAAACACATCCACCAGCTCTCGACCAAGGTGCATGACGGCGCTGGCGGTCAAAGCTCGGGACTGGAGCTGGCCAAGCTCGAATCGCTGTCCAGAGATCTTGCTGAGGCTCGCCGTGAGAGCCGCGATCGACATCAGGAGCTCAAGGCCGCACTCCAGACCCAGCAGGCACAGCTCCACGAGGATCTCGGCGGGGTCATCAAGAGCTGCCGACGCCTGCAGCAAGAGCTCCCCGAGGCAGTGAGCAGCATTCAAAAAGCCGAAGCAAGCATCAAAGAAGCACAATCGGCACAACGGAGCGACTGGACAGCGATGCGCTCTCAGCTGCAAGACATGCAGAGCAGTGCCGTCCCAGCCGCCTCGGGCCTGCGCAACGGCTTGACGACAGCGATGAGTCGCCAGAGCATGCACTCTGCCGAGCACGATGAAGGGCCGGACGGCCGCGCCTGGTTCGCAAGAGACAAGACGGTGTCGCTGTCGTCCATCGTCGAGTGGCAAGAAGAGATTGCACGCAAGGACCAGATCACAGGCGAGATTCTGGACTCGATGCAAAACTCGATGCGGCGCATGATCGAGTGGATGGAGTCTGCGGGTGCAGCGCCGCCTGCCGGAGGCAAGCCGTCATCGTCTTCGTCTTCGTCATCGTCATTATCATCATCATCGCCGTCGGTGCCCTCTCCTATCCTCAAGATGGACAACAACGAGGTCGCCGAGATCAAAAAGGCTATTTTTGAGATCCGCGAAGGGGTGTTGAACCGGGCCGGCGACGATAGCCGCGAGCTCAAGAACCTGCGAACGCAAATCGAGAGTGCCCGGGTCGTCAAGACCACGCTCCACAACGAGATCGAGACCATGATGGAGAAGAAGCGGGCCCTCCAGGAGCAGGTTCAGGAGCTGCAACGGAAGACAGATCGTAGCGAGGATGCTGCCAAGCGAACCGGTGCTGGTGGCTGGTTCAGTATCTAGGAGAATGCATCGGGAAGGGCACGACGATGGCTGGGAGGTGAGGCATGGAAGGAAGCAGTGATGCCGGAGTAGCCACGAGTGGCCGATGGCAACGCTCTCAGAATGAAATTGCTTGAACGGACAGCCTCGCTGATCAATATGCATTGGCATGGAGAAAGTGGCATGAGCCTTATTCCGCTGTCATCTGTCGGGGTGCTGGACTTGCAAGGCAGACGAACCACCCTTATCGCCAACGGGACGACCGAGGCACTCGCACATGGGAGTGCTCGGGCAGGAGGCGCTTCGCTTGGGGCACCTTTCCCAAAGGCAGCGGGGACAGAGCCGGGCAGTGGACATGCTGCGTTATATTTTACCAACGCTTTTGGTGCAGTGCATTTTTTTTTTTCTTCTGTTGGGAAGGCCGCTGCCAACGATGCTTGTCTGGCAACACAATGGGAGAGATTACGCAGGTACTGAAAGGAGGAAGAGGGAAAAAGAAGAAGAGCAAGTGGGTGTGGAAAGGAAGAAAGAAAGAAAGAAAGAAAAAGACTGTCTCAAGCCAGCGGCAGAGACAGGCCACCAGTATCCAAGACGAAACGACAGCGAAGGCAAAAGCTTGAATATGGGAGGAGAGAGAGGTGTCGGAGGATGGGTCGATGAGCGAATGGATAGGAGCCCGATGCGGGTGATGGCAGGATGGGAGGGAATCGAGTCGGGAATCGAGTCGGAATCGGAGGCAATCGGGTGGAAATGATCGATGGGAGGGACTTGGAATGTCGGTGATCGTGGTTGAGAGCGTCGAGGCTGGGGAAGGTCAGGATTAGAAGGGGGGGAGAACTAATAACGTATGGAGAAAACAATGTACAGAAAGAAATGAAAGAGCGATGGGCAAACGCGGAAAAGAGGCGACGACGAGACGATTAGGCGACCATACAGGAATTCAAGCAGGACCTGCGCTGTGTCCGGGGAGTAGTGAAGGGCCAGCGCAGACAAGAAATTAGCAACTGGAACCGCCTCGCCGACCGAGCTCGCGACAGCAGCGGCTGGGCAGGGACGAGGCAGCCAAGAGAAAGAGCAAGTCGTAGAACGATGGGGATGTGCGGGGAAGGCGGTCGGGCCTCCGGGCGAAAGAGTTGCGGGAGGAGCAGGCCGACAGCGAATATGCTCGGAAGCGTCGACGCAGCAAGACATCGACGCAAAGGATCCGAGCGACATATGGATGGAGGAGGGGAGAGGGTGGCAGGGTGTTGGGCGATGAATGTTGGGTGTTGAGCGTGGTGGGCAGCGATAAAAGCTGCAGAGCAGGAAAGGTGGAAAGATTAATGAAACGACGACATGCGAACGGGCTTAGACGACAGGCACAAGCCGAGCAAGGAGTCGAGAGTCCTCTCCGGCATCGTCCATGTCGTCAAAATGAGCCTCAAAGGAAAGTCAGGGCAGGAAGAAGGTGAGCAGAGCGATCGTGAGCGAGACCGAGGTGAAAAGAAACGAGGAAGAAGGAAACGAGGAGCAAGCCGCAAGAGGCTGGAGCGTGAGGCTGGGATGAGGGAAGTGGAACCGGGCTGGAAATGGTGAGTGCAAGCAGAGCAACAGGAAGAGAGAGAGCGAGAGAGCATCGATGGGATGTGGCGAGCAACGGGGAACAAGTTGGCTGGCGGCGGCGCAAACGGCGATTGGGTGGAGTGGTGGATGCTTGAATCGATGCAGGACCAGTTGGATCGGCAGTCGAGCCAAGGCTTGGACGGGTGTTCGGATGGATGTTCAGATGGGTAGTTGGATGTTCGGATGGGTAGTCGGATGGGTGTTGAAGTGATGGTTGGGCAAGTGTTTGGGCAAGTGTTTGGGCAAGTGGATTGGGTTTGCGGGAGGAAAGTGGCGATCGGGAATCATGGAAACGGCCTGGACGACCGACGCCTCCATCGGCTGGGCCGGCACAGCATGCAGTGACTCGCCGAGGGGCTCCGGAGTCTCCTCAGGCCTGCTGGTAGTAGCCCTGGATGTCCTTTAGTGAAACATGGGCTTTGGTGCTGGGCTCTGTGATGCAGACGCCGCCTCGCCGCCGAGAGAGAATCGATGGATCGGGGGTAACCTCGGCTTGGCCCGGCGAGTCCACATCCATGGCCGATGCTTGGGCGCTGGGATACGGAGAGCTGGGGGTGCTGGAGGGCTCCGAGGTCGACGACGACGAGGGAATCGACAGAGGAGGAGGAACGGGACGGCCGGCAGACATGGGTGGCGATGGGCAAAGAGGACGATGGAGGATGGACAGAGCGGGAGAGCGGGAGAGCGAGCGGCAGGGCAGACGAGCGGCAGGAGGACGAAGACGGGTCGGCGGGGAGACGGACGCGGCGGCAGAGGGTATGTGTAGCGGTTGGAGAGAGAGGAAACTGCCTGGAAAGCAGATGGGTTTCTGGCGATGGACGGCCGTGGGATACCAGAGCAAGATGCGGGGCGCCGAAAGTGCGATGATGGAGGAGGTCGATGGCAGGAGAGTGGTCTGCACAGAAAACAAGCACAAGGAGCAGGCACGAGGGCAGGCCGGGATCAGCAGAGGGGCGAGGAGTGGTGCGGATGAAGGGCAAGGCCGCGGCAGAAGGCGAAATTCGGCGATCGGGATGGCGGTTGTGAAGGTGGATTTTAACGACCAGGACGGTGATTATAACGACCAGGACGGTGGGTTTTAACGACCAGGACGGTGATTATAACGATCGAGACGGCAGAAATCCCAAAGACCGAGACAGAAGGAATTGCAGACTCGGCCGGGTTATAAAGAAATACGGGCGGCACTGTCGCTGTGGACCGCGCAGAGCTGCTGTCTGGATGCCACTGTCGCTGTGGGGAGCACGCGTGTTGGCTGCGTCGCGTCTGTGTCCAACTGAGGTGCGTGTTTGTGCTACAGCAGTGCACACACAACGCGCACAGACACAACTGCTTCGTGGTGCAAGTCCACAGGCACCCACACGCGTCTGTGCAACTTCATTGTGGCGGCTGTGTCGGCCAGGGGCGCAGCACCCACGACAGTGTGCCGCACAGTCTCTGTGGCAGACAACAAGAGGGCCAGCCTCGCCTTGTGCGCGACAGCGCAGCGCGGGCAGTGGTTCCGCCGTGTGGCGGGTTTGTGGCGCGTGGATCTGTCCAATCGCGTGCCGCCGCGGTTGTGTGCTCGACACGCACGCTGTCGCTGTCGCGTGCCTCCAAGTGTTGCGACGGCACTGTCGCTGTGGTGGCGCTCTCGGTCCAGCGAGACGCTCCTCGCTGCGCTCTCGTCTCTCGGCGCCTCCGGATCGAGTGCGGGCCAGCCGGATCGATCCGGTCGAGGCGGGCCAATCAGAGACAGCCGTTCGGAAAGACGCCGCTGTGGGAAAGCCGGCAGCAGTCACATCGGTCGCGAGCGGATTGCATACGGGTTGCGAGCCGGTTGCGAGTCGGTTGCGAGTCGGTTGCGTGCGGATTGCGTCGGCAGAAGGCGAGGATACAGTGAGTCGGGTGTTGGGGGGATGCGACCGAGCGAGCGACCAGCGGCATGCCTTCCCCCCGTTCGCTCATGCGGCTTGCCGAGCCAGCCGGGCTGTTCACCAGCAATCCTCCCGCAGGCCGCTCGCCACCAAAGAGTCCCCGGATCAACAGGCATGCACGTTGCACTTCGCGCGGATGTGCGTGCGTTACGGGGCGGATGGCTGCAAAGAAATCCAGTCCCAGCCACCGCCGTGCTGCCGGTGGATGCCCTGCCCGGGTCCCTTCGGCAGTGCACGCACGTCCGATGGTAGCCTCCTCGGTGAACCAACAGCATCGCAGCTGCTTACCGTTGCTGTGTCCGGCTGTTGATTCCATAGATCCATCCGTCCTCGAACTCGTACAGCACTTGCGCGCGGTCCTGGATCGGCTGCGGCGTCAGTAACGGCTGAGCAGGTCGCAATCGGCCGCTGGCCTCCTTGGCTTTGACCCCTTTTCACAACCCCATCATGACCCCGCCATGACCCCATCATGATCCCAGCATGATCCCAACATGATCCCTCGGTCAGCCGGGATATCAAACACCCCCCACCGTCCGCCAATCGGCCGCGGCATGTGCATGCGATGCCCCTCCCCCCCCCAAAATATCCCAACTTACCCCGATCTTCATCTCGATTTCGTCGGTCTGGTGTGGGTCGAACTGCCTGCTCACGGGGCGCTCTTGTACCATCGGTGTGATATCGTCATCGGGCAGGCTGCGGGTGGCTTGTGCCGGTCCCTCCGTCGGGATTGCCTCGCCGCTCCATGCACCTGCCAAAGCGGAGCCGATTGGATGTGCTGGTTCTGCGATCCTGTTGTCCAGGTCCGCAACTCGCTCGGCAACGAGAGCATGGGCATTTCTCACCAGCCCGCCTGGATACTCGTGCTCGTGGTCGCGGTCGTCGGGCTCAAGTGACAGAATGATGCTGTCCATGATGCTGGACGAGCTGGATGCCATGACCTGCTTGAAGGTCGGATCGTCGCGCTGCAGGCTCTGCTGTCGCCGATTGTGCATATGGATGGCCACCACCACCGAGATTGCCGTCAGGAACAAAATCGCAAACAGTGCCAGCGACGTGGCCATCAGCGTGAACGTGCTGGTGCCCATGAGAGTGCTGGGAGCATGCGACGATGGCGATGGCGATGGTGTTGTCGAGCCAGGAACGTTGGCCGTTGGGGTACCGAGTGGCACATTGACCTGCAGATGCTTCGTTAGCGGGGGAGGTGTCGTGTGTATGCCTTTCTGAGTGCGTAATCGACCCTCCAAGGGATTCTTGCACATCCTGCGCCTGTTGGAATCCGGTACTTGCTTGCATCTGGCCCTTGCTTGCATCCGACCCATGCTGCTCCGACACGACACCCCTGTGCTGTTCCCACGCACACCACCGATTGGCAGCCACCCACCTCGTATCGAGCCCATGCTGTGGCCCCAGTCGTCTGGTTGCAGCCTCCGCAGGGAAGACCGTCGAGTCCCAGGCATTCAAAGCCCTGACACAGCCCCGGAGTCTTGGACACAAACGAGTAGTCGAAATCGGCCAGGGGACACAGCAGCGACACCATCGGGGCAGCGCTGACTACAGTCGAGTTGGGTGTGGTCGAGTTGGCGGTGATCGGGTTGCTGTCGGGGCTGCGGCAGCCCCTGACGGGATCGTCGAGGCCCTGGCCGACGCCGATATAGAAGAATGGCACGGATTCGCAGTCGGGATAGGACAGATATTCGAGCGGATCAAACAGCTGGACCGTCTGGTTGACGGGGATACGGGCAAAGATGGCCGAGACCACCGCGGCATCGACGGTGAAAGAAAAGCATCCGACATAGCTGGCCATGGCAGGCAAACCGTGCAGCTGAGGCCCGCGATGCAAACAGGGAGTGTCAGGCGATGCGATAACGAAGGCGGGACACCGTGGGCGAGCGAGGATTTGCGCCAAAGCAAAGCGATTCAGTTGAGCGACAAGGGCCGATCCCGATCTTGAGCGGAATGGTCCTGCGACGATGGAGTGGAAAGAGTCAAGAAACAAGGCAAGGGAGTCTGGAGTGGGCCAAGAGCCAGCCCGAGAAAGTCCTGGACGCTGCAATCCGCAGGAGATGGGCAGGCGGGGCGGGTCAAGAGGACACCCGAAAGAGAAAAGCCGAAGCAGCAATAGAGACAGAGACCAAGACGGAGGCGACGGGCGGAGGGAATCTGGGTCGTATTTGAAGCGGCAGGGAGTACGAGGGAGGGGATGTGTATGCAATGACGAAAGATCAGTCGATCGGAAGGCGGGTCGGCGAGGCGGGGGGGGGCGAATAGTGTGGGAAGTAACCAAGAGGAATGGCCAGAGCAAGCAGATTCAAAACAGAGTGAGACGCAGTCCGGTGGTGGCATCTCGCCGCCCTTTCCTGAACCGGCTTAGTGGCCGTTTCTTTGATCTCCGTCTTTCTCCCCTCCCTCGGTTGCAATTGCAGGCCGCTGACTGGCGGAGGCATGTGCATGGTGGGCTGGGCATGGTCGCCTGGTGTGGTCGGCCGGCCATGTCCAGCCACAGCCCACCCGGGTTTGGTCCACCCTCCATCGGGCAGCGGATGCACTGAATGCACCAAATGTACCGATCAGTTGGGCTATCGGGGGGGGGGTTTTTTTTTGGGGGGGGACTGTCGATGAGGGGCATGGGGGACGGTGGCTCGTCGTGGCTGTCGTCTGGATTCATGATTTCCCAGCCCAGGTCGAGTGGAGCAGCAGTGACCGCGTGAACAAGACTCCAAGATAAGACGCATAGTGCTCGAGAGTTGTGGTATTGGGGGAAGAGTACTCTCACAGAAGAGGGGTGCTGGGGGGTAGTGTTGAGAGAGATAGTCCCAGCGATTGCCGCTGATCGTTCGCTGTGGTGGGAACATCGACACATGGGTTGGATCATTGTGACCCCCAGCTGAAACCTGCATGCGGAATGGCGAGGCATCAACCGGGCTGTACGGTGAATGATTGAGTGAGCCGCTGGGTACATCCGCTGGGTGCACCGCTGGAAGGGGATTGCAGGGATCACAGGCCGAGCGGATTCGGTCGGGGGGCTGCGTCGATCCGCGACCCTGGTCATGCCGAGGGCACATTGGCATCCGGCCCCAATCGCGATTTCAAGCCGGTGCTGATGGCCGGTCGGGCGGATGCGGCAGCGTCGTCCGCCAGCACGGCCCGCCCAGAAGAGAGCCGATGGATGCGATCGGAGCGAAGCGACGCCGCGCAAAGGACCACAGCGACGACCGAGAGAAGGTGTCGCTGGACGCAAGATCACACGGCCGCGGGCAGAAAGGAGCAACAGCCGATCTTGTACACTCATATGGGCAGCTCAGCGGCCCGGCGCAGTGGTTTGTTTGCCCAGGGCAGAGCCGGCGTGGAGCCGACAAAAGAAAGGAAGCGGTTCGGTTACGACGAGTTACGACGACGAAGGAAGCGGTTCGGTTGTGACGACGACGAAGTGATACTCCACACCCACTCGCAATCCAACACAGCGGAATATAACACAATCCAATCCAATCCAATCCGATGGAATATAACCATCCCATCCAACACCACCATGTGCGTCGAGCTGGGCTTCTGGTGCGCCAGAACACAATCATGGCCGGCCGGTGTGCACTGCCTTGCGGGTCTGCGCCCTCTGGCCGACAAAGCAGTGCGACCCCGTGGCCTGAGCAAGGAGTATTACTCTTTCCTCCGTCGTATATTCTCCGTCACAAGTCAGCTATCAACTCCATCCCCATCATCACCATCACCACCCCATCACCATCACTTCATCACTTCATCACTTCATCACTCTATCACTCCACATCACTCCATCACCATCACTCCACTCCACATCACAACCACTTCCTCTCGCTTGCCACACTTTCCCCGGCCCTTGTTGTCCAGCCCCGCACGTCCCCACCGCTCCCGGAATGGGCCGTCTGGCTGCTTGCACCACCAGCCCGAACGGCGTGGTGCCCAAGCAAAGGCTGTCGGCAAAGACCGCCCCCCGCCAGCAAGGCGCCTGCTGCCGGCCTTTCCCTGGCGTCTGCGTCTTTCCCCTCCTCTGCTCGTCGATCCGTCCGTCCTGCATTCGGTCGGCCTTGCATCTGGTCGTCCCTGCATCCCTGCGACGCTGCCAGCCAGGTGCTGTCTCGGTCGCTTTCCTCCCTCGTTTCTCTGTCTCTGTCTGCAACCGCTGTTTCCGCATCCGCGGCCTGCCTCACCTGCCGCCCAGAATCCAAAAGGTGCGCACATCCAACCAGTCGGCTTGAACGACAGCAATGGCAGCAGCGGTGGCGGCCCCCGGTGCCGATATGCCCACACTTGTCGATGATGGATCATGGTCGACTCTCTCGATTGCAGGCTTCACCCCGAGCTGTGGCTGGCGGGGCACTTGCTCTGGCGGACAGCCAACGCCGTCTCCCTGGCAGCACCCCCAGCACAACCGTCCTTGATCCCCCCACCCGCTCCTGGCTCCTCGGCTCATTTGTCCTTGCGCTCTCGTCCTGTTCTCCAGGCTTCCTGAAGCAGCGTCTCCACCATGCGACCGGCCGTGACAGCCTCTATCCTCCTCTGGGCCATGGGCTTTGCCCCTCTGTCCGTCCGGGCCGACGTCCAATACGTCGCCTGCACCAGCAGCACGCCAACCGAGTCGGTCTTTTCGGTCGCCAACTCCATGTCCACCCTGAGCGCCAACGAGGCCTTTTCCCAAATCTGCAGCTCCAACTCCACGTACATGTGGTTTGCTTCGGCGAATGCCAACCAGTGCCAGACCGGAAACGTCCTGATTGCATGTGCTGGTCCGGGCATTCCGCTGCCCGACAGCTCCCTCTCGGCAAAGTCGTGCCAGATATCAAAGTGCGGAGCTGGCAACGATCCCTGCGGTGACTGCACCAACTCCAAGACGCAGCTGTGGGCTATCTATTTGGTAAGTGTCCCGACGATGCTGCCTCCATGGTGGCAGAGCAGTGGCGATACGGCCGGATTCGAGGCGAAGGAGGATATCAACCGGATCTGGAGGATGCCAGTCCGATCCAGAGGACGAACAGGACGCACAGCACAGCAACGGCATTCAGCACGTATGGATGAGCACACAGGATTCAAAACCGGAGGGACTCAACGCACGAACGCGAGCACCAGAATGGCTGGACGTCCAAGCAACAACGACTGAGTTCGCCACGGCCAGGAGTCGATTTTGTGCTGCGAGTCGAAACGACTGCCGCAGAGTACAATACAAGCTGCGACGCTCGATGCGGATGGATAGAGGGTGCTGTCGCCGTCACCCATGCCTCTCATCCAGCCAGCCAGTCGCTGATCCACCTCTGTGTCTTCGCATACCGGGCAATTGATCAAATCGAACTCACCCGATTCGGCCGACTCACTTGACTCGTCAACTTGTCCATGGCATCATCCGTCATGCCGCCGCGGATCCGGTCTTGCCAACCCATCGATTTCTTCCAATCCTGTTGAATCCTGCTCAATGATACCCGAACCAACTTTGCCTCAACCCCGACTAATCCATGCTGTAATGGCACGTCGCCTACTCTCCTGCCACCCGCTCTCCTGCCGCATGTCCAGGCGAACGGCAGTGCATTCTCAGTCACGGTCTCTCCTCCAAGCAGCACAGCTTCTTTGCAGTCGTCCGTGTCGCTCACCACCTCCATCAACAACATCAGCCCGACCCTCTCCACTGGCTCGCCCGTGTCGGCGGCGCCCTCGAGCACCGGTTCGCCCAGTGCTGGCGCCGGCACTTCGCCCAGTGCCAGCGGTGCCTCGGGCATTGGAAGCTTCTTCGCCAACCTGAACGTCCCCCTCATTGCTGGTGTCGGCGGCGGCATCGCCGTGCTGCTCGCCATCGCCATCACCTGCTGCATTGTCTCGTGGCGCCGCAAGAAGGCCGCCACCGCTGCCGAGTCTGCGTCCAATCCTCCCCATCGATACAACAGCGTGTCTTCGTCCCACGACCAGTTCTTCAAGCCACTGCAGAGCCAGTCGCCCTTCCAGCCAGTCGGACGGGGAGGCACTCCGCTTGGAGCCCAGTCGCTGAACCGGGGCGCAACTCTCCCAAACACCCAGTATCCAAGCCCCAAGCACTCCGAGCTCAGCTACAACCCGCCTGTCAATGGACACTATCCCAGCTACGGCGCACCCGAGTCCGAGACGCATTTCCGCCAAAACAACCTTCCAGCCTCGCTGTACACGTCGTCGTCGCCGCCACGGCCCTCTAATGCCAAATCGGGCATGGGTGGCGGCTACGGCCACGAATCCATGTACACCGTCGCTGCCACCATGAAAACCGACTCGATCATCCAGGGATATCGCACCTCGTCGATCATGGAGGCCGGCAGCCAGCGCGGGAGCTTTGTCCCGTCCAAGGATACCAGCCGCCTCGTCAAGGTCACCAAGGAGTTTGATCCTGTCAACTCGGACGAAATCGAGATGCGAGCAGGGGTAAGTTGAGTCGCGTAACTCTCGGGGATTCCCCTCCCCCCTGCAGCAGGCCACTGCTGACCACGGGGAGAGCGGCGCTGCTGTCCGTGTGCCATGGTTTACTTGCCCGCGCATGCTGCGATGGAGGGGACCATGCTTCGCTGAATTGTGCCGCTGAGGGTTGTGGCTTTGCTGCATCTGGCTTGGGCAGCACACTCACTCATTCCCCTGGACTCCTTTGCATCACAGGACATGATCGAGATCCACCAGACCTTTGACGACGGCTGGGCATACGGATACAACCACCGCTCCAAGTTGTGGGGTGTCTTCCCCCAAGACTGTGTCTAAGCCAAGAGAGAACAGGGCCCGGTTCTGTCGCTCGCCTCCGCCATCGCTGGTGATGCTGTCCGAGAGCAAAGTTCCTGTGTCAGGTGCCAATCTCTATTCCCACGCTACTCACCCCCCCCCGCCGTTGGACCGGCCCGTTGATCTGACTTGTGTTGCGCTGCTTTCCTCATCCTGCCTGTCCATGTTCTATCGCTGCTTTTGCCCGTTACTGTCTTCTCGTTCGCATGTCTCCCATTTGATTTGCTTCGTGTGAGTGTGGTCTCCTTTTCTTGTCGGCATTTCTCCTCCCGTGCGATTGTCTCCCCCGCCCTCCACCAACTCCATTCGACTCCGAATATATAGCCACACACAACGAGGGGGGGGGTGCTTGTTCCTGGGTGGCGGATGATTACTGCTGGTCTGGGCCCTGAATGCCCACCCATCCATCCATCATCCATCCATCCATCTATCATCCACCAAGACCAGGCGCCCAAGAAGGGCAGATATTGTGAATATCTGGGAATAACTTTGTGGATATCTTTGGGAAGGTCTCGCGGAGGCCAGAGGAGGACATGCTCTTCATGCCGGTGGATCGATGTGTGGAAAGAGTTGGTCACTGTCCCGCTCCTTTCAGCGCAAGCCGCCTCGTTTGCACCATCAGACGAACAACGAATAACGGGTAATGAACCATGGATCCATGGATCCCCACTGCAGCCCTTCCACTGAGAACTGTGCGATATCGAACCGAGGCCGGGCTGTGCGATATCGAATCGAGGCCTGGCACCCGAGCGGGCCGCGGCCGTTGCGCTCCTGCGCCAGAGGATGCTGATCAGTGCGTTGCCGAGCGAGTGCTTTGACCGGGAAGTGTCCAGCAACGGAGATGCAGAATCAAACAACAGCACAACAACATCCGCCGATGCACTCATATCCATCAATACAACCGCCCAACCGCCCGCACCAGCCCGCAGCCCCAAACAAGTCGCTGTTTTGTCGACAGCACATCCAGCCCCATCCAGCCCCATCCAGCCCCATCCAGCCCCATCCAGTCCCATCCAGCCCCATCCAGCCCCGTCCGTCCGTCCCTGCCTGGCCTCTCGTCCTCGGACCCGTTGCTTGCACAATGCCGCTCGCCCTTCTCCCTTGCGGGTCTGCTCGCTCGGTCGCGGCGCTGATCCATCCGCTCGGGTCACAGGTGGGTCGGCCAGAGTGCGCTGCACATCCGTCCGCCCCAGGCGCCTCGCTGCACTCTGGCTGCTGACTCGGCAGTTCGCCCTTCAGACCAAACAGACAAAGATTTGGGTCCCGGCCGCTCACGTTCTCTCTCGTCCTTTGGCTGCTCGTGCCGCTCGACAGTTCTCCCGAGCCCGTCAGCAAATTTCCTCTGGCCGTCATCAGCAACCGCCTTCTGACCACACCTCCATCAACCTCCTCTGGACATTGCCGGCACTCTTTCCCGGCCATCTGCAGCGTGCCTATCCACTCTCGCTAACACCGCAAGCGTCATCCCGGGGCCAGCAACCGCCTCAAGTCCTCCTGCCAGCATCTCCAGCCGCTCCGGCAAGTCAAGATCTCCTGCCTCGTTCGCTTCGTTCAGTCCCGGCCGCTCTGTCCAGCTCCAATCACATCGCCCCGGCTCTAGCACATCCCGACACTCCGTCTCCATGGCTCTTCAGCCCAGCGCCCCGTCGTCGGCCCCGTCGTCGGCCCCGTCGTCGGCCCCGTCGTCGGCCAGCTATCAATACAGCAGCTGCCTCAGCGCCATCAACCTGCCGCATTCCCAATCCAATGCCCTCTATTTCGCCTCGGTCTCGCAAACCTCGCTCGATGCCGTCACCCAGTTCTGCTCGCTGTTCAAGTCGTCGTACTTTTACGTCGGCCCGTTGACGGGGTCCTGCTCCAACCCGACCATGGTTGCCTATTGCTCGCTGGATCCGACCACCCCCATGCCGATCGGCAACGGATCGCTCGCGCAGTGCTCCAGCATCAACTGCCTGAACAGCTCCAGCACCGCCTGTGGCGGCTGTCCCCAGTCAGTCACCGTCAACGGCGTGGCCCAGACCAAGTATACCTGGGCGGTCTATTCGGTGGGTCGAGTGTCTCACACATCGTCAGTCTGGTCGCAGCCATGGCTCGGCCAGGTCACTCGCTTGATTCGCCGTTGCAACGGCCTGCTGGATGCTAACAATCATGCTATTGGGGGTCGCTTGGCTTTCCCTGGTCTTCTGCTCATGCCCACATGGTGCTCTGCCTATCAATCCGTCCTCGATCGCTGCTCCGTCAGATTCTCGCTGGCAGCAATGCGGTGTCTCCGAGCCCATCCAACCCCCAGCCCATCATCGCCAGCGCTGGCGTCAACGGAACCGCTCCCAGCAGTCCCAACAGCCTCCTGGGCCAAGACCAGGGTACCTGCTGGTCCGTTGGTGCCATCGCCGGCCTTGCTGCTGGCACTTTTGTTCTCGGCATCCTCGTCGCCGGCCTGGCTGCCTGGCTGGTGCAGAATCGGAAGACCTACAAGTCGTCCAAGCCAACCTTCTACAACACCACCTACCCGCAGTCCTTTGAGATCTTCCATCCGTCGCTCCAGCGAAACGCCTCTCCCCCACCGAGGCTGCCGACGCAGCAGCCGGAGCCATACCGGGCCCCCACAAGTCGCCTGAGACCCACCGACACCATCGAGAGTCCCAACAGGCCGGCCGCGGGCAGCCCGGCTTATCAGACGCTGCCGCCTCTCTCGCAGCCCAAAATCAATCGAGCGACCACGTCCCCAACCCCGGCTCCGGCTCCGGCTCCGGCTCCGGCTCCGGCTCCAGCGCCAAAGCCTCCAAAGTCGCAGCCCTACGGCGCATCAAAGGAGTCGTCCAGCAAGCCCGCCGCCAAGATTCAGGAGCAGCAGCAGCAAGCATCCCTCGTGCGGCCCTTCAATACAACCACGAGCCCGCGCTCCAGCGACCGGTTCAACGGCTTGAGATCCCCGACCATGCCAGCGCATACCCCAAGCCAGGGCGCCGGCCGAGCCTTTGCGCCCCTCAACGACGGCAATCCCTGGGGCGTCTCGACCCAAAAGATCTCGCGGGAGCAGAATCCGTCCGTGGCCTCTGCCAACCTGCGGCCCGATGCCCACAGCGACCGCGGCTACAACCGGCGAACATCGAGCCTGCTGAGCTATCCCTCGGACCGCCTGAACGCGGTCATGAAGAGCCTCAAGTCGCTCGATGTCCAGTCGACGCTCTCATACGAGAGCCAGGATATGATGCAGATCTATATTGTCAACAAGGAGTTTGAGCCCGTCAACGAGGACGAGATCGAGATGAAGATCGGGGTAAGCTGGCCCGGCTGGTTTGGCCCTGGTGGTTGGATGGAGGCAGCTGAGTAGGCCTGTGCGCACGGTCGCAATCGACTGGGCCATATCGCCTCGGCCGCCGTCGTCATCATGCAACCAGAGCATCCACAGATACTGACTACAGTCCCTTACTGCGCAGGACCGCATCGAGATCACACATCTCTTTGACGACGGCTGGGCCTTGGGCAACAATTACCGCTCGCTGGAACGGTACGGACAGAGCTGCTGTGGCTCGGCTGCACTTTAGATGCCTGTGTCCTGGCATTGTCTGATCTGTTGTCTGATCTGCTGTCTGATCTGGTGTTTAATCTGCTGTCTGATCTGCTGTCTGAATTGGTGTCTGATCTGCTGTCTGATCTGCTGTCTGATCTTGTTTGCAGGGGTGTGTTTCCGTTCGACTGCGTGGCCTGAGTCCTCCGCTTCAGCGAAGCAACCGGGGCTGGTCCTGGTTGTTGAGACGGCTGCGGTATATTTGGTCTCTCCATCGCCAGACCAGTCCCAAGTCTCCTAGATGTGCGAGCATGCCGCTCGCTGTTTCCTGCGCTTCCTAGATGTCCTGCCTTTCTCCATCCATCCATCGGCAGCCACCATGCCATAGAATCATCCGCCTCTTGATTTCCTGTCCCAGTGGAAGAGGATCGACCCGATCCGTTTCTGCCCCCCCCCCTGTGTCTGTGATGTCCCTCCTCCCGATGCCACCCGCTGCTCGCTCGATCCTCCGGTATTCTATTCGACTCGCATTGCATCGGGACGTCCGGCACCTGCTCCTCCTCATTCTTGCTTGGTCCATTCTATCCTCCTGTTCGTTTCTGTGTTTTATCCAAACCCGACTACATTGTCGCCGCCGCTGTGCTTGCACACTTCTACAGTTGATCCAGAAAGAAACGGGACAGCCCTTCTCCCTGGCTCCAAAGGCCTAAAGCATGCTGAACTTTCGCAGGCTCCAGTGAGCAAGCCGTGCGATTGTTCCCATCCTGGTTGGCAATATCTTTGTGCGGTGTATCCGCTCGACCCTCTGGACTGCTCCATGGTGTATCGATATCAAGATACTCGGCCTCCTCGAGTCGCTTGGCTTCCCGGCACTGTGAGCAACCTCTTGGCCATGATTGTAATGAGTGAGTGGGCGTGCATTCATGCCCCAGAGAACAACTGCCCTGGTTCAAAACGACTGTCCCATTCATTCTGGGAGCACTTCTGTATCTCGCCGCACTACAAGGCCCGGCTTGAGATCCCTGCCCGATGAACAGGCCCGGTGGAGCGAATCCTGCTGCCCGGCGATATCCCTTGTGCGCGGCCTCGGCGCCGATAGATCCGTTGGACCCGCTGCGTCGCCACCCCAGCCATGCTCTCCTGGCTTGCCCTCCATCTCGCTCGTCTCCTGCGTTCGCCAGCTCCCCCCTCCGCTGCCGACCCCCGCCTCTATCTCGGCCAGCTCGGAAGCAGCCGCTCCTCGACGTCCCTGGTCCAGCCATGGCATCGTCCCCGTCGATTCTGCTTGAGGGATGCAACACCACCGGCCCCTCGTCCATGGTGGTGACCACTCTCCTGACCTTCCCTGCAAACACACTGCTCAGTGACATCCTGAACAAATGCCACCAGATGTCGCCTACTCCCGTCAATTTCCTCTGGGTCTCAATCCAAAACAGCACCGCCTGCAGTACCCTGACTCCGGCCCAGTGGATAGTAGCCTGCGACTCGTTCGATCAGGCTGGGGCCCAGCTGACGAACATGGCCACGGCTTCCTGCCTCAACGACTTCCTATTCTGCCCCGGCACCTTGCAGAGCGACCTCACCAGTATCTACTGCATCGACTGTGCCGCACCCACAATCACCACCATCCCGTGGTTTATCTATGCTGTTGTAAGTCGATCTTCTTCGCTGCTGCTCGGGACTGGCCTGTGCAGCCGTGGCTTGCAGGCGGTATTCCAGTCCCTGTTGCTGCCAATGGGTCGATCGATCAATCAATCAGGCCTTTCTCCTGCGGGACCGCTGGGGCCTTCGTTCACAGGCTTCGTTGCTTGAGCAGGTTTTGGCTTGAGCTGGCTGTTGCTTTGGGCCACCCTTAGATTTCCGCCATGCTGCGACCCTGCTCATCCGCTGTCCGCCCTTTCTTGACCGTCCGCTCATCCGCTGGTCGAGACTGCTGCTAACAACCTGGTCTGCTTGTTGTCCACAGCAAAACGATGCTCCATTCTCGACCACAACGTCCGTGGCCACCCTGCCCACCGTGATATCCATGAGCCTCACCATCCCCACGGCCACGTTCATACCAACGTCGTCCCCGAGCCCTGCCTCGTCCTCATCCTCGTCCAACATTCCTCTGATTGCCGGGGTCGCTTCTGGAGCTCTCGTCCTGCTCCTCGGGGCGGTGTTATTTTGTCTCTATCGCCGACGTCAGCAAAAGGCTCGGCAGCTGCAAGCTTCGCCTTCCCGCCAAGTTTCTTTGCCCTCGGGTCAGTCTCCCGTTGGCAATGCCCCTCCTCCGGTCGCCGGCAATACCGCATCTCCCGGGGACGCCCGCGGCATGACCTATGCGGCGCCCTATCCTCAGTCCTATCCAGACAATCAGCAGCCACTCCATATCACATATCCAAGTGCGCCGAGACCCTCAGGCTCGCTGCCGCGCCAGCCCGTCGCCCAGAATCCCTACCACCCGTCACTTCCCAGGGCAGCGCAATATCCGTATCCGCAACCGGAAGTGCCGCTACAGTCGTACCCCATTTACGTCCATCCGTCTCCTCCTCCAGCCCCTCAGCAGCAACAGCAGTACTACAGCCCAGTCAACGCCGTGCTGGATAACGCAGCCAGAACAGCCACAAACAGCCCTGCCCAAGGTCCCATTGGCGAATATGGCGCGGCGTATCCGCCCCAGGGCCCGGACACTCGGTTTTCGCCATCCCAACAGCAGATTCCGGCCGCTCGCACCTACGCAGGTCCCCAGCCGAGTAATAATCGGGCCGACACTGCCCTGCCCAATTTCTCCGGGACGGTCTCGCTCGAAAACTCGATCCGGGGCTCGCTCGTCCGCACCAACCCGACACTCTTCAACCCGCAGGCCTCTCCGTCGCCGACCCAGACGCACTCACATCCTCCCCCGCATCCTCACCCGCTTCAGCACTCGCCTTCGCCCCCGCTCTCGCATCTGAGCGAGTCCTCGGCGACAAAGCCGAGCCCTCCGCAGATCAACACGGGCTCACCCGTGCGAATCAACGCTGTGCCGGACATGGACCCCCGTCTGCTGACGATTGCAGAGACCCTTCGGCGCCACACATCCGCCCGCACGTCGAGCTTCATCCAGACACACCCGGGCGCCGTGGCTGCTGCTCAGGCGGACGAGACGGGCCCGAAGATTGAACTTTCGACGGTGGAGAAGGAGTTTGTCCCGATCAACGGGGATGAAATCCACATGCAGATCGGGGTGAGTTGGATGTTTTTTCTTTTTCTTTCTTTCGACTCACTCATGGCTGCTGGCACAGCTCGCGCGGCCTTGCACGGCCCACATGGCCGACGGATTCAATTTCCTTGGCGATTGCTAACTCATCAACACTTTCCGACCCTGCCTTCAGGACCAAGTTGATATCATCTACAAGTTTGACGATGGATGGTGCTACGGCTACAACTACCGCACTCTGGAAAGGTAACATGAACCAACGGCATCAACTTTGACTGACTCGAGCACATGCTCAACTGCGACGGTCGGGGGAGGCTGTCGTTGTTTGTCTCGGAGCATCACTGCTAGTCCTTGGCCCGCTTGCTACATCGCCACTAACCACCACTACCACTACCACTACCACTACCACTACCACTACCACTACCACTACCACTACCACTACCACTACCACTACCACTACCACTACCACTACCACTACCACTACCACTACCACTACCACTACCACTACCACTACCACTACCACTACCACTACCACTACCACTACCACTACCACTACCACTACCACTACCACTACCACTACCACTACCACCATCGGCGACCGAACTTGCCAGGGGTGTGTTCCCAGTCGATAGTCTCGTAAAGTAATTCAAGATAGCCCTAGGCCCTTCGATTTCAAAGTGATACTGAAGAAATTCATCGCCCTTCCTCCTCTCCTTTGTCTCCTCCCCCCCCCTCTCCCTGCAGCGATCGCCCTCCGTTGGTGGCATACACCGTTATTCTCTATCGCCCATTCCCTATCGAATGGACTCGTCTTTTCTCTCTATTCCTCTCGTTTCTTTTGCCTTCCTCTTGTATGAGCCGTATCCTGCGGCTCCCCATGAGTCGCTATTGAGTCGCTATATAACTCTATCTATATTACATATCAACTCCCCGTCGTCGCTCGTCCAGCTGCTGTCAGCCTGTCTCCGACGCGCGGCTGGTCGCTTCCCCTCTCCCTTTCTTGTCCGCTCCATCGATCCCACAGCGCTGCTCATACGTCTCTAGATACGTTAGCGGTGGTTGGTTGGTTGTTGTAGGTGCTTGTAATTTCAGGTATGGGGGAAAGCCAAATGAACAAAAGATATGATGTGGACTGAACAAGTAGTACACTTGCCAGCGAGTTGTCCCCGCCCATCACTGAGGGGGAACAGTCGCAGGATTCGAAGGACAAGTGTACGCGAGGGGAGTGGACGAAAGCTTAGAAATGAAATTATCGCTGGCCCATGCTATGCAATGCTATGCTATGCTATGCTATGCTAGGCCACACGATGCAAACGGAGGAACAAAACGGAACAAACTGCGAACCAACTTGTACCAAATGCGAAAACAAAACAAGTGAACAAACAGACGACAGAGATCGTAACCATCAAGGAAATGCAGTGCGCGGGCGTGTATGTCAATGTGAATGTGAATGCGAATGCGAATGTGTATCTGAATGTGAATGTGGGGAGCGACGATGGAGAAGGCAGATAAACAATAGAGTTGCCATCAAGGAAACATGGGATGAATCTAGTGGTGTGGGAGAGTGAGAAATGGGCGTGCAGATGCATCTGCGAATGAAACACAAAGTGAATGAACTGACGAAGCCATGTGCAGGGCCGAAGTGCCCATGAAAAGATGCACGATGAGCGATAACTCTGTGCATGGAAGTGGAGGGTGTTGATGAAATGAGAAAGATAGAGAGGCACGGCAGACGATAGCGACGGGGCTGGATGGAGGGCTCCAAACCGTGGCCCCTCAAACGATACCAAGCGGATGTGGATGTGGATGTGAAGGTGCGGATGTGGTAGATCGTGCGGCCGGGGAGATGCTATCCTTGTCCCCCCTCCTCATCCTTTACGAGCGGGCAGAGGCGTATCAATGAGTGTGTGCATGGGTGTGTGGGCGGATTCAAAGCGTGGTGGGCAAAAGCTGTTTCCGAATTCACGTATGAGGATCAACATCGATATCATCGTATCGGTAACACCATCAACGATCACAGCGGTATCGACAAGGGGAGGGGAGCGGCGGTATCAATCAAATGTCAAATATCAACAATAAGGAAGGAGGGGCAGGAACAGGGGATACGGGATACGGGATACGGGATACGGGATACGGGATACGGGAGGCGGGAGGCGGGAGGCGGGATGCAGAGTCAACCAGCAACACTCAAGGAACTCAAAATCAACATGGACGAACAAGAGCAGCAGCATCGGCAAGGCCATCGTTGGTGCCAACAGATCGAGGCGGCGCAAGATGGAGAGGGAGAGAGGCAAACATGACCAGCAGTGAGAGGAGCAGCCGAGGAGCAGACTGGTCCTACTCACGCGTTCGCCAGCGAGGGTAGGGTAGTCATAAATAAGGAGAGAAAAGATCATCATCCGCAGGTAAGGAGAAGGCAAAAGGCTAAGGGGTGGGTTGGGAAAGGAAGACAAACTGTCGGCGAGTGCCCGGTGGGTTATCATGGGAAGAAGCAACCCATCACACTCGGCTGGTCGATTCAGTTGAGTCTTGTCGCAACGGGATCGGTGGGGGTGGGCAGAGGGGATCGGTCGCAGTTTCAGAGGATTCGCGGTCGAGACGGGATCCGGCAGCGTCGATCAAACCGGGGACAGCGAAGAAGGAGGGCTGGGGTCGTCGAGGGCTTCGCCAGTGGTCTCGTCGGGGGTTTCGTTCGAAATCGAGACTCGGGATTCGTAGGGCGGAGGGAGGAAAACAACGCTCTTTGGTGGCTCGTAGGCAGGCAGGGGCTCATTGTCGAGCGAATTGGCGGCCTGAGCCTGCTGTGTGGAGTCATTGAAGACAATGTTCTGAGAGAGAGGAAGAGGTACGCTGTCAGCACACCAGACGCTTTGGCGAGAGGGGATCGGCAGTCCGGCAATGCAGGTCAATGAATGGCAACACAGGCAACGCGGGCAACTCACCAAAGTATACCGAAGCAGCATGTACACAAAGATAAGCTGCATATTGAGGAAAGGGGCGAAGCGAGTCAGCAATGCAGAAACGCAGGTACGAATGTGAGCGAGTCAAGGTCCCGCTTGGCATCCTTGAGCAAGCACAGCAGGTCTGTCCAAGCAGCACAGGCCCGTATCCAACAGACACACAGAGGGAGCATCCAAGTCAAAGCCCGAACTCGGTACCTTCAGGAGCTCCAAAAACAGCCCAAAGATGATCTGACCGGCAGTGAAGGCGTGTATGGATATTCCAAAGGTCGCCAGGCTGAAGACTGATGGGCAGAAGAGAGCGAGCGGCATCAGCCACACGGCCAGGCCAAGCTGTACGGCCAGACTGCTGGAATCGAGCACGGTGCCATTCATCTGCGACGATCCAGAGAGAGCCCTCAAAGCACGCAGCACCTACTCATGTAGGCGAAGAACCACAGATCCAATATAATGTAAAATCCTATTGGAACTTCCTGAGATTTGTACTGTGAGTTTGTGTTGATTAGGGGGCGGGCGGGCTGATTTTTTGCTGGCGCTTGGAAGGGTGAGATCCTCCGGCCATGGCAGAACAATTCCAGGCAAGAAGAAAGACAATGCGCATCGGAACCAGGCAGCCTACCATGGTATAGTTGAGGAATACGACCAAGTACGACAGGACGCTGAGGAACTGCATCATGGTCGGTAGATCAAACTGGAAGTTCTGGAGGGTCGAGGCGAGCTGGAAGTTGGGCAAGTCGCCGAGGACCTCTGGTGGACGCAAGAGCAGAGAGCATATTGGGCCGGAAGAGGATGAGGGACCGGGAGGAGGCCGGTGAGTGAGAAACGACGCGCCCGAGGGGGGAGACACTTGGCTTGATTTGGCGCCACCGGGCCTGCACAACGATTCCATACAAATGGTGGCGCTGACGCTTTGGTGGCGAGACGGGGGCTCGTGGGAGGCAGCGCTCCCTGCTATGGCTGCTATGGCTGCTATGGCTGCTATGGCTGTCCTGGGTGCATGGCCACGGAGGAGGCGGTGGTAAGGAAGCGCACTTACGCAGGAACGAGGTGGCACACAGAAAGTATCCCAGGATGGCCAGGAAGACCCGGCGGTCTGCAGGGGGAACGAGCGGGTGCGACCGACGGATACAATTGGAGATTTGCGGATCGGTGCAGCGGAGGTTCAAGGATCGTTGTGGTGGCAGGGTTCGAGGATGATTGCGGGGTTGGGAGCAAGGAGGATATCCGAGTTCCCCGTTGCGGCGGAGGATGCGGGCGGCGTTTTGGAGTGGCGAGCAGGCCCGTTGCAGGAAGGCCGAGCGGCGGTTGACGAGGCCATCCGGGGAGAGGGAATGAGCCGAGCCAAGGAGAGACGAGGGAATGAGCCGAGCCAAGGAGCGACGAGGGACGAGCCAAGCAAGGAGAGACGAGGGAATGAGCATCAAAGATTGCCATGTGTTATGCAGTTCCAAGCGGGTGTATCGCCGTCCATTGGCGAGAACAGGGGGGGGTGGGCAAGCATTGGGAGTGCAGGTGGCTCGGGACCGACAGCAGTCGCCCAGCAGGCCAGGCCAGGCCAGGGGGGAGGACCCAACGGCGAACATGGAGCACCAACCTGAGAACCGCGACGATACCCGCAGTGGCCTCGGCAGACAAGTGCGTATCCGCTCAAAGAAGAGCGAGCACCTCGACTGGTAGCGTGGCGGCTGGTAGAAGCTGGCGTAGATGCAACGGGTGGGCTCGGGCCCGGCACCGGGCGAGGCTGGGGTATCCTGGTTGCTGCTGGGATGGTGGCTGGCGACGAGGGTGGGCTCCCGATGGAGAGCGGCGGCGCCATCTCGGTACGGGTCGTAGCTTTCGAAATAGTATGGCTCGAGCATGCCGAAGCGCATATCACCAGAGAAGAAGAAGGAGAGAAGGGAGGGTGGAAGGGCCAAGGCAAAAGACGTCTGGGCGGGGAGGGCGGGGAGAGCTGGGTGGTTGGGGGGGGATGCGGGCCAGGGACAGAGGACCAGACGGCTATATATCGCGGCCATGGCGGCCATGCGATCCACACGGCCGGTGCAGCGCCTTGTGCCCGGGGTGTTTGAATTGGGTGTTTGAGTGTGTTTGGATTGAATTGGGTGTGGTTGAACTGAAGGCGTTTAATGCAATTGGGATGCATTAAATTGGGTGCATTCAATTGGGTGTGTTCGGTCTTTCAGCCCTTGTCGACTGCTCAGTCGCTCCTCCACTCGTTCGACTGGCGCTGTCCGGGCGCTATTCTGGGTGTCGGACACCAACTCTGTCGGCGCACGAGATCGAGAACAAAGCACTCCCGCGCTGTCTGGGAACGGCACCGAGCAGCCTGGGGCGAGTCTGTCCAAGCCTCGGCTGGTCCTGCGTCTTTGGGCCTTGCTCGTCCCTTCGCCCCGTCTCCTTGCGGGTGGGGTTTGGCTTTGGTCAAGTGGAGAGTTCATCTCCAACCGGTGCATATGAAGCAATGTGCATGAGGCGATGTGCATGAAGCAATGTGCATGAAGCAATGCATGGGGCGATGTGCATGAGGCGATGTGCAGATGGTGCGAGGAATACTCACTCGCACCCACACTTATATCCACACTCACTCTCGCTCTCTCTCTCACTCATCCACATCCATCTGCAGCCACCGATCCACTCAGACCCGTGGCTGCATCGTGCCCCCTCCCCGCACGACTGGACGTTCATCACACGATCGCCCAAGCCGACCCATTCGCCATCGTCGGTGCCATCGGCCGGGTTGTCCAGCCGCGCTGGCTGGGTCGCCTGGTCGCTCAGCAGTACTCTGCAGACACATGATAATCCGGCTCCATTCATCAACCATCCGCCATTCCCACCACGACCACCATCGTCGTCCATCACTATGATCGCCATGAACATCATGATCGTGGTGATCGCCGTCGTCTCCAGCCCTCACCATCACCACCACCGTCATCGCCACCACGCCCCCACCCCGCCTGGCCACCTCCGGTGCAACATCACCTGAGTCTGTGCCCTTGCAATTATCGACCATTGCCTTTGTTGCCAGGGCCTCATGGCCTCTCATCTAGTCCACAGATGTTACAATCCGCGCACACCTGCGTCTCGAGGCGGCCTCTCCACTCCACCCCTCTCTGCCTCGGGCTTGGCCGTTTCGTTCTCAGGTGCCTCGGCGTCTTTCTCGCTGTCGAGCCGTCCCTTCCATCTGCGTTTGTCGACGAAGCAGTCCCCGGCCGCAATGTCACAGCCCCAGTCCCAGTCCCAGTCCCAGTTTCTCGGCTGTCGAGGCGGCAAACTGTCTTCGTTCGACTCGTTTGCCAGCGTCACTCTTCCGCAGCTCGACCTGCTCTCCAACGACACTCTCGGGGCCCTCGCCACCAAGTGTCTGCAGCAATCTCATGCCGCAACATCCGTCCAGGCCGTGTATCTCGGGAGCTATGGCAACTGCAGCAGCAATCCCATGGTGCAGGTTGCGTGCTCGGCACATCCTGCCGACACCAACTTTGCCTCTCCCGATTGCGCCCCGGCAGCAGTCTCGAACTTGAGGATCGGCAAATGCACGGCCGGCGCTCCGTTCATCTGGGCTGTCTATGCGACGGTATGTTCTGGACTCGTCGATGGCGGAAACCGCCCTTCGTCTGCATCTGTTGCACCTGTTGCATCTGCCGCATGGCCTCGTTCGATCGACGGACCGACTCACCCAGGGCTTGCCATTCGCTTTCGGTATCCAGAACATATCTGCACCGGCGCTCGCGCTGCCTCCGAGCCCAACAGCACCGACCTCCAGCATTGGCCCTGTTCCTGCCACTCCAACCCCTTTTGCCACTGGGATCGCAAGCTCCCCCAGCCCCGGCTCTGGCAGCGACATCAATGTGCCCATTATTGCCGGCATTAGCGCAGGCGTCGTCGTCGTTGCCGCTGCCCTCGTTGCTGGTGCACTTGTGCATCTGAAACGCAAGATCCGAAAGCACCGCGAGAGCCTTCCACAGCTCCAACCGCTCCCCAGCGCATAGATCCAAGTCGGCACTCGGCCCACACCTCAGCCTGCCTATCGCCTCTGGCAATCCTGCTCCTCCGTGTATCCGTTTCTATGGCGACCCATGGCGCCCTCAACCTCATGCATCTATGCGCCTTCAGGCGGCCCTGCCCTGGCCCTACAGGCCGTAATACATCGACAGCGCCGCCAACTGTATCAAAGATCGTGCTGCCATCGGCTTCGCTGTGATGCTGTCTCTGTTGGTCTGTGTGCTTGCCTTGCCAACTCGTGCATGCCCCATGGCGGTTTCCCCACCCCCGATCCCTTCGACCTGCTTGAAGGGACCATATCCCCATGTCGCCGCAATCCGGCGGGGGGAGGGCCAGACGCATCCCAAATCGATCGCACCAGCGATGCGCCTGTTGCGGTGCGCTCGGCGCCTGCCCAGCCCTGGGCTGTTGGGTCCTGCGGCTGGTGCTGGTTGTCTTGCTCCATGGCACACCCGGGCCCTTGTCGCCCGTTTGCTACTGCTGTTCCTGCTGTTGCTGTCGTCGTTCGTCGCCTCGACCAGCGCTGCGATGCTCCAGCCAGCGCTGCGATGCTCCAGCCAGCGCCGCATCCGGTCCCGCATCCAGCTCCTCGACCAATGCCCCGAGCAACGTTGCGGCCCGCGGACCGGCCGCTTAGTATCCATGGAGCCTCGACGGCCGGCATCCGCGCGGCATGTCGCATCCCACATGCCGCATCTTGCCTCTCGCATGCCGCATCGCTCACCCTGCATCCCGCAGCTCGCATCCGAGTGCCGCTTCCACGCTCTGCGCTGTTGCTGTCGACTGCTTCTGTCGCTGCCGGCAGCAGTGCGTCTGTCCTCGGCGCCGCCCATTCCTCTCGCGCTCGGCTCGCACATCCACCCTGTCGTTGTCTGTTGCTCTCTCTGTGCATCGGTGGAGCAAAGGCTCATCGAACCGCCGGCCCAGCCGCTCCTTGACCGAGCGCCAGCTTTCTCTGCCGCAATCGCAAACGCAAACGCAGACAAGCACAATACCCCTGAGGCAAAGCGTCCCCAGCGCCGTCGAGACCCACCCGACGAGCGAGAGCGGTTTCTTGTCTGGCCTTCGTCCTGATTGTTTTTTTTCCTGCCCTCTGGCTCATCAGCCGCCTCCCGGCTTGTCTCTCGGCATTTCGGCATCTCCCAGAAGAAACCATCGCCGCCGCACCGGGTCGCTTCCTCGCACCCTCTCCTGTCCGTCGTCCATCGCTCCCATCCCTTCCCAGTCCTTTGAACCGGCCTGACCGAGCCCACCAGGACCCAGCCGCTCAACCCGGCCATGTCGTCTCCACCCCGCCTTATCGGCTGCCACTCGGGCAAGGAGTACACCATCGGCACCTTTGCGACCTTCAACCTCAGCAGAAGTAGGCTGAGCTCTGGCAGCAGCGGCCTCGAGTTCATCTACTCCCGCTGCCAGGAGGCCGCGCCGCCCAGCCTCGGACAGAGCCTGGCTCCTATGCATATGGTGTTCCTCGGCAGCTTTGGCGACTGCCAGGCCGACCCGACCATCAAGGTCCTCTGCAGCTCGCGCAAGTTTGCCAACGTCAACCTCGGTGCGGACCCGTCCTGTCTGGGCGATCGGGTCAGCGACTTTCAGGTTGGCAGGTGCCTTGGCAACAGCGAGGCCTCCAACTGGACCGTCTATACAAATGTGAGTATATTTGTTCGCTTTCCTCTCCCCCCCCCTGGCTGGCGGGCGAGCTGGCTGGTCGCTGCGCTTCGTTACGTTCTGCCCCAAAGACATGTCGCATCAATAGCCCCCCCCCTCGCGTTGTTGCGCTGGTTGCAATCCATCCTGCATGCTGGTATCCTTGTTGCGCTTGCCGTGATTGCCATGTCTTTGCCAGCTTTGTTGCATGCAAACATTGGTTGACACCAGGGGGGCCTCGGTTCTTTGCTGCCGTTGTATCCGCTGTGCCTCCTCGGCCTGGGCTCAGCAGCCCTTCATGCCTCCCGCGCTTCTGCGCTCATGGCCCCAGCGCCCACAACGGTTCTTCTGGCATTGGCTCATTTCCACACATTCCATCCCCACTCCCCAACCATCCCAACCATCTCCACTCCTCCCAGCTCGCTGACATCAACGTCACCGACACAACCACCCTGCCGGACCCATCTGCAACCTCGTCCATCCTGCCGTCGTCCTCGCTCGACCCATCTCCACCCGCCGCCCCCACCATCTCGCCCACCGACCTGGCCTCCGACACAAGCATCAACATCCCACTGATCGCGGGCCTCTCGGGCGGTGTCGTCGCCATCGCTGCCCTCATCTTGCTCGGCACCTGGTGCAGCTTCCGTCGGCGCAAGTCCCGCCAGCAAACCGCCCACTCGGCCGACATCCATGCCCACGAACACAGCAGCCTCGTGAGCCGCCCGTCCTCGGGCTCCGAGACTCAAGGCACTCTCGTCAACACCTCCCAGGCCGGCAGTGTCTACATCAACGCTGCCAGTCCCAGCGACCCCTCGCGGCTGTCGCCTTCTGCACCCTCATCGACTGTCTCCCGGCCGGGCCACGGCTCGGCCGAGTATGCGGGGGCATACACCACCGTCCCCCGCATCAGCTCTCCGCCCATCGTCTCGACCACCGACCGGCTCTCCCCCGAGTCCAGGCGCAACAATCGCATCAGCCAGAGCGGTCCGCTCTATACCATGCAGATGAACTACCCCTCGACGAGCGATGGCAATCCCAGGGCTCCCTTTGTCCCTGGTCTCGCCGGCCCTTCTCCTTCAAACCTGTGGTCCTCCAGCCAGAGCGGCTCGTCCAACAGCCCCGCGACCCCAACCGGCAATCCGTATTCCCACGGACCCAACCCACACCCTCCGCTTTCGCCGACTCCGAGTCGACTGGCCCAGCAGCGACTGGAAATCAGTCCAACCTCAACGTACCCACCACCGCCCAACAGCCTGGCCCTGCCCTCCATCGCCGAGATCATGAGCCACTACTCGGACTCTGGCAGCGGACCCATCTACCCTCCAAACCAAGTTCACTATGCCGACGGACAAGCCGTCGTCCCCACGCACGCGTCCCTCCGCCGCCTCGAGACAGCGACCTCGTCCATCTCGCAGGACGGCCACTCGGATCTGCGCCGAACCTCAAGTCTCCGCAAGCTCGATGCCGAACAGAAGAAGGCTGCCGAGTTGCAGCAGCAGCAATATCACCAGTACCAGCAGAACCCCGCCGCTGCTGCTGCCACCGCTCGTGTTGCTTTCAAGTACTATCAGCCCGCAGAAGATGACGAAATCTCGGTTCACATCGGGGTAAGTTGCTGCTGACAGACTGAGGGACTGACGGACTGACGGACTGACGGACTGACGGACTGACGGCCTGTCGCTGTCTTCCTCAGGACAACCTCGCCATCATCTACCGCTTCGACGACGGATGGGCGTACGGATTCAACTACTCGACATCACTGAGGTAGGTTTGGCTGGACCGCCGTAGTGCGTGGATACATCTGGTGGTTTATGGGCACAGCCGAATCCAAAAGACACACTGACTCAGGGTCATCGAACGGCCTGTGCTTCCACTCTTCCACTCTTCCACTCCTCCACTCCTCCTCCGCTTTTGTATTCTGCGACTATGATGGCGCCTCGACTCGCTTGCCAGTGGCATCTTCCCGTTGGCATGCATCGAGTGACCAGTCAAACAAGCGAACGACTGACTGATCGATCCGAGATTCGATCTCGCGACGGCTATCTGGTGTATTCACCCCCTCCCTCGGTTCCCCTGAAAGGAGGATGGCCGCTGGCGGAAAATGGCTAACCGATGAACACAGCCAACAGCAAAGTTGCAGCCACGGCAGCGACTGCGAAGGCAGCATCTGCAACGGTGATGCTGGCAGGGTGCTCCTGGCAGCGGCTTGGACTCTGATGGACAGTGCCGCAGTCGCTCTGGCCCATCCTTTTCTTCTCGTTTCTAGTATCTTGCACTCCCTCCCCCCTCAACTCCTGCTTTCTTCGTCGAGATATCCCTTGCCATCGCCGTGGGGGGGATGGAGCCATTCGGCACTTCCTCGTTGGCCGACAGCCGCCGATTCCTCTTCCTTCCCGTTGTCGATATTGCTACTGCCGTGCCTTGTCTTGCATTGTTCGATATAGTCTTGCTCCTCCATCTTGAGACCTTGGCTATAATGTCGCCTGGCCATCCATGTGGCCCTTCTGTCGTGTTGATTGTCCAAGTCACATCGCCTGGCGACGCTCACCCAATGGTGCAGCAACTGCGGGAATACATTTTCCTGACCTCCTCCTCCCCCCGATCCGAACCCTGGCTCAACCTGAACACGAGCATGGATCTGAATGCGATACGGTGCGATCCGATGCGATGCGATGCGATGCGATGCTCCCCCAGATCTTGGCAATGACGCCCGCCAGGCCGTTGCTCGCATTGTGCTGTGTTGTGCTGTGCTGTGTTGTGTTGTGCTGTGCTGCGCAGGTTTCCGTTTCACTTCCCCACATCCCGACCAGCATCGTGGGCGAACGACCCCAGATCCTTTGCGGCTTCGGCCCCAAGATGGCTGTATCGGGAGATTTTTGGGGACGACAGCGAAGGCGAGCGAACGCAGACAAGCCCGGGTGCCCAGTCCCGCCACTCCCCCAAGTCAGCGCCGGCCGGGGGGAGGGAAAAAAAGTGTTCCCGCCTCCCGTCCCCTTCCTTCCCGATTCCGACCGCTTGCTCCTTCCGAGAGGACGATATCGGGACTCGTGGCTAACGATCGACGTCGCCTCTGCCGTCCTCCCGTCGCCGTTGCGATCTTTACATTGATCCATCATCGTACATCCCGGCTTCCACATTCCCGACACCATGAGCGCAACGACACCAGCGCCCGCACCAGCAACAACGTCGGCGACCGCATCGGCCCAGCTCCGGGAGCTCTTCGAGACGTTCAAGGCGGCCGAGCACAAATACATCTCGACGCTGCCAGCCGACCACATCCACGCCCTCACGGGCAACGGCCAACTCTCGATCCAGGACATGTACCTGTACGGCGAGATAGGGTTCCTGCTGCTGGGCCTCAAGCCCGCAGTGCTGATCCACTTTCCGCAGCTGCCCAACTTTGCAAGCGAGTACGTCCAGGCGATCCTGCATCCCCTCGAAGCGAGGCTGGAGGCCGAGGGCCTGCGGCTCTTCAAGATCGAGCACGACCTCGCCAGCCCCGAGTCCCGGTTCCAGCTCTCCTGGGTCGTCATCAATCTGCGCCATCCGCTCGGGGCCGAGTCGTTGTCGGTCTTTTGCGACCGGTCGTCCGAGTCCGTGAGCGAGAGCCAGCTGGCGCAGTGTCTTGACTATCCCGGCTCGCTCCCCACCGACCCTGCCAAGGCCCACGATCACTTTGTCGAGGTCGGGTACTTTGACGTCGATCCTGGGTCCGGCGCCAAGCGGCTAGTGTCGTCCTTTGGAGCCCTGCGGCCGGAACTCCCCAAGGTCCGGCAGCATTTCGAGCACTACAAGGCCGGTGCTCGACCCTGGATGAACCTGACCATGGAGCTGGCATAGACGCATTCCAAAACCCAAGATCCTTGCCCTCTCCTGTTGACCACCAGACGCCGGCGCCGACCCAAACACAACGAAGGAGAAGCAGCAAGCCAAACACGAATCCGTCTGCGATGCATGATTTGGACCGACGACGGGCCACTGCAAGCCAGGGAGCAAACATGGATGGCCTCCCATGACCCCACAAGCACAGCTCCCAAACTGTTCTGCATGATTTTCTTTATATCTTTCCTTGGTTTGATTTTTTCTTTCCACCATTTCTTTCCATCATATCTTTCCATCATTTCTTTCCATCATTTCTTTCCTCCCTCTGCTTCAACTTTCTTTGGAGCAGGAGGTCTGATTCCCTTTTGAGAGGCGGTAGACGAGGGTAGAGTAGCCCGATGTGGCTATTACGCCGAAGCTGCTCGGCTCGTTTGCTCCGTTGCGCAGGGTAGATATCGAGTCCATACGACTATTGGCGCCATCGCTGGTATGGGTGCTTCTGCGAGGAGAGATGAGGCATGTTCTCTTCGTCGCCGCGGACAGCCTGGACTATTGTATCATGTGGATGAATAGCAATGCAGTTGTTGTTTGGATTTCATGTCCTGGTGTGCTTTCAGGGGCACGATCGTGAGCAGCACCAAAGCTGTGGAGCCGTCAAAGCAGCCAAGTTCTCAATCTATTGTGGGAGAATAGTCATATATCTTGGCATCAATGGAATGAGGAGCACCTACGGCGTCAGCCAGGGTCAGGGTGAGGATCAGACCCAACACACCATTCGCTCCATGGTGACATACCCGTTACACCCCCATTCATCCAATCCACCCATGCACATATCAGATCATTTGACTTTGTGGACCAGCCCGCAACCACCGATGCTGTAAATAGTAATGCTTCACTGATATTTCGGTGTTACAAATTTCAACATAAAGTCAAAGAGAGAAACAAAGATACTCCCTTCCCTTCAAAGATAGCACAATACCATGATTACAGCTCATGTGCTTGTGGGAGCGTGAAGGGGAGGAAGACGACAAAATGAATCGGGCAGAGCAGTCATTGTGGAATACGTTCAAGCTTGATACAACCAATGAAAGTGGAAAATGAGTGAGAGAGAGGGGGGAATGATAAATCGATAAATATGAAGAAATAAGTTGTTGCTCAAAGAAACATAACAAGGCTACCACTTGTCACAGCCATCCTCCTCCTATGTCTCTTCCCTCTCCTCTAAACAACAGGCGGGGATCTAGAAGTGGTTTCGAAGACGCTGGGCACGGCGGGCGTGGGGCTTGCCGGTGCGTTTGGGGCTTGCTTTCTGTGGAGCGCCAGAAGATGGAGGAGGGGCGGAAGTTTTGGGAGGAGGAGGAGGAGTAGTGGAAGGTTTTGAAGCGGAAGAAGAAGCGGATCCGTTGGGAGAAGGAGGAGGAGCAGTCGGAGGACCGGCAAGAGTTGCGGGGGGCATGTGAGCAGCACGACCGGCAAGGGTGACAAGTGTCTGGGCAGTGGCAACCTCGCTCTCGGTGTTGAAGACGGCTTGATTGTTAGCAGCGGCGGTGGTGGCGCTAGCCGCAGACGAAGTGGTAACGGCGGCACTAGCACTGGCTGCGTTGGCAGCGGTGGTGGTAGCAACAGCAGCGCTTGTGGCGGCGCTGGCCGGAGTGCTGGTAGCGGGGGCTGCAGCAGTGGTAGTGATGACAGGCTCTTGCCAGATGAAGCCGTTCCCGGTGGCCGATGCAAGCGTGTTGATCGTGTAGATGGGGTTGATGGACGGCGCAGTTGTCTCGTCAGCGGAGCAGGGCTCCGTGGTGGTGGTGGTGGCAGCGGTTGTGGTAGTGGTGGTGACTGCAAGATTCGAGATGCAATTGCGAACGAGAAACAGGACACGCGTGATCAGATCGGTGATGGATCGATAGACTCCTGGACATATTGGCCGGCCCGTGGGAACCACGCGATCGTGCCGCGGTTCGAGGGCAAGTGCCCTCAGCAGGCTCTCGCCGCATTCGAGTATAGGAGCCCGCAGCATCGAATATACGAGTCCGCAGCATCGAGTATAGGAGCCCGCAGCATACACGACGCGCGGCTCGAGCGGCCCATCGGACGAGGGAATCTGCAGGGGCACTTACTTTCAATGCAGGCACTGCGGTCTTGGCACCAAGTGTATCCGTCGTCGCAAACACAGCTCTTGGTCCATTTGTTCCAGTGACCGTGCTCGGGACAGTCGTGGCGACTGACGAGTTCTGCAAAGCAAAGGCGATAACGACAAGCCGACTGTGAGCCATCATGGGAGCGCAATGGGACCGGGCTTTCCTGCCGCGCTTGGCATCAACTGATATCGACCGAGTCCAGAAGGCCGGGACCAACGGCGGCGCTCGTGGACTACTTACTGTCGTGCTTGGCGGCGCTGACGGCGGCGACGGCCATGAGGGTAGAGACGACCCAGTAGACGTTCTTCATGGCTCGGGGCAAGTTGCGTCAAGCCAATGTGTTGGAGGGAAGCGCTCTCGATGCGGCGGTGGGTGAGTGGGGCGCTGGAAGGTGAGGGGCCCCATAGCGGTATTTATGTCGCTGGTCATGCCTCCAGAGCCGGGGGAGGGCTTGCACAATGCCAGTGGTCGGTTCTCACGCCACCTGCCCTGCCTGCGACACATGCGTTGAGTGCAGATAACATCGACACAAGGCGGGATGCTTGCTCATACACCATTCGATCACGTCTCGCCATATGCACTGAAATTCGCCCGCCCAAACCCGCCATGGTCCTGAGCAAGATCAAGTGGAAACCCGCCAACCCTGTCCGATGCAAGCGCTGCTCCTCGAGCAACCTTGCACCCTCCACATCAGATGGGGGTTCGACGATCAGCGGCAGCAACAACAACAGCAACAATGACAGTAACAGCATCAGCATCAGCATCGGCAATGGCGGCACAGTAGCAGAGGCAGCGATACGGGGTCAAAGCCTGCAAACCGAGCGATAGCGGGTATCGGCGGGCAAGTTGGCGGGACTCGGGTCTTGGCCCGCCTGGTTCGCATGCAATCCCACACCAGACCCGCCCTTCCCTCCGGCGGGCTGCATTACCGCCTCTGCGCTGCTCTTGGCAAATGGTAGGGGGGGGGAGAGAAAAAGGACATGAGGATCCGCATGGGACGGAGCAGAGCCTGAGACATGGCGGGTGAACCGAGTCGGGCCAGGGCGGTTCGACAGCCCCAGCAGACACGCTTGGCAATCCTTGGCCACGGCGGCCTGTCGATTGCCGTCGGGCCGTGCTATTGACGTCATGGTCTTGTCTGCGCGCCATGTCGGCTGGCCATGTCGACTGGCCATGTGCATGGCCTACTTTGATCCTTTGGCCAAAGGCACAGCCGCTGATGGAAGTGCACAGGCAGCTCGACTTGAAATATCCATCCATATAACGCGCAAGTCCTGTCTGCAGCACAGGAATTGGCAACTGGACTGTGTATTGGCTCGTCTAGGAGCCCAGCTGTCGATATCCCCAACATACTCACGTCCGTCTTGTGTGGGCTCTGGGTGAATGAGGCAGCGGCTCAGAGTATCTGGCCCATCATACACTTCACAGTGTGATTGTCATCGAGAGCCTCTCCACCCATCTACGACGTCACAGATGTTTCGTCCGTCAAACTCTCGTCGCTGGGCTCGGGCGAGCCGCCAAAGCCGAAACCAAGGCGCGATTCGCTTCGCACGACGTGGTCGTCCAGCGGGGTCGAGAAAGGCAAGATGATACGCGACGGTATCAACGGCTTGGTCAGACCAACGGGTTCGTGGAAGGACTCCTGGAGATCCTTGGGCAATCGCGTATAGTTCTGGAGACGGCAAACATCCAGCGAATGAGCATCGACGCATGATGGCATGATATCCAGCGCAAGTGCGACGAGGACATATGCGGGCGGCAGGAACCGGCTGTTAACGCAGATGCAGGCGAATCCTCCGGCCACGGTGAGCCGGGACAAGTCGGTGGCCCGTCCGCCACTTGCACGCAGACTGTGCGAGCGCCTCGATATGTCGGCGACTGACACACTCGTCCTACCTCAAACATGGCTGTGATGTACTGACTGACCGGCACCGGAAACCAGCGCTTGGGCTTGAGCTGGCCTGCCCACCAGCCCAGATGTCCGCCCCGGGGCGTAGTCGCCAAGACCACGTACGGGTTGCACCGCACCTCTCCAAACGGGATTGCCTCCCTGTCCGAGATGGGATCGTCCAAGCTGTGCAAGCACAGCATTGGAATTCGGACGTTGGGAAGTTGCAGCACCGACGACGACAGCCGGTAGTACTCGTCCACAGATCGGTATCGGAAGGAACGCCGTGTCATGCGATCATCGAACTCGGTCGTGTTGCGAGACTGGGATGGATCGAGGTCGAGACGAAGCAGTACGCGGCATCAGTACCAGGAGGTAAGCAATGGTGCAGCTCCGGAAAGCACTATCGCTTGGAAGCGCCAACGTCGGCATCGGCATCAGCAGCCAAGGCGCGCCAAGACCAGCAGCTTCAGTAATCGCCAATCTACCTGAAGCACATGATCCGCATCGATCTCGTCGTGGTTCTCAAAGTGTGTAATGTGCCTGGATGCCGGGCAGATCAAGCGTTAGCATCCTGTCGCCGATCAGAGCCTCCGTTCGCCACCTCATCAGCCATAGTCCAATCGGATTTCCAAGCACAGCTAAGAGTGCGACGGCTTGATCCTATCGACGCTGCGAGACAGCAACTCACTCTTTGAAGACACTCTTCAGCTTCATCGCCATGACCTTGGAGTAGACATTGGAGCCAAACCACTGGCGGTGGACGGCACGACTACTGACAAGCATGTCATAGGGATTGGAGACAGAGACGGCCGAGACCAGGGGGCATGCGGTTCCCATCTCACCAAGTGCCTATATGACCACCATCACCCATATGGGTCGCCAAAGTGTTAGCGACAAAGTAACAATCGTCCAAACCAAAGCGTCATCGGCAGTCTGCTTGCTCAGCGCCTCCCGACGTCCCTTCTCCACTGCTGGATGATATTGCTCCGCTGAAATGGGTACTGCGGTGGCTCGCTCCGGCAGTACAGCTATGCGACGGCTATGCATCTGGCACGCAACATCACCGGCTGCAGGGCGGAAACAAGAGGAACGAGCACCACACTTACTTTGAGCATGATATTGGCGCCCAGAGAAAACCCAACGCCAATCATCGGGGCGCCGGGGCAGCATCTCTGGATGTGCTCGAGCGCAAGTTTGTAGTCGTCTGTGTAGCCAGCAGAGTACAACTGGCTTGTCGTGATCTTGGTGTTGGCACAGCCACGGAAGTTGACAACGACGGTTCGATAGCGATGGGGGCCGGCGGCTATCTCGGCAATCGTGTCCTTGACGTACGATTCGTGGGAGCCGCCAGAAATGCCGTGCATCAACACAACGATCGGGGTGTCATCGAAGGGAAGGCCCTTGTTGCCTGGACACCAGTCCAGCGAGATGCTGCCGCCGTCGGGAAGGGTCACGATTTCGCTGGATATCGGAGAGTTGAAGCGAGAGAGCCGAATGCGCGTTGTCCGGAACAATCATCGGGGTCGTAATACGCATTTAACATATGCAGAAAGCAAGAGAGTGTCTGGATGGGCGGGCCGTTCAGACACTGGCCTGCAAGGAGGCAGGCCGCGAGCTTGGGCCATCAGCCCGCCGGGCAAACTACAGCATGGATGGACTTACCGCTCATACGATAGCCCATTGCCAAAGACGGGACCGTTCTTGACCAGGTAGTTGCGGACGCTGGCGAAGATGGTCTGAGCATGGCCGCTGGCCAGCCAAACGGTCGGGTAGTAGGAGGCCGCCGGCCCAAACAGAGCCGGGCAAGTGGTTTTCAGGAACTGGGCGAACGGGACTCTGCGGACTTGGTCTTCATCGACGACAGCAATCTGGACTGTCTCGGCGCCATAGACGAGTGCGACGGGCGATCGCAAGGAACGAAGGAAGCCGATGAGCAGCGAGGTCAGCACGATCGCTACGGCAGCGACGGTCGCCGAAGTCCAGTCGAGGCCAGCGGCGTCCAGCAGATCTGCAAGGGGTGGTGCTTTGAACAATGACATGTTGACTGGACGTCGATGGCTGGATCAAAGGAAAGTGTGGTTGGATAGGCTCGGAGTCGGTGCTGGAGGAACGGAACCGCAAGCAGCACATGTGCCTGGTCAGCGAATCGGAACGGTGTCTGCTCTAGCAACACTCTCTTTGGCCATGTCACCAAGGTCGATACGAGGCGATGAGATGGCTGGCCCACGACGGAGGACCTCAATGCCCTGATATCGAGATGCAGGCGCTTGTCGGGTCGGGTGGTGATGGGCTGGGTGAGATCGATCGATCCTTCATCGCCGCCAATGCATGCAACTCACACTGCGCCTGGCGGATCAACAGGGCGGATAAACGAAGTGGCGAGCCGGTGCTGCTGGGTGCAGTCGGAGGGGGGCAGCGGCTGGTGTTGGATGGACGGCCGGATGACAGACGGAGAGATTGCGTCGTGCTGTTGGCGATGACCAGGCAGGAGAACGAGGCAGCGCCGACACCCAAAGACGAGGGCCCGGGTGGCGTGCGATGGTTTGTGTTTGCTGGCGAGGTGGATGAACGGGAATTGTTTGCAAGGCTCGTGCCAGGGATCAGAGCGGGAGCGGCGTGTTGGAAAGCCAACAGACCGATTCTCTGGGACAAAACATGGCATCGCTGGATGATATCGTCGTGTCGAATGATACCATGCTCGGCCGAGACTGATCGAATGGGCCACATCATCGCCCTGTGGTGCGCCCTGTGTGGACAGGAGATTTATCGGGCGAGTGGGCACGACGAGGACCAGCGAGCAGCCGCAGACGCAATGGCTCGATGCGATAGCGCTACCAATCTAATGCCACCGCAGATGCAATGCCGTCTTGGATGCAATGCTTGCGGCTCCTGTTGTGAAGTCCGAGTCTGTGGTTGTGACTGCGGGCACAACAGCCAAACGGCGACCCCCCAGTCCCAATCCGCTTCCATCCGATCTCTGGCTCCATCCGATCTCTGGCTCCGTCTCGTCCGCTGCCCCTGCCCTTTCCATCGCATCGGCATGGCCAAGGTCAAGGATCTCATCTTTCTCGGCACCGGCACCTCCGGATCGCTGCCCAATATCTACTGCCTGACGGCACCCGTGCCTGAATGCGAGGTGTGCTTGTCGGCTGTCGGCCGCACACCCAAAGACCCGCCGCTCGCCGACCCATCGACCCCGGCGCTCCTTCCGTCGTCGGTTGCCTTTACTTCGAAGAACCGGAGACGCAACACCAGTGCGATCGTGCGCTACATGCATTCCGACGGCATGATGAGGTAGCCGACCGAGCCAGCTCGCGTGTGCGGCGGAATGTCCATCGTATCTTCATCGGCATATCCATCGGCATATCCATCGGCATATCCATCGACATATCCATCCGCATATCCATCGTATCTTCATCGGATGTGCCTCGCCTAATCGGCCCGGAGCTGCATCTGACATCCTCATCACCTGTTGCCCAGAACCGTTGTGATTGACTGCGGCAAGACCTTCTACGATTCAGCTTTGGAATTTTTCGTCTACCACAAGCTGCGCCGGATCGATGCCGTTATTCTGACACACGGGCACGCCGATGCCTATCTGGGTATGCATTGCTCTGGTCCGGGGGAGGCGGGAGGTACAGCCCAGATCGGTTGTTGACCCGGCTGCAATCGGCAGGTATGGATGATCTGCGTCAGTGGACCCTCGGCGGCGCTCAAGCCTCGGTGCAAGACTCGATTCCGGTCTACCTGACCTCAGAAACCATGAAAGCCGTGCAGGGGGCATTCCCGTATCTGGTGAATCGCAACGCCGCCACAGGTAGAACTCAGAGCGCAAGCCTGGGGCTGCTGTCGACACTTCTGTCCGCTGCACAGCGGTGCTCATGCTGAATGGCTCGGTCCTTGGGGTCCTTGGTTGCAGGTGGCGGCCAGGTGTCCTCGCTCGATTTCCATATCATCGATCCCAACCAGCCGTTCATGATCGAGGAGCTGCAAGTCACGCCGATTCCAGGTAGATCCGATGCAGTGTCGAATGCCATGCGCCAGCGACGCTGATGACCCGAATTGGAGCCCTGATCAAGCACTGCTGTTGCTCGCCGTGGCCGGGTTGGCTGCATTCTCGCCAATTCTCACGGCTGACTCTTCTTGTCAACGCAACATCAGTTCACCACGGCAGAGCCGGATCCGAGCCCTACTACTCGCTTGGCTACCGATTCGAGAACCTGACGTACATCTCGGACACCAACTACATTCCGCCAGAGTCGATGCAGTTGATCATGGGAACCAAGGTGCTTGTACTGGATGCACTCAGCGGTACGTGGCAACCAAGGAGGCTGTGTGTTGCAAATTGCAAATTGCACTGGTGTGAGCAGTAGAGGGAGAGCGTGGAAGATGCGAGCATACCGGCGATATGTGCGATGTGGATGACGTGGATGATCTGGCGGGGTGCGGGGCCTGCAGCTGACCATTTGCGCTCGCTGGCTACCCAGAATTCGAGCACGCCTCGCACTTTTCAATCAACCAGGCCATCACCGCCGCTTTGCAGATTGTGCCTGAGCAGCTCTTCCTGACCGACTTTGCCCATCGGGTCGACCACGATCGGCTCAACAGGCGACTGGAGAGCCACGAGGGTCTCTTGGCAGCCGGCATCAGGGCCGAAGCCGCATTCGACGGCCTCAAGGTCGTAATCAACGAGCACTGAGCTGGGCCGTGGAGTTGGACCGGCGAGAGTTGGCTGCCACAGCGACGCGAAGAGCCAGCCCGGCCGCAGGAACATGGTGATCGGACCCTTGCGCTTTCACAGAGAAGCGCTGCCGTGCAACAATGCTGCCGAATCCGGTTGTGTCGGTGACATACACGTGATTATTGTGTCGCACCTACATCGCAACACGGCGACCAGTGGCGCAGCGGCACTCTGGCTCAGCCAGCGCAGCAGAGAAAACAGGAAAGGGGGACAACGGCCAGCGACGCGGAACGAGCCGCGCGACAAGAGGCGGGTATCCTGTGCGACGACAAGCGCGGCCTGGCAGCGGCCATCGTCGCACAGCCCCCCGTTGGACTGGCCCACAGCACAGGTGACGCAGCACAGCGCCCTCACATGCGCAACAGTCGACAGGAGAGCGCGTTTGCCTTGTGTTGAGTCTGCTGGCACAAGCCACAATATCCTCTGTGGCACCGCCGCCCGCACAGCTGTCGCACATAGCGCGTCTGCGACCGCGCCCCGCCCTTGCACCGCCGCCGATCCGGGCCCAGCCTGCCTGCCTCTTCGTTTTGCGGTTCTGCTTGGGGTCTCTCCTGGCTTGCATTTCTCGGGTCCTTTGGCCTCCTTTGACCTCCATCGCCCGTCGCCGATCGCCCGTCGCCGATCGCCCATCGCTCGCTCGCTGCTGCTCCTTCTGCTACTGCTGCTGCTGCTGTCCCCGGCCATGTCGAACGCCACCAGCCCCGTCGTTCCCATCGACCCCTCCAACATCCAGTGGTTCATCCACCACTCCTCGTCCCGGCTTGCTCCTCAGTGCGCGACCACTTCGACTTCGGCGGCCGCCACTGTCAGCAACCTTGGCGACTATGTCCTGGCTCTGAACCGCTGCAGCTGCTTTGCAGCAACCTCTACGACCACCAGTAGCTGCCAGTACTCTGCCATCCTCACCGGCAACAACACCATCCTCTCTTACGACTGCGGCAAGGACATCACCTGCTCCAAGAACTGCACTCTCATTTCTTCGTACCCAACGACCTCGAACGATCCATGCACCTCCAACTACGTCACCGGCCAATACAGTGTCTTTGACTACACGAGCACCAGGTTTGTCCTCTCGTCTTCGGTCCCGTCTTTGGTCTTGATTCCCGTCGTGCCCTGCCGGTCATGTTTGCATATCGTTCCGAGCTGCGAGTCCGATCGGTTTGGTGGACCTGTGCCGCTCGGCCCTGAGCACAACTTCTCATGTCCGCAACTTCCATCCGCTGAAACGCCTTGCTGCCTCGCCACACAGCACCTGGGATGCTGGCTTCAAGACCAAGTACTTTTCCTACTATACTTTCTCCACCAACGATGCCACCTGCGCGGCCGCGAACACCGCCAATCGCACCCCTGTGTACCCCACCTGCACCCAGATCCTCCCGGGCGTCTACGGCCTGACCATCCTGAACCCCACCTCGGGCCAGCTGGAGTTCTACGGCTGCGGTGACAGCGCGTGCAACACTTGCCAGCTCGCTTCGGCCGTGAACCCGAGCAAGGCTTGCTCCGTCGATGCCACGGACTCGGACACTTACTTCACCACCTACCGTGCCGGCGCCATCCTCAGCGACTCCACCATCACCCTTCCGTCGACCTTCCCCAACCAAACCAAGCCCACGACTGGGCCGACTCCCAGTTCCACTCCCAGCCCTTCGGACAATGGTGGCTCAAACGCCGGTCTCATCGGCGGCATCGTTGCGGGTGTTGTTGGTATGTCTGTTTGCTTGATGGATCGATGCGGTATTGTGCTCCACCAGATGATTGATGGCCCCTTTCGTGGCAGAGATTCGGCTACTAACCCACTGTGTCTAAACATTCCGTATGCCTCGCTGCGGCTCTGCCCTCAATCGTATGCGATGATCCACTTTCGGTCGATCTGCCGTGTGCGGCCGCGTGTAGTCCTCGTCGCTGCTGTCGGTGGCTTCATCTGGTTCCGCCGCTCCAAGAGCATCAGCAGCCAGTCCAAGCCGCAAGGCCCTCCCGCCGCTCCCCATACCGAGGTTGTCAAGCCCGTCCCTCCTCCGGTCTTTGAGGGCAACCCCCAACTCGATTATGGATTGCCCGCCTCCCAAGTCGCCTACAGCCAGCCCGCCTACAGCCGGCCCGCCTACGGTCAACCTGCCTACAGCCAACCTGCCTACAGCCAACCCACCTACAGCCAGCCTACTTATAGCCAGCCTACTTATAGCCAGGGCTCTGCTAGTTATGCTCAGGACCCTCGCGCCTCGTTTGCTCCTGTCTACCCTCCTGGTTCCTCGCAGCCCTACGCTCAATCTTCCACCGGCTATGCGGCCTCGTCTGCCTCGAACGAAAAGGCCGGCATTAGCGGCTATTCCTCTGGAACTCCTCAGCACTATGGTGGCTACCAGGTCCCCGCTCCCGCCCCCGCCCAGAGCTCGGGCTACAGCGGATCGGTCGGAACGGCCACGTCCCACGGCCAGTCGCAGACAGCCGTCAAGCATGTTGCTGTGGCCGCCTTTGACACCAAGAACCCGCAGCAGATCAACTTGCACCTTGGCGACGTTATCTTGGTCCAGCTGCCCTTTGTCGATGGATTCGCTCAGGTACGAACGACTGGCGGTGCTGATTTGTCCGACGTGCTCGTTTGTCTGCCACAATGATTCGCATAACTGATCCTCAAACTCTTTCTGCCGTCCGCAGGGCTTCAACCAAAGCACGGGCCTGTCTGGTCTGGTTCCTCAAAACAGCCTCCGAGTTATGGGCGAGAACTACACCTCGGCCCCCGCCGCTGCTGCTGGCGACAGCCTCCCCAGCTATGCTCCTTGAGCTGGTTCAAGAAACCAGTTGTTCTCCTATTGCCTTGCCCTGCCTTGCTTTGCCTTGCCTTGCCACTCTGCGACCCTTTCCACTTTCTGTCATTCCCTAACTTTGTCTTTGCCCTTTCCCGCGGGTTCCTCGCTGAGTCAAGTCCTCAGGGGTGGGTTACTCGGCTTGTTTTGCCAGCTTCGACAAGGAATGTCTGGTCAGAGTGCTCCTTTGGCTTTTCGCTTGGTTTCGAAGCTCTGGCCTCTTCTATAGTCCGATCTCTCTCTCCCTTGCTCTATTTTCTTCTTCGTGCCTTGGTGTCGACATTTTTTTTACCGTGCCGGGATGCCACTGCTCTCCGTTTTTCAGCCGTCAGTGACCTGGCACACAATACACCCGTCCATAACGTCACAAGGCCAATCCCCCGCCGGAATGGAAACAGAGCAAAGAGGCAGATCCCTCATGGATTTGGATTTGGATTTGGATTTCATACTTTTTCCCTTTCTCTCTTTATTGAACTGATCAATCAAATGTCGGCATGGTCAGACGTACCGGACGTTGCCGTAAAGGACGATGGGCAGAAGCACAGATGCATGAGCAGATTCACACTTTTTCGTGGGGTGGCTTTCTGGGAGAGGGGAGGGCAGGTATAACGAGACAGCCGTGCGAGATGAGGGATAGTGACGAATGGGGTGGATGGGTTGGGCGTGCAGAGATGAGGAGCACAATAATCGGTCAGAGGAATGCCAACCAGGGATGGCCAGCTCCCGCGAAGGGTTGGGTGAGTCGCGAGCCCTCGATCATGTCCAGAGACTCGGATATGTAGAGTAGGTGCGAGGGGACATGGCGGATGGGAAAAAGCTTCCAAAAATTGTGGAGGGTGGTGATATGTGCGGCCAAGCGATGCCATGCCTCAATCCATGCGGAATGTGAAGGAGCCGATGAGCGAAGCAAGCACGAGGACCAAAGCTGTCACAGTGGTCAGGAGAGCAACCAAGCAAAACAGACAGGGCAGAAAATGATGTGTGAAGCATGCAACTGTGGCGATGAGTGTAAACGAGATGTGCACTGAAGGAAGGGATTACTTGTATGTACAGAACGAGCAAGAAACGAAAGCGATGCGATGACCGAGCCAGTGTGCCAACGATGAGCAATGCTGATCCGGTCGAAGAGTGAAAGATGACGAATGGCTCCAGTGGGGCTGAAAACCTGATGATGCTGGGGAGAAGCAGCCGGCCCAGATCCGGCAAGAGCCGTGTGGAGGCAGCATGCTCCGGAAGAAGAAGGATGGGAGAAGGCTTGGACAGACTCAGACGACCGACTTTGGCGGGATGGTCAGAAGAAGCTTGCCCCAGATCTTTGCGTCACGGCGGATGGCCACAGGAAGGACCAGGTTCGTGAGCCAGGATGGGAACCGGCGCTTGAACCAGTCAGTCTGGTAGCGTCGGTCGATGGTGTGGTAGAGGAACGACAGCGGGCTGCCGCGGTAAGAGAGCGGCGAGGCCATCTTGTCAAAGAAGGGCCTCAGCGGGTCGATCCGATTGAGTTCTTCGACCATAAAGTTGTCCCGAAGCACGTCGGGCTGAATGACGGTATCTTCGTGGATCATTATGGGCTCGATCGCCAGCCGGAGCTCGCGAAGCAACTTGTATGCTTTGGTGGGGTTGTAGAGCTGAGCAGGATGACACCGAGACACATGGCCGTGGGAGACAGGCGAGTGGGGGACGACGGCGATCGGCAGGGCGCAAAGGTGAACCAGTAATAATGTGGGTGCGATTAGAGAATAGCGGCTGAAATCGGATAGAGAGCATGATTCGGCACAGTAATGTTTGCCTCAGCAGTGCCCGTATGTGGTGGTGGTGGTTACTTACCGAGGTGCCAGCCCCAGCGATTTGGAGGAGTTGCGCCACGGTTTGGCGGATCTTGGTCTGGCTCTCGTAGGCAAAGCTGAGATCGACATAGGCCTGGAGCACTGGCCACTCGACGGTTTCCTCGTAGTGGGTATGCCCGACGTAGTGCACCAGAAAGGCGTGCAGGTATTCGAGGAAGCTGGCGATGTCCTCCTCGGTGGAGACTTGGTCGGCGAACTGCAGGAGCGGTCGGGCAGTCATCGTGAGTCAGGGTGGTGTCGATCGTCTGAAGCGATCCCAAGGAACCGTGCGAACCTGAAGCACAGATGTTCCCGCGGCGCACATTCTGCCATGCAGCCAAAGGATACATGGGTCTTATACGCGGATCAACGGGGGTCTCTTGACCACAGGCATCAGCCTTCGCCTGCTCGACTTACACAAATGAGCTGCCGCAAAGCCTTGCGGATGCTGTGGTGGAGGATTCGCCGGGTGTAGACAAACTCGTCATAGGCGTCGAGGTTGTGTCCAGCTCGTAGCTGCAGATGGAGCGAAAGGTTGTATCGCATGGTGACTATCGCGCTGGAGGTGCAGGCGGCGAGTTGGCAATCGTGGAAGGGAACTGTCGCCGAGATGGAGAGGAGGACAAACTGAAAATGCAGGGGGTTTCTGGGGTAGGCGTTGGTGTGCAAGTGAATATGGCAGTGATCTGCCGAGGGGGACGGTGGTGGTTATATATCCGTCTCCAGTTCTTATCCGGTCCTCCGGCTTCCCTCTCGTCGGACACACTTGCACAAAATGGATGTGGCCCCCCACCTCGGGCGTCTCTTGTCGCTTGCGGTACCAACCGTCCAGGCGCGATCGCTGGGTGGTCTGTCCAGCGATTATGACCCCCCCCCGATGACCGCTTGGTTGCGGCGTCGTCAGTTGTTTTGAACCGGCGACGCCCGGTTGCGGCAGCGGCCGACTACAGACCAGTACCAGCAGCACAGACGACATCGGTTGCGCAGAGGGGACATCGACGGTGTGATAGCGCTCGCCGTCGATGTTGTCAGTCCGTCGGCATATCCCAAAGGCGCTCAACGTTGATGCCACGGCAAGCCGATGCTGTTGCTGCCCCGACGCAACACCGATGCAGCCGGTGCGATAGACAGCCGCCGCCGTGCTGGTCCCGGTCCTGCTTGACCTCCCCTCTCTTCCGCCCCACAGGACGGGATCTGGTCAGGTCCGCGTGCTTCTGCGTGGGCCTGCGAGCCGCTGACACACTGCACCCGTCCTCTCCCAGTGGCACGCGGGAAAGACGGCCCTGCCGCGTCGGTGGAGGGCAGCTCGCTCCAGAGCCCAGCAATCGCCGTGGATGCGATCGCCGCGGATGCGATCGAGCCAAAGTGCCAGCGACCGATTCGGCAGAGCGGGCAGACAGCTGACACGGCGGAGCAGCCTCTTCCCCAGGGCTCGAACCGGCCATATGACCCCGGCATGCGTTGGAGGGGATGTGCACCAGAGGACTCGGGAACACACCACAGCGCCGATGCAGTGTCCGCGATGGAGAGATACGAGCCTGTGGCATTGTGCTCGCTCGTCATCAGTGTTCTGCCACCTGCGGCCTGTGGAGCGGCCAGCATCGGTTTGTGGATCGCCCAACCGACGGCCAAGCACCAATTGGCAAGGCCTGGATGGCCCCACGGCTGGCTGGGGCACATGTCGACCTGGTCCCCCCAAGTGCTTGTCGGGGGATTTGGGCAACCAGAGCCGATCTCCTCCACCTCCCCGCAACAAAGGATGCCCATTCCGAGGGACCAACATACGATCCCCTGTCCAGGTCAAGGTTTGTCATCGGACGAGAGTCGAGACGATTTATGACGCAGATCGCTGCAAGAAAGGCTGTTATTTGGTCAAGCCGGCCCATGGCTTTGCCAGGAATGCCCAAGGGATCCTCGTCGGGCTTCGAGAAGACGGGCCGACAGGAGATGGACTGGCTTTGACGGCCCTGGCGACCCCACAAACACAGCAACGTCAAGGCCGGCTGTGGCGGGTCTACTTCTTTTGTGGGCTCAGGATACCCTCGAGTTGGGTCTATGGAAGCAGACGAGAGTGCATCAGAACATGTCCTTGTCTTGGTTGCTGAGCTTTTGTCGCCCATGTGTGCGGTTGCATGTCCAGCGCATCCTCAGTGGTGTCCGTGGGAAACGATACTGGTGGATGTCCGGGACTCATCCTCCTTCTCACCACATCCGCTGCCCCGAGCCAGACCGGTGCTGTCGCTTACCTTGAGCTGGACGTTGGTCTTCTTCAGGAAGGCAATCTCCTCTGCATGCTTGCGCTCCTCCATGGCCCGTCTCTCGCTCTCGCGCTTCTCTATCGACTCGCACTTGGCCTTGAGCTCCAAAACGTTCTGCTCCAGCTGTCGTTTTTCTTCCTCCAGTTCTTTGATCTGCGAGGCGAGATGATGAGTGCGGTGTGTCCGAGCAAGTCCGGAACGAGCCAGGTTCGGTCAGCATGACCGCAGCAACGTCGATATGACCCGTCGTTCCGGTTTAATCGTGGGAATGTTGGCGAGACAAGAGATTGCGCATGAACCGAGGAGGCATAGACGAGGTTGGTTGGGAGGTGGCGACCGATCATGGGATTGTGGTTCCAGTTGTGGGATCGCCGGGGCAGCCACGAGAAGCGTCAGAAGACGATGATGCTGCCACAGCGACCACTCTGGAAGGCCAGCGAGGCGCTCCAGACTGCCACATGCCCACAACACACCAACACCGGCCCTGTTCTCGCACATCGCCATTCTGATCGTCATCGGTATCATCGCTCCCGGCGCCGGTACCCTCTTGCAGCTCCGGGCCATTTCTGACGAATCGACACAGACAGCCCCCGACCAACTCGGTCCGGCCGTTCAGACTGCCTGTCCGTGGCAGAGCAGGGTCTCGGCCTCGAGGGTGACCGCCAGGCCGGCCAATTCGATCGGGTCCCTGCACCCACGAAGCTGCTCCTTCGAGGCAGTGCATCGGCGGCCCTGCACACTTCCTCGACTCAAGCAGCGCTTGCGTGCTCCTACCGTGTTCTCCATGTCGGCTTTGCCCTGCTCGGCCTGGAGCGCCTTCCGCATGCCAAAGGCGACGCTGCTCTCGTAGAGCGTCTGGTAGGCGGCAATGGACATGCGGATCTCATCTCGGACTCGCAGTAGCAGCAGTCCTCGCTCCTGGCATGAGATGGTGACTTGGCGGATGAGCTCGTCTATGGGCATCAACACGAGCGGGAGCGGGAGTACCGGGAGCGGCCACAGAGTCCGACGAACGATCATGGATGGGCCGACCCAGAAGGCGTGGGAACCAGAGCATCAGTTGGCCATCGACGACCATCGCCCAGCCGGAAGAAACCCGGCACCGATGCTAAAACCGATGCTAAAACCGATGCTAAAACCGATGCCCACACTGACACCGACAACAAGTCATATCTCGACCGCACAATCACCAAGCCAGCCCCACATCTGCTTTCCCATCACCCATGTCGTCATGTCTTCATCGCACCCGACGCAGGCCACATGCCCCATTCGCCCACTCACCAAAGCACTGGCTGTACAACTCGCGACGAACGGGGCAGATTCCGGTCTCTCGCGCCTGCCGTTTCTGAAGCATATGGTCCAGCTGTTCCTGCAGGTTGATGACGTCAAGGCGAGTTGCTGGGGTGCTCGAAACCTTCTGGACCCACAGCTGTCCCGATTCTTCCCATTCTCTGCCGCGAGTGTCGGAGCGTCGTTTCGGATGAGGTTGAATGCAAGCGTGTGGTGTTGTGAATTGAGCAAGGAGTTGAGTGTGAGAAGGAAAACTCGCCAAGGCCATCAAGCGCACACACTCTCTCGAGCACCGTCGTCGCGTTCTCAATCCCTGGTTGTATCGACTCGCACTAAGCCCCCGTCGTTGAGCAACATGCGGACCTGTTACCGGGGCCCACCCGATACCGTACCAAATACCGCGCAAGCACTCTGAGCCAACGCTCCATCGCACCGCCCTCCCTCCCGCAATATCCGCGTCCGTCGAGACCGTCCATTCTCGCATTCCCCGATCCTATGCACAACTCCACAGAATCCCTGAATCGGGACGGCAGCCGCGACAACCTTGGCGGAAGGATCGAGTTGAGTATGTCTTCGGTTTGGGTCGGCGTTTTGGCCCTGGATTTGTCGTCGACGGGCGGGAGCTTCTTGGGCCCACCCGGAAGTTTTTTGTCGACGATGTTGGGGGCAGCAGCGGGTGCGACGGCACCGCCGGGGCCTTTCAGCGGCACCTGCTTGTTGTTGATGTTGGTGTCTGTTCGCGAGATGAGTACAGGATTCTCATACCGGACAAGTGACTGAGAGGGTGGTATCATTGCGGAGAGCTATATCTTGGAATCCAAGGGGGTGGTGGAGCGGAGAGTGATAAAGGTCTTGGCTGGATGCCAAGGCGTGCAGAAAAACGTGTGGGATGCGCAGAGATGAAAGAGAATCGGGCTCTGCAAGTCCGTGCGTACTTTTGCTCCTCTCCCTCCTCCCTCACTAAACCTGCTGGCTGACGCAAGCTGGCCGGCCAGACAATCTCCGCCCCCCCCCAATCAGCCCTGTGCTCAGTGTGCATTATATGAATGACCTGAAGCTGTGGATGGAAACGTGGTTGTGTGGGAATGGTTATGTGTGAATGGAATGGGGATCATGGGCGACCGACTCTGGCTACATTGCAAGACGCATATAGTCTGGACAAAAACGAGCGAAATACTTCAAATTGGACGCTACTCGTGAAGACCAGCCAGAGTACTCGCGGCCTACAGCAGTGCATCCCGCTTCGTTCCTGCTTCGAGACGCATCGATCTCGGTGGATCGCGTCTGTGGAGCACGTGGCGATGTCACGTGGCGAGTGCTGGAAGGCGAGACAAAACGCTTCTGGGCATTTGGTTCTTTGGGATCCTCCTTTCCAACTTGGCCGACCTTTGCAACGACCTGGAACTACATCAGCACAATGGTAGGCAGCAAGCACGCATCCATCCATCCATCCATCCATCCATCCATCCATCCATCCATCTGTCCATCCATCCATCTATCCATCTGTCCATCTGTCCATCCACCCGACCGATCCATATGTGTCGCCTCAAGCTGCCCAGGCGTCAACAGCATCAACGGCGCCAAGAGTCGGTGCTTCCACAAATGGCTGCGCTGATGCTGCTGCCACGTCCCATACACGCTGTCTGGAGGAGGAACACAACCGAGCTCGAGACAGACGGGACGGAGGGATCCTGCAGCTGGTCAAATGCCGTATACCAAGCGTCTACATGACCGATTGGCGGATGTGGAAAGCCCAGCAGGACACAGCGACGGATCGACGGATTCGATGGATGGATAGATGGATCAGAATGGACTGGGACCTATCGACAAGCACATGGGCAGATCTGGCGCCAGTGCTGCATTGCAGTCGATTGGTGTGGATTAGGTTGGGCTGGCTTCGTAGACTCTGTACTCATCGGTCGGTTGTGTGTTCAGGCTCCTAAGACCGAGAAGGCTCCTGCCGAAAACATCCAGCTTGGCCCCAAGGTCCGCGACGGCGAGGTCGTCTTTGGCGTTGCCCACATCTTCGCCTCCTTCAACGATACCTTCGTCGTGAGTATCCGATCAAATCCCGTCCTGTCCCAGCCTGTCGCTGGGCGGCCTCGAGCTCTCCTTCATTCCGCGTACTGACGCTCCATGTGTTGCGACTGCGATTCCACCAGCACGTCACCGATCTCTCGGGCAAGGAAACCATCGTCCGTGTCACTGGTATGTAGAGCATCCGGCGCTCTGCGCAAGCCAGACAAGTCTCGTCACCACCACCATCACCACCGTCCGATACACGGCCTGCCTTGAAAAAGGCATCGGAAGCGCCGAGCCGCTCCGACAAGCTCCACTGTGCCCGCTGGACGATTGATTTTGACCCGTTCCACGGGGGAATCAGGCTCTTTGAGCCCCACGAGCTACCAAAATCACAAAGGCTGCAGTGCTGTATCGGACGAGTGGTGATTCACTTAATCCGTGACGTGACCTTTGACGATTAAATTGCCGTGTCCGTTTGCCCCTCCTCCTACCAGGCGGCATGAAGGTCAAGGCCGATCGCGATGAGTCCTCCCCCTACGCTGCTATGCTTGCTGCCCAAGACGTTGCCGTCAAGTGCAAGGAAGTCGGCATCACTGCTCTGCACATCAAGCTCCGTGCCACCGGCGGCACCGGCACCAAGACCCCCGGCCCCGGTGCCCAGAGCGCTCTCCGTGCCCTTGCCCGCTCTGGCATGAAGATCGGCCGCATCGAGGACGTCACCCCCGTCCCCACCGACTCTACCCGCAGAAAGGGTGGTCGCCGTGGTCGCCGTCTCTAAGCGATCTGCGTCGTGTGCTTTCCTCACTCTGGCGTGGGTTTGTTGGGGACTGGACTCTTTGGGTATATCTTCAAGCCTAATGTACATTTTTGAGGTTTGCCAGTCGCAATAAAGTCATGCACATCGCGCTGCGTGTCTGCCGAGCAGTTGCAACGGTCCCTGGTCGCTGTTTGCCGAGTGGTGTGCTGGAGGGACAGATGTACACGAAGGAGATGTTCCTTCTGGCTTGTCTGTTGCACACCACCAAGCCAGTGGCAATCGGATCCAAAGGGCAGCAACCGACATCCGGTCCGACCCATCTGCGCCGTCCCCAGCATCATCCATCAGCGTTATAGGCCGAGCCTCTGTTGAATCTGCAGCATGGTCGTCCGCTTGGCCGCCAGCAGCAACCCCAGCCGGATGAATGCGGAACCAACGCTAAACAATCCCCGCCGTCAGGAGCTCTGATCCCCACCCACAACACCACCACTCCCCGGCGATCCACCTCCGTATCGACACAGCACAAGCGCTTTCGCCTTGCCCCCCCCCACCGACACCAACTGCGTGATTGCCATCAAACCCAAGTCGCAGATCAACGTCTGGCCGCGCCCGACCCCGCCGCCGCCGTGGCAATATCGTGGCGGGACCTTCAGCGGGCGAAACCTTTGGCTGCTTGTCCGCCTGTCCGGTGCGGCTCGTCGGTCCCGTCAGTCTCGGCCATCGGTATTCCCCGTCGACTGCATTGATCGCCATTGCTCGACAACAGCGCATATGCGTGCTATCTCATGCATCCCGCATTCGCTTCTCGCTTTCCTCGGGATCACCGAATGCCTCACCGTCGTCCTGGTGGCCGCCCGCCATTGATCCAACCGTCCGTCCGCCATTGATCCAACCGTCCGTCCGCCATGGTGCCGGCTGACCCCCATGTCGGCGGGGTCAGCATTGCCTCCAGACCACCGCCGCGGCCGTCTGAACCCTCACCCCCCTCAGCCACTCTGCCAGGCTTGCTTTTTGTCCACCCTTGGTCACATAAACCATCGTCCTGGACGCAACTCGCACGATCGTGGAGTCGTCTCGACCTCGGCTCCCAAGCTCGACTGCTGTTCGGCTCCAACTCCAACTCCAACCAACCCCCCTGCAGCAGCAAGTCCCACGGCGACTGCCTGCGTCTCGGTCCGTTGCCAAGAGTGCGCCGGGGCTTGTCTGTGGTTCGCTACGAGCCAAACAAACCCTTCCCTTTGCCTGACCCGCTCCACATGAATCTCGACCCGCACTTGGCCGCAAACATCACCCTTCTGGTCCATCACCAGGCGGGCCTGTACTCGCCGCGATGTGCCTGGGGCGTCCTGGGCCATACCAAGAACGCCTCGCTGCTCGTCCAGAACCTCGGCGATGCCGCCACCGTCATCAACCGCTGTCTCTGCGACACCACCTGTGGCTTTTATACCTCGCCGAGCGCTGATCAGTATGCCTACCGGAGCTGCGGCCAAGACCCAACCTGTGCACCAGCACACTGTCTACCGGCCACCACCAACCCACCCACTGCCATCAAGTGCAACACCGATATCAAGATCCAGAGCTGGGGCGACTATGCGGCCATGGCGTCCTCGCCGGTGCCGGCATCTGATCCGTACGTTTGGCTATGGGGGAGTGACGCACGGATGGATAGAATTGTGGGCTGATGCATTTACCAACGAGGCGTGGGCTGATGGACTGAGGTGCGGGATCTCATGAGGACGGCACACCGAAATCATGCCATCATCGTCATCCTCCTCCTCCTCCTTCACGGTCGCTATCACCGTTCCGCCATCGGCAACACCGATACCCTCACTATTGCCATCGCTGCGCTGGAGCCATAACGGGGTCGCTGGGCCTCAAGCGGATGCTGTGCTGCCCGTCTCTGGGCTGCTTCGTCATCCAACTTGCAGTCACTGCTCGGACCTGCTCTCATCATCCCCTTCCTTCCTCAACTCCGATGGCTCCGGTGTGTCTGCACCATCATCAGCGATTTCTTCAGCAACTTCAACACCACCGTCTTCGCCTTCCGAACCACTAGCATGTCAGCCAACTGCGTCCTTGGTGGCGGTTCGTTCTTCCAGATCGAACGTGTGCCCATCTATCCAATGTGCTCCCGCATCTTGAACAACTACTATGCTCTGACCGTCATCGAAAAGGACGACTACCGCCAGTACGCCTGCACCGACCCAGACTGCTTCCATTGCCAGTCGGCCAATGCATACGAAATCGGCAGGCCGGCGTGCGTTCGCGTCCCTGAGGCTGTTCCTGCAATGTCAAGTTCCCGGATGGCGGGCTGGATCCTGGCCCAGAGCAACGTCCAGCTGGCCAAATCGTTGCCGGGGTCTCCGTCAGTCTCGCCGACACCCACAAGGCCCGGCGGACCGACCCAGACATCACCTGGGGCGACAGGAGACTCGGGCGGCTCCCATGCCGCCAGCTCAAACTCTGACAATGGCCGAACGCCGACTGCGACTCTTGGTTATGCCATCGGCGGAACCGCAGCAGGTAAGGAGGGTCCCGAGGATGGAATTCCTTTGGATGCACCAAACCCAGTGCCTCTCATCATTGCACATCCGCCGTGCATGCCACCGTTGATGCGCTTCATTTGGCGCTCGTCTCGTGCTGAGGATATCTAATCTGCACTTCCCCGCATCACCAGCGCTCCTGATCTCTCTTGCTGCCGGTTTGCTGCTCTGGCGTCGTCGCCACAAGAAGTACTCGGCTGGCGGTCCACGAGCCTTTCGTGTCGAGCAGCTTGGGCCGGCTCCCACGGCATCGTACCAGCCGCCATGGACCCGCTGCACACCGCCCGCCCTCCCTGCTTCACTCGTCGATGACGACCCGTCCCCATCTGAGCGTTCGTCCTCGGTCTGGATTCCGCTTTCGTCGCTTGACGATCTCCGCCCTCGCGAATCCGTTTCCAGACTGAGCGCCTTGGCTCCTCACACCTCAGATAGCGAGAATCCTCGGGCCCAACTGACCGAAGCTCAGACAGACCGGGCAGACTCTCCAAGAATTATACGCACTCGACGATCGTTTACGCAGTGGCTTCAAAGCGAGTCGCCGTTCCGTTCGAGCCCGTCGGCATTCGTAGTTGATGCAGATTGCATTCAATCGGCACCCGTGATCGCATCGTCTCCATCGCCCGAACCCGATTCCGCCACCGCCTCGGAGGCAACCGGTGAGAGCGAGTCGGTCAATGTCGATTTGGTCGACCGCCCGATCTCGGGCTCGTCGCAGAGTCGTCGCTCGTTGCTCAACCTTCGCGTGTGGAGGACGTCGACCTCGCGCTCGTTTCCCAGCCCGTCGTCGAGCAGTCGTCGACTGCTACGCCAAAGTAGGGCGAGCAACTGGACTATCTACGATCTTTTCACCGATCGGCAGGGACTCCCGCGTCAAGTATCGAGCGACCGTCTCCCCGATGCATCAAGTGCCGCTGCTCGCCCGGTGGCTGCTGGAGGAGAGGGCACTTGCTCAACCCCACATAGCCCATCCATCTCCGAAGCCGCGCCGTCTCTGCCGTCAAGCTCTCGCTCACCCGAGTATCTGCGGGTGCTGGAGCACCCCCACTCATATTTGCAGCCGCAATCATACGAAGGTCACTCGCCAGAGACTCGCCTGCGTGCCCACTCCAGCCCATACCTGTATTCGAGCTCACAACTGCCGCCGTTGTTTGCGCAACCCCTGTCGCAATCTCAGATGCAGCTCCAGCTCCAGCTCCAGCAACCCATGTTTCCTCTGCAGTCGGCATCGTCGCAGCCCCGAGTCTCAAGTACCTACGTTGCCGTCGTCAACTACGAGCCCAAGAATATCCACGAGATATCGCTGGCGACGGGCGACACGCTCGAGCTGGTTGTGCGCCTGAATGAAAACTATGCCCAGGTAAGAGTGCCATGCGATGTCTGTGGATGAGCAAACTGGTTTGGGCGGCCGGAAATGTGTGTCCTATGTGCGCGAGTGGAACGGTCAGCGAAATGAAGAGTATTGATGAACGGAGCGCGAGTGGATGGCGGGCGCAGACGGGAGCAAGGCGATGCCTCGTCGATCATGGACGCCTGAGCGGGACTTGTCTGTCGGGACGAGGAGCTCGAGATCTGCTCGCATTTACTCACACTTCCTATCTTTCGCTGCTTGACAGGTTCGCAACACCTCGAGCGGAGCCGCGGGCATCGTTGATCTCAGCCACATTCAGCTGTCGACTGTGCATAGTCCCGGGCATGATGCCGAGGGCCGTGGAGATTTTGTCGATGTCGCGGGCGGCAATTCACCCATCATCGGCGATCCGGACGACCGACCGCCCGAGTATTCGTACTTTTGACAGCCGATAGAATCTACTGCCGCACGACCGGCTGTCTTGGGGCCCATTTGTAGCAAATTTCTGGGCAGCAGCCAGACAGAATACACGCCATCCTTTGAGCGACAGATATTGCGCCGCAAACGTCCACCGCACACTGGCATACACACCACCTGTCTGTGATTGTATTTTGGTTGGCGAATCGACAGCGTGGTGAAGAAACAATGGGGTCCATCGTCTGGTTCGGACCATATCATGCACTCGGCTATGAACAATCGAGTGGGCCAGCGAGTTGCTGCAGATGTTGACGCCGCAAGCCAGGCCAGTAGTGCCAGCCGATCGACATCGTTCAACCAGATTGATCGACATCGTTTGATCTGCACAACCCATCCGCGTGAGGTGTTCCGTTTCAGAATGAACTGGCCGTATCGATTCGGCATCGCCACGACCACCGGGCAGGGGACTGACGAGCACCCAAAAATGGCAATCGACCAAATCACGTGGCTTGTTTCATCTATGTGCGCTGTACTTGCGTGGTACAGTGATACCCTGTTTCAGCTTGGGCGAGCTCGGTGTTGCTTGCCCGTCCATCCACCTTCGATCTTGGTCCAACGCCTCAGTCCTCTTGCAGCCCGATCTGGTCCGAGATCTCGTCTGAAAAAAACAATCACTCAGCGCCCCTCTGTCAGCCATGTCCATCAGCGGGTTTAACATCTCTGCCGTCATCCCCATCAACGCCAGCAGCATCCAGTGGATCGTGACATACAGTCCTGACCTCCAAACGCCCAGGTGCACAAATTCCAGCAACACATTCAGCGGCTTTATCTATCAAATTGGGGACACCATCGCAGCGACCAACCGATGCTACTGCTCGCCCGTCTCCATCGGCTCACCTGCTAGCTGCCAATACTACGCCATCGATGCCACCACCGGCCTGGTCTATCTCTACAGCTGCGGCTCTGATACAACCTGCACGAGCGACTGCACTCTCCTCACGATATATCCGGGAACGGGCTCAAAGCCCTGCGCTCCCATCCGAGTCACAAATGCCTCCTCGGTCGGCGCTTATGCCACATCTGCGTCAGTATCTCCGTTACTGCCTGATCGATCCTCGGCTGTGCCGTGGGTGGCTTTGCGTCGGTCAGCAGGCTCGAGCTCCTGATGCCGCAGTGCTCTGATTGGGATCCATAGCCCATCGTGGTTACCCAAACCATTGGCTTGTTTGCATCGCTCTAACCGAACCCATCGACTTTTGCCTGCGCTTCCCATCCTGCACAGAGGCTGGGACTCAAGTTTCAACACCTCCAACTTTGCGTACTATCCCTATGCTCTCGGCGACGGAACCTGCTCCACAGTCGCCAAAGCCGATCGGGTTCCGATATACCCGAACTGCACATGGATTGCGGGCAACGTCTATGGTTTGACTATCCTCAACACCACTACCGGCAAACTGGATCAGTACGGCTGCAACAGTGCATACTGTGGCGTTTGCTGGCTTTCGTATAGCATCAGCCTGAACGCCTCCTGCGTTGTGGACACGTTGTACTCAGGACCGTCGTTCACGCAATACCGCCAAGGTGCCATCCTTTCCAACCCGAATCAAAAACTCCTCACAGATTTTCCAAATTCTGCTTCGATCCTTCTTCCCTTCGTATACGCCATCCTCATCACCGCTGGGGCTGCTTGTGAGTTGTCTCGTCCTCGACTGTTTCCTCGTCCAACACCGGCTCCGCAAATCCGAGAGCCGGTCCCTATGATACTCTCGCGGTTTCTTTGGACCACTGCTTGAGATGTGGCCGAGTGTTTCGCTCGCAGGGCGTCCGAGTCGATATGTCCTTCTCGCGTGTATTTGTCTTGCTAACGCCCGCTCCAATTCTAGCTCTCATCTCCTGACTGACTCAACGCGCGAAACGCATCAAGTCCTTGTTACTCTTGCATATATGATCATACAGAAATATTGCTGCTGAAGTCCAATCTCGATGAGTGTTACTCGTCCATGAAGTAATACATTTGGTCAGAGACGCTGAACCGTCCGGAATATGCCGTTCACCACCAAGGATGGTGTGATGATACTGTCTTTGCCTCGTAATGCATACTTGAGTCGCCCCTGGTACTCACGTCACTTGAGAGTACACCCGGCTGTGGTTTACTTCGTCGCAGAAGAGGTGTGGACGGATGATGATGCCCCCCTTAACCACCAATCCCGACAACTCCAACCAAGCGCCCCAGTATGATGATTGATGCACTCATCATGGCCGACCCAGGAGAGCCACAGCGAGCCACAGCGAACCCCAGAGGGAGTGGGGAACACGAGGAGAAGCAGGGACACGGAGGATAGCGATTGTAGTCAAATCTGATTGAATTTGTCTTTCTATGGTGTGGAAAACGGTCAAGAATCCATAGCAGGATTATGCATGTGGCCTGGGATTGAAGGAGCTAGCGTAACAAAATGCAGCACGGATCAAATAGGGATGTAGACGACAACGCTGGCAAACAAACGAAACAAAAGGAAGAAAAGGCAAAGGAAACTAAGATCATGAGCTTGATCGAGAGTTTGGACGGCAAGAAGCGTCGCGTCCCGGTGCTTCCGCGCTACTACCGGAGCATGTCGGAGGCAGCCCGTAGCCATGCTTCTCGCCCGTTGATGGACGAGTCAATCAGTTCTTCTTCGAGGAGTGGCGGTGAGGGTTGGCATAGTAGGCAGCATCGGCGTCAGGACCGATAGTGGGGGTAGGGGTTGCCGTGGGGGTGGCTGTGGGAGTCACAGTCTGGGCGACGTAGTTGGCATAGTAGAAGTGGGAGTCGGAGGAGGGGGTGGCGGTTGCGGTCGCGGTGGTGGCCGGGTTGGCGTTCCAGAACAGAGGCTTGCCATCGGCATGGATGGCGGTCGGGGTCGGGGTCGAGTTGCTGGGGCCGTCGGCGACGAGGTTGTGGAGCACCACGGACCCGGCCGTGGCGGTAGGGGTGGAGGTGAAGGTGGCGGTGGGAGTAGGGGTCCAGGTGGCGGGAGGGTTGACCGCAACAGCGACCATGATGCGGCTGTTGCCGGTGCTGGTACCAGTGCTGTTGTTCACAACATTACCGTCACCATCGCGCAGAAGAGGAACGCCGTTGGCTTGCTTGGCAAGCGGCGTCTCGGTGCTATTGGTGTTGACGGCGGCGAGGACGCGGGCGTTTCCACGGCTTGAGCCGCTAACGACGGAGGTGCTTTGGCCGTCGATGCAGATAATCTGGTTGTCGTACTTGCCGCTGGAGATGCCAGAGCAATCCAGGCCAGTTCGAGAAACCCACTTGGAGAAGGAGATCGGCTTGGTATCGGAGAAGACAAAGTTCTATGCGGTGGTGGAGAATACAACCGTACGACATGAGCAGCTGGCGCGTTGGTCAAGAACAAGTAACACCAGAGATACAGCAGAGATACGTACATAGACGTCCGTGCAGGTAGTTCCGGCCTGAACAAAGTATTCGGCAGAGCATGAGGACGAGGTTGCGGACGAGTCGGTGCCGTTGCTAGTCTGGACAAAGGACTGGGGAGCAGGGGTGCCGCTGACGGTGGAGCTGCTGGCCGAGGTGCTGCTGGCGGTGGAGTTGGTCGAGGTGCCGTTGTTGACGGCAAGGCTGGCAGTGGGGGCTGGGGGTCTGGAGCCGGAGAGGTCCAAGCAAATCGAGGTGCCTGGGTGGTGGTAAGGAGCAACGCATTGTCAAGATAGGAGAGGTCAGTGAAGCACATCCTCACGACGCATGGTCTTGGTGCTGCTGCAGAGTACGGGGCACGAAGCGGGGTTGGCAGCTTTGTCGACTCACCAGTAACAGGGAGGTTGCTGCAGACCAAAGGAGTGGCCAGGGCCTTTTTCCACTTCTGGAAGGAGAGGCTCTTGTCGGTTTCGTCGTTCTGGAGGCAAAGGACAAAGGGCGAGTATTAGGATACGCAGACTGGCGTTCGACCCGGCACGGCTCGCCGTGTGGGAAACACCCGATATCAGTACAGAGACCGCGTATGCTTCGCAGGCCAGACCGCTTTTGCTTACCCAGATCTTCCAGCAGTAGTCGCCCTGCTGGATGGTGTAGGGCTTGGTGCAAGTGTTGGCCGCGGCCGAGGTGGGGGTGGCCGAAACGGTGCTGTTGGCGCTCTGGGTGCCAGTGGCAGGCTTGCGCTGGATACAGATCGTCTGGCCTGGAAATGAGGCAAAGTTAACGATGGGGGGCGAGATGTTGGCGAGGATGGCACTGCGGCAGCCTTACCGATCTGCAGGTTGTTGCAGTCGACGCCGAGGGTGGCCTTCCAGGTGGTGTACTCGAGAGACAGATCGGTGTTCTTCTCCTGAAATGGACAAGTATGCAGCAGTGACCGAGGGCAGGTTTAGTCTCCCACATTCCAGCAAGAGGCAAGCCTCCTCGGTCGCCCAGCGGTTTGCATGGATCTATGCTCCATACGAGCTCGGTCTTGGGCGAGTCGGGCTGCTGTCCGTGCATTGCTGTATGTGTGCTGTTGCCCGTGCGCTGCTGCTGCTCCAGCTCCAGTCCACCAAAGGTGTACGCACCCAGATCTCGTAGCAGTAGTCGGAGGCCTTGACAACGTATTGGGTCAAACAGTCTCCCAGGGGAGCGGGAGGAGTCGAGGTCGAGGTCGAGGAGGCCGAAGCGGAGGCCGAAGCCGAAGCCGAAGCTGAAGCTGAAGCTGAAGCAGAGGTGTTGTCGATGGCAACGCAAACCTGGGTTCCGGCCGTCAAGTCTGGCGAGGGCGGTGGAGAGTCAGCAACGCTACAGTAGAACTATGCAGACCCACCCCTTCGGTTTCGATCCATGAGGGCCGCCAAGAGCACAGGACTTCTCCCGGTCTCGTGGCGATCATGTTGCCGCCAATGAATGGAGCAAATGGCTTACTGTTGCAGTCGATGCCAACGTTCATGACATTGACAAAGGTGAAGGTGCTGACGCCAATGGCCTTTGCGAGCGACGAGCACGAGTCGCCGCTGGCAACAGCCTTGAAGCTGGTGCAGTCGGGCTGCTGGGCGTTGACCCAGAGGGCCGACGACATCAGCGAGAGCAGGGCCACGGTTGAGGAAGGACGCATGAACATCATGGAGCCGCAGCGAGAGACAGAGACGGACTGGCGACGGGGCGAGGCTGGTCTGGCTGAGGAGACGGGGGTTCTAGAGGCGCGAGTCTTGGTGCTTTGAGATGGCGGCAGCCAGAGCAGGCAAGACGGCAGCGACCTGGGGGAGATGGAAGACAGAAAAGAGGTGCAGGAAGGAGGCAAAGGCTGCGGCTTTTGCGCAAGCGACGGGAGGCAAATCGGCGAGGCAAAATAACGAACGGGGCCAGCGGCGGGCAATATGGCTGTGCGACCGCGCGTGTGTGTGTGTGCGTGCTGTTCTGTGCTGTGTTGTGTTGGACTGTGTTGGACTGTGTTGGACTGTGTTCCAATGTGCCTTGTCTCTGTGCTGCCCCGACGCGCCTTGTCTCACCTTGACTCTTGCACCCCCGCCACCGTCCTCGCCTTGGCTTCTCGGCGAGGCTCTTTCCTGCCCTCTCGTTTGCCCTCTCGCTTGCTCTCGCTTGCCCTCTCGTGCCCTCTCGCCTTGTCGGCCTTGGCCGCACTGGATTGGAGCCCCGGTCCCCGCGCGGTCCGGATCCGGCCAGTGTCTGTGCAACCGTCCCGCACCGCACCGCGCGCTGGTTGGTCCAGCCCTCTGGTCCCCCGCCACAAGGGGCCCCGCGTTGTCCAGTTCGGCCCGGGTCCTGGTCTGCGCACACGTGAGGGCAACTTCCCCCCCGGTTTCTCCAGATTCCCATCCTCGTGTTTTCTCACCACAGATTCCAAGAACCTGCGCTTGGGTGTATTCTCTCGGATTCCTCAGAGCATCACGCAGTTTGGGCAGCATGGGTGGCGCGATGGGCGTCCAGCTCGAGACCCCCCTCCGTCTCCCTTGCGTTCCTCCATGGCCGATTCCATGGGCATTCGCGCACCGCGCCGCATTCGTTCGGCGATAAATGACCCCGTTTGATCGGTTCGTTGGTTGGAGCGCGCAGGTCGCTTGGCAAAGATCCTGCCCCAGGGATCAAGGCCCTCGGAGCTTCCTGATCCTGACTGCATATTCTGTTTCTTGCGTTCTTCGACCATCTCGCTAACGCGGGGACAGTCCAAATCCAGGGCGTATGGGACGCACAGACAACGTGGGCTGGACCAACTGTCCGTATGCTCCACGAAGCAGTTTCCCAGAACCACATAGAGCTCGGGTGCGAACTGGGCGATCGCATCCTGGTGCACCACAAGCTGTCGAATTGCAAGATCGACCACGCTGTCCTTGTTCGTCAGCGCAGCCAGAGGCTGTCGGGCCGAGTCGAACAATAGGAGTCTCTTGAGTTGCTGGAGCTTTCGCAGCGCCATCGTAGGCTCGTTCACGAGTGACAGCACTTCGATCCAGTAGAGTAAATGCGATGAAAGAAGCTGACGCACCAGCACACACACTTGGCCTTCCTGGCTTCGGTTCAGCTTGTTCATCTCCTTTGCGCGCGCAATGTGGTCAACCCAGTAGATGCAACTGTACTTGACTGATCTCGAGATGTGTCGTTCGACGAGCTCGTCAATGTCGGCAATCTCGTCGTGCTTTCTCTTGAGTCCGCAGATGTTGGCTGGCTTGGGCTGCTTCAGAATCAGCTCGAGCGACGCGATTGCCATCTGGGCGTGGTAGCCGTTGACGAGGCTGTATTCTTTGTTGGCTGTCAGGAAAACATTGCTCAGAAAGTCTGTCACAAGCCTGTGGTTGAACTCAACGACGTTGGCATTCCAGTTCTGGAAGATCTCCGGACAAACCACCAGGCTGAGCTTCCGAATGTACTTCTTGCTATCTTGCCGGCTCAAGCCGGTAAAGTCCATGAGCACCTGCAATCTCATGGGTTCCATTGCAGCACCAAGGACCCGGAGAAGGCTCTGGAGCTGTTCGCGCTCTGGTGCCTTCGCTGGGGCGTCGCGTGGGATCTCAAAGAGTGCGTCAAAAATCCGTCCGTAAAGCTGGTTAATGTCCAGCTTGCGAAAAGGATGCAAGTGTCCCGTGGTCAGCCGGATCCGCGGCTCGCGGTCAGAATCATCCAGCAATGACCTTTTTCGGGACAGTGGACTCTTGTCTCGGATGTTTTTGAAGAAGGCCCCGATCTTGGCTTTGACTCCTTTCTTCTGGGACTCGTCTTGTTTTAGAAGAGTGTCTGTTGCCAGCCGGATCCACATGAAATTGCCCTTGGACTGCTCCAGCATCTGCTGAGCCACGGCGCTGATGTCCGCTTGATCAACATGGCTCTTGAGCTGCCTGACGATGTAGATCATGGCGTCTTCTCTATTCCTGCTTGATCGTGGATCCAGGACGGTTTGTGCCGTTGCCGGGACTGCACCCTGGATGCCCGTATCCGACCGGGCTGTCAGCAAAAACTTGAGCCCCGACAGCGATGCCTCTGCGCCGTCCCGCGTCAAGATGTCAAGTAGTTGCGTTCGTTCAGGACACTCGTCCAGCCCATCGATCACAAAGACACCTTTGAGTTTGTCCTTCTGTCCATTCTTTCTGAGCTGTCTGAGTGAGCCGGTAATCAAGCAGCCGAACAGATCGGCCGAGTTCAAGCATTCCATCCCCGACAGACTCCATCCGCTCGACAGGATCTGTCGCCCAAATGCGGCATTCCACAAGGCCATTTGAAAGACCAGGGTCTGGATCAGATTGCGGACTCTGCTTCGCTCTTCGTGGTTGCCCTTGCAGAAGTAATACCCTGCCAGCTGGCCGCGTGCCTTGAGCTCGTGAATCAACAGCGAACTGAACACGGACTTGCCAATGCCACTTTCGCCCATGATCCACCAGAGCAAGCCCTGTCCCTTCTCGACCCACTCCATGACCTCTTCACATAGCCACAGCCGCGTGTCTTTGGCGTATAGCTCGCGCTGGGCCTGGAGCTCGGCAGTTTGGTGAAAGGGTCGCAGGAGCGAGAGGAGTTGGGTTTCTTCTTTGGCCGTCAACATCAAGCTCTGTATCGCTGGCTTTTCAGTCGTCTTGGATTCACAAGCATGCTGTAGTTTGGCACGCAGCTCCAACACAGACGACACCAGTCTTGGGCAAGGCGCAGAGTGTCAGTGCATCTGTCGTTTCCAGTGACTTGTTGGCGAATTCTATGCCCACAATGTCGAAGGATCTCTCTTCCGATCGACGAAAAACATTCCCAGCAACAAAACCGGCTGAGCGAGAACCTGATACTCACTGACGAGCACCACCAGAGTACGACAGTTTCACGGCCTGTTTCTTCATCAAGTCCTCGAGAATTCTCCGAATCGTTTTTTTCCTGGAGCTGCGCGGATGGATCGGCATCTTGTCGGGAAACTCGCTGAGAAGAGGGAAGAACGGCTTGGAGTAGGTCTCGTCGTCGATCTGAACGATCTGGTCGATGAGGATCGGCTGGACAATCGCGTTTTCGAGATCGAGAGAAAGCTCCCACTGTGACATTAATGCAGGTCCGACCAGCACACGTCGACGAGCAACGGCATCGGCCGCATTGTTAGTCAAAGACCCAATAGAGAGGCCTTGTGCGGAACCTCCCTGACGCCACTTGAGACATCAGCTAGATGCCGCCTCACTCGATAGGCGAATGGCCTTCCAGCCTCGCCCAGTCTCACCTCCAGCAACAAGTTATCGGGCTGCTCGTGGGCCAGCTTCATCCGCTCCAGCCCTCCCTCGGACACGAAGAGCAAGATGACTTTGGATCGCTTGAGTCCGTTGATGAATCCGATTTCCCAGTCTTGTCCATTGTTTAGACACAGCTCGTCAAAGTAGATGTGGTAGCTGTGGGGCTTGGCCATCATGGCACAATAGAGCGCACGCACAGATTCCTTGTCGTTCCGGACTCGATAGCTGATCATGTTCCATCAGTGGCAGCCGTCGGTTAAGCTCTGCACAACTCTCTCGCCCCATCCTGCCCAAACGGAACAGCAGCGATTCTTGCTGAAATCGGAACGTACCTCATGAAAAAGTCATGGTCGCACACCTGGTTCGCACATCGCCAGTCGGCGACCTCGAGGTCCCGGATCTGCTTCGTCGCATCCAGCACATGCTCTTGAGATACGACTGGATCGGCGGTGTCTCCCTCCCGTTGGCACTCGTTCGCACCACTAACTTGGTTGCTGCCGTCCTTGATTGTGTCCAAACTGCGCTCCGAGTTGGATATCGACATCGGAGGAGGGGAGCACGGGTTTCCTTGACTTGGCGAGACTTGGACCGCAGAGTCTGGCTGAGGCCCGCTTTTCAATTGGCTCACCAGAGCATCGGCCGTCAAATCAAGCGACAAAGGCGTCAAGCCATCCGCCTTGAATACTGCTGCTGCATCTTGATTGTCGATGCTGGGCTCGGCGTCGGAGTATTGCTCTTTCGGACTTGTGATCTCTATGTTGCTGCCTGCAACAAGAGTGGCGACGCTCGGAGAGAGGGCCACCCTTGGAAACTGGGCCCCACCCGCCGCCGTCTCGCCCGGTACCGCCAGGACGTCCGCCGGACCCATCACATTGATGACTGGTGTGGCTACAGGCGCCGCGAGAAAAGGAGGATGAATGCCATGCCGTTTGAGCGAAGACCGCTGCGAAACAGGCGGTGGAGGCTCGGGCCTGGAACTGGGCTCGGCGGACATCTCCTTCTCTGACGGAGCGGCGATGGCAGGAACACTGATAGGACACGGCTGCTTCGGTGCGCTGTAGACCTCGATCTGGTCCGATGGACTCGGTGCCGGGAGGGTCGGCTCGGCCGCATTGTCAAAAAGCTCAGACTTTGCCTTTGAGGCTGCCCGATGGAACTTGGAGATGTGGCCAAACTGAAGCCCCACATCTTGAAGGGCAAGATCGTCCATTGCGAGGATCTGTTCGGGACGCATGTGGGAGAGCGTGAGGACGACAGTATGGCGATGCTCATCATTCCGTGCATGCATCAACCAGACGCTCATCCCAGCCGGCGCGACGACGGGCTCTCACTCCGCGTCCGGCCTCACCAGCTCCATACTGTCCCAGCCCTTGTCGAGGAACTTTGTCCAGTACGAGTCGAGATGGAGGGTCTCCAGAAACTCCTTCGCTTTTCTCTGTTTCGTCGTCAACTGCTGCTGCTTCATTGACCAGCAGTACCAGGCAAAGGCTCCTGTTGTGCCAGCCGCGATCGCCGCAAGGCCGACGACCACGAAACCCCAGGCGTCGTATGATCTCAAAGCCTGGCTCACAGCGACAGCGACCACGGCGGTGATCGCGCTCAAGGCGATCGACGGAAGATGATGCATGATTTGGTCCAGTGGCGCCGGCATTGCTGTGCTGGTCATGGTCTTCGCGTTCACACGGATCGGCTCTCGGAAGCGGTGGGCAACTTCGGTTGCCAAAGCGATAGGGCGTGTGGGTGCGGAGGGAGAGGTCGGCAAATCTGAACAGAGGAGAATGGGGCGGGACAGAGCTGGAATGAACTTGACCGCAGAGAGTTGGGACAAGAACTGCCGCTGCCAATTCGTGCTCCAGGAGGGCGAGGAGGCAAGGACGTGCCGGCCCACGGAGACGAAGCGGGCTTTTCACCATCACGGCGCCAATCACTCCCCAGATCCGCACAGGGCCGGGATTGGGACCCTGGCGGTGCCAACATTGTTGTTCAGGACGCTTTCTTGTACACATTAGAATCCATATATTGAAGAAGTAGAAGCGTACTCTACGACAGTGTGTCCTCGTTCATTGATCAAGGCGTCGCGGAAACGACAAAAATTCACGATGCAGCAGGTGGTGCGGCAAACCAACCCCAATGGATCTGCATCCAAGGATCGGTTTGCCATCAATCGACGGAGAGCGACCTTTGTCCGACTCTGCGGAAAGGACCAAGGCGGAGGCAGAGGAACTCGAAGCTAGGGCGGTGCAATATGTTGGCGTCGACACGATCAGTCTAATGCTGCGACTGACTCTCAGGCTCAATGCCTTCGCTGAGCATCACAACGCTGGTCGAGGACACAAGTCCGGTCATGCCAGTGGCTTGATTGAACGCCTGGTTGGACAGCCGCAGACCAATCGACGTGCGGGTGGAGATGGAGAGGCGCCGAGCCATGTCATTAGTATCGAAAGTAGGCGACGGTGTGCTACAAGCGTCGGCGATTGGAAGCGTTCTCGTTCATGAATGAGGAGAGCAGGAAGGGGGGCGGCAAGTCGCAGGGCTCACCTCAGCAGTGCCGTTTTGGAACTCGGATTTCAGCGAGACAACGTCTCCCAGACGCAAATGGAGATCCGAGGGTCCCTTAGGATCCACCGAGGCAATGGCCACATATCGTCGAGCTCGACTGTCGCTCGAGCGACTGCTTAGGAGCTCAGACCGCCCCGTTTGACTCTGACCATGTGAATGACTCGTAGAGGTTGGCTCGGTGCTGTCTGGCCGGAAGCTACCAAGGTGCGACTTTTCGTCGGTGCCAGCCGAGTAACTGTGGCGAGAGACGCTTGAGTTGTCGTGTGCATGATCGCCAATATAGTCCTGGGCCGGGAGCGGCTGCTTGACCATCAGGTGAGTGTGCGAGAAAGGCGAGCCTGGATTGGAAGCGGTGGGGACGATCTGATATGAGGGATGCTCTGATCCGGAAGGCGTTTCGATGCTGACACCACTTGTGTTGGAGGCTGGGTTGAGGCTGAGGTGCGAATTCATGACTTGGGAATACTCAGGAGGGGGCTGATCAAAGTCCTCGACACAGATGCTGGTTCGGTGGTGCTTGGTACGCTTGCGGAGCCTGATGAACAGCACTGCGGCCACGGATGCAATGACGGCTGAGCGAGCAACACGATGCAGAGACACCATGAGATAGTGGAATGGGTTAGCACATGAAGAGACGAGACACACAAATGGATAGATGGGACCAGCGAGTGAATCAGGACAGCTAACATGCTCCAGGTTATCACGCCGATATATCGATTGGACTGATCACGGGAGCTGGGCAGTTCGCATGAGGTGGGCTGTACTTACCAACTACACCGACAGCAATGCCAGCGACCGCTCCGCTGGTCAAGCCCGCCTGAGGCCCTGGTGCCGGTGGGGGCTGATATGTCGATACTGGCGTGGGTGGGAAGTCGCTCGGAGCCGTTTGGTTCGGGAAGACAGTGGGCAGCACCAGGGCAGGGTCTTTGACGATCGATCCTGTGAGATATTTCGTATAGAAGGAGCCCGTTCCGGCGGCGTAGATGTGGCAGCTGGAAATAGTATCGGTATAAACCAGCTGGCAGGAATTGCAGTTGGGGTCGCTGCAAGCGTATCGATCAATCATTTGGGTGGCAGAGTGGAGGAGGGTGATGGCGTAGGTGGAGCCGGTGAGATAGGTGCACTTTGGATATAGGGGGATTCGGACCGCCGAGCTCACGACTGAGCAACTTGCGTCGTTTATCGATTCGAGATAGTAGTAAAAGTACGGCGTCTTGAAGTCGGGGTCCCATGTACTGCGGAGGAGAGGGCAGCAACGACATGTGTTGGACAGGTGGCGCATCAGTGGTTGCCGATAGCGTCCAAAGCGAGGAGATCAACAGGATCGAGACTGGCGGCCGTGCATGCGCCGCGGTTACTCACGAGGTGTCCTCGACGCTCTTCGTTGTCAGATTGCCCGTTGCCTTGCCGCTGGTGCACGGGTCAAAGTTGCCGGTTGGATAGGCCCCGATGAGTGTACACTCTTGGGTGCAGGTAGGGTCGGCCCCACAGCTGTACGAATAGACATTGTTGTCGCCAGGCTGGGTACCGTAATACTGGCAGGTACTCTCAGCCGTTGCTGTGGCTGGGAAGCAGTCGCAGCGGTTGGTTGCTCTGAACACATCGCCCAAGGACCCAACGATGCTCGACGGGGACCCAGGCGGCAGGCATCTGGGGACATGGTGCGTTGAGCTGTGCTGGACGAACCACTGGACGTTATTTGGGTTGATTGGGATGGGGCTGTTGGCCATCGTGGCGATATTGGGGGACAGCGGAAAGCAAAAAGCCAAAGCGACCAAGACCAGGCCGGACGGGAATGGAGCAGAACGATGAGGAGCAGAGGGATGGGTAAGCTCGAATGAGGGACAGAAGCGTAGGGGATAGCAGACAAAGCCGTTGGCCGGACGTTCGGTGAGGGGGAAGCAGGAAGGCAGACAGGAAGGCGGGCTGGAGCGGCAGGAAGGTGTTTTATGTCGGCACGATTGCTTGAGCCGTTGCCACGGAGGCCATGCCACAACGACGCGAGCGAAAAACGCATCCATCAGCAGAAAAGAAGACAGGGTGGGGTTGCTTGTGGGTTAACACGCCGGAGCAAGGACCGGGGGTATCCGATCGACTGCCCCATTCCCATGGAGGTCGTCCATCAAGGAGGAGGAGCGTGTGCCTGGCCACCGAGGCGATACAGCCGCCGTTGATCGACGCACGACTTGTCCAAGGCGGGATTGAGGCGCATAAGTGGAAGCAAGGTCGTGCAACAGTGGTTGGCTGGAGCACGGGCACAAAGAACGAAGCTTCCCAAGAGGACTGCCGACCAGACCAGTCGTATCCGTCGAAAACAGGAGTGCCGAGAAGCGCAGAGCAGCGAAGGCTCTGGGGGGGGGATCGTCAGATATCCATGGTGGATGATGGAGCCGACAGCCCGCGGCTGCGATTTAACATGGCAGCCGAAGCAGGCAAGCGGGGCGGGCAAGTGGCGAGTCAAATCATCCATACAGGACTGAGCCGGATGGGTGGACAGAACACAGAGCACGAACAAACAGGAAAGCGGCGCGGCAGACACAATCAACCGTTGGATGGACAGCAAGCAAGCGAGAGCACAACAGCGAGCGTTCAACAGCAAGAGCTCGACAGCAAGTGGCATCTCAGAGTGAGTCTGTGGGATCCAGCGCGCCCGTTCTGAATTCTGTCACGATTCTCCCGTGGCAACAGACCGAACAATCACTCATTCCGTCGAGCTCACAATACGCCGGTCTCCCTCCCGCGAGTTGGAGGCCCAGAGAGGGCGCATCGATATCAATGACAGTGTTCTTCATTGAAAATAGCTCCTTCCCTCACACCCGAGCAGCCGGCTGGGGATGCTTCGTTTGCTCAGGACAAGTGGAAGCAGCCCTGTCCTTCCTTCACAGCGACCTCGAAGCGGCTCTTCATCACGCTCTTGCTTGTGTAGTCTGGGACCTTGAGGTAGTTGACGCACGTCATGACGCTCGGAAGATAGTCGTCCGGCTGCCTGTCGTGCTCTTCGACGGTTTTGCGCACCACTGTCAGCGGTGGGCTCAGCGCCTTGAATCCACCAACCGGCAGCTTGGGCGATCCCGTTACAAATTGCATAAACTCGCGCCTTTCGGCCAGGGAGTACTCGCTCATGATCTGGCACAAGTGCGCGATGGTCTTGGACTCTTTCGAGTAGCCGTGGTCTGCCTTGAGTGCATCGTAGATGGCTGAATGGTCATGCAGTATGGGTCGCAACGGGGGGGGGAGGACAGGTCAGCTCCGGCCGCGAAACAGCTATCATCCCATGACTTGTGCAATAGGTTGTCCTTTGCCAATCTCCACCAGAAGACCAGGCCAGCTTACCATCGTAGGACCAGTCCTCGTTTTCGGCGCCGCCAATCAACAGTCCCAGCTCCTGCACCGTAAAGGCCCGTAGATCGGTGATCGGGAACACCTTCACAAAGCCCTGGCGGAACGCTTCGATTTGTTGTCGGACGCCCTTGCCGGCCGTGTACTCGACGACCTGCTCTATGTAGTCATCTATGTTCTCCATATCGACGGCAACAGCCGAGCCACTGGGGCAGAGTTCGATCTCGGGGTATCCGGGCAGAGTAAAGTCGAGCCCGAGGTCGCTGAGGAGAGCTTCTCGGACCCGAGCTTGGGATATCATCGTGCGCTTTTGTTCGTCGCTGACATCTGAGCGCAGCTGAATGCGCTTCCGCGCCTCGGCGTACTTGCGAAGATCCAGCAGGGACGCATACAGGGCTGTATCGACGTGCTGCGCGGCAGAATCAAGCAGGTGGTGAGTCGCCGCTGCCTTGGTCCGCAAGTCCCCAATCTCATGGCGGTGGGTAAAGGCGTGTCCATTGCATCGTCCGTTCGCATCGCACATCAGTACATCAGTACATCAGCATCCCAGCGCCTCGACCTGGAAAGCTCACCTTGACGAGATGCAGCTCCGCACCGACGCGGCCCTTGTGTCCAAACGCACGCTCAGAGGCGCTTTCTTCGTCTTCCTCCTCGCCAACAGCCATCTCAAGGAAGATCGGGCTGAGGGGGAGATCGATCATGCGGTTGTCCAGAAGAGCCTTGGCCACAAAGGTGCCAAGATGCCTAAACAGCGTCAACAGAGCCTCGCTGTTCCGCCGTAAGTAGCCGGAACGAGTGTGAGTGTGATCATGGAAGAGAGTGCGCGAGATGTGTGTGCATGGGCGGTTAGGATCCAGTGAGGCGACCAACAATACAGGCGATTGGAAAGCGACATAGCGATAAAGCGGATTGAGCGCATCAATAGCGCAGCATCGAGTTCAACAGACGCAGCAGCAGAGACAAGCGTGACCAAACTGAGGAACAGAGAGAGAGTGGCACAGAGAGAACCACCACAACTCCGCAAACAATCGCAAAGATAACCCCCCCCCTAGCATCCCAGCACCATCCCGAGTCGCAACCCCATCGAATGCTTCTCTTCCCATCCTCACAGGGCGATGCTTTGCCACTCACCTTTCTCGAGTCGACACTGCGTTGTAGTCGATCGGGGCAGGGAACAGCCCCAGTTTGGTGTCTACAAACTCGGAAACAGACCCGTTCGCTTGATCGGCAACCACGTTCGAGTTGCGCCATGGCTTGAGCAAGACTCCCACTTGGCCACGTCCCGACGAGGACGAACGCATCGGGTCGGCAACGGCCACGCCGCCAAGGCGCTGCAGCTCTCGACTGGTGAGCGTATAGAACTCGATTGTTGGTCCCAGTCCTGTGCCAACTTCGTCAAAGAACTCAATCTCCAGCAACGACTGATCCGTGCCGTATAGCTCCATGACCTTCATCATGGACTCCACAAGGCGCACACGGGCCAGGCGGACCTTTTGCTTCGGGACCCTGCCAAAGGCGGGGGCTTCGCTGTGTCCTGCACGTGAGCCAAGCCCGGCCGAGGCTGCGCTGCCTTGGGAGGGCTGCCAGCGGCTCAGACATCGAGGATGTCCAAACGATGTGCTCTGCAAAAAGACCAGCCGCGTCTTGAAGGGAAACAAGAAACCAAAGTCGCGCACCATCGACTCACACCAGCTGGGCAGCACCTTGGAGGCCACGATCAGCGGTTCGTCGAGTTGCCGGTTGACCTTGGCGGCAAGCTTGTTGCTTATGAAGGCGCTTGCTGGCAGCGTATGGATGGCCATCGCCTCGGCATCCTCTGCGGACTCCACCGCAGGGACACCGCCAGCTCGTCCCTGCAATGCCGCACTTTCATAAACTTCTTCCCACCGTGTGTTGAGGCCGTGCAAAATGCGCATCAGCTTCAGAATTCGGCTTGGAATATCAAGGGCAGCGATGCTCTCTGGTACTTCCGTGTGGAACGGCAGCTTGATCGACATCTGCGACTCCATCTTGGCAAGCTGGGGAGGCGAGGCAGGGTTGACTCCATGCGAGATACTTGGCCGAGCAGGCTCTCCGCGGGATACTCTTGTGTATTCGATTGTGTAGGTTTGGCTCCAGACGTTGATGGGGGTCGCCGGGACGCCATCGCCAGAGCGTCTCTTGGACTCGTACGAATATAGTGCGCCAAAGACAGTCGAGTCGTTGCTGAGGACTTGTTCGCCGAGGCTGAATTCCAGACCAGGCTTCTGCACCACTGTCGAGCTCGTGGCCGGAGCCCGAGGCTCCGGTCCCGATTTGCCCTTGGGTGGAGACACGCTGACAGATAAAGACGAGTATCGCGAGTCGCTAGTAGCTGATGTCGAGACGATCGACGGCTTCTCTTCTCGGGCCATGATGGGCTGCTTATCTGAGGCAATCAATCCGGCTTGTTCGCATGTGGCAGCCGAGGTAGGGCTTTGGCTGGCTCCGACCATGGTAACGGCGCTGTCCAGGACGCTATCGCGGCGATCGGGATCTTCTTGGGAGCTTGCGGCAGACTCAAATCCAGGCTGGTTTGATGCATCCGAGGTCGACTTGCCAGGCGAGCGCTGTCGACCACCGAGGATAATGCTGCTGACCCGGAGCTCCTAATTCAGTACAGCGAGGTTGGAAGGAGGCAAGGGATGGCGATCAGTTCAGAATCCAGCCGACCCATGAACATAGAGACACATGTCGCTGGAATATCCAGAGGACGACAAGAGGAGGCATTGCCATGCACCAGCACCAGCACCAGCACCAGCACCAATGGCAGTGATGGATGGTCATGCATATCATCGGCTCAGCTCGTCAAATGCATCACACTCCCTCGGGTTCCCATTCAGAGTCCCACGTACCTCGCGTCCAAAGAGCCCACTGGCGTCGACTTCGTCCTCCTCCTCCTCCTCGTCGTCGTCGTCGTCCCCAAATCCGTTTTCATCTTCATCCTCGTCATCTTCGTCCTCTCCATCGATCAGCATTCGTTCGGCGTACTCTCGGAAACTCTGATCCATTTCGCTGTCTTCTTCCGATGCCATTTCGGTCTGCAGCAGCCCTTTGGTCTTGGCTGAGGTTGTCTCCAAGGCTCCTGAGACTCGCTCGGGAGCAGCCGTGCCAGCTTTGGCACTCGGATTTATCGAGGGCTGGCCAGACAGCTGTCGGGGAAGCCCAGCGGCGTCTTGGAGTCGGCGCGCAAGCCTTGAACCAACGACACCCAGATCCATACTGTCTTCTTGGACCAGCACGCGTGTAAGCAGATACTCCTCAATCGTCCTGAACGTCGCCACGGCATGGACGCTAACGACGATCGAGGCAAGGTCCTTGGATCGCGGATGATCTTCCTTTGGAGAGAGTCTGATCCGGATCTGTCGATTCAACTGAGCGCCGGGATTGGAGCCGCTCTGATGCTGCTGTACTGACTCCATGTCCCTCAGGAAGGCCGAGAAGCCCAGGAACCCCTCGCCAAAGCTTGAGGACGAAGGCACGCCGTTTCCGGTCGGGAACGCAAGTGCCAGCTCAAACTTTTCGGTGCGCCCCAGTGTCTCTTGCAGACGCTTGACCAACAGAGCAAAAGACTGCGGCACGTGGTAGTTGTCGAGCACCCGTCCGGGTGCCGGTCCATTCATGAACACATGGAGGAATCCGCGGAACCGCTCACGTAGCGGCACGCTGTATGCCAGAGAAGCATCGGGTAGAGAGGCAGGGATCAGGTCTCCGGGGCCAGGGCAGGTCATAAAGTTTGAAAGGGCATCGAGGACACCGCTCTCCAGGATCTCGAAGGCTGTCAAACCAACGATGCCCTCCGAAGAGGGGCCTCCGCCGACAATAAGCTGAGCCAGAGAGCAGAGCGTTTGCAGATAGCCCTCGAGAGTAGCGGGGCTCTTGTCACTCGAGATTCTGGCGCTACCCGACAGGATTTCGGCAATCGCGCGGACCTGAGCAAGCACAGAATTACTGCCTCCGTTGGCGACATCATGTGGCCGGTCCTTGATCTGTGCCTTGATCAGGCCCTGGCATCTCTCGATGATCCAGCCCCATGTGTCGAGCTCGGTGTAGCGTTCGCCGCTAAACGAGGCAACGGCTTCTCGTTTGAAGAGTGGCACCTCAGTCGGTTCTGGCCGCGAGGCCTGCAGAACACCGGATGATACAGATGAGTCGCGGCCTAGACGCTCGAGGAAGCCTTTCATGGTCGCCAGCATCGAGCTTGCAGAATACTCGGGGTCACGGGGGGCGCCGCCTTCAGCAGCCCCGCAGCTCTTCTTGTCGTCTGGACCGAGGCTCCCTTGGGATCCATCCGAAGTAAGCCGTCCTTTGCCTTTGTCGCGTCCGCGGAGCTGAGATCTTGGCGAGGTCGGATTTGACGGCCCGGAGCTGCGACCGGGTATATCCAAACCTCCGAAGGAGCCAGCGGTCGTTGTGGCTTCGGGGGCATTGTGTGCCCGCTGGGCAAACGAGGGATTGGTGCGGGTGAACAGACCCACAGACGGAAGACTGGTGGTGCGGGAAGGGTGGTCGTCGCCAGTTCTCACGGTCAGCTTGTGTGCGCGGTCTCGGGCCGTACGGGCAAGCGACAGCAGCTTCTCAATCTCGATGACGGCGCCCTCGCGAATAAAAAGCGCCTCGAAGCTCTTGGCGCCCCGAAGCGACACAATCTCCATGATTTGGACGCCTGAGACCACCAGCAAAAGAGCGTCACGTCTCTCCTTGGACGAAGCGCCAGCAATATCCGATTGGGGCAGGTCCAGGTCAGGGTCCAGGTCAGGGAACGCGTGCTCCTTGAGGCCGATGAGCTCACTGACAAACTTGCCAAATCCTGGGATCTTGATGAGCAGAGCGCCGAGGCGTGCAGGATTGGTGAACCAGACGCTTTTGACGATGCATTCGACAGCGTGGCGCCGGAGTCCTGCGTTCATGGTGGCGCCGAAAACCTCCATAAGCACCGGAACGAGCCCGGAGAGATACGGCTCGAGCACCAAGGGCTGTTCTTGCAGGAGCAGGCGGCGCTGTTGGTCGGCTCCAATGGAAGCGGCCCCCACGAGCCTTTTGGGAGTTGAGCTATCGGCCAGGATCGGCAAAAGAGCAGACTCTTCTGCCTCGCCTTCTGAGCGAGCCGACGCGCTCATCTGAAACAAGCCATCGGAGGGCAGATTGGGCAGCAGATCGGAGGCGAGGACCAGGAGCTGGAGTAGCTGCTCGACAGGTCTACCGATGACAGTCTTCATGACGTTCGAGGCGAGCTTCTCCGATTCCTGGATCGGGACACCGTTGGCTCGCGTCCCATCACCAACAAGAAGAATTTCAATCATCGGCACTGCCGGGTGGGTCGACAACAGCTCCATGCCAAGTCGTGGGCTTCCTTTGGCGATGGTGGACATGATCTTGAGCAACTGCGTGATCACGGTCGAGTTGGAGTGCTCAGAAGCCGCCATGGAGATGACAAGGTCAACAAGCACTTTGAGCAGGGTCGAGGAGACCAAGCCTTCGAGCTTGTCTCCCTGTCTCCAGCACCAGTCAACGATCCGGCCAAGCATCTTGGCAACTTGTTCGACGAGCTTGTGGTCGCTGTAGGCGAGAAGGCGCTCGACGATGGGCATGACGTCGCGAATCATGCTGTAGATTTGGTCGGGGGTCGAGGGCTCTCTGCTGGCGTCTGTTTGCGGGACAAGGGCACCAATGCTGTCAGTAAGACAATTGCACTCTCCAATGTCAATGCAGGCCGGGCTGGGGTTGTCGCGCCCAGGGCAATCGGGGCCTGTGCGCACTAGCCCAGCTCGGACCAAACACTCACACCCCGCTTGTCCCCGATCCTTACCGGACGGGAGTAGCCTTGGCCGTGTCGTGGACGAGAGACCGCGGCAGGCGTTGGCTGCGATCGTGACAGCTGTCCGCTGCACATGGATGTTGAAGAAATCAATGTACTGCAGCACGGCACAGAGTCCGTTGGCCTGGATGATCGGGCTCGGGTAGTCGACGCTGACTTTTTCCAGTACGCTGAGGACTTGCTCAGCCAGATCGATAAACTCGACTTCCATGAGCTTGCTGACCAGGATCTTGACGCCGCCGTGATGCAGGATGTGGATGGTACTCGAGGGAAGGGCCTCGATGAGGTTGCTGAGACAACGGCAGGTCAGCAAGATGAGATCGGGTACGCTGTTACCAGCACCAAAGTCAAGCTGCAGTCCAATCTCGGCTCCACCAAAGTCCATCAGGTCTTCGTCGATGATGATGGGGTTTTGCAGGATGTCGAGGAATGCCTTGACGAACGCCTCGGTCTGGAATCCGCTCATGCGACCTGTGACACCGTAGCCGCCAAAGGTTTCCTCTTCGGGATGAGTCCGAGAGCGAGCCGACACGAACGGCACAGTAGAACAGTGGAGCCGTAGAACAGGAATAAGCCATGGATAGCGATACGTGTCGCGGATTGCGGCGAGCAGTCCACAACATTCGCACACCGACGCTGATAGCGTGAGGCCATATCATGAACCACGGCCATCGGAGCTGCGACAAGCACTCGGTTCGGCCAACGACGTTGCCGATCGACAGGAAACCAGTCACTCGAGCGCAGCGCTCCACGACGCTTACCAGTGGCCATGCTGAGCATCTCAGCGAGCTCCTGCAGAGTCCCGATGATCATGGTCGGGTTCGGGCGGCGCTTCAAAACCTCCAACATCGAAGCAAGCTCCGAATTCATCTGCCCACCACGGCGTCCTGCGAGTGGGTTTGAGAACTCGAGGCGGCCAACCAGGCCAGAGCCCTCGAGGATGGCGCTGAGCTGGGACTCATCGAAGCCGCTGTCGGCCAGGGCAGCAGCCAGACGGCGAGCGGGATGGCTGAGCTCTGGACGAGCGGGCTCGGGATCCTTTTGGCTTGGACCGCGATCGTCATTGGCGTCGCTTCCAGGATCGGCCTGCGCACCCGCTGTCGGGGCGAAGGAGGCCGAGAGGTTCGAAGCCCACTGGAGGTCTTCGTCCTCGGAGGGCGATCGCTGGTGCTTCTTGGTCCGGGGCGAGCGGCTGGAGCGAGGTGTATTGTCGGCGGATTTTTTTGTGGGAGTCTTGGAGGACTTGCGCGAGTGGGTCTGGGACTCTGGGCCTGAGGGATCTCGCTCGCGGCGAGCGGCCGCAGCGTCTCCAGCAGCCAGCAGGCGATCTGCCTTTGACCTCGGCGATCCGGGAGATGAGGGTTGCATGTGGCTCGTGGACGGAGAGAGCACAGAGCGGAGGCGCCTGGGGGGCTTGGAGCCGGGGCTGGTTGGACGGAACCGGCTGGGCTCTGGGGTGAATTGAGGGGTAGTCGGATGCGACGGATGCGATGGGAGCAGAATCGGGTCGGAATCAGGGGCAAGCTTCCTGATTCTGCAGGCGACAAGGCGATTGCGAGATCGGGCGGGGAAGGATGTCGGTGGGAAACGATGGGAGGCCGGCGGGGTATTGAGGGATGGCCGGGGTCAGGGGCAGGGAGCGGCGAAAACGACGAGCGATGGCGGGATGGCGGCAGCGAGCGGGCCAGCCGTCAGAGCGGGAAGCACAGCAGGAGGGAGCAATGAGAAGAGAGATGGATTAGCCCCAAGGATAGAGAATTCTGGTCTTGACAGCAGCGACCACAAGGCGCTGGATGCTGACGGCCACTGCTCGAGCCGGATGTCCTCGGGCCGTTCGGATTGTGCTTGGATAGTGCCCAAGAAACCCTCATCCAGCACCCGAACGATGCTTGGAGTGCTTGGGCTCTGGCCGCAGCCAACACAGTTCAGGGCGAGCCCGAGTCTCAGAGGAGGGACAGCAGACGGGCGATTTCGAATGCGCCGCAGACCTGCCCGAAGCAACAGATCGAGACGGCCTGGTCTGGAGGAGCCAGTACGCAGGGCCGGTGTCCTTTCCAATGCTCTGCTCTGAAGCAGGCGATAGGATGCTGCGTTGCTTGGGGACGAAGCCAAGCAGCAGCGTCCCGCAACAAGCAGAGGCAGTCCAGAGTCGAACCAGCACCACTACCACTACCACTACCATAGCCACCATCACCATCGCTATCCACACCACCATATCACCATCACCAGCAGCAGCAGCAGCAACACCCTCCGTCGCATTTATTGCGAACAGGCGGCAGAAGCCTGTTTCCCGACCTTTTAGATATTCTTGTTGGGGTTTCTTGCGAGACACCCTTCCGCTTTGGAGCTCTTTGGTCGAGAGAGGACGGGTCGCGGGGATTATTGGGTGTCGGGAGCATGGGCAATCAGTATGAAGGTCATCCAGAGCGGGCTCTCGGAGAGACGGATGCCCACAGCCGCGCAGGATGAAAGAGCCAAGGAGAAGAAGCGGCCAGACGCAGAGGACCGACGACACAAAGCCGATGGCGACAGCCGCACGAAATAAGGCGAGCGCGAGACAGGACCATGCGATGTAATGCGACGGAGCGGCCACTGCACGTCAGAGGGCCGGCGGATGCTGCGGATGGCTGACAGCCAACAGCAGGGCGAAATGCAACGCTACCTTGAGCCAGAGGCCGGAGTCAAGAGAAGACGTCCTGAAGCAGCGGATGCGTCCCTATCGGGCAACGACTTGGCTTTGGGAGTGGACTGGGCTAGATCTTCGAGACGGACGGGCGGAGGTCTGCAGTCCATAAGAGGGATGGGCAGCGGCCGCAGAACGGTGGAGGCTCCGTTTGGAAGCGGTAGTTGGGCAGGAGCCTACTGCCGACCGATGTACGTGTAGGAAGGATGGTTGGAGACCGAGGCAGCCCGACAACAATGCGAGGGAAGCTGCCGGATTCTGGCGACTGAACGAGCCGACTGAACGAGCCGAGACGAGGGCGGAGCAGCGCGCGGCTTCAGACGGGTGCTGTGTGATTCTATCGAGAGGCCTCGCAACACAGTGAATGGGTGTAAGAGGTACGCAGGGCAGGTGCGCCAGGCAGAGGTGCGAAGCGGACGGATGGCTCCGAGGAGCGATGCAGCGAAGACGGAGGTATTTGGAGGCAGCGAAGGTAGTTGAGGCGAAAGCGAGGCAAAGCGGAAGCTGCTGGTCGGCAACGGAAGACAGTCGGGCGAGGAGGTTTGGTGGTGGAAATGGCAAAGATAGCAACGATGCTGATGGTAATGGAGATGGCGAGGATGATGAATGATGAATGATGAATGCAGAGTCCAGAGACAGAAAGAAGAGAGCGGGAGGGAGGGATGAGCCGCCGATGACGGCGATGGGGAAGGGGAGGGGCAGAGGAGCAGTGTCGAGGGTCTTGGTGGGAAGGGCGCTGGGTCGGAGTCCTCGGCGAGAGCGCAGTCTGAGGACAGAGGGTCCTCTCGGCCAGCCCCGGCCAGCCCCGGCCACTCTCGGCGAGACCCGTCGTCGGCCAGACGAGGGTCCGTTGGTCAAGGGCACTGCAGGCAGCGACGGCTGTCGAAGCATGGTCAGGCATTGCATGTCGGGAGCGTCGCCGGCCGAGTGGGCCGGGTGCGCCATGAAGACCACCAGGTCGTGTCGGTCTGGCGAACTGGTGCCACGGCGTTCTGCCCCAAGGCCATGATTGCCCAGTCGCAAGGCCGGATGGTCGGCCAGCCGGACAGACGGATGTGGCCGGCCGTCTTCCTCCCCCCCCCATCTCGCTCGTCTGCCTGCTTCCAAGCCAGCTGATTGCTCACATGGCTCCGGCGCTATCGCAGCGCATCGGCTTCGTGGAGTGCGGCCTTGCTTGATGGCGCGCTTCCATGTGTGCAGACAAGCGCACAAACAGGCCATGACGGGTTGTGTCGGAACCAAGGACATGTCCGACCCAGGGCCACGGAATGTTCGACGGCCTTTGCTCTCGCGCTGGGCAGTCTCATACCGGATACTCTCTTGCCATATGACAGCCAGTGCCAAACAAACAGGAGCGTCTCTGTTCTCGCTGCAGCAATCATGAGCCTGATGGATGATCCGTATTCTGCATGACCCGGCCCCACACGATTGTTTCCAAGACAGGGGCATGGATGCATGATTCGCCCTTTGTACACGACACTCCCATTCAATGCGCAAGCATTTGATATCAAGATGGTCGGGGCGAGCAAGCGAGTCGGATGGGTGCACATGACCTTGGGCTGGCCGCCAAAGGCGAATTTTACTATTGTGAATGTGCGGGGTGTGTATTACGATACAGAACAACAACAAAAATCATAAGCAAAGCAACGAGACACCCGAGCGTTTGTGGCGAGCGTCAGTATCATATCCTTGTGGATAATGAGGGTGTCTCGATTCGGTGCCGAAGGCGAAGAGAGCCTGGCGATACCACTCTCTGCTCCAAGTTACAAGTCCCAGCGCCAGACTGGTGTCTGCCGTTGCCGGGAGTTGCAACTTGGGGAAGAAGAACGGTATTGGGGTGTTCAAGCGGATGGGCGAGAGGGGCGGGGGGCAATGGGAGACAGGGGTCAGCAGAGGTCATGGAGAAAGTCATGCGAGAGCCGCTGCCATACCACTCTCTGCTCCAAGTTACATGTCCCAATCTGACGGGCACGTTCAGCCGGCCAATGAAAGATTGGGAGATGCAACTCGGAGGACGAGAACGGTAGGGCATGGCGGGCTCTGGGCAAGCCGACTCAGGTCGGGGTGTGTTGTCGGAAATGTTGTGCAGAAGAGGGCAAGGGAGCGCATCAGAGACCGGAGGCAGGCAAGGTTGGCAGAGGAAGCAGAGAGGAGAGGGGTGGAGTGCCTGGAGGGTCGACCTGCGGACCAAGAACCAAACGGCGGATCTGCGCTGCTTTATATGCCGCGACGGCCCATCCGGACACCCTGGCTGGCTCGGCCGCCGACCAGGGTGGAGTCCAGCGGGACGGGCTTGCAGCTCCACTCGACGCCGTCGCCGTGGGGGGCGGTGGTGGCTGGCCAAAGGCCTGGACGGGGGCCGAGACAGAGGCCGAGGCAGGAGCATTGCACAGGACGGCCGCTGGTCTGTCCGGTCGCCATTCCCAACGGACCCTCTGCATCAGCGCCGGGGAGGGGGAGGCATGGCCTTGGTGTTGGCAAGCGCATGTCCAAGTCCAGGGATGTCAGGCCCCAGCAGCCCGAGATTTGTGTCGACGGCAGACTCTCGCCCAGCCATTCCAGAGCAGTCCAAGGCAATCCAGAGCAATCCGTGGCAATCCATGGCAGTCCATGACATTCCATGGGATTCCATGACTTTGGGCTGCGACGGCCGCAGCCAGCATGCACAATACAGGGCCCCCACACAGCAATGCTCTGCAATATCAGCCAGTCCGTCGGGGAACACCGGCAGCCCATCTGGGTGGTGCTGGCCAATGCCCAACGCCGCTGGGCCAAACACTGTCCGGGCAGCTGGGACCGATCCGCTTGGTCTTCTTGCCTGGGCGGCACGACCCGCTGCCGCTCGTACCCAGTTGACCCCCATCATCAAAGACGCCGGGCACAGCGCGGCCCATTGTCCCTCTCGAGGCAAGGTCAGATGCACAGCTCGTGGCTCTCGACATCCAGACGAATCGACATCGAAATCGATCTGGAATCGACATTGAAATCGACATTGAAATCGACATCGGGATCGGGGCCGATGTCGAGACGCGAATTCCCATCCTCCATCTCCGACGAGCGCAACAGACCACCTGGACAAGCCATGAGGCACCACCGACAGCATCCAATCCATATCGTATCCATGTGTGGCAGGTACGAATATATTGCATGAATATATTTGAGCTTCAACCTGGACTCCTGCTCCCAATGCCTCCCGGCCACTCTCCAGGCATTGCTGGATTCCGTGCCTGGGCAGACGACGGTCAGACCCGTGTGGACGGATGAATTGCGGGTGGCAATTGGTTACAGACACAAGATTGGTCGCATGAGAGACATCCACCGCTTATCGGAGGCGGCGGGCTTCGCGTTCGGACTCGAGAAGGGTGAGGATGTCGTTCTCACGGACAGGACCCTTGACGTTGCGGATGATGGAGCGGGAGGTCTCGTCCATGAACTCGACGCGGACCTGGGTGACACCACCACTGAAAGCAAGAGACGCAACCACACAGCGATTGTCAGTTTGCTTGCCGAAACAGCCCGAGCCTGGCGCTCTCGCAGGCCAGCTACCCCATCCAGGCTGCTGGGAATGCCATTGATTGGCAGGCTCGAGTGCGATTGCCCGATCGCCCCCCCCCACAAATCGAGTCCCTGCTGTTTCGGCTAATGCTGCCCAAGAACTCGTCCGACGACTTACCGAGAGCCGGTGCGGCCGAGAACCTTGACAACCTTGGCGAATTTGGGAGCAGCAGACTTGGCGTCCTGCAGGATCGCACGGCAGAATCCGTACCCGGCGTTAGGACACAGACGACTCCGACAGATCCGAAAGGCGGAGTTGGCCACTTGGGCCATCCCATCCCATCCCATTCATCCCATCCATCCACCGACATGAATATTGCTTGAGAACCGAGCGCCGCGCTGAGATGGATCGATTGCCGCTGTCCGTGCTGCTACGGACTCTGTAGAATCCGCCAGATGTCCTTCCGAGCCATGTTGGTTGCAGGAGTGTCCTGTCTGCTGGTGGTGCGCTATCCTGTCGCCGACTGCCGATCCCAAACGAGCCGCCTCCAGTAACTTGATCTTGGTTCAAAAAGGCTCGTTCATGCTGCCGGTGATTCGGTCGAGTTCCTCCGCAGTGCTATATCGCCACGATCACTGTCGATCCGCGTCTACAATGTGTCGTCTGTGCCGCCAGAGACTCTCCAGACTTGACCAGCAAACTGATTTGCTATCGGGCGCTGTTGGCAGTGTCATAACGACTGTGATGTTGGCCGTTCCATCCGATTGCCCGGTAGATGGATGTGTGGATGGACGGATGGATGGATGGATGTGTGGATGGATGTGTGGATGGATGTGTGGATGGACGGCATCGTTGTAGCTGCATGGCCAGCGCAGACTCACCATTTTGCACGTTCAAAGAGTTGGGAAGGGAGGTTGCAAAATCCCCGTTCGCGCAGCCCACAAAAGGCGAATGCTCGTTCCGTGGTGCCAGACGCCAGCACCCGCCCCAGGATGCACGTGTGTGGCTTGGCTGGGAACGTGGGAACACTCCCACACGCCGCCAACCTCATCGCTCGTTCCCACCACTCCCACTCACTCCCACGATCGGATCGGTGCAACGGGGTGTATTGCTGGAAGATATGCCGCCAAGATGCGACGTCCAGGTGCATCGCACTCAAGCGCTTGGGCATCGAGAAATACCGCGTGGGCATCTCACAAACCAACCTGGCGGATACGATCGGGAGGGTCACAGCGCCGATCCCTCACATAAACTCCGAGTGCTTGCGCTTCTTTGGTGACGGTGCAAAGTTTTGAGGCAGGGTTTTGCCTTGGCTCGGCGTCAGTCCTCGGACGGGCGTCTGTGACCCCGACGGCTCGGCTGCGATTCGTCCGCAATCGGGTAGCGGAGGGAGCGACGGGGACCGAGACTGAATCGCCGCGTATATGCTTGTCGCTGACTTGGAGGGCGACGGGGTCGTTGATGTGCTGGCGGATCCGTAGCCGGGACCGGACCCGTAGCCGTAGCCGTAGCTGAACCGGCCAGAATTGCGCTGGGGCGACCAGCTCCGGTCGCGCTGGGAGTCGCCGCGCTCATATCCAAGGCTCAGCCGATCTGAGTCGTCCTCGATCACCGAGCGGCCCCGGAGCTCGACATTGATTTGGTCGACCCACTTGCGGAAGGCCGTCTGGATGCTCTTCATCTTGTTTTCGTCGCGGGCAAAGATCCGGAGCACGTTCTCCTCATAGTTGTCAGGAATCAGCAGCGAGACATTGTCCTTGCGGATGTGGAACGGCTCATCGGGCTTGTACTTGCCGTAGAACTTGACATTGTCGACCGGGTTGCGGTCCTTCATCGAAAAGTTGAGGCTACCCATGTCCAGATAAATGTCGCTCTCGCGCAGTCCGGCACCAGCGGGCTGGTGGGCAAGGATGTTCTGGATATTGACTTCGTCACGCAGGGCCGCGCGGAAGCCCGGGGGCTCGATTACTTCGTCAACACACCGGTAGAGCTGCCGGCGGCGGATGCGCTGGATCACAGACCGTGACTCGGCCAACTCTGGCAACTTGCTCCGTTCAATCTCGCCAATGATGGTGTCGTTCAGGGTCACGTACCGCTCCGGATCGTCGATCATGGACGAGATGTTCAAGTGCGGGTCGGCCGCAACGAGGGCATCCACAATCATCAGCTCGACCGCCTTGACGACCTTGTGGGTGTATACGCGCTTGAACAGCGAGTATCGAGTGTGGAAGAGCTGCAGATCCGAAGGCAACAGCGATGAGGTTTGCAGTCGGATCCACATATTCGCCGCCGAAACAAAGCCGTTGCGGACCCAGCCCCGTGCTCGGCGACGGCCCCACAGGCTTTACCTCGTATATGTTGAAGGTGTCCTTGAAGGAGTAGCAGATCTGGTTCTCGACGACCCGCGACAGGTTCATGAGGCGGTCTAGAGCAAAGCTTGAGCTCGTGCCGATGTTGAACGAGTCTCGCTTAATATAGTCAAACTGTGCAGGCCGTGAGCAAGGATAGCCTGGATATCGACCTGGCCCAACAACCGCTGCTGCTCAGGCGTCCTCCGAATTCCAAAGTCCGAGCCCCACGGCCCCGTCGATCGCTGGCCCGCATACGCACCTTGTCGACATCGATCGAATTGCGCTTGTTGGCGACAATGTCAAAGAGGAACTGCTTCTCTCTCCGTCTATGTGTCTCCCCAGGTTTGGACTCGCCCTGGATCAGGCTCTTGATGAACTTCATCTCCGAGGTATCTACATGGTCGATGCCGTTGTCGCCCGACACGATCTGCTCCAGCATCATCTCGCTAGCCACTTCGTGCGTCCACTGGATATCGGGCCGGACCTTCTTGATAAAGACATGGTCAAAGGTATGCGAGAACGGGCCGTGGCCGAGGTCGTGACAGAGGCCGGCGAGACCGACGCACTTGACGTCGCTCTCGTCAATGTCGAGCTCGGGCTGCTCTGCCCTGAAGCGATTGACCAGCTGCGAGGCGAGGTGGTAGACTCCAACCGAGTGCTCGAAGCGATTGTGCGATGCGCCTGGTTGGAAACGGCAGTGTGAGAGGTTGATGCCGGTTGCCGCGAGGCGGAGGTGGGATGCGCCGAAAGAGGTGACCAACAGGGCATATTCAGACCAGACAGATCGTACGGAGTAGCCAGAGAAGTCAGACAAGAGCAGGCAGAGCGGTGGCTGCTCACCCGGGAAAACGTAGTAGACGGCTCCAAGCTGCTTTAGATCCCGAAGACGCTGGAACTCAGGCGTGTCCTGCAGAAAACGATGGTCAGCAAGCAGGAGGGGGGGGGCATTTGCCGCCGAAAGCGCCACAGCCTGGATTGCCAGATATGCTGCAGCGTCCCTAATTGCGGGCTCTCGCTGTGTGTCAGCACAGAGATGGCCACGGAGCAATGCGACAGCTGGATGGCTGACCACGAGGACCCAATGCAGCTTGCTGTCGGCACGGATGAGAGGTGCCCGTACGTACGATGAAATCCATTGCGACCGGATCCACTTTGATGTGTCCATGAATCGGGTCGTTGATGACCTTTGCCCAAGGAAACGAGTTGGTCATTGTTTGCTGGCGTTGCGGATTGCTGTGGGTTGCGATGGGATGGATTGCGATGGGATGGGTTGTGATGGGTTGCTGCGAGCGTGATCTCGAAGGATGTCGGGGTGTTGATGGCCGAGTCCAGCGAGGCGAGGCAGGACAGTGAGGATACAGGTGGAGAGAGGGAGGCCAGAACGAGGGATGGGTTGGCCGTGCGAGCAGAACGACAGATGGCAGAGCAACGGATTACAAAAGCAAGCAAGAGGGCGGGGTGGAGTGGCCCTGCTGGTGCCGAGATTGCTCGCTCGCCAGCCGAGGGCTGTCCCTTGCGGGTGCTGCCCTGGCCCGGCGGAGAGTGGGTTCTGCATCGCTGTCTCTGAGCACTGGTTACCCCCGGCACAGCGCTGTCCCAGACAGGTCCCCGTCGGCATGTCGCTGCTCGGGTTCATGTCCGGCTCGGCCCGACCCCAAAGCCATGGCGATGCTCTCGACATGGCATCGAAAGGGTTTGCGGGCTGCCACAGTTGCAATTGCGCAGCCCCTGCTTCGGGCCAGACCCCGCTTTTGCCCAGGGCGGAGGGCGGTCTCTTCGACAGGCCACCTGCAGCCGATCTGCCAACCGCCTTCTGGCCCCGCAATCCGCCACCATGTCCAAAGATGCAACCGTCTATCTGCTTGATGTCAGCCGACACATGTATGCCCATCCCAGGGCGCCGGGCGAAACGTCCCATCTCGAGAAGGCCCTGTTTTGCATCCGCGAGCAAGTCCAGGCCAAGGTAACCCGCATTGCATCCACATCCCCATCCACATCCACATCCACATCCGCATCTGCGCTGGCACGCTGCATGACATGGGTATTCTCCTCGCATGTTGCGATGCTCGAGCTGACGACATTCGGGCGCCTCTCATCTGCACCATGGCCGCTTTGGCCTGATCTGGCGATGCGTCACCGGCCTGTTCCGGGCAACCAGCTCATCCAGGGTCGCAAAACCGATGTGATCTGCGTGATTCTGATGGGCACCCAAGGCATGTATCCTGGCGAGACAGCCACTCTCAATGTCTCTCACCGGTCAAGGGCATGTTGACGCATAACGAGCCTCCATCACGACGAGCCTGCCGCTCACTCGCCCGCTGCATCGTTCCCCGTCGCCCTCACAGAGACCCACAACTATCTTGCTTTGGGCGACTCTGAGCAGTACCAGCACGTCAGCATCCTGTTTCCGGACCAGTTCAACCTGCTGGCTGTTCCAAGCCTCTCGCTGCTCGAGGCGATCCAGAAGCCCGAGAGCCTTGAGGGCCAAGACGAGTGCGATGGTTGGCATCCGTGTGTCCGCTGGTCTCGATTCGCAGCAGCCCGTGTTGGATTGCATCGTCGGCAACTATCCAGATTGCCCTATGGCTTTGCTGACACCTGCTGTTTCCGAACCGGCCGTTTCACCAATCCCGCAGTCGTCGACGGACTCATTATCGGACTCATGACCATCGACATGTTCTGCCGCAACCTCAAGTACACCAAGCAAATATTTCTGTACACATGTGCCGAGAGCGCCTTCGTCGTCGACGGAAGCGACGAAGTCATTGACCGAGCAAAGGAAATGAATGTCGCCGTGAATGTCATGTAAGTCATCGGTCGACTCGACATTTTGGATACTCTGGCTCCAAACCCATCGATTTCCCTGCAATTTCCTTCGTGCTTACCGAGCCCATCTGGATTGCCGGCTCGAGCTTGTTCACGGCCGCCTGGGTTCGATCGACTCGCTAACTAGAGTGCTGTGGTGCACCAGCGGATTTAATTTCGGCAAGCCAGAGTCAAGCGAAATCAAGGTTTGCAAGCCTTGCACTCGCCGGAGCTAGCAGTGACGAGCTTTGCTGCTGAATGACACGCATCCATGTTGCCTCTGGCTTCTTGGCTCACTCGCTCTCGATTCCTCAATTCGACTTCTCCAGCGGTCTACGGAGCAGTATCTGGGCCAGTGCATGGAAACCACCGACGGCGAGCTTTGGGATGGCGACGAGGCCCTTGCGCTTCTGCAGAGTCTCCACACGAAGAATGTCAGGCCCGCGACTCTCTTCCGGGGGCCCTTGGTCTTGGGCGACCCGCAGCGTTATCCGACCGAGACGCTGGCGATCCCCATCTTCATGTACAACCGGACGGTCGAAGCAAAGCTGCCGACGGCCAAGAAGTGGTCCAAGGTGGCGCCGAACCAAGAGACCGTCTGCATGGTTCGGGCGAGCCAAGCGTACTACTCGGTCCATTCGGATGGTCTCGACGGTAATTTGCAGCCCGGTGACGATCGGCTAGAGAGACATGAAGTCATCAAGGGATACAAGTACGGCAAAACAATCGTGCCCTTCAACACCGTCGACGAGGAAGCCTTCAAGCTCAAGACCGAGAAGAGCTTCAACATTATTGGATTCATCAGCTTGGACAAGGTGGGAGTCGCTTCGTGCGGTGCAAAATTGCCGATTTTGTCGATGCTCATGCTGGAAAACTAGGATGGAGACTCCTGGGACGGCGACACTGAACATATCCTCGTCTCGGATGATCACTTACTTTGGAAATGCCACACAAACCAACTGTCAGGTCCACCGATGGATGTTCATGGGCAGCGTCGCCTCGGTCATGGCCGAGCCTGGCAACCTCAGCGCCAGCCGCTCGTTCTATGCGTTCTGTCGGTCGCTCTATCAAACGCAGGCATGCGCCCTTGTGCGCTACGTCTCCAGAGACAGCCTTGCTCCGAAAATCGGGGCGCTTATACCACGAATCGACACTGGCGAGACCTACTGTCTGTTTGTACAGGTGAGGGCCGGTTTGTTGTTCACGATAGACGCTGCATCTTCAATGCCGCTCGCGGAGGAAGAGCAGAACGCGGCTTGTGCGGAGCCATCGAAGTTATAGTCCATGAAATGGTGTCCCGCAGAGCCTGTGCTAATCCAAGGCACTGTTCAGCTGCCGTTCGCCGAGGATTGTCGAGACTATTCGTTCATATCACTGCGCCCTCTTACCGAGCCCACGCTCGGATTACCCGAGAGTAACCGTGTCGCCAGCGTCTTGAACTCGTCAACGTCCTTTGATGCCCACTCTGTGGGCTCGGGTGTCTCAAAGGGTACGTCCGTTGCCGGCCCGCCCGCCAAGCGAATGAAGTTCGATGCACGGCGGTGCTCGGACGAAGAGGTTCGTCATCGCATGGACGACTTTGTCGATTCGATGGATCTGATGAATCCCCCACCAAGCGGCTCAGACGGGTAAGACTTGTGTCGACAGTCCTTGACTCCAGGCACAATGCCGCCAGGCATGGATGTAGATAGCTCGGCCACACTGGCCCCGCAGTGATCTCATTCTCTCTGCTCAGATTCAGCGAGGCATTCAAATCGCAAGACGTCTTCAATCCGGTGTACCAGCGGCTATGGCAGTGTATCATCGCGCGGGCTCTGAACGGGCCAGCCTCGGAGATCCCCCCGGTGGATGCTCGGTTCATGGCGGGGATCAAACCACTACCGGAGCTGGAGGAGCGGGCCAAGGATGCATCGCTCAAGCTCTCCGAGGCCTTCAATGTCAAGAAAGGTAGTGTGGCAGACTGGCATGCACATTTCGTCGCTGCTGCGCCGACAACGTGGGACCAGAAGCATCCGGCCGGTCTTCTCGATCGCTAATATGTGGCATGAAGGGAGGAACTGCTGTTCGGTCTCAACCCTGTACTGCACTCGGACTTCTCACCTCTTTCACAATCGATCATATGGACTTGAATTTGCAGTCGAGAGCAAAAAGTCCAACACAACAAAGGATGTATGGATGGCCCGAGCGAGAAACGCCAACCTTCCGCTTCTCGATGGCCGCGAGGGCTCGGTTGCGCCGTCCGAGTCCAGCGTTTCCTCGGAGAAGCGCCGCCTGGCCGAATTGACCGTTGCCAAGGTCGAGAAAATCGGATCCATCACTCCTGCTGCTGATTTCCGCGCCATGTGTGCTCGTCGGGACAAGGACTGCATCCCTGCTGGTGAGTCAGAAAACGAGCGAGCGGGGCAATGGATCCACCAAGTGCTTGGGCCTGGACGGCCGCGTTTATGACAGTTTGCCGATGTTCAAGCACTAACACGCCGGACAGCTATGGAGCAGATGCCCCAAGTCATTCTCCAGCTCATCACCAACTCAGCCGATGGCGAGTACTACGACAAGGCTCTCGAGGCCATCCACGAGTTTCGTCGGGGCTGCATCATCGAGAGCGAGAGCGACTGCTTCAATGCCTTCTTGGAGCGCCTCCAAACCGAGACCCTCGTCAAGACCCGCCTGCACCACCGGTTCTGGAGCGGCCATGTCGTCCCCGGTGGCATCGGCGCCATCACCAGCGACGAGTGCCCGGACTGTGGTGCGCACTGAGGCAAGGGCGCCTGTCGAAACCGGGGCCGATCGCATGCTGCGCCCACGTGTCGGCGGCGCCAGCCAACCAGCGTCGCGGGGCTTTTTTTCGGGCCACTTCATTTGGCTTTCTTTTTTTTTGGAATCGGCTGGGCAGATTCGGGGCGGCCTGGGTCGGACCGTGCGCATACACCTTGGCACACCATCTCTCCCCGAGCACTGCTGAGATCCAACATGGGCAAGATCAAGAAGAAGGTGCGAACAGACATGCTGTCGCTGCCGCTCAGCAGTCGCGACGTTGCGCAATACACTCGGCTGTCTGTCCCGATCCCTCGAGCACACATCCCCAGCCGATTTCCTCGTCACAGCCTCGTCCCTCTGGCCGATGCCACGGCGGAGGGAGCTGCACCCGCGGGCTTGAGTGACTGGATCTGGGAACACGTCTCTAACGAGTGAAATGACACAATTCTGTCTGCGCGTGCGCTCTGCAGGGAGAAAGCGGAGCCGTCAGCAACTTCATCACCCGCACGGCTGCCGTGAGGAAGCTGCAGGTGTCTCTGGCAACATTCAGGTGCGAGCAATGGCAGATTGCCAGACTTTGAGGCATTCGAGGCGTTTCCGCAGCTAGTCTGCTGGCGGCCGCCACACCGAGGAGGCGTATCCGCTCGATGGTGCTGTTTGCTAACGCCCTCTTCCGCCGCCGGTTGGAACATCTCTGGGATGTCTCTGGACATCTCTCGGACCTTGGGCTTCATTACCGCCCTCAGACGGCTTTGTATATTGAAGGGAATCTATCCCCGTGAGCCCAAGAACAAGAAGAAGGTCGGCAAGGGCTCGACGGCGCCGAGAACGTACTATTACCGCAAGGATATCCAGTATCTCTTGCACGAGCCTATCCTATACAAGCTGCGTGAGCAGAAAACCTTTGCCAAGAAGCTCACCAAGCTCATTTCGAAGAAGGAATGGTCGTCCGTCGACCGTCTGCGTGAGCAAAAGCCCAACTACACAGTCAACCATCTCATCAAGGAGCGCTACCCGTCCTTTGTGGATGCCATTCGAGATCTAGACGATGCGCTGTCAATGGTGTTTTTGTTCTCGACGCTGCCTGCCGGCGACAAGGTCCAAGCGCATCATGTTCAAAAGTGCCAGCGCTTGGCGGCTGAGTTCCAAAACTGGGTGGTGACCAGCCGTGCGCTGAAGCGGGTGTTCCTGTCCATCAAGGGAATCTATTACGAGGTCGAGATCAAAGGCCAGCCGGTCCTCTGGATTACGCCATACCAGTTCTCGCAAAACGTACGTATCTTGTCCTGTCTTCTCACCTCTGCGCCAGCGTGAGTGCGATGGCGCAGAGAAGGGCAGAGCAATATTCAGTGCGATTCCTCCCGGGATTCCATGTCCCTTCCTCGCCCTGCATCTGCGTTTGAGATGCCAAGCAGCTCACGGCTCCGCCCCTGGATTGTGTTCCTCGTGGTCTTTGCACAGATTCCCACCGACGTGGACTTCAGGGTCATGCAGACGTTCCTGGAGCTCTACGAGACGCTCCTCGGCTTTGTCAACTTCAAGCTGTATTCCGAGCTCAATCTGATCTATCCGCCAAAGCTGGATGACAGCTTGGAGTCTGGCGCCGTTGGTCTCAGCTCGCTGATCCTGCAGAGCGCACAGGGTCGCGAGGTCCTGGACGCCCTTGAGAAGAAGCAGAACCAGGCCGAGCCCGAGGTTCGACCTACCCATGTAAGCACCCACGCCATTGCTTTGACGCAGTTTCTGCATGCATTTATGGAGCTTGGAATCTAGAGTCTGGTTCTTTGATGGGTTGTTGGCATGTTTCGCCATGTTGTGTGCGCTGCGTAGCGCCAAATCGATTGTTGGTCGGCTGGTACATGAACCTATCTTGATTTTGCCTGCGCCTCATTACAATATGGCATCGCTCATTCCGATACGCAATGCAGCAACAAAAAGCCAAAACCGGCAAGCGACTGGAGAGTCTGAATGCAAAGATCAGCCAGATTCAGTCCACCGACGATAACGACAGCAATGGCAACGACGACGGAGCCGCTGGGCCCGAGGAGGACGAGAACACCCTCGGTGACAGCGTTCCTCAGCCCATTGCCAGCGCCCAGGCCGACGCGGATATTTTGCCCTCGATCTCTGATATCAAGCACGAGCTCGCCAGCGCCGATGCAATGCAGAAGCTATTCTCCGGATGCATCTTTTGGCTGTCTCGCGAAGTGCCCCGGTACTCGCTCGAGTTTGTGATCCGGGCATGTGGTGGCCAAGTTGGCTGGGATGCAACATCGGGAGCGGGATCGCCGTTCCGCGAAGATGACCCGCGCATCACCCACCACATCATCGACCGCCCCCTGACCGACAGCTCCAGCAAGATCGATACTCGCGAGTATCTCCAGCCTCAGTGGATCTACGACTGCGTCAATGCCAAGTTCCTGGTCAAGACGCGCGGGTACCACCCTGGCGAGGTTTTGCCCCCGCACATGTCGCCCTTTGCTGTCCTCCGAGATGGCGATTATGTTCCTCCGGAGGCTCAGGCCAATGAACAGGAAGCCGAGGGAGCCGAGAAGGGCGAAGATGAAGATGCAGAAGGTGTCGATGACGAGGATGACGAAGATGATGAAGACGATGTTGAGGAAGAGAACGATGGCGATGAGGACGAAGAGGCGATTCACAAGGCAGAGCTCGAAGCCGAAGCTGCCGGTGTGTCCTTCTCAGAGTATGTCCAACAAAAGGGTCTCACCGGCGCGGGCAAAGCCAATGCCGGAAGCAAGAAACGCAAGTCTACTCAGGAAGACGAAGAAAAGGAGCTTGCCAAGATGATGATGTCGAAGCGTGACAAGCACCTCTACAGCAAGATCCAGTATGGCAAGAAGCGCCGCGAGGTGGAGGTGAGTAATCGTATTGACGATCGATAGCAATGGCGCCGTAGGAGCAGGGACGCACCTGTTGTTCAGGGATAATAACACCCCCCTCTCTCGCACTTACTTCCGCAGGCCGAGAAGCTGCGTGCTCGCCGCCAGCAGATCGACAAGGAGGCCAAGCAGAAGCAGCAACAGCAGAAGAAAGCCAAGAAACCAACGCCAAAGAAGTAAATGGCACACCACCGGATGCCACAACTGCTGTCATGTACTTGATGCTGTCGCCTGACTTCTGTACAAGATTGGAACTCGGGTCTGAATACACACTCCATCGTTGCATCGTACCTCGACGCTCGACGAATCTGTGTGGTAGTTTGTGCTGTGCTTCGAGGAGTATCCGCAGTTCCGTGGATCCGGCGATGGCTTCGATCGGTCTGGATCTCAGGAGCTGTCGGCACAAGGAATTTATGAGCCACGAGCCCTGACCAACGTTTCAATGCGCTTGGATGATGAACATCAGAGAGCCAGCCACCTGTCGCCGTTCTCTCCTGTGGTTGTTTGTGCAGGCCTGAGGCTGCTTGTTTGTGATTGAGCCCAGCCGTCTTCCGCTCTCGATCGAGATTTCGACACAGCCATCGAGTGGTATACCAAAGCTGCCGACCAAGGGCATGGCGACGGTCGCCTTCATGTTGTTTTCCTGCGAGCCTGGTTCTCGTTCATCGGCCATGGTGTCGAACAGGACAAGCAGAAGGGAGCCAGGCTCATCCGGGAGAGCAAGTCGGACGAGTTCCCGCTTGAAGAAGACAACTGTCTGGCTGGATACAATGATGGCAGCTCCGACTCACCAACATCTCGTAAATTCCGCCAGTTGTGTGAGCTGGGATCCAAGCAAGACTGGCTTTGCAATCACCTCGTGGTTCGCCAAGTCGGCACGCCAGGGCAGAAATCGACAACCGGAGGCGTGCATCGATCCACTGGCTCCGATCCCGAGTCGACAAACTGCTCGTCGCGATCCGGTGCTGGTGGCCCTGATTGCAAACACCAATGGCTGACGTTCGGGAGTGCCCTCCATCGACCCGACCTCTGACTCGGTGGGTGCATGGCCCAGACAAAGCGAAAGCGGGTCATCCAAATATACGCCTCTATACGCAAGCTCGTCGATGCAGGTCTCATCGAATCATCGCTCCGTGACATCTCCTGCTGCCGACCAAAGCGGTCGTTTCCGGAGACCCGACCCGAAGCACGGCCACAACCTGTCCATGTGTCGTCTGGTGGCGGTGGTGCTCCCAAAGCGCCCGTGCTCGAGGGTATCTCGTCGCCTCGATCCATGAAGCCAGAGCCCAATGGGTTCCCGTGACCCCGGTATCATCCCCTGCCTCTGAGTGGTTCGACGCTGGCGATGTGATACCGGCCGCACCCAGCATATATTCGGGGACGGCTTCCTGACCCCCGCCTCTCCATCTTGCCTCTTCGTCTCGCCTCTTCGTCTCGCCTCTGCATCCGATTCCTCATCGACCATCCCTCTTCCTGATTTGGACCTGATTCATCTCCGCCGCCATGTCCGAACCTGTTTGCACTCTCAATGCACTTCACCATGACACCACAGCCGTGTTTGGGCTCGGGTTGGACAGCGTTGCTGCCAATGCCATGCCAAACGAGGACATTTCATGTTCTGATGCCCAAGAATGCTCGACCAGCGCTCCCCTGGCCAATGTGCCCGAGCCTGGTGTTGCAGAGCGGCAAGGTGCCCTTGTCCACTCGTCCCTCGTCGAGCAGGACCTCCTCACCGTACTCATCTGCAACGACGCCTTCCTCGAGAACATCGATCTCACCACGCTCTCAAGACTCCCTCAGCTTGCCAAAGAGCACAAGGGCATCCTGGCCCTCATCCCAAGCGATATCTGGATGGAGTACTTTTGCCGCGATATGGGAATCAATATCGACGCCTTCAAAGCCAGAACGGTGTATCTCGAACCCGCTCATCGAAGACTCCTCCTCGAGGGATGCTACTGCTTCTACAAACGAACGACGGACCTCCCGCCTGGGTTCTCTTCCTATCAGAAGGAGTTGGCCCTCTGGCGGGCCATGGAACAATCCGAGAAACTGCGAGAGATCGCCGGAGCGATCTTACCGGATACGTTCCAGTCGACTGGTGGCGCCTGTCCGTGCCAAGTGGCAGCTCTTACTCCCGATGATCTGAATGACCTCAGCCCCGCCCACCAGTTCAACTTGATGGACAGTTCCTGGATCGCCTACTCCCAGCAATGTTCCTCCTGTCGCCTGCTATCATCAATCTTTTCTTCACCAACGCCGACACGAACTATCATCCGCTTTGCCGAGCATCCATTCCACACTGACGAGCAGTGGTCGCACCTTCTCCCTCACGAAACTCACTTTCTCAACAACATATACGTCGAGGTTCTCCATCTGACCAACTGTTCGTTCTCTTCGTTGTCCGGATGGCCACAAGTGATCACTCAAATTGCTACACTGTGTATCCGCGACCGGTCCGAGACCACTATAAACATGACCGGGATGCCTGCGATGCCGGACCTCACCAAGCTCGTTATCGAAAGCACGGGCCGCAGCTTCGAAGGGATGCCAGAGTGTCTGCCCTCGCTCATTGAGTTGGACATCTCTGCGTGCAACAATGTTTCATCACTGGCTGGCCTTGCACAGATGCCCCAGCTTACCAGCCTGACTCTTCCGGACTCGATCGAGACACTTGCCGGAATGCCCTCCGGCCTCGAGAGTCTTAGGGTGCTCGACCTGAGCAGCTGCTCCAAGCTCTCGTCACTGGATGGAATGCCGTCCATCCCGAATCTGGGCATCCTTATCTTACCGAGTGGAATCCAAACCCTCAAAGGAATGCCCGAAACACTCCAGTGCCTTCACACCCTCAACTTGAGGCGCTGCAATCTACTGACCTCATTGGAATTTATGGCTTCACCATCGTCTCTGTCCGTGCTCGAGCTTCCAGAGTCTATCGAGAGCCTCGAAGGGCTACCAAGCTGTCTCGAGGACTTAAAGTCGCTTGATCTCTCACATTGCGAGAGGCTTGTGTCCCTCAAGGGCATGTCCTCCATGCCCCGACTCGAGTCGCTTGAACTGCCCGAGTCTCTTCGCTCGCTGGACGGGATGCCCTCCGATCTCAAGCAACTCGAGACCCTGGACATGTCCAAGTGCTGCCTCCTCAGCTCGCTCAAGGGCCTGCATCCGCTCCCCAGCTTGAAGTCGCTGAAGCTGCCACATCCGAGCGAGGGGGCATTGAGTTTGTCCGATTGGGCCGACTGGGTTCGGTCGCTCCCAGAATACCAAGATTACCTTTCATCGGATGGCTCGCTCGCCTCGCTCATGCCATCGCTCGAAGCCATGTGGCTGTCCACGTCACTGGTCGGTTTGGATGGGCTTGACAAGACATTTGAGTCAGTCAAGACTGTCTGGTTGCGATCATACGGAGACTTCAAGTCCGTCATCAAGTCACCGCCACTGCCTGCTCTGGAAGAACTTTGGATCACGGGCCCTCTTGACAACCTGGAGTACATAGCCGAGTTCTGTGGCTGGGCAAAACATCTGCACCTGGAGGAGGTAGAGGGCCTCAAGTCGCTCGTGGGAATGGTGGAGATGCCTCTGTTGATCTGCCTCCGACTCCCGTCGTCCATTGAATCGCTCGAAGGCATGCCGTCGTCGCTTGATTCGCTCGTCAACTTTGAACTCACCATCTGCAAAAACCTGAAATCGCTCCAAGGACTGTCGAGCATGGGATCGATTTCGAAGCTCGAGCTCCCATCGTCGATCGAGACCCTGGAGGGGATGTCTTCTCTTCAAGACCTCCGAGTCCTGGACATCTCGAAATGCGGCGATCTGCAGTCCCTCTGTGGTCTCGTCAGTCTCCCCAGTTTGCGCTCGCTTCAGCTCCCTGACAGTATCACGTCCCTCGACATTGCGTCCGTGTGCTTGGAATCGCTTGTGGAACTGTCGCTGCAATCGTGCTCGTCTCTGGAGTCGCTGCAGGGCTTCCCCGAAGTCCCGAATCTGGAGGTCCTGGTGCTTCCTCAATCCCTCAAGAACTTGACGGGTCTTCCGCCGATTTTGCCTGTGCTGAAGACCCTTCGAATTGCAAACACAAACGAGCGCAGTGATGGCGCCACAAAGTTCGAGGGGTGTCCGTTGATGCCAATGCTGGAGTGCCTTGATCTTTCGGGCTCAGTGGAAAGCCTCGAGGGACTGGCTCCGACACTGGAGTCTCTCAAGACTCTCACCGTAGGATCGAGCCTGTCGACGGAACTGGTGGCTGGAATGCCACAGATGCCCAATCTGGAGAAACTTGAGCTGCATCCGTCAAACTCGAGTGCTCAGGACCTTGCATCAGCCATCCAGTCCTATCGGCCCGACATTATCGTTGAAGACCTGGACGAGGATAACGAAACAACTTCCGACCTGATCGAGGGCTTGATTGCCCTGAGAACTCTCGAGTATATGTTGGCTATGCTTTCGCTGTTCTCGAACTAGCCAGAGAAGCCGCCGACACAATGTAGCGCTCTGGCGATGCCAGTGACTCGAGGGTGCGGCCTGACGATACTGTTTTCTTTGCTTGTTTTCTCTGCTTGTTTTCTCTGTCTATGGTCTCTGTCTGTGGTCTCTGCTTAAATACATGTCTCTATTTATCAAGTGATGCGAGTGGGATTCCTGCAAAGCTACGGCGCGACAGCGGGACATTGTTTTTGAGCCGGGTCCATGTGTCGCTGTTCTCTGGTCCCGAATACACACCCGCCCATCATGGTCAAATCGTGTGTCCAAAATCGATATATTTGTCGGACTTGTATTTGGTCACTGGTCAGTGGCGCCAGTAAAGCCAAGAAATAACAACAAGAGTGAAGCCGTCATGGGACGGATGAGCCAAAAGGTATAGTCGACAGGACCGCATTAGGTTGTCCCTCAAGAAAACTGGACGTTGACATCTCCGCTGGTCGTGGAAACGGTCAGATGGCTCGGCGAAGTGCTTCCGCCAACCTGTCCGGTGACTTCCTTTGAGCCTGTTGAGGGGCTCAGCACGACCGAGCTGCCGCTGACCTGGACCGAGCCGGAGTTGGTGGTGATGTCGATGGAGCCGACAATCGGGCCAGAGAACCGGGGGCTGATATCGCCGCTGGTGGAATGGAAGTCAAGGGAGTAGGCGGTCGAGATAGTTCCAGTGAGCGAGACACCCAGCGAAACATCACCGCTAGTGGAGGACTGCTTGAGCTGAGAGCCGATGGAAATATCGCCACTAAATCGTCCGCTCGTGGTGGTGAAGCCGGCGTGTTGAGAAGCCGAGGATCCCTATAATATGCCACCAGTTGTTAGCTGCCTTCGTGCTGCACTCTTGCCTCATCCCAAGAGTGAAAGCAGGCGACTTGCACCATACAGCGCAACACTTACGGTCGTCTGGATGCTGCCACTGTTGGTTGAGATATCGAGCAAGGTCGAAACAACAGCCGTGAGACCGACATTGCCGCTGGTGCTGACGACAGAGAGGGCGCTGATGTTGGAATTCTAGAGGGAGGGATCAGCCGCTGGTGAGATACACGACCCGAGAACAACATCGGGAAGTTGTGGGCAAGAGCGACTGATTCCTACCTGCAGGGCCAGATTACCACTTGTGGTCTGAAGGGTGATGTTTGAAGAGGCTGCGGTGACAACGTTCTAGAGCCAGACAACAATATAAAGGTCACATCAGATCGCCTACGATTCTATGCGCATGTTGCGGTACTAGCAGCAGTTGGCAAGCTTACCGAAACGGCAACGTCGGCGCTTGCAGCCTGAATCTGAACAAGTCCCAGAGCCTGTGTTGGGTGAAGATTGACGATCGAGATGGTACCGCTTGCGCACGTAAGACTGATATTGAGGGCACTGCTGAGAACTTGGGGAAGCTGGACCTCGACAGCGACAAAGTAGCTCTGTGAGGCAGTCGCTGTTGGGGCTTGGACCAGGAGCGACAGCGTCCCCTGAGTGTTGACGGTGGCTGATACTTGGCTCAGCAGCGACTGGTCCGAGAGATGGTAGTGGTAGGTGAGGAGGACATTGGAGTTGTTGAGATTATGGGAGGTGAGGACAAAGCCGGCCGACTGTTGGAGGTGCGAGGCGATGAGTTGAGCAGTGTGTGCAGTGTGTGCAGTGTGGTTGGCAGCATTGAGAGCATCGTTAGCGACAAGTCGGTGGACGTGAGGGAACGGTGGCATCGCAGAGACAAGACTGTACATGCCAGGGCCAAGATCGGCAAAGCACAACCAACAACCACTTACAATCGAGCCCTGGACGCTGACCGAGACGGCCGAGATACCGCTGACGCTGATCGGCGACTGGAGCGGATACGAAGGATAGCTGCCTTCGGGGATCATCGGGAACGGACTCTCGAACTCGTTTTGAGGCTGCAGGTTCGAGTTTGACGGCCACTGGTAGTTGCCCTGGATTGCTCCAAAGATGACGTTCTGCGGACCAAGAGAGTGGTCGACAGGACCATGCAGTGAGCGAATCGCAATTGGGGCTTTCGTCGCCGCTGCTAAGCGGGTCGTCAAGCTGGTTGTCAAGCTGGTTGTCAAGCTGGTTGCCAAGCTGGTTGTCAAGCAAGACGTACGTGGTAAACGCCAAGCACAACCCCAACGACGATGAGCACCACCAGCACCACACCGCCGATGGACAGGCCACAGCATCGGAACTTGCGCAGTCGGCGGACATGTTTATCTGCGGTAGGATCGTACTGCACGGGGTGGGCAGGCTGAGGAGGATAGACGAAGGCGTTGTTTTGGCCAGTGCTGGCCTGGCCTGGGTCTGCGAGCAAGGGCTGGCTGTAGGCAGGCACAGGATGAGCTGGTCCGTAAGCAGGCAGGGCCTCTTCCTCGGGCTGGCTGCTGGTGCCGTGTGTGTTGAACAGCAGGTCCTTCTTGACGTTGCTCATGGCTGTTGGACGGGGCTGTTGCGATGGCAGATGGGGGCAGAGTGTGCCGCAAGAGGAAGCGGGTCGCTTGGACGGGCTTTGGACGGTTATTGGCGACTGTTTTGGTCAACACCGGCTCGTCTTGTCGCTCTGCATTCGGCACCGGATTTGACACTGGAGTTGACGCTGCATTTGACGCTGCATTTGACGCTGCATTTGACATTAGACTTGATTCCGCATCCAGCACCGGGGCTGGCATAAAGAGGCGGCGCTGCCCTCTCCCTGCCCAGCACCGGCCGTGCTCGTTGTTCCAAAGAGGGGTGTCCCCTCCTCCGAGCCCCATCGGAACCGGGAATGGCCCCTGCTGTCCCGGGCTCTGTCCCGAGGCCGTCCCCGACCTTTGCCCGCCCAGCTGGCTGCATCCTTTCCCTCCGTCGTCCTGATCAGCCCTGCCGTCAGCGCCAACGCACTGCCAGACCGCCATGAACTCGCTCCTGTTTCGACGTCCGCTCGCCTCGATTCCTCGAATCTCGTCCCGACGAGCGGGAGGCATCCGCGCTGACTCCAGCTTCGCCAACAATGCGGCCGAGTGCTTCGTCGAGAGGCTCTCGGGCGATCGCGAGGGTATGGACGCATCTAGTTATCTCAGGGACTGTTCATCTGCTTTCGCAGAGCAAGTGCGATGGGGCAGATGGCTTCCCGATCCCATCGCAAGCACAAGGACCGCCCTGGCTGGCGGGGTTCCTCACTATGGAGCTTGCTGACGTCGCAACAGTATCATATCATCTGTTGCTTCACATGGGCATCGTCCTGACCCTCGGTTCTTTTCCAAAGGCATCTATATCCTCAACCTGAATCGCCCGGTTGCCAAGAATGCTCTGGGCAAGGCGTTCATGGATCAGTTCCGCAGCAATCTTCATGAGCTCCGCTTTGACCCGTAAGTTCACCTGCTCGCTCGCAATAGCTCGTCGATCCACAGGACGAGCAGTCATCTTTGTCAAAGTCAACCTCACCGACTCTTATCCCAGTAACTGCCGCGTCCTGATCGTCCGGAGCCTAGTCGATCGAGTCTTCTGCGCCGGTGCCGACCTCAAGGTGGGTCACCCTTGCATCCGCTTGGGATAGATGCTTGCTGGCCAGCTATCGATCAACCAGAGTTGCTCACTTTGCATTGGCTTCAGGAGCGCCAAAAGATGACCCAGGCCGAGGTCGCTGCCTTTGTCCACGGTCTAAGAACAGCCTTTGTCGACTTGGAAGTAGGTCACAGGAGAGAGTCGGTGTGTGCTGCTCGTCGTTGGCTACGCTGGGGCCATATGCTGATCGCTCTCCTGTTTGTCCCGATTTCCAGACTCTCCCAATGCCCACGATTTCTGCGATCGACGGCGCGGCCATGGGTGGTGGCCTGGAAGTGGCTCTTGCAACCGACATGAGAGTGGCGGGTAAGACAGATTGAGATGCATTCGATTGGCACGGGCCTGCAGGGTGTGCTCGAGAGCCATCCCTCAACCCAAGAACCCGCAATGTACCCGCTCCAGGAACTGGCGCCAAGCTGGCCCTCCCCGAAACCAAGCTGGCGATTATTCCCGGAGCCGGAGGCACCCAGAGACTGCCTCGGCTGATCGGTGCGGCCAAGGCCAAGGAGCTCATCTTCACAGGACGCATCTTGAACTACAAGCAATCTGTTGACTGGGGTAAGCATTGTTCGTCAGGACAGGGACCTGGCAGACACAGAGACGACCTGTACCTGCAGCTCCTCGGACGCTTTGGCCAACGTTGAGATGGTGCCGGCATCGCTTGCCAACCCGCATATACCATACTAAAAGTGTTATGCGTGGCTCCCATCGAACGCAAAATCGCCGACCTTGCTTCAAGGACTCTGCAACTATGCCGTCGAAGGATCTGCCTTCGACAAGGCAGTTGAACTTGCCCAAGAGATCCTGCCTCAAGGTGTGTATGCTTTGAGAGAAGCCACGGAGGGACTCGATCGTGGATGTGTCCTACTGCAGCCTGCTGATTACCATGAATGTTGCTGCAGGACCGATTGCCATTCGTATGGCCAAGCTGGCTGTCGACCGGGGTATCCAGCTGGACAGGTGCGTGATATTATCTGATCGCTGCCCGACGACCGTGTCGCAAGTCGAGGCTGTAGCCAAGACAACGCCATGACACAATCAGCTTTCTGACCCGTATGCTTGATTGCCCATTGCTCTTCTGTCTGGCACCCAGCGCCTCTGGAATGGCATTTGAGCAGACATGCTATGCCCAGGTGATTCCCACGGAAGATCGTCTGGAAGGTACATTGTCCACTGTCCGCTGGCTGCCAACGCAGCCAATGCCTTGCACGACAAGACGATCGTCTGGGCACCATCGATTCTATTTTATTCGACTCGATTAGTTTCGATCCGATTAGTTTCGATCCGATCCGTACTCAGTAACGTATTGAATATTGCGTCATGGTTGCATATGCAGGTCTCCGCGCCTTCCAGGAAAAGCGCAAGCCTGTTTACAAGGGCCAGTAACGATGGCGACATCCCCTACTGTTCACCGCTCTTGGTAACAGGAGAAGAGCTAGGCTCTGCCATCCCGGCTAGAATCTGAAACGGCTGGGTGTATCTCAAATCGACTCTTGGAACGGAGTTTGATCACACGCCTCCTTGCACCGCGCGCGGTCAGCCGAGCATATCGACAGCGTGTCGACATCGTCCTGTTTGGTATATTGCGGCTGAGGTGTTTGGGAGGCGTCTGGGCCCTAAATTATAGGAGACCGAGTCAGTGCCGACGGCGAGATGATCAGTGCACGGGTCAAGTATCCTGGAGGAGATAGACCTGGTGGCTTTGGCGAGATCCTGTTGCTCGGAAACGCAAGTGCTGGAGCTGGGAAGCTGAAGATGCCGCCCTTTCTTGGCGTGAACAACTTCGATGCCGAGGCCGACCCATCCGTTTGCATGCTTGGCGAAGGCATGTGCAAAAACGATTCCGCGAGCTGGTCCAGGTCACTCGACGTCGCCGATCGCGGGGTGTATCGGCGTAGGCTGCTTGAGATGGGCCCAACCATCTCGGTAATGGGTCGGTGTATAAACACCTGCTCGGCATGGTCGGCTGGACGCACCAGGGTCGTCGATGGATTCAACGATGCAAACTTCTCACGGAAGGAACCTCGTCGGCTCCGGCTCTGGTCGGTCAACCTCTCAGTGGCCTTGGATATCAGAGACACGGCACCAGGCTCCAGACCGGTCTCGCCTGGAGCAACGGCGCCGGTTTCGACTACGTTGCTGCAGAGAGTCGAGCTTTCGGTCGGGAGAGCAGCTTCGTTTTGATCATGTGTGTCCGGGGCGATGGTACTTTCGGCGAGGTCGGAGTGACCAACAGGCTCGGGGACAGCCCCGCCCTCATCCATGCCATGTCCGATGCCGTACTGCTTTGCATCGGTTTGGGTCCGGTTGCCCGATCCAGACTCACCAGTTCGGCCCAGACCGAGATGGCTGGAGACGTTGAATCCAAGGTTTGTCAGCAGATTCGCATCGACCTGGCCGGCTGCTGGCGCCCCGGAACAAATGACTGATCCAAGCGCGGATCCTTCCTGGAGCAGCTCGGATTCCTGGCGCCAGTTCAGTACCGACATCTTGGTGGAGGACTCTGTGAGCGATGGCTGAGCCGAGCCCAGTTCCAAGGCTGCAGCAAGCTCGTTTGCGGTGAATGGCTGTGGTGCGACGGCCGCCTCAAGCACGGACATGGCTTGGATAGAGTTGTCGGGCTGGTGCAGACTAAAGCTCGACGAGTTCAAACTGGAAGATGAGCTCGAGCCCAAGGCTGCCTCATGGTTCATGCTGACAACCCAGCCTGCGGCATTGCCTTCAGCGACTGCGAACGAGCCCGGGAGAGCCCATTCGGCCCATCGACCAGGGGGCTCCGTGTCGACGCTCTCGAGAGATTCAGCGATCGACTCGGTGCTCTGTGATGCCTGGCCGTTCCACGAATTGGAAGCAACCACGGGCTGGTTCGCCAGGACGGGAGCGCCGAGATCGGGATGAAGAGACCCGAGCGCATTCCAGCTGACCTGCTCGATGAGGCTGCCTGGATAATCGATTGGGAGCTGTCGGGGGTCAGGGGTCTTGTTTGCCACAGACCGGACTGAGCTTTTCTTCCGAGAGGCACTACTACTACCGCGACTGTTACTGCCGCTGCTGCTGCTGTTGATGCTGATGGTGCCTTTGCCTTGGAGCTGAAGTGGAAGCGGCGTCGCTGGAATCTCCGAGGCAACCGCGGGTTTCTTCGAGGGCTTGTTGTACTGGTAATCGGGCCATGTTTTCTTGTGCTCGGCCCTGATGGCTGCAGCTTCTTTCCTGAAATAGCTCTTGATTTCCGGCGACGCTTCCCGCCAATAGCTGCTGATGATGAGGACAATGTCTCGACTGTTCTTGTTCGGATATTGCTCGCGCAGGATAGGGTACATGGCTGCACGGAAGCACATGAAGCTGTTTACGGGGCGCTTCGGCTCTTCGGCATCGCTCTTGGAAAGTGGTTCGACCGGGCCGTCGGCAGAGACTACGACAGGAACCAAGATCACGTTGCCCTGCGGGTTGGCCGAGACGCACATACTCGCAATGTCTATCTGCAGCTGCGAGGGCTGGCTGATGGAATGGGCAAGGAGCGGGTTGCCTGAGAGCATCGACAGCGACACCAACGAGTGCCGCAACCACGCCTGGAGATCAAACCTTGTGGCATTCGGACCGGCGACATTGTTCTGGGGCAGCGGGTTTCCAGGATTGGCTGTATTCTCCATGACTAAAGCGGCTCTGATGGCGGATAGACGGGAACTGGCCGACAAACAAGCCAGTGGGAGCAGAGCGAAATCGATGGTGGGTAGAAGGCAGCCGGTGAATGGCAGAAGGCAAACAGAGTCTTGGTATGGCCGCAGCCGAAATACGATGGGGGGTCGCCCGGTTGTGCGGTCCCGCCGGCCATGCACAATCGGATCCGGTGCAATGCAAATCTGTGATCGGCTATGCAAACGCCAGCCCAGAGCTACAGTCAGTGCTTTCATAAATTGAGCCCCTCTGCTTGTTCGCACTTCTACCCTGGACTTCGACTCAGCCCATCTTCGAACAATCGCCCCCACCACACCACACCACACCACACCGATGGACGGTCGTGGGAACTGGCTGGCTGGCTGGCTGCTGTTTTTGGGTGGGAATGTGCACGGAACAACGGGGCAGTGTGCTTTGTATCTTGGTGGCATGCCACCACACCGCAGAGTTCATTCGCTCGAGCCATCTGTTCTGATCCACCAGCACACCGCCTTTGGCGACAGAACGTGCTGAATCGAGCGGCCTTCTCACTGCGGATGAGTACCGGGCTGACCTCCGGCAGCCAGAGACAGGGGGCTCGCTACGGCTGCTCGCTCGACGCCGTCGATTCAATCATCTCCTTGTATGTGGCGTGGATCTGCTCAAGCACCTGGATTCCCTCGGTGTAGAGGCCGTGTCTCTCGGCTTCCTGGATTCGGGGGCGCTTGGTGATTGCTTTAATAGCCGAGGCCTCGTTCATTTCCTTTTCTTCTTGAGGATGTGTCGTGTTGTGGCTGATGGAGTTGGAGTCGTATATGAATGGTGTGCGTCAATGGTCACTCGATACAAATGTCTGTATGTGTCCAGGCATATGGTTTCCTCGCTCAAACCATGGTGTCGTAACTCGAAGCCAAATATCGAATGGCAGTTATCCCGAGGCAGCGATCTGAATGCGTTCTAGATGGCATTGGGACGCAAGCGGCGTACTTACAGATAGTAGTCCCACGGGTCATATGCTGACAAATAGTCGAAAATACTGGCTGGGTTTGAGCAGTCGCCTGCGTAGCCGATGCGGCGCAGATAGCAGATCCCCAGCGGCAGAGACGTGAGGGCATCGACGGTGCCACGTTTGAGCTTCAGAGCCAGCTGGTCCCGGACGGCGGCGCCGATCTGCATGTTGTTTACGATCTGAATCTGCTTTTGCTTGATCTTGAAATCCACATCCATGAATTGCATCAGCTGCAATGGCGAGGGCGAGAGTGAGAGCGAGGGCGAGAGGCGACCGCACCGGGTGCGTTAGAAAGCAAGTATGCATGGTTGCATGGTTGCATGTATGCCCAGGGCAGTCATCCCAGAAGCGAGAGATGGCGAGGTCTACGGTGGGACGACAAACGACACAACGATGGCCCAGGCAGCGTCCCAGGTGCATCTGTGCCTCGAGCGGATGTTTGTATCTTTGGATGGTGCTCAACTAGCGCAATGCTGCTTAGATCTGTCCAACCTTCGGTCTTATCGGCCCCGCCGAGTGGCTATTAGGCACCCGGACTCACCCTGTCGGTCCACGAGCTACTGATCTCTTGCGAGAGAGCACTCCAGTCTGCGATTCCCTCGGAGTTCATAAAGATTTGCTTCCGCAGCAGAAACTGGGCCTTGCCCCTGAGTCGTTCGTACGGGTCGTGGATGTTATGCTTGCCAAAGGCTCTCCCGAGCAAGCCCAGTCCGTCGCTCGAGTAGATCCGACCCGATCTCATGGTCTTCCAGCTCTCATTGATAGCCAGGCGCTTGACCATGACGATCTTTTGGTTCAGTCCGCGTCGGTGCGGCCCCATGGGCCGGTCTTGCATCCATGCCAGAGTCTTTGGGTTAAGATACGAGAGGTCGAGAACAAAATCGGGCCCGTAGTACTCCAGCTTCCTGTCGCCAAGGCTGCATAGCTGACGGGCCATGACATCGATCCGGGCGGTTGAAGCAGAGCGCGATGGGGCGCCTCCAAGCACTGGAAACGCCATGTTCGCGCTGGGCGGACCGAAATGCACCGCAAACGCAGCAGGATTGTCAAAGCTGTCGGTGATGGGGAGCCATCCGGCTTCGAAAGCCTTCTCGAGATCCCCGCCGTCGGTGTGATACTCGCAGACGGTGTGGTAGTGGTCCAGCAAGAACCGGTCCTTTAGCCTGAGCGGGATCACCACGACATGCGATTCCTCCGGGATAGGATAGTGCAGAATCGAGCCACCGTCAAGACTGCCCCAGCCCCGCAGACTCGGCTGCCCCTCCACCGAGGCAGCGTCCATACGATGGCGCGAGAGAATGAGAATGAGCTGCGTTTGCTCCTGTTTTCGGTCGTTGCGAACGACTTCGGCGCATGCTCGCCACAGCCGCGAGACCCGCCGGCATATCGCCAGCGTCTTGACCGGCAGGTGGTAGAGAGTGGAGTAGAGCAGCTCCGGAACATCCAATGGTGTCAGGCGATTCCTGAGCAGATCGTGGCTCATTGATTCGAGAGGTCTTGCGACGCGCAAAGGTGATTTGGAGACGTGGGGAAGCTTCAGAGTTGCAGAAAGAATTTGAGAGGACAGAGGAATCCCAGGCGCAGACCGATCAGGAAGCCTATCAAGTCTGGGGTGGCGAGTGATGAATGTCGGCACCTCAGCGACGATGCTGGCTGTAGCGAATGCAGAGGACGGTTGGAGGTGCCGTTTCGATGGCTTCCTGCAGGGTCTGGGAAGAGAGAATCCGCCACCCACTCCCCCCCCCGCCGCCGGCCTGGGATATGCGGAACGAGAGGGGCCTGACGTCGATGCCCGCCTCGTCTCCAACACCCCAGCTGCTCCATGAGACACCGCGTCGTATGCACATCCGAGGGTCGCAGCTGCTGCTCGAGCACGAACCAAGACAGGGACCGGTGCTGGGCGACGGCAACGGAGCCATCTCGCCGCTGCTGGCGAGATGCCGTGCGCCAAGAGTCCCCAGCAGTCAGGGCGGTGGCTGTTTGGCTGTCGCTCTGGCTGGCTGGCGGAGGGAACTGGGATATGGACCGCCCTGGGTTTCGGGGCCTGACCGGCGCTGCGATTCCCATGGCCACGACCCACACGTGTCCACTCCACCCAGCCAAGGCCCAGTCCTGGTGGACAGCCGCAGATGATCCTGCACCAAGAGGCAGCGCGGCCGCCTGGGGCTCAAGCGTCGTTTCAACGTGCTCGATGTATTGCGCTCATGTGCAGTCTATGCCCGTTTCTCGTCTCTCCAAAAAAAAAAAAAGGATGCCTGGCTCGACCCAAACTCCAAGAAACAGGGCGGCTGAGGAGAGGGGCGCTCCGCCGAGTCACCGGGCCCCCACCCTCGACCACTAGCGGATATTCATCTTCTGCACGTCGCCAGTGATGCCCGGTAGCGATGCCGCTGCCGCCTTGGCTTTGGTCTTGGGTTTGGCTTCCCATGCCTTCCAGAACTTGAGATGTTCATCCGGAGCCGTCGATGCGACCGTCTCGCCATCGGGACTCAAGGCCGTGTGCAGGATGCGGGACTCGTGTCCACCGAGATCGGCGACCTTGTTGAGCGAAGGGTAGTTCCAGAGAGTGAGATGGTTGCGCAGTGAGCCGTGAGCTCCGTTGGTGGTGTTGCCGTGCGAAGAGAGCAGCTCCTTGTACTGGCGGGACCAGATGATCGAGGTTACTTGAGAACCGGTGTCGATCGATGCAGACTTTGAAGACGTCGTCGAGTTCCAAAAGTGGATCATCCTGTCGTATGTTCCTCCGCCGGTGGCCAGTAGATTGAGCTGCCATGGGCACCAGGCTACAGCCTGGCAAACAACAGAGATCATTCAGCGTCAGAGCCTCCGATGGCCCATCAATAACAAAACATGGAGGCTGGGAGATGCCACCGAGATCGGCGCTCGCCTGTCAAAGTCTGACGACGCCACAGGCAGAGTAGGAGCGGTGCGATCCGCACAAACAAGCATGATGTCCCATCGAGCATCATCGATGCGCATATCGCCAGACCAACCCGTATTGCCATGCACACTGCGACAACGCTCACCTTGACGGCCGCCATGTGGTTGGACTTTGTGATCTTGGGAATCGACGAGCGAGCGTCCCAGATGTTCACAAGGTTGTCGTTGCCACCACTGGCGAGCAGCTGTCCATCGAGCCGCCACTGGAGTCCACAGACATCTTCTGAGTGTCCGAGGAACTCCGAGACTTTGTGGTTTTGCACACGCACGTCATGATTCCAGATGGAGCCATCCCGTGCTCCAGCCGACAAGATGTGCTTGTCCCACGACAGAACACCGACCCGGCTCAGGCGGCCCTTCATCGTTCGGATTTTGGACCGTTTCTCGACATTCCATATTTGTGTCTCGCCCGAGTGTGTTCCGATCGCCAAGATATCGCCGCTGGCGTCGAACTGGAGCGACGCGATCGAGTCGGTGTCAGACGTGTTGCAGAACTCGACGACATCGCCGCTGTCGGCATGCCACATGAAGATGGTCTTATCCAAGGCCACGGCCAGCACGTTCTGGGACGACCAGTGCAGCAGGTTAAGATAATAGTCATCGACCATCCCTGGGGCATCCAGGACCCGGACGGGCTCCAGGGGGATCCGTCTCTTGGTTTTGTGGTAGGCGGGCTTGAGCGGGCGATTCCAGGTTGCTCGAACATCGTGCTTCTCCGAAGACGGCGCCTCGACATTGAAGGCGAGAATGCGCTTGTTGATCTCGACCCCGTACGCCTTGGCGAGCTCTTCTTGGTAAGCCAGGCTGGAGGCGTCCAGATGACACGCTGACGTTTGACTTGGGATCGACATATTGAACTGGGAGGTGGCCAGGTCCATTGCCGCGCGGCTGGGTATGAAGCGGTCATACTTTTGGGTAGCGGCCGTGGGCGGAGCCGGTGAGGCAAAAACCCCATACCACGAGATGTTAGCCTCGTATCCGCAGCCGCAAGCGTGGCAGAGCCAGTAGCAAAACGTGGACCATGATGCCTGTGGCTGCCCATCCGTGGATGCCCTGGTCCTGGAAACTGCGTTCACAACATGCACTTGGGCAAGTCATTCGCCTGCAAGCTCTGGCTCTCGTAGCACGAGGGCGAGCCCCAATCCGCAAGCCGGCCGAGACAAAAGCAAAGACGATTGACGGGAGCCGCTACTCACGGTTTTGTTTTTGCTGGGAAGGACCTTGCGGGGGCTCTGCTGCCGAGCCACGGCCTCGACACGCCGTTTGGTGATGCCGGGCTTGGGCGAGGGCTGCAGCACGTTTTGGTGCTGGACGACTGACTTTGGCGACTTTACCACGACCGGTGATTTGGCCGAAAAGGGGGGCAGATTGATCATGCCACGCGGCGAGCAATGGAAGTTTCGCGGCGAACGGCCGGCCTTGCCGACGGCGTTCTGTCGGCGAGGCGTGAGCGGGCTCCCAGGGATATTCTGGGATTTGACCGAGTTGCCGGTGATGACCATGACTATGTAGGCTACGCGCAGGCGAGTCTGGAGAGCAGCGCTTTCACGCCAGCAAGACGAAGGAAGAAAAAACGGGCGGCCGATGGGCGAACGGGCAGGCCGAGACGACGCAGGCGGCAATCAATTTTGTCCTTTTCGGGAAACATGACAGCCGCCATTCCGCGCTTTTGGAAACAGCCCTGGGAAACCCGGTTCGTCCAGGAGCCCATGGCCCCACACCCGTCCCTGCCGTTTCTGGAGAGCATACCCTGGAACGCCGCTGGTCCGTCGATATGTGCAATCGGCATGTGCGATGGACACGAGCACCGCAGCCGCGTCCCTGGCTGCATCAGGAAGCAGACACCGCCGAGTGCGATTCCCACTCTATCGGCAAATCCCCCCCCCAGCAGCGACGCACTCAGCTGCAGCGCATCACCCCTGCATCGGTTGGACCGCCATTTCGCATTCAGATGAGGGAGACAACAAAGGCAGACCGGATTCAGAATCCGACAACGCAATAGAGCAATGGCGGCGCTCTATTACTGGGATTTCTTTCCCTTGGCCGAGAGGGTCTTTGTCTGGGCCTTGCCGTAGAGACCAAGCACGCGGTCCTCGACGTCGTCGTAAGCCCACTCGTGTGTGGCCAGGTTCAAGAATTCTTTCTCGCTCTTGAACATGTTGGCAACTTCGTTGGGTTGTTGCATAGGCTGCTGCGTTGCGCCCATCATCTGCATCTGCTGCATGTCGCGGCTACCGTCGGCCTCTGCATAAGACGAGCGTTTGATGGAAAGATTGGTCGGCTCAGTAGATGCGACATACCGCTCGCGATCACCCTGGGCCAGCACTCGGTTTCCGTCCAGGTGAAATGCATACCATCATCCACGGCAACAACGACGCCTGCGTCTCGGAGATCACTCACCGTTTCCGGCACCCAAAATCAGGACATAGATACTCTTCAGACCAAAAAGGTTGAGAAAGTACCAAGACAGCGACGAAACCCAGGACACGTCCATGTCACTCGTTTCGATGCCTCGCTGCAACATGGCCTTGAAGCGAACCGTAAGCGGGAAGGGAAGCTTGGCTGTGCACAGCACCCAGTGGTCGGAATGTCAGCAGCGGTCTCGGCCACGCATATCGATCAGCACTTGACCAAAAGCATCCTACACGAACACCACGGATGAGGCAGCTGTAAGGGACCCAAACTCACTCAGAACAAATCCGGAAAAGAAGAAGGTGATCCACGACATGATCAGGGTCTGCGGGATGAACATGGCCATGTTCTTCTTCATCATGTCAGCCATGGCTTCCATGCCCTGGGGATCTTGCATGGGGTTGGCGGCGGCGGCATTGGGGTCGGGGTTCTTGAGATAGGCACCCTTTTCGAACGACGATGACAGATACTCCTTGCGAGCCTTGAATCCGGAGGCAGGGATGAAGCGGCTCTGGGCTCGGATGATGCGCGAGCGAGCCAAAGCAGAGCTACGGCGATCAGGGACGTGAGATGATGGCGACTCAGTACATTCGCCGCGTCAACAGACTTCGGGCGAGCGATGATTCTGCGCGGACCCGTCGACTATGGGGGTCTCGGTGCGTGCCCATGAAGAGGGCTGTCCTCTCCGATAGACTCAAAAGTCGCTGTTGTTGCAATCTGTCGCAGGCAGCAAGGCAAACCTTTCACGAACAGCCTTCCAGGTGGTCTTGGGCGGGGAGTTGAGCAGCTGGGTGGCGTGGTGTCTCAACACACCAACCATGATCATGACGATCATAATCGGGAACAGGACCCTTCAGAGGACGGTTGGCATATTAATGTGCCGAAGGATGAGCACAAACACAGCGGCAAGACCATGATCAGAGATGGAACCTGAGCGGTCCTGGATTCACGACGAGGCCGAGAATCTCATTTGAGAATTCAAGACGAGTCCAACCCAGGCCACAGCAGCGTGTATCAAAGGACAGGAGGGGCAGCTGTCGTGCACATGGACGGACTCACCAGTCCCGGATCGCTGGGTCCAAATACATTGCCTCACTGGAGGGCGAGCGAAACACGGAGGCAGAAACGAAGCGTCAGCCAACCAGGCCGGGTCAGGGGGCCGCACGGACAAGCCGGAGGGCCTCTCGGCCCGCGCACGCAGCGCCTACTCGCTACATGCCTGTCGAATCCAGCCATCGCTTGCGTGTTGATCCCGGTCGATGAACGAAGAGGAAGCAATCGGGGCGGCCGACACCCTTTTCGATCGGCTGGTCGCGACAGGGGCGGCAGGGTTGGGCGAAAGGGTGCGGCCCTAGCCCAGCCCTATACAACCCTAGAGCACACACACACGTGCCTTGATCCGCGGCCTGGGAAACGTCGCCCAGCCATTGTCAGTGTGCCAAGGGCACCATTCGCCACTGGACTGCGGGGTTGCCTGGACGGTCCCTTTCACAGCTTACATATTCAATGGAGCAGACAATGTTGTATTTTTCCCTGATTGACTGCTCTCACCGACAAGGTGTCCCGTTTTGTCCTCCACTTACGGCCAAGCATTTCCAGCCTCTCACTCCCGACGGAACAAGACCCCCCGCTCCAATACGATCCAGACCGCACGGCGTCGAGCCCTATTCCAATCCAAAAAGCATATAGTCGCAGCTCATATTGGAGCACATTTGCCGTTGGTGGCGCTGGGACATCCCGAATGGCGCCTTATTACAGTCAGATTTTGTCTCTTAGGCCCGCCGTGATGTTCACAGGCATCGAAAGCACGCATCAAATCACACACACACCGGACGAGTGTCAAATACCCGGCGGGCGTCCACAGTTGCACTCAAACCCTCAAGCCTCCAACGATCAGGATTCCGTATCTCTGAATCTCGACACCGTTCATTGTGGGGTACCATCCCACCCCTCCATCATCCTCTCGGTCGTCTCGGGGCTCCAATATCTGCAAATGAATTGCCCAGGGACCTGCAGCCTGGCTTTGATTCCAACATGCAATCGCACTATTCACATTTATCATGCAAGCCGGCTGGGCTGGTATTATGTATGCTCGATTCCATATAAGCCATGCGCTCGATTGTTTGTTCGCTTGGATCTACCTGTTTGCGATGCCAACGCAGCTGCACCGGCGGACTGGATGGTCATCTCGGGCCCCCACTCGAAAAGCTCGCAAGCGCAGTCAACTCCACGAAGCGACAGCCAAATCGACCGCTCTCGGCGCCACATACTGAAGCCCAATCTGACTGCGAGCGTCACCTCCACCGATCCGCACGCATTACTTGTCAGAGTGATACGGAAATACGATGCAAAAGAGACCCTCCCCAACTGGTTTATGATTGCTCGCTCATTCTCGGAGCTGGTGCTGCGTCCAGTGCTCGAGGCCAGTCCGCGAAGAGACATCATATCTGCGGCCATCTCTCAAGCCAGCAGCAACGCCATGAAGCTCGGATATATCAAGTCCTACTTCCAGATGTTGTACCATTGTCTGCACAAGGGCACGAACGGAACAGGGCCGATCAAGATTCTGACGATAAACGGTGGGTTCACGGAGAGTTGATGGGTGCATACGGTCACAAGTTCAGTACGCCCATTATCGGTGAATATTCTCAGGACTCAGCGACTCGTGCAGATATTTGACTCATCCAGCGGTATTTCTATATCCCTCTTCACGCTTTATGTCCGAAAGCCTCGGAGAAGCGCAAGCGTCCCAAGCGGGCCCTGAAGCGCCGGGCCCGTGGTCCTGTTGTCATCGATGACGAAGATATGAACAAACTTGTCGCGGTGCTTGTTGCGGCATTTGATAGCCTCCGGTGCTTTCGTCTCGAGAAGCAAACAGGCGCGATACCGGTTGAGTGGCCGTGTCCTCGGGCGGCTCGCGATTCTTGTTGCGGATGCGGGGATATGGCCCCGAGTGTGTCGGAAATGGCCAACCCCTGAGTAACGGCCGGTGGTCACTGTCGGCTCTCGTGTTGCGAATATCGATTTGTCGATGTTCGATTTGTCAATGTTCGGTGCTCGATGCTCGATGCTCGTACCGTCCCTGGGCTGATGTGCGTGGGAACCTCGCCCAATGCCGAGCGACACAGACACGACACAGACACGACACTGTCACGACACAGGCCACAGCTGCGCACAGCCACACGCGCCGCACACCGTGCCGGCTCGATCCGGCGCGAACCGCGGATGCAGTGTGTCTGTTGGCAACCAAGACCTTTTTTTTCGCCGCGCCTTGCAACGGCCACCGAGCCAGCCGACGCCAACCGACGGCAACGCCAGCAACCCACGCTGCCGCCCGTCTTCGTCGCTCCATCGAGGTGCTCGCTGTCCACGGCATCTTGCCCAGCGTCTTGTCCAGCGTCTGGCCAGCGGCTCGACAGAAATAAACAAAAGGTGCCTCGTCTGACCTCGTGCCCTGCAGGCCCCGGCGTCGCCTTTCCTCTTGCAGTCCTTCGGGCCGGCTCCCGTTGGTGGCTGTGCCGCTGCATCAGTCGTCTGCAAGTCCGGGGGGGTATTCGCAACGAAAGGCAACGACGACGACACTGACGGCGACACCGACGACGGCGCCAACGACGGCTCGCTGTCGTGTCCTTCTCTCATCCCCCTTCCGGCTGTATCCCTAACCATTGCCTCCCTGCCCCTCCTCACAGCCATCTGCATTGGACCTGATTCTTCTTCGATAAGCCTCAGCTGGCGAGGACATCACCGCTTCTCTGGATATACAAGGTGAGGCTCTCGGCATTGTTTGTGCATCCCTCCGCCCTCCAGAGGTGCACGACGACAGGGTCGCTGGTGTGAATTGAGGATGGACATTGAGGATGACAGTCCACCGAGAATCATGAATGCAGCCATAGCGTCGCAGCATTCGATCTCCCGATGCCGCCATGGCTTCTGCTCCACCGGAAACGGCCCCGTCCATCCATCTTGGCCGGATGGATGGAGGCCACTCGGATGAGGCGATGTGATTCCAGCAAAACCTCGCTGGTGTGTCCGGGTTTGCCTCGCGCCGTGACTCATTGTGCTCCTGCTTGACCATCCGGCTCTTACTTACCCAGGTCCCCCCCCTGCACCCTCTCTCAAACTTAGCCCATCCCACCGACCAATAGTCGCCTGATTATCGCATGCCTTCTCCAAACATCTCTTCGTCGCCTGGAGTCAGCAGTATTCTCACAAGAAAGGCATCCATCATCGACCAAATGGATCGGCCCTTGATTTCTCTCGAGTCGACCGCCCGCAAGGGCAGCTCTTCGAGTGTCTCGCTGGTGTCCATGTCGAACGGCTCCGCGCCTCCCTCTGCCTCTGCGGCCGAAGAGACTTTCTCGATGAATGTCCAGGACTACGAAATGGGCCCAGCAATCGGTGGGTTGTGCCTCGCCAACTGCATCTGGGTTTGCCACCAGCCGGCCGAGAGCATCCTCTGACATCACCGATCGGTACCCATGCGGTCTCCAAACGCCCGCCGCTCAGCTGCCGTTAACCCCCTGTCTTATGCCGCACCACAGGCTACGGCTCCTCGGCTGTCGTTTATACGGCAAAATACAAGCCTCTCAATAAGGAGGTCTCGATCAAACTGATTGACCTGGATATGTTTGGCGGGAACCAGATAGATGAGCTGAGGGTTGGTATCGTCAGCGATGCTGTCTCCGCCGCCCGTCGCTCGTCCTGCCTCCTCCACTCTGGCTCCTCCCGCTGCGACTCTCTCGCTCTGACTCTCGTGCGCCCTCTATCCTATCCCGTGCTGTGCTCTGCCTCGCCCCGATGCCTCACGCCGCCACACCCCGTAGCGAGAGATCCAGATCATGAGTCTCTCGAAACACCCAAACCTGCTGCCTGTGTATGGTTCCTTTGTGCACGGATCCAAGTTGCATATTGTAGCGCCTCTCCTGGCCGGTGGCTCCTGCCTTGACATCATGCGCACGGCCTTTCCGGATGGCCTGGAAGAGGCGTCCATAGCTACCATCCTCAAGCAAGCGCTCCAGGGCCTGGATTATCTGCACAAGAACTCGCTCATTCACCGCGACGTCAAGGCCGGCAACTTGCTGATGGACGCCGATGGATTGGTGCAGCTGGCTGACTTTGGCGTCAGCAACTCGCTGATGGAGACTGGCGAGCGCCGGGGCTTGCGAAAGACCTTTGTCGGCACACCGTGCTGGATGGCTCCGGAGGTTATGGAGCAATCTGGATACGACTTCAAGGCCGATATCTGGAGCTTTGGCATCACGGCCCTCGAGTTGGCCACTGGACACGCCCCGTTTGCAAAGTTCCCGCCGATCAAGGTATGGTACTGCCGGTTGCTATGCATTGTATGGAGCAGTCGCCAGCATGCGCTGCATCGTATTGTCATCAAATCACCTGACGTCCGCTGCTGCTGTTGCTGCTATGGCTATCATGGCCACCCCCCGCTTTCATCGCCCTAATCTCTCGACTCTGCTGACTCCGTAGGTGTTGATGCTTACTCTGCAAAACGATCCCCCAACTCTTGACCGCGAGGGGACCAAGCACAAGTTCTCCAAGCTGTTCAAGGAAATGATTGACCTCTGTCTCAACAAAGACCCCACAAAACGGTGCGTCTGTTATCCCTGGCGCCGTGCTGTTCGGCGACGCATCAGATCGCGGCGTCGGTTTCAGTGTCCAATCTTCAGAGCGTCCGAGCGCAGCCCTCCCGTGAGGATTCGCCATGGTCATGCGAGGGTACATTCATGCGGGCAGACGTGTCTGGTGCCATGGTGTCTTTGCTGATCCGGGCTGTCCCATCGACACTGTTGCTGTGCAGACCCTCTGCAGAGAAGCTCCTGGCCCATCCGTTCTTTAGATCTGCCAAGCACAAGAGCTACTTGGTCAGGGAGGTTCTTGCCGACCTACCTCCTATCTCCGCCCGCCCCCACAACAAACGTATCCCTCCCCAGAAGGACAACTCCCTCAAGGCTGGCGTGTGGGACTTTGAGCACACGGACGACGAACAGGCGCGGACCTTCCGCTCCGACACCTCCAGCCATTCAACTGTATCCGACCCGCCTCGCAGCCACGCCCTGTCGACTCCGCAGTCGAGCGTGCCCTCCGACGCCCCCATCAAGAAGAGCCGCTTCATCGTCGACACTTCTGATCATCTGGCTGGCAAGGCACCTGCGTCGGCTCCCGTCGATGTGCCATTCAACAGCAATGTCAGTGGCTCCATCCCCGCCAGCAACGTGGGCATCACCGAGATCAAACGTGGCCGGTTTAGTGTCGTCGAGTCGGGCACGCTCTACTCGTCGCCCTCCAATCCCTCAAGCCCAGTCCATACCATCTCAAAGGCCTCGACGAGCATCACTAGCGAGCACCCAAGCTTCTTTAGCGCCAGCGAGAGCCAGATCCCCAACCTGTATGTTGATCCTGGCAGCTCCGAGGCTGGACGCAAAGTCTACCGGGTCAACTCGGTATCATCGCTTGGCGACCAAGCCGGTGCAGCGAGCAAGCTGAGTCGGTTCGTCGTGAGTCAGGAACATGGCCCAGAGCCTGCTACCACATCGCTCACCGGGGCGACGCAAGTTGCCGACCGACGTGGTCGCTTCGAGGTGCTCTCGGGGAGCCCCTCGATCTACTCCAACAGCGATGCCTCCTCGACCCACACGTCTCCGTCCAACTCGCTCGGTCGTCCGTCACGTTTTGCGACCGCCGCACAGACAATCCACTCGAACCCGTACGCTTTTATGGCAACAACGCATTCTCCAAAGAGCAGTCCCTCGCTTTCTGCCTCACGGAGCGCACCAATCTCGTCGCTGCCGCCTGTTCCGATGGCTCCGGCACTGGCCCCCTCAGAGTCCGGGTCGTCGCTGTTGCAGCGCAACCCCCCTCTCTTTGAGCCAGAACACGCGTCGCCTACCTCGGAGCTGACGGCGTCGCAATTGATGACCCCGCCCATGACCGCTGTCTCGTCGTCATCTCCGCCAGCCTCGCTGTTGGGCCAGGTCGAGACCGTGCTGAAAAACAACGAGAAGATTCTGCTGAATGAGTTGCGGGAGGTCATGTCCCGCTCAATTTCGAGTTCAATCAACGAGGTAAGTCGCTGACTCCACCACCCACCCTTGCCCAGGACCACCGCATGACCCGCCTCTGGTGCAGGCGTCGTTCGCCATCTAGCCTGCGCATCCATACCAACGTCTATGTCCTTGCGGCCTGTCCCTCTCCAACAGGATGTCAATGAGCTCTCTCACGAAAACACCCGTCTCAGAAACGAGAACTCCGAGTTGAAGGCGGAGCTTGAGCGACTGAGAAGCGAGCTCCTGCAGCTGAAGCAGAAACAGGGCCGTCAAGTCAAGTTTGGCGACCGGCCCGAAATTGTGAATGGCTAAGGATCCCTCTGGCGCTCTTGATGAGAATATACCTCTGGACACTGCTGCCCAAAGTGCCCGATCGGCGGGATGTGATAGCCACCGGGGCCTGCGGACGACAAGCGTGCGACAAGTTCGACCGTAGCCGCTCTCCGTTGGGCTTCGTTCTGCGCTCACAAGCCCGGCCAGTTGTACTTTCTTGCCGTTTGCGCCTTTCGTTGCCCCACCCCTTCTTTTTATATCGTATGCATTGCTCCGCTGTTTGCTCCCACCCACCCCCTTTCCGTTCCCTTGTCCCTGTATGTTCCTACGTTTGCCCTTGGTTGTATATATATATGCTTGGAGCTTTGCTGTATTTGAAGTAGCGCGCAATACAAATGCCGTTTCAAAAGCTCGACCAAGGGGCGGGAGTCTGAGAGTGAGCCTCAGTTGATGCTTCACTCTGCCGACAAGCGACTCTCTGGACTGCTCCAGGGTGTATCGACATCGAGATAATCGGCCTTCTCGAGTCGCTTGGCTTCCCGGCACTGTGGGCACACCTGGAGATCGAGTCCCCTGAATCACCGTCGCCCGGGTGGTGCCTTTCGCTTCCGGGGAGCCATCTGAGGGAGAAAGCGTCCTTGATTCAGATCCAGAAACACATCACTGAACGGTCATGGCCAGCACGCGATGTTTTGAGTGATAACATTCACCAACGATCAAAATCCGGGCTGTCCCGTTAATTATTGGATTGGCTGGAAGTGCATTTGAATTCTCGACCGTTGCCTCGACCACCGCTGCCGCCTCCCTGCGCATCGCACATTGCAGACCACGCACAATGGCAGGCCCGTTCTTCCATTGCCACCACCGCCCTGAACGTGAGGCTGACTCGGAGGCCCCGCTCGACAATGCGGCCGTCGTGCATGTCGACCTTGCGGGGACGAATGCCGTGCTCCCATCCGTATCGAGCTTCTCCGGAAAAGACCGCAAGCGACCGTTGCGGAAGCCATACGTTCAGCGACTCGAGCCCAGACTTGGATTCAGACTTGGATTCAGACTTGGATTCAGACTCGGGTGTGGATTTGGATGAAACCGAGGACACTGCCGAGGCTTTGTCCGTAATCGGGCCATCGGTGACATTCTTGGAAGCGGATGGCTGTGCTCGCTTGAATCTGCGAAACTCCATGACGACTGGCGAGCCCAGGCTGACAGACACGATTGGTCCAGCAAATGCGCTATGGACGTCCACATGCGGAGCGATTCCGCAACCGGGGCCGTACTCGTTGATTGTGAGCTGGTTTGGTGTTGGGAATCCGGGAAAGCGTCGTTGGTATTCCGACACGACCGGCACACACCATGCTGGCAGAGCCGGAATCGAGGCAGTGTCCGAGCCGTCGGTAGAGACGTTGTTGCTAATGTAATTGAAGTTGAATCCATGGTGTTGCTGCAGCCGAAGGAGGGGGTATCCGGATTGTAATCAAGTGTCGGTGCTGTCAATATCGAGGCTGCACATCAAAATCGAGGCTGCACTTGCACTCGTTCGAGCCATGACCCAGAGGATGCGTCGTAGATCATCGTAGCGAGACGCTTACCACCCGTCTGTCCCTGAGCGAGTCCCATGCACCGGCATCGATGACCTTCAGCAGAGCTTGTTCGTGCTCAGTATCCACAAACTCAGGCACGACAAAAAGTCCCGGGATCGCAGCCGCAACCTCCTCTGGGCTCGATAGGACCTTAGAAGCCGCCAGATATGCCGGCGGTATCTCACCGACGAACTCGAGTAACAGGCACTTGCCACCGGCTGCGGGATGCGCTGTGCCATCGAGACGAGACAGAGCCGACCCGGCGCTGCGGGCGTCGGCAAAGATGGCAAATGAATATGGCTGATGCACAGATTGGAAGAGAAGCTCTGTCTCAGATTCCCAGCGGAGCACCACGGTGCGGCGATCGGCTGCCACTGCCAAAGCCCGCTATGGCCTGACGCTGAATGCTCGCCCGGTCTAGTGAGGGGATCCGATGCGCACATACCTTTCCAAGAGCCATGGCGACGCTGCGAAAGCCGCTGAAATCCGACAGGATCTCGTCCATGGCCGAGCCCAGCACCCCTCCGACCTCGCCGGTGTATCCGAGGTTCAAGAAGCACAGGATCTGGGTCGGTGCGGCTGCGAAGAAGCTTGTCTCGCCGGAATACCGGGGCGCATGTTCCCGGATGATGCGGGCTCTGGCGCTGGCCCGCTTGTTCTTCCATTTTGGCGAGTCAGACATGCTGCAGCCGAGCCGATGCGTGCTGAGGGCGAGCTTGGCTGCGAGTTGGCGGGTGGATTTGGCCGGACACTGCTGCTGACGTCTGGAGTCGGATGCTCGTCCGGCTGGACATGGCCTTGAGACCTGCTGTCCGTCATTGCCCCGCTCGGTGCTGCGGTGTTGTTCGGCACCCCCGTTCGTCGGCATCGACAGGGAGCCTGCGGGCTCGGTGTCAGAATGAATTTCATCAAGCGCAATTCTGACTCAGGCACCCAATCGCGTCGGCCCAAAGGCGATCAGAAAAAGCGATCGCGAACGATACGACCGCTGATCCGTCTTGGGCGTCGGGGATCGTCTGTCGTTCTGGCCGAGCTCTTGCCACCGTCGATCCTGTGGATATATGGCCCTCCAAGGTACGACTGCATTGCATGCCATCCGCAGTGCCCGTTTGCGCTGCCAACCCGCATCCGCTGCTCATCGAGCGGGAAGCACCCAATGCCGTGTGCCAACCCCAATTTCGTGCTTGCTCTTCTGCCATCAGACCCTGGACAATCTCGGTAGCAGCGATGAATCAGGTCCTCCAAAGCAATAGCAGCAAGTTTAGCCATGGATACAAGGGGCGATGCCATTCTACTGTGATGCCCCTCCTGCCTCTCCGCTATCATCGGCCGCGTGGCCTTGCGGCCCAGTGCATGTCTCCACAGCGACTCTGCCCACTTTCGATCCCGTTTCAGAAGCATCGCTCGCAAAGCCCCATCGCCGACGACAACTCAATGATTCCTGCTGCCGCAACAAGGCACCATCTGCCTTCACCGCATCCTCTGCATTGCATCGATCCCAGATCGCTATGGAACGCACCACGCAGCCCACCCCGGTTGACAGCTTCGGTCTCGATACGCTCGATACATTCGACGCCCTTGACACATTCGACGCACTCGACGCCCTTGACACATTCGACGCACTCGACGCACTCCATACACTCAGCACACTTGTCCGATCGTCTCCCGTTTTCTATCAAGACGTTTTTTCAATCAAGCAGTATCTCGAGGCAGTCGCTGATAGCAGCCCGTCGATTCCACCCGCACCCTCGCCAGACGCCGTCGAGATCGTATTCGTCGGGCAATCCAGGCGTCTGTCTCCAGGATGTTCCTCCGCCTTTGTCTCTGCAGACACATGGTCGGAGCCGACGTCGATGCTGGCCGTCGATGCGGCAGAGCACACGATCTTTTGCTCTGTCTCGTCGGCCCTCCAATCGGCCGCTGATCTATTTCTCCAGGACCGCCCGCATCAGGCCTGTTGGGCTGCTGGGGCCACGGCCGCGCATGCCATTCGATATCAACAACCGCACTGCCAGAGTACCAAGGACACCTCCGCCACTTCCATTTAGCGGCGGCAACTTTCAGCCGTATCCGCTCTTCGAGAGGATCGACCCTGCAACACTGCCGGTAACTGCGGTTGCGGATGAGCCGTCCTCATACTTGTCGCTCGGAACGCTTCTGGCTCACCCCCTGCCGGAGAGATCGATCGATCTTCCCGACACTCGCACGCTCGACGCATGGCTGCATAGGTGTCTGGAGGAGTGCTCAACTGAGCAGCTTGTCCATGTCGCTGGGCTGCTCATGCAATCGAAGCACATCCTTGAATATCGTGTCAAGGACAAGCATTTGCTTGGGCTCTTGTTTGAGCGGCTGTATGAGGCCCAAGGTCAGGGCCTCGGATCGGATCGGATCTACGGCTACGCCAAGTTCCTGCATGCCCAAAAGTTACCGCTCACCGAGCGCCAGGTCTTCTACTTTCTCCGACTCTGCGAGCGACGCTACGACCACCGCCAGATCATCGCCGTTCACTCAAGTTGGGAGCAGAGCCACCCCGAGAGCCAGCTCTTTGTACAGATTCCCGCCCAGCGCATTCTGATGGGTGCCTTTGCAACCCTCGGCCACTTTGATGCCGGCTACGACTATCTCTCTCGCTTGCTGGACACGGGCCACGTTATCGATCGGTCTGTGTCCGACCGACTTTTTCGCGCCTGCATCTTCGAGCGCAATGCCGCCAAGGTTCTGCAACTGTGGCACTGGATTGCTATGAATGCAGTTCCGGTGACGTCCCAGGCCGTTGTGGCGCTGATGTCTACTCAAGACACTCGGTTGTCTCTCAAGAATCTCCACGCCCAGGCTGAAGAAGCGTATTCCAGCGTACCGCCGTGGGCGTGGGTCGAGCGCAACCCAAAGTTCTTCCTCGAGTCGATCCGTATGTACACCGCCAAATCGCGCTTCAAGAATGCCGAAGCCGTGCTGGAAGATCTGTGGCGCACCTCGACAGACCGGAGGCTGCTGATACAAGGCACCGTCATCCTCATTAACGCCTACAATCGCCGAGCGCCATTGCAGAGCCAGCCGTACAAACTCTTCCGGCGTTTGGCTCGCCTCGATCACAGTGTGCGCGCCCCCAGGGTCGCCGCTGCGAATGTCGCCTCTGTGGATACCGAGGACCTGAGTTCTGTGGCGGCCGATGATGCAAGTGTAGGGGCCGCGAACAATGTCCCCCCCGATTCGGTCATCACCGCCGGCCCTTCCGGTGCCGACAATACCATCTCCGATAGCTCGAGCTCTGACGCATCTATGCTCGATGCCTATGCTGCCATCTTGCGATGGTGTCGCTTCAATAGCAAGACGGGACTTGCCATGTACCTCTACAACCAGATGATCGCCAAGGGGCTCTCGCCGACGCTCGAGATCTACGCAACGATGATGCGGTGCTTTGCCTATCTGCGCGATCTTCCGCGAGCCAAGGCTGTGATCCAGGAAATCGATAGTCGCGGCCACATACCCGATCGGTTCACATACTCGAGCATCTTGGCCGTGTATGCTCGGAACCGCCAGCTTGATAAGATCGGGCACATTTGCGATGAGATGCGCGACCGCGGAGTCAAGTTTGACGCTGATATTTACCATGTGCTGCTGCACGCCTATGCAAAATGCGGGCGCTTCAAGACTGTAGAGAGCCTTTATCAGTCGCTGCTTCAAGACGGAATCGTGCCGACAGCCACTACATTCGCCAATCTCATTCAGGGCGCTCTGCATTTCAAGCGCCAGGCCCGTGCGCTCGGATGGATCAATGAGATGGCCCGGAGCAATATCGAGCCGTCCTCGTCGGTCTTGGACGTCATGATTGCCGATCGCCTTGATAACAACGACTTTGAAAACGCCTTCTCTCTGCTGGAGCTAATGTTCAATCTTGACATTGTCCCCACCCGAACAACGTATGAAAACTTCTTGACAAAGCTCGGCCGATACGACAAGCTCAGCCGCAAGCAACTGCAGCAGCAACGGTCGATCCACTCGGAGCTCATGTCGCGACTCCCCGAGAACCAAAAGAAAAGCCAAAAAGCGCAGGAGCTGCTGATGGTGTACCACTGTCGCCAGCAGCAGTACGACCGGGTCTTTGAGGTCTTCAGGGCCTTGGAAGCCAATGGTCGGCGCATCGGCTACCACGCATACAAGGCCATGATCATGAGCAGACACCAGACGGGCGACACGGATGAAATGTGCCGCCTTCTCGACCTGATGGTGCACGACGGATGGAAGCCCTCCATCGCCCTCTTCGCCAAGCTGATCGGCGACCTCTCGAGCGACCCTCGTGACTTTCTTGCGCAATTTTTCGTCTACCAACGCATTCGCCAGTGCCAACGCTATCCCACGCCTCAGATCTATCGAAGGATGCTTGACAGCGCGGCCCGCGAGAAAAACTACAAGGCCCTCTATCAGATCTACCACGATCTGCTTCGGACTCCGCACGGCTTCCACCGCGAAACGGTGGTCTATTTCTTTGATGTCGTGGTGCAATCCATTATCCAGCCCATCATCAACGGCGATGGGTTGTACTCTGAGTCGTCCTTCCGGTTCCTACACCGTGTCGTGCGACTCTCGCGCTGCAACCGCATTCGCTACCGGTGGTACCACGAGCCTCTGCTTCGCCTCTATGACTTTGCCATCTCCGAAGAGAACAAGGATGCCGAGCTTGTCCTGAAGGTCTGGAACCTGTTCATCAGCAAAAACAAGTACTATCAGACCCTGTTCCAGCCGCCCTACGGCCACACCGACATCAAGCTCGACTATGACTACATGATGGAGATCCTGGGTCTGCAGTTCCGCTCTGGAAGTGCCCTCTCGACGTACTGGGAGTCGGTGATCCGCGGACGATATGTGTCGGTGCTTGGTCCGGTGACGGTGGATCTGTGGCATCGGTACTTCAAGCTGCTCAGCTGGCTCGATATGTACGACGAACTGCTTGCCATCGGCACAACGGGGATCCGCAGCCTAAAGGGCGAGTCACTCGAGGCCCAGATGCACTTGGTCGAGGAGGTGAACCGGATCCTCCGCACGCGCGCCAAGCTGGACCATCGGAACGAGCTGCTCAAGTTTTGGAATCTGGCAAAGTAGCCAGAGGCCCGGGAATGCAGCCGAGCCATAAGGGTCCGTCCAGCGCTTCCGCATCCACCAATATGCAGGGGATATGTTCGGCTCGCTTGTATCAGGCTGACACTGTGTTCTGTATGAAAGGGGTACACGACACGACCTCTGCTGACTGTCACCGTTTCTGGTTCATGAATACATATTCTGCCAAAGCCACCGACAAGAGTGTCCATTGCTTGCTCTGCCGTAGTGCGAGTCGACGAAGCGGCCCAAAGTATGCACCAAGCCAAATCGTGCTTGCAGTGGGCAAGCCGATCACCGCCAATGGATATTTGCGCTTTCACATTCGGCATTCCAGGAATGGAATTTGGGTGACAGCGGCTCGACTGCAGCGCCCGAATGCCATCTGATTGAGGCCAGAGAGCAAAGAGCGGCAGCGAGTGCTCCTCGTCCAGTCGTGATTGACTGGCTGGTGTCCGAGACACCGGGTATTTTCCTGGCTCGCTCTCGATCTGGTGCCGCGCTGCGCCCAAGCCATCTCTTTGGTGGACTCTTTCACTGGAATTCTACTGAATTCAAACACGAAATGATGCTAAGCAACTGGAGACTTGGCTGTGCAGCGCTCGCAAGGATGTTGGCGGGGATGCTGCTGCTCGCCGCGCTCGTCAGCGGCCTGAATCCGAATCGAACTGTTCCAATTCGTTTCATCCAGCTATGTCCAACCACAGACATGCCCGAATGGTAGGAGCCTGAGGCGCGATGCGAACGAAGATTAGCGACGGTGTGGTCTGAAACATTGCCTCCGTTTGCTACCAACTGGAGCATGCTTATGACCTGCCCCTTCCACTGAACGTGGGCACCGAGAAGGTTCATAACGTGTGGCCTGGCTCGCGATCATCCAGAGACTTGAGTGGCCATCTATGTGGCTCTATACTATTGTGCATGCTGATATGCACAACCACTTCCGTTGCTGCGTCCCGTGTGATGCGTTCGCTGGCTCACACCGGTCCTGTTGCTACGAAACATCGCGTATAATAGGTGTCAGATGATGAACGACGTGCTCCGCTTTCGAGCCGATCAGTACAACAACGACTACGACCCGAGCCTCCTTCCAGGCGCATACATTGAACTCGATATGGTTGATATGAGGCTCAACACCCGGGATCCGATCTCGACTGTGATGCGGCTTGGCACCAGCAACGCCGCCAACGCTTTCATCGGACCCGATTTCAGCTTCATGTCCTCAGCCGCGGCTGTTGCGGATGCGGCCTTTGGCATTCCGATGTGCTCATGCTGCTCGTCGAGCAACGATCTCAGCAACAAGGTCAAGTATCCATACTTTTTCCGGATGATATCGCCCGATGTATTTCCGGTTGTCGGCGTGGTTCAATTTATGAAGCAACACGGATGGTCACAGATTGGGGTGCTGGTGAGTATCGCTGTGTTCGCTGGAGCACAACCGTGAGGAAAAAGCAACCCGATCTTCAATGCATCGTGCATGCGCGTCCGATCAGCCGAGACTGTGTCCACTTCGCTCACTCACGACGGCCTTGGCTTCCTCCACGATCAAGACCGTGACAGATTCGTACGGCAGCTCGCGTATGTATTTGTTCATTGCACTTGGGTGCACGGAGTAATGCATCCGTGTGCAAAAGCCCTCACGAGCCCCCGAAAAGCAGCTATGTGTCTCTCACACAGAGCAAACCCACCTTGCCCTCCACTTTGGTAGTTCTAAGCAGCATCGCTACCGAGTGTGCTCAAAACAACATCACCATCAAGGTCGAGCTGACCTACGCCCAGGCAAATCTTCCCGAAACAGCCGACACAATCGCATCGGTGTTTGCATCGTCAGGGATGACGATATTCTTTTTTGGAGGATACAGCGATGACTGGGCCGTTCTTTTGCCAAGCCTCATGTAAGTCCGTCCAACCAGCGCCAAAGAGACCACAGGCAACGTCCGAGGAGGACGCAGCCATTGGATTTTGCAATGCGGCTCTTGGAAGGGATTGGGTGCTCCGGATCGCTCGCGAGTTTCTGACCGACATGAGCATACAGAGACAACGGCATCTTTGCAGAGGGCTACTCATGGATAGGCTCTGATGGAATGTTCTGGACTCAGCATGGGGCTGGGTCGCCACCCGGCAGCACCTCGGACGGAGCCATTGTAAGTTGCATCCCAAACACCGACGTGGCGCTGATCGGAACTTGGATAGCTACGATATCCGCATGACGGAGTCGGATGGTGTTTACAGCGCGGTGTTGATTCGATACTATCAATATGGTGGAAACATTTAGATGTACTATCCGATTGAAGAGTATGATCAGAATCCGCTGTATCAATCGCTCGTGACTGAGTGGCTGAGCGCCAATGTTTCAAAGTATGTATCCGCGCATGTGCATTTCACAGCTGGACCCTGTTTTCATGATTATGAAGCCATATCGTTCGTGGACTCATACATCCGCAACACCGCCCCTGCCAATGGATAGGTACCCTTCAATATCGCTCGGAGTCTACCCGGTCGCGTCGTCCATGTATGTTGGCTTTGCACATATTCAGTCACAGGGTGGCAGCGCATAACCCCTCCGCTCGATTACTATCTTAGATACAAGCTCAACTGCTTTGAGTTTTTGGCTTATGGCTTTGATCGGGTACCGTACCAGTGTGTTTGCTCGCCACGACCAAATACCAACTCTCGGGCTGATATCTCTTGTGGACGGAGCAGCGAATGCCAGCCAGACTCACGTAATATCAACCCTTGTTGATGCGACTCCAGCTTCTAAAATCCAACCCAAACTTGACCTTGACTGCCTTGGCCAACAACGAGCTGGTTCCATACTATGAAATACCCAGCACATTCGCATTTCCCGACATGAATACCGAGTCTGGAAACGTGGTCATGAACGGTGAGGCGTGGGTGCAGTGTTTCCAAGCCAGCGGCCGGCGCACCACATGCACCACACGATATGGGGGCCCATGATGACGGCTCAGAGCGAAACGTCCGCAGGTGTCCTTTGTAACATTGGCCGTCATTGTTTGCGTATATATCCAGCATACGGCGATGCATTCAGGAATTATTACTTTTACAATGTTCATGACGGCGGAAACATATCCATCTTCGCGATATACTACACCGCCACCAACAGCTTCACATACCTCTATCAAAACATCGAATGGCCAGGGTCCACCTCGGTGGTGCCGTCCGATCGAATTACGTGTATGTCATCAGCGGAGTGAGCACAGGATACTCCAGGGGGGCTCGATGAGCAATCTTGAGGAGGGACGATTGCCCTCCCTCTCGTGTCGCTTCAGCGCCAAATCTCTGGACTCTGAACTGCAGTGTCGTACGCTCACTCGTTGGTATCAAACTTTTACACCTCAGCAATCTCGTGCCCGGTCGGCAGTGGAGCAAGCACAGGTCCGCAAGGCTCGCTTGTGTGTGTCGTCTGTGCTATCGGGACGTATAATCTCAACGGCGACGATCTATGTCGACCCTGCCCTACTGGAGCATATTGCGATGGCGGCAGCAATGTGACTGCTCGTGCAGGTTATTGGGAAGACTGGAGCCTCGGCAATACGACTACTCCGACCTTCCGGCAGTGCCTGACGAGCGACTGCTGCCCGGTATGTACAGCGCTGGCGTCGATACTACACCGCTATTTATTCCCGTGCCCCTGACCGCGGCTTTCTGGTTCATGATCCAAAACCTGCCGCAACCTTGGCATACAAGACTGGCCGCTGCACTTCGTCCAACCCGTGCAGCGCATCCACGACGGGCGCCATGTGCAGAGTTTGCCGCGATGGCTATGCAATGGTATGTGGATCTGGACTGAAATGAGCGCATTCTCGATCATAAACCATTCGTCTGTCAGTCACAGACGCTCGTGATGAGCAGCCGACCGCCTATTGATTCGTGCTCATTTCACATCCATTCTATTGACACTGTCGATGCCAGTGGGGCAGCGGGTGCATAGCTTGCTCCAGAGCCAATGCTGGAGTCGTAATTTTGTTCCTGATCTATGGGATGGTCATCGCCCTGGGCTGTTTGCTCTGTCCACTGAAATCGACAAACGTTGTAATACCGTTGGTAAGCTGGCCCAATGGCTGTGATAGCACACAAAAATATTTCGCATCTGCTGGGTGGACCTCATCGCAGTTGAATCAGTCGATGCAATCCACATGCGAGTTTCCACTGACGACGACTCATGCGGATACGATCCTGCAGATATGGTATTACCAGGTGAGTGAAACAAGCACAACATGTCACGTTGTGCCAAAGCATATAACCAATACATCTTTCGACAGCTGTCCACCTTTATGGTGTATTCGACTTCTATCAAGGGATTTCTTCAGGCGGTGCTTTTCTTTGACATCAATGGGTTCTACAACATCAACAAGTCGCTGCCGTGTCCATTCTGGACGGGCCCTATGGGATCGATCTATGCCAAGTACGGCTGGATCGCCATTATATGTGAGTGGTCGCAGATCGACTTGCCCGGCACCTGAGTCATGTCGTCGGTGCTGATGGTAGTGTTCATTCCGATGCCGGATGCTGCTGTAGTGGTTGAGTATTTCGTGGCATGGGTGGGTGTCGGTGTTCTGAAGAGGCGCTACAAGATCATGGATAAGCCTCGAAGCTCCGCAAAGAAGCCTGCTATTGAGCATATCGAGAGAAATTTCGTCTGTGGTACGTTGCTTGGATCGAGTTTTCCTTTGTTCTCGGGCACTCACGAATGCCGCCGCCCCAGAGGCCGACCTGCGCTCACCACCCGATGCCCGGATGGCGGTGGACACATCAAGGACTCTTCACGTTCATACAGGCGTTTTACGTTCCTCTGGTGTACATATCCATCGATACCATGAACTGCGAGAGGCTCTTCACTGGAGTGTATCTGCTCAACTACCCAAGTATTAAGTGTGGCTCGGAGGAGCACATACCACTGCTGGTGCTGGCATCGTTGGTGGAGCTGGTCGTGGTCTTTGCTCTTCCTGTTTGGTGCTGGACCGTCCTTCGGCGATCTCGAACCACGACAGACGATCGAGCATCCGTCACAGACCAAGTTTTACGGGAGCGGTACGAAAGAAGCAAGGCCTACTTGTACGTGCCCAGACAGCGAGCGCGCGGGGATGCTGGGCCGCTGCTGAGTCAACCATCCGGGAGCATGGTCATGGATTGTGCCTCCCGAACCACGATAGTGCCTGTCTACTGACCGTCGATCACCATTCTCCAGATCCGTCCCCGTCAACTTTGCCTGCCTTTCGCTCTTAGTCATCATGGCCTCTGGATACAGTACCAACACCTTCCGGGTCCTTCCACCCGACACACTCGTGATTGGACTGTGTATCTGTGTGGTTGCCCATACCGGAACGCGATCGCTCAAGACCCGCGAAAGCCATATCCGCCTGCACATCTATCTGGTGGGGATCACCGCCATGTCGTTCTCGGACAACGTTATGATCCAGAACTCGTCGTTTGGGCTGTATGGCTTCCAAGCGTTTATGTTGGCGATCCCGCCTGTGTTTGAGACGGCGGTGTGGGCTGTCAAGGCATGGATGCGTCGTCGCAAGAATACACAGCAGACGGACATGTCGTAGACACCCGTCCGCAGCGGTAGCCCCAGGGACGTGCATGTCGAGTGTGGCCGGCGAGGCGTGGGAATGCCCAGGGGCTGGCGCCGTGGCGCAGAGGCGGCCCAAGCCACAGTCCCTCCCCTCTCGCTCTGGCCTCGCTCCGGCCCTCGCCCGCGTCCTCGGTTCTCGCTGGTCTGGGAGTGCGACTTTTTTTTGCCTCGCCTCTCGATTGCTCTCGCCATCATCCTCTCGGACCACCGGCCGATCGCCTTCCCTCCCCCCGCCTCCTTCGATCCACGACCGAAACCCACAGCCGCCGCACAGCATGCCCCACTCCAAAGATATCGACCACGACGAAGACCCGCAGAACGTCGAGGAGGAGCAGCAGCAGATCCAGGACGACAGCACCGACCAGCAGGTCGCCGAGGAGGAAGCCGCTCTCGTCACCGTCTTCGAGGACCCCGTCAACTTCACAGTCAAGCACCCGCTCCAGTCCCGATGGACGCTGTGGTACCTGAACTCGCAGCGAAAGGCCAACCAAAACAACTGGAATCAGAACCTCAAGAAGATCATCACGTTCGAGACCGTTGAGGACTTTTGGGGGTGCGTGCTCGTCATGGAGATCCCCGGTCGACGAATGTGTGGATTCGCTGGGAAGATCGATGGGGGAGGAGGTCCTGTGATTCGTGGCAGGCGCACGCTGCACCGGTGCCGTCCCGGGTCTCATCTTTCGGTTTAATCGGGCTGGATCCATGAAGACTCATGCAACGGCGCCATGCACCAAGCAGATCCGACCGCTTGGCTCCCGTCTCCCTTCCTCCACCTTCGGCTCACCTTTGCTCGTTATCATCGATCCCTGCAGTGTCTTCAACAACATCATCAAGCCCTCTCAAACTGCGCCCGGCTCAGACTACCACCTCTTCAAGGAGGGCATCCAGCCCACCTGGGAAGATCCCGCGAACGAGCAAGGCGGCAAGTGGGTCTGCACCATCCGAAAGAAGGACGAAGATCTGGACACAAAGTGGCTCAACACTGTGAGTGCCCCCGCATCCTAGAGGATTATAACCCTCCTCCCTCCCATATGGTCGGCTCCTTCCGTCCGTCCATCTCTCCTCGCTCCTTCGATGACTGTCGGTCGAGGCCGCCCTCGAGGGCTTTGGGCACTTGGATCAAGATCAACCCGTCGACCTCCCTCGCCCGCACAATTTCGATTCTGATCTCTTGGTCAAGATATCTGCCAGCAACTGGATACGTGACAAGCAATGCGGAATACGAATGGCGGTTGGATTGGAGTCCTGCACATGAGCCGGACATCAGGTCCTTGATGTCCACAGATCGACTTTGGCGCTGATCCATCGATCGATGCATGTGGTGCATATTGAATGCGATTCCGAGAGGCATATTTCAGCGTCGTGTATTGCAACGGCACATATCTGCAGCAACATGGATTCAGAGACCCATCGCGAGGCACGAAGCAGCCATCGATCAGGAGGCGCACCAACCCACGCACCGCTTTATCGGAGCAAGATCGGTCCATTTCTGCAACGATCGCTTACGATCGCTGTGTTCTGAGGCTTTGTGTGCACTTGCGCGATGGCCGCCTCAAGTCTTACGCCGTCTTTGCCTTTGCACTGGTCTCTGCAGATGCTGCTCTGTGTCGGAGCCATGTTGCCCGATTATGACCAAGTCAACGGCGTCGTCATCTCGATCCGCCGACAACAAGACCGTATCGCACTGTGGACGGCAACCAACGAAAAGGATGCTTGCGAGCGATCAGGGTAAGGGGAAAATGCTGTGGGACCGCGCGTGGAGGATTGTGCCAGTGGGCTGTCCGCTGTCCGGGCGTCGGCGGGTCTTTTTTTTGGCGACATTGTGCGCTCATCAAAGCTGAAATTGCGTCTTTCCTTTGATTTCCAGCCGCCAGCTGAAGCGTGTTTTGGAGCTGCCTGAGAACGTCCGCATTGGATTCCAGGCCCATGCCGATGCTGCTGCCAAAAACTCGAGGTCAGTGATGACGGTGGCGGGGGAAGAAGAGGAGAGGAGATGCCATATCGGAGCTGGGCGAACGCGGGTCGTATTGGATCCCGTCGAGTCGTTGTGGCGCCTGTTTCGCTGCGCTCGGCGAGGCTAAACTGGCCTATCCTGTAGCCGCATGCCTGTTCGCACATGCGTGGGTCTCGGTATTGGTGCCATTGTGATTGCGGTAGCTCACTATTCTCCACCTTCCATTCCCGGGTGCGTCTCGTGTGTTGCCACTTGACCCGCACTCGCCGGTGCTCAACTTTGGACCGGCCTCGCCGTGTTTCTGGGGATCCCTGGCTCTAGTTTCGCGAACGACGATTTGTACACAGTGTGAAGTTGCTGAGAAGCCGCGTGGTGTCGAAAGGGCATGAATACATAAACGGTTATCCGTACTGCACTTGGAACTCGCAGAAGGAAGTGCAAATGGTCGGGTATTGCTCCGGTATTGCTCGGGTCGGTGGCTGAGGAAGCTTGAGCCGGAGCAGTTGTGTGGCAACTCTGTTCACAATACGAAATGGGTAACCTCACCAGGATAGATGGCAGGTATAGCGGATCGGATCGGATCGGTCGTCCGTGGCTCCGCGAATGCTTTGGACGCAGAGGCGTCATTCTCGAGACTAAGGCGCTATGTGTTGGCTGGCTGATGGCAACAACAATGACGATGCCAATGTGGGGCATGGCGTAATCGCTGTGTGCAGGTGATTGTAGAGACTGGAGGGCGACCCACGGTCTTCCACTGTTGAATGTCGACTATGACGGACTGCATGCTTGATTGAAATGAGACAATGTTCCATATTTTTCTGAACAGGTATAGCGCGTGAGGTCACATTGGAATCATATATTGGATCAATAGAAAGAGGGACAATATCAGGAGCCACCGATTACTCTAGAATAAGAGTGGGGATGGCGCCTATATTTGTGTCGACCGGGTTTACAGCAATAGTGGGGAGGGGGATGATCAAGCGTCCAGCATTTGATTCAATCGCAAATCAGAAAGCACAATTTGGTCACTATCTGTTTCACTCAGGGCTCGGGAAACGGCCAGCTTAGTGCTGGGGCTTGGGGTGAACACTGTGGGTGGGCTTGGTGTGCTCGGAGTGGGAAGGCTTGGTGTGCTCGGAGTGGGAAGGCTTGACATGAGCAGAGTGAGAAGGCTTGACATGAGCAGAGTGAGAAGGCTGAACAGCGCGCTTGCTGTGGGGCTTGCCAGAGGGCTTGACATGCTCGGAGTGGGAGGGCTTGACATGCTCAGAGTGGGAGGGCTTGACATGCTCAGAGTGGGAAGGCTTGACATGAGCAGAGTGAGAAGGCTTGACATGAGCAGAGTGAGAAGGCTTGACAGCGCGCTTGCTGTGGGGCTTGCCAGAGGGCTTGACATGAGCGGAGTGGGAGGGCTTGACATGCTCAGAGTGGGAAGGCTTGACATGAGCAGAGTGAGAAGGCTTGACATGAGCAGAGTGAGAAGGCTTGACAGCGCGCTTGCTGCGGGGCTTGCCAGAGGGCTTGGCGGAGGGCTTGCCAGAGGGCTTGACGTGCTCAGAGTGAGAGGGCAAGTTGGTAGGGCGAGAGTGAGGGGCAAACGAAGGCAAGTCGGTGGGGCGGGAGTGAGGGGCAAACGAGGGGTGGTTGGTGGGGAAGGAGTGATGCGAGAAGGAGTGCGAGGGGACGTTGGTGGGAATGGGGTGGTGCGAGAAAGTGTGCGAAGGGGCGTTGGTGGGGCGGGAGTGCTGCTCCTGGGAGTGGCTGGGGCGAACAGCAGCGCCAGAGACGCAGGCACCAGCAAAGAGGGCAAGGGCGGCGAGCTTGGTGAGGAGCATGGCGAGAATAGAGACGAAGACGGAGGAGTTGGTAGATGGACTGCGATGAGATGCTGGAGAGCAGGATGGAGTTTGGGAAGATGGTGCAGGCAGGGCGCAGATTTATACGCCGGGGCCTGCTGAGCGACGGCGACCAAGGGGCGAAGGGACAGCAGCACATGTCCTCCCTTGAAGGCGGCCGACTGGGGCCCACAAGGACGACTGGCCGAGAATAGTCAGCCCACACGCGACGGCGAAGAAGGCGCCGGTAAGGGCGGGTGGCGGGTGGCAGAACGATGGCGACAGGCGGCGGCGAGAATAGCGCAATGGCCGCGTGTGTTGCGCCGAGGCAGCAAGCTGGCCAGAAGCAATGTGACGGACGCAATAGGAGAAGCAGATGCAGCAGATGCAGCAGAGGCGGCAGGCCGATGGCGAGCACGGGTGCACGAGTAGTGATATCTGGCAGTGATATCTGGCAGTGATATCTGGCAGTGAGGCTGACCCAAAGCCGCAACCGGAGAGACTGGTGCGGTCACACGCACACCGAAAATAGCAACGCCAGGAACCTCGGCACAGCATGACAAGGCATGGGGGTGGTTGTGCAATGAACGAAGGAAGGCGCTGCGACAGTCCGCGAACGGCTGGATTCGGATTCGCGTCGTCGGACAAGGAACAACAAGCAGGCCGGAAGGAGAACAGCGATCCGTGGGGGACACGAAGAGGAAAGGGTGGAGGCGTGTGGGCACGGACGCAGATCGAGACAGGGCCATCGCAAGGCCTGCCCGAGCAGGCATACGAGCACAGAAGAAGGCGCAGGACCGACCTGAGGCCGGCAACAAGAGGGCAGATGCGTCGGCAAAAGAAAGGCGGCAGCACGAAGGACATCATGTGTGGGCGGTGGAACAGTCCAGGAAGAGCAAAGAAGAAAGGGGGCCGGGTGGCCGTGGTGGTCCTTTGGGCACAGGGGCGGCCGCATGACGCCGCGGGGGTCAGCCCAGTCCCTGCGTCCCTGGGTCATGCTTTTCGACAAGAGACAATCCGCGGTGAGTGCCCCGCTTGCGCTCTGATGAACGGACTCGGAACGAAGCGAGACAAGGACAGGGCCGCAACAATCTTTGAGCAGCTCGCCAACGACGGCCACAGCGACAGCCAGTTCTGGCTGGCACGGTGCTGTCAGCACGGCTGCGGACCATCGACGGCCGAGTCGACGATATTCGAGTGATTCGCCAAGTCAGCACGCCAGGGCAACTCGTATGGACAGTGGAAAGTCGGTGTGTGTCATCACAACGGATACGGCACCGCTGAGGACGTTGCCAAGGCAGCAGAGTGGTATCGCCTGTCGGCCGACCAGGGCAACCGGTACGGACAGAGCTGTCTCGGCGTGGACTATCTTGATGGCCGCGGGGTCGCCAAGGACATGGACACTGCTATCGTTTGGCTCCGCAAGTCCGCGGACCAGGGTCACCCATGGGCCATCGACCACCTCGAGAAGCTCGGCAAGTGGCCCTGATTGCAAACTGCCCTGGTTGCAAGCGACCACGGTATCCACGCCTCGGCATCCGTGGTCTGGATCCCAATGTGCATGGCTCGCCATCTCGGCCGTCAAGCGCAAGGGCAGAAATCGACAACCGGAGGCGTGCATCGATCCACTGGCTCCGATCCCGAGTCGACAAACTGCTCGTCGCGATCCAGTGCTGGTGGCCCTGATTGCAAACACCAATGGCTGACGTTCGGGAGTGCCTGGTTTGACTGTTGTGGTGGGACTCTGTCGATGAGATATCGACCGCGGATATTGGAATCATGGATGGACCGACTCCATGAAGCAGACCGACACCATGCATCTCGCTCACACAGGGAAACGATTTGACCCACTAGGCTGGGTGTGTGACATGATCCGGCTACGCTGTGTTTATCCGAATGAGACGATGTGTCCCATTTCTCTTCAACACGCTGTAAACGAGTTTATTGGTCGTTCTGTGAAGACTGTCTGAACTTCAAATATCTAGCAGATGGATGATCCGGTGAAAACATAGCGCTCACATACCAGCTCGGCGGAATCTCAGTGCGACATATTCACCAGAGACAGTCTGCCCATCATTCTGAATTGCGTGCATGATCTCCTTGAACTGATGAGTAAACCTTTGCGCTCCTTCCTCGTCTCTTGATAGTGCCTTCGCCATGGCCATACTTCTTAAGCATTCCGCAGCGTCTGGTGTGTTGCGCGTTCCATAAGCACGCTCCCAGTAGTCAAGTGACTGTTCGTAATATCGAAAGCTCAAATCAAAGTCACCTCCCTTTAGTGTGCAATATCCAAGGTTAGAAAGCACCCTGGCAATTTCCTTTTCATGATTTCCATCCAGAGTTTTCAAGATACGTAGAGCTTCTGAATACAGGTTTGTAGATTTCTCATGATATCCTTCGTCGTCAGCGACGGTAGCCATTAGATTCAAGATGTTGACAGAATCAATATGATTCCTTGTTCCATTGGCTTTTACAGAAGTTGTCATTGCTTCCTCGAACAGTTTGAACGCCATTTTTAAATTACGTTTCGAATAGCTCAGCTCACCCATGGCCCTCAAAGCCACGGATAAATGGCACATATACTCCTCGTCATTCAGCTTCACCAGGATATCGTGGCCCTCCTGGAGATACTTCCATGCACATTCGTGTGAGTTATTTGCCTTTGCTGATATTCCTTGATGGATCAAAGCATGTGCGATGAGCGCGTGATGACGAGACCCAAGGAGTTTTTCCATTATAGAAATGATTTCTTGAGCAAGTGCGTCGGATTCTCGATAGTTCTTGAAGTAAACACGAATTGACAAGACGTTACACATGGCTTGGACGACTTTCTCATGAGACTTTGTATTGAAGAACTTCACCAGGATATCAACCGCTTCTTGGTAGTCCCTCAAAGCTGACTCATGGTCTCCGCATTTATGCTCGATCTTCGCTATCATTTCAAGGTTGGCTGAATGAGTTATGGCGTTTCCAAAACCATTGCTCTTCATTATCATTTGGGCGTCTCTAAAATACTTGAGCGCCTCCTGAGGCTTGTCTTGTTTCCTCGCCACTGTCCCCAAGTTTTGAATAGCAGCTGTCATGACAGGGAATCTCCGGTCGCCTTTGACATTCTTACAAACATTCAGAGCTTCTTGGAGTTTTGACTGCGCTTCGTCAAGACGACCACGGTTTATCAGGGTTACTCCGATGCCATTGAGCACAGTTGCAGTGGGTAAGTATCCTTGTGGTTCCCCAATCTCTCGGCAAATCTTGAGCGCTTTCAGAAAACACGAATGGGCCTGATCGTAATTTTTTTGCTCGCTCAGAACAAACCCTAAGCCAACGAGAAGTGAGACAATCGAACTCGAATATTGTGCTTCGGAAATATGCTCGAAGATTGCGATGGAATCTCTGTAGTGCTGAACGGCGTCGTCAAACTGCCACGCTGCCGATGCGATTCCTCCCATTATTGAGAGAATCCTCGCAATCACGGCGTGCTTGCGCGTTCCGTATATATGTTCGAAAATTGATAGGCACTCCTGACAGAGTTGAAGTCCCCGACAGGAGTCGCCCAGGTCGCTGAGAATTTTCGCCATAGTACAATTGGCGAGCGCCAGATCCGGGTTCACACGAGTTCCATGTATCTTGCTCGTCACTTTGATTCCTTCGGCGATGTAGTCCTTGGCTTCATATATCGATCCCATCGAATATGCTACTTTCCCAATATTGTACAGCACTCGGGCGTAATCATTCTGGCTCATATTCTCCTTTAGATTAAGGTGTAATTCTTTCAATTCCTTCAGACGATTGAGAGCATCTTTGAGTTGACCTTGGGAATCCATCTCCAAGGCAATATTTTGCATAATGATCAAATAGAGAGGATGGGTCTGGTATCCCTGGATATTCTTCAAAATATCCAATGCCTCCTGGTGGTGCCGAAACGCGGAATCGTGGTGTTCGAGTTCACTTTCGATGACACCAATATTCGTCAACACTCCGGCAATGTCGATATGTTCATTAGTTTTATAGACAGCCTTGAATATATCTATGGATTTGGTGAAGTACCGAAGGGATTCATGCAGGTCGCCCTTGTCTCTCATGATCAGTCCCAAATTTTGGTATGTTTTCGCTATTCCGGGATGGTCCTCAGTGTCGAAGATCTTCTTCTTGATTTCGAGTGAATCTTGGCAAAGTTTGATTGCTTCATCGTATCTTCCCTGATATCTTGCAATCGGGCTCATGTTATTAAGGTTCACTGCCCTACTAAGGCTTTGGCTGTTGCCGGAATCAATTTGCTCAAGCTGCGTGGCCTGCTCGTATTCATCAAAAGCTTGGATGAAGAGTCCCTTGGATTTTGACACGAGGCCAATGTTGCCTACGATTTGCCCCAATATCCGCTCACATTTACCCGTGGAAGAGTTGGCCATGATATCTTCGGCCTCTTGAAAGCATTCAAGAGCATCGGAGAGGTCACCGGTAGATCTCTTCAACCCGCCGATGCTATTGAGAATGGGAGGGGTTTGCGGATTGTTCCGAGTGCCGAAGCACAAGATAGTGATATGTAGAGATTCGTTCAAGCACTCCATTGCTTGGTCAAGGCGCCCCATCGCATGCATTGTGTCGCCCATTTCCTTGAGTATGGTTCCAACCAATGGATTCAATCTTGTTTCGAAGAGGATCTCTGACCGCCGCAGATTTCGTTCAAAGACGGAAATGGCTGCACCATAGAGTGCCTTGTCTGACAATTGCATGGCCAAAGCCTTTTCAATTTCGGCGTGCATTTGAGCTGAGTATGTCTCAGGGATTGCTTTCGCTGCATAGTGTTCAAAGTGCTCAGAGAGACTGTGTGCCTTGAGTCCCAGCGTTTTTTCAAAGCTCAACATGGCCGATCCAGTAGCATTTATCACCTCGCTAAAGGCGAGCTCGTGAGTTGATTCGCTGAACTGCTGCGCAACTTGTTGGATCAGTGAGTGAGTGTGGTAGTTGTCATCAGCGCCTAAGCGAATCAGTCCACTCTGGCCAAGGAGGGTTGCGAGAGCGGTGGCTGCAAAGTTTTGAGTATCACAAAATAGAAATGGTCTTTAGTATAATAGAAGCTTGAACCACCAAATTATGATACTGAGCACCCAAAACACGAACCTGGACCAGTCAACTTCATTTCTGCGGCGATGGCCTTGATTAGGCCGTATGGAATGTTGTCGGGGCCCAGCAACGACGTGGCCGCAAACAGCTTGCAGGCCTCAATACCCTGAGTCCCTCGTTTCATGAGCTTCGACATCGAGAGAGATACAATGACATGGAGCGACCTTGAGTCTCCTTGGTCCCCAGTACCGCTCATAGCTGTGCGAAGCGCAGTCTCGACTTCACTCAAGGAAACTTCGCCGTTCTTGAGGAGGATTTGAAATGTCCGAACGACAAGTGGATATCCCTGGATGCTCTGTACGATGCTGAGCAATCTGTTGCCATATTCAGTATCCTGGATGTTCGCATTTTCGGTAGTATCGAGGATGAAGTCATATGCTATATCTGTCGACCACGGACGGAGCACAATCGGCTCTGTGTGGAAGCCTGAGACATTGTGCTTAAAGGCCTTCAGGAACATTCCATCTTCGATCGTCTCGAGGCGAGTAGTTATGATGACATCGCCACCAAATCCTAGGCTTCTGGAGTGCTCGAAAACGCTATCGACCACACCAATGTCGTCGACGTTATCGAGAATCAAGAGATACTGCCGGGTGGTCGCCAGGAAGTCTGAGGCATGCTTTTTGATTTCATCCGTCTTGGCGTTTGGAAGGATTTCTTGAAGACCATTCAACGCAGACAGCTCTGTTGCGCAGTTGATCCAGTAGACTTCAGTGTAATGGTTAGATTCCAGAAGTGTTTGCTTCCTCAGATCCGTAAGATCTTTGGAATTGTGAACAGCTAGAGACCCCATCATGAAGCCGAGAAATTGACGGGCCAACACCGACTTTCCCATTCCACCCATCCCCGAGATGATCGATCTTCCATACTTGGTGATCTGTTCCAGGATTCGATCCAGCTCGCAGGCGTCGATACGGAATTCGGAGTCGCACGTGAGAGACCGCGCGATTTTGAGAGTCGTTTTTTCGAGGACCAGAGTGGGCTTGAAGATGCTTATAAGGAAGTAAATTCGCCTGTAGATTCGCTTGGGGTCAAGGTTGTAAACGGATCCCCTGTTTAGTTGTGGATAGCGGTCCAGAGCCTTAATTCCAAATGAATATGTTGCAATGGCCTCGGTAGAGCCATGTGGATCAGTCGGTTTGATTTTTTGTTCTTTAACAGAGAGGGTGAGCACAACAACGGGAAAACCAGGCTTCAGAGCGTCGCCTTTCAGAGATGAGATGAGTTTGTCGATGAAGCTGGCGCTATGCTCAAGTTCATGGGTCTGAGCATCTCCCTCATCCATGACAAGAAGAGCTCCGGAGCTACTGGAGAGGGCTTGATCATGACCAGTGGCGTCGCCGATAGTCTGGCATTCGGATCGAGTGTAAATTGATAGTCTCTCGCCCGATCGACGGAGCCAAGTTGATGCGAGAAGGGCTCCGAGTTTCTGTTCGATGGACGCATCGACTTGCTCTTGGCAAAATAAGGTTATGTCATGCGTTAGCCCATGGACTGAACAGCAGGACGAAGGTTGTTGAGTTGCCATCCGACCTGAAGTAGTGTCGGGAAGAGTCGGGATTCTTGGACACGAATAGATCTATATTTTCAAGCTTTGGCTGGCTGATTTGAGTGGAAACCCCCCCCCATCGGCTCCATTTTATGTGGCCACACGGAGGCCGAATTTGGTTGGCGCATGACTCTCCTCCAAAATTTTATTTTGGGGCACGAGTGGGTGAACTCGCCAAATTTGACAGTATTACCAATCAGAGGCGGCTCCTCAGACGTTACAATTGGCAATTGAAAACGGGAAAGAATGCATCAAACCCAATCGATAAACATGAATCACGAAACACACAGTGTGATCAAAATGAGTCAGAGTCATCCAACGGTGATATGTCAAGACCTTGCTTTGCGTATCGAAGATTTTCAGGGGGCCCGCCAACAAAACCTTTGTAGCCAAGGTCTTATCGTGAGAGCCTTGAGGTGATTCGTGACAAAAATGACAAGTCGAGCACCCTTTTAAAGAAGAGGCATTTCAATTGACAATATTACAATATAAATGCGCTGTCATCATATTCGCGGATCCATATGAATACCCACCGCATGCTCTGGGCTTGCCAGATGAATTTGTCCTGGAGTGAAAATTATTCGTGGGTCATTTCGTGGATTATCCTATGGTGGCACGCCCGGGCGGTATCAATTGGCCATGTTCAGCGGACTCTTCAATATACTCTCCCGGCTTCATGAGCACAGCATCATTAAAATAATTTCGAGTTTTGGTGCTCATATCTCGAGCAAATCTCAGGCGCGTTGCATCCGCTCCGCGAGTGCAAGAATCGACTGGTGCCGGTCTTGGCTCCTCTGCCGGTGGCGGAGGTTCCCAAACCACCAAGCAACCACTGCTCTCCGCAGGCACGAGGGTATCACGTCGCCTTGAACCATGCGGTTGACGGCCACCGCGGGAAACGTGCCTGTGGATGGGGTCCAGAAATTGTGGCCGTCAAACCCAAAGTGTCACGCCAAGCATCCCCCGCGGCCGCATGCGCTTCCACGGCTTGCATTTTTGCCCCAACGATAATGATCACCCGCCCATGGTCGAAGTCGTTTTCACAGGCGACTCCGGGATGTGACTCACCATCCGCCCTCAGCCACCAAGCTTTGACACTCCCCAAGATACCCTTCTCCGTTTGTTTGGGGCAGAATGGGGGTAAGCCAGTGTCTGTCAGTCACAGTTCGTGAAATGGGCCGCCCCATGAAATCGTCGCCATGCGCGATAATGACATTGACTTCTCGAGTCAAATTTGATGAAAAGGAGAAAGAAAATCGGTGGCGCTCCTGGTGGCGCACAAGTCCACTCTTACATCTCGGTCCACGCTGGACATTCCCGAGATCCCGATCCGCTGTGCTGCCGCTCTCAAAACATGACCTTCCGGGGTCGGGTTGTCGCCGTCGACCGAGGAGATCACGCCGCTCTGCATATTTACCTGTCGAAGTTCCTCTTCTTTCGAGCCATCGCCACAACCTCAGGGTGTACGTCTCTTAAACCATTCAACAAGATGACGGAGACGGAGCCATATTCTTGCGATGTTCACGGATTGCATCATGATATTTTCATTTCGTATCGCGCTGATGCTGACGAGGATACTGCTAAGCTTCTTCACGATCGTCTCACAGCCTTTGCCAAGCGCCGGCATGGCCAGCCCCCTGCAATATTCTTTGATAAGAATTGTATACAGATGGGCCAAATGATCCAAAACCGATTCCTTTCCGCCATGGAAAATTGTAGGGCCGTTATTTTCCTTCTTAGCCAAGCTTCGATGCAAACCATGATCGATAAGGTCCAGTCTGGATATATAGACAGTGTTGTACTTGAGCTCGAGACTGCACTCGACTTGAAGGACGACAACCCCGGGTTGCACATTTTCCCTTTAGCTGTGGCCACGAAGGAGAACAGAGACGGAAGCGAAATATTCCACGAGTTCAAACCCTTTGAATTTGCCATCCCCGACGAGCCTCAGTTTCAGTCCCTCAGGGAAACCATCGACAGACTGAACAGTATCAGCATGGGGAAGTTTCATCCGAACCAGATGTATAAGCGGATCAGCTTTCTCTCCAATCGCCTCTCCCCTAGACCTCCCACACCGGAGGACAGAATCAAGGCCTCCTCAAAATATCAGTACGACTCAAATCTTCGAGTTGATCACCTCCTCCTTGACGCCCTACTCCAGAGAATCACACTGACAGGTCGTGCCTTTATCTCTGGAATGGGTGGTATCGGCAAATCCGTTCTCGCCCTTCAGTTTGTTCGATTCATGATGGGTATACTTGATACAGATAGCGAAGAGCTCAGCGAGCTAAAAAATGAAACTATTGGATCAGTACCCCAGTACAGCCAGATTTTTCTGATCAACTGCTCAACCGAGACAACAGCTCTCTCTGGGCTCCAGGAAATATTTCCTGGGATGAAGGCAGGCGAAATCAAGAAGCACGCCGCCAAGGTCTTTGCTGAGAGCAGCGGTTACCTCCTGATACTCGACAATGGAGACGACATTGACGTTTTGAATTCCGTGTTTGGAGAGTCAAGGAAACACGGCTTTGGTGGAGATGTCATTGTCACTTCGCGAGCGGCCTCGATCGCGGAAGGTGCATTCAACCAGGCGTTCAAATTCAAAGTCAATCGATATACATTTGACCCTCTGATGATTATGCCATGGTCGCAAGAAATCGCGTTTGACTACGTGATGAAACAGTGCCCCAAGCTCTCCAATAAAGCCAAGTCCCGAGAGTCCATCGCCAAAGTGAAAAATCTCATATCGAGGATTTACTCCAACAATCTCGTTTTGCACACTTTCATATTCTTCTTTGATTCAAACACGATTCCATTGGCAGAGCTCGAGCGAGCTTTTGGCCAGGTCTTGAATCGGAATCACGGGGAAACCGATGCTCAGCTGTCGTTGCGAGCAATTGTCACCATGACGCTGGATGGCGAAATGAACAAAGGACCAACTGGACACGCGACTTGCTGCCTCTATTCGGCAATATGCTACATCGGATCAGAGAACATTCCATACGAGTTAATCAAGACAATTTCGGAACAACAAGGTCGTGGTGACGAATGTACGTGAGCTGAAACATCGATGCAAAGCAGTGCTGGTTGTTGCGAGCACACTCTCATGTAGCCTTCCATCTGTTCAATTTTAGTGATGGAAACCTACCCTCGGTTGATTGAACTTGCATTGTTGAATGAAACAGAAGATGATATGTGTAGAGCGAATCCTCTCAAGCAGCAAATCGGAAGATCATATGCAAATGATAATCCGGAGCTTTTTGGCTTTCCCGTTCTTGAGACCACGGGCAGAGCCCTCATCGAGTTCCTTGGAGATCCACGCAACAGTTTCTCTTTTGATAAATGTTCCCACTTCGAAGCCTATTTGAAGCAACTTCCACCAAATTCTCTTCCACAAGATCTCCATTTTCAGATCGAACTGACGAGCTCGAGGCTGGATCTGACTCGTGGGCACTACCACCGGGCGCAAGAAGGTTATACCCGCGTTCTGGATCTGCTTGATGGCAGTGACAGCCCCAATATCATAACAAAAGTCGACGCCTTGATGGATATCGCGAAAGCTACCTATGAGCTCAATCAGTATTCTCGTGCTCGAGAATATCTTGATGAGGCCAAAGAGCTTTGCGGCGTCAACGGAGACGTCCAGTCTAAGATATACGTTGCCCACATTCAAGCAATCAAAGGCGATGTTGCAATCAAGGAAGGGTCCCTTCAGCTCGCCAAGACCCTATATTCTGAATCAATTGGTATTCTCAAGGAGGTTTATGGCAACAAAATCTACAATCAGGATGTCGCAGAGACGTACATAAAACTTGGTAAAACCTTGGAGAGACTTAACGACCGCCAGCAGGCTTTGGAAACTTACAAGATCGTATCAGAGCTCGAGCCAGATATTGGTGAGAGCTATGACAAGCGGTACAAGGCCGAAATTTACTCCAGCATGGCAGCGATCGATCTTTTCCAGGATTGTCCTGACGACGCCATCAGGAATCGTTTGCTTGCCATCAAGGAGCTGAAAGAATTTCATGGAGAAGTTGCCCATCCATCTATTGCCAAAGCCCATATTGATCTTGCCGAGACGCTTGCATCCCACAAGCAATACGAAGATGCAAACATGCAGTACGATGAGGCCATCAGAGTTTATGAAAAGTCGTTCTACACTCGCAATATCCAAGAAATCGCCACGGCATTATACAACAAGGCGCATGTGTTCATGGACAAATGGGATGCTCTGAGCGATGCCGAAAAAGGCACGAGCAGGAATGAATTGATGAGCGCGATCAAGCTGTTGCAAGAAGCCCTCAAGATCATCTCTCTGGTCAAAGAAGTGAAGGACCAAGCTCACCAAAAAAAGATCGAGGAGCTCAAGCGGAAGGCCAGGGAAGAAGATTGCAAGATGGATCGTCCCCTCATCGAAGCCTGTCGCTACTATGCCAAAGCCTTCAATCAATATTTTGTCAATGACGAAGCTCCAGTCACTGCAGAAAATCATAATCATGTCAATTTCTTGAATGAAGATCAGGCCAGCTCCGTATCGCACAAGCACAGTGCGGTGTCAAGTGCAACTGTGGGAGGACAAGAATCACCAAATGAAGTCCGAGGTTACCAGACAGGTCAGAGGACAGGCGAGACCCACCTTCCAAACACTTCCACCCTCCAGATTGAGATCGAGGTTGGGGATCGGGTTGAGGATCAACCTCCTGCTTATTCGTCGGTTATTCTCGAAAATGCATCTATTGTGGATTTCACCCGAAAATTAACCAGTCGAGATGAGAGAGCATCGACGGTATCGATCGCCGGTCGCGATTAATTTTCTCAGTTGGTGAATATTGTCTAAACAGCGCTCGAAAGGGCTCCCTTTTCATCACGCCATGCTTGGTGATCACTTCGGTAAACCTTATACTGATGAAGTCAGTTATGGAACAAGTGCCGTTATCTCGGACTCATCCAGCATTTTTCGCGACCTTTGCTCAGAGTCCCACGATATATTTGTATTTGGTCTGGTTTTGACCCAGGCAAAGGGCCTGATGTTTGTCATCCAGCAATTTCTTTGAATACATACGAAAATTGACAAAAATGTTGTCGATATGCTCGCTTCAAGTGGGATGAACTAAAAATTCCAGACAGGAATCCTGATAAAGCCGAGATGCAAGATCGAATATCGTTGATTACATCCTTCAAAAACCAACCCAATCACAGATATTTCAGTTCTGAGCGAATCATCGCTCCGTGACCAGGACGAGGGCAACGGCCGGGTGCTTCTCGCAAGCATATGCGACGGCGGTCCCAGATCAACACCGCCCGTCAGAGTCTCGTATCCCAGACAGCAGGATGCAGCCAAGCAACATGCCCAGCATCCTCACGAACCATCGTGGGAAGGTCTCGGCTGATTCGCCCGGTGCGCAGCACCAGACCTGCCACGCGGGCCAGCCCAAGGCCGCGTCCAGCCCATCTCTCGCCTGATCTTCGCATCCAGCCAAGATCGATCACCCCTTGCGTCTGCCTCCTCCGCTCTGTCGATCAGGCAATGGCTGCGTTCATCAAATTCACGCCACTGACTGGTGCCCAGAACGAGGATCCGCTCTGCTATCTGCTAGAGGTCGACAGCGCAAAGATTTTGCTGGACTGCGGATGGTCGGACCGCTTTGAACCCGATGACCTCACCTCCCTCAAAAGGTTCGGCCAGCAGAGCGGATCTGCCTCCACTCATGTCCGATAGCACAGATAGTGACTGTGGGTGGATCCGGGAGCGACGCAACATATGTTCCACCTCATGTCCGATAGCGTGCATCCACATTGCCCTCACGCTGCTGAATGACCCGTTTCATCCAACAGACTGGCCAAGCACATCGATGCTGTCCTGATCTCGCACAGCGACATTGCACACATGGGTGCCTATCCCTACGCCTATGGCCAACTCGGCCTCACCTGCCCGGCATACGCAACCATTCCAGTCCACGACATGGGCCAGATCTGTCTCTACGATGCCTTCCAGAGTCGATCCGAAGTCGAAGAGTTCAAGGTCTTCTCGCTGGACGAAGTGGACGCCGCGTTCGAAAACATTCTGCCGCTGAGATATTCCCAGCCGTTTGCCCTGCTCGGTGGGTCTGCTGCTTCCGGCCCCACTTTGCAACGAGCACGGCCAGTGGCAGCCCTCGTTGAGACGGATATCCGATCACCGTCAGATCGTTGCGAGGGGCGTCATCTGCGGCGGCGCTCTGGGTTCGAGCTCCTAACGGCACTGTTGTTCTCCAGGCAAGTGCCAAGGGATCACCATCACGGCCTATCCGGCTGGACGTACGATCGGCGGGGCGCTCTGGAAAATCAAAAAGGACACGGACGAGATTGTTTATGCCGTGGACTACAACCACATCAAAGAACGGTAGGCTCAACGCCTCGGTTTCCATGCGCCGTATCCAGCCGCATCGCATTGCAATGCTCGATCCTATAAGCGAGCTGGGCCATCACCCCAGACGAGCACCCACGCCGCTATTCTTGAGCCGGCCTTGCACACGCTCGCCCTGTCCTGGCACCCCCCCTCACACCTTGCTTCCCGTACAGGCATTTGAATCCCACCGTGCTTCACAAAAACACCGAGGCCCTCTCTCGCCCCTCGGTTCTCATCACGGATGCATTCAACTCGCTCAACATACTCTCGAGTCGCAAGCATCGCGAGACAGCCTTAGTGGGTACGTATCGAGGAGGCGTTGACAAGCGTACCGCCGTTGTGGGCCAGATACGCCCGATCCTGATCTGGCAGATGCGCAATCAACTGGTTTTATCTTCTATGAACCCGCTGCTTTCTCGAAAGCGCCACTGGATCGGTGGCTACTTGCACCGGTGTTCGGCTGGGATTCTGTGGGCCCACCGTGTTGGCTGCCGCCAAGATTATAAAGGGTCGTGTCCACACATCGCCCCTGCAAATGACTCTGGAGAGTAGAAACCTTGGCTCGCACCAACGCATTCGTATCGCTTCCTGAAATTGCAGATTCCCTGGCCCACTACACCAAACTCGGGGCCAACGTCCTGCTTCCGGTGGACTCGTGTGTCCGTGTCCTGGAGCTCGCATATACGCTAGATCAAAATTGGTTCTCAAGCAACGTGCCTCTCATCTTCTTGTCGTACCAAAGTGTCCGAGTGATCAACATGGCCAAGAATATGATCGAATGGATGGGGGACAATGTCACCAACACCTTCTCGCAGCGACGAGAAAACTACTTTGAGTTCAAGTGAGTTGTGGCAAGTCAGGGACACCGATCCGATCATTTCGCTGCACGTTACCTACTGCATCTCCCGACGTTGTCGCAGAGCCTTGAACTGATCCAAACTGGCGCATCAGCCACCTGCGAACGTACTCTGCGCTCAAGGATGTCCTGGCTATCCCTGGTCCCAAAGTCGTCCTGGCCAGTCTTTCGGGACTGGAAACTGGACTCGCTAACGAACTGCTGCAGCTGTGGGCCGAGCATCCCCAAAATGCAATTGTGCTGACGGATCGTGGGCATCCCAACTCGCTTGCACGACGACTGTATACGGAGTGGGAGTCTCGCCTCGTCCGCATGGATGGACAGCCTCTCCCTACGGCTCCGGTCCAGCCCAACGTCTACATCGACCTCGAGGTGGGGGGGTCGCCCTTGTTTCGTCCGAGCACTTTCCGAATCTACTTCAGAGGGACGGAATTCAGAGGAGTCGCCGTGGCTGATACACAAATGAATGCCCTTGCTCTCAGGTTCGGAAAGCCATACCGCTTGAGGGACAAGCTCTTGTTCAGTATCATGAGCGCGAACGCGAGCGATTGACCCGCGAGGCCTTGGAGGCCTCCAAGGGCCAAAGTAGCATCGACGACGACGACTCTGACGACGACGATGGCGACGAGAGCGGAACCAAAGACACGCTGTCGACCCAGTTCGACGTCTACGTCAAGGACCCGATTCGTAGCGGAGGATTCTTCAAGCAAAACCAAGCCTTTGCCATGTTCCCGGTATTCGATAGCCGCAAGATCGTTGATGACTACGGAGAGGCTATCGATCCAGGCCACTACATGAAGGGCGAGTTTCAGTTTGCGTTGGCCCAAGCGGCTGAGGAAGCCAAGCGGGCAAGTATTTCATCTAGAATATCTTGGGAGGAGGGACTGGTGGTGTCTGGAGCAGGGAGGGGATATGCAGCTATTGCCCGTGCACAAAGCCCCGAGCCAGCGACAGTGTAAGCTGACAAGTTGCTTGGTTTTGGCTGCTTCTTCCGATCACCCATGCGGCGCTTCGGTAAGCCCTCGACCCGAATGGAGGTGGACAAGCGACCGGTCATCAGCAAGCCACCCTCCGAGTATGTCACAAGCCAGATCAGACTGTTCCTTGGATGCGTGCTGGTGTTTATCGACTTTGAGGGGCGGTCCGATGGCAACTCAATCAAGAATATCCTGTCTCAAGTCTCGCCACGAAAACTTGTAAGCAGCAGAATCACTGCGGCTGTGCTTCCATGCTCCATGCGTGGGCATTGTCAGGGATATGCAAATCTGAACGATACTTCAATGAACTGAATCGACCGCGACCACTGCATCGCACCATCTAGATCGTCGTCCATGGATCCGAAGCCGCCACCAACGACCTGGTCAGTTCGTGCATGAGCGACGACAACATGACCAAGGACATCTTTGCTCCCACCGTGGGCGAATGCATCAACATCTCGTCCTCCAAGAACATATACCAGGTACAACCGTCGACACACCCTCATGCAGTATTGCCAGCGTATATCGCGGCGACTGCTAACTACATCATACTTCTGATGGCAGATCAAGCTCACAGACTCGCTCGTCAGCTCACTCAGAGTCGAAAGGGTGAGTCACACGGATAGCGCCAGCCAGCGGTCAGATAGAGATGCTTCTGAGGCTCCAGGGACATGACGCATACGTATGAGCTCGTTGGGCAGCACTGACTGAACCTTGTCTATCGCAGCTGGACGACTACGAGCTCTCGTTTGTCACGGGCGTGGTTCGGACGGGCAAGAACCAGGCAGGAGGCAACGATGGCGACCAGGACGGGCAGCCGGAGGACAGCGCAGCCCCTAGTCCCGACGACAGCTCGGTTGTTCCCGATCTGGTGGCCCAGACCACTCAGCTTCCAACGCTGGATGTTCTTCCCCTCGAGCATCAAAAGGTCCACCGACCGCTGCTCGTCGGCGATGTCAAGCTGAGCGAGTTCCGCAAGGTCCTGCAAGCCGAGGGATACCAGACCGAATTCGTCGAGGGAGGCGTGCTCAGGGTAGTTGCCAGTGGCACCGCAAACGCTGCACCACAAGGGGCACTAGCGGTTCGCAAGCTTGGCCTGGGGAAACTCGTGCTTGAGGGTCCACTGAGTCCGCAATACTTCAAAGTGCGTAGATTGCTCTACAGCCAGCACGCAGTCTTGTAGGATGCTCGGCACCGCTCGACGCAATTCATTGCCGGCGGGACTCAATACAGCGTTTCCAAAAAAGAAACGGGACAGCATGTCGAGATCCATCAGACGGTCAATTGCCGGGGCCTGGAGAGTCGGGAGCTGGGGCCACCCCGAACCGACCCGAACCGACCCGACCCGAACAAAATCTCAGGCACCTTCGGCACCGTCACGTGCGGGCTTTGAAAGTCCGCCTCTGTGCCGGTCACGTTTCTGCATTTTTTTCTTTTTGGCCGATGCGATGCGGATTCGGCCGGCCCAGCCATCACCAACCAGCACCGACGATCGCTCGCCCCAGGCACCAGCGCCAGCGCCAGCGACAACAGCCCACGCCGCAACCAGGCCGCCGACTCCCCTCGTCCGATCCCAGGTGCGGCACCGGGTGATATCTTGGGCAATGTCCGAGTCGAGTCTCTTGGCACAGATCGCCGTTGCATCCATGATGCACCGTCATTGAATCGCCGCTGGCGTGCTTCGAACTGACGATCGTTGCCGGTGCTCTCTCTGTTGCATCCGAGCCAGCCCTCGCTTGTATCCGCCATGGCCACCACAGGCGAAGTCGAGCCCCAGATCCAAGTGCGCTTCCATACCCGACATGCCAAATACTCTGTCACAGACGCAGCCATTCTGGTCCCGACCAAGCTGCGGCGCTACGGGCTGTCTGAAATCATCAACCATCTGCTGGCACTCGGTTCGTGACCCTGCTTCCCGCGACTGCCTTGGGGGAGCTTTCTTCGGTCGATCGTGAACTCTGGCTCGCATACCCACCCGGCGTAGGATACTAACCCCATTGAACTGCAAACGGCGCTTGTTGCGATCGCAGACCGACCCGTCCCGTTCGACTTTTTGATCGATGGACAGTTCTTGCGCACCAGCATCCAAACCTATCTCGACGACAATGGCCGTTCATCGGTAAGAGAGGATCGTTCGGTGGTCCAACCCTACCTGAGCTGCATCGCCTCGTGTCGCCCATCCGGGGCATCAGCGATCGATCACTCGAGCTACAGCTCTGGTCAGAGCCGCGAATGCAGATCCGGCAACTCGTTCACGGCACGGACGAGCCCATGATCCTTCCTTGGATGCTGCATGGATCGGAATCTATCCCGGGTCTGACCTCATTTCGCGCCGGCGTCTCAGGAACAAGTGGTCGACATCGAATACGTGGAGTCTGCCCTGCCTCCCCAGCAGAGCGCCGCCCTGAAGCACGACGACTGGATCTCTATCGTCCGCGGTCACCGACAGCAGTACGTTGCATCACCCAGTCTCCGTTTCACTCGGACAGACACACTGGCTTGGGCCAAATATCCGACCGAAACCCCTCCGTTGCTGCGGCCTGTCGTACTCACCAACGTCTGGATGTGTCCATCTCTAGCCCTCTGATCTTGTCGGGATCGTACGATAACACCGCACGCATCTGGGACCGGTCTGGAAACTGCGTTGGTAGTCTGGCCGGACATGATGCGGCTGTCAAGGCTCTCAGTTGGCTGGCATCCGAGGACGGAGGTGCGCACCTTGCAAATCTTTGCTGTCGAGGCGAACATTCCCAATCGCTGTTCCTCCGACGCGGCTGACCCATCGCTGTATCAAACAGACATTCTGCAGTGCTTCACCGGATCGCAGGATGAGCGCGTCATTGCCTGGAACATCAGCACTTTGGACTTTTCGTCAGAGTCTCTCTACGAATGCGTGGGACACAAGGGCAGCATCGAAGGAATCGCTGTCAATACCGCCGCGACCCATGTATGTTGTGACAGAGAAAGCCGCCGTGGGGTGCAGCGTGCTTGACTGAGCACCTCGGACTGGCGCCAGTGTCGTCACCAGTGTCGTCAACAGAGGCGCGGGCCACTGATGTGATCTCTGAATCGATGGCGCCAAGGGATCAAAGCACCGAGAAGGATTGATGAATGCTAACGCTCCAGATGCACGATCGTTTGCGCTGTGCACATGATGCTGCTTTCGAACAAACAGATGGCGACGGCGTCGTATGACTCCACGATCAAAATCTGGACGGTTGATGCCGACGACATTGAGGAGGACGACACCCAGCGAGAAGACGCACCGAAGCGCCGGAAAACCAATGTACCCAAGATGGCTGTCAAGGCAAGTCCGCTCTCTGGCCAGTGCTTCAGATTGGCCTCCGCCTGGTTCGGGCGTCGCATTGCAGTCGTGCAGGAAGAGCACGGTCAAGTGGCTGGACCGCAGCCGGCAGCTGTTCATGTCCAAGCGGATAGCCGACACGATAATGTCACGATGATGGACCATCATTTCACCGAATCTGCCACTCATCCCTTCCATGTCCTCTGCCTATCCATCTACAGCTTGCCTCCGAGACCTTGGAGGGACATCAAGGCGCCGTTTCGTCGGTGGTGTTCCACCAAGAGACTGGCTCGCAGATCCTCTATAGTGGTGGATGGGACCACTCCGTCCGCCTATGGGACGTCAGCGTTGGCTCGAACATATCCACGATGGTGAGTCTCGAGAGGGTGTTGGTCCAGCAAACGCTTGTGGATATCAAAGCGGACGGGAACTCTTGGCAGCATCGGTGCACAGCGACAGCGCTGAGGCGCATGGCGAAAACCCGAACAGCGTCCAAAGTGCCCGCGAGCTCATCCGCCCCATGTTCTGGCGATTGCGACTGATTTTTCTGTAGAACTGCGAACGGGTGATTACCTCGATCGACCACTCGGCCCAGTCCGAGCTGCTGGTGACGGGCCACGCCGATCCCCTCATCCGCCTGTGGGATCCGCGCTCGAGGGAGGGCATGGTCGTCAAGCTGCGTCTCGGCGGCCATGCCAACTGGGTGTCCTCGGTCGCCTGGGCACCCAACAGCCTCTACAACCTCGTCAGCGGCTCTTACGACGGCACCGTCAAGGTGTGGGATATTCGCAGCACTACCCCGCTGTACACTCTGTCGGGATCGAGCGAGCCCGAGCAGAAGGTCTTTGGCGTCGACTGGGTCGGTAATCTGATCCTGAGCGGAGGCGAGGACACGCTGCTCCGAATCCACCAGGCCAAGCAACTCTGATTTGCAATACATCTCTTTCTGCCAGCGCAAAGGAATGCCGCGGTGCGCCCATGTGACGTACCGATAGGGCTTGTACACTAACATCTAGCGATAAACCCGGGGGTGCCCAGCGAAGCGATTCTCACGCCTCCCAGGGCGCGATGCTTGGTGTAGGTTCCCTGCTCGCCTGACTGGCCCCTTGCCAGCCCAACTCTCGTGGGAAAGGCCCCGTCTGGGAGGACAGACCCGGGCGGCATGGATGCCATGGGCCGAACGTGACCGGCGGCCTTGCTTGCCGAACGGGAAACGTGAGGAGACCGCTGGGAACAAGCCGGCCCAGCAAGTCGACGGACTGGGGGGACTGTGGGGACTGTGCTGCATGATGTGATGCTGTCCTTGGTCAGCACAGAACGGACCAAAGGCCCGGGCACCTCACGTTTGCAGCTGTCGCCGCACAGGACTCCCCCGCCGCGGCACAACCTTGGTCCATTGCAGGTCGGGTGACCCTGTGCGATGCTTCCGCGGGTCATGCGGGCACATGGGGGGAGGCGCCTGTGCTGCCGGACCGATCTGTGCACAGCGCTGAGTCGTGTATGGCCTGTACGTACAAGTCTGTATTGGCGCTGCGCGCATTGGTTCGGCGGACGGAACGATCATCTGGCGGTGGGGAGGGTGGCTGGTCGTGTGGGGCGGGTGTGCTCTGCTGCAGATCCACCTGACGCCCTTGCTGCCGTCGCCACGGGCAAGTGCTTGCCGATGGGCCTGCTTGTGATGGCGGACTGGCGCACTTGCGCTGTCGTTGCGGACGGGGTTCGCAAGGCCGCCATCTGATCTCGGCTGCTCCTTTGCGCTTTTCGCCAGAGATGTCGATATAAAGGTCCTCGCGCCAGCAGGCCGCCATGGTCAGACCGTCGCCCTCGTCTCCCGCTCGCCTCATCTGTGCAAGATGTTCCTCTCGACCAAGTCCGTCGTCGCCGCTATCCTGGCGCTTTCGGGAAGCATCTCGAACGTCCTCGCCGCGAGCCGCTACATTGCCTACCACGAGTCGTGGTATTTCTACGACAACCAGAACCAGCCCTACACGGTGCGCACACATCTCGGCGCCGACTTGCACTCTGTCGCTTGATTTCCCACTCGCAGGCGTCGCGAGTACTGATCCGCCTGCTGTCCTTCCTCGCTCAACAGCTCTCGCCCCTGGCTGCCTCCAAGTACACCCACATCAACTGTAAGTGCACCAGGAATTGCACCTGTGCCCGACCTGTGCTCGACCTGCGCATCAACAGCCTGGTCCCCCCTTGAAATACGTCGCTGATCGTGCCCTTCCCCACCGTCGCCAGATGCCTTTGCCACCGTGCACTACCACCCTGCCACGGACCAGTACTATGGTATGTGAATGCTGTCGGTCTCGGAACTCGCATGAATGGATCCACTAGGATGGTTTAGTTTGCGATACTGACTCGCTGTGTCTCTAGTTGGCTTCACCGATGCTTATGCTGACTACGTAGGTTTTCCTCGTCATGGATTGCTGGCTGTCCCTTGCGGTGTCCCCCGACTCGGCTGTGTTCTCCACTGCTCATCCATCGATGCTGACCTTGTTGTGTTTCACCCGGCCGCCCTTCCCCTTCCCTGTCAATAGCAAGCTTGTGTTGGCACCTCTTGCCCGACCGAGTGCATCCCCGTCCCGGCCAACAAGCAGTGCACCGGCGGCAAGGTCGCCATGGTGCCCTACAGTAAGTCGACATCATTTCGGGGCCATCGATGCTTGACTGTCGCTCATACCTCCGCCACAGTTCGCACATTGTGCCTGGTGACCCACTCACATTGTGTATTCCGCCCTTTGCTATCCCGCTCTCAGTCGGTGCCTCTGGCGCTTGCCCCAACACCCAGTGCTTCAACCCCTCTGGCGCCCCTGGCTCGCCCCGTGTTCCCCAGTGCGAGTCTGTCCTGGACCCCAACTCGATCCAGACCGACGCCAACGGCAGCCCCGTCATCTGCGGCAACCTGGCCTACGTCCTGAAGAAGCTCAAGCCCGCCAACCCCAGCATCAAGTTCCTCATCTCGATCGGCGGCTGGTATGACTCGAACCTGTTCTCGGCCGCCACCGAGGACAAGTACATCGATGCCTTTGTCAACAGCATTGCCAAGTTTGTGCAGTTCTTTGGCTTTGACGGTGTCGACTATGACTGGGAGTATCCCGGATGGGAGCACGGCGGCGAGCCCGTCAGCCCCAGCGCCCCCTCGGGCACCGGCAACTCTGAGAACACCTACGACTGCTCCAAGACCACCTGTGCCTACCCCGCCCGCAACGACGACAAGCGCAAGTTCAACAACCTGCTCATCAAGACCCGTGCCGCCCTCAAGAGCCTCGGCAAGACCCCCAGCGGCAGCGACTACCTCATCTCCATGGCTGCCCCCGCTGGCGACGACAAGATGAACAAGCTCGACATCCCCACCATCTGCAGCAACCTGGACTATGTCAACATCATGACCTACGACATCCACGGCGAGTGGGAGTCCACCACCAACCACCAGGCGCCCATCTACGACGACACCCCTCCCAGCAACCCTCCCAACCCCATCCCCGAGACCTCGGTCGACTATGCCGTCAAGTACTGGGCCAAGGGATGCCCCTCGGACAAGATTGTCGTCGGCATTCCCTTTTACGGCCACAAGTGGGTCAGCGTCGCCGCCGGCACCACCAACGGACTCTTCCAGAAGGGCTCTGCTCCCCAGGGCGACGGCAGCACCAACTACAACGCCATCATCAAGGACACCACCCTCACGACCTACTGGGACCCCGTTGCCCAGGCCAGCTGGGCCTTCAGCCCCTCCGGCACCTTCATCTCGTACGACTCTCCCCAGGCCATCCAGGCCAAGGTTGCCTATGTTGCCCAGAACAACCTTGGTGGATTCATGGTCTGGCCCATTGACGGCGATGACTCGAACGACACTCTCCTGAAGGCCCTCACCAGCAACAACCCCGTCCCTCCTCCTCCTCCCCCCGTCTCCACCACCACTACCACCACCACCACTACCCCTGTCAAGACCACCACCACTACCACCACTACCCCTGTCAAGACTACCACCACCACCACCACCACTACCACCACTACTACTACTACCACTACTCCCGTCAAGACCACCACCACCACCACCCCTATCAAGTCCACCACCACCAAGTCCACCAAGACTTCCACCACCACTACCACCACCCCCGTCAAGACCACTACCACTACCACCAGCAGCGCCCCTAGCCCCACCAACGGCAACCCTACCGCCAACACTCCCTGCTCGACCTTTGGCACTTACAGCTGTGGCTCCGCCAATGACATCCTGATCTGCTTCAACAACGTCTGGACCTCGATCGGCTCCTGCCCCTCCAGCCAAAAGTGTGTGCCCGGACCTTTCGTCTGTGCCTAAATCTCCCCCAACTTTCAGATTCACACCTCCCTTCGCCCCTCGCCCCTCTCCCCTCTCCTCTTTCCTGCTGTGTAACTCCGCTTGTAACTATTCTCAGCTGCTGTGATATTGATATTTGGGTGTTCTCAATAATGTGCGTCGCTAGCTGAGCACCGGCTGTTTGCTGGCCCGCTTACAGTCAATCCAATAAAAAAACGGGACGCCCTGGTTATTGACCATTGATCAATTATTTTGCTACCCAATACCATCGCGCGCTGCCCATGACCGTTCAGTGATTTGAATCAAGGACGCCATTGTGGGCATCGCTGCCAGCCCAAAATGCGCCGGATGAGCACCACGCCAAGTCCCAAGATCCTCGGGGTGGCTTCCTTCCTGCGATACATTCACTTTGTTTGATGGAGACATGCTGGACAAACAGCTGTACTTCAGCCTGACCCGGCGACGGATGGTCATTGTGGATGATGGTTATGTATTCCATTCAAAAATAGTAGCGACAAACGCAGAGTGCTCTCTCTCTTCCCCAACATTTTGCGAACTGAGTAACTTCATGAGTTTGCGAGGAGAGGTGGAGGGGAGGGAGGTGGAGGGCTGGATGGTGGACTGGAATGTCGAATGCGAGCGTGGACATGAGCAATGGCGATGGGTGACGGAATGGGAAGGATCGGATACGGAGACGGGTTCGGAGACGGGTTCGGAGACGGATTCGGGTGTGGGTCGGCCACAAGCAAAGAAAGGCTGTCGGGCGCAGGCGCAGGCTGCGGGTAAACCGACAAGAGCGATGATTTGGCGCCGACTCAGCGCTGGTTTTTCTGCTGCTCCTTTGCAGCGCGGATAAGCGGAACCAGGTTCTTTAGCGGATCTGCCTTCTGGAGGAACGGATGCTGGAGACGGAGGAGGGAGACAGCAGGGCCAAAGGGATTACTAGCATTAGTTCCACGGAAACATCGGCTCCGTTTTTCCGCCACAGTCTTACCCACACGGCATCCATTCGCGGTGCGGAGAGCCAGCCTGGAGGGGAGGTTTGCTCACCTTGAGTAGGTCGCTGCTGCTGGGTCGCTTCTCGGCATCGACTTCCAGACTGACTTTCAAAAAGTCACGGAATACGGGCGAGAGCGCCTCGGGGTTCTGGAGCTGAGGCGTGCCGTTGGTCGCAATCAGGTACAGCGCCCGCAGCGGGTTCTCGTTGAGGTAAGGCGGCTCGCCCTCGATCATCTCGATTGCCATGATGCCCAGAGACCAGACATCGACCTTGGGGCCGTATTCCTTGCGGGTCACCACCTCGGGGGCCATCCAGTACGGTGTTCCGACCATCGTGGTGCGCTTGGCCTGCGTTTCGCTGAGCTGAGCGCAGAAGCCAAAGTCGGCTGCGGATCAAAGCCAGGAGCGTCAGTTTGTCATGTTCCCCGTATTAACGATTCGCCTCGATGGCTTGGCTTGCATGGTCGACGCGTGACTTGTGGAATTCGACACAGCAGCTCCCTCCCCTCCTCCCTGGTCTTCAACATACTCAGCTTGATTTCTCCGCCCATGCCCAGGAGCAAATTGTCACTCTTGATATCGCGGTGAATCACGCCCTTGGAGTGCAAGTGTGCCAGTCCCTCCAGAGTCTGTCATGGGCACCAAGGATGGATGTAAGCAAGCGCAACTCGATCTACTGGAGCACACCGCGCCAGGCCACATCCAGGTGTGCGGGTTCATGATACAATCTACCGCGCGATGCCATTCTGCAGAGGCTCCATCCAGCAACACCCGAGACATACCTCCTTGCAAATCGCCGCTATTTGGCCTTCGGTCATATAGTTGTACGTCACACAGTCCGTCAGGGGTCCGCCTTCCATGTACTCCATAACAACCTGCCGCGCATCGGAGACGGAGAAAATGTGAGCCATCAGAGAGAAACACAGCAGCGAAGCTCGTACTCGGCCACACGCGAATCAACACCTGACAGAGCGCCTGGACTGACGGATGGATTCGTGCCACTGCCCAAACTTCACATCATAGAGCATGTCCACAGCCCCCTTCAGGCATCGCGCAGACACACATACCCATAGATCGCCCTTGAAGAGGAAGCTGTCGATAAAGTTGACAATGTTCTTGTGAACAGACTCCTTCATCACCAGGATCTCGTTGATGATGAGATCCTTCTTGGGCTGCTGCTCCAAATTCATCTGCTTGATGGCTACTAGGCGGCCCGTGGCGATCTGTGTTGCCGTAAAGACGCCGCCAGAAGCGCTGTGCATCGATGATGAAACGTGTGGCTGTTGGTGAGACGGCGCCTCGGCAGATGCGAGCGTGACGGCAGCTGTACACCGAATCATCTACATACCCTTGGCCGATCTTGACCAGATTTTTGTACAGCTTGGTCGGGTCGGCCTTGTTGCACACTGCTCTCAGCCGCTCCACCACTTCGGCATCGTTGGCAGGCTTGGCTTGCTGGCGCGGACGAGCGAGCGCCTCGCCACTGTCGGTGGGAGCGTCCTTGGATACCGGTGGTGGAGCGTCACCGACAGCCGCAGGTGTTGCGGGTTTGTTGGGCAGCGGCTTGGGTGGCCGCGGGGGCGATGCCGGTGTCGACGGTGCCTGGGCGGCTTGCGGGCCTTGCTCGAACTGCAGTGCCCGTGCCGCCACGGTGCTGGGCTCTGGAGTGCCATCCTCTGCAAGTGCGATTGCCGAACGGATGGGTTTAGTGACATACCCGAGAGAGTGTGAGAGTTTGTAAAGAGAGTGCCCCACAAGCGAAAGCGCGGCGTAGACAGAACCCATGGCAGGCGCACCAGTAGCTCGTGCAGCAGCAGCATACCCTTGGGCTTGGTGTAGATGGACTTTGTGTGCTCAGGCCGGACTGGCACAGGCGGTCTCTTTTTGACCTCCACTGTCGTGGCCGTTGTCGCTACCGAGGTCACGGCGGCCACAGCAGCCACATCCTTGGCCGGCAGTTTGGGAGGCTTGTCACTCGGAAGACTCGAAGTTGGCGGCGTCGCTGCCGGGAATGTGTTTTTAAGCTTGGACCAGACATCGTCCTTGACGTCCTGGCCGCCGTTGATCGCTTCGGAATAGAACCCGATAATGTCGAGCACAGCCTGTGGGTTCTTCTGCTGCTGCTCTTTTGTGATACCGGCCTCTTGCAGCAGCGTTTGCCACTCTTTGGGCAAGCCCTAGCAGCGAATGAATGGCACTGGGTCAGAGTCCGGAGTCGAAGGATGAAGGTCGAGCCGGCGAGACCAGCCTCGAGGGGAGGGACATCCAGAGGTGCTGCGGGATTGGATGCCCTGCAATGACAGACTGCTGTCGATAACTACCGTGAATTCGCCTGTGTCCTGGTTGTAGCCGACATGCGTCAGATGCACAGGGTTGTATGGCGACGAGATTTCAATCTTTCCGTTTTCGCTGTCTTTGCCCGAGAACATGCCTGTGTTGCCAAAAACGAATTGCCGTTCACCAGGGGAGTGGCGGCGAATGGAGCGAAATGCAGCCGGTGGGCCAACATAGATTCACATGGAGTCGAGCGGCATATCGGTCCAGAATGGATCCATCCCGCGAGCATCGGGGTCATGGCGTCGATCGTACGAGTATCAACCGTACGAATGTCGATCGCACCGATTTCGATGGCGCAGGAGTCGATAGCACAGATGTCCGATTCAGCAGCGCCAATTCCATCAGGAAACGTGACAACGTGACGAGTTTTGTCGATTTGACATGTCCATCGATAGAATGGTCGGTTCGTAAGGATTTGGTGGGTGTGGAGCCCATATGTTGAGAGGAGAGACGGTCGTCGTGCAGCGCAGTGCAGAGCCATAACGAGCCATCCACCATCCACCATCCACCATCCACCATCCACCGTCCACGATCAGTAACAAAGTGTCCAGAATAGAGCATCCGATTAGACTCGACGACTCTCAGCAGCAGCTCTCTACCGGGCCAACACAGCCCGAATGCGTCGCAGGCAACGTATGCCGCTAATCCCAGAGTATTGCCCCAGAGCATTGTCCCAGAGTATTGCCCAGCGACAAGGACGAACCTTTGGCGAGGTTGATCAGACCCTTGATGCCCTTGCCAGATTCAGCACCGCCAGCGGCGGCGCCTCCTGTGGTGGAAACCAGGGTTTGGGTGGTCATGGTGGGGATAAGCGAGCATTCGAGGTGAGAGGGGCCATAGAGGGGAGTGCCCGGGAGATTGACATCTTTATCACCTGGGGCGCCGGCGCTCGGAGATGAGAGTTTGCTCACATCTGACGGCGGACGACACGATGGAGTGGAGTGGAGTGAAGTGGAATTCAGAGAAACCGAATGGAAAGGCAGTCGGTGGTCAGAAGCCGGCGGTGACAAGAGTCGGTGGCGAACAGAGTAAGACCATGCGACGAGTGTGATGGACGAGACGTCAGTTGACACGACGTGCCGAGTCAGATGGGTGGTGTCTCGTGGACGCTCATCACCACTTCGGGCTCTGGTCGGACAGATGCCAGGACATCCGCAACTGTGGCAGGTGTTCCGGCGCTATAGCAGAGCACCATAATACGAAGCCGCTTCAGCTTACCTGACGCAGGGGGCGATTCGAGAGATGCCATTGAGGATGTCTTTGTGAGAGCTGGCCTCGGGGGCACAACCGGCCGATAGGAAGGGTCGAGGGGATTGTCGGAGGGTGCGAGCGCCGGATTCGCCATGTGTGGGCGAGGCGGCAAGGATTTTGTGATTTTTTGGTTGTTGTTCGAGAAGTGAGTCATGTGTGCCGATTCCGGAGGGAGGCGGTGAGGCGATGGCGAGACGACGGGGAATCGAGGATTGGTGGAGCGTTGGTGTCGTTTGAGAGATTGGATTGATGACGATCGGCAAAGGCAAATCCAGCGGACCGATAACGGAAGCAGTGAGCAAGTGGGAGCGGTATTCAGAGGATTCCAAAAAGAGAGAGAGAGATAGATAGAGAGACCAAGGGAACCAAGTGCCAAGAAAAATCAATCCTGACGAGAGCACCAAGAGCCGGTGTGGATGGGTGGATGCTGGCGGGAATGGAGGAGAGAAAAAGCCGATGTGTGGATCAAGCGGCACACCGGCAGAACCAAAAATGCAACTCGGCAAGAGATTGAAGCAACAAACGACAGATCCGCCAAAGCAAGGAATCAAGGCCGAGGCAGACTGAGCAAAGACAGTGTGGACCCAGGGCCGTGGAGACGAGCAGAAGGAGAGGGACGATGGCCCAGATGGGAGAAGGACAGGCCGGGACAGCGAGCGGATGGCCGAGATGGATGAATCAAGAGAACAGACAGCGAGCCAGCAAGACGGCGTCCAGGAGAGCCAAGGGATGTGCCGGCGAGACAGAGGCAGCGAAGACCAGCGAGCGAGCGACCGGGGATGGACTTGGGCAGGTCGGCGAAAGATTCAGGCAAGAGCCCAGCGACCAGGCCGGCCCGGAGCAACCAACACAAGACGGATTTGCCCGCACATGCGGTGCGGTCTCGGTGCGGTCTCGGTGCGATCTCGGTGCGGTCTCGGTGCAGTCTCGCGCGCTCTCGGCTCCCTCGGCTCTCGCCGCTGCCCCCACCCGGCTCGCGCCTGGCTCGTTTGGGCCAGGCTTCCCTTGACCAACTGTCGAACCGAAATGACGACAAGAGCAGGGCCCGTCCGAATAAAGCGAAAAGGACAGCCGCCGGGGGGGGGAAAGGGAAGGACAGCAGGCAAGACCATTCAGCCGGCCATATGCACGCCAACCAGGACGATGACGGCGCCGACGACGACCAGAAGGAGGACAAGCGACAAAAGTGGACCAGGAACAGTCGCAGATGGGCTGGGACCCCGATGGGTGTCCGGGCCAGGGAGGGTCGCCCGCAGTAAACACTGAGCCGGGCACCCAACAGCACGACAAACTGGATTGCCTGTGGGGCTGCGAACCGAGCGCAAATGCGTGGGGGCGGAGGGGCGCAAAATAAAACGAAAGCAGCAAGAAGCAGAGATCCGAGGCAGAGTGCAGAGCGGGTGGCGAAGGGGATCATCAACGGGTTCGGGGCAGTGGGATCTGGGAAAGTCGAATTATCGGCAAAATCGCCCGGCCAGCCGACCAGAGCCAGCGGCTTTCGAGAGACACTCACCAGGCTGTGTTGCGTGCGCTGGATGCACGAGAACAGACAGACGGGTTGGGATGCGGGCGAGTCAGACGGGCTATGCCTCGGCCAGGAAGTTCGTTGCGTGGTGGAGGTCAAACGGACAGACAGCAAGCAGGACCGGGCCAGGCCGGCACAGGCAAAGCAAAGCAAGGCAAGGCAAAGCAAGGCAGAGCGAGCGAATGATGCCGAAGCGAAGGCGACAGATAGACGATGCTCGATGAACGGACGATTCACAATCCACCATCAACAGTCACAGTCCTCCATCAACAGTCACAGTCCTCCATTCAATTCCGCCTTCCAAGGAGCATCAATACTTACAGAGTTGATACCCGGGTTGCTGGTCGATTCAGTCAGAACAGGAGGGAATCCGAAGCAGAGGCAGCCCCGAAGCTGCCGACGTAGGGGATGCAAGGGATGGGCAGCGCTTGGGTGCTTTGTCCGAGTCTGCTCGGTGTGCTGCAATGCGGAAGGGAGGAAAGAAGGAAGGATCTTCTTTGCTTGGCACCGACCGAGGCAGTAGCGACCGGATTAGAGGCGGTTGCGGAAAGAGGCTCGAGTGACGATGCTCTGCCAAAAGTCGCCGTGCTGGGATGCCAGAGCCGACACAATGTCGCCGCTCTGCAGCCGCCCATCAGCAATCTTCTCAATCGAGCCCTTGCGGATCTGTGGCGAGGACCAGAAGATGTTGCTGCTTTGACCCGCTCGTCTTTTTTCCCCTGCCTTTCGTTCTTGCTATTGCTGCAGCTATTGTTGTTGTTATTGATCCTGCTACTGCCCCCTATTGCTGCTGTTGTTGTTGCCCGCCCATTGTGTGTCCCGAGAGATGGCTTCTCGAATTGATTGGAGGTGTCTGGCATCATTCGAACAGAGCTGCAGCGATGTGTTCCCACGAGCCTCCGATTGGCCAACTCTGGTCGGCTTGCAGGCCCAAGATGGCCTTTCGGCTCCAGAAGGAGGGCCGGGGGGATGCCGTTGCTACGATCCAGGCCTCGTCCTTCCTCCCCCAGAAGCAAGATGCAGTCGCTCACAAAGACCCCAAGCGGGGAGGGTATTGTTACTATATTGCTTGCTGGTACTGATTGCGGATGTTACGGTGGTAGGTATGCTTGTTCGTGCCATCGATCCGAGATCGATGTGATGCCTTGGATGCGTTGGGTACATTGACTTTGCCTGCCACTTTGCTTGGCTCGGTCTTTCATTTCTCTTGCGGTCGGCTCGGGCCTGGAGAAAGCTGACGAATGCAGCTCGGTACCGCCTCGGCCCTCGACGGCGGTTATCCACGATTGCCGATCGCCCGGCGACGTTCTACGCCCACTTCAGCGATCGGTGGGCCCCTGTCCCTGATGCAATTCGGGAGTTGACCATGTCGACGGCCACATCAAAGGACGGCCGCCCGTCGTTGTGGTGGATGCCCGAGAACGAATGTCGCCATTCGTTCGGAAGCCCCTGTGCAGTGGCAACGAAGCGAGCCAATGTCAGTCGACCGCATGCGCTCCCGACTGCGACCCTCCTCTCAGACGAGGCCACACTGAGGCGGAGCCGTACCGTCAACTCGCCCGTGGTGGCATCGAGCTCGACATGGATCAGATGGGTTGGATTGTACGGCGACGACACCGCATACGACGGCTTTTTGGTGAACAGCTTTTCTACATGGGCGGACAGGAAGGGGGTGAGGGTGGACGGAAATCCAACAGGGGGCGTCAGCAACAAAGACCCAAGCCGCGAGACAGGCAAACATGCAAGCCAGACAGGCCGACACCAATGCCACGGTATTCGAGACCACCACGATGAGGCACCAGAGGCTCCCACCGAACCGAATCGAAGGAGCTCGAGGGAGCAGCACCGAGGGACAGCCGGACGAGCATACGGGCGCTGGAGGCATCAACCTGGCACAACAGCGGCCGCATCAGCTCGACGATGAGATTCAGTCTCAGGGAGATCAGCCCATCTGCGTCCAGCATCCATCAGAGACACCGGCCCAAGTACCTCTGAAGTAGCCCCAGGCCCGCTTGAGATTTTCGGAGGATCGGGTCGAACGCCGGAGCAAAGTGCTATCGCGATGGGTGCCGCCGGATCGCGACGAGGTCGAATAGTTCGAGGCCCGGCTCTGGCGCCCAGCGCCGAGGATGAGTGAGTTGCGTTTCGACGCCGGCGGCTCCGAAACCGAGGGAGACTCGGATTCATATTCGGCCGAGGCACAAGGCTGGGAGAAGGACCGCATGAACGAGTGGCGCCTGTGTTTGATGCGCTGAAGGCTCTGAGAGCCGGAGCCGAGTCGCCAGCGTTCCGGGCTCTGTGGGGATTCGCCTGCGATGAGGACGACAGTGAGAAGGAGACAGAGTCAGCAACCAGCAGGGACTTGTGGGCAAGGAGAGACCAAAAATGCAACCCGCAGGGGCGAGGGGAGGAAAGCGAGAGAGGAGACATGGAGCGAGAGGGCGAGGGTGATATGATCTGTGGTCTGTGGTCTGTGATCTGAAATCAGTGGTCTGTGATCTGAAATCAGTTGTCTGTGATCAGCAATCAGCGACCCCGGCACCTGCGATTATCGGGACATGGGCCGATGTTTCCCACTCCCACTGCCCCAGAAAAAAAAAATGCAGCCGCGTTTCTGTGGCTTTTGGCTGAGCGAAGGCGCAACCAAGCTTTGTCCAGGGTGGCTATGGGATGCAGGAGGGCACAAAGAAAGGCATAAACGGGAAAGGGGAGCGGGGGTCGGCATATCTGCAACCAGAAGCAGAGGGCTTTGAACCACATACACGCAATGGGGCTCTCGCAAATCGACAAGGATGGTGGCATCTCCAGAGTTTGACGGGTGTGTTGGTTTGGCCTGGCGCTGGGTCTGCGTTGAGCCAAAGGTTGGACGGAATGCTTGGTGCTTGAGGGAGCTGATGTTTTTGCAAGAGGGAGCTGCTGTTTTTGCAAGAGGGAGATTGGCAGGCTGGGGAGCTGGCAGCGACGAATGGCTTGCGGGGGATGATACAAGTGTGATTGCGCCTTGGGCGATTTGCGAGTAACTCGCTCGATGAGCTAGAGCGTCGTAACAATTGACGGGTTGGTTGGCCGTATCGGGCCAAAGAGTTCCGGTAGATGGATCTCGGCAAGAAAGCGAGCCTGTCGCCGAGGTCCAGTGGAGCAAGATACAGCGCAACGCAGCGCTATACTATGCAATGAAAGACTATGGGGTGCCGAGCGGACTCTGGCGAGGGCGCTCGATTGCGAAACACCGATGCAAAGATGCAACCTCGGATGTGGTTCAGGGAGAGGCTGGTGGGTTGCCCACAGGCGCTCGATGGAACCCAGCACCAAGACAGAAGAGCGTCGCGAGATAGAGCTCAGGCCAAGGGTCTGGTGCAGACAACGAGGCGCGTAGCGTATTGGCGGGTGGGCCAGGTTGGGCTGGACGAGACGACGGTGCAAGAGATGATTTGCCAGAGAGGAAGCGAGTGGACAAGTGCTGGAGAGACGGACAGACCGCTGGGCCGACGGAAGGGCAAGGATCCGGTTGGGAAGGGTGGACGGGAGGGGGCTGGCCTGGGGTATTAAGGGCAGATCGTGCAATGGCGGCGGTGCCGAGCCACACACCAGCGCCTGGATGGTGTGCGCCGTGGCCGCTGGAGTTGTTGTTGGGGGGTGGAGCCACCTGCGAGCTAGTTGAGCAGCGTTACCAAGAGTGAGAGCGAGAGTGAATGTACGGATGGCAGAGACATGTCCGGCTGGGGGTTGCCGACAAGGGGCGTGGTTGGCGAGAGTGTACCTGCAGGCATGGAAGTAGTATGGTCGCTGATTCCAGAGTGAACGTGTGCTGTCCCAGGCCGAGACTGCGATCCCAAGCCCGAAAGAGCACACTTCCAGACAGCAAAAGTGGAACCGCAGACCAAAGAACCACAGTCCCAGAGACCAACGGCCGTGGTGCAGCCGCAATGTCGCGGGAGTGCAGTCCGCGACGCTGCATGACCAGCGCCTGGCCGCACCGACAGACAGCATGACCCGAACGACGCCGCATGCCGTGCGGCCAACAGCGAGCCATGACCGACCCAACGGCGATGTTGCTTGGGGGAGAGGAACCGCCCGCTCCGGTAGTCTCCTCCCCTCCAATATCGACGACTCTCTTCCGCGCCGGCAATGTCGCCTCGCTCATCTGTTGCTACCAGGCACCGCCGATCCAGGATATCCTTTCTTCCGCCGCACTGGTCCAGACCGCCGTCGCATCGGCACCGTCGCAGGGCTCATCGCACACGGATACGAGCTGCCCATGCCCGCCCTCTGCAGATATGATCCCCCCCCGGCTGCTGGAATCGCACCACCACGAGCCCTGCAGACCAACCCGATCAGCAGCCCCCTCCGCCCACCGTCGTCGTGAGCCCCGGATGGGTGCTGCGACTTGCTGCTGCGACTTGTTGCGCTTTTGCCCCATCCCAGCCCTGGCCCGCCGCACCCGACAGAGAGCAGATGGCCGGAGCGGCCCGCACACGTGACCGAGGAGCCGCGACGACCGCGAGGCCGCCGAGAGCAGTCCCAGGCAGCGCCGAGAGCGCCCCAGGCAGCGCCGAGAGCGCCCCGAGAGCGTGTCGCCGAGAGGCCGTCGGCCACACACGCACCCCACTCGGCCTCAGGCGACCCCCGTTTTTTTCGGCCTGCTCGTCGGGGCGACTGGTTTGCCCTCTTGCCTGACTCTCGCTCTCGCATCGCCTGCCGCCGCCTGCCGTCTCTCCCTCTTCCGACCATGGACTCGTCCATTCAGCATGAGCTCCTGCACACCGGCATCAAGGTCGATCACGCGTATCAGGAGCAGCTGAGGGCCAAGGTCAAGGAGCTCCTGTCTTGGAAATATGAAGGGTACATCGTCCACCAGCCGCATCCATGCTGCCCTTCCCCTTTGTGTGTCAGGGCTGTCGGCATCGGTCCTCGGGGCATCTACAGACTCGTCGAGGCTTTCTGGATTGCCTCATCATCGTCCGATCCCAATGCACAACCGTCCAGTCTCCGATACCTCCCATCGCATCGGCGCTCGTGTGTTCATGCGATCCAAAGAGGCGTGCTTGCAATGGTGGGGGCTGCGTGTCGGGGGGAAGAGCTCTTCCTGCCCTGCTTCCAGCTGGCTTCCTGACATGTCCGTCTCGGTCTCTGCCTGCCCCACGCCACCGCGGCCTGCTCTCCGCTCTCCAGGTTTGCTGGATCACAACCTGTCAGCTTTCAACTGCAGCATCTCTCGAACCTGGAAAACGAGGACTATTTTGTCTGCGAGAAAAGCGATGGCGTGCGATATATGATGATTCTGGTCGTGACTCAAAAGGGACCAGCGGGATTTTTGGTTAGCCATTCGTTCTACGCCTGCTGTCGCCGATCTTCTCGTCCTATCCCTCGTCCTCCGGTATCGAAGCCGGCCCCTCGTTGCATTCGCCTTGCATCGAGATGCGTCCGCGCGGTCGCTGGTCCCCCCCCTTCCCACATCGACGACTCCTGGAGCGCTGGACGTTCGCTAGAGGCTGATATCTCTATGGACGGATCCTGCTTCTCGATGGATGCTTCCCATGATGCACGTCCTTTCGAGCTCGAACGATGCCCGACTTTTCTCTGCGCGGCTGACCTTCCCCCCTTGCTGTTCCGAATGCCTCCCCATACCGCCTGCTGACTCTGATCCGGACCTTGTCCAACTCGATGCGGAACGATCAGATCGATCGGATGAACAACTTTTTCTACTTGCCGATGCATTTCCCGCTGTCGAAGCTGAAGCAAAAGTCCTCGCAGAATACCCAGTTCCACAACGATACGCTCATGGATGGCGAGCTGGTCATCGATGTTCAAGGCGACAAGGTATTTGCCAAGGGTGCTCGCTCCACACCTTTGGGCGGAGGGAGGAGAGAGCGGGCAAAACCAGCGCCGCGCATTCTCCTCCCACCTGTGCCTCCAGCGACCGCAGGCTTGCGCCGTAACTTTGTGGGCCTGTCTGGATGGCAGCTGCCACGACCGTGTCCGCTGGCCTGGGCTTGGAAGGCCGCATGGCTGTCCTGCCGCGCTTGTTCTTGGCACCGTGTTGTGTTGGCTGCATGCCGACGTCCAGCCTCTCTGGCTTCGCGCTTGCAGGCTCCCTGGTTGCTGACACTTGTCTGCGCCATCTCCGCTTCCGGATAGAAAATCAAGCGGTTCTTGGTGTTTGATCTCATGGCTGTCAATGGCGTCAGCATCGTACAACGTTCCTTCAGCACACGACTTGGGGTAACGACTTGCATCCGTCACTCTCAGCAAGCGACGCTTGCCCGCTCGTCAGACCCACGCTCTACGCGCGATCCAGACGGCGATAGTCCGATCCGACCCACATCCGTATCGGTGTGCTGACTCGAGCTCCTCAACTCTCTGAATCCCTCTCCCCGACTCATCTGGCCCATTCTAGATTCTGCAACAAGACGTTATCGAGCCGCACACACAGTATTTAAAGAGCCACCCACAGCTCCAAAAGTCTGCTCCGTTTTCGTAAGCGAACGCTGCTGCATCAGGCCCATGTCTCTCCCCTTGACCGCCGCAGAGCAGAGGAAAGGCCCCGAACGCAACTACACGGCGTCCGTTGGAGGTTTGAGCTAACAATGACGTGACTACGGCGGCCCCCATGCACTAACCCAACACCTTGCTCTGTGCAACCCCTATCACATCGGATCCACCGACGTTCCACAGTGTCGAAATGAAGGACCAGCAAAGGTCGTACGGAATGAACCTTGTGTTTCAGGACATACCCAACCTCAAGCATGCCAACGATGGGTTGATCTTCACACCAGTCAAAGAGCCATATATGGCCGGAACCTGCACGAAGCTGTGAGTACTTGTTGGCATTGACATCGATCCGGCTGCTAACGGGATACAAGCCGATGGGTGCTTTGCTGAGGTGTTGATGGCGATACTCGCCTCTCCTCCGCATTTATGCTGAATCACGCATTGGGGGGGGGTCGTCCAGGCTCAAATGGAAGCCCCCGGATATGAACACGGTCGACTTTCAGATCAAGAAGACATACACTGCGGAACGAAAGCCTCGCTATCAACTGTATATTTCCAGGTTTGGCGTCCATCGTCTGTATGAAGACTTTAGCCCCGATCCCGACACAGCCGAAAAGTAAGTGGCCTGCCCAGTGTATCTGAGTCCGATTGCAGAGGAAGCACGCAATCCATGCGCAAACCAATGACTTGGATCAGAAACGACGCTACAGACCCGATCTGCGTCATGCGTGGTGTGCGAGTCATCGTCGCTGCGACTGCATCAGTCTCCGTAATTGCGTCTGGCGTCGTATATTGACCTTACCAACACCCAACACCCATTGGGCCGCCTCGTGCCTTTGTTTCAATACGAAATTGCTGTCCCGGTCGATCAGGTGGAGGAACGAGTCGCCCGACGGACGCATTGGCGAGTTCCGATACGACCCTAATCTCGATAACGTCATCTACGAGTCTGGGTATGCGCCCCAGACGCGGAAAGGCGGATGGGTATTCATCAAGTACCGGTAAGCACATCCTACGCTCTCGTCCCTCGATGTGTTGTCCCCGCGCTCCCTCACCACCAAACCACAATCTCCCGATCGGTTCCGATCACTGCTCATCACCAGTGATGACAAGGACAAAGCCAACGAAGAGCATGTCGTCACGAGCGTGATTGCCAGCATCAAGGACGGCGTTACCAAGGATATCTTGGAGAATCGGGTCGAGCTCATTCGGAAAAAATGGAAGGCTCGGGAGCGGATGCTGATTTCGGCGTCGCCAGTTGCCCCACAACCATCCAATACGGACACGTACGAATCTGGGTTTTGTTTCCGTCGTGGCGCAGAGTCCCGTGTGTCCAGTGCCGCTATAGCTTGAATGGAGATACAGCTCCTTTGGTTGGCCGGCATTTATACCATCGGTCGATCTGTGTGATCATCGATTAGCTGACTGGTTGCTGTTTCGTCTGGCGAGCAAGTGATCTCGACTGTGCGTGAGACAGAGTGCAGTGGGCTCTATGGCCTGGCTTGGTACTAACGCTACTTCGCTGACTGCACCATCGTGCATTAGGTCCGAGTCTGACGCAAAGAATCTTTCGTCACCGTCTGGTGCGACCCGGGTAACGACGCCGACTGGCATGAAGACTCACACTTCCCATGAAGGACTACACACACCCCTGTCGCACTCGCAGCCGCGACTCCTATCGCCAACCCAGAGAACACCAATCCACTCTGGCCCAGACAAGGACCGAGATCGAGAGCAAGAACGCGATCGAGACTCGACCCCGATAGGCTCGGCCGAGCCAGCATTTCCGCAACAGCCGAATGACCCACGACCGTCACCTCCGCTGTCTCAGCCCCAGCCACCGCCAGGCCCAGCTCCGCTGACCCGGGAGCGTGGCTCGACATCCAGCCCCCAGTCCGAGCGGGTGGCCACCAAACGAGTCAAAGTCGATCCCAGTACCAGCGACGAAGCGATAGCGCCTGAGTCTGGTAGCGCAGCCCAAGCTACTCCCGCTCTCGATCCACAGTCGACAGCACCCGCCGCGTCAGCAACCGGGGACGCCGTGTCTGTCTCCACAGATAGTACGAGACAAAAGTCCGTTTCCGAGAAGCTGCTGGAGCAACGCCTGTCTCCGCTGAAGAGTGTGCCGAGCAGCAAGCCTGAGGACAGCGCACCGGCTCAGAGAGATACTCCAGATCGGTCACCCGTGCGCATCGGCGCTCCGAACCGAATACCTGAAGTGAACGGGACTGCCGCACCGTCTCCTGATCTGCCTGCTGCCATAAACCAGTCCCCCAGCACTGGTCAGCCTCTAGGCGAACGGACACAGCCTCCAATACCGACTGCCAAAGCGACGGATACGACAAACACAAACGACACTATGGATACGGCAGATACAGTAGATACGACTCACGCGGGTGCCTTGGCCGATCGGCGGACCGGGAGCAAGCCCATGCTCCCATCGATTGCAGAGGAGCCTCTGGGTCACGCAACTACGGTCTCGCAGGCCCCGTCCTCGATCAGCACGGCGACGACGACGCACTATCCTCTGGGGGGATCCCAGAACTCTCAGCGTCTCAAGTCTGCAACCCCCGACACAGAAGCCCCACAGCTTTTTCGGCCTCCGACCGCTGTCTCAGCAGCAGCAGCAGCAGCAGCAGCAGCAGCAACGCCGATACAGACGACCGGTCCATCTGCTCCTCCTGGAAGCGTGGCGGTCCAACCCGGCGCTGCCCCGATCACTCCGGGGCCTCGGTTTGAACAACCATCGTCTGTGGCTGGCGATGCAAGCCGCAAAACGCCGGAAAACAGCAGCGCCGCTCCCTCTGGACACGGTGAATCCTCCAGCATGTCCCCCGTGGGATCGCCGTCGCTGTCAGGTCTCCAGCACCGCCGACGATCCATCCAAGAGCTTGGCGTCCGCGCGAAACCTGGTGATCCAGCTGGGGTCAGTGCCTTGGACTCCCCCTCGGTATCACGGTCTCTCGGCCATGCCCGGTCCCGGTCGCATGGGCAACTGGCACAAATCCTGTCGCCCAAGGATGCACCGGCGCCAAACGAAGACCGGCCAGACGGTCGCCGGCGCCTGTCCATGTCGAGCACTGGGAGTGCAGGATACGGTGTGCCTTCTGGCCCTTCACCGGCGGTGCAGCCGCAAAGTGCCCCGCTGCGTGCACTCGCCCCAGTTGGCTGGACGCAAGGCCCTCAACAGCAGCAGCAGCAGCAGCAGCAGCAGCAGCAGCACCAACAGCAGCAGCAGTCTATCCAGACCGGCCCAGGAATGTCCCCGCATCATGGCGCCGCAATACCGACCGAGATGCAGGGCGTGGTGTCGACGGCACCGTCGACGGTGATATCTCCTTATCCTCCCGGGACCCATGGACATCCGTACTCCCCCAGCCATGCGCCAGGACGCTCGCAGTCGCCGCACGTCTCCGCACCGTCGCCAACGCATCCCTATCTCTCGCCCCAGTTCCGGCCGCAGACACCATCGCACGGTTACCCTCCGCCGCAGCTTTTACTGGCTCCTCCCCATCCTCAACAGCCCGCTCGCAGCCCATTATCCCAGCCGCCCCACCATCAGTTCCAGCCGCACCCCCATGCCGTCCCTCAGCATCAGCCTCAGCCTCAGCCGCACCAACTCTCGCCGCACCCTCAACTGCAACTGCAGCCGCACCCCCAGTCCCAGCCGCAGCCCCAGCTTCAACAACCTCCCCAACAGTCGCCCCAACACCCATCCCAGCCTCAGCCGCAACTCCAACACCCGCCCTCGCATCAACCCCAGCAGCCTCACACGGGCCATCCCGCTGGCTACGTGCCTGTGCATATCCCGGCACAGGGCTACGTGCTGTCGTCTTCGCCCTCGGCGCGTCCCATGCCGTCCTTTGGCCCGTCATCCCATCCGCACGGACATGGGCATCATCCGCATGAGCTTTCTCCTCAACCACCGTCGTCATCACCGCACCCACATTCCCAGGGCCATCCCCAAGGCCATCTCTCCAATGCACAGGCCCCTCCGGCTCAGTATCCCTACCCCTATCCGCAAATCTCGCCCACGGGCCAGCGCCCACCCTATCCCCACTATCCTTCGCATCACCCACCGCCACAACATCCACAGCCGACCCTGCACCCCCATCCTCAGCCTCTACAACAACAGCAGCAACAACAGCAACAGCAGCAGCAGCAACAGCAGCAACAACAACAACAGCAGCAGCAGCAGCAGAAGCAGCCCCATCTGCAGCCTTCACCAGTCACACAATACCCATCAAACTACCCGCCGTATCCCCAGCCTGTGCATCCACCTTCGTATCAGCAGTTTCACCACCCACGTCCGTCTCAAGCGACAAACTCGCCAGTGTACCCTGTTCTGCCTTCTCAGGCCCCGATGGAGGTGCCGTCTCGGCCTGTGTCTCAGGCAAGCCAACCTCGGCCCGAAATCCGTGCGGCAGCCAAGGCAGGGCCGCAGCCATCTCTGGCCTCTCCCGCAAACTCGCCGACAATCACCACCCATCCGGAGATGGGCCGTTCCGAGTCTGACCCACGGATAGCCGCTGGTCGCCCGGAAGCTCCCCGGCACCCGAGTTATGCCGGGGCGGCGACGCCCAAGGATGGTGGTTCGGTCGATGGACCACGTCCACGCTCCTCCTCATCTCGCGACCTGCGGCCTCCCGACCAGCTGCCGGTCGATCATCGACGGACAGCAGGGCCCCATGCCGATGGCGCGCCTTCCCATCCAAGTGGAGCCGTGCCTCAGGTCGAGGCAGCTGGATCGCCGCCTGTTGATCGCCCCGGACCACCACTCAATGGCCGACCAAACCCGGTGCCACAGAAACGCAAATGGCTGGATGTGGTCATGTCCAGCAGCGACGATTGATACTAATCGAAGCAGACGGATCGCATTCGCCTATGGCTTAGTACTTGGACGCTGGATGTGCTCGAATGCGCATGCTTCGGTATCTTTTGGACAGACCACACAGGTCACACATATCACACGGATCATGCAGATCACTCAGATCACTCAGATCCTCTCCTCCCTCCCCTCTTTGCTCATCTTCTCGTCCTCATCTGACCACCTCCCACAAACGATGTAATGGCGGCGAATGTCGTCTTTGAAGAATACTGATCGATAGCGACGGCCTTCTGCCTTGAATCTCATGCACGCCCGCTCATCTCGAGAATCGAGGCGCGGAAGGATGGCTCGGCTCGAGAGTGCAGGGGCGGAAGCAATTCTCCAAATGTTGCACAATCGCATCGCTATCTTGTATCGAATTGTTGCCTTGTATTGCAGCGCATCGCCGTAGCTGGTATCGCGTCCCTTCTCCCTCAACACACCTCTCTCCTCCATTGCCATGCTTCCTGTCCTTCGCCCTGGTGCTCTCCTGTAAGAAATAATGGCTACGAAGTAGCAGTTCACTTTCCAGTCTCTGGACAGTGAGTCGCCACCTCAGAGTTCAGGATCCTGAGAAACTTTGGGCGACGGTAGCTCGAGGGACACCCCCTGCCTGGTCTCCAAGGAGTGGATGTTCATTGTGGATGAATGTATTCCATTCAAAAAAAATAGCCATGGTAAATGTAGGATGTCCTGTTCCGGCTCGGGTGCGCTGGGAAAGAAGAGCAAAATGCTTCGCTGCTGGATATGGAAAGGGTCCAATCCAAGTGGATTCGCTTGGGCGGCCACTGGCGGCTGTTGATTTGCTCGCCACTTCCTTCTGCTGCTGTCCCTTTCGAGCTCATGCTAGAGCACGAGCACATGGATGAGGGCGACACCGACCAGGGCCGCGGCAAAGGGAGCCAGCCGCGATCCAATACTCTTGTTGGGCGGGTACGGATCAGGGGCCGGCGTCACATCCGTTGGCTGATACAGCTGGAGACTGGTGCTGCCGATGCCAGGGAAGCCGGGCGGGTAGCAAGGCACAAGGTTGCCGGTGATGTTCTGGACATCTTGGTTGTCGGTCACGACTCGGATCTGAGGGCGGAATAACAGACGGATGGGGGGGGTGATGAGGCCACGCGACGCAAAATAAGGATACGAATAAGGATCTGGGCTGTGCCATTAAAAGTGAGGCCTTGGGCTGAAGGCCATCCCCGGCTGTCTGCCGTGAACGAAGGCCGAGAGCAGAGAGAACGAGGGTCCCCAGGAGCAAATCTCTGGGTCGACACACAGGCAACGATGGCGCTGCACCGAGGCTGCTGCAAAACGATCCACATGCAATCTGGACCTCGCACCCAGACTGTTGCGGGCTATGGATCTGCAGTGCCATGAGAAACAGGGCCGCCAGAGACGACAGGATATCCAGACGACCCAACCCGAGCTCGGAAAATCAATCGACAGCACAAATGCCAGCCAGCAATAGACCTACCGTGTATGCACCAGCAGCCATCTGCGGCACCTGCCAGAGGAACGAGCGATCGGTTTTGGAGACGCTGCTCAAGAACGTCCATTTGCGTGGGTCGGTTTGGGTGCTTGACTGATAGTAGATCCAGGAGCCGTTGGCCGGATAGTTGGCGGTATCGGTTACAGACGAGTATCCCCAAGCAATGGTCAAGCTTGTGCCGACTGGTTTTGCAAAGTGATAAGGACGGGGCGGTGAGCGAGTTTCCAACGACAGTCGCCATCGATGCAGTCGGGGCGAGATCCGTTAGTTGCATTCATCCATGGGGCGAGTCGTTGGATATGAAGAGAGGGTGTGCCGGACAGCAGCCGTCGATCAGCCGTCGATCAGCATAGGATCAAGTGAGGTACCAGAGACACAGCTCGGGCTTACCATAGTGGTACGACGACGAGTTGGGCGATGTGAGGACCACGTTGCCTAGCAGCTTGCTGCCGTCACAGATCGGAGCGGGCGAAGAGGTGCTGGTTGGGGCAGTCGACCCCGAGGCTGTGGTGCCCAGGGTGCCCGAAGATGCGGCAGACGAAGCGACGGTGGTTGAGGGATTGGCACCCGAGGCTGATGAAACCTGCACAGTCGTCTGGCCCGCGGCCAGGTCCAGATGCAGCCAGAGGAACGAAACAACAAAGAGGACGAGTTTTGTGCAAATCATCTGCTTTGGGCAAAGCAAAGATGGTTAGGGCAGATTGCGGGGCTATCGAGGCCTGAAGCAGCGGTGCCACAATGCCAGGGATGTCGGGCATGCTGCGATGCCAGAGGTGTCGAGATACGGCGATGCATGTTCCGACATCCAGCAGCCGAAATGCCGGCCGATCACGGCGACTCTCTCACCATTGATCAGTTGGGGTTTCGGTACGGGATGGTACGATGCCGGGCGGTGGGAGTTGGATGTGAGTCGAGAGCGACGACGCTGTTCAAGCGAGAGTGGAGGAGTTCTGGATCAGCGGATCCGGTAGTCGACTGGGTCCGTTCTTCGAGCGGAGCGAGCCAGGATCGCAAAAGGGATGCAGTGAGACGGGCCGCAAGGCACAATGCGCTCCCGTAGCAGTGGATGCGGGCCGAGAGCGGCGAGGAGGGGGTGTTGGAAGAAAAGGGCAAGACACGGCGGCGGGTCCGACCAGGCCACGAAGGTTTCTGAAGAGACGTTCCGACTCCCGTGGCGGTGCAGGGGGGCTGGCCAATGGGGGGCTGTGGGGCTGTGGGGCACACCCGATCAGCCCGCGGCCGTCCTGGACTTGCTCTCTGGGACGGAAACATGAATTTATTTCCACTCAGCGGTGGGAACGACCGATGGCTACATTCCGCACGCAGCGGGTCATCAGCGAGGACGAGGGCTAGCGAATTATACCCCTCCGGGTCAGCTGGCTGATCTTGTCCGCAGCATCAGACTCGCCCTGGTCAGCAGCCAATCGGTACAGGTTGATGGCAGTTGGTATGTCCTTTGCGACGCCCATGCCACGCTCGTAGCAGTTGGCGAGGTTGAACTGGGCAGTAGAGCATCCCTGGTCGCTGGCCTTGCGGTACCACTCGGCGGCTTTGGCAAGGTCTTTGGCGACAGTCCAGCCCTCGGTATAGATCCGTCCCATCATGTTTTGGGCATATGAATTGTCTTGATCCGCGGCCTTGGTGCACCATTCGAGCAGCTTGGCCTTGTCTTCGGCGAGGAACTCGAGTCCGATGCCGTAGCACCGACCCAGGCAGTGCTGGCTGACATCATGTCCCTGCTGCGCGAGTTCGGTCAGGATGTCGATTGCCAGGGGTTGGTTCTTGGTGGTGCCAAAGCCGCCGAGATAGCACATGGCCATGAGATGCCGGCACAGCCAATCCCGCTCGGACCCAAGCTTGCACATCTCAAAGTACTTGGTTGCCACAGCCGAGTTGGAGGAAGCTGGGGCGCGGGTGTTCATGCAGGCCTCGCCCAGCGGAAAGTCGGCCGTCTTGCTTTGACGGATGAGGTTGATGCCTTTCTGCTTGTCCTTGGCGGTACCTCGTCCAAGATAGGTGAGCCAGCCCAGCATCAGAGTGGTGATGGACTTCAGGCCAACATCCACGGAACGGGTCTCAAAATCCCGCCAGTACGTGATCGCATCAGTGTCGTTTTGACCGAAGCCGACGCCAGCAAGATACAACCACCCAAGTGGGAAAAAGGCGTCGATGTGCTCGTTGTCGGCAGCGACTTGGATCAGTACGGCGGCAGTATCCCATGTGGGATCGGCTCCGGGGGTGTCTGCCGTGATGGTGTTGGCGATCTGCAAGCAGGAGTCAGGGTCGCCTCGCTTGGCGCGCTGCCGAACCTGCCGAGAGATGCCAGGGATGGCATCGAGTTCGTCTGCAATTTGCTTGGGAGGCCGGGCCAGGTCGAGGTTGGGGTCTACTACCGACCAGTTTGAATTGCCATCGGGTCTGGGACGAACGCTGATGACGCTAGGGTCTTCGTCACGGTCGCGCCTGGGGCGTGTTGAGAAGTTTCTGGTTTCACGGGAACCACGGGATCGCTCGGATGCCCGGCCGCCATCACGGTCGACAGGGCGAGCATTGATTCGGTATGGGGTCAGTTGGCGCAGAATCTCCTCGAACTTGGGGCGCTCGCGGGGCTCTTGGTGCCAGCAACTCTGGATCAAATCCCTAATCTGAGGCGGGATACTGTCCAACTTTTTGGGCCGAGCGCCTCGGCAAATCAGAGACTCGATGGCACGGGGTCGCAGGGGTTGGCCGTCGGCGGACACCCAAACACATTCACAGTCGTTCATAACCTCATAGAGAGTGATACCAAAGGCGTACACGTCGGTCTTCTTTGAGGAGCCCGCGGGCTCGTCCTCGTCGAGCATCTCGGGCGCAATGTAGTCGATTGTGCCTCCAGCACTTTCGCCTGGTTGGAGCCGGATCATCGAGGAGGACGTATGCTTGGTGCGGGACATGCCAAAGTCCGAGATGACGGCGTTGTAGCCCTTGTCGAGAAGAACATTCAGGGTCTTGAGGTCACCATGGACGATGCTGCGCTGGTGAAGGAAGGTCATGCCGGAAGCCACCTGATACATCAACCTGAGCTTCTCTTCGACTTCGAGGCGGCCAGCATTGTCCGTAAGGTAGCTGCGGAGGGTGCCGTTTTCCATGAACGGCGAGACCATGAAGGGCCGATCGGCCGTATGACAGGCGCCGAGCAGCGGGATGATGTGCGGATGGCTCAGGCCATACCAGACACCAATCTCGCGCTGGAACTCCTGGAGCTCGCCGCCATTGAAGCCACCGAGAAGGCGCTTGACGGCAACGTCCGAGCCAAAGTACGAGCCTCGGAAGACCTCGCCAAATCCGCCGCGAGCGATCGGATCCTGGGATAGGTCGGTGATGGCATCGGCAGGGATGAACCAGGGCACCTGCTCTGCAGCTCTGGGCAGCATTAGAGCTTGACAAGCGACAGGCGAAGGGCGATGGGCAAAGTGCGATGGGCTGGCCGTGCGGTGGGCAGCGGGTCGGGGATGAGCGAAAGAACGGGGTCGATGGCAACGGCGATGAGCAGAAATGGGCGACTGCCCGTGTGGCTTGGCTCGTCAGGGTATCACGGAGCGCGTCTCTGCACGACCGAAGCGACCACATGTGTCACCCGAGTCGCGTTGGGTCTGAAACAGTCACGTCGGTCACGAGCCACCATGATCGGAGAGAACGACGAAAGGTGTCATCCTGGCGGCGAGCTTCCAACCAACCAACGGATGGGAGATCATGCTCCTGGGGCATGACCACCGCATTCAACCCCTCGGCATCAAGGTGATCAGGCGACTCGATTCGCTGGCACCAGCGGAGGAAAGCCGGCTTCACATCGCTCCATTTTGCATCACATCATATTGTTCCATTTGCATCACGTCATATTGTTCCATTTGCATCACGTCATATTGTTCCATTTGCAGAGTCTCATGCACTTTGTCATTCTGGAAACCGAAGTCCGGCCGAACCACCGCCTTCACGGCGAGGGTTGGTCTGCCTTCAGCTCTTGCTCCGAGATATCCGGGGACTTGCCAGCGAGGCCTTCCTTGGTGGCAGCCTCGGCCGACCTCCGATTCTTGACGGCGCGGCGCCAGTTGATGTATAAAACGATGGCACCGACACAATAGCCACGCTCGCAATCCAGCACAGGACAAAGGCGCCAACAGGGTTCATCAATGTTACCAAGAAGCACGAACACATGGCAAAGAAGCTGACTGAGAGCGAGCCGAGCATCAGCGGCCCTGTGGCGCCAACCGGGACACCTGCGTTGTGGGCATCGAGAGCCAGAGGATGTGAGCACTGATGGCGCAGCAAGGTCAGACCATCCTCTCGTCCATGCAGCGATCCAAGTGCCAAGACCAACGCTGGTGCAGATCCGAATACCCACTTGCAGACTGGGAGATCCACAAGGACACCATCGACGTCAAGAAAATGGCCGGGAAGATGGAGGCAACTCCACCGGCAAAGTCGTTGATTCTAGAAATCAGCAGGCTCACGACTGATACAAGCGCGACGCCCGGTAATCGGGCGATAGAAGAGTGAGTTTGCAGGAGCGAGGAGGACAATAACTTCAGTCGCCGAGGTTGGGAAGGCAGTTCTCGTAACGGCTGTTTGGGATACTCACAAATGGCGGCTGCAGCCAATAGTCCGCGCAGGAAAATAATCAGCGGGCCGACTCTGCTCTTCCCCTTTGGAGCTGCCACGACGTTCCAGGAATTATAGATGCCGAGGCCCAGTTGGATCGAGAAGCACGCCAGGGCGACCACGAAACTTCCGATGCGCTGTGGCTCATGGAATATCGCAATGGTGGCTGTATATGCGTCTGACGTGCCGTTGTCAGAGACAGGCAGGGAAGCGATACTCTTGAGAATCAGGACTGCTGCGATGGCAAGAACGAGCCACACCAGCAGGCTGAGAGCAGCCATGAGCGACAGAAACTTGGCAATCGACAGGGTGGGTGCCTTGGCCTCGATCTTGGGCGGCAGAGCCTGTTGGGGCCAATTGCATAGCTCTTGGGTCACCATCGAGCCATCGAGCCCAGCACTCAACTAGCCAGCCAGCAGGCAACAGTCAACAGCCAACAGCCGCAGTAGCTCACAACCATAGCTCACATCCATGTAGCCCATGCCCCGATACCTGCGCAGTTGAATGGTCCGGCTGAGCATTCTCGCAGCGCCCAAGCCGACTCCCGAGGTGAGCTGCGTGCAGTCATACCTTCCAGACCCACAGGAACACCGAATTGATGAGCATGCCAGGGACGACCCCTAGCAGCGAGTTTTGGAACTTGGCAATGTCCACGTTGCTGCTCGGGTCGCATTGGAGCCAGAACCCGACCGCAGCCGGGACGATGGTCGTGGGTATGGATCCGAGGACACCGCCGACGATGCCGCCCCATCGTTCGATGATGAATGTCACAAACTGGAACAAAGAGTGGTGGCAGAGGAGTTAGGCGTCGCTGGTGTTAGAAAACCCGTCGTGCTGGGCGCAATGGACCTGCGCTGGCCGAGTCGTTTGGGCGGGCATTGATACTCGGACAGCCTCGGTCGACGTACGATGGCAACCAGGCCGGCAAAGACGCCGCTGATGGCGCCTGACACATAGACATTGGAGAATAGCGTCGACGCAGTCATGGTCCCCCTCGAATGTGAGCGTTCTTGCAGCAGCAGCCGGTTTGTACGAGCGAGATGCAGAGAGAAAGGAGGGGAGGAAGCGAATGGCAAGCGAGCGGGCTGGTGAGGGCCACAGCGCCATTTTTTCCGGCGTGGCGCGGAGCGCACCAGCCCCATGGGGAACAACCATGCCCGTTTGATCGTGGGCTGTCGGCACAAACCCACGGCATTGCCCACCCGCGCTGGTGGTCCTGCAGCCATTACGTCATGTCGTGCGTGCTCAAGTCGCAGAGGTATATTGCACTCATCGCAGCACCGGTCCGTCGCCGGGTCCGCAGGGCTGAACCGGCACGGCTTGGCCGCCGACACAGAGCACAGCAGCATTACTCTCCCCACCGAGTTCCACCGAGTTCCACCTGGTCCCGGACTGCTCGACCAGACTCTCAGTCCTTCTCCATCGCATCCACGTCCGCGTCCGCATTATCGCCACCAGTGGCATTCGGCTGCTTGAGGAGCATGATTTCGCGCTCGAGGCCTGCCGAGTAGACCTGCGCCTGGCCAAGCTCGAGCTCGAGCTGGTCCTTCTTGATCTTGAGCTGGGCCATGACCGTAAGCATGTCCTTGCGGAACTCGGCGATGGCGGCATCCACGGCTTTGCTGTACGCACGAAGCAGCGCAGATATGTCAGCCGATGACCACGCTCAGCACCGATGCGGCTTGTCTCTGTCGACGCCGAAGATTCTCCGAGCATTCCAATCCATTTCTCCATCAGCACGCCGCGCGGTGGCTGGATCCCTTGCCCGCCGCCCTGTCGCCGTCGACAATCGCTCACCACTGCTCGTTGTCGATCTGTCTCTTCATTTGCTCGATCTCAACTTCATAAGAGCTCTTATTCTGGATCATCTGTGAACATCACGGAATGCATACGAGCATTAGAATAGCAGCTAGGAGCCGCATTCAAACCGGATGGTCCGGTTCCTGTGTCGTGCACAACCAACTCATGTCCTACCTGCTGGTGGAGCACACTATTGGCAAATCGAATGGCCTTGAATTGATCCACCGCAGTGCGCGCCTCAGCTTCAAGTGCACTGATATCGAGAGTCGTCTGGGTACCGACGGATGCACCATGGCTTTCGTCAAGCATCGAGACCCCAGAGCATAGAGACGACGACCCCGATGCGTCTTCTTGCATGTCAGCGCCGCCAGCGGCCTCAGGCGACGTCCACGGGTCTTCGAACTGTACGAAGGAAAAGAGCGCGCAACCGATGTGAGCAGATGGACCAGCAGGGCGACCAGGGCGGCCACACCTATGGGGATGCCCTATGAAGGCACCCTATGAGGACACCGACCTGGAAAGGGATATTGTGCTTCTGCAGGACGGCCTTGAGCTGCGAGACTTCCATTTCATTACGATAGGCCGTAGCCTCCATGGCCAGGACACGACTTTCCAGCTCGTCGTTGCGCTCGACCAGAGCCGTGCGCTCCTTCTCGGCTGCGAGCTGGTCCTTCTCGGCGGCTTCAATCTGGTCCTGGAGCAGGTTGATAACTTGGTAGGAATCGTCAAGGTCGTGGGCCTTGGAGATCAGCTTCTCAGATTTCTTGCTCAGCTCGGATTCGAAATACGTCGTGGCCTCTTGCAGCTTCGCCTCCATCTCGGAAAGCATAACCGATTGGTTGAGCACCTGGTTCAGCAGATCCGTTTGGCTGGCGCGGAGATCTTCCATCATCAAGGTACGCTCTCGAGCAGATCGCTCGAGATAGGCAATGTGCCTTGCATGTGTTCGATTCGAGAGGCGCGACTGGCTCAGAGCCACGCTGCACTCCTCCAGAAGCTGCTCGAGCTGGGATCGCTCCTCGGTGAGACGAGTGATGCGCTCGGCGGCACGACTCAGATCGCGCTTGAGGGAGTCCCGTTCGCCGAGGGCACGCTCTAGCGTTATTCGGATCTCTTGGAGGCGCTGGTAGAGCTGCTGAGTCGATCCGGAGCGATAGTGTGCGTCGTCCTGGCTCGTCAGCACCTTGATTTGGGCACCAAGCTCCGAGGCGATCGCTGCGTTCTTCACGAGCTCGCGGACCATGTCGTTGCTTTCGCTCTCCAAGAAATCGAGATTCTTCTCCGCCATGGTGCTCTTCTGTCTCAGGGCGGAGATCTCGTGATCCTTGGATTCCAGCAGCTCCTTTATCGCGTTGATCACGGACGTCTCATCGGAAAGTGCAGTGATAGGACGAGCTGCGAGACCGCTTGAGCGAGTAGCTTCCAAGATGCCACGGGCGGAATGTGCGCTGCTCAGAGTGCTGTGCTGGTGCAGTATCTCTTCGATACGGCGGCGCTCGACCAAAATGCCCTCGCTTCGCTCCTGCACTGTGTCTGCGAGGGCCTCGTAACTATGCTTCAGCTCCTCCAACTTGGTGCGAAGTGCCTGGTTCTGGAGCTCCAGGTCCGATTTCGTGAGCCGGGACGACTTCGGTCGCGCAGGCGGTTCGGAGGCCCGAGTGGGCAAAGGCTCTGGGGAGCCCTTTGGCTGTGGCGACTTGTTGGCAGACTCTCGCAGAGAGGGCGAGCGTCGTGGCGGGACTGGCGGCGACGCTTCCCGCCGTGGTAGCTCACTTGGAGAGCCGTCATCTCGGCTGATGCGCTTTGGCGACTTGTCAGTAGGACTTGGTGGCTGGGCTGATCGCAGAATCCTAGGTCTCTTGGAGACAGAAACGACAGGCGGGCCCTTGGTGGCTTCGATCAGTGGCTGAATTCGCCCGCCCGCCCCCAAAAAAAAGACACGCGTCCGATCAAAGATTGGAGAGTGTCCGGGCCCAAGCGGGAGATCACCGAGAAGCCAGGTCATGGCGGATAGGGTCAGTGCCAAAGCATGAGGTATCCAAAGTGCGACACACCACAGCTCATGGAGGAAATGGCGCACCTCTGCGGGGTACTGGTTGTTCTTTTCGGCGAGCGGCCGCTTAACCAGGCTCGCTTTCTGGAACGAAGACGTGCGCAGAAAGCAGCAGGCGTTAGCGCTGGAGGGTCAGGGAGCAGTGTCGATGGCCAGGATCTCACAGAAGCGCAGCGAGTCCAGAGGAAGACACTGCTGCTGCTGCTGCGTTGACGCATACCGTGTTTGTCTTGGCCTTTCCGTCCAGCGTAGACAGCTTGGTGGACGACGTTTTCTTGCTCTGGAGGGAATCAGGGCGGCAGGAATGGGTTAGGAGCCAGGCCGGGGGTAAGGGGTGACCAGCCTGCCTGCACCGCCGAAACACGGTGTGATTTGCCGATCGGCAAGGCCGGCTTGCTCGCCAAACGCAGAGGGGAAGACTGCACAGTTCCCGCACCAAACGCTGCTGCTCTAGCTTCTTGCGCTCCTTTTCGGCCTTGTACTGGGCAAGCATGGCATGTCTGTCGACTCGGGCCGAGCCGACAGGGGCATTCTCGTCGTGGCTCCGGGGCGGCATGGTAGGGTGTGATGCAGATGCGGGCTAACCCTTCGCCCCGCCGTTTGCTGGGCCGGAGGCGGGTTTTTTAGGCAGACGGAAGGAGGGGAAAGACAGAAAAGGCGGACCCAGGGACGGACAGCGAAGTGACAGCCGTATGGGCGACCAGGCGGTTCGAGCCAGCTGCCTATTCCGTGCATAATTGATGAAACGTGGGCAGGAACAGCCACCACGCCCAAGGGTGGATCGAACCGGCACTGCCTGTCGCTCCGGCTGTCACTCGGCCTGCTGATGGACACTGCTCGCCCAAGTCACTTCCTGGCTGATGCCACTGCCTCCCAAGCGACTTTCCTCTGGTGCTGCTCCACCCAATTTATTTCCGAATCAGTGCCACTGCTCTCAGGCCGCCCCTCTGTCGATGTCACATCATCCGGGCTGTGTCTGCCATCACTGTTACCGCCGCTGTCGTCACCGCAACCACTGCCACCACAGCAGACCCACAGCCGCAGGAGACTGTCCCTTATATTCGGCCCTGCCCTGGCCAGACACGTATTTTCGGGCTATCCCTGAAACCAGCCGCAGCCGCACGCCGTCTCTGGTGGACATGGCGCATCCGCCTCTCCAGCGGCACGCCAGGACGCCGGAAGCGTCCGAGACGAGCCAGCGGCATTGACGGCAGATGGCCGCACGTGGACACCTCATCCATGCCGCTATGTGCTCAGGGCTCGGGCGGCCTTCCAGCCAAGCAGGGCCGGTGTGTTTTGCTCCTTCACGGCCTCAAAGAATGCTTGCATCTGCGAGTTCCCGCGGCTGATGCCGAGCTGGACCTGGGCCCCGTCCAGTTTGGTCGCTGCTCTGGCCCCAGCCACGGTTTCGGAAGGGTCCTGGTGCTTGAGCTTCTGGCCGGATCGCGGTCGTTTGCCATGAGCCGAGGCTGGTGCCGAAGGAGGTGCTGGGACCGATAGCTCGCGGGTGAGGCGGTAGTGGCTGTCAAAATACTGGACGGCCAGGTCGTACTCGCCGAGCTTGTTGTAGAGCACACCGAGTTGGTTGCATGCGTCTGCTTGCGACCCACGCTGCGTGGGATCAGCCTCGGTCAAGGCCACAAACTCCTGCAGCGCCTTTGCGGCCTGGAGCGGGTTGCCGGAACTATTTTTTTTTTGGGGGGGGGAGGGTGGAGGAGGGGCAAGGCGAGAAAGAGCGGCAGAGGTGAGCCACATGCCACGGACATATCGCATGCGTACCATTGGTTCACATCCGCCCGGCCATACCTTTCGTAACATTGGGCAAGTGCGGCATGGCCCAGTCCCTCCTTGCTCTTGTCGTCCATGCGCTTGGTGAATTCGAGGAAGCTTTCGAGGTACTGATGCAGCGGAGTGCGCCGTTCCCCCGTCGCATGCCACCGCATCCGATCCGCCAGCCACGTCCAGTCCAATTCAGTCCAATTCAGTCCAATTCAGTCCAATTCAGTCCGGGTTGTTCGAAGAGCCACGCCCATCCAAATTATGTGGTTTGTTAGTGGAGCGCCTTCCCATTCGACGCTGCCTTTTGGGTTGAGCATCTCCATATCGATATATGGCTCTCGAGACGCAAGGCAGATTCCCCTCTGATCCGAGCCCAGATTCTCAGCCATTACTCGTACCTCGGTGGCCTTTCCCATGTCACCAAGTCGCTGGTAGACCAGACCGAGACGATAGTTGATGTCATTCAGGCGCACATGGTCGGAACAACTCTCTTCGAGTATAGGGATGCACTTTGTATACTGCTCAATTGCGTTCTCGAATCGAAGCGCCTTTTCAAGCTTAAAAATGCGCCGCCAAAGCACATGTCAGTATCCACACGATGCTGTCAAGCGAAACAAGTGACGACATATACTGGGCGCTGCAGATGATTGCCAGACGAGCCATACGTTCTCTGCAATGCGTGTGCACGCCTCCACGATATCATATGACGCCATGGTTTCAGATGCCTTGTCGTGCCGCTCCTTCGAGATCGATCTACTCTGGACAAAGTATTCGAGTGCATCTTCGTGGTAGCCTGGAGATTGGATCCGCAAAGTTTCAATAGAGAGCCATCGAGCATGAGACAGTGACCGTGCGGGAGAAGGGTGTGTTGTCCGTGGCAAGCCGGAGCCCGCGGCACTACCAGGTCCGGAACATGCCCTCTCCAAGACGAGCCCTGAATGGATAGCATACCACAGTGCTCAAGCGCGCGACCCATGTTTGCAGCAGCCTCGATCTGCTTCTCTTCAATGTCCTTGCTTGCCGACAGGCTCTCCTTGAAGTAACTCAGCGATTTGTCATAGTCCTTCAGGTCTTGGAAGTAGAATGCTATGCGCTTCAGCGATTCATAGATCCGAGCGGAATCCCCTGCAAGACGGATTGGTGATAGCCCGTGGTGAGTCTGGGCATATCAGAGGGAGCATGGGCACACCGGAGGGAGCATGGGCGTTTCGGAGGCAGCGTGGCATCGGGCTTTTACGCGCATGCGGATGGCCACAAATATCTCGCTTCCTGGGATGACTGGTGGTGGCAGACACGCCTTTGCAATTCAACCGAAAGCGCGGACGGTGTCGGATCTGACTGCGGCATCAGGTCTCACGGCAGCGCCGAAGCCTCACCAACGAGCTTGCTGTTCTCGATCGCTGTGAGCAAGTCCTTGTACTCGGTCAGCGGCTCTTGTGTGTATTCGACATCCAGCCGGTTCTCGATTGCTGTCTGGAAGAAGCTGACATAAGACTGGATGTTGCCTTTGATGAGGAGATCCAGACAGATGGCTTGAGTGATGGGTGACCTCGTCCTGCGGGATGCAGTCGTTGCCCAAGCAGCGTGAATGAGCGTCCCTTGAATTCCGGTAATCTATCATCCCACTCGCCCACAGTTCCGGCTTTGAACACAGGTCTGAGTTTGCTGGAAGCCAGCCTGGGCCACAGCCTCCGCCCACATACGTGTTGGATGCACCAGACGGGCTGCCGGCCCCCTCGGCCTCCTCGACCTCGGCTCGCCTTGGGATCTCTGGCAGAGGCGACGCCATTTGCTTGTCCAGAGGCGTGTGAATGCAACAGCCAGTGTTCCGTCGCCAGCATCCCAACCACACCCTCGACCCCAACCACAGGCGGAGCGCGCCACGCGCTGCAAGCACCTGTCCAGCCGGATCGATCCGCGCGCTCCCGAAGAAGCCAGCCCGGTCTTCCCGGCGTGCCCTTGGGGAACTTCGAGATCCTGCATTTCTTCCTGCTATCCAGGAGCCAGCCGCCCGCAGACGAGAGGGCGCAAGCACCCGGCCCGCTGAAGGTACCGCCGTATCCATATAGCTGCCCAAGTCCGTCGTATCCGCTACCGAGCCCCACCCGCACAACGTTGTGTATCATCCGCCGCCATGGACTTCATTGAAGAAATGCTGGAGGCACCTTACAAAAGCGAGGTAACGCTGCCTGACGCCGATCGGTCTGCCATACCCGTGAGGAGGAAGGAGAGGCAGAGTGGGTGGGGGAGCGTCTCGCTCAAAGAGAGTTGCACCCCGATTGAAATTGCAGATCCCAAGCCCGAATTCTGAAACCCGTTGGCTCGCCGCAGTGATCGGACGATCAGCTGCTGCCATGCGACTGCAGTGTAGGCCAGGACGGCGTCTCTCCCCCCTCCCGCTCTTTGCTTATTCCTTTCCACAGCCCGAAGGACATCCCCTTCGACTCCCTGCTACGCTCGATTGGCCCGATGTGCACACGGTTCAGCAGAGCCTTGGTGGTCCGGAGTGTACTTTGGCTTCTACCTGATGGACTCATCCCGTTTTCTGAATCTGTCTCTAGGAAAAGAATGTCAGGAGCTCGCCTGGCTCGGTCGCCCACAGCCAGGACGCCGACAACATCACCGTGCCAACTCTGTCGGAGGACGCCCTCAGCGAGAGCAAGAAGACGGGGTGAGTCCTGCCGCTGCGACTGCGGACACAGTGTTGCGCGCCCAAGCAAACCTGGCTCGCTTGCCTTCGCTTCCGTCGAGACCGCCTCGCCATGTTCAGATGAAGCTGCTTGCTGATCAGTCGTAGCACATTCCTTCCGATCCCTAACACGCCTTCATTCGATGCGCCCAATGCAGCCATCGTGACGACGACGTTGAGCGGAGCCACTCCCCCTCCGACCGCGACCAGAGGAAGCGGCGCCGGAGCCGATCGACATCCCGCGAACATGGTCGGCGCGAGCGCTCGAAATCCCGGGACAACTATCGCTCGAGCCGCCGTGATCGCGACGATCGAGACCGAGACCGCGATCGAGATCGCGACCGAGACAGAGAACGGGACAGGGAAAGAGACAGAGACCGCGAGCGCGACCGAGACAGAGACAGAGACCGCGACCGATACCGTCGAGAGAGAGAGCGCGATCGCGGACGGGACCGACGGGACCGCTACGACCGGCGAGACCGAAGCCACTCCTCGGATCGAAAACGGTATGCAGCATAGCAGCCGCATCAATGGAAGCGCATCTGCCTTTGGATATCGATAGCATCCCGCAGGGACTAACAAATGCTTCTCGCCGCGGAATCTGTCGCTCTGATAGGGGCCACGATGCATCCTCGGAACTGTCCGAGCTCGAGCGCGATCGAAGAACCGTGTTCGTCATGCAGCTGGCCGCCCGGATCCGCTCGAGCGATCTTGCAAAGTTCTTTGAGCCTGCTGGGCGAGTGCGTGATGTGCACCTCATCGCGGACCGGCAGTCGCGGCGATCCAAAGGGTTTGTACCAATTGGCAGTCCCGCCCGAGCCCTGGTGTCGATCTGGGAGCGCGACCACTAATTCTCATCGAACATAGTGTTGGCTATGTCGAATTTTACGACGTCAGCTCAGTGCCGGCAGCCATCGCGATGACGGGACAGAAGCTCCTGGGCATCCCCATCATTGTCCAAAACACCGAGTCTGAGAAGAACCGCGCAGCAGCCGAAGCCGATGCAGCCACGGCAAAGTAAGACACTGTGCTGTTCTCGGCAAACCCGCACATATGTATACCTGCGTTCCACCAGTGGTCATCTGAATGTAGTGCAGCGCAGCGCTACTATTCGGAGTGGCTATCAGCGTCAGCTTGATCGAGCGCCTGTGTACGGGCCACTCTGCGGCTCGCGATGAACAATAGCAGTGCTGCGACCACCCGAGTTCAAGTGCGTGAAGGCTGCGAGACTGATACCTTTGCTTGCGCAGAGCCAAGCCGGCCGAGCCGGCGTCATTCCGACTCTATGTTGGATCGCTCGATTTCAAGCTGTCGGAAGAAGACGTCAAACAGGTGTTTGAAGCCTTTGGAGAGCTAGAGCTCGTGCAACTCCACAGAGATGCTGAAACCGGAAAGTCCAGGGGATTTGCCTTTATCCAGTGAGTATACTGAAGACGATCGTTGCCTGCGCCGCTGTGTGGGTGCTTCTGGGGTCAACATACACAGAGAGCGCGCAGAGTGTCATCCAACCCGCCATAGGGCATTTGGTGCACGCTTCCACTGACCATACCTCGCGTTGCGATCTGTATAGATACAAAGACCCAGAGGACGCCAGGAAGGCGCTGACCCAGATGAACGGATATGTGCTGGAGGGCCGGCCGGTAAGTCTGCGCTCGGACTTGGGTGGCTGTCTGCGTCACTACTCCTGAGTTGCGGTTGACTGGTGACATCTGGCATGAACAGACGCTGTAGCTTCTTCACTCCGATATGGTGATTCAAACATGCCTTGGCTCTCTTTGCCCCCGTAGATCAAGGTTGGGCTGGTCACCGAGCGCCAGCACTCGCATCCCGCCTCGAGCTCGTCATCGTCCAACATTGACCTGGACGATACAGAGCGGCCCGGTGTTCAGCTCTCGTCGCAGTCCCGCGCTGAGCTTATGGCCAAACTCGCAGCGCGGGAGGGCAGCATGCTCGGATTCATCAACCCGTAAGTCCCAGGGCACTTGAAGGACTCGGCCTTGTCCCCTTTCTGCCGCCGCGCTGTCCGCCACCCTACTCACCATTTCTTGTTCTGTCGATGATTGCAACGAGTAGCAAACCAGTGATCAACATTCCACAGTACATGCCGCCTCTTGTGACGCGATGTGTTATCCTCAAGAACATGTTTGATCCTGCCGAGGAAACCGAGCCGGACTGGGACAAAGAAGTACAGGAAGATGTGCGGCAGGAGTGCGAGCAAAAGTACGGGCCTCTGATGCACATCTTTGTTGACAAGGAGAGCCAGGTAAGGACTATATGTGAAAGCATAGGAGGCTCATGGCGCCGGCTCAGATGCAAAGGTAACAACTGTGCGGTACTAAGACGGGGGCCTTGAACTGCTGCGATCCGCCAGGGCATCATCTTCCTCAAATTTGCCTCGACCGAGAGCAGCCAGAAGGCCGTGGCAGCACTCAATGGACGCTACTTTGCTGGCAAACAGGTGCGTGGCTTCTCTCATGCAGGGCGGCCGGCATTGCTTGCTGGAGCTATCCGGGCGTTGTTTGCAAGCCCCCAGTCGCTGCCGCATTTGGCCATGAGCGATGCTAACACATTCTTGTTTCCGGCCATGCTGCCTTCACGGAAATTGCCGCCCCTGTCGATACCCTCGCTGCCCATGCCTCTGCCCCAGATCTCGGCTGTGTGCTTCGCCGAGGATGCATACAGCAAGCGTTTCCCAGAGACTGCCTCGTCGTAGGCCGGCGCGAGGTAGCAGGACGACACTGCGTACAAGACACACGGCCGCACAGATGACCCACTGGCCGAGGCAGCCGCGGAACGAGGCCGTTGCCTGCCCTGGCTGCATGCAGCCCAACAGCAATACATGCATCGACACTACTGCTGGGACGGCCACGGCCGAGGGTGTGGGAAGCGAGCGCGGCGAGGACCAGGGGGTGAAGCAGCAGGGGAGAGCCCGGCCGCTGAGTCAGCAACTTGGCCGCTCCTCGCCCCGGCCCTCGCTCCGGCTCTCGGCCTCGGCGAGACGCACCGCCGTTTTGCCTCTGGCTCGCATCGCATCTGTCCATCCACCCATCCTTCACTCGCACATCTGCTCATCTCCCAAGCCCTTAGCCACGCCTCCCCCCCAGCCTCTGCCTTCTGCCTGCATCGCCCACGATGGCCGAGGACACGTCAGAGCAGAAGCTCATCCGATATTCCAAGCCTTTCCTGATGATCCTCAGAGAGTCGCCGCTTGTGGATGCTCCAGAGGGCCTGCCTCCGCCGGAATTCTTCATGTCGGTGCTCCTGGCTTGCCGAGCCTGCATGTCGCTGTCGCGGGCCCTTCATTTCGCTGATCGGTGGATCCAAGCAAATACCGCACCATATCGGTGTCTCGCTTGCCCTGGTTTCGCCAACCTCTGCCTATGGCCGATGCACCAGCCCCCGTCGATGGCTTTGGATGGGTCTGGTTGACCTCGATCCACATTTGTCTAATTGGCCCCGTGCCGATCTTGCTCGCCCAATATCTCTCCAGCGAACGGCTCAAGCCCGACACAAAGCCCAAGTCTAAAGATCGTAGCGACGAGGACCCAGAGCGGCCTGCATCGGCAAAACCGGCTGCCCCGTCACGAACGCCAAGTGCCGGTATGTTCGTCCTCTCCTGTCGTTGCGCCAAAATGCATCCCTGGCTGTGACGCCTCGTCGGCGCTGGTCTGTCACGGACCCGTCTTGCTGCCCACGTATCCTCTTGACGGGTGCACTCCTCGGCAGAGGAGTTCAGCTGGATCACTGGCGAGATCATCCGAGTACGACGAGGATCAATTTGTGCTGATCTCTGATCCATGCTCCCCTGCAGCCGACAAAACCATCGTCTTTGGCCCGCCCAAGATGATGAGCTTTGCCTCGTCTCAACAGTCGGCGCCCAATAGGCTGCCCGACACTGATCCCAAGCTCTCGATCGGCACAAGGACAACCAATCCGTTTGCCCGACCCAAGGTACTTCCATAGAGCGCGCTGCTGTCTGTCGTCCGGATTGCGTTCATTCTTGACGGGGGCAACTTGGATAAATCGACTCGCCATGCGCAGCGACACTCTGCAATCGGCTTCATTTCTGTCCCCTTGATCCAACGAGGCCCCTCGCGTACCCACGGCTCGGCACACTGAGCGGAACCGTGAGCAGCATGATGACTCGTGATATCCTTTTGCTGCCATTCCCGCTTGTCTAGTCAACCCCCTTGGCCCAGAAGCGCACCAGCGGAGATGATGAGAAAGAAGCCGTGGCACCGCCGTCTCGAAGTAAACCGGAAGGCAGCCTGCTATCCGATAAGCGGCCGGGCATGCGCGATGCTGAGTCAAAGGGCCGAAAACCCGATGAATTTGACCGCGAACCTTCGGGCAGCGCAGATTCAAGACTCGCAAACAGCTTGCGGGATCGCCGCAGAGGTCCAGATGCAGACGGAAAAAGCCCTCGCCGAGATGGCGATAAACCGGGTCGTCCGGGCCAAGGCGAGCGGTCGGGATCAGGACTCAAAGATGCTTCGGGCAAGCTGTCGCGAGACTCTGATCGCTTGCCATCCAAGAATCGGGCAGATTCTTCTGCTGGGGACTCGTCAAATCCTGACGGAAAGGAGTCGGCGCCCGTTCGAGACTTTGCCAACATGCGTGCCCCACGCCCCGATAACCTGGCCCAGCGAAGCGGCCTGCAGCGTCTGGGTGGATATGATCGCCCCAATCTTGGTGGCGACCGTCGTCGGCCTCGCGATGCAACACCGGAGTGGATGGACGAGCCCAAGCCTGAGGCGCTCGAAGACGGCGGTGTCGGTAGCGACCCCTTGAAGGGTGGAATGTTTCATAGCGGAGAAGATGTCATTCAAAAGTTCAAGGCCCAGATGAGGATACAGGAGCGTCTAAGCAACAAGGAACCTTTGAAAGCCGGCTCCTCGCAAGCACCCGCAACAGAGGAGAAGAACGGCGCAGCGTCATCGGCCCAGCCGGCGGCTCCGTCGTCTTCAAACAATGCCCTGGTGGACTCGACTACATCGACATCCAGCTTGACGGAAGCCGCGACCTCGTCGCCAAAGAGGGCGTCGGCTGGCGGCCTGCTCGGCACGGAGACAGAGGAGGTTGTCGTTCAGTCCATCTTCTCGTCCGGCATCGACATCAACGGTGCCCAGGCGGAGCCACGGCCGAATCCTGGTCAAGGAGGATCAAAGTTCTCAAAGTTTTTTAGACGCACCGACGAGGGAGCAGCGCCGGCCACAGAGCCATCACCACAACATCCCGCAGCGCGCTCTGCTCAACCGCCGGATGCCGGTACGCCAATCGACTTTTTGCAGCTGCTTCAGAATCCTCGAGGCCTTGCTCCAAGCGCCGGACTCGCCGATCTGTCGCGAGCCTCGCCAGTGCCCGCCCAGTCCCGGCGGCTGCCCTCGGAGCTTCCTGCCGGCAAGCGGATGATGTCTGAGGAGGATGTGCTGATAGCTATGGGCGCTTACCCCAAGCGGAGTGTCGCCGATGAGGGCACTGTCGAGAACGCACACTCCTTCAAACCGCCGTATTCCAAGGATATCAAACAGGACCCGGCCGAGTCGATCCGAAATCTACTGCAAAACACCCAGACGAAACAGCTGGGTCCGCCTGCGCTGTCGTCCCATCCAGCCCAGCCCGATGTCCCAGTGTCGGTCAGTCTCGGTACCGAGTCTGGGGCTGCCTCTCTCAAATCTACCATATTGGGAGGACCGAGCTCGCTTGGTCAGCCGTACCCGACATCACAGCCTCCGCTTCGGATGATGACAGAACAGGACATACTGCAGTCGCTCGGTGCGGCACAGCTACCGCAGCAGCCGTCAGCGCCGTCAGCCCGTGACGATGAGCAGGGGTTCAGCCGAGCTATGGCAATGCTAGCGCGATCGAATGCGTCACAGGTAAGCTTCGAGGCGGCTTAGGTTGCCGAAGCATTGTTGAGTACATGTCGTGGACGCAGTGCAGCCGTGCGGATGTGTAGCCGTGTAGCTGTGGTTAGTCGCGCCCGCAAAGTGCATGCGCTGACGCACCTGTGGCTCGGTTCTGCATCACGCTTTGATGATAGCCTCCGGCTATCCCCTCTTCAAACGGAGCTTCTATGCACTCTGGTACCCCTCCCCCGCTCAGTGTCAATCTCCCCGTGAACGCCATGCATCAGAGTCGTCTGTTGGCCGAGAGCCAAACCGGGCCACTCTCTCCAGGACACCCCATGCAAATTCTATCCAAGGGCTTGCCAGGAAGCTTCCCCGGCCCCAGCCAGGCGGGTTTCCATCCACAGCACAACCCTATGGGGCCACCCCCTCCCCGTCCGTACCCATCACAGTTCCCAAGCCACGGTCCGCATCACCATCATCAGATGCTGCTGGAGCAGCAGTACCTCCTCGCCAGCCACGGTCAGATCCCTGGAGTCGACGTTGGGCTTGTGATGCGCCCTCCCATGCAGCCGTCGTCCATGCCGCCACCACAGCAATCGCATATGCAGGGACAGCACCTGCCAAACCAGTATGGTCCCAGTGTATCGGGAGCCGAGGATCCCTCGAGTCAGTTGGCAGCCATGGTGCAGAACAGCATCAAGGCCAAGAAGATTGGACAGGCGTCGGCGGTGTCGTCCTCGCCGATGAACGTCTACAAGCGCATGGATGTCGGATCCCCAGGTAGACAGCCCTGGCGCTCCGTGCCGAGCCCTTGCTCACTAGTTCCTGCCCCGACTTTACTGACTGCTTTGCTCTCCAGGACCTGAGCCTCGCCCGGGTATGATGATCCCGCCGGGTTACTTTGTTCCCAACTTCCCCGGAGGGGTGATGAACGGCCGACCCTTCGACCAGGTAACGTGCTTGACTATTCGCCGCCGCCGCCGCCCAGCCGGGCTTGCGCCGTCAAGGGCACACATGAGGTCCCGATGGGTGCCCTGCTGTCAAATCATAACTAACCAGTTGAACGGGACCTCTCGTCGCTGGTCCAGGGATCGGCACTGCCCATGGGTCCCCGGCCCCCCTTCATGATGGATGGCCCTATGCCTCCAATGGGTCCCAACCAATTCGTTCCGCCTCATCCAATGATGCACGGGCCCATGATCCCGCCTCACGGCCCAAACGGGATGATCGGTAACCCGCCTTATCCCGGAGGCATGCCACCGTCGCCGTACGGTGCGCCGTCGATGGGTCATCCTGGCCACGGTAAGGCGAGCATGCTTATGACTGCATGGCAGCATGCGCTGGGGCTTTGAACAAATCGAGCGAATCGAACGAATCAAGTAGCCTGAGCTGACAAAGCACCTCACTCCTTCCAGGAAAGTAGCTCGGCGGCGGTGAAAGGCTGAATCAGGGTGCGAGCTCTTTCTCTGCGAGACCCAAGCGATCCGGCTCCTGACGGGATGGGCTCTCGGCCTGGACCAGTTGATCGACTGGGCAGCTTTGCAAATGAACTCGAGATGTGTTTGGCCAGGATTTGCCTGGATTGACCTGCATTCCCCCCCCCACCTCTCCCTCTCTCTATCTCCCTTCCATTTTGCACTCTCATCCTCTGTGCTCTTGTTGAACCTTTCTTTGTATTAGCCCCGGCTCCCCCTCCCTCTGCCATATGCGAAGGGCTTGGCTGGAGATCCGACATGTACTGATTTGCTTTGGCACGCATCGCAACAGAATCGGCTCTGATCCTCCTCACTTCTGCTTCCGCCTTTGCTTTGTTGGCCGCCGTTGGGCGGGGCCCGGTTGATTGTGTGTGACTCTTTGCTGAAGGCAATGGGATCGAAGATACAGCTTTCCCATTTTGAAACGGGACATCCGGTTCTGGGGCCCTGGGTGCCAGTCTTCCTGGGTCTAGAATGCCCACCCACCAAAGGGAGGCTGATATTGTGGCTGACCTTGAGAATGCATCACGCAAGCAAGGGAAGGAATCCCCATCGAGTCCACAGAGACTCAGACTCGCCAAGTTCCTTGAGCAATCTCACCGCCACACCGACGCCCAGTGCCCAGACCAGCGGCGAGCGGCTCGGTCGACCCGGCCATCATGATGTTGGGAAACCATGGGACTGCCGACCTTCCAGAACCCAGCGTCTTTCGGCCAACCGATCGCGTCGCCGCGCCTTGGCGATCTGTGCAACGCCAAACGCGACGGCGAGGCGCCGTGCCCCGCCGGCCTTCTCCCGAGCCAACCCCCTCGGACGACTTCCGCTTCACCCCTTTCGTCCTGGCATCGGCCTGTCTCGCCCCCCTGCCTCGTCTCCCGCCATGCCACTCATCCAATTTCACGTTCGCCTGGGCTTGTCGCTCTTCAAGAAAGTCACCCTCATCAAAGACGAGTCCCAGACGACCATCTACGCCATCCACCGAAGAGAGCGGCTCTTGGGCGACTGGAGCACCTCGATGTACCGAGGACCAGACGATAACGGCGCTCTGGTGGCCCGAGTCCGTCGAGACAAGAGCATGCTCAAGAAAGTCTACTACTTTACGCACCTGAGCTCCAACCCGGACAGCTGGATCGAAATGCACAAGGTCAATATCGATGGGACTCGGTTCATGTTTCAGTTCCGCGGCGTTTGGTTCGACTGGAAGATGATCCTGCTCATAAGCCAGTAGGAGAAAATCACCTCGTGCCAGGAGTGGGAGCTCTATGTCAAGCCTCAGGCCGAGTCTCACAAGGTCCGCCGCATCGCAAAGTTCAACATGCCCATGAACTTTGGCTCCAAGGACTCTTCCCTCGTTGTCGAAAACGAGTATTCAGATCTACTCGAGATCATCTTCATCACGCTCTACATGAGCCTGTACATCCAGACGGACGATGCCATTCCTCGAAACGAAGTCTTTGTCGACAACGAGGCTCTGCGGGCCCAGTTCGTTGCTGGCGGTTCCGATACCACCAAGACCGGCTAACATGTCCCAAGAAGCCTCTTCCGAGCTCGGCTGGCTGAACTCGATACGCTGCGATCCCGAAATACCGTTGCGCCAATACACCCTTTGTATCTGTATTGCAGCAGTCCATACCAAGGCTTTGGCCAGCACTTGGCTTTCGATGCCCACGACGCTCGAGGCGAAAGCTCGGAGAGTAACCATCACGGGGTGCAAACTGGCCCGAGCTCAAACGGAGCCGAGCATCCGTTGAGGGCCTGTGCGGCGAGCCTGATCTTCCTGCAGCGCTGTCATAACTGGTTCAGAGGCACCATGGACTGAAGGGTGTGGATATGAGCTAGATTACTTGTTGGAACTGGATCCGATGTTCTGCGAGGTCTTGAAAGATATGACGCTGATCTCTGGTGTGATGATTTGATCCTCGCCCAGCTACATAGGAAAGGTGGCAGGATCGCACGTCCAGTGGCGGTTCGAGAGCGACATCAGTACACCGACGCAGTGCAGCAGCTCTCTGTCCGCAAATCACAGCCATCAACTCTGCAAGTTCCTCGTGAATATCAAGTGGCTTGGAGCGAGGTGCACCGTCGATGCGTGACGGCTGGTGTTGGAATCATACCCGGATGCTCCCGATTGTTTCCGCATAGAGATAGTACTTGTCGAGATCGGGGTGGACCATCTTAGCAAGGTCGCGGACGGTCGTCTCGGGCGGGACAAGCAGACAGTCGCGAAAGACCCGGTTGTCGCGGCCAAAGGAACTAAAGTTGTTGATGTTCTTGACGGGGTAGACAGGAATCATGCCCAGCAGATCGACGGCCTTCTTGACAGCCTCCAGCACGCCTGTGTGGCCATATCGGAACAGCACCATGTCCTGGACTTTTTCGAGACGGCTGAGCAGGGCAGGACACAAAGTCAATCAGGTGTACGAAACAGGGCTCGGAAACGGGCATCCGAATGCATCCGAACATTAGGAACAGCAAGGGTGCGGTCGACGCATCGCTGAAGTACCTTCGGGTCTTTTCATCGAGCGGCTTCAGCTTCTCTTCTTCACTGGGGTCGATCTGGTCCTCAGCAAGCTCGAAGCTGTCGGTGCCTTCAAAGTACTTGATGAATTTTTGCTTGTGCAGCTTGCGCAGAAACACCTCAGCCAAAGCGCTCGTCAAGACAATCCTGGACTCGTCGTACTTGCGGCATATCCTATCGATGTTCTTGTCCGAATCCGGCAGATCGATTTTGTTGAGAGCCTGAGAGCAGACAACTATGATCAGTAAGATCCAAGGCCGGCCCGCCAACATATGTGTGGAGTCTTTGCCGGCACAGGATTTTGCTCTGAGGTGACATGCCCATGCAGAACCTAGAACCCCTACTTACGATGACGGTCGGGAATCGCTCGTCCAGGAATGCATCGACAATGGCATGCAGAGTATCGTCATCCCAGGTCTCGAGGGCTTCTTTGATGCCGCATTTCTCCATAAACCTATGACACAGCGAGACCGTGGAGCCGTATCCAGAAAACTGATTCTGCAGCGTCTCGGCCGGCAATGCCTCTGGAGGATTGGCATTGAAAGTTTGCCAGAAGGTAACGCTGGAGGTGAGCCGTCGATCGCCGCGTGCATCGAAGCTATGGAAGATGCTGCGACCAAAGCCGACTCGGCTCGCAACGATCACAGCATGCTCAGAGGTCTGCGGAGCTATCGCTGAAAAGAACGCCTCGAGCCGATTGGATAGCGCCAGTGCCTGCGTCGTGCAGGAAGACTGCAGTGCTTGTCCACAGAGTGACGTCTGCTGGGACTTACTTATTGCCACATGTCGGCGGACAATGCTTCCCCATCGCTTGTGCAAGTTGTTGAAGACCCAGCTGTTGTGGCGAGATCAGTCACGGATGAACGAGAAAGCGTCAATCCTGTGGATTCGACGGCGACCCGGACTGAGAGTCCTATGGGTTGAGCCAGCGAGACGGCGAGACGGCGAGACGGCGAGATGGCGAGACCAGTCCAAGTTTCCAAGATGAAATGGGATACTGGGCCGAACCAAGCTTTGGTCGGCCCCGGAACGAGCCCCAATTCCAGAGCTGGCGATCTGACCACGACATCTCAACATACGCACTTGTGGATCTCGGACCGAAGCCAGTTGATGTCGTTGATAGGATCGTAGCCAGCGGTCTCCTTGCCGTTCTGGTCGGTCGTCCCGGAGACATCGACGACATGAATCAGCGCATCGGCCGTTCGCAAATCGTCCAGGAACTGATTGCCGAGACCCTGTCCCTCGGATGCACCAGGGACCAACCCGGCGACATCCAGGATCTTTATGGGAAGATATCGAGTGCCATCAATGCATTTGCCTGCAGACCGAAAAGGCCGTTCCAGGAAGTACGGGTGCCAAAATATTGCAGAGAGATGGCAGGGTCAGTGCCCGAGGAAGACGAGATTGTAGGGACCGTTTGGATGCTTGCCAGCGGAGAAGTGCACACTTGCCAGTCGCCGCCACTGGCATCCTGGCCTCCAAGCATGTCAGTGCTTCTATGCCTGCAATCCAAGCATCCTACCATATCGTGGCGAGCACTGGGCCTGCTTGCCGAATCGCTTGCAGGGACAGTCCACAGGGATATAGGAGACGCCGTGGTTGGGCTTGATGGTGGTGAAGGGGAAGTTGCCGACCTTGGCCTGGGCATCCGTCACGGCGTTGAGGAAGGACGACTTGCCAGCCGAGGGCTTGCCGACAAAGGCCAGCAGGATATCAGGCATGGCGAGACAGGGAAGCACGAAAGCACGGCAGATCGAGAAGCAGGACCGGCTGCGTTGCTGTTTGTGGGCAGAGGAGGCAAAGAGCGGCAGCCGCGAAAGAAAAGCTGTGCTGGGACCGCGATCACACCAAATTCCGCCTCACCATCGCAAGCCCGGCTCGCATCTCGACTCGCATCTCGACTCTGGCCCGCATCGTGGACTTCAGCACCATCACCATCGCAATCTTCCTGCCGGCCGTTCGTGATGGGTGCATCGAGCCTGTCTGCTCCCACAGTCCATCTTTCTTGGCTTCCGGCCGACCGATCCGCTGTCGCTCTCCAGAGCTACCTCCACACCAGCGAAGACGAGCTGCCAACATCGCTCCCGCCGCCCTTCAGGGCGCATCCTGCGGATTCCCAGGCTGTCGACAGCTCGGTCGAGGATAGCTCGCTCCAGCCAGATCCAGCCGCCCTGGTCTGCGCCTATCCATCGCCCGTGTCCTTGAACTCGATCGAGGTCATCTGCAACGCCCGGCACCTGGAGCTCTATCTGGACGACGAGTACTATGAGACCTTTGAGGGCGCGCTGTGAGTCTGCACTTCCCGTCTCTCGGTATGCTGTTGGCTCTCTGTCGAATCGAATCGAATATCAGATTGTGGTCCGGTGGCCGCCCTTCTGACCCATGTCCATTTATCTCGCTGGGAAACGATTCGATAGGCTGGACGACGACGAGTTGATCTTCTTGTTTGAGATGAACGAGCTCGAGCAGACCCAGAGAATCGCCAACATCCGCCAGGTCAAAGTCAAGGTAGCCCTTCGGGATGGCTCGGGGTGAATGCCTCGTGCAGTCTTGTGAAAGCCACGACGAGTTCTTCCTCGGCCCTGTGTCCTCAGATTCCAGCTGACTTGAGTCGGCCTCCAGTTCGCTTCCTTGCCCAAGCAACAGAAGAGCCTGCTCCGGCTCTATTCGTTCACCGTCCTGGCCGACCCGAACAGCGAGGTGAGTTCCAATAGTATCCTGGTTGTCGGACCGTGTTCGCGGTTTGGAGTTGCTGCGATATTTGCTTTGCGCTAAACTTACGAGATTCAGCTCATCCGCTATTACTGCTGCATAACAGCTCGGGGAACATTCTGCAGCAAGAGATCAGCCACACGCACAGGCCTCTCCCGACCGCTTGAACCAGGACCACTCTCACGACGAAGCAGAGAACGACTTCGACATGCAGTCGCTCTACGCCTCATTGCTCTTACAACAGGGAAAGCTGTCGACTGGTGGTCAGCCCGCCATTGCGACGAATGCATCCATCGGCTCCCAACCACCGCACCCACTCTCAGGTCCAACCCAATCGGCCGTTTATGACCCCGCTCACAGCGACGCCAAGGCACTTGGTCAGCATTTGATGGAGCAAATGGATCGCCGACTGGGACAGCTCACATTAGAGATGCAGAGCCGCATGAATCGAATCGAGTCCAAGCTCGATCTCATTTTGAGGAGAATGGAACAGCAACAGCAGCGGCCAGAACATGTTCATCCACACCAAATACCAGGGAGCTCTGAAACGAGCTAGTCGCTACGGGGCCATGGTCCGGTACTGTGCAAGGGCCTTTTCCAGTGGCATCCGCACCGATTCGACAAGCTGCATGGGTAGGAGTTGCCGATGTAAGCAAAGGAGTTTCGGGTGATGGGGTCACAAGCAGTGATACTTCAGTAACAGGTGGGGCGAAGACGGCAGCGACGAGCCGCACTCACCTGCTGGATTGTCTCGCTTTTCGAATAAACCTGGGTATTCAAAATGCCCTGGCGCCGCTCCAGTTCCTTTGCGAGCTTTTCAAGCTTGGAGCGGCCGTCCTTGACGCCGTTCTTGGAGAGATATTGCACCGTCAACCAAAAGTGGCGGAGAATCTCGTTGATGGACAAAAGAAGCTCGGTGGCCTCGGCGATCTGAGGAGTCGGATGTCCATTCAGCCGTTGATCTGACCATCGGCACCGGTTGAAGGTGAAACGGATATGAAGCATGAATGGTGAATATGCGGCCCTTTGCAGTGGCGTTGTTCGACAGCAGCGTTGTTCGACAGCGGCACCATAGAATCACATCGACACAGTTCTTGCTTTGCTGGCTGGTTGAGTCACCAACACGCACCATGCCGGCTAATGTCATCAAGCTTCCTCTTGGCAGTCAATTGGTTGAGCTGATTGAGGATAGCGTTGGACTTGGATGGGTCGACAGTCATCTGGATATCCAAGGGCATGTCAGTGGCCGCATCTCAGTGCCGGAGATATGCAAGTGCACCGCTCCGAATCGGTATCAAGCCGGCTCGCCTACTTGGGGCAGATTGGGCTTCCAGTGGTCCAGCGCCCGTCTAAACTCCCGCGTCGCTGCCTGTAGTGGGAAATCGGTCAATGGGATACCGATGGAGCATCGATGCATGAACAGTCGCCAAACTGCCTGTGCTCCAAATGGGCGGCGGTCTCGCCCGGCAGAAAGACACCCCGTCCCACCTCGATGGCTTCCTTCGTGTCTTCGGCGGCATGGCTCTGGCTGTCGGCACTCTGGCTTTCAAAGTATTTGGAAGCGTCGCTGATGAAGAGCGGCTTTGCGCGCTCCATTGCCTTTGCTGCCAGGTCCTCCAAATCTGTCTCGTCCATATATAGGCGATTCATCTCCTTGGCCGTCTGGGTGTGTTGCTGACCCGAGGGCGTTTGGGTACTGGAAGTAGAAGCAGCCGCTCTTGCCTCGAGCTCCCTGTACAAGGATGCCACTGTGAGTCCCCCAATCCAAGCTAACGCAGCCATGTGTAGCGGGCTACTCGGCGAACGGTGCTCTCGGCCGTGGGGCATGCTTACTTGAGGGCTGTGTTCAAAACAATCTCAGAGTGCCGATTGAATCGCCGAATCAGCGGCAGAGACGTCTTGACGCCGCCAGGTGTCATGGAGACGTCCGGCTTGTTCCCAGATTCCTGCGGATTCGGAGTGGTAAGCACACATTTACCTTGGTTAGACGATGCTCGGTGAATTTAGGGTGCGAGAAAGGCGCCAATCTCAAGACGGTAACCGCAGAAACTATGGCTGAGGGGCTGCATACCTCCAGTCGATCTTCTAGTGTCTGGCTCAGATCCAGCAGGCGATTCGTGGGCTCGTACTTGAGCTTCTTGCGAACGAGCAGGGTATCTGAGGCGGTATACAGAGCACGATGTTATGAGCCTCCTCGACCAAATGAGCCCAAGGTACCAGCGGGCATCAACGGTCGCTCATTCGAGAGCGCAAAGCTGCCCCTACCGTCCTCGTCTTCGTCAGCGTACTGGTCAAAGAATTCGTCTCGCTCCCCAGTGGTTTGGCCGAACCGCGTCCGGCGAAAATATCGTGACTGGAAATAGGTTGTCCAAAAGTCCTTCTCTGACATCTAGAGACCGAGCCAAGGATGGCGTGCTTAGTGACCGCCGAGGATGGAACCATCGTTCACACGGCCCGGCAGCCGCGAGTCCCAGATATCATGAACAGGCGATGCAGACCTTGCTGGGAACGTTTTCTTTGTAAGCCTTGTGAACTAGAGAGGATGGTGGAGGACGTAGATGCGCTCGAGGTCATCAACGACAGATCGAGTGTCGCGACGTGTGTCTATATGCTGCCCTGCTATCCTGCTATCCTGCTGCCTGTTTGGCAGTTTGCTTGGCTTACCCGTGGGGTACTGGGTGAATATCGAGTGGATGATTTCCGGGTTCAGGGTATAGACGGCCTTGCTGTCGTCGGTCGTGGGTTTCACATCGGCTCGAGATGCCGATGAGGTGCCCCTTTTTTGATTTTGTTGCCAAAGCTGGTTCGCGATGAGATGCTATCGCAGCGCAACTGGGTTGGTTAACACCCATGTCCGCATGTCGGATTGGATGTGATAGAGCGACCCACCGAACCGTCGCCTTTCCTTTCACCAATAATCCAACCCGATTCGCCAGATCGTACTTCTCAGGAATCAACTTGATCGATCAAGGCACCAGGAGCGAATCGAGGGACATCCGCCACAAGAGTCTCGGGCAAAGGGTGCCGCCAAACCCAGCAGTCACGAAACGGACTTACCCGCCTCGAGCTCCAGAACTCATCCTCAGACACGATTCCCGACTGGACGAGATCCAGATGCAGCTTGGCCAGACTCTTGTTGGTGCTCAACAGATTCAATTTGATCTCGAGCTCCTGTCGCGACGATGCGCCCGTGTCCTTGGGCTGCTCGAGTGCCTGGATCGACCGGATGCTCTCGAGATACTTGGCCAGGATGTTTTTGGCGTCGTCTCGATCCTTGGCGGACGAAAACGTGAGCTTGTGCGATGTTTCCTTTCCTTCCGGCGATAGAAATCGAGTCACCTTGAGGAGAGCGGGCGTCGGGGCGACATTCACGGATATGTCTATCATGATGACAGGGATGCGGAGGTTGATGAAATCGTGTGAGTGTGCTACAAACCCTCCCTGCCTGCTCATTCGGATCCGGCCTGGCTCTTGGACATGGAAGTGCGCCAGACAGAGGAGGAGACATACTCTTCACGGTCGACATTGGAAAGGAAAGTTCGGGTGGTTTGGAGCGGTCGGTCGCCCAGGAGACGTTCTCGCTGGTGATGCTGAAGAACCCCGGGGTGTTCTTGTAGACGACATTGAATGCGGCAACCATATTGAGCGGCTGGGTCTGATGGTCTGATGGTCTGATGGTCTGGTGGTCTGGTGGTCTGGTGGTCTGATGGGTCTGATGGGTCAGGAGGGCGATCAGGCCAGATGCGATGTTGCGCCTGGGGTTGAGCAAGGGCAGGGCCGCGGGCCCCTTCTCGGCGGCTCTCGCTCTCGGCGAGAGCGTCGTGCGCAGCAGGCGGCTGGCTGTGATGGGATGATTCACCGTTGCCGGTTTTCGTCTTGACCGTCGTCCTCGACCGGCTTGGCCCCTCGTCTATACAGCTGCTGGTACGTACGTGCGTCTGCGGTCGGGCTTGAATGTCTGAGCCTCTGGCGCATCGAGATCGGCTTTCGCCGGCGGTGGAGCGTCGCCTGTTTCGCCGTACCACGATCTGAAATCTGAAATCCGCCACCTTGACACCCTCTGGGCAGGAAATCGCCATACAAATGCTGATCCGCTGCAACTTGCTCCGGCCTCAGGCCGTCGAAGGAGTCGCATGGCCAGCCCTGAAACGATACGTCTCTGTTATGCACCTGGCAAGCGTGTCCTCCCGGCCGTTCGTGCGCCATCCACCGCACATTCTTGGCAGGCTGGTGCCGATTCCACCAACCGGGCAACGGATTGCCTTGCTGGGATTATCGACACACGCAAGGCAGCTCATGCAGAAGCCCTCTTCGCCGCAAGTCAACGGTCCTGTTGTCACGGATGCCATCGCCAAACCAAACCCCGGGCCAGTCTTGGAACACAAATCTGATCCCGACACCGAGGCACTGGCCAGCTCGCCGACAAACGGGCAGACAGCTCCCAAGATCAACGACCACATCGCCAGGCCGGAAGACGGCCCGGACTCCAAGGATAACTCGGCGCCACATGAGCTGCGATGGAAGGATGCACCGGCCTTCCAGTTTGGTGTCTACCAAGAGCTCAGCAAAGCCCAGCTCGCTGCACTCGTTGTGCTGACGACCATGGCCGGCTATGCCATGGCGCCGGGGGCAACGGATGTCGCAACGTTGCTGTGGACGACCGTGGGCACCACGCTCTGCGTTACCTCGGCCAATTCGATCAACCAGTGGATCGAGGCACCGTACGATGCGCAAATGGCCCGCACCCGCACCCGGCCGCTCGTCCGGCATGCGCTGAGTCCCGGCCATGCGTTCACGGCTGGCATCACCTCGGGCATTGCGGGAGTGGGTCTTCTGACGTATTTCGTCAACCCGATCACAGCGGTCCTGGGCGGATTCAATATTCTGCTCTATACCTGCGTCTACACGCCGCTGAAGCGCACGTCCATCTCCAACACCTGGGCCGGAGCCGTCGTGGGGGCGATCCCGCCGATGATGGGATGGACAGCTTGCACCTCGACCCTGGACCCTGGCGCCTGGATCCTCGGTGCATTCCTGTACGCCTGGCAGTTCCCACACTTCAATGCCTTGAGCTGGAATCTGCGACCGGACTACTCCAAGGCTGGCTACCGAATGGCATCGGTCGTCGATCCGGCACTCAACGCCCGAGTAGCCCTGCGTTACAGCCTCCTGCTGTTCCCCCTGAGCTTGGCTGTGCCCTACATCGGGCTGACGACGCCGTGGTTCATCGTGACGAGCAGCGTGGTGAACGGCATCCTGCTGGCGGGCGCGATCCAGTTCTGGAGAAAGTCGACGGACAAGAGCGCCCGGCAGCTCTTTTTCGGGTCGCTGATCCATCTCCCGGTGATATTGGCCCTGATGATGGTGCACAAGAAGCGGCCCGACGACGACGAGGAGAAGGAAGAGAAACGAGAGGAGACTACTGCTGCCGAGTCTGGCTGAGAGGAATCGAGGCGGATGCAAACGAACGCAAAATAACACCTATGCGAGGCCGTGAGCCGCAGCTTGGCAATACATTGCATTTGCATGCCAATCCAGGGAGAGCAGTGCCGACGCCCATGCCGATGCCGATGCCGACGCCAATGGGGTTGCGAGCGGACCAGCGACTCGCCGGCCGAGCCCCATGCTTCATGGCCGACGCGATCTTGGCTGCGGAACGCCCCTGAGCACATGCACCTGGATCCTGCAACCATGCACCCCAACAGAAACGCAGCCAGAGTGCGGCCGGCCAGCGGATGTGCTGCGCATCGCTTGGCGCCAGATGCGGCTGCGCATGACCACTCGGCCCCAAACCGGGACGGCACACAGACAGTGCGGCGGGCAGCACAACAGCGTGTGCAACCGCCGTTATCTGGCGGGCGCACAGGAAAAAAAAGGGCCGGACACACGTGAAAGCCGGCGCAGCCCCACACACACACAGCCAGCACCGCGGCCAAAAATAGCAGTGCTGTGCGGCGCTGTATGCGCAGCTGCGCTGCGATCCTATCGATAGCAGTGTCGTTGGCGCCGTTGTTACCACGATTGTTACCGCTGCTGCTGCCACCGTGCCTGATGTTGCTCCTGGTCGTTACCGCTGCTGCTGCGACCAACAGCGCTCTGCCAGTGCTGTGGACACAACGCCGATACTCTCGCGGCCTGTGTTCGGCCTGTGCGTCCAATGTCTTACGCCAGATTGGCCTTGCCAGCACCCGTTGTCGCTGCTTTGGACACGATCAGATGTCTGCTCTTGTGCACTCAAATAGCCTTGCTTGTGCTCAAAAGCCATCTCTTGTGCACCCAAATCCTCATCTGTTGCATTCGCTCTCGCCTCGCCCGGCCTCGGTTCTCGCTGTCTGCATGTTCGTCCGTCCCCCAACCGATATTCATCTCCGGGTGCTCTCAACTGCCTCCGCACCCTCGCATATTTCCAATGCATCGCCGGTCCGTCAGCGACATGGCGCCCCAGTGCCTGGGTGAATCTGGGCCAGTGTCCGTCATTTCAAATCCCGCCGCTATCTCGCGAGTCGCCGCGTCGCCCTTCACGTCCTCGCTCGCCCATTCGCCCGCCCATTCGCCCGCCCACCGGCCCTCGCCTCTGAGTCAATGGAATCATCGCCGTCCAATCGCCGGCCGCTCCACCCCAAACCCCTCGTTACCAAATCTTTTTTTCTTGCTCCCGCTATCGCTATTTATACGGCCCATTCCCCGCCATCCGTTGCGTGGCTCCATCATCCCTCTCGAGCTCCTCACATCCCCGCTACAGCTCCTTCGCCCTCACTCACCATGACCCAGCTGAACAACAAGCCCAAGGCCCTTAAGCCCTTCCACTCCGGCGACATCAAGATCCTCCTCCTCGAGGGTACGTTGAGCACGACGCCGCTGCCGGCCACTGGAATCTGGTGTGCATCGCTCAATGCGAGTGGCTCGATGCGGGTCGTTGGGTTGTCGTCGATTCCTGCCCCTGTCCTGCGTCACCATCCCTGATCCTCCCTACCCTCTGCCCCGGATACCACAGGCGTCAACAAGACCGGTATCGACATTCTCACCAAGGCTGGATTCCAGGTATATGACCGGATCGGATACACGCTGTCGCTCGTCTTCGATTTGCGGCTCCGGATTTGCATCGCACATCAATCTCGCCTCGTTGCCGCAACGGAGACAGGCTGAATCTCCCTCCGATAATGGGCGTGATCTCACCCATCTCCGACACGATCAGGTCGAGGCCCACGCCAAGGCGCTGCCCAAGGATGTTCTGCTCGAAAAGATCAAGGATGTCCATGCCGTCGGCATTCGATCCAAGACCCAGCTGACCGCCGAGGTTCTCGCTGCTGCCAAGAAGCTCCGCGTCATTGGCTGCTTCTGCATCGGCACCAACCAAGTCGACCTCGAATACGCTGCCAACCACGGTGTAAATATCGTTTCCGGAGAGCCGGCCTGATCCTGGCGCAGCGGTTCGCTGATGTTTGGCGTCTATCCGTCTACCCTCACTGATCAACAATCTGCAATTCTGCTCGTCCTCCAGATTGCTGTTTTCAACTCTCCTTTCAGCAACAGCAGAAGTGTTGGTAAGTGCTGGATGGAGCGCCATCCAGATGGACTGAGCATATCCACAGACGCAGCTGTGGATCCAGATCCCACGCCTTGCTCGGCCGGAGCTGGCTTACTCATTCGCCGCCGATCTGCAACTACCCTCCTCCCACAGCCGAGCTTGTCATTGCCGAGATTGTCGCCCTGGCTCGCCAGCTTGGCGATCGCAGCAACGAAATTCACCAGGGCATCTGGAACAAGGTCAGCCAGCTGTCCATCGCTGAGTCCCGCCCCATCATCCGAATGCGGTGCCATTTTCGCCACCACCAGCGATCACTGACACCAGTGCCTCGTCTGAGGCTGCTGCTTTGCTAGGTTTCCAAGAACTGCTACGAGATCCGCGGAAAGAAGCTCGGCATTGTCGGCTATGGTCACATCGGCAGCCAGCTCTCGGTTCTGGCCGACGCCATGGGCATGCAGGTCTTCTTCTACGACGTCATCCAGGCCATGCCTCTCGGCACCGCCAAGGCCGTCGAGTCGCTGCCCCAGCTGCTCTCCACCTGCGACTTTGTCACCCTGCACGTCCCCGAAACCCCCGAGACCAAGAACATGATTGGTGCCCACGAGCTCTCTCTGATGCAGAAGGGCAGCTACCTGATCAACGCCTCCCGTGGCACCGTCGTTGACATCCCCGCCCTGGCCGCCGCCCTGAAGAGCGGACATCTGGCTGGTGCTGCCGTCGATGTCTACCCCTCGGAGCCCTTTGCCAACGGCCCCGGCTTCCTCACCGAGCTCCAGGGCTGCCCCAACACCATCCTCACCCCCCACATCGGTAAGCATCCCGCCTCGCGCCGCGGCAGTGCAGGGTGTTTCGCCATAGCCCTGGCTGTGCGGGTCTCTGTTCGGCCGAGCCTGTGCCTCTCGCCCAACGATGGTGACTAGCCATACTGACTCTTCATAACTGCTTCAACTCCAATGTGTGCGCTGCGAACCAGGCGGCTCCACCGAAGAGGCCCAGTCCGCCATCGGTGTCGAGGTCGGCACTGCTGTCTCCCGATACATCTGCACCGGCGCCACCCTCGGTGCCGTCAACTTCCCCGAAGTCGATCTCCGCATGCCCACCTCGGATTCGAAGAGCGTTCGCATCATCAACTGCCATCAGAACGTCCCCGGTGTGCTCAAGGTTCGTCAAACGAGCAGATGTCGCCCGTCGAGCGCGTGGCTGTCGAGCGCATGGCCGTCGAGCGCATGGCCGTCGTGTCGCCAGTGTTTGCCCTTGTGGGAAATCGGCTCTATTGCATCGCTACTGCCGCCATTCCGCGATAAAGGCGGTCGACCAATGTCCTTAACGCCACCTTCGCTGTCTTTGCTCCCACACAGCAAATCAACAAGATCCTCTCCAACTACAACATTGAGAAGCAGATTTGCGACTCCCGCGGCACTGTCGGCTACTTCCTGGCCGATATCAGCGTCGAGAACGAACAAGAGATCGAAGCCGTGAACAATGCCATCGCCAGCATACCCGGTAGGAGACGAGGCTCTGAATGCAACAATTACTCGTTGCTATCACCCGTGCCGGTGTTGCCGTATCCATATCCATGCGTATGCCGCACGCAATGCGCTGACACCTTTCTCGCGCATTCTGTTATACAGAGAACCTCTTCACCCGCTCCTTGTGGTAAACAGCAGCGACACATTCGGCGTGAAACACTCAAGATTTTTGTCCTGTGTTTTCTAGAGCACGCACGCAGTCCGCTGCTGTTGCCATCATGCTGGAGGCAGCGACGGGCGGCTTGTAACTACTATCTATCCCTTCGTTACTTGTTTTCTTTTGGAGTGCGTGCATTCCCCCAACCACCACTGCCTTGCCTTATGTGTTTGTATTTTGCTCCCTAACTTCTCCCCATCCTTTTTCTCAACCGAAACGCCCTCACGAACATTGATATTCTTCTCACCGCCAATAAAAAGCCTTGAACGGTCGCATACATCATACCGCTCCAACACGCCCGCACCGGTCACCCCCACTTTGCGGCTGCCGCCGTGATTCTCATCAAGTGTGCCCACTGTGCATCCTCGCTCATAGATATCCCCTCCTGTATTCCAAACAGTTCCGGCCCAGGACCGGCTTGACATTTGGGGCGCATGGCAATGGCACCGGTGGTGACGACATGGTGGAATATCGGTGCGGAGTATCGCTCCTATCACTGCAAGCTTTCTCGCCCGTGAAAGAGTTGTATCTGGCCCTCCGGCTTCGTCTCCGCTTCTCGCTCGACCATGAGCCGGGCTTCAATCTCGACCGAGGTCTTGAGAATCTCGAGATGGGCCTCGTTCGTGACAGCCGCGTCGCCGATCAGGCAGATGTAGAAGTAGATCTTCTTCTGCATCGGAAGCAGCCGCTGTCGTCCGAGTCGACCGGCAGGGGTGACCACGGCCTTGGGTAAGCCCGCACTCGAAAGCCCCTGCTCAGGATTGAGTCGCTGGTGTCCAACCTCGGCCTCGATCAAGTGGTGGATATGTGAGAGAGCCAGTAAGACAGACTGCTTGCTGGCGAGGACGGCGGCGACATCAGCCAAAAGTGACGATGCAGAGTTGATGATGGAGCGGTATGGCCGCCGCGGATTCTACATCAGAGCGGGGAAGGAAGGAGGCAAGAAGGAAGCATGGCAAGCTGGGCTGCTTAGTAGTGTGAGATGCGCGAGACCATTGCATCTTGGAGCGAACGAGGTTCCAACACGGCCAACCAACCTCGTATGCCTGACTGAGAATGTACACAATAGCTTCTTTGACGCTCTCGTAAGCACCTTTCTGCTTCATCGACATCACCGGCGAAACATCCACCAACATATACAGCGACTCTGGTAGTTCGAGATCGCCGTTCATGTGTCGCCAGGTCAGGCAGTATGCAAAGCTAGCCCAAAACGCACCAGGGATGCAAATTAGTATGGTGCGTCAACCTCAGCGTGCGGAAGAGCAACCCCACATACGACACGCATATACATAGCCGACAAAGACAGCAGGAATGGCAAAGAGGATGCAGTGTGGTAGCGGATTGGATACTTACAGATAGTCAACCAGGTTGTAGTACACTCGCTCGTTGGGAGCAACCTTGGTGATCTCGGAAAAGCGAGCAATCGACTGCATCATGGTGGGTCGCTGTAGGCTGGGCGGCGGGCTGTTGCTGGCTGCTGCATCGCCCAGGATGCTCTCTTCTCCGTGTTTGGATGGAGGCGATACCTCGGTTATCAGCGACCCCTTGGCGGGGGCAAATATCCACCACGGCGTCTCGATGAGGGCAGCTCGAGTTGACGGTGCGGACCCGCCGAGCAGCTTGCTGGTATTCTCTGAGTGATGGTTCAGAGCAGCAGAGTCCTCCATGAACCGCTGGAAATCTTGCTTCTCCGAGTCTGTCAGCTGGCCGAGGATAACCTCGACGCTGGCATTGTCCAGGTCGATCTCGCGGAACCGGCTCGATAGGTCTTCTGAAGCATGGCAGATCGCAATCGACCGATGAGTTGGGCGACGACGAACAGACAAACCCGACTCGATGGCTTGCTCAATCCAAGCATGGTCGCCAGCAGAATCGCAGGCACGATCACAGCGCCAGCGATGTATCCATCCGGCCGCCGTGATGGCGGTTTAGAACGATGGCATGCCGTCCATGAGGCCAGTGCTCACCTGAATCGTAGTCATCACCATCTGCTTCATCATCATCATTATCATCATTATCATCATTATCATCATTATCATCATTATCATCGCCGTCATCGACTTTGCCGGCCAGAAACGAGGCATCGCTCCAGAGCGGATCGTCCTCCTGACTCTGCTCGAAGCGCTTCAGGATCTGCCTCATCTTTTGCGCCGAGTCCTCGGTGTTTTTTTGGCTCGCTAGCTCAGACAGGACGTTCGATTTGTAGAACTCCTCGGTGCAGGCCACATGGTTCTGCGAGACACATATCGAGGCGGTGGATCGGTTCACGGTAATCGAACGGTGGGTTCAGCAGCTATCGTCCAGAGGGCTCTCGTAGGAACAGTATTTGCGCAAGCCTCGGTTTTGAGGGGCAGATCATCGGCATGGCATCGACACTCACAGTAGATTTGTAGCACCCGAGGCTGCAGTAGGGCAGGTTGCATCGGGGGCAGACGTACTTGGAGCTCTCGGTCTGGCAGCTGTCGATGAATCGTCGGGCCAGTAAGTCAAGTCAGCATGCGGTCCATCGATCGTGAACAAACAGATCCACCAGCGAGCGACCCAACCGCACCCGTGTGTGGCCCAGGCAGAACCGAAAAGCAGCAGCCAGTCCGCCATCATCGCAGGAGCCACAGCCAAGTTGCATGGCCGCTGCGGGCTGCGAGGACTGCTGAATGCGGCTGCCAAACGACGGCCCGATCCGGCCAGCGCTGGGACCTGTAACGTACATTCCGCATGGCCTGGGAGCTGCCTTGAGGACGCTGTGCGCCAGCTCTGTCATGGTGAGGCAGATCGTCTGTGTGCGGCTGGCGAAAGACCCTGTGGGGCAAATGAAAGCCATAACGAAGGATGATCACCATGAAGAATTTGGGACGAGCGAGAGGAGCGCGTTCTCGGCCGACGTTCTCGCGAGGAGCGCTCGTCCCAAATTCTTCGTCTTGTTTCGTCCAGCACCACAATCATGTGAAAGCCCAGAAGCTCATGCTGTCATGTGTGGCTGGATTGGCCCCGCCAGCGCCTGGCCCCTCTCGCGCAGCCCAGGCAGTCAGCTTAAAGCCCTCCCACACCCTTTCTCTCCTTCGGGCGCCAGCGCAGGTCGGCAGCCCGTCCGCTCTGTACTTCTTACACTCTCCACCGCTTTCGCTCATTCGCAGACCCCATATACTGCCGCCCCGAAACCATGGCCAACACCTCGTTCCTCCAGCTATCGCCACGCGCACAGCGTCTCCTGAAGACAACCCAGGATTTCGTGGAGCAGGAATGCATTCCTGCCGAGGCCATCTACTTTGCCCAAATGGCCCCTATCGGCTCGACCGATCGCTGGCTCGTTGTGCCTCCGATCATCGAGCAGCTCAAAGCCAAGGCCAAGGAGCTCGGGCTGTGGAACTTGTTCCTCCCCAAAATCTATCCCGAGGGCCCCGGCTTGACCAACCTCGAGTACGCTTTGCTCTGCGAGGTCCTGGGCCGCTCCTTCATTGCCCCCGAGGTAGAGTTAGCGTCGTAGCGAGCAGGTCGAGACTCACAGATTTGATATTCGTGGTCCTCCTGGACGATGCAGAGACCCAAGGCGGAGAGGGTAGCGTATCTCTTCGCCCTGGGGGACTTGTTGCAATCGCCTGACCTGATGCGGCTCCTATTTCAGGCCACAAACACCGCTGCTCCCGATACGGGCAACATGGAGGTCTTGGCCAAGTACGGCAACCAGAAGCAGAAGGACAAGTGGCTCAAGCCTTTGATGGAAGGCAAGATCCGCTCAGCCTTCTGCATGACCGAGCCCGCAGTGGCCTCGTCCGACGCCACCAACATCCGAACGGCCATCAGCCGCGAGGGTGACTCGTACGTTATCACGGGCCGCAAGTGGTGGATCAGCGGAGCTGGCGACCCCCGTTGCAAGATTTACTTGGTCATGGGGAAGCACCATGGCTCCAAGGAAGAGCCTCACCGCCAACAGAGCGTCGTGCTTGTTCCAGCGGACACTCCCGGCATCACCGTCGTTCGTCCCCTGCCTGTCTTTGGCTACGATGACGCCCCGCATGGCCACTGTGAGATTCTATTCGAGAACGTGAGAGTTCCCGCCGAGAACATGATCTTGGGCGAAGGACGCGGGTTTGAAATCATCCAGGGACGCCTTGGTCCAGGTGAGCACAGCGGTCGATGCAGCTATAGTCTATGCGTCGTGTCGCTACCGGCACTGCTGGATTGAACCCCACTGCTGCTCGCTATCGCGCAGGGCTGCGTTGACGGAAGACCCTATGAGATTCTTGGGACAGGCTGTGAGCGGTGGAGCTGCCCCATGAACGGTCGTTGCTCATGGCGGTGCCGTGGCTGCCTCTCACGCGTGCACTTCCTCCGTCGAACTGGCAGGCCGAATCCACCACTGCATGCGAGCCATCGGCATGGCCAGCCGTGCGCTGGATTACCATCTGAACAGAGCCACCGACCCGGCCCGCAAGACCTTTGGCAAGCTTCTCCACCAGCACGGCAGCGCGGCACACGAGCTTGCCCTGTCGCGCATCGAGCTCGAGCAAGCCCGCCTGATGGTGCTCAAGGCCGCCGACACAATCGATCTGCATGGACCCAAGAAGGCGATGGTTGAGATCGCCATGGCCAAGGTCGTTGTGCCGACGATGGCGCTCAAGGTGATGGACCGCGCGATCCAGGCGCACGGCGCCGCAGGAGTGAGCAACGATATCCCGCTGGCATACATGTATGCCTCGATGAGGACCCTGCGCATTGCTGACGGGCCGGACGAGGTCCACATTCGACAGATTGCCCAGACAGAGCTCAAACGGGCCGCGCAGGTCAAGGACCAGCTGAAGCACAAGGAGGAGCGCGAACGTTCGCTGCGCTCGCGGCTGTGAGCAGCAGTGCGGCATTAGGTAGCTGGCCCATGGATCTACCCCAGAATCCGTCCCATGGGGCCCGTCCAAGGCTCCAAGCATTTGTGCGGGATATCTCCTCGGCCGAGTCCGTCGCATCAGCGCAGGGGATCGAGCTCGGCTCTCGATCGGCATGTTTCCTCGTCCAGTTCCGGCCAGGGCGAATCAATAAACACCATATATGGACATAGGGTGGCGTAGCACTGTGGCTTTGGCTGTCGCCCTCGCAACTTTTTTTTCTGTCTCGCTGGAGAGCGAGCAGCGAGAGCCCGGCGAGAGCCCGGCAAGCAGAGAGCAGGCCGCAGCGAGGAGCCAGCGAGAGAGGATCTGGTGGCGGGAGAGCACGGCGAGAAGACTTGCGAGACGCCGAGCCGCCCTCGGCTCTTTTCTCGCGGCCTCTCGTCGCCGCTCTCGCCGCCGCGCCAGCAGTGGCTGGCCACTCGGCGTCCAGCCGCACTCTGGCCGGCCGACCTTCCTAAAACAACACAAATGCGTGCACGTGGACAGCCATGCTGCGGCTGCCGCCTCGCTGTCGCTTCCACGCCCTTCCGCTGTCGCCGAGGACGCTATTTATGATCGCCGCTGCCTCACTCCCCTCGTCATAGGCCTGACCCCGTCACTTTCCGCATCCCTCCGCCGCCCCCGCCTTCGTCCCATCCAGGCCCCCGGTCTCTCTCTCTTTACATATATCATTAGCATTCGGCTCCCACTGTCCCAGAGATAATATCACAGATGATGGAAGGAAACAAGTTTGGCCACCGTCTCAACCAGTACAAGAACCGCGGCGACCTGAAGCAGGATGAACTGCGTCGCCGCCGCGAGGAGGCTGCTGTTGAAATTCGCAAGCAAAAGCGTGAGGAGCAGATGGCCAAGAAGCGCAACTTCAACGAGAATGCTGTCGGCTCGGACAGCGAGGACGAGAGCTCGACCAAGACTGCCACCCAGGTAGGCTTGCTATTCGCCCAGCCCAGCCCAGCCCAGCCGACCCTCGGGCGGCTGTCGATGTCCGCCTGTTTTCTGTCAGTCTGTCTGTCTGTCGGTCTGTCTATCTGTTTGTCTATATGTCTGTCTGTCTGTCTGTCGGTCGGTCGGTCGGTCGGTCTGTTTTGCCTTTGGCTTCCTGCCCCTCTGCCTCTGTGTGTTTTGGCACCCGAGTGCCAATCGGGACTGAATGGTGTCCGAAGCATGACTCTCGTTTGCGGTGCCAAATGCCTCGGGTGCTCTGCTGCCTTCATGGGCGATTGCAGCGGCTTCTCGTGAGACGGCTTCGTCCAAAGCCATACCATAATCAATCCGCCGAGTGAGCCGTATGGCGACTGTGTGCGCAAGGGCTGACCGTTGCGGTGCTGCTTCTTAGGACGAGTTCCCTGAAATGATCAGCGGCGTCATCTCTTCCGATGTGGAGCTGCAGCTCGAGGCCACCACCCGCTTCAGAAAGCTGCTGTCCAAGGGTGAGTTTTGTGCCGAATCTCGCCGAGCAGAGATACCACATATTCTGTATCCTTTCCCCGTCACGATCAAGCGGTCTAACGAGCCTGTCTCCTTCGACACCAGAACGTAACCCTCCTATCGAGCAAGTCATTGCCTGTGGCGTTCTCCCGAGATTTGTCGAGTTCCTCCGCTCGCCCAACCCCAAGCTCCAGGTAAGCGACAAGACCGGTCGTTGGCGCGTAGTCGCCACTGTCGAGTTGCAGCGGCACACCCGACTCCAGTGACTCAATCCCTGCATATGATCTGCTCGCTGACTCTGGTCTGTTTGTGCCTTGAATGTAGTTCGAAGCTGCATGGGCACTGACAAACATTGCTTCGGGCTCGTCGCAACAAACTCAAGTCGTCGTCGACAACGGCGCCGTGCCGATCTTTGTCGAGCTGTTGACCTCGCCTGTCGCAGAGGTCCAGGAACAGGTCGTTTGGGCGCTTGGTAACATTGCTGGCGACAGCCCGACTTGCCGAGACTATGTCCTGAGATGCGGTGCTCTCCAGCCCCTGCTCTCCATCCTTAACGAGCCCAGCAACAAGCTGTCGATGCTCCGCAACGCCACCTGGACCCTCTCGAACTTCTGTCGTGGCAAGAACCCTCAGCCCGAGTGGCAGATGGTAGGCGCACCTCTCAGGATAGCGGTGCAGGACAACGTCCGAGTCTGAAAGGAGTTCTGTCGAAAGCTTACATAACCATCCGCACAGATCTCGCCTGCCCTTCCCATCCTTGCCAAGCTCATCTATGCCAACGATGAAGAGATCCTGACCGATGCCTGCTGGGCCATCTCGTACCTGTCTGATGGTGCCAACGAGAAGATCCAGGCCGTCATCGAGGCTGGCGTCTGCCGTCGCCTTGTCGAGCTCCTGATGCACCCCCAGTATGCCGTGCAGACCCCTGCTCTGCGATCCGTCGGCAACATTGTCACTGGCGATGATATTCAGACCCAGGTCATCATCAACTCCGGCGCCCTGACGGCCCTGCTCTCGCTCCTGAGTTCCCCCAAGGATGGCATCCGCAAGGAAACCTGCTGGACCATCTCCAACATCACGGCCGGAAACTCGTCCCAGATTCAGGTGAGTCAATCGGTATTCTTGCGGTAGTTGATCCTGACCATGGCCCGGTGGCACGAGAACTCCCTCCTGCGTGTTGAGGAAACTAAAAATGGACAACACCGTCTTTTGATCCCTCCTACAGGCCATCATTGATGCCAACCTCATCCCGCCGCTTATTGATACCCTGGGCCGCGGAGACTTCAAGACCAAGAAGGAGGCGTGCTGGGCGATTTCTAACGCCACCTCCGGTGGCTTGCAGAAGCCTGATCAGATCAGGTATGAGGGAGGCTATTCTTGATTCTTGGCCTCGTTGGTTGGACAGCAGCTGATGGTTTACGTGAACAACAGATACCTGGTCAGTCAAGGTGCCATCAAGCCACTTTGCGATTTGCTGGGCTCGGGCGATCCCAAGATCATCCAAGTTGCTATGGATGGCCTGGAAAACATTCTCAAGGTTGGCGAGGCCGACAAGCATCTGACCAACGGCGTCAACCAGATGGCCATCTTTGTCGAGGAGGCCGGCGGTATGGAGAAGATTCACCAGCTCCAGCTCCACGACAACGCCGACATCTACAAGAAGTCCTACGGTATCATTGACAAGTACTTTGGCGATGGCGATGACGAAAATGAGCTTGGTCCTGAGGTCGACGAAGCTGCTGGAACCTTTGCCTTCCCGTCGGATGTCAACATGCACGTTCCCCAAGGCGGCTTCCAGTTTGGAGGACAATAATCTCGGTTCGGCACTTTCTTCTGTAATTTCCTACACTTTTCTATTTGTTTGTCAGCCACCCTTGCCCCTCCCCCCCCCTCCATTCCGATTCCTGCCTCCCAATCCCCCATTCAGCGCAGCCCTTTGGAACTTAAGCAGCGATACATCGAGCATTCTCTAGCCTTCACGTTACTCCATACCTTCCCTTTGCTGTTCTCACTCCTTGGAATGTAACCTTTATCCATTTTGAGCCTGTGTATGATTCGACCTGTTTATATATAAAGTGCTAGTTTGCATCGCCATTGAACCCCAGATATGGGCCTGTGTCGAAGGGGACTCAGAAATACGGCAATGGGCAACAAAGGTCATGCAGCACTGGAATGATCGACAGGAAGTCAGCAACTATGACCAAGAGTGCATCGAGATTGTCCAAGACCAGAACGAGATGATGGAGATCGGAAGGACAAGCTTGATGGGGGGGGGAAGTATTGGCGGCCAGTCCGGATGCGAGACAGCGAAGCACTGCATTGTGGACGGGGTGGCGAGTGGAGCGATGGAGCGATGGAGCCAGAGGGATGCACAGCAGCGCCGGGCCGACAAACACATCCAAGAACGAGAAACAGAAACACCAAAGAAACAGCGAGCACCGCCCAGACCCAGGGAAGACCGGCGGAAGATTCGACAGAGAGCCCAATGAGACAGGACGAGGCAAAATAGGAAAAATTGCTGGCGCCCGATAGGGGACTCGAACCCCTAGCCTTGAGATTAAAAGTCTCACGCTCTACCATTGAGCTAACCGGGCTCAAAGCTCGAGCTCTGTTGTTGAGACCACGAACTCACAGGACCCTCCCGGGATTGAACCGGGGACCTATCGATCTGCAGTCGATTGCTCTACCGCTGAGCTAAAGGTCCTTGCGAGCTCTTTCATTTTTGTGCATATATCAACAGTACATTTGATCATATCTCCCGGTTTCGTTGCACTCCCGCCTTGGCCACCCGCCCCAGCCCCCGCACATTGCACCGCTGCAGCCCGCACATTGTACCACCGCTGCCCGCTCGACCCTTGCTTTTGATCATGCTCTCATATATATTAACAACTCATATTTTCACCAACCCAATGTCTTTGTCTCAAGCGCCCCTCCCCCTCTTTGGCATCCCATAGTGCGCATCCACCGCCTGAGAAATATGGTATTCCTATCGTTGCCATGCGATCAGCACCACCAATATACTCTTCAAGGCCAATTCTCTCGTATGATATGAAATTTCCATTCGGTAGACCCACCTACTCGAAATTGACCATGATGATGTACAGGCCGTGATGAACCGGCGTAGACGCCGCATCGTCTGCATCTATCGGTGATCCACCGATGATCCGCCAGCAATTCACCAATGATCCCCCATCTGCACACATCCCCTGCTGGTTCCAACATACAAAGAGACATGATCTCGCTCACAGCGGGCTCACAGCGGGCTCACAGCGGGCTCACAGCGGGCTCACAGCGGGCTCACAGCGGGCTCAACAAGAAGCCCATTCACACTCTTCCGCCCCCTCCCCAGAATATGTGTCTATCCCACTTCCAGTCCCAGCGGCCGGCCTTGCCCCTCCATCCCCTCCTTGTCCACTAATCTCGTCCGTCTCAACCCGTGTTCACCCACGTTCGTCCATGTTCGCCCATGTTCGCCCATGTTCGCCCATGTTCGCCGTTGTCCTGCTCGGTACATGGATTCGTGTGTGGACATCGAACCATCGTGCGTGATTTGCGAAAATACAAAGAAAATTCATCAAGCAGAGTGTCCGCTGGGCGGAAACCCGGGCAATTTCGGTCATTGGAAGCCATGCCCAAGTCTGGTACGATTCAAGAGGATCTATGTGCCGATTAAATGCAGATCGTAGGGGCCAACTACGCGCCAATCGTACACTTGTGACCATGATCAAGCTCGATGAAGTATAACAATGAATCGTCGAGGTATATTCATCGCCGATGGTGCAAAAATGATGCTAATAACAATGATAATAACCATAATTGCTCGGCTCAGTAGCGCATATTTCCAAATCGGCAAGATCAAAGACATAGCATCCTCATTTGATACACATTTGCGCGCTCGAGGACTGCTCTAGCCAGCTATCCCTGATACCATTGCCTAAACGCGCCTATCGCAGTTTCAAACAGCTTGCTTATAGGCTGCGCCATTATTGTTATTATAAACATGAGTCGCCCTGGAACTTTCGGATACAAATACTCGGATACAAATACTCGGATACAGATACTCGGATACAAATACTCGGATACCCGGACAGTCATGAAGTCAAAAGCAGTCCTATTAATCGTATTCGCCCTGTCGGTCTTGTCGGTTCTGTCGGCTCTGTCATTCTTGTCGATTCTTGACGGTTCTGTAGGCTCTGTCAATCTTATCGATTCTGTTGGCTCTGTCGGCTCCGTCAGTTCTGCCGCATGACAAAGCCGACTTTCCAGCTGCAAGAGTATGGTATATATTCTCCCTTCGGCGCATTCTTTGGTGCGTTGACGGATTGGCTTGGGACAAGACTCTGCCAGAGGACATCGCTCCGATGGATCAATCACCAACCATCGAAGCACCAAACCTTATGAGCCGTGTCTGGAAGGTTTTCTTGTACATTTTACCATGGTAGTTATGGAGGCGGATGTAGGCTGCCATCGGATCCAAACTCTGTGATACATGATCGGTGGAGTCTGCGTCCCCCGCCAGAAAGATGGCGCGCCACAAATACCGATCCACAAACACCTATCTACAATGCAAAGCTACCTAGAGAGGAAAGCACTAGCTGCAGCAGAGATTGCGATAAATGAATGAATCAATGCCTACGACGACTTATTACGCCGAAGCATCCCTTGTATAAAGCCTACGCTCGCCGTGTCTTTGTCGGTGCACCTCTTGGACCAACTTCCCTTAATGCATGATATAATTCGGATACATCTGAAACCTACAATTTCACACCTCGCGCTGATTGCCGCGACTAAAATCAAAGATCTCCGCCATATTTCTTACGACTCTTTGATCCATTAGAGTATTGGCATTTCCAATCAAGGTTGCAATTTAGAGGCAAGTAAATGGGAGATGGCTCCAAGCAACAACGGGACTGACTGCTACTGAACAGATATATACTTCATTTTATCCGCGGCGCTTTAATTCGAGTAGCAAGACCGTCATGGATGATCAATGTCTTGAATCAATCTTGGCCATGACTGGAGCTCAGCCAGCCAAGGGCGTGGAACCTCACTCACTTGATGTAGCAAGGATGGAACTGGCTAGCAGGTCGGAAAAAACCAAAGTTCAAAGACGATTTTCCCAAACATACGAAATGGCAGTGCCCCATTTTTATCAGTTTAGCTGGATTGATGAATGGACAGCAATACGATTTAGGACAGCATATTTTTGCCACACTCGATCCATTGATGCAATACAAAACGGCGAACACATCTATAGGGCTAAAATTACGGCATTCATACGAGTATCAAGTATTTATGAAGCCATTTCAGGTACTCTGTAGAAATTTTATCGATTGGTTGATGGTCCACAGTGCTCGGAACGAAACGGGACAGTGTGTCCCTGAGCGTCCCTCAGTGATCCGTAGACCCCAGTGGACGGGCCATGAGATTGCGCTCCAGTCCTAATTGGTAATTCGGCGGTTTGTTGGTTTCGGGAGCATCACCTTGAATACACTCGGTTAATCTGCTGTGGCGATGATCGACTAGAATGTTGCAACACGGGAGTAGAGTTGCTTGTGTTCAACCATCTGGACAACTCCGGTATTTTTTGACATCAAGATAGTCGGGTGACGAGTCGCTCCGCCTCCAGTCTCCTTGGATACGCTGTTTGGCCATGACGAGCGATGAGTAGGTGTGTATTCTGCTCCTCCTCGCCCAAAGAACAACACATACACATACAAAAGTAACAGATCTGACTCAAAAGCAAAGCCCCGTTTCGTTTTGGGCGCGATGCAAATGAATCCGTGAAATGTAGCATGTGGCGGGTGATACGCATGGGATAGAGCTGCGGTAATGATTTTAAAATGTTCTGGCTGGCAAAAACCAACACCCAGTGCTAGATCCCGCCAGAGGCGCTAAGGCAAAGTCCTGATAGAGGCCCACACATTGACTGATGGCAGGTGGTGAACTGACCAATAGGAAATGAAATGTTTATATATGCATAAAGAATATACAGACTCCATAAGGACCTTTAGCTCAGCGGTAGAGCAATCGACTGCAGATCGATAGGTCCCCGGTTCAATCCCGGGAGGGTCCTGTGAGTTCGTGGTCTCAACTACAGAGCTCGAGCTTTGAGCCCGGTTAGCTCAATGGTAGAGCGTGAGACTTTTAATCTCAAGGCTAGGGGTTCGAGTCCCCTATCGGGCGCAATTTATTGCGTCCGATGTGTATTTTGCCGGTCGTTCTCAGTCCATCTGCTGAGCTTCAACTCCATAACCATATTCTGATTGTGGCATCTCCGAGGTTGTCTAGGACATCACTCACATTCTTTTTCCCAAATTTCGGTTTGGAAAACCTACACTTCTATGTCTCATACAGTTGAATATTTCACACTACTTCGCCCCGATCAGCGCGCCAAGGACATACACCGTATCCAAGACGCAGGCTAGCTTGGGATAAACTCGTGTTCACAGATCGAAATTAATTCGATAGCCCGTTTGCCTGATATTCCCATAACAGGTGATACGCTATCATGCATATTATCCCTCCCGTCTCCCTCCCATTAGCAGCTATTACAGCTAGTCGACGACATGTGCGGTACCGACTGATGGCTGGTTTGCTATTAACCGAAAAATAATTCGAGCGAACCTCACAAACTGGTTGATGTGACTATTCGTATATAGCTTCACGAATTTTGCAAGGCCAAACAGGGTATTCTTTCGAATACAGGTCTCTCATTCGCTGATATTTCACTGTGCCAACCCCTCGCCCTCTAATTTGTCACTCTCCTATCGATCGCTTGCTACAATCAGCCATATATCTATAAATCGCGGAGATGCAAGAGAAAGAAGCAATATGGCCAAGGCGGTCAAATTTTCCAAGCAAGAGCCAATAATTTAGCACACCAATGCAGCCTTTCATCAACCCCCGTTACAAACGCCAAGCCACCCTGCCCAGAACCCAAGTCACACGTCTCTTGCTCGCCTCACACTTGTAACCTCGGCTTTCCAAGGTCCCGTCTCCCTTGCTCTTGGCTATCTTGTTCACACTAACATACTCCCCACGGCGACTAGAGGCCCTAAGCCGCCCCTCTCCCGCCAGAGCATCCTCAACCCCCTCCTTATCATGGGGGAGCGATTATATGTCCAACCAAGAGGGACCCAAGAATGAATGAATGAATAGTGCTATTTGATGGCGGCACAACGATTAACCAGTAACCGAAAATCGTGGTCGCACCAGAAGCCAAAGCAATGACGAGGACAGGATGCCAAAAAAATGAGTAAAGAAAAATCTCCCAAACAGGGAATCGAACCCTGGTCGCCCGCGTGACAGGCGGGAGTACTAGCCACTATACTATTTGGGATACTGTAATCACAACTGCTGGTCCTGCGACGCTCCCGAATCCAGACCCCAGTCCGGATATCCGAGAACAGCCGCAGAGGCCACCATCGTGTCTGCTTCTACTCGGGATCGAACCGAGGACCTTCTCCGTGTAAAGGAGACGTCCATTCCACTGGACTATAGAAGCCCGTTGTTTGGCCGTTCGGCGTTTTCTGACATCATGAAAATAGCCTTTCATCACAATGGTCTAGTCAATAGGTGGGTCATTACGACTCTGCCTTAGCGTCCTTTTTGGGCTCTGGCACTGCGTGTTGGCTTTTGCCAACCGGGACACCACAATGCTCTAGTTTATACCGCCTTGCTTTCGTCCCTGCTTCTGCCCCCCCCCATTTTGCTATTCAGGGCCTGCTTCTCGAATCTTCCCAATTCCTCGATCGATTGCAACTGCAAATCCATACTTTCAGCTATTGTTGCGATCCTGGCTCCCATCTACCATCCCAGTATGACGCATCATCTTGGGTGGGTCTATTCTGGAACCACGTCTCTGGATATTCAGGGAACAGTGGCAGCCATCGAACTCGTCCAAATCACTCAGTGGACCGCATGTCTGTCGGAGCCTCCCTCCCTCCCTCTTTGTCCACCCATCTCGCTCTCACCCTTGAAGATGTCGGTGGCAGGAGATCCAGTGCAAGTACGTCTGCTATCAAGTCGGCTTCTTGATTCCTATCTGCGTCGCCGTTTATTCGTTGGCGTGCTCGTTTTTGTCGTACATCAATTGGCTCCCAGATCATGCATTCACATATGAAACCATCCTTTCAGATTCTCGCCAAGTCACGATTCTTTTCAGCAATCCCGGTCGATCATATTCGTCTGAGTGCGTTTGAAGCTCATTGAGTGTTTGACAAGCCATCAAGGTAGCCGGATGGGATCGGTCTCGAGGTCCTATCATCTGGGTTCCTTCAGCACCCAAATATCGATGCTGGTGGTCGCCGTATTGAAGAATCGGTCCGCCGCCTCACCTTGATCTCTGGCGTGGTGTTCATATGCCCCCTCGAGACCAACATCCACTAGTTGAGGGTGTGGTCGCGGTGGATTGGCGAGTGTGTATCGAATCAATGAAGGCAACGAGCTGCTTGAATCAACGGCTATGCCTTGCCTCAAGATGTTGGGAGACGCTTCAGGCCGAATGCCTCGGGAACAAGGCAGCGACCGCACAACGAACGTTGTTTGACGGCGGGAAAGGAATCGTCATCACTCTCCTTGTAGCCCGACATAACACATAGCTCAGTTGCACTTTGGCTTTCGGCCTTCATCCCGACATACTGAGTTTCCCGTATCGATCGCGTCGGTATCTCTCCTGTCACTATGGCTCCGACAGAGCAGCTTGCCCCCGCTCGTCCTCGGTCCAGACACAGGTCTGCTTCGCAGAGCAACTCACGCGACTGCCTACGCCGTCGCCATGGCCGCCGTCCCCATCCCGACCTTGCCTGGGCACATCACATGTCTGGGCGTGGCCGCCAAGCAACTGCGCCGGTGAGATTAGCTGGATATCCCGTTGACTGAGGGTGCTCTGCTGCTGCTGACCATGCGATCGTGTGATGAGCAGGGGAGCATTGCTGGCGGGTTGCCCGACCCACCCCGGTCTGAGCCACCGCGCAAGGGCCTCGATTGCGATGCCGCGACCGGGTCTCGTGCCTTTGCCGTTTTCCCTCGCTTCCCACGCGGCTGCAGCGTCGGTCGGGTGGATGAATCCCCCCAGCGCGCATCGTTCGATGTGACGCGGTCTGTCGAATGACCACAACGTTCTCCCGATCGGCAGCTGGTCGAAGCAACCCGTGCCAGCCCGCTCGCTCAGTCCTGGGCATGGGACCTGGTCACGCCGCTTGTGCGCGGCCAATCCGCCAGGACTCACCACAACCGCCCCGAGATGCGCGATGGGGTTCGCGAACCGCGCAGCGACCGACGGCTGTGTCGCCGTCACCCGAGCCGGGCATTGCAGACCCCACCTCGATGGGGAGCGTCATGTGCCGTGTCTGTCCGCCGTCGTCTGCTTGGGCAGTCCCCAGTCGTTTCCGTCCTGTCGCTGGCTTGCAGCCCACCCGCGACATAAAAAAGCGAGCCTCGGTCTGCTTCTTGACCAGTGTCCGCTCTCCAACACCGGCATCTGCCTCTCGCCTCTTCCCCTCCTCTTCTATGATTCCTCGTATTGCGGGCCTTGCCCTCCTCGCCTCGAGCGCCCTGGCTCAGTCTTGCACTGGCTCGGCATACACTTGTGTTAGCCCTGGTGTCTCGGCCTCGTACACCATCTGCCTCAGTATGTTTCAGCTCCCTTACGCACACTTCCTCTGGCTGTTCCCGGCGCAGCGCCATGTTTTCGCGAATTGCTCGTGGCTGGCAACGGTGTTGTGTTTCAAACCATATCTAATACTCTACCTTGCGCAGATGGTGGACTCATTACGATGAGCTGCGGTGCCGGCACAGCCTGCTACCAGAACGGCGCCAGTGTGGTAAGTCCTCGCCCCATGTTCATGATGGAGCTTTGTTCGATGGAAAGAATGGTGATCTGACTATATCTATATCTGTGCCCAGTACTGCGACTTCCCCGGCAAGGGTGTTACTACCACCACAACCACCACAACTACCACTACCACTACCAAGTCTTCAACCACCAAGTCCTCTACTACCAAGAGCAGCCTCACCACCACCAGCAGCTCGACAACCACCTCCCCTTCCAAGACAACCACTACCACCACCACCACTACTACTACTACTACCACACCCTCTAAGACCACCACCACCACTTCTGCCTCCCCCACCGGCACCCTCCAGCCCTGCACTACCCTTTGGGATCCAACCATCGATTATTTGCAGGGGGCCAGAGTCACCTACAACGGCCATCTCTACCAGGCCAACTACTACGCCAACAAGGGCACCACTCCCAATGGTACCAGTGGCACCTGGGCTGATCTCGGTCCCTGTGATGTTTCCACCATCCCGACTTTCACTCCCCGTCCCGCCCCGAACTATGGCGGCGGCAACGTCGGTGTTGTCGGCTACTGGCCCGACTGGGGTCTCTACACCCGTTCCCAGAACAACCCCAATGTGATCAATGTCTCCAAGGTCAATGTCCTGAACTACGCCTTCTTCGGTGTCAAGTCCGATGGTACCCTCTACAGTTACGATCCCTGGGCCGATTTCGGTGGAAGCAGCGCCACTGCTCCTTGGACCATTGACCCCTACAGTGGTCAGAACAAGGGCATTGCCAACTTCATGGCTGCCCGCGCTGCCAACCCCAACCTCCGCACTGTCATCTCGGTTGGTGGCTGGTCGCTCTCTGGCACCTTCTCGGATGTTGCTGCCAGCTCCACTGCCATCAACAACTTTGCCACCCAGGTCGTTGCCTTCCTCGACCAGTTCTGGATCGATGGTCTCGATCTCGACTGGGAGTACCCCGGAGGTGGCGGTCTTCCCTGCAACCACGTCAACGCCAACGATGCTGCCAACTTTGTCAACCTCCTGGCTGCGCTTCGCCAGGCTCTTGGCCCCAGCCGTATTCTCTCGATTGCCGCTTCTGCTGAGCCCTCGCGTTACTACGTCAACGGCGTCAACTACCTGACCCAGTACGCCAAGTACCTTAGCTACTTCCAGGTCATGACCTACGATTTCTACGGTTCCTGGGTCCCCTACACCGACTTCAACTCTCCTCTTCAGCTCCCTGGTGCCAGCGACCCCCAGCGCCCTGCCGGCAACCTCCAGTTCGGAAACGTTCAGTTCTCGATTGCCACTGCCATGAACAACTACACTGCCAACGGTGTTGCCAAGAACCAGCTTGTTGGTGGTGTTGCCTTCTACGGTCGCTCGTGGGGTATCACTGCCTCTGAAGCCACCGTCAACAACGGTCTCTTCCAGCCCTGCAACCAGGCCGGTCAGAGTGCCACCAACCCCACTGCTTGCCCTCCCATCCAGGGTGATCAGCTCGATGCTCTCTGGACCGATCCTTGCGGCAGCTCCTATGTCTCTGGTGTCTGGATGTACTTGAACCTCCGCTCCCAGGGTGTCCTCACCACTCCCACCACCGCTGGCTCCAGCTGGACCCGCACCTGGTGGAACTTTGCCCAGAGCCCCACCATCACCGACGGTACTCGCTTCATCTCCTACGATGACACTACCTCGATTGCTGCCAAGACCGCCTGGCTCAAGTCCAACGGCTACAGTGGCACCATGTTCTGGGAGCTCTCTGAGGACTACAATGGCGAGCTCCTCTCCAGCCTTACGTCCGCCTGGGGCAACTAATGCACCCGCATCCGCAATATTCTAGTGAATGATATGGAGGGCAAAATAGCAGCATTGAACAAATTAAGCAGAAATGATCTTCAAAATGGATGGACGTGAGGTGGGAAAAGAGGCGGAGAGTTCGAAAGTTCATAATGAATAATGAATAAATCAATTTTCCCAAGCTGCTCATAACGAGGACATTGTGGGCGACGATTCCGCGGCGACAATGGTGATGCGAGAACCAACGGCACACGAAGGGAGAGAGATTTGGCATGTTGAGGGGGAGCATGGGGAGAGCGACGGGAATGGTGGTGGACTATCAGAAGGATATGGAGGAGAAAAAGAGCGAGTGGTGCGTTTCGCTGCCAGTGACTTGTGATGAAGTATGCCCTCGGCTTCGAAACCATGACGAGGGCGGATGATCAGAATCAGATAAAGTGGACCGGGAAGTCCTAAGGCCTCGAGCTGTTGTTCCTCAAATGTACTTGCGACGCCGCCTGGAGGAATACGCCTCAATTATAGACGATTCTCAATGGCGACAAGACACAATCCTTCACGACTGGTCTTGGACGAGAGGGATGGACGCTTCCATTTATTGTAACACGAGGAGCAGTGGGCAAACGAGACAACCATCTTGGCACTGGTCGATATCAGCCTAGTTATCGATATGGAACGGATTTGCGATGGCCTGAAAGGGGATTGCTGAAAAGAATCGTGACTTGGCGAGAATCTGAAAGGATGGTTTCATATGTGAATGCATGATCTGGGAGCCAATTGATGTACGACAAAAACGAGCACGCCAACGAATAAACGGCGACGCAGATAGGAATCAAGAAGCCGACTTGATAGCAGACGTACTTGCACTGGATCTCCTGCCACCGACATCTTCAAGGGTGAGAGCGAGATGGGTGGACAAAGAGGGAGGGAGGGAGGCTCCGACAGACATGCGGTCCACTGAGTGATTTGGACGAGTTCGATGGCTGCCACTGTTCCCTGAATATCCAGAGACGTGGTTCCAGAATAGACCCACCCAAGATGATGCGTCATACTGGGATGGTAGATGGGAGCCAGGATCGCAACAATAGCTGAAAGTATGGATTTGCAGTTGCAATCGATCGAGGAATTGGGAAGATTCGAGAAGCAGGCCCTGAATAGCAAAATGGGGGGGGGCAGAAGCAGGGACGAAAGCAAGGCGGTATAAACTAGAGCATTGTGGTGTCCCGGTTGGCAAAAGCCAACACGCAGTGCCAGAGCCCAAAAAGGACGCTAAGGCAGAGTCGTAATGACCCACCTATTGACTAGACCATTGTGATGAAAGGCTATTTTCATGATGTCAGAAAACGCCGAACGGCCAAACAACGGGCTTCTATAGTCCAGTGGAATGGACGTCTCCTTTACACGGAGAAGGTCCTCGGTTCGATCCCGAGTAGAAGCAGACACGATGGTGGCCTCTGCGGCTGTTCTCGGATATCCGGACTGGGGTCTGGATTCGGGAGCGTCGCAGGACCAGCAGTTGTGATTACAGTATCCCAAATAGTATAGTGGCTAGTACTCCCGCCTGTCACGCGGGCGACCAGGGTTCGATTCCCTGTTTGGGAGATTTTTCTTTACTCATTTTTTTGGCATCCTGTCCTCGTCATTGCTTTGGCTTCTGGTGCGACCACGATTTTCGGTTACTGGTTAATCGTTGTGCCGCCATCAAATAGCACTATTCATTCATTCATTCTTGGGTCCCTCTTGGTTGGACATATAATCGCTCCCCCATGATAAGGAGGGGGTTGAGGATGCTCTGGCGGGAGAGGGGCGGCTTAGGGCCTCTAGTCGCCGTGGGGAGTATGTTAGTGTGAACAAGATAGCCAAGAGCAAGGGAGACGGGACCTTGGAAAGCCGAGGTTACAAGTGTGAGGCGAGCAAGAGACGTGTGACTTGGGTTCTGGGCAGGGTGGCTTGGCGTTTGTAACGGGGGTTGATGAAAGGCTGCATTGGTGTGCTAAATTATTGGCTCTTGCTTGGAAAATTTGACCGCCTTGGCCATATTGCTTCTTTCTCTTGCATCTCCGCGATTTATAGATATATGGCTGATTGTAGCAAGCGATCGATAGGAGAGTGACAAATTAGAGGGCGAGGGGTTGGCACAGTGAAATATCAGCGAATGAGAGACCTGTATTCGAAAGAATACCCTGTTTGGCCTTGCAAAATTCGTGAAGCTATATACGAATAGTCACATCAACCAGTTTGTGAGGTTCGCTCGAATTATTTTTCGGTTAATAGCAAACCAGCCATCAGTCGGTACCGCACATGTCGTCGACTAGCTGTAATAGCTGCTAATGGGAGGGAGACGGGAGGGATAATATGCATGATAGCGTATCACCTGTTATGGGAATATCAGGCAAACGGGCTATCGAATTAATTTCGATCTGTGAACACGAGTTTATCCCAAGCTAGCCTGCGTCTTGGATACGGTGTATGTCCTTGGCGCGCTGATCGGGGCGAAGTAGTGTGAAATATTCAACTGTATGAGACATAGAAGTGTAGGTTTTCCAAACCGAAATTTGGGAAAAAGAATGTGAGTGATGTCCTAGACAACCTCGGAGATGCCACAATCAGAATATGGTTATGGAGTTGAAGCTCAGCAGATGGACTGAGAACGACCGGCAAAATACACATCGGACGCAATAAATTGCGCCCGATAGGGGACTCGAACCCCTAGCCTTGAGATTAAAAGTCTCACGCTCTACCATTGAGCTAACCGGGCTCAAAGCTCGAGCTCTGTAGTTGAGACCACGAACTCACAGGACCCTCCCGGGATTGAACCGGGGACCTATCGATCTGCAGTCGATTGCTCTACCGCTGAGCTAAAGGTCCTTATGGAGTCTGTATATTCTTTATGCATATATAAACATTTCATTTCCTATTGGTCAGTTCACCACCTGCCATCAGTCAATGTGTGGGCCTCTATCAGGACTTTGCCTTAGCGCCTCTGGCGGGATCTAGCACTGGGTGTTGGTTTTTGCCAGCCAGAACATTTTAAAATCATTACCGCAGCTCTATCCCATGCGTATCACCCGCCACATGCTACATTTCACGGATTCATTTGCATCGCGCCCAAAACGAAACGGGGCTTTGCTTTTGAGTCAGATCTGTTACTTTTGTATGTGTATGTGTTGTTCTTTGGGCGAGGAGGAGCAGAATACACACCTACTCATCGCTCGTCATGGCCAAACAGCGTATCCAAGGAGACTGGAGGCGGAGCGACTCGTCACCCGACTATCTTGATGTCAAAAAATACCGGAGTTGTCCAGATGGTTGAACACAAGCAACTCTACTCCCGTGTTGCAACATTCTAGTCGATCATCGCCACAGCAGATTAACCGAGTGTATTCAAGGTGATGCTCCCGAAACCAACAAACCGCCGAATTACCAATTAGGACTGGAGCGCAATCTCATGGCCCGTCCACTGGGGTCTACGGATCACTGAGGGACGCTCAGGGACACACTGTCCCGTTTCGTTCCGAGCACTGTGGACCATCAACCAATCGATAAAATTTCTACAGAGTACCTGAAATGGCTTCATAAATACTTGATACTCGTATGAATGCCGTAATTTTAGCCCTATAGATGTGTTCGCCGTTTTGTATTGCATCAATGGATCGAGTGTGGCAAAAATATGCTGTCCTAAATCGTATTGCTGTCCATTCATCAATCCAGCTAAACTGATAAAAATGGGGCACTGCCATTTCGTATGTTTGGGAAAATCGTCTTTGAACTTTGGTTTTTTCCGACCTGCTAGCCAGTTCCATCCTTGCTACATCAAGTGAGTGAGGTTCCACGCCCTTGGCTGGCTGAGCTCCAGTCATGGCCAAGATTGATTCAAGACATTGATCATCCATGACGGTCTTGCTACTCGAATTAAAGCGCCGCGGATAAAATGAAGTATATATCTGTTCAGTAGCAGTCAGTCCCGTTGTTGCTTGGAGCCATCTCCCATTTACTTGCCTCTAAATTGCAACCTTGATTGGAAATGCCAATACTCTAATGGATCAAAGAGTCGTAAGAAATATGGCGGAGATCTTTGATTTTAGTCGCGGCAATCAGCGCGAGGTGTGAAATTGTAGGTTTCAGATGTATCCGAATTATATCATGCATTAAGGGAAGTTGGTCCAAGAGGTGCACCGACAAAGACACGGCGAGCGTAGGCTTTATACAAGGGATGCTTCGGCGTAATAAGTCGTCGTAGGCATTGATTCATTCATTTATCGCAATCTCTGCTGCAGCTAGTGCTTTCCTCTCTAGGTAGCTTTGCATTGTAGATAGGTGTTTGTGGATCGGTATTTGTGGCGCGCCATCTTTCTGGCGGGGGACGCAGACTCCACCGATCATGTATCACAGAGTTTGGATCCGATGGCAGCCTACATCCGCCTCCATAACTACCATGGTAAAATGTACAAGAAAACCTTCCAGACACGGCTCATAAGGTTTGGTGCTTCGATGGTTGGTGATTGATCCATCGGAGCGATGTCCTCTGGCAGAGTCTTGTCCCAAGCCAATCCGTCAACGCACCAAAGAATGCGCCGAAGGGAGAATATATACCATACTCTTGCAGCTGGAAAGTCGGCTTTGTCATGCGGCAGAACTGACGGAGCCGACAGAGCCAACAGAATCGATAAGATTGACAGAGCCTACAGAACCGTCAAGAATCGACAAGAATGACAGAGCCGACAGAACCGACAAGACCGACAGGGCGAATACGATTAATAGGACTGCTTTTGACTTCATGACTGTCCGGGTATCCGAGTATTTGTATCCGAGTATCTGTATCCGAGTATTTGTATCCGAGTATTTGTATCCGAAAGTTCCAGGGCGACTCATGTTTATAATAACAATAATGGCGCAGCCTATAAGCAAGCTGTTTGAAACTGCGATAGGCGCGTTTAGGCAATGGTATCAGGGATAGCTGGCTAGAGCAGTCCTCGAGCGCGCAAATGTGTATCAAATGAGGATGCTATGTCTTTGATCTTGCCGATTTGGAAATATGCGCTACTGAGCCGAGCAATTATGGTTATTATCATTGTTATTAGCATCATTTTTGCACCATCGGCGATGAATATACCTCGACGATTCATTGTTATACTTCATCGAGCTTGATCATGGTCACAAGTGTACGATTGGCGCGTAGTTGGCCCCTACGATCTGCATTTAATCGGCACATAGATCCTCTTGAATCGTACCAGACTTGGGCATGGCTTCCAATGACCGAAATTGCCCGGGTTTCCGCCCAGCGGACACTCTGCTTGATGAATTTTCTTTGTATTTTCGCAAATCACGCACGATGGTTCGATGTCCACACACGAATCCATGTACCGAGCAGGACAACGGCGAACATGGGCGAACATGGGCGAACATGGGCGAACATGGACGAACGTGGGTGAACACGGGTTGAGACGGACGAGATTAGTGGACAAGGAGGGGATGGAGGGGCAAGGCCGGCCGCTGGGACTGGAAGTGGGATAGACACATATTCTGGGGAGGGGGCGGAAGAGTGTGAATGGGCTTCTTGTTGAGCCCGCTGTGAGCCCGCTGTGAGCCCGCTGTGAGCCCGCTGTGAGCCCGCTGTGAGCCCGCTGTGAGCGAGATCATGTCTCTTTGTATGTTGGAACCAGCAGGGGATGTGTGCAGATGGGGGATCATTGGTGAATTGCTGGCGGATCATCGGTGGATCACCGATAGATGCAGACGATGCGGCGTCTACGCCGGTTCATCACGGCCTGTACATCATCATGGTCAATTTCGAGTAGGTGGGTCTACCGAATGGAAATTTCATATCATACGAGAGAATTGGCCTTGAAGAGTATATTGGTGGTGCTGATCGCATGGCAACGATAGGAATACCATATTTCTCAGGCGGTGGATGCGCACTATGGGATGCCAAAGAGGGGGAGGGGCGCTTGAGACAAAGACATTGGGTTGGTGAAAATATGAGTTGTTAATATATATGAGAGCATGATCAAAAGCAAGGGTCGAGCGGGCAGCGGTGGTACAATGTGCGGGCTGCAGCGGTGCAATGTGCGGGGGCTGGGGCGGGTGGCCAAGGCGGGAGTGCAACGAAACCGGGAGATATGATCAAATGTACTGTTGATATATGCACAAAAATGAAAGAGCTCGCAAGGACCTTTAGCTCAGCGGTAGAGCAATCGACTGCAGATCGATAGGTCCCCGGTTCAATCCCGGGAGGGTCCTGTGAGTTCGTGGTCTCAACAACAGAGCTCGAGCTTTGAGCCCGGTTAGCTCAATGGTAGAGCGTGAGACTTTTAATCTCAAGGCTAGGGGTTCGAGTCCCCTATCGGGCGCCAGCAATTTTTCCTATTTTGCCTCGTCCTGTCTCATTGGGCTCTCTGTCGAATCTTCCGCCGGTCTTCCCTGGGTCTGGGCGGTGCTCGCTGTTTCTTTGGTGTTTCTGTTTCTCGTTCTTGGATGTGTTTGTCGGCCCGGCGCTGCTGTGCATCCCTCTGGCTCCATCGCTCCATCGCTCCACTCGCCACCCCGTCCACAATGCAGTGCTTCGCTGTCTCGCATCCGGACTGGCCGCCAATACTTCCCCCCCCCCATCAAGCTTGTCCTTCCGATCTCCATCATCTCGTTCTGGTCTTGGATGTGTCTATTGCCCTGGTCAAACTCTGTGATGTTTCATTGAGCCTCATGCTTCCTCACACTCGTCGTTTGAAGCTCTCCCGTGCTCATAAGCTTCCCTTCTGCCGCTTCATCCAATGGGTTCTGTGTTGTCCTCTCCGTATCGATTCTGATATTTCAATTCACTTCCCCCTCTCATTCACGCGGCGCATTCATTAATTCCCTTGCATCACTTTGTGCAGTAGCTGTTTGGTTCTGCCTTCGGTTCTTCAATCATTTTTGTTGTCACTTTTGTGTCTTTATTCAATTTTCCCTCATGCACTCATTCTTCTATTTGCTCATTCTCTTCAGGGCACATTCGCTCCAGTATTCCGATCATTGTGATTGACCGAACCCTTGCATTAGTCCCGTTCTTCTGTGACTGTGCAATGTTGCCACCGACCTGTATTTCTCTCAGGAGACATCGGTGCACTGCATACTTGATTCATCGCTCTTTCGGTGCTTCCTACTTGAGAGTTAGCTCATCTTTGTCCACTGAGAGTGCATGCGTCTCGTTTTTTCAGTGAATCGTTTGTGATCCTGTTCCCAATCGGTCATCTGACATTGAGTGGTCTCATCGCTTGAGTGCCTTCGAGGCACTTCCGTCGTGCCAGCGTTTCGACTCGGAACCATTCACCAGCACGGCAACCTCTTTCGCCGCGACCGCCTTCGGCTGGCGTCCGCAGCCGACGCGCAGGCTCATCTCTGGACTGCGGTCGATCGCTCCACATCAACCCCTCAAGGTCTCTGTCCCCCACAGATGCCCGTCATGCATCGCAGAAGCATCCCGATGTTCAACGGACCAGGGCTGCGCTTTCCCACGGCCAGCCATTTGACTCGCAGGATTGGCTCGATCCGCTCGGAGCCTGCCCCCGACACGTGGCTGCTCGGCTGACATTGCGGCCACGCTGAGGCTTGTCGTATACCCACAGAAACTTAGCGCCCCCAAGAACGGCGGGATTCCCAAGATAGGATCCAGGAGCCCTGTGATTGGCTGGTGATGTCCTCGCAAGGTGCTTGGCTGGCGATGGCACCATCGCCCCTGTCCGCCTTTGTGATTGGCTTGCGATGTCGCCATTCAGCCGACGGTGCCGCGGCTTGACGAGTGTTCATTAATAACGGCAGAGGTTCTCGCCATCCTGGCACTGCTCTCGCCGAGACCATTTTCGCTGTGCGCACGCAGCACGCCGCTAAGGCTCCTCGGTCCCTACGCGAGAGCACCGAGCGAGACGATGACAAACGCCGCTATCGCCGTTACGCACAAGGCCTCAAATCAGATCTGCGCTCCAAGGAAAAAAACTCTGCCGTCCTCCCCCCAGAATAAAAGCCCTGGCGGCGACCCGCATTGCCGCAGCAGGTTCCCACCACGGCCATCTCCCAGCCGATCGTCAGAGTCGCCGTCTCACCGGACGTCTTGACGCAATTGCATCTGGCCTTGGTTCTGGACTCCACCTCTCCTGGCTCTTGCGCAGCATCATGTGAGTATCGCCACCAGTCTGTCCCAGTGATTCCTGGAAATCCATCGACACCCAGACCGGGCTGTTGCTCGGTTGCATCTCGGTGCAACGACCCTCGCAAATCCGATAGTCTTGTAACTGACATTTGCTTGGTTACCCTGGAACTTGCCGAACAGAACCACGCTGCCTAACTGTACTCTTACCACCTGAGTCGTATAACTCGTACGTAGTTCACACAGTATCATAACGTAAGTGCCTGTTCCCATTCCACCTGTCGATCGGCGGTGCTGGTCGCATGAGATCCACATATAGCTGCTCCCATTGCTGTTAGCTACTTCGATCCTCAGCCGGTCGTGCTTGGCTTGACCTGCGTCCATCGGGTGGCACTTTCGTTTCCCCGCCGTTGCCCATGGATGGCGTGGCAGTCCAGCTTCGTGGTCGTTTCAGCATGATGTCCCATTGCCTACGCCGTCAGCTTTCTCTGAATTGGACACCTCGCCGCCATCCGTATCGTATCGCTGACCAACTTCTGCGTCTCCAACAGCATGGGTTCTATCGCTCAGCAGTCCCCCGTACCTCGTGGCGGCGCCTCGCTCATTGTTGCCTGGTCCATCGCCAGCCGCCACATCCTGGTTGTCGGCGGAAGCGACGCTGCTGCCTCGCGTGTCTTTTTTGCACTCGAGGCCGACGCCCAGGTCCATGTGGTCGCCCCCAAGACCTCGCTCTCGCCCGCCCTGATCGGCCACATCGACCGTCGAGAGGTTACCTACTACGACCGCGAGTTCGAGCAGCGAGATCTGCACGACAAGTCCATGGTCTTTGTTGCCAGCGAGGACGCCTCGCTCGCCAAGCACATTGCCGCGCTCTGCCGCATGGGCCGGATTCCCGTCAACATTGCCGACCAGCCGGATCTGTCCGACTTTTGGCTGACGTCGACTTACCGCGACCACGCCCTTCAGATTGCCGTTTCCACCAATGGCAACGGCCCCAAGATTGCCACGCGCCTGCGCAAGCACATCGCTGCTACCCTGCCCGAAGGCTCCGGCTTGGCTATCCAGCGTCTGGGTGTCCTTCGCCAGAAGCTCCGTGCCGCCGATCCCTCTGACAAGTCGGCGTCTCGCCGCTTGGCCTTCATTAACAAGCTCTCGGAGGCCTGGCCCCTGCAGAAACTCGCCGAGCTCACCAACGGCGAGATTGACCAGCTCGTCCAGATCTACCTGGCGGGCCGCGAACAAGCTGCCCCCTTCCAGGTCCGCGCCGGCTCCCTCAAGTTTGTTGCTGCTGGCAGCGGCTCGGTCTCTGGTTTGACCACGGCCGCCTACCATGCCATCGTTCACGCCGACGTCGTCCTTGCAGATGACACTGTTTCTCGTGAGGTCCTCGCTCTCGTGGCCGGTGAGCTCGTTCTGGTCCCTACCGCGGCCAAGCTGGCCGAGGTCGAGGAGCAGCTCTCGTCCACTGCTGCCCCTGCCATCAAGACCGGCAAGGACGTTGTTGTGCTCAAGAGCGGCTTCTATCTGGACCCAAAGGAGGCTGCCTACGCCGAGAAGATTGGCATTGCCGCCGAGATTGTCCCTGGATTTGCTGCCGAAGCCATCCCGGAGACCAAGGTCGAGGCCAAGACCGAGACCAAGGTCGAGTCGGTCCCTGTCGCCATCCGATCCGCCTACACGGGCACTCAGCCCCTCACCATCCCTGCCTTTGGCCCCCAGAAGGCTGTCATCACCTGCACCTATGCCGGCCGGGGCTCGCAGCTGCCCGCCTACGTTGCTCAAAAGACGTTCGTGTTCTTCCTCACTGCCTCGTCCATTGTCGAGCTCGTCTCTGACCTGCGCCGCCACTACTTCACCGACAACCTGCCTCTGACTCTTGTCGAGCGTGGCGCCCACCGCCCTCTCAAGGCCAGCATTGGCAGCATCGTGGTTGCCCTCAAAAACAAGGCCCTGACCCTCCCTGCGGCCATCATTATCGGTGAGGGTGCCCATCTCCTCGACGACAAGATCGCGGCCCAGTTTGTCCCTCGCAGCCACAGCGAGCCCTCTAGCCCCAGCACCGATGCTACCGCCAGCCCCATCATTGCCCCGGCCATCAGTCTCGATGATGCCAAGCCTGCTCCCCTTCCCAAGCACCACGGCATTGAGACTCTGCTCAGCGGCGAGGAGGCTGTCGCTCACGTTGCATACGGTCTCTCGGATCTGTCGTTCGTCTACAAGGTTGCCCCCGAGGGATACCTGGGCCAGCCCCTGGAATCCCTGGCCAAGGATTCGACCCCGAACGCCTTCCACAAGTCCCACAAAAACCTCGCTCTCAGCACCCGCGAGGGCGCTGCCACGGCCGTGCATGGTGCCCTTGCCGCCGGTGCGGCCGTCACCACCGTCACGTCCTCGGAGGCTCTTCCACTCATGATTCCGGCCATGTACGGCATCGCTGCCGAGCGCAAGGCCGTGGTCTTCCACGTTGGTTCGCAGGCCATCACCAGCGATCTTGGCGTGGTCAGCGACTATTCGGATGTTCTTGCGGCTTCCTACACCGGATTTGCCTTCATCGGTTCGTCCAGCGTCCAGGAGGCGCACGATCTCTCGCTCGTTGCCCACCTTGCCTCCTCGGTCGCTCACCAACCCGTCCTGCACTTCTTTGACGGCGCTCGAGTTGCCAAGGAAACCGCCAAGACCTTTGTTGCTCCTTACCACGAGCTCTCCAGCCTGACCCGTGCCATTGCCCACCGCCATGCTGCCGTTCCTCCCGTCGAGCGCTTCCCCGAGGTTGTCCAGGAGGTCATGCACGAGCTGGCCAAGTTCTTTGGTCACGAGTACAAGCTCTTTGAGTATGTTGGCGCCCATGATGCCGAGTCGGTCATCGTCACGCTCGGCCCCGCCAGCAACGTTGTCGAAACCGCCGTCGAACACGCCCGCCAACACGGCAGCAAGGTCGGTGTGCTCAAGATCCGCCTGCTGCGTCCCTGGTCCGCTGAGCACTTTGTCGCCGCCATTCCCAAGACTGCCAAGCGTATCGTCGTCGTCGAACAGGCCACTGCTGCCGGCACCCATGGCCCTCTGTACCTCGATGTCACCGGCTCGTTCTACAGCGGTCACTGGACCTCTGCCATTCCCGCCATCAGCAAGGCTCACTTCCAGGCCGGAGTCGAGCACTTCCATCCCGCCGCTGTTTCTGCTTTCCTGGCCAAGCTCTCCAGCTCGCGTCGGGCTCCTCGCATTATCGAGCTGTCTGCCGCCGACGTCCAAAAGAGCGCTGTTGCCGACGGCGTCCACCAGGCCGTGTTCTGGGATGCCCAGGAGCAGGGTACTGCCAAGGTCGCCCAGGCGGTTGCACAGTACATTGCCTCTGAATCCTTCGGAACGGTCCAGAGCCACACCGCCCGCGACGACGTCCAGATCGAGCCGCTCTCGAGCACCTCGCTCCGCTACAGCAAGACCCACACGGCCGTCAACTCGCACCGTGTCCAGGCGGCCGACTATGTGGCCATTCACGACGTTGCTGCCGTCGAGCGCTACAACCCCATCGTTGCAGCCAAGACCGGGGCCACCGTGGTGATCAACTCCGCTGCTGCCACCGCCGCCGAGCTCGAGAAGGAGCTCTCCGACTCTGTCCGTGCCGAGATTGCCCGTAAGCAGCTCAAGGTCCATGTCGTCGATGCCCAGAAGTATGCCAAGAAGTTTACTCTGTACCTCGGCAAGTCCACCGAGTATGTCAACCTGATCCTCGCGGCCGTCTTTTACAAGCTTGCGCCCGCCGTGGACACCCAGCACGCTCTGGAGCACATCTTTGCCATCGTCCGCAAGACCGAGACGCATGCCTCGATCGTTCAGACCAAGATCGCAGCCGTTCACCAGGCCCTCGACTCGATCACGCACATCCACGTTCCCGCCCACTGGGCCTCCGCTACTCTGGATGCCACCCTCCTGACCTCGGTTCAAGGCTCGCTTGCCCTGCCCAAGACCAGCGCTCCCAGCGAAGAGCGCGAGCAGATCACCCGTGTCGTGCCCTCTCATCGCGCTGCCTGGTCGCTGCTCTTCCGCGAGGCGTACAAGACCGACAAGAAGCTGCGTCCTGACGTCGACAACGCCTTCCTGGTCAAGGTCACCGAGAACCGCCGCCTGACCCCTGTCGAGTACGACCGCAACGTCTTCCACATCGAGATGGACACCACGGGCACCGGCCTCCGCTACGAGATTGGCGAGGCGCTCGGTGTGCACGGCCACAACAGCGATGAGGACGTCAAGACCTTCATCAAGTTCTACGGCCTCGACCCGCGCGAGATTGTCGTGACCGAGCGCGTGGACGAGAGCGGCAAGCCGTCGACCGAGGTGCGCACCGTTGAGCAGATCCTGACGCAGGTGCTCGACATCTTTGGCAAGCCCGGCAAGAAGTTCTATTCGTCGCTGGCCGAGTTTGCGACCGACATCAAGGAACGCGAGCACCTGAACACAATCGCCAGCGCCGACGGTGCTGACGAGCTCAAGCGCCTGACCGAGGAGGAGACGGTGACCTTTGCCGACATCCTCGAGCGCTTCCCGTCGGCGCATCCGTCGATCGAGGATTTGGTCAAGTTGGTGCCGGCGATCAAGCCCCGCCACTATTCGATTTCGTCCTCGCAGAACATGCATCCCGACAGTGTGCATCTGCTGGTCGTGCTTGTCGACTGGCGCTCGTCCACGGGCAAGACCCGCGTCGGCCAGTGCACCCGCTATCTTAACTCGCTCAAGGTGGGCCAGGCCCTGACCGTTACGATCAAGCCCTCTGTGATGAAGCTGCCCAAGTCGCTCACGGCCCCTGTGATCATGTCGGGTCTGGGCACTGGCATGGCGCCCTTCCGCGCCTTCATCGAGGAGCGCTTCTACTGGAAGTCGCAGGGCATGGAGGTCGGCCCGATGGTGCTCTACTTTGGCTCGCGCAACCGGGCCAACGAGTATCTGTACGGCGAGGAGCTCGAGGCCTACCATGCCGATGGCGTGCTCTCGCGCCTGCAGCTGGCCTTTTCTCGCGACCAGAAGAAGAAGATCTACATCCAGCACAAGATTGCCGAGGACGCCGACCTGCTGGCCAAGTACATCCTCAAGGACGAGGGCGCCTTCTACCTCTGCGGCCCGACCTGGCCCGTCCCTGATGTCAAGGACGCTCTTGTTGGCGCCTTCACTGCCGCCGGAACCACGGTGGAGCGTGCTAACGAGCTGCTCGAGGAGCTCAAGGAGCAGGACCGCTACATTCTCGAGGTGTACTAAGGCCGAAAGCCGGCTCTGATCCAGTTCTTGGGCGCAGCGAATGAAACCCCGCAGCCTTGGCTGTCGAAGGGCAGCGCCAATTGCTTTTCCTGAATACATTGATTCATCCATCCATTCACTTATTCATCCATTCATTCATTCACTGTCTCGGCCGTGAGCACAGCACCGGGAGTGTGCCGAAGGGGTGAAGCAGCCGAGACGATGGGCGGCTGCATCCTGTTGCATCCTGTTGCATGCTGTTGCATCCTGCTGCATCGCCTCCGTCGGGACTGCCCTTGACTGCGTCCTCTGCACGACGCAACAACATTGGTCGCTCCTGTTTTGCGGTTGGCGGTTTGTCTTTGGTTGTCAGCTCCGGCCCTGTTTCGACCCTGACGAGGCTTTCGCCAAACAGACCCTGACGCCCAAGCTCCGCCGACGGCCGGCGCCAATCAGGAGGGAGGGGCGCCTGTCCCTTTCTCGGGAGAAGCGGGGGACATTTCCAAGAGAGTCTGGCGAACATGCATGCCGCAAACGATCCCGCCGGCCGATCATGGCTTTCCAGAAGCTGCGGATTGGGCCGTTCTCGTGGCCGTTCTCGGACCGTGGCTGGATGGGGACTTGCGCAGCTCTGGTGCACAAGCGCACGGGCGATCGATCGGTTGGCTCGGGTGTGGACACAACGTGCGGGCTGTGGGGTCGTCTGGCTGCGTGGCGTTTGCAGACAATGACGGTCTCGGACCGGGTTGTGTGGATGGCGGGGATGTCGATGGTTGACGGTGCAAGCGGATGTTGGTATGCCGGGAAGGTTGGTACGGGCCGCTGAAGGCAGCAGGACTATTTCGAGCCCGCAAACAGCACGCGGCCGGGGTCTGTTTGTGACTGTGGCCGCCTGGGGCCGCCTGGGGCCGCACCGCCGTCAGCAGGGCCGCACAAGCGGATACAAACGGCCATAATTAGACTGGACGGCATGGGTTGCTCTGTGGGCGGCACGCAAATCAGCTCTGCTATCGAGGGCCGATCGAGGACTTATAGACTGTCTATAGAGCATCTATAGAGGTTGCTGTTGAATGCCAACAGATCCTTAACTGGTCGATCTGCAGGGTCTCCTTCCCTCTGTCGACCGCAAAGGCCCGTTCCCGATTCGTCGCCGGCCGCCCTTGCACCGCCTTCTCGCACCGCCTTCTCGCACCGCCCATGGCGCGCTTGGCGGAAACAATGCCGCTGGCCGGCCTATTTAAACCGCTCTTCGCCCCCGCTCCGCCTCGACTTCACTGCTCTGCACCGTTTTGCACCTTCTCGCACTCTGTACTTTTCTCGCACTCATCCTCCGCTCACTTCCGTCCATCTTTGCACCATGAAGCCCACCACTCTCGCCGTTGCTGCCCTCACCGTCGCTGCCGTCAGCGCCCAGCTGCCCATCAGCATTCCCAACATCACCACCCAGTGCCAGACCGAGCTCACCAGCGCCGCCACCACCATCCTGCCCGTAAGTGCTCCGCTGCGGTCGCCACGGCTGCCTTTGCCCTTGATCAATGCTCTCGTGTAGCAGTCGACCCGGCTCTCATCTTGCACTCTGACGCTCTTCTCGGCCTTGTCCGTCCACAGGCTTGCAAGCTCAACCTTGCCGATCTCATGAGCATCTCCAACGCCACTGCTGCCATTGCTCTGGCCACCACCCTGACCAACGAAATCTGCACCGACTCGGGCTGCTACACTGCCATCGGTACCGAGCTGCCCAAGCTCGTCGCTGCTGTACGTATCGGCCCTTATCTGTGTGGCTTGGCTGCTCTCGTTCGCCTTGCTCTCGACATCTTGCTCCTCCTCCGACTGCTGTTCGGTTCGCTGACCGATCCGATCCCTTGACACCCCTCCAACCACCATGGCGGTTTCCAGTGCGGCCAGTCCGTGTCCATCCCCTCCAACATTGGCGCCCTCATCGCCGATCCCACCAAGGACCCTCTCTGTGCCAAGGACCCCTCCTCTGGCCAGCTCTGCGGCATCTACCTCATCAATGCCGCCGTTGCCAACAACACCAACGCCACTTGCTCAGCGTAAGCTCTCACCGCATGATTATGATTGCGCACGCACTCCGAGTGCGTTATCTAGTTTGCCCCACGAGTCCATGCTAACCACGTTGCCCACCCACCAGTTGCTCTGCCAATGCCGTCTATGTCTTGAACGATGCCAACACCACCAGCAGCTTCAAGTCCCAGTGCCCCAACACTCCCATCGCCGCCATCACTGCCGCCAGCCCCAGCCCCAGCCCCAAGTCCTCGGCCTCGACCCTGACCTTCAGCCTGTTTGCCGGTGCTGTCTCCCTGGCCGCCGCCGTCTTTGCCTTCTAGATGACCTGGTGTCAACTCGCCTGCATCCACCTCGGCTCTCCACGCTTGCGGGAGTGCTCAGCTGGTATTCCTGCAATCGTTCCACCACTCCGCCGATGTCTGTACGGCTCGTTTTGACTGCGGCATGCGGTGTGCGTTGCCATATTCTCTGGCCACGAACAGAGTGACCCTGCGCCCCAAGCTTGGGCAACCCTATGTCTTGTGATATCGCTTCCCAGTTTCCCTGATGTATCAGTTCAATACAGCACTACTTTGTTTCCACCCTGTCTGTGAGCGTGGTTTCGGATGGCTTGGAACAACAAGACCAGCATCATTCGGGCCCATCCGATGGCTCCAAGACATCTCGAGCTGGATGGCCACATGTGCGTTTGTCCTCAGTGGGCATTTTGACTCTGTCACTGCTTGGTTTCGGCCACGAGAAGCAATCCATCCCCATGGCGGTCGAATCAGGTTCACAATCGCATCCCGCACCCAATCAGCCGGGCTCCGCATATCGTCGATGATATCTGTGGGTCCCATTGGCGACAGCGGCCGCCTTGTGTCCAGTGAAGGGCCATTGTGTTAACATTCGATCGGCCATCAAGACAACGTGTCCATTCGATTTGTGCACACTTGCCTCTGTGAATACGTTTCTCAACCAGTCGCATTGGGCAGAGACATCGCCCGGTCGACAATGCGACTTGGGCGACTCCTTTTGATAGCCACTTCCGTCGGCATCACGGATCTCTTCTGGCCGTGCTCCTCGCCATCATCCCACACTCATTTTGTCTCATTCCATTTGCTTTCGCTGCTTATCTTCCGCACTGCAGGCAATCACTCTATAGATTCAACCACTTCATATCCCCCCCCCTCGGCTCCATCTGGCATTTGAATCTTCCCCATTCTCACTCCCGAATGATTCCCAACACCCTGCTTATGAAGGGGAATCTTGCGTCGAGTAGTGTGATGCCTCGAGTCACTCCAGCACCGGCCCCAAACAGCCGCCAGTCGACCCTGCCCCATCCTCCTCCCCAGACAACAGCCGCCGTCCCTCCCAAGGACGACTTTCCATATGAGAGCTATACTCTGCATCCAGAGGGACGCAAGCGCCTCGCGTCTCAGCAGATGGACCACAGCAACACCTACTCGGGCTACCTGTGGAAGCGCTCAAGGACGAACGCCGGTAGGTGGCTTCATCGACATTTCCGCTTCGATGGAAAGGTTAGGATGGCTCTGTGCTTTTTCATCTTCTCTCGTTGCCACTCGATCGCATCGTTCGCACCACCCCGCATCCACTCTCTGTCGATGTGAATAGGCCCTCATGACATGACCGGCGGAGCAGCTTGCTCCATCCAAGCAGCGTTCCCATCCACATCCACATCCACATCCACATCCACATCCACATCCACATCCACATCCACATCCACATCCACATCCACATCCACATCCACATCCACATCCACATCCACATCCACATCCAGTGTCACTCCTGCTCACGTCATGTCTTTCTTGTCGGCTATTCTGCATCGCAGACGCTCTCGTACCATCACTCGGCATCCCGAACCAGTGAAATCAAGTGGTCCGTCCAGCTCGGCGATATCCAGTCCATCAACCGATTCCCAGATACCCCCTCCCAGCCAAAGCACTTTATCTTTGTCCTCGTCACAAAAAACAACGAGACTCTTGAGCTTGCCGCCGAGACCGCCGCCATCCAGAACCACTGGGTCAACCTGCTCTCGGCTGCACTCGAGTCGAGTTGGATGGTGGCCGTCAGCACCTCCTTCACCGGCCCCAGAAAGGCCATCCTGCAGGATCTTGAGGACATGCGCCATCGGCACCGACAGGAGGTCGTATACGTCCGTCCTGATCCCTCTCCGGCAGAGCTGAGCCCGGTCACCACGCCCCTTGCCCTCGATGCCCCGGATGCCGATCGCTTTGCCGTTCGCAGAGGCGCCCGTGGGCTGGTCCAGTCCATGAGCTCGCTTCCACTCAAGTCCCTGCACATCTCTGACGACAATCTTCACTCTGCCACCATCGCTGGATCACCGCTGCACCGACGAACCGGGTCGTTCAGCGGGCAGGTCGGCCGCCGGCTTGGTGAGTCGTCTCTGAGAGCCTCCATCGCCCTCCCCTACCAAGACCGGATCGTCACCATGACCGGCTCACTTGCCGAAAGCCGGGCATCATCAAAATCGAGCTCCAAGCTGGGCTCGCCATCAAAGTCGCTTCTGAAGCTTGAGCTACTCATGGCTGACCTGCTCCTGTCGGCACACGAGCTCGATTCTCCCTCGAGGACGCCGGCGGTCATTGCCGCACTGACGCCCCAGAGAACCACCTGGGGATATCAGCCAAATCAGCAAGCCGCCCTGACCCTGAGCCTCGACCTGCCAGCCCTCGGCACAGGCAAGTTCATCAGCGAAGACGAGCTCAGTCTGATACTGCAGCGCACCCATCTGATGAGCCCGGCCATGGCTGCGGCCAGGACATTCGAGATCCCAGCGTCGCAGCAACAGCAGCAACAGCAGCAGCAGCAGCAGCAGCAACAGCAACAACAGCAACAGCCTGCTCCTTCGATTACCGTTGCGCTCATCCCTGGGTTCATCCGCCAGGCGCTGGCGAGCATCGGCGGGCTCGAAGAGCTCATCGTCCACCATGTTCCAAGCCAGCGCCCGCGATTGATGGAAAAGACCCTCCAGGTGGTCTCGGCCAGCACCGATCTGCAGCGCATGCTCGACCAGATTGGCAAGGACGGGACCGAGCGCTCGGCCACAACCCAGTTCCAGAATGCCGTTCGTCTCCTCTGCCGCAAGTCGACCGAGTTTGGCCGCTGTGCGATCGAGAGCAACGAGCGCAAGATGCAGGGCCGGCCGTACTCGTGGACGGACGACCGGGTGGTGTTTGTTGCCCCTCCGGTCTATGTGCAGCTGCAGCCCCTGCCCCAGGAGCAGCAACACCAGCAGCAACACCAGCATCAGCATCAGCCGCAGGAGGAACCGCAGGAGAAGTCGCCGAAACAGCCCCAGGAACAACCACAGCCAGACCCGGGTTTCGCCGCAAACAAGATCGAGACCACCGGAGCGATTGCAACCCGGGAGCTCGCCGAAGCCCTGCATCTGGTCGAAGAAAAGCTGATGATTTTGCGAGACGTCTTCACCGAGTACAGTGTGCTCGGCCGGTAACCGGACATTGGCATGTAGTCGCAGCCATAGCCGTAGTCGCAGTCGCAGTCGCAGTCGCAGTCGCAGTAATAATCGCAACGTAGTTCCACCCGCATTCTCCGGCCTCGGTTCTGGTTGCTCTCCGCATTTCCGCCACGACTCTCTCGATGGACGACTCTGCTGGATTCTACCGCAAGGGCACTGGGCACAAGTGCAGTTTATTGAGTGTACATGGAGGAGGCTCAAGAAGGGAAAGGTCTGGATTGGAGGGGCTTGCTTTCGGAGGAGAGGCGGATTCCAGTGGTAAAGGAGAGAGTCAAGCAAAGGGCGGGATATATGCACAAACATCACAAGGGGATGCCTCCGGATCTACATGCGGAAGGCAGCGTTGACGCAGGAGATGTTTCGGCCATCGGCATGGTAAAGCTCAGCATGAACTTGATAGCGGCCCTGCAGAACCCCCGATTCGGCGTGAGTTTCGACGGATGCAGAACAGAGCCGTACCACATTGCCAAGCTCCAGGTTTTGGCGGTATCCGGGGCTGGTTGTCCACGAACGGATGGATGATCCGAGCTCGCAGTTCGGACAACACCACACCCACACCCACCCCCATCACTTTCACTGGCCGACTGCACCACGTAGCATTCGATCGCGGTCCAACCATGCTCCCGACACTGCACCAGAGCACTCCGCCGCCCAGGCCTTGCCTCGGCCATTCGTCCCCAAGGCTTGGCGGTGTTCTTGGCGGTGCCACTTACCGGAGGAACCTCGAAGGGAATGTCCGCGGTGTGGTGGATGTCGTAGTACCCAGGTTCAAGGGGACACTCCATGTTGATTTGCTTGACCTCCTCGCACAGATCCATGCGGGTGTCCACGAGCTTGAAGAGACCCAGCTTGACCCGGACTTGCAGGTAGGCGCCGACGTCGACTTGGTCGTTCAGATATCCGCGGACCTTGACGTCCAGGGGGCGCCCTCGCTTGGGAGGATCCGGGCTGATCTCCATCGACTCGATCGCAAAAGAGTCCGTCAGGGACGCACAGGAGCTCACCGAGCCCGAAGTCAGGTCCTGTTGCTGGGGCACGAGGACGGCAACCTGCTGGGGCACAACAGTGGCATATGAGGTCGCAAGGGCTGCAACAAGCAGGGTCAAAAGCGAGGCCTTCATCGCAGCTTTGATAGATCAGACAGAGATAGGGAGCAGGAGGAGTAGTTGGTAAAGGACTACGAGCGGGCCAGATCGGGCGGATGAGGAAGCAACGCTGTGGGCGGCGAGCGGACGAGACGGGTTCGGGTGCGCGAGTCGGGAGAAGGAGCTGGGCGACGAGGCAAGGTCAGACAAAGGTGTCGGCGAGCGGATGCAGAACGGATCACTCTGGCCGAGCGAAACAATGGGCAGACGGCTGATCAGGTCCAAGATGCTCGGGCGAGCCGGACCAGGGCCGGACCAGACCAAGACCGCAGCTGCCGGGGGTGGTGGAGACGGAGGCGGCCGTCGCGGGCGGCCACGTGGACACGCCAAACCCTGAATCCCGGCGGCGACACTCGCTGGCAGTGCGGCTGGCAGTGCGGCTGGCGGTGTGCACGGATTTGCAGGGACGGCCATGTCCGCCTGTTGGAACGGGCCGCAGCCAGTCGCCGTGTGGGCAACGCCGATGAAGTTAGCGCAAGGGAGGGGGCACCCGTTCGGCATCTGTATTGGCGGAGCGACCATGGCTGCTCTGCCTGTTCCCACGCGAGCGGCGGTACAACATGTTCATGGCGGCGGCTTGGTCATGTCTGTTCGTCGGTGCCCGAAGATGTGCTCTGGCCGTGCTGCTCAGCGTCTCTTTGGATGGACTCTCGCAGCCGGCGAGCATTCTGTCTTCCCCTTTCGGAGAGATCAGCCGGCCCAATTCCCTCCCTTGACTCTGCAACCTGGGCTCCAGCTAATGACCATTCCGGGACGGCCTGCAGTGTGCTGGCTGCCTTGGATCGGCTGTTGTCGCTCGTCGCTGTCCTGACCAGCGACGGTGTCCGAGCAAATCCGTGGTCTCGGCCAGAGGTGTCGTGCCCACTCCGGCTCGAGGTGGTCATCCGAGACGGCACTTCGCTGTGCTGCCCGCCTGTGGCTGTTGTCGACCGTGTGAGCGGCCGATCCGAGCTCTCCCGCATCAGATCGGCAATGACACTGCCGACAAAGCCCGATATGGACGGCCGCCGGGTCACAATGCGCTCGACCTGCTCGTAGCCTTCGTTCCAGTCGGCGCTGGGTGTCTCTCGAGCCGGCTGTTGCTTCGGTGTCGGAATGATCTCGGGTTCGACCGGAGCGGGCTGAGGGGCTGGCGTCGCCGGCGCTGCTGCCTCGCTGACAACATTCAAACTCGAGCGGCGCTTTTCCAGAGCCACATAGGCGTCGCGGATCTTTTGCGACATTTGCTCGATCAGCGACTTTTGCCGGATATCGGCAAGCGCCAACTTGGCCTCCTGCTGATCTTTTTCGCGGAGCCGGGCCCGTTTATCTTGCTCGGCGGCCTCCCGGGCAGCGCGCTGTCGTCGCTCCTCGGAAAGTGCTTGATCAACCGCCTTCTCCATCTTCTGGTACATGGTCCGAGACTGTGACGGCGTTGGCTTGGGTAGAAATGGGCGCCGCTTCGAGTAAACGGGACTCAGAGGTGGCCTAACGAAGGTGGGGTCGAGCTCGGCCGCCATCTTGGAGGGCACGCCTTCGGCCAGGAGTACGACCGTCTCGGGGCTGATTTGCGGCTTTGGGTCTTCCTTTTGCGCATCGGCTCGCCGGCGTCGAGAGGCCGACGCCGGCGGTGATAGCGAGAGATTGACCACACACTGGATGAGTTGCTCGAGCGGGCCGTTCCGATGCTCAGTAATGGCCCTGTGCATCCATCGAACCACATCATCGGGGGTCTCCAAGTCCGGCGCATCACCATCGGTGCCGGGTATCCGTCCATGTTCTCGCTCCTTTCTTGCGGCTGCGGGGCTCTTCCGGCTCGACGATGCCGCATGCGAGACCCAGAGACGGCTGGGTTCTGGTCCAAGACCGCCAATGTTGATGCCGAACGTGTACTCGGCAGCCACGGACTTGGGCTGCTCATGTATCAGAGGCTTGGGAATCCTTGGCGCCTCGCCGCCCTTTCCAAAGGTTGTTGACCGATTCAACTTTGAGCGGGAGCCCATATCGTTTGCAGATCGAGTAGACTGGGCTTGCGTGTTCGCAGATTTAGGATGGGCAGATCCTTCGCCTGCCATTCGGACTACGACCAGTTCCTGCAGAATCCTAGAGGCTACCGCCTGAAATAATAGGTGAGAGGAGACGTTACCCAACATGGCAGCTCACACGTTCAAGTTCTCCCGAGTTGATAATCCACAACGCAGTGGAACATACGTTGAAGTTATTGACCCGTATCTGCTCGTTGGTGGCCAGGCGGCGGTTGATCTTGACCATGTTCCTCAGCGTGCCCTCGAAGAGAGCCTGCAGCGAGCTGGAAACCATTCTGCATCGACGAGTTAGACCATCGATACTGCCGTTAGGTATATGGCATCGATTGAGCACGCTCACTTGCACAGCGCATGTCCTGATGGATTCACTTACATGACTGGGAACGAGCCCTTCCATCGCGTGTCCAGGGTCGGGAAGCATATACCTGATTTTGTCTAGTGAAGCCAGGCCAATTTCAAAGACACAAGAGGTGAGTCAGTGGGTGCCGATGTGTGGTTGACGTCATCGACCATGGGATAAAGATGCCGCAAGTGGTGTGCTTGACAGTCCCGTGTATGGCCCCTGGATCAACCAAACGCTGTCCATTCGTCGGCGTGGAGCTCACCCATTCGTCCCACTCTACTCCGTGCTTGATGTTGACGCCGATGATGCCCTCACGGCTCAGAAGAGCCACCTGCGAGTGCTCCAGGTGCAAATACAGGGCATGTCGCGCCTCCTTTGTGGACGAATTGCCGACGATCTTGCTGTAGAAAGATGCTTTGATTTTTTGCTGTCAGAAAGAGACAGCGGCGTCAGTCGAGTCAGGCATGCCGAGACTCGTGTACCTGCTCGGCGGTTGCCAGCGCAACTGCTACTCACGGCATCTGCAAACTTGGCCGAGTTGAGAAAGTACGTGTGCATTGGAATCTCGGTCTTGTCAAAGATCAGCTGCATGCTCTGATGCTCGAGGCGGCACGATGACAGGACCATCGGAACCATGGCGCGCAGGATGTTGGCGGTGAAGTATGGATAGATCATGGAAATCCAGTGCTTTTTCGATTTCTGTGATTTTGTGGATCGATTGCAGTTAGTCAAGAACAAGCAAGCGCGCGATCAAGACGGCCCCGGGATGCAGCGGTATACAGACATAGCTTGTTCCAATAGAATAGATCTCGACAGTCAAGTATCCAATGATGTCCTCGGTCACGCAATGCCGCGCGATGGTCTGCATCCAGTCTCGGACGCTGTCCATGCTACAGGATCGCTGCGGAGTGAGAATCCCGATTTCTTCATGCTCGGCGGAGTACAGCTGCCAGTTTAGGAATAGAGGTTGGTTAGCACAGATAGAAGGTGTATGGCCATGATTGAACACAGCGACGTTGGATTTCAAACTGTGACTGGGGTTGAGGCTGCAGACAACCCCCCCCATGGAAATTAGCGACGTTTGCTGGTATGACTCACGGCTTCACACGTGGCGATCAGCTTCCATTTGCCCGTGGGCTCGATCAGAATGAGGATCTCGACTTTGGTATACTGGTCCCCGCTTGGCGTCGGTGATGCCTCGATGTAGACGCCCCATCGCCGCCAGAGGTACAGAAACATGTCCATGTCCCGTATGCTCTCGGCGAGGACAATTTTCTGCTTCATCTCCTCCACTTTGCCCTCGATATCGGTGTTGATTGCTGCCTTGATCTGCTCCCAGTGGCCCTGTGTGATGTGCTGACTCAGAGAGGAACTCGAGATGATATGGGACGTCGACCCGAGCGACTCGCTCGATCCCATAGAGTCCATATCCATTGCCGACAGGCGCTTCTTGAGGATGCCTGCTGAGCTGAGATGTGCCGACGATCCAATAGGAGTGCTTGGGACCGACACCGGCGCTTGAACAGACTTGATGAAACGGAGGTGACCATCTGGATGGTTGCTGTGATGCGGTGGAGCATGCTCTCCGAGCGGCGAAGGCATCGCAGCTCGGTGCAGTGGCTGGGATGGCTTGGAGCTGGTCAATATATCCTTGAAGCTCAGTGAGTCGCGAACTTGCATCGTTGTCGGATATCGGCGAGTGGGGACGAGGGGGGTCAGTTAGAGACTGCGACTATACGAGTGGCAGAATCGCTATATCATCACACACGATACCGAGAAGTTCTGGCGCGAGCGGTTGATTTTGTGGATCGATCGGCGTGGTTAGTCACATACCCAGGAGTCCGTCAGGTACAGGGGTTCGATGAACATGCACTCGTTTGATGGGCTCGTCGACATGCAGACACCAGCGGTTGGTCTCTGAATAAACAACCATTGCCTTCATCAAGTCAATTGCTGCGTTGGTGGTGTCTTTGGAGGACGATCGCGTCCCTAGAGTTCCGTATGAAGCCGAGCGTAAGTCTCCCAGTCGAGATCGTCGTGGGCTTTGGACACGGAGTCCAGGTGCCCGGTCAGTGCAGATAGAGCACTTTTACCTGGTGGCACGGGGAGCGCCAGATTCTTCAGCATCCTATGGACGTTCGAGCGAGTGTTGATCTTCTCGTAAGACTCTGTGGACGGGCCGCAGATCGGAACTCCGAGTATCTAGAAAAACAAAGCAGCTGGTGAGAAGCTACTGCGAGGTGTGGCAAGGCCGTTGGTGGATGAAACGGTGGCTTTGGCGAGGCTGCCGAGTGGTGTGAGGCCACGACGCACACTGCATCTGCGCCTCCTCACCGAACTCAAGGTAACCTCGTCTTCTGTGACGACATCGACAACAAGCAGCGCCGGGCGCATCTTGATCATTTCCCTGATCTGGTTGAGGCAGCGGGTGCTCGCAACAGTCATTTTTGTGAGCGAAGCATCGCGCGGATAGTGCTCGGCGCACTCTGGGACGACCATCTTGATGCGTCCGTTTGTCAGCGGATTGCGGTCCGAGAAGCCATGTCCTGTCAGATACAATGCAGGGCTTCAGTCAGTACTTTTCAAGACACCAGAAACGATACAGAGCACTGTGTCATACCAAGAAACTTTCGGTAATACTCGGTAAGGGTGTCGTCAAGATATGTCGTGATGATGATCATGTCGACGCTCTCGTCCAGCAGCATTGCACATCTAAACGGCGAGTACAAAGAAGGCCAGTTTGCTCAGAGACTGTGTTCGCGACTGTGTCCGAGACGATGGCAAAGCCAATGTTTCCTATCGAACCTTCCAAAGTTGATATCTGGTGTAGAATAGCCGTTGTGGCGCCTGTTTGGAGAGAGAACGATGAGGAACCTGATCCAGCGATCGGGTTTGCTATCAGTAGCTGAGGGATCCCATCGGCAAGCTGGATCTGGCACTCCAAGGATCGTACACACTAGCGAGTGAGACTGCGCTCATCGCGGCACAACATAGCCACTAGTGTGCTTGGCATACTAACCTGCTCTGGCCCATAATCTGGAGCCAGTCTCGGATCATGATCTTTCGCAGCCGCGTAAACTTTTTGTAGTGCAGCAACTCGTATTGTTTCTATCGAGCATTACGACGAAAGCGTTGCGGCAGGTCAGTGTGCAGTTCGCAAACAGAAAGCGAGACAAAGACAAGACGTGACTCCTTTGGCGATACGAGGACGAGACCGCGCTTGCTGACGACCCAATCAACCGACTCGATGATCTCATTGGCTTGGACATACCTTCATGGAGCTCATGAGCAAGATTCTCATTTTCTTGACTCGCCAGTGCTTTACCAGGGTCCGTTTGGCCCAAAGTCTCCGCAGATACTCGATAAAGTCCCTCCTGTCAAAGATCCAGGTTGCCCGGCCACACATCAGACTCGGCAGACAGTTGAAGTTATGATGAAGCTGCGCACGCGCTGTAGAGCTTCCCTCTGCACGGCTCACCTCAGCACGAACATCCGGAATGTGGACTGGATGATGGTGGCGGCCTTCTCCGTAGCACCGGTGGCTGTGTACCGACGTCCAGGCGTAGAGACTGTGGCCAGTACCTATCATTCCCAGACCGGTGGCCGGCCGGCAGGGTGTCCAGGCTCCACGATTCAGCGATCGAGTACGCCGCATCCATATGCAAACCAGGCGGTCGCTTGTGTCGTTTGCAAAAAATACCTCATCTCTGTTTTCCAGGGTATCCATCAGCTCCTCCTTGGTCAGGGTTCTGAAAAACATTCGATTTGAAACATCGAGAATCGCTTGGCATCGGCATTCGGCCCAAGGAACTGTGGTTTTGACGACATTTGGCAGGATCAGTGCCCTGGTGCAAAACACTACGCAACGGCGTGAAGATGCTGGAGTGCTGCCTCGTGCTGCCTCTGGATATATAGGCATCCGGCCTCTGTCGATCTACACTTCTGCAAGGGGAGAAGTCGATGCCCAAAGAACTGCACCTGAATAAGCCGTGAGAAACTTTTCCAGACTCTCTATGACCCACAAGATTTGGAGCAACGTATCTGGATGCGTGGCAAGGAAGGATTGATACGCCGATGACGATTGGATGAATCGGCCACATAGAGCTGCAATCACCCATCCTTCGGGGCGACGTGCGGTGTGCGGTGAGTTTGCCGTCGATGGCCGTGAGGACAGGTGATAGAGTCGCGGCTGAGGGGTGGGGTTTGGATCCTTGGTGCTCGGCGGCTCAAGAAAGCCCTGGATCTGGAGCAGCTTGCGGGCCCTGCGGTACTCTTCGATAATTTCTGGCAGCGATGCCCACTGCTTCGGTGCGCTGGTGTACATAAACGGTATCTTATGCTATTGAAGCAGGCGGGGTTAGTCGGAATGCGATTCGGTAGCCTCAACTTGGGCTTTCGCGCAGGGGCCGGGCCTTTGTGATGATGTCTATGAGCGGATCAGCCGCCATTGGGGAGATTCTCATGGCAACGATGGCACCCAGCTGACCCCTGGATAGCTGATGCCAATGATCTTACCCAGTGCAAGCGCTTTTCAATCATAAGCTGTCGAGCCCGTCGAGACAACTGGAAAGAGGCGTTCAGCATCCGCGATGATGCCATTGGAGAGGTGAGATCCATGTGAATTCGTGGTCTGTATGGTCCAAGAAAGGTCTCTCGGGTTGCTTTCACATCGCTCTTGAGGGCCGCCGGCATCAGTAGCATCTTTCGTGCGTGAAGTAGCTTCCGCTCGGTGGAGATGAGGAATGGCAGGTCGGTGGAGTATGGGACGTAGCCTCGGTTGATCAGCGACTCGAGTCCGGCCTGACAGCACCCATGCAATGTGGATAGTGACCGTCAGCGTGTGCGGTAGAATTGATTTCCTCCCAACGCAACAGACCGGCTGCTTCTGCGTGCCTGGGTCTACCTTATCTGCGTTAAGTATGAGTTCTTTGGTGTCATGCTGCAAGGGCTGGGGCACCCGTAGTCTGGGTAGCACCGTGGGAAGGTTCTTGAAAACGTGCGAGTTCTTGAGCTTGGACCGGACGGGCCTGGCGGGCTTTCTGGGACTCAGCTCCGAAAACTTTGATGTGACGCCGCGAATCTTTGGCTCGTACAGTGGCGGGAGCTTTGTTCCCAGTAAAGACTCGATGTATTTCTGCAAGACGCCGCAATGGAATCAGACCTGAATAGCCTGCTGTTTGGACAGAGCACTGCACACACTGCCACACAGGAGCACACGACATGCGGCTACGAACCAATCTAACTTCGTTAGGAGCGCCGTACGGAAGCTCGTATGGGATTTCGCACAGTGGTACATCTGCGTCGAGCACGGTGGATGAGTGCTGCATGGCTCACGGAGTGCCTCTGAATGCACGATCGCCGGACTGCTGTGCGAAACCAAGTCAATCGTTACGCCGTCCCATGAGCACTATTACCTTGTTCAGAGATTTCGTCGAGCAGCCTATGGTGTGGAAATGCAGACTTTGGGGTATCCGGGACAAGGATCGGGAAGCCTGAGGGTTTCTTTGAGCGAGCAAACCGCATCGCAGGCGATTTAGGGGCGAACCAGATTGATGTAAGCAACGAGGCAGCGCCGATCGTACCACACGACCGAACGCAAGCACATGTACTGCTTCCCACAATGCATTCGACGTTGATACAAACCCACTCCCTGTGCCAACGGCCCGAATCGCTGCGGGTGTTGCCGGCGGGTGGGACTTGATCATATGCGGCTGGCAGTGAGCTCGGGAGCCAAGCCGCTCTTTCGGGGATGCCGTTGGCAGCTGGACATGGGCTTGCTGGGCGCCGAGTGTTGGCGTGCGGGTGTGTTGCAGGGGCAAGAGTCTTTGCAACCAGCACATCCCTGGCGGTGCTTTCTGCGAATGCCGGTCCAAGCTCGATACGACTACGAGTCTCGACTCTGCATTGGGTGCTTTCGAGCTGGGGCGGCGATAGGCCGTCTGAGGCGCCGACTGACAGAGATCCCATGGTCTGGGAGGTGAACGGCTCAAGTTGGAGCGAGTAAGTAACTGGCGAGGAGGTGATGGACAAGTGCAGAGAGCAGCAGGTTTGCAGCTGAAAGAGGTGGTGGCCAGAGAACGCACTTGATGACAGGACGAATCAGCCGTGAGAGAGGCAGTCGCTGATCTCATCCTCCCAAACCAAACATCTGATTGGCTATTTGCTGCACACTTGACTTTGCAATCGGCTCAGTGTGTTCACGAGCGACATGCTCACTGCATTCATATCGATTGTGGGTTGGGGCGCGACCGACGATCTTCACTCGGAAGCTGCACCAAGCGACATACCCAGTTGACAAAACAGAGGGGCTATGGCACACTACTGCGATATCCCGCCATCTTCCTGAAACCATTGCGGATTATGGAGTGAGAGTTTCTGAATGAATTGTATTTCGGCCGTCCCATTTGTGGGTTGTTGGGTAGAGAGGGGGCCGCTTTGTACACAAGCGATAGGAACGCAGTATCAAGTTTCGCACAGCAAAGGGAAAGCGACGACAAGCCAACGACGAACAACCGCACACATGGCCAGTGGCATCTACGCCGAGGAAGGAATGGGGGTGAACAAGCGCAGCTATGCAGGGACAAATGTGGGCAGGCAGTCAAGCAGACACGCAGTCAAGCGGACAAGTAGTCAAACAGACAAACAGGCATGAAAGGGAACAGATGGGGGAGGGGCGGTTGGTAAAAGACAGAGGGACGCGGCCCAGCGGGACTCACAACCGCCAGCTACTCCGGAAAACAGAATGAAAGAAGCAGAGCACAGGTATCTCCAATTGACTCTGCTTCAGCTTATCGCTGCTCGTTCAGAGTTTCGTCCGTGTAGCTGAATCCGTAGAACTTTTGCTGCAGAGTCTCGGAGAGAGGAGTTCCGTGCGGCAGCGACATTTCGTTGATGGGAGTCTCGGTGAAGAGTGGATCAAAGTTGGACACGTCTGTTTCGGAGGACTGGTGGATGCAAGAAGAATTGAGTGATGACACTGGCTCCACAACCAGCACAACCAGCACAACCAGCACAACCAGCACAACCAGCACAACCAGCCTGTACGTACGACATTGGGCTTGACTGGAGGCTGGACATTCTTGTTGAGAACATCCTTCCAATCGACATCCTTGAAGAAGGGGTGATTTTTGATGTCATCGGAGCCGGTGGGTCCAGAGCCCAGCCGTCTTTGTGGATCACGCTCAAGGAGCTAAAGCAAAGCAAGGGCAGAAGCGCAGTAGCCGAGCAGCAGCGACACATTAGCATTTGTGCTTCGAGGTCTTGGGACAGCATAAACGCATGGCAGACCCACGAGGGCGACAGTATCTCTCATGAAAGCGCTCATTTCTAAATCAAGTCGGATGCACTTTGCTCCTCAGGCATCGATCTGGGAGCCGGCACCGAGCAGTATCCCGATACCAAACTCTGTGTAGCCTTTCGGCTTGCCGTCCGCTTGGCGTCTCAGAACCAAGTCCAGCAAACCTGCCCAAAGTTCCGCGACAGACCCCCTGCGGACCAGGCTACGTACCCCACGAATCAGCGACTGGGCTTCTGCAGATATGCCGTCGGGGAACAGCAGCTGGTTGTGCAGAATCTTCTTGTACATCAATGTCACATTCTCAGAATAAAAGGGCGGAAGGCCCGTGATCATTTCTAGAACCACGATGAGGAGGGGGGGATGAGGCTGATGCAGGCACAGTTAAAGGCAGAGCAAATGCATGCGGCGACCGCCATCACGACTTACCGTAAAACAGGATACCGAGGGACCACCAATCGACGGCGACTCCGTATCCTTCGCCGAGTAACACCTCGGGAGCCAGGTACCTATGCACAGTGGCGTAGGTAGTTAGTTCGTGTCTGCAGCACGCTGGATTGTGCCAGAATACCTACTCGGCCGTGCCACAGAAAGTGTTGGTAGTGTCGCTGGGACTGATGTTTTCCTTGCACAAACCAAAGTCTGTGAGGGCAATGTGGCCATTACAGTCCAGCAGAATGTTCTGACATTGATGCGCCATCGACGACGTAAGGTTAGTAGGGGATGGCGGTCGTGGGATCCGCAGACAAAGTGCCAGGTTATCGAAACGTGGGATGATGATTTCGGCGGCGGGTCACAGGAAGCCAAGCCACATGATGGCCCATAAGGGTCATGGGTCATGGGTCATGGGTCAACCGGACAATGTCCCCTCCTTTGCCAGATGCAACAGGCGACCTACGGCCAACTCGACAAGGTTGTCGCATCCTCCAGACTTACCTCGGGTTTGAGATCGCTGTATGTCACCGCGGAGCCAAGAGGGAAGAGGCAGGGGCGGAGACGAGCATGGGATCAGAACAGGGGCGTTCCGAACAGATTGCTCAACACGGATAGAGCCTGGGCCTTACCGGTAGACGATGTTATCCTTGTGAAGATGCTCGAGAGCCAGAACAAGTTCGCAGACATAGAACTTGGCCCGTTGCTCGGTGAAGGTCTTTTCCTTGGACAGATGGTAGAACAGCTCGCCGCCGTTGATGTAATCCAGGATCAGATACAGGTAGTCAGGGGTCTGAAAGGAGAACTTGAGTCCGACGAGGAAGGGCGATGAGGCACGGATGAGGACGTTGCGCTCCGAGAGGGTGTGGGCGACCTCTTGTCTCTCGACAATCTCTCGCTTGATCAGAACCTTCATGGCATAGACGCGGCCTGGGTCCGCAAATATCGCATTTGTCAGGCGGGTTGTGCTGTCTGGACCGAGGCAGGGCGGATAAGATCCCACAGAATGCGGGGGGGGGGACGGCGATGCGCTACTTACCAGTGTCCTTCTTGCGGACCTGGTAGACCTTTCCAAAGCTTCCCTTGCCGATGACCTTGAGGACATCAAAGGTGCTGGCGTCCAGCGATCTCGGCTTGATTGTCTCGTACATGAGCTGGATTCGCAGCTCGCCCTTGGCCTTGTTGCGTCCGACAACAGGCAGAAGCCTGTTGGGAAGGGTAGGAGAAGCGATGGCGCTGTTACATCGAGGGCCATCCATCCAGCGCCAGGGAGCCTCCATCCAACGACCGACTGCCATACCGTACCTGAACCAGCTATCGTGGATTTTGCCGCTGATGGGTGTGGGCAAGATCTTCATCGTGCCCATAAAGATTTCTCCCTCGGCTCCGTTGTCGGTCGAGCGGTCCCAGATTGTGATGGTCAGCAGACTCCCGGGGCGAGAGACATCGCTGCGAGAAGGCCGGCGGAGAATCGCATTAGATATGATCGAGGGAGTCTGGAACCACCAGCAGCAGCAGCAGCAGCAGCAGCAGCAGCAGCAGCAGGCGACGAAAGCCAGGCCCGGCCTTACAAGGTGGCGGCATGATGCCAGACGGGGCAGACGACGGCATTGCCGTGGGTGTCGGCAAAGATCTGCTCTGAGATCTTGGCCTCCTTTGTGACGAGCTCGTTCCGGTCGAACTCGACGACGCAGTAGAGCCGGGGATTGGCCGACTTTTTTGGGATGTTGCGGGCCTCCATGACCCGGATTTTGAGTTGTGCCGAGACGGCCGATGAGGTCTGCGGACCCGCAGCGGGCGGCGGCGAAGGCGAGGTGGATTCTGCAGCCATACCGGAGGCAGGATATGAGGATGTGGGGGGGGGGAGCCTCTTGAGAGTGATGAAGTGCAAGCGATGGGCCTGGGCAGCGACAGCAGCGGGACAGAAAGCGGCGACCAGCGAGGCAGGCGGGGTTGCCCAAAAACGCACAAGCCCGTCGTCTCACGAAACAGATGCTCAGTACTTTCTCTTTTTGTGCTGTGAGACAAGCCAGCAGTCAAAGGCGGGTTGTCGTCAGAGACGCACAGCGGCCGCTGGCGATCTGTCCGGGCTGCAGCTGGGCGATCGAGTTGGGGAGGAGCCTCGCCGGCTGGGGACGACTGCATGAGAGGATGGGCGGGGGATCGAGCCACAGCGGCAGGGACGGACGGGGCTGGACGGGACGGGACGATGGCCACATTCTATTGACGAGCCGCAGAGCACACATGGCCGACTTGCCAGCGCAGCGGGAAGACGGCCGGATTCTGCATCGCAGCCGCTCTTATTTTCGCTTGGGTTTGGTGCGTGTATGGATCTCAAATTGATCGATGTACTGGCGAGGCAATGGGTGGTGGGGCGGCGATGGGTGGATTCCTGCGTTAGTTTCCAGCCCGATGGCAAGGGCACTGGTACGCACCCGAGAGCGAGCATGCCCTTGGGGCTGGCCTGCCTACCTTATCATGTCGCAGGGATCCATGGTCCATACAGTCGATATAGAGCTTGCCGTCGAGATGATCGACTTCGTGCTGGACAATCCGGGCGAGGAGGCCGTGGAACTCGTTGCTGACCTGCGGATCGATAGCACAGATTCGAAGCAGCTCAGTATGGGGTGGCCGACCCGATGCAACAGCCATGCAGACGCAACAGCCCAAGCGGCCTGAGCAGCAGCGTGCCTACCTCTTTTCCGTCCAGATCCAGAGATTTGACCTTGACCGACTCGGCCCGCTTGACGAGGGCATTGTACGAGGGGACCGATTCGCAACTCTCATAGTCCGAGACCCAGTTGCGTGCATCCGTGTCCACGATCGTCACCTCGGGATTGACCATGAATGTCAGTGGGAAGGGCTTCATGTTCTTCTCCTTCAAGGTCTTTGAGTCTGTCACCTGGACAGCGATCAGCCGGACTGAATGGCCGATCTGTGGGGCCGACAGGCCAATGACGGGGGTGTATGGCGACGAAAAGACCTCCTTCATTTGAGAAACGATCTTTTTGAATTTCGGTGTCGTGAGCTCGGCTGGAGAAACGGGATCGGCCTTGAGTCTCAGCAGAGGGTGGCCGGCGCGCAGGACGGTGGGAGGGCGCTTGAGGGCATATCGGACGGTTTGCAGGATCGACGGCATGGTTGGCGGCTGGCTGGATGGCTGGATGGCTGGATGGATGGATGGGCACCAAGACGAGGAAGACTGCGATCGCGAAAGCAGAAAAGTGGGAACGAGGCTGCGCGACTGCGGTGGCACAAGAGGTTGTTTCGGAGCGGGCGATTCGATGGCAATGGCGGTGTGCTATCGAGGAAGAGGGAAATGAGAACAAACAGAGGCAAGACAGCTGGGCAGGTCAGAGGGATAGTGTCGCAGTGCGGCAGAGAAGCGAGAATAATCAGCAGGAACAATCAGCAGGAGTATCGAGTAGGAACAACATCAGCAGGAACAACCAACGAGGGTATCGAACAGAACAATTAGCAGGAACAACCAACGAGGGTATCGAACAGAACAATTAGCAGAAACAACATCAGCAGGAATCGGCAAGCAGCATACGGCGATATGCCACCTGCAATCTCGAGTGGGAAAGTGCAGTCAGAGCGCCAAAATGGTGAGCAAAAAGCGTTCTCCCAAACAGGGAATCGAACCCTGGTCGCCCGCGTGACAGGCGGGAGTACTAGCCACTATACTATTTGGGATGCTCTTGTTGTTTCAATTCCATCAGACACGCTACTAATCATTACCTATCTCCGATCGTGCATCCAGAGCCAAAAACACAGCAACAGCTCAAGCCAAGACCTGTCTCGTCCGAAACATGCTGATTCGGCCCAGATTCAGTCTCTGTTGGGGCCGTTTGGCCGCGATCCTGCAGATCCTTCTGCGTCCTCAACAAGGAGACATGCAGCCACCCGATGGCCAGCCACAGCCCGCGGCTCATCCTCCCCGGCTCGCCCTCGTCCCTGTCGCTTCCTCGCCTGGCCCTCGTTTGCTGGGCTTGCCGTTTTTCGTCCTCGTCCTTTGGCTCTGGCTCCTGAAACCATGCGTCCCAGCAACCCTGGCCAGCATGGCCGTCCACCAGCATCGCTGCCCTATGGAACACACCCTGCCGGATCCTCGTTCGTTGAGCATGGCCAAGATCCTGCCTCCCCAGTGAGCGGCCGGCGCTCTTCCTTCGGTGCCAATCCCCCTCCAACCCAGCGACTTCCTGATGCAGCCCACCACCCAACTCCCTCGGCCCTGCATCCTTCCCAGTCATGTGTATATCAACAAGACGATCATTTGTACCCCCAAAATCCATATCAACAGCACTATCCCCCAGGACCATATCGCCATCCCGGGCCTTATCACCATTCTGGTCCCTATCATCCTCCCCGTCCACACCCCCAACAGCATCCACAACATTCATGGCCACAATCTCATCCAGCCCAGTTCACTGAACGGCCTCCGCCTGAATATCACCCCGGATATCACCCCGGATATCACCCCGGATATCGCCCTGGATATCACACTGGTCCTCAACATCACCATCCAAGCGACGATCCTTACATCCAAGAACGACCACCCACATACGCTTATCAGCCACCTGCAACAGCTTACCAGCCACCTGCAGCACTCTATCGGCCTCCTCCTTCTCCTTACCATCATTCTCCTGCTTCTTATCGATACAATGATCCCTTTCCAATTCAAGGCGGTGCGCTCCAGCACCCTCACAGCGACCTTCCAATCGCAGCCGGCCCTGAGTATATAGTACCACAGCCTCCGTCCGAGGAATATGTCTTTCCTCCCAAATCTCCGGCTCGCAGCGACTACTGGTGCCGATGCAATCTTTGCCGAGATCATCCCGACGGTGGCATGCGAGTGAGCCGAGCAACGTACTACGGTCATAACAGGGATCATGGATATCCTCCGGGTGAAAGCCCCATCAACCCTTACAAACGCAAATCCACCTCTGTGAGCCAGGCATCCGAGTCAGAGGCAGGCCCTTCACGGCCACTCCGAAACGACACCTTCGATCATCCCGTACGCTCAACAACCAACGATCCTGTTGGCACATCCAGCACGTCTCTTGGAAAGCGAGCGAGGGACCAAGTCGCGGATCAAAGGCGCACTCGTCCTGTACTCGAACAGCCATCCCGCGATCAGCCACAAGCCACCGTGCGCATCGTAGTGGATATTGATGGGACAGGTACTCCCCGGTGTGTATTGATCCCTTCGGTGGAAAATCGTGAGTGTCTTCATTTGGATCGCTGAGGACGTCTTTGGTCTGCTCGACTGGACTCGACCTGACTCTGCTTGTGCGCTTGAAGGAGCAGCTTCACTCGAGACTGAGCCCATTTTGTCGTTGCGACAGGGGTGATGGAAGGCGAAAGCGAGCCGCATCCTCAGTCCTTCATGGCCATGTCCAACAATAAAACTGCGCGAAACGACATCGACCTTGTTGAATCGGAAAGCGATAATGAAGATGAGCTCGTTTTTGAAGATTTTTGGATGATTGCCAGAGAAATCAACCTCCCCGCTCCGGCCACCATCGATGATCTTGATCGGTTGAACAACGACGACGAAGGCAGTGTGGATGACATCGAGCAGAGCGCCAATGTCGCTGCAGAGAACGGTGGCGCCATGCCAGACGACGATATCCACTTTCGCGACATTGTTGCGTTGGATGAAAGGCGGATCAGGGCTGTGCTGGAAGCCGATCCCGATGCCGACCTCTCCGACAACTCGGCCGATGGAACCACAGCTATTGGCGATCTCGACGGCTCTGCGAGTGGCAGCAATCTGGCTCCGACTGGGCAATACTCGGCCCAAGGAAGGATTGCTGGTGCAGACTACCCCCTTATCGCCCCAAACCCCCTTCATCACGCCACCCCAAACATGTCCGATAGCAGCGATAGCGATCCAAACTTGGACGATCCAGACCTGCCGAGCTTTGGAGCTGGAATGTTGGCTTTGAAGAAGCAACACCGACTGTCGAATGAGGCAGTTGATTCAATAATTAAGATGTACAATCAAGTTCTTCATCCAAGTCAACCCAAGGTTCCAAGTTACAGAGTCCTTCGGAGACGCTTCTTGCACCGTCGAAAGCTCCGATGCTCTCGAATCGACTGCTGTCGGCACTCATGCATGGCGTTCAGCATGGCTCGTGGTCTGGACAAGTGCAGTCACTGCAACTCAGAGCGATACCAGCAAGCAAGAGCGGGCCGCCCCCAATGCGCCCACAGGAGGTTTACGTCCATGTCGATCATATCCCGCCTCGAGGCTCAGTTCCAATCGAAGGCAATGGTGCAGGCCATGCTATACCGCCACGATCGAATCGCTCAGCCAAGTAAGTATTGCACCACGTTGCTATCGACTCAGGTGCCGGCGCTGACAGTTGCTTCCTCCTTGGTTCAGATGTCATACACGATGTGTTCGACGGAGAGTTCTACAAGTCTCTGAAAGCGCAGGGCCTTTTCTCTCAGTCCACCGACGTCGCCCTGTCGTTGACCCTTGACGGATTCAGAGTATTCAAAAGGTAGCGTTCTGGCTTCGTCGTTCACCACAAATGCGTCGTTGCTCATCCCAATGGTATCTCAACAGGAACAGCTATCAGTGCTGGCCATTTGTGCTTGTGAACTTGAACTTGCCACCGAGAATCCGGTACAAGAGAGAAAACCTCATCGTCGCGGGGATCACGCCTGGTCCGCGAACGCCAAAGGACCTGGACTCGTTCCTGTTCCCTCTCGTACAGGAGCTGAAGCAGCTCGAGCAGGGTATGTCCATCTCGGATCAGCACGAAAGCAGTTGCGAAGCAAGCAGTATCTGACACTGTTGCGCATTGATGGCAGGTGTCAAGATGAAGAAGATCATGCCAGACGGGAGGCTCGAGGAGTTTACCCTGTGAGCCCACATCATCTCGTGCACAGGCGACCCCTCGGCAATCGCCAAGATCTCCAAGATGGGAGGACATATGAGTCGCTACGGGTGTCGGTTTTGTACCGTCAGAGGAGTCAAGAAAGGCGGAATGTGCTTTCCCGACACATCATACATGGCCCCGAGAACCAAGGGGCAGTTCAAGTCCGTGTATGCCCACATCGCTGCCAACCCAAGCAAGAGAATCAACGACCAGGAGAGAGAGACGAGACTGGGTAAGGTGTCTGCAAACCAGCTGGACAACAGGATAGAGTCTCTATTGGTGCTACCACTCGATCTGACCCCATCTGGTTGGCACTAGGGATCGCTGGCAAGCCTATCCTCAGCACGCTCAAGTCCTTCCATCCTCGCGCATGGTTCCCTGTCGACCCGATGCATCAGTTTGAGAATGTCGGAAAGCAAATGTTCTGTGTCTAGGTTGGCAAAAAACCTGCACCTGGGCTGTCCATCTTTGGTGAACGTGCCCTCAAACATCGGCGAAATAGCCGGGAAGTTGATGCTCAAAATTGAGATCCCGTCGTCCTTTGGAACTCGACCTGGTGATATCAACGAAAAATACACCACTTTCAAGTCGGAAGAATGGAAGAACTGGATCGTCATGTATTCGCTTCCTGCGCTGTACTGCGCCAATCTCCCAGAGGAGCATCTGTAAGTTGAGATCGGTGGTTCGAGTTTGCAGCTCCATATCCCACTCGATCACACTTGATCAAACTCGCTCACCTACTCGCCACTTCAATCTCGGCAGCGAGGGATGGGGCTACTTTGTGGACGCAGTGCGGCTGATGATCCAAAACAGCCTCGACACTGGAGATCTCCAATTGATCAAGGTCTTGATTTCCAAGTTTTATCGATACTACACCAGGTGGGTGCAGTCGCTCAACCCTCTCGGACGGCAACAATGATGTCGGCGCTCCAGTATTACTGACACTATATGCTGATTTGTGGACAGAGTCCTGGCAAAGCTCGGCGATATCGCCGGAGTCACCGACGAGGGAATCAAGCTGATGACCATCACGATTCATAACCTGCTGCACATGCCCGAATGCGTGACAATGAATGGGCCGCCGTGCTACAATTGGCAGTTCTTCATGGAGCGGTTTGGCGGATTGCTGATGGGCATGGTCAACTCTCGATCCAACCCTCTCGCAAATATCGAGATGGAGCTCAACACAATGACGGCCATTGATCAGTACAATTCCGAAAGACAACCCATCGGCGACTCGGACCAAGATCAGCAGACACTCGTTGAGGACACCAGTAACGTGCAGAGCTTCCTTATTGCGAGCTCTATGTACATGTTCAAGATGAAGATTGGACTTTGGGGTCTTGATGATGCCATCAAAGGGAAGTTGGTGGATGGCTATGCTCAGTTTCTCACCGAGGAACAGTGGCATATCCATCGGCTACTCGGACCCGAGTTGAGAACGGAGGTGCTGCGAGAGCTGTCAATGCACCGACGTTCTTCGGTTGGAGACGCCTATTTGATCATGAAGCGTGGCGATCTGACGGTCGAAGGATATGAAGTACCAAAACGACAAGGCTCAAGGCTGAACAGCCGAGTTCGGGTTCGTAGATTCCCGCATTGCTGCAGTGCTTTGTTTGGTCGAGATTCAGGTTGAGGACTGACGGGTTTTTGGTTGATAACAATATCCAGATTCGAGCGTTCGATACTCTGAGAGAGTGCTTTGTGACAAGATACGCTATTGTCCTGCGCTTCTTCAAGCACCAGTTCCGTGGAAAAGAGAAGCACTGGGCCTACTGCAATGTTCTGGATGATCCAAGCCAGCTCGGCGACGACGGAGAGTATCGACGATGCAAAATCACAAAAACCATTCGGGTCAGCTCGGAAATACAGTGGACACGTGCATTTGTGCCAGTGGAGTGGATAGAGACCACAGTTGCACTCCTCCAAGATGGTGACGGTAAGCGAGCAGATCGAACACGGGCCGCCTGATATTCGGGATGGACACTCACCAACCCTGGCGCGGATATGCTCTGTTGCAGATATCTTCTTCCTGGACGGCGAGAACCACGCCAAGTATATCCGTCAGGACACATCGAGGGAATATGCTTGAGTGCGGAGCTGGTTGAATACATGCACGAGTGATCAACGGCAGTGGGTGTGGATCGAGATCCAGAAACCGGCGACGAGCAGCGCGCCAATGTGTGTGTGTGTGTGCGAAGTTTTCTTGGCCACCTGTGCGGTTCCTCTCTTGTCCGCTCTTCGTTCATCTGGACACTGGATCCTCGCCCTCCAAGACCGAGCTCGCAACATGGGAGCCGAGACAGACACCGAGACAGTCCTGACTCCAGATCAGCTCGATCGCATTTCCAAGAACCGAGCGGAGGCCCTGACTCGACTGCAGCTCAAGTCCCAAAGTCTGCCGCCGCCATCGTCGCTCCATCAGAACCAGAGCGACAACCAGAGCCAGAGCCAGAGCCAGAACCCGCTGACCACAGCCAGCCCAGGAACAGCGCCCAACTCGCATCCCGTCCCAGGCGCTACCTCGGATGGCTCTCCAGCTGCGGCTGCATTGCCTGGCCCAGCGTCGGCGAACCCGGTGCCGGCAGAACAATCGAGCGGGGCTCCGGCCGATGCTGCTTCCGGCGATGTCGCCAAGCCCTCCCAGTATCAGCGGCGGAAACGGGCGCTGGAGTATTGTAAGTAGCATTCAGTTTCAGCGGAGAGGGGTACCAAGTGTCGCTTTCTTTGTCACCCCCTTTCAGGAGACGAGAAGTATTTGGTTCTCTCAAATTATGGGGGGGGGGACACTCCTCGTTGACGGCATCTGCAAACAAATCCCATCCCCTCTCAGGCGAATACAACTTGACGACAATGGTCGATACCAAGGGCGGGTTTCTGTATTCCACCGAGCCCGAGGACAAAAAAGCCAAGATAGACGACCAGAGCAAGCCGGCGAAGGAAGGCAGGTTTCTGGGCCGGAGCGGATGTGCCAGTGAAGCAATTCGCCTCCACCGATTTGAACTGCTTCATCCCACATCCGGTATTGACTGACTTGGGTTATCTCTCTGCTCGCTTCGGCACATACTTGCCTGCACTCGTTGGAACGATCTTCCGATACCAAATCTCAAACCCGCTGGCTCATAATCCACTCACCAACCAACCATCTCCAAACTGGATCCATCGATTTCATCCCAACACAACCCAACCCAACCCAACACAACCCAACACAACACAACACAACACAAGACAACACAACACAACACAACACGATCCACCTCCATTTCTCGACTTCGTTGCATCCGTGCATCTGTGCATCCTCCAGCCTTCGACCCCGCTCAGCTCGGCTACCAACCGCAGTGCTGCGAGTGCCAGTCATACGATATCCACTTTGACTATCTGAGGCATTTTGGCGTCTCGGTCTGCAAAAAGTGCAAGGACACCGAGCTCTTTTCGCTCCTGACCAAGACCGAGTGCAAGGAGGTGAGAGCGAGAATGCAGCGCGAGCGCAAGGACCTCGGGACCAGTGCTTTGCTGTCGCCGTGCAATGAGATCGTTGCTTGATTCCCTTGGCGACTCGGCGGCCGGTCAGTGCTGAAATGACTATCGCCATCTATCGTCCGAGAGGTAAAGTCCATCAAACTGATCCTATCTGTGTTGTATCCGACCCATGCACAGGACTACCTGTTAACGGATTGTATGTTGTCTGGCCACGCTGGTCGTTTTTGCGATTTGGCCGGTGTCTGGTGCTGACCTCGAATCTTGGTGCTGACCTCGAATCTGGGCATCGGATTGGACAGGCGAACTCAAGGATCGGGCCAAGGTCCGGGTATGGGAGAGACCCAACCCACACAAGTCGACCTGGGCGCCAATGCAGCTGTTTTTGCGCAAGCAGGTGAGATTCGCTCCGGCCGCTGCCCCCCCCCTCCTGCCACCACGCACCGGCTGCACCACCCGAATCTCTGGTTCCGACATGGATATCTCGGGTTGTCTGCTCCGGTCTGCTCTGCTTTTGTTTTGGTTTTTTGTTGTTGCTCTAGCCACACATTCTTCCACTCTCCAAAATGCCGCGGCTGGATATCGCGCCGCTTTGTTTCCAGTCTTCTGATCAGAGACGTAGGCGCTATGGATAGTGACTCAAGATACCGAGTGCTAATCGTTAGTTGGATGTTGTCTTCCGTAGGTTGAAGCCTTTGCCTGGGAAAAGTGGGGCAGTTCCGATGCCCTTGATCAAGAATTCGAACGGCGCGATCGAGAGAAGCGCGAGAAGGCCGAAAAGATGCAGAAGGAGAAGATGAAGAGTATGTACCAAAACAAAACAAAACAAAATCGGGGAGGAGGGGAGGGAGAGAGAGAGAAGGGTAACATTCAGCTCAAGAGCATCGCCCATGGACGGGATTGCCATTGAAAAGCCGCGTTGGACGCGAGCTAGCTTATCCATGTCAATCTTGGTAACTCATCTCGGCTTGCGCCTGGCACCTGCTTCAACCCAGCACTGAGACGGACGACAATGACGAGTGTCTATCGCAAGCCCAAGTCACAGGCGCACACCCACGAGTACGGACCTGGAGTCTACAGCGCCGAGGCTGACAAGTGAGTCGCACGCCGATTCCATTGGTGGCATCACTGCCAGATGCGCCTGGAGCCGCGAGCATGATTCCTCGGCAAACATCCGCGCGCTGCTCGCCGGGACTTTGTTCCTTTGGGTGCATTTGGCCTTGATGCCTCTTTGCTATTCAGCCCCCCGCCGCTCTCGTCCTGACATTGGGCTTCCCATATAATTCGCTCCACGGACATGTCCGTAGCTTTACACAAACCTGCAGTATCTGCGGGGCCACCCAGACGTACGATGAAATCTGACGGAAGGAGGATCAAGTCTCGCGTCACTGCGGCGCACACACACACATATCATCACACATCGCATCATACATCTTATGACCCATCAAATCAATACATATCCACCACCGAACACCGCCTGCGATTCTGTGTTATGTGGCAGGGATGGTTTCATATCTCGCCCAGGGTATGATCTCATGACCTCGGTATGTCGGCCGATCATCGCCGCCGGAGATCGACTGGGTTGTATTCAAAACGGTGCTCTCCCAACCGACAGCATGCACAGGTTGATGTGAACGACACCCATTTCGCTGCGAACAAGCTGTACAAATCAGTGTGTCCTCCACCCCATTTAGCATGAGTCATAATGATATTTGATAATGATCATAAGAGTAATGATGTGGAAGAGAACTGGAGGACTAGAAAAGAGGAGAGAGGATAGGGAAAGAGAGAAGCAAAGGAGGAGAATAGAAGGGAATAGGAAAGAAAGAGGGACAGGTTGTTGTTGCTGGGGGTGGGTGGGGTGGGAAGCCCGCTCATGGAGTCTAGGACCAGCCTTGCCAACAGACTTGGGTCAGCGGCATTGGTTGATCGACAGCCGCTTCCGTTGGGCTGATGGGTCGAGAGAGGGGCAAGTGCGATCCAAGATTCGATGTGGATACCGTCGCTCCGCTGGCGCAGAGCGATGGTTCATAGACAGCATCTTGGTCGGTGCTCAAGGCTAACTCAATGACGGACGGGGCAACTGCGGACTGGACCGACGGCGGGCTTGGCTCACCCTCGGCTGTTGGGAGTGTGGTGAAAGGGGAGGATGGGCGGAAAGGAGCAGTAACAGACTTGATACATAAACATATACAGCGGGGGGGGGAGTTCCAGCACATAAACAGGCTTGATGGACTTTGGCCATGCATAATGAGCGCTCGATCAAAGAGCGTCCAAGACGTGGTGCGGCTGGTGCATGCTACGAGAGCGGCTGCACGACACAACCAGACAGGCAACTCGAGGCTGAGCCACCTCAGTAGTCGTTCATGTACTGGTCTCTCAGCACAAAGTACGAGTTGGTGACATTGAAGGGCGAGGCCTCACGGTAGTTCTCGAGAATCTCGGGATGGATTTCGTCGCCGTCGGAGGATGTCAGGCTCAGGCAGAACAAGTGAGGCATCATAGCCAGGGCCGATCTCAGCGTGTCGGCCGTCAGCGGAGGTTCGTCCATTTCATCCTTTTCGTCGACATAGTCCAAGCGGAGGGAGCGCAGCTGCGAGCCGTACTGGCCGATGCACATCAGCAGACTGTTGGTGATGGCATGGATGCCGATCTGGAAGACACGCAGTCGCGGCAGCACCGTCCCCAGAAAGGCAAAGAGGTGGGTGTCGTCCTGGTCTTCGTAGTAGTTGCAGGTGCCCAGGGCCAGGGACTGAATCCGCGGCATGCACTCGACCACGCCGCGAAAGACCAGCGCCGGGTCGAGATCGGACATGTCGAGCTCGAGAATACGCAGGTTCTGGGCGTCCTGGCAAAAATCGGCAAAGCCTTCGTCGGTCAGGCTCCAGTTGGGGTATACAATCAGGGTCTCGAGCCGCGGCAGCATCTTGAGGACGATCCGGAAAAAGCTGTCGTCGAGGTTGGGGCACGAGTTGACGTCGAGGACGACAATGTTTGGTGCATTCTGGAAGAGGACAGCCATCTCGCTCGGGGTCAGGGGCGACTCAGACACCTCGATGGCGCGCAGGTTGGGACCGACGGCATAGGGCACAATCTTCCAGAAGGACTCTTGCCCTGGGAAGCTGTCCACGTAGGCATTTTCGATCTGGCCGAGATCGAGGACCTCGAGCTTGTGGATACCGTGGGCAATCTTGCCGTAGTTTTCGGGGGTGGGCTCCATCCGGGGCTCGGCCGGATAGTTGAGAAAGCACTGCACACCCATCAGGTTGGGACAGTGGACAAAGAGGTGCTCCAGATGCTTGACGCCGACCTCAAACCCGTAGACGCAGATGCGGCTGAGGTTCGGGGTGGCTTGGGTGATGATCCGGAAACACTCGCGCGAGATGCGCTGGCGGTATGGTGTCATGGCGTAGTCCTCCATCAAGTTTCGCGGGATGGATGAGTGGAACTGCATCCGCATCTCGCGGACGTGATACAGCGGCTGGACCGACGGCCGGAACATCGGAGAGGCACGAATGAAGCGTCGCTTCCGGCGGTGGGTGCTCTGGTGCTGTGAATAGGGCAGATGCTGGATATGGCTCTGCTGCAGCCGATACGGTGAGTGCTGCGGGTGACCTGTCTGTTGTGGGTACTGCGGATGGGCAGGGTATTGAGGATACTGCGAAGCGCTGGGTGGATAGGGTGCATTCTCGATGCGACCGGCCAGCCATGACATGTTGGCGGTGGAGGCGAGCCGCTGGGCGACCTGGAGCTCGGCCAGGTACCAGATACATCGCATGGAGAACTTTTCGAGACACTCGGGGCTCCAGAGCACCGGGACCTGCCATAGCATCTGGGTTGCGACTTGGTTCCACCAGCGATTGACAAGAGAGCAGCTAGCGAGGTTGTAGTGGCTCTCGCGGCTGGTCAGGTCCGAGGAGTAGGGCCGATAACCAGACGGGCCGAAGCGGAAGAGGATGTGGCGAAGAATTTCTTCGGGCAAGTTTGCCGCCGGGGAGTATCTGGGGCGCTTGGCGGCAAGCCGGGTAAGGGGCAGGTCGGAGGAGGAGGAGGGAACCCCGGGGATGATCGGGCTGGAATCCATGGCGACGAGACTGGAGCCTGCAGCGGCCCGCTGGACAGGAAGGGCTGCAGAGTCGGCGCTGTTGTGGTGGTTTTGAGAGTGAGAGACCCATGGCGAAGACGACGATGGCAGTGATGATGACAGTGGCAGATGCGATTGTGGGGTTGGTAGCAGAGGGGTGAAGGGCACGGGCAGCGCCGTCGGCGACTCTGAGGACGAGCAGCCCCCGTCCGGTGTGAGGCGATCTCGGAGGAGATGGTGCTGGTGGGAGGACAGGGGGTAGGAGGAGGGAGAGCATGAAGAAGGCGGACACGACGACGAGGCGTCCGAGGGCGGCGGGTAAGGCAGGGCATAGGAGGCCGAGGTGTAGGTCGGGGGTGAGGGCAGGCTCGAGGATGTGTAGTTGGGGGATCTGGCGGCTGGGGAGGCGGAATCGTCCATCCTGCGGTCGCCATCGTGGTCGCCATCGTGGTCGTGGTCGTGGTCGTCCGAGTCGCTGTCATCGTTGCGATCATCGTCGGGCGGCGGCGGATGGGGCTTGAACTTCCAGTCGTCGGGAATGGGGGAAGATGGCTTTGGGAAGACTTCGACACAGGACTGGAGAGCGAGCAGGGCAGCGTCGATGTCGATGCAGCGCTGGACGTAGGGATACTCTGGGATAGTCTGCAGATAGTCCTGCAGCTCGATCAGGTCGGCCTTGAACTCGGAAATGACTCGCAGACAGGTGTGCAGCGTGGCCACGACAAAGAACTGGGTCTCGGGAAACTTGCGCTTATGGTAGCCAAAGGGGTTTCGGATGGTGGCATCTGGGGCCAAGGGCTCGCCACGGTAGGTTCTGGGGTTCATAGCGGATCTGGGTGCCTGGCGATGGGAGAGATGGTGATATGGGAGAGACGGGAGAGACGGGAGAGACGGGAGAGATGCAGAGTTGCTCAGACGGGGCAAGCCTGCCGCGAGAGGGGGTATGCACAAAGAGACGAGGCGGGAATGCTGCGAGGGTCGATGATTGGATCGGAGGGATCTGGATTGGGGGAGGGGAATGGACTGGGAGCCCTACCTCGGACAGAGATGGCCAAGGACGAAAGCAAGATCAATGCAAGTGAGGCCTGGTGCGAGTAGATGGAGGAGCACTGATGCTGACGGAGTGGTGCTGATGGAGTGATGCTTGGGCACAAGACAGACGACCGTCCAGATGAGCGACGGGGATTTAGGACCGAGGTTGGAAAAGGTACGAGCCCGGAGCTTGGAGGGAAGGGGGGTGGAGTACCGGACAATTCGCTGGGATCGGGCAACGGAGCAATACGGATGAGAAGGCAGACGAGCAACGGGCCAAGTCGGGGACTGCAGGGATGATATGCCGGGGGAGGGCGGAATGAGAGGGAAGGAAGGAAGGGTTGCTGCGGCGATGTCAGGGCAGTGTGCAGCTGAGTGGGCAGGCAAGCGTGAAGGATAATATGCAGGAGAATGTGCAGGATAATATGCAGGAGAGTGTGCAGGATAATGCCCAGATTAATGCCGGAGCGGGGTACGGGACAGAGGACGGAGCGAAGGTCTCCATGGACTGGCCCGAGCAGACCAGGGGACGGCGGCAGCAGACACATACATGGCAACAGGCGGCAGCAGGCGGCAACAGGTGGCAACAGGCAGGTGGAGCAAGGGCACTCGGGCAGCAGAAGACGGGGCAGGACCGGGCAAGGGCCGGGCAAGGGCTGGGCGAGACCAGCAGACGACAAGTGGGCAACAAGCAGAGACAAGCAGAGACAAGCAGAGACACACAGGGACTGACAAGCTGACACGGCCGGCGGAAGGGGCGAGCGAGGAGGAGGGGAGGGCGGGGGGCGAGAAGGAGAGCGAGAGCATGTGCGCAGAGCGAGAGAGAGCGAGAGATGGTGGATCAAAACGAACACACTCAAACACACTCAAACACACTCAAACACACTCAAACACACTCAAACACACTCAAACACACTCAAACACACTCAAACACACTCAAACACACTCAAACACACTCAAACACACTCAAACACACTCAAACACACTCAAACGCACCCAAACGCCCAAACACAAACACCAGAGCATCCACCGCCGTTGTCGTGTCGGCGGTCTGCACTGGCACGTTGTTGCCGCAGCGCCATGTATTGGTCGCACGAGAACGACCACCCGAGTCCGCCAAGCGACACAGCGCTGTCGCGGTGCTCCGCAGACTCAGTGGCGCACAGGCAGGCACGCCGCCGCGCACCGGCGCTGACACCTTCAGGGCGCACCCGTTGGCCGCACCGACGCCCCACTGTGCATGCGCGGCCCGGTGGCGCCGGCCCCTGCTGCGGCGCCGCTGCCTTGTTGCCGCTGCGGCGACCCGTTGTATGGCTCGCTGGGTGGCCGCCAGCCACCGACGCGCTGGCTGCACCACTCAGCGGTTATTTCATTATTGCGGCTTGGCTCATGGGTCTGCGGCCTCGCGCGGCCTCTCGCTGCGTCTCGCTCCGTGGCTGGCTGCGTCTCGCTTCTCGCCCCGCCCTCGCCCGCTGAGCCAATAAACAGCCCGATCAGGCGATCCATCGGCGTGACCGTCCCCGGCCTTGCTGTCCTCCGGCTCCAATCACGGCCTGTGTCTGCGCCAGGGCCAAGGGGTGGTCTGCTGCCTGGGGAAAGGGGGAAGGAGCCATGCGAGCAAAGGCATGCCCGTGAGGCGAAAGCGCGGCGACGTGGCTCCATGTCCCCACTTGTGCATTTCAAATGCCACTCCCATCCGCTCCAGCACGGTGCTGCTGCTGCAACTGCAAACCCATCGAGTAGTGCAGCAGATGTCGCATCAGACCAGATATCCCCCCTATCAGTCCAGATATCCCCCCATCAGCCCCCAGAACCATCCGCCCGCGTCGGCATCCGTGTCGGCCCAAGGACCCACCCTCCCTCTTCCCCACCACATCCGCATCGGCGTGGTTACTCCACCGCCCGCACGAGACCAGCAACCGTGTTCGGCCAAGGCCGCCTGTCTTTTGCTGTGCCACGCCGTGACCCCCCGCCGCCAAGGCATTCCTCCGTTCCTTCACAGGACATACCGACACGGACCCGCCGTCGCCTTCCGCTGACACGGCCCTCTGGGCCTGTCTGTCGCGCGGCTCTTGTGCCTGTGTGTGTCGCCACGCCTTGCTCCGCCATCGTCTCTCACGCCGACGCATCCTTCCAAGCGCATGTCTCGGTCCTTGCTGCCTGGTCGGCTATCGGTTGCAGCGAACTTGACTTGAAACGGGACACCTTCACGCACGGATGGCTTGTGTGGGTTACGTGGGTTACGTGGGTTACGTGGGTTACGTGGGTTACGTGGGTTACGTGGGTTGTGTAAATCAGACGAATTTGATCGGCGCCCGAACCCCGATATAATCCACTCGCCGAGGTCTTTTGGCGATTTTTCTCTTTGCCCTGCGTCTTCCTCCCCCCCCCACAGGGACACCCAGAGAAATGACTTGGCCGGGTGTGTGATGCGATCCGACTACATCGTGCTTGTCCGAATGAGACAATGTGTCCCATTTTCCCTTCAACACGCTGTCTCGGTGCTGCTCTTCCGGAGGGTGGGGGTTCTTGCCGACAAGTCGCATCCCATGCCAGCGGCCGCATGTCGCTCTCGTGGTCGCATGTCTTTCGTCGTGCTGGCCGCTCAGGCCCTGACTCGTGAAAGTCTGTATTCGTTTCCTATCTCTGGCGCCAACCGGCCTGCCTCGGGTCTGCGCTTGGGCATGAGCGCCCGCCGCTCCCGCCGCCGCCTCCGCAAGGTCCTATCGCGAGATCACACGCTCTCAGAACCGGTAGTGTCCTCCCTGCTCGATCCGCTCAAGCACAGCGTTATCGACGGGGATGAAGCTGCGCCGGGCTGTCTCCAGCATGTACACCCGGTCCTGCCCGGGGCCCGCAAACTTGCGAAAGTCAAAGCCCTCCTGGCTGTACTTGAACTTTTGGAACTTGAGCGTGCTTGTCTTTTCATTCTCGGATTCGCGGAACCGCAGAAAGACCGGGTGCGCATAGCTTGGCAGGCTCTCCGAGAGGTGTCGGGCGAATCCCCCAAAGTCGAACGTCTCGGCGCCGCCCGGCCCTGTCAGGTGGATCGATGCCATTCCGGCTCGTCCCTCGGTGTTGGGGATCTGGATGCCGTAAACTGGAGCGCGGCCGTGGGTCAGCACCCAGACGACCGAGCATGCAAACCCAACCATGCCGACCATGCCGACCATGCAACCACCATGCCAGCCATGCGCCCTGACTTTTCAGACACGCCCTCCATCCACCCACGCACAGCCAAAGCCTCATGCCCCGCGCCACTGTGCTCCATGTCCCTGGGGCAATTTTCTCATGTCCTTTGCTTGTCGCCGCTGCCGCTCTCCTCCGCCTTTCCCTTTCCGCTTTCGCTCCCCGGCCTGCTCGGCTGGCCTCCCGGCTCAACCAATCCCGGCCCTCCCGGCTCAACCAATCCCGGCCCGGTTGGTGGGCATGAACTTACCGTTGCACTCGGCGATTCCTGGAAACGCCGCGACAACAGCTTGCACCTCTGCATCCGCGTCGCCCATCGGGTTGGCCACGAGTCGATATGCCAGGTCCGCCATGTCAGGTCCATCGAGAGAAACGAGATGTTAAAAGTCAGACGTTACCAAAGTAGCCAATGTCCAACCGGTGCAGCAACCTCGGTAGAGGCAAGCCAATAGCAAGTCCCTGTCGGTGGACCCAGCGGGCCATGCTCCCCAGGGCTTCTCCACATCCATCCGCCCATCAGCCCGCCTTACCGTTCGTCGAGACATTCTCGCCCTTCCAGCGGTACGAGTCGCCCGCTCGATCGACAAAGAAAAAGAACCCCTTCTCGTCGACCTTGAGCAAGTCGCCACTACTCCACCAGCAGTCGCCCTTCTCGAACACGTTCTCGTACAGCTTGCGCCTCGTCGCCACATGGCCAACGTATCCGTCATAGAGTCCTCCGGGCAGCCTCATGATCATTTCGCCAACTTGGTTGGGCTCGCACGGCACGCAATGCTGTGTCGCTTCGTCTCGCACCACCCGGTCTTCTTCAACGTCGTACTGCACCAGGATGCCGCCTTCGCCCGTCATCGACTTTTCCCGAGCAACGCTCTCGGGCAGGAATCCACACGACCCGGGGTGGTTGAAAAAGTTGAGGACCGCGTCGCCGGGCATCTCGGTGCTGCCGTAGTGCTCGACCACCTGTCGGATGTAGAATCGCTGCGTGATGTCGGTCCAGAGCTCTCGTCGCAGTCCGTTGCCGATGGCAACCCGGAGCGGGCTGAACTCGGGGGTGCCGTCAATAGCACTGGGAGGCTGGAGGTAGAGGTATCGCCAGAGCTCGCCAATGTAGACGGTCGCAACGCACTGGAGCCGACGACGTGGACAGAGCAATGTCGATCCAGTGCGGTACCCCATGGCATCGATTTCAAGACAGTCATTGTGTCGATTGCGGGGCAGTAGCCGTGGTGTCGATTGATGCGACGATGGTAGTGGAGCCAATCCGGTGGGAAGCGCGGTATCAGTTAGAATGCCAAGCCTGCCAATTTGCACCGTTGTTGCCGGAGCCAGGCCATCCTGTGTCTCGCCGACAGATGAGTCCGATCTAGTCATCACGCCCATGTCGCCAGCAGAGCCGCGGATCCAAATCGCTCGGCCCGAGCAAGGAGGCTGACCTGGTGCTCACGAATATCCTTGAAGAAATTGGATGCCGAAAACTTTTCCCTCAGGACGATTGGGTTGCCAAGCAAGTAACAGGGAGCAACAGCGACGCAGCCGCCGTTTCTGGGAGTGAGGGCGGGAGCGGGAGTGTGCGTAAGCGTGAGCGTTTGTGGGCGGTTGATGATTGTCGTTTGTCGTAGTCGTGGTCATGGACAAGGTGATATTCAACAGTCCAACTATCCGTTCGGCAACGAGTGGGGGCATCGCTTGGCAGATCATGGGCGATGATTCCATCGAGAAGCAGATTCGATGGCAAGAGGACAACTACTTGCACCACTTGCACCACTCGCGCTGCTTGGACCTGTCTTCCAAGCCACCATCGCCAACATCCTTCAACACATCTGCCCGTCCTTCAATAGATCTGTCCGTCCATCCGCCATTACTGCATGCCTTACCCGTGATACAAGGGCAGTGTGATATAGTATCGATCGCCCTTGCGCAGGCCGCTTGGGCCAGCCCATGTCACCGCGCAGCCAACAAAGCGCCGGTGCGAGAACTTTGCGGCCTTGGACGGACCTGTCGTGCCCGAGGTAAAGATGTAGTAGTGTGGGGTGCGTTCGTGGACCTGGTTGCGGTGCTCTTGGGCCTTGGGCCGTTCGGCACTCTGGCGGGCCAGGAGCTCGGGCTGCAGGGCATGCCAGCGAGCCCATCCGTGTTCATGCTTGAGTCGATCCAGCTCGCTGCTCGGGATGGTCTGCCCCTCGCCTTGGTAGATCCAGACGGGCGGCAGCGGCTGGGCCTGTTCATCGTCTCCACTCTTCTCGCTGCCTCCAAGGCTGCCCAGATTGCCGAGCGAGGACCAGTTGCCGAGCTTGCCCATCGACACCACGGCACATTTGGCCTTGGCCGTGCGGATGGCATGCAGCAGCAGTGCGCCCTTGAGGTTGGTGTTGATCAGGGCGATAGTCACGCCGATCTTGGCCAGGCCCATCGTGAACGCCAGGAACTCGGGCCGGTTTTCCATCAGCAGCGCGACGACGTCGAGTTGTTGGAGCCCGCATTCATGCCGCCCCCACCAGGCGATGCGGTTGGCCGCCTCGTCGAGCTGTCGGAAGGTATAGCGGGCCTCGTGGTCGACGGCCATCACGGCCAAGGCATCCTGGTGCCGGTCGACGCAAAGCTCGAAAAAATCGGCGGCGTTCTTGGTGGCGGTCCCGAGTTCCAGTAGTGTCTTTTGCTTGAGCGACTGGAAGCGGTAGTAGATCTGCTCGAGCTCTTCGACCGAGGCATTCTCGTTGTAGATTTGGTGGGGCCGAAGGAACGGGTCGGCCTCGGACGGCGACGCTCCCGTGTTGGAGGCTGGCTGGGACATGGAAGCGAGGTGAGGCGAGGTGAGGTGAGGTGATGGAAACGAAGCGAAGGTAGCGTCTAGTTCTCGTCTTGTCTGGTCTGGTCTGGTCTGGTCTGGTCTGGTCTGGTCTGGTCTGGTCTGGTCTGGTCTGGTCTGGTCTGGTCTGGCTTGGCTTGGTGAGCAACAGAGGGTTTCTGGGTGACCAGGTGCTGTAATTACTGCCGAGCCAGTCGGGGTTGACAGCAGTTTGAGACGGAGCTGTCGAGTTGCGATGCCGTCGATGATGGCTGTGGTTTGGCAGATATACTTTCAGGGACAGCGGCGCAGCCTGATGACAGAGATGGAAAGAACAGGGCAGGAGAGAGATGTTGGGAGGAGAGCAGGAGCAGCAGCAGCAGCAGGAGTGGGGGGAATGTTCCCCGATTGGGTCGGCAACGAGCGACGGCGCTGGATCTTGACAAATCTCAGACGCGCCGGACGACAGAGTTTTTCCACTCGACCGCGTGCGATTCGCTGCATCCGATCTGGTTGGTAGTCGCTGTCGCTGGGCTCGGCAGATCCAAGGCAGGGAATATCGTATGCTGCACGAGGAGCGAGAGCGAAAGGCAGCCATTGCTGAGCCAGGCCCATGCTGCATCACATCATAACATCACAACATCACAACATCACAACATCACAACATCACAACATCACAAGCACAGCACCGGGACAGACGAGGGACGCATCAGAGTAGTATGGGTGACAAGGCATGTATTTCTGTTCCCGAGTCAAGTTTTCAATATGTGCATTTATTGAGAAGCTTGTTCTCTGCGCTTGTCACGCTCCTCGGCAATGGTGTACTTGATGCCCTTGCCTCTGGGGATGGAGATCTCGGGCTTGTTGCCATGGCCAATGACGAAGACGTTGGAGAGACGAGTGGCAAAGGTATTCTCACGGGCATCCTTGACGTGGACAATGTCAAAGCCACCGTGGTGACGCTCACGGTGGGTGATGGTACCAATGCGACCCATGTTGTGGCCACCGGTGATGTAGGCAATGTTGCCGACCTCAAACTTGACAAAGTCGACGATCTTGTTGCTCTCGAGATCGATCTTGACAGTGTCGTTGACCTTGATGAGGGGATCAGGGTAGCGGAAGGTGCGGCCATCGTGGGTGACAGCGAAGGGGATGCCCTTGGCGCCAACCTCGACGCGCTTGATCTTGCCGAGCTTGTACTTGGCCTCCTCAGCAGTGATGCGGTGGATGGTGTAGCGGCCCTTGGTGTCGAAGACGAGACGGAAGTGCTCACCGGTCTTCTCAATGGAGATGACATCTGGCAGACAGCATCGCTGTTAGCCTCAGGCTCATATGCTCAGGCTCATATGCTCAGGCTCAGGCTCCGGCTCAGCTAGCACCGCACGTCGCTGAATCGACCCTCAACAGCACACCCAGACGCGCACGGCAATGCACAAGACGCTACTTACCCATGAAGCCAGCGGGGTAGGTGATGTCAGTGCGGACCTTGCCATCGACCTTAATGAGCCTCTGCATAACAATGGACTTGACTTCCTTGTGGGTGAGAGCGTACTTGAGACGGTTTCGGAGGAAAACGATCAAGGGCAGGCACTCTCTCAACTTGTGGGGACCAGCACTGGGTCTGGGAGCCTGTTGGTGCACGCGATCTGAGGCGTCAGAGGCTGCAAAGACCGCCCTAAACCGAGCGGGTCTGGACCGGCAACAACCACCCGGGGCCTGTCCAGATTACAACTACACTGCAAGGGCGAGTCACACATACCCAGGTGCCGGTAAGTTTGTCAAGCATCCAGTGCTTGGGAGCATTGAGCTGGCAGAGGCGGTGGGAGAGAACGATTAAATCCTGCGCTTGCTGTCGACTCGGTAGAGCAGCAACGGCAGATCGGTTGCTGTGCTTACTCGCTTAAGATGCTTCTTGGGTCCCCGAGCCTAGCGGCACACATGTTCAGATCGGGAAGCGGTTAGCAAGCTGGAGAGCGATGGCGACCATGACACGTCGTTCAATGCGGTCCCCCATCCATCCATCACATCCACAGGCGGTGATTGCACTGTCGTCGTTGCATTCGTTTGATTTGCACGGTACTGAGTGCTCCGCTTCGACGAGCCGAGACGCCACGGCAACGATCCGCTATCCGAGAGACTGCTGTCGCTGTCCACGCATCGCGTTTGAGTCCTCTGCGCCCGATGCGTCGAACCAGCTTGCCACGATCGACACTGATGGGCAAATGCGGTTGGTTGATGGATCCGAGGCCAAGACTGCGTTGAGGTGTCGTGCTGGTGGTTTGCATCCGAAAATTGTGCCCGGCTGCTCCCCGAGACATATCCAGACAGCTCGTGCTCTCGAACACTGGCATTCCCAGTCTTGCAGATTCGTGTCGGAGCCGAGCGACCAACAGCAGCGGCCAAAAGCAGCGGACAGCTGGATGGATGCTTGGACAGACAGCTCGGCGGATGGATGGATGGACGGATGGATGGATGGATGGATAGATGGATGGATGCAGCATGCAGCCACGTCGATGCGTCACAACACTGACCATGTTGTCTAATCCAAATGACTATATTGGAGCTGTCGGAAAAAGAGGAAGGCTAATGGAATTCGCGGCGCCGGTGACCACTTGTGGATGCCGCCGCTGGGAATCTCGCTGCCGTCGAGGGGTGTGGCTTGGTCGCACGTGAGATGAACGTGACACTGCGATCGGTTTGTGGCGGCTGGAGCCCGGCTGGATCCTGGCTCGAGGGCAGCTGCTCGTGAAACTGGGACGGATACGGCAGCCCCGGTTTCCATCGGAATCGGCACTGAGCGCTCACAACAAATGTCTCGATGCATCGACTGATTCCGGGGCGGAGCAGCATCCGGGTTGATTGTGTCGCTGGTCTCCGTTTAGCTTCGGCAATGCTCTCTGCCGATCTTTCGTGGGAACTCGGGATGCATTGCGACGCAAGCTGGCGACCAACAGTTCGGTTGCTCCCTGAACAGACAACGCAGTCATCGCCGCAATGCCGCAATGCCGCAATGCCACATCGTCGCATCGTCGCATCGTCGCAGCATCGCATCGTCGCATCGTCGCAACGGCCCCACAGCCGTCCCCCGGTTGCCACGTCAATCCGCCCCTCGGAGCGGCTTGTTGCGGCCTGCACGCGTTCCGGATCGAGTGTCGCGCTGGCTGCAACCACCGCCTCCCCGCACGCGCCTCCAAGGCCATCACCTCACGTTCTCCAGCAAGCACCCCTTGGGCTCTCTGCCCACTCCCACTCTGGCTGCCGGCCGACGCTCGATCCTCCCGCTCCTGCCATCTCCCCACCTCGAGGACAGCGTCTCTTGCCATGGGCCTCGTCTCGGACTACCCGCTCCTCCTGGAGCTGCTCGTGCTGTTTCTCGCCGCATTCGGCGCGCTGTTCTTCTTCCTGCAGTCCATCTCGCCGGCACCAAGACCTCCCACCAAGAACGAAACCTCCTTCGTCGACTGCATCACCAAGGAGAAGACGCCCTTCCCTTCGTTGCTGGATGAGTCGCCGGCCGAGGTCGAGCTGTCGATCGTCATCCCGGCCTACAACGAGTCCAAGCGTCTGCCACTCATGCTTGCCGAGACCTTCGAGTATCTCCAGGATCGCAAAAAGAAAACCTCATCATTCACGTACGAAATCATTGTCGTCAACGACGGAAGCACCGATGACACCGATGCCGTGGTCCGCAGCATTGCTATGAAACAAAAGCTGAGCACTATCCGTGTCATGAATCTGGAACACAACCGTGGCAAGGGCGGCGCCGTCACCCAGGTATGCAAGCAGAATTGCCTCGCAACGTTGGCTGCATACGGCCGGCCACGAGGGTCTTGGGAAATCGCTCGTTCGTGGCGTTGGTAGTTGCCGTCGCCCCAATCTACCCCGAGCCGAGAGGCAGCTACCGCTCTTTGAGTACTGATGCAATCATCCGCATCTTTAACGTGCGCTGCACACCGGGCGAATCACAATCCGGCTCGCTCATGGATGCATTATCCCCTCATATCCATTGGCATCTGTCACATTCGCCGCAACGAACCGGCTTTCTGGGATTGCAATTTTCATCTACTTGAATCCAAACAACACACCGACAACTCACACACCCGATCGCCGCGGGCTCTCCAGGGCATGATGGTGGCCCGAGGCCAGCGCCTGCTCTTCGTGGATGCTGATGGAGCGACAAAGTTCTCTGATCTCGACAAGCTCGAAGCCGCCATGGATCGCATCGTTTCCAAAGGCCAGGCCATTGTCGTTGGCTCTCGCGCCCACATGGTCACGTCCGACGCTGTCGTAAAGGTGTGTTGCCTCGGCCTCAGGCAGCCGTCCCAACAGATTTCCATTGAGCGAGGAGTGTGTTGTCCTTGCCGTTGTATCGAGGCTGCCTTTCCGAATCGCATCGCTCCAATATGGTGACGGGACAATCCGCCTCCCCGTGATTATGTGGCATTGGTTCTGCGCTCCTTCCCCTTCCGCCAACATCCAACTGACGCTGGCTGTCGGCTGCCTCCTTCAGCGCTCCTTCATTCGCAACTTCTTGATGCGTGGATTCCATACGCTGCTCTTTGTCCTGGGAATCGGCACGATCAAGGATACTCAGTGCGGTTTCAAGCTCATCAGTCGCAAGGCCGCCCAGCTCATCTTCCCAAACATGCACGTCGAGGGCTGGATTTTCGACATCGAGCTCCTCCTCCTTGGCTACCACTTTGGCGTCCCGATCCAGGAGGTCCCTGTCACCTGGCACGAAGTCGATGGCAGCAAGGTCTCGCTGCTCAAAGACTCAATCAAGATGCTCCTTGACCTGCTCAACATCCGCCTTAATTACCTGCTCGGCGTTTGGCAAGTCAATGCATCTCCCAAGCGCCTCCAGCGCCCGAAATCCGACTAAGATCCACTTTCCCCATGCTTGCACCGACTGCATGCACTGTCGAGCCGAGGCTGCATTGCCATCCTCCAGTTCCGAAATAGAAACGAGTCCCGCACTACTTCTCGAGCGATAGCCAGCCAGTCCGCCTTGTTTTCTGGTGGTGGATGCGTCCACATCCAACACAGCCGCCTGCGAAAGCGAAGCATGAGGTGCTCCGTTTTATTTTGATTGCAGCCGAACCGATCTATTTGCTCGCAGCCGCGGCGCCAGAGCCACCCTCCTGGCTGTCGCCACCACCGTTGAGGAGTACCAGGAGCACGATCGGGACAATGTACATCCAGTACTTTTGCCAAAAGCTCTTCTCCTCCTCCTGGACGGGCTTGCCATCTTTCATCGCCACCTCCTTGACCTTGATGAGATGGGGTCTGCGCCATCGAGTTCGTGAGAGCAGAGCAGAGCGGATCGCAACAAAGGGATAGTCAGCGTCCACATACTGAAATGGCGGGCGATGCATTCCATTCGCTACCGATACTACTCCGCGAGCAGGCATTCGCCCGACTCTTGTCCATACCTGGGGCCATCAAGCTTCTTGGCCAGCTCGATGGTTGGCTTAAAATCCTGGGCCTTCTTGACACCATCGAGCGAGCAGTCTTGGCTCGGGACGAGGTAATCGATGCGGAACGGCTCTCCTGATATCCGCAACAAAACAACATCGGCTCAGTCAGTCCTGTCTGGCCACAAAATACGGTCGGGGATTGTCCATCCCGCGTTGGATCGCCGCGAGGATCTTGCTGTCTGCCTCCCATTCCTCTGCGTAGCTGCCAGGGGGGATGCGAGCAAAGTGCAGCCATCCATACCATCTTGATCGACGTGAATAACAAAGTGCTCTCGCAGACCGGCGGCATGCAGCTGGCACTAGATCGTGCGACAAGCAGCGATAGATTGTCAGCAAAGCTCATGCCGATCTGCCCTTCATCGTGCCGCAGACCGGCCATGGTGTGCGAATGCCATCACCGACAATGTACTCGTTGCCAAAGGCCCAGGCTGCCCTGGCTGTTGGCGCGCCCTCCCATCGGCCTTACCGCCCGGACTCGGACCTCCCCGAGATGGCTGTCTGGTTTGCTCGACGAAACGAATCGCACGGTGTAGTAGTCCTCGGCGCTGGTGACAGGCTTGAGGACCGAGGCCATCTCGGCGTCGTCGGCGTGCACGTACTTCAGGGCAGACTTTTTCTTCGAGTTGGGGTTGAAGTTGAGGACACCTCGCTCAGCGAAGGGCGAGCCAGAAACGCTATGAAGAACACGGATGTGCTGGCCGGCCGGCTGTGTCAAATCCGCGGACCAACAGCAAGAGAAATGCAAGTCGTTGAGGCCAGCGTCCCCCTGCTCCTCCCTCGTGAGCAACCAGCCCGTGCAAGCATTGCCTTCCGGGTCCCTGAGATACCGCAAGCCCGGTCGCGCTGCGACGTCTGCCATTGGGTTCAAAGCCAGTCGATGATACAATGCGTCTTGCCCGATACAGCGCAAGGCTTGCTGCTGGGGAAAGATCGCAAGGCTGGTCGACAGGGCACTCACCTTCGAGACCTCGACGGTGTCGTCTTGCGAAGCGCAGACGGAGCGGATAGCCAGTGCTATCACACAGAGCAGCACAAGTATCGCGGTGCGGGCTGTCTTCATCGTTTGCTCGTGCTCGTTTGCTCGTTTGCTCGTTTGCCTGCTCGTTCGTTGTCGGTGCGTCCGAGATCGAAGGCTGCAGCGATGCGGTCGTGGTTGTTGCCTGGGGTTTGTTGGATCGCAGCGAACGAGTCTCCTCGCGAGCCCCCTTCTCGCTGGTCTTCTCGCCCCCCGCCTCGTCACGTGATGTGTGTGTGTGTGTGCTTCACTTCCCACAACACCTGCATGAACCTTCATCAGGATCTGCAGTTTCGATATCTGAGCTTCGGCAATCGCAAAGGCTGCAAGTGCTCATGTCGTGCTCATGCTGTGTGATTAGCAGTGTATGTTCGCCTGATTCTTCACAGACGTACTTGGTGTATTCATTGCAAGGCGCTCTATGCAGATTATTCAAAATCCAGATCATTTTTTGTGCTTCCTGTGCATGTCCGTGTGGCACTAGAATATGCTGAAGATGGAGCTTGGATGATCGATCCACCACTGCACGCTCAGTCCCAAGACAGCAACAACAAGTACTTCGCCGCCGACAAGGATGTAACGAAGATTCCACTGCGATTCCTGCGAAAGGATAAACATGGAAAAGTATTGCACCGACTTGACGATCAGCACTACCGAGATGGCGGTGAGGATGTTGATCTGAACGAGCGTGTGAATGTACGAGAGCAGGTGCCAGGCCATGTCGATCGCAGTCTTGAAGAGCGTGGTGGCGGTAATGCCAAAGAATGCTGCTAACGACCACCGCACCAGGATAACCACGGCCAGGGCGAGGTTGTCGGGCTCCCACTCAGGCACTCGAATGAGATTGTAGACCTCGCGGGAGACAATGTCGTCGATGTTGGTGATATACCGATGAGCAAGACCGTAGCTGTGGGCACTGACATGCTGGAGCGAGTGCAGAAAGTGTGAGACGCTGCTGGGAAAGTTGTCGCTCAGGAGATCGTCGATGCTGGTCGAGGCCAGCTTGGATCCGTCTGCACCCTCGACAAGGTCGCTGGTGGAGCCCCACTGGTAGACACGGCCAGAGGACAGAGACATGGCGGGTTGGCGAGCTCAGAGCGGGGCGGCGGCGGTATTGCGGACGAGTTCGAGGCAAGGGTGGCTCGGAGACTGCGTTGACTGAGACCAAAGGCAGATTTTGAACCGGCCGACAAACGGAACCGGCCGACAAACGTGGAGCACCCTCAAACGGAATTCTCATGCGAACAAACACACCTGGCCGCTCGATGGGCACGGCCCGGTGTTGACACAACAGCGCCAGGCTCCGAGACATGGCTGTGATTGGACGTCCCGTCCAAAATGCAACTCTGTTGGGGGCACTCCGGGGCGCACTGACTCGGCTCACGAAGACCCGAGCATCATGAGTGTTGCGTTTGACATGCGGGCTTGAGCGGTCCCCCACAGCCACATGCAGGCCAGCCAGCACCAGAGCGCGGCTGTGGGACATTCCGCGCCCAAATCGGGCCTGTTCTGCCCTTGGCCGCGGCTCGGCTCTCCTCTCGGCGGTGCAGACATCAAGCAGCAGCATCCGTCCAACTCCTTCCTGCCGCTCGGGCCACTCCCTCCAGACCAATTGCGATTCCATCATGATCTTGCTCCGTGGTGCCGCCACCCTCGCAACCGTGCTCATGTTCTTGACGAACCTGTGAGTCGATGTTCTGCCGACCGGTTCCAAGCGGCTCCAGCTCCCGCCTGCATTCCGTCCATCACCTCGACGTCGCTGCGGTTCAGCCGAGTGCTGGGCTGTGATCGAAGCATTGGGATTGTAATAACGCCGATCCGCCCCAGGGTTGTTGTCAAGCAAATCAAGGAAGACGGCCACATCTCGGTCGCGAGGTTTGCATCCAATCTTCAGCGAGTGTCGCTGTTCCATCTGCCCACATGAGAGCACCGATTCGTTGTTTGTCGCCAGGCCCTTGCTCGGCCTGGATACTCATGAGATCCTTTCCATCCTCATAACTGGCGTCTCGATATGCAGCATTCTCCCGTTCCTGTCAACTTTTGCCAAGTAAGCCATATCGCTCATGGAACATCACTAATGAAGCAACATCCTAGCATCGACTCTGTTCCGTTTTGTTCTGAACCTTCCGTAACCATGTTCGAATCATCAGCTGCTGCTTCTGGCTCAAGTACGGTGTTATGCTGGGCGAGTCGTCCATCTGCTGGACCAATGCTGTTGGCGTGATCATCACCGTGTATGCTCTCTATCAATGCCACAATCACTGCGAATCCGAGCGCACCCGGGTAAGTTCGCAGGATCGTGCAGATTATGACCATATCCATAACCAAAGCCAGCGGCTGTCTCCTTGCTCATCTCTGTGGCTGTTTGGCCGATCGGATTCCTCTGCGCGATCCCCTCCTTCCAGGCCAAGATCGAGAAGAGAATCCTGGTGACGGTCGGGGTCGTGCTGTCCGTCCTCACGGCCATCAAGCTGTCTTATGGACCCGAAATCTTATCCTGGGTTGGCTTTCTGTGCTGTGCCCTGACCATGGTGATGTTTGGCACTCCTCTGGCCTCGCTGGTAAGAGTATCTCTGGGCACCATTCGCATGGGCGATGCTCCGTTGCACTCACTGACATTGTTTCGCGGCCACGCCCATCCGTTTCCTGTCCATCTCCGTTCTCTCGCCAACGCCTGGGCCCCTTGGAATTGCAAAGCGCACGGTGATCCAAGCCAAGAGTGCCCACGGCCATCTCTCGCTGCCCATGATTCTGATTTCATTTGTGAGCGCCAGCCTGTGGTCGCTCATCGGCTTCCGACTGAGAGACAACTGGATCATCCAGCCCAATATCGTCGGGGCTGCCCTGTCACTTGTACAGCTACTTGTGTATTCTGCATACCGAAAGTAGCATGGCTTCCTGAAGGAGCAAGCTATCATCTATAGAGTTGCTTTGATTGCAGATCCAAACGCTCGCATCACCGGATCCTTGGAAACATGCATCTCGGCCGGAGGTTGGGGGGCAGTGGAGGAAAGTGCACGGCGTGTTGTCATGGACAACAGAGCCCAGAGCCGATTCTAGCACGACCGCAAAGTGAGCGTCTTGTCTGTGGCTCACTCGCTTGGATCGTGCTCCTCGGTAATCATGGCGTCGGGCTCGGCAGCGCGAGTATCAGCTTGGTTTGCTTGTCCTTCGGCGCCTGAAGCGTCGGTGTCGTTCTTGGCAGCTCGCTCCCGTTTCCGGTCAGACTCGGGTTGGGCTTCAGTTTCCGCTCCACGATCCCGGTCCCGCTCACGCTCACGATTGCGATCACGGTCTCTGTCTCGATCACGATCGCGGTGGTCTCGATGCCGGTCGCGGTAGGTATCGCGATCGTCGTCTCGTCCTGATCTTCGGCGCCCGGATCGGTCGTAGTCTCGGTCCAGCTCCCAGTCCCGGTAGCGATCCCTTTCGCGGTCTCGATCTCTGTCTCGATCTCTGTCTCGATCTCGCTCACGGTCGCGGTCGGACGAGCGATAATCGTCGTACTTGCGCGAGCGATCTCGCGACCGGGAGCGTCGTCGATCGAAACGATCTCTATCACGATCCCTTTCGCGGTCGCGATCCCTGTCTCGGTCTCGGTCTCGGTCTCGATCGCGGCGATCTCTTTCACGGTCCCTGTCCCTATCTCGGTCCCGGTCCCGATCTCGATCTCGGTCCCGGTCTCTTCGGTCGCGGAGCTCGCGTTCTCTGGTGCGATCCTCCGGGTCATCGGTTCGCTCGCGCTTGCTGCTTTCTTTCTCTTGTCCCAGCTCCGAAGCTGCTCCTGTGGCATAGCAATATGATGGCCATAGGTCCGATGAGCAACGGAGTGTAGCAGCCGCTCAGCGACAACCCTGCAGACGCAGTCGCGTCTCGCATTCATCTGATCTCGTCCTGCTGGTCATGATGATGATGCCAGCATTACTTACCAGGCGTCTCAGCCGGAGCCGAGCCCTCTCGGCCGCTACCATCGGATCTGACGCCGGACCCAGGTGCTGCTCCACTGTCTGTCTGGTACTTTGATGCGATCCTCATCTGGGCTTCCTTGACTCGACGCATGGCGAGATTGACATCGGAGGCGTCGGGTTTCTTTGCTGGCACAGCCTTGTTGATCGCATTCTTTGAGTGGTTGACTCTGGTGTCGATTTGGCGATCGATGAGAGTTTAGTCTCGTGAACTTCAACGACAGCGCCCCAGCCCGACAGAACATTGTACCGACAGAACCTCAGCCCAGCAAATGCAAGCCACCTCGCGCGAAAGCGGTAGGACACTCACTTAAGTGGACGGTCATGCATCACAAGTCCGTTTAGCGAGATCGCGACCTGTACCGATTCCTTGTTCACTAGCGCAATATAAATGATCCAGCCAGTCAGCCAGGAACTAGGCGTCGGGGGATCGAGCTGCTGCGTCTCCTGGTCCTGGGCCAACGGGTTCACAGCTAGGGCCCGTGTGGATTGCTACCGGCCAAGGCGTCGGTCCTTACCAAACTCCATGAATGCGAATCGGGTTGGTTGGTTGGCATCGCCAGCAAGCTTGACGCAGCTGATGGGTCCGCACGGGCTGAACTGGGTCATGAGTTCGTCCTCGGTAACGGTAGGGGCGATTCCGCCAATGTACACTGTTCGAGAAATCTCCTCGGCCCGCTGCGGGTCGGTGTGCAAAAACGTCGGCATGGTATAGTGGTACTGCGGAGCTGAGCCGAACTGTCCGAGCTGCGGGAGGCGAGCCGCCGACGGGCCGTTGATAGGCGTGGACACGGGGTTCGTAACAAATAGCGTCCGGTCGGCCAGGTTTACTCCGGTAAGATGGAGGGCAGTGGCAGCCGAAGCCTCATCTTCAAAGACGACCATGCACTCTTGGAGGCCGTCATTGTTCGGGCTGCGGCAGGAGCGGGGAGCGACACATGAGTCTGCAGCAAACGGGATCGGGCGCGGCCCAGCCAGGCATGGGCAGCAGCGTTCCTGATCTGTTGGCGACGCCGGACAGGTCCAGCGGTCTGGGAGGGGGGAGCGTCGGACGGCAACTGCAGCCTCAGAGCAGTCCGTTACCTGGGATACAAAGAGATTTCCGCGATCGGCCCGATGATCTCGAAGAGCTGGGTGATGATGCTTTGGTTCACCAGAGAGGAGACGTTGGCGACCTGTTGATCGCACATCCAAGGAGTCGATGTCAAACCAGGAACGGGTCGCAGCCGAGCGACACAGCGTCCGATGCACTCCGTCTCTGACCGAGCACTCCCTGGCGACGGCTTACCTTGACGCCCCGCTGGCTGGAGGCCATGTCTGCGGGATGCAATACGACGCAGGGCAGTGCGGGCAATGCGATGCAATGCGATGCGCTCCAAGGGCAAGCGCGGGCACGGGCGGTCGTTTGGCGAGAGTGTGTCGCTGCTGGCTCGAGTGCATTCGAGCCGCGTCCCGCCAGACCCATATTCCCTGTTTTGGGCCACCGGCCAGGAGCAGCCTTCCCAAGAGCCCCATCGGCACCCCAAGTCGCCGTCTCGCACCCAGCACGGAGCAGCCTGGCATGTTTGCGCACACTATGGCGACGGGCCCTGCGGCAGAGAGGTATCGGTGTCTGGGCCTGGGGGCGCTTCTGAAGCAGGCGTGGCCGTCGTTGCGGCGGCCCCGTCCAGCCGCATCCACTTTGATCTGCGATTCAATCATCAGTCGGGCTGTCCGGCAGCAGCTGCAGTGAACCGCATCTCAAACAGCCCATATCTCGCTTTCTGGCCAAAGCCACATGCTGGATTCTCTTTCCAGGACGGCCGCATTCGTGAACCACCAACTTGCTGCAGCTGGATTCCCTTCGCCGCTCAACCTGACCTCCCAGCCGTCCAATGAGGACGTACACAGGACTGTCGAGTGTGTCTTCCAGCTCCTGCAGCAGATCGAGGTAGCTTTAACTATACATATGCAGCCAATGTCGCTCCGGCATCTTGGGATGTGCTACGGTGGTTGATTTTTGTCTCTGACTGAATGCCGGCGACGTACTGACTCCGCCACGAACCATAGAAAGACGCACACTATCGAGAAGATATCCACCAGCAGATGCTCATGCTGTCGCAGGAGAACGAATCGCTTTCCGCAACGGTGGTAGGCCGCTCACGCAAAGCCGATCCGACGTCGGTCTCCGGGGATACCTCCGTCCATCCACTGGCCTCGTGTTCTGATCAACACTGTTTCTGGCCCATTTGCGTAGCTGAGGCTCACATCCAGACTCGAAACCGCCGAGCGGGAAATCGACCAGCTCAACAACAAAATCAGGTATACACTCTGGCCCATATCGCAGCGGTTGCTTCCTGGCACTCCAACTGAAGGCAGCATTCATGGCAACCTGGTCCGATGTGGTCCTAACGAGAGCCCATTGCGTTGCAATAGCCTCAACACGCAAACGCTCAAGGAAACCTCGGCCAAGCTGCAGGCCACCAAGGAGGAGCTCAAAGTAACCAAGACAAACTATCAGCACGCTCGCAGCCAGTACATGCACGAAATCAAGAAGCGTGAGCGGGAGGGCGACAAGATCCGCGATCGTATCCAGAAAGCCCTGAGCGACAAAACAATTGTGCAGAAAGTCGGCATGAAGCTGCTGAATCCTTTGCCAAAGACCGTTGCGGAGAGCAGCAAGCTCGGCGAAGCAAAGAGGACCAAGCAGGTGCGGGCAGTTCCCTTGGCTTCCGGCTCGCTGGCCACGTCGATGCTGGGCTGACGCTGCTGTGCTCTCGGGCAACTCTGCCGCCTTTGCCAGGATGAAATGTACAAGATCGTTGTGGGCACCTTCGAAGAGCGGGAGAAGGAGATCCTCGCAGAAAACTCAGATCTGCGGAAGTTGCTGTTCTCGACCTATCAAGAGCTCAAAGGACACATGAAAACCTTCCTACGAAGCCGCGATGTGCTTGAGGACGATGTGAGCACCCCCGAGACCGCCAAAGCCTAACGGCTCGCCAGGGCTCATCCGCTGTGCCAGCACAATGCTCGGTGAATGCACCGCCGCTTGACTGACACTGTCGCCGGGTGCAGGATGCAACCGAGGAGGCCCGTTTCAACTTGCCCGTCAATCTGGCCGGAAGTACAATCCAGAGCCGGCTACGCTACGTTGTCGGCGAGATCCGAGACTATATTGCCGAGCTACAGGAACGGCCTACAGCAACCCCCGAAGAAAAGCCAGAGTCTCAACAGGACGTGCAGATGCTCTATGACCAGATAGGTACGACGACGGAGACGAGAGATGGGAAACAAGAGCCCTGTCCTTGAATCAAAGCCATCTCTCCACCGCGCGGCCGAGTTGCCACAACTTGGGTGAACTTTCCCGGCTTTGCTCATCGTTGTTTCCTCGCTATTGCTACGGTTGAATGTCATACTTTCACAGAGGAATACCGCAAGATCATTGCTGAGCAGGCCCGACTACTTGAGCTTGCTCTGTCCAAGCCCAAAGACCTTGGCCCTACACATTCGCCTGCCAGGTTTGCGACGCCTTGCTCAGCTGTCTGAGCGTCGAGGCAGGAACGATCGAGTCTCCACGATGTCTGCATGACTTATGCCTGTTTTTTGTCTGCAGGTCGGAGTATCTCAGCGGCGATGGCGATTGGAAAGAGCTGGAGGAGCAGCGGGCACAGCTGCAGGAAGATCGACGCAAGTTGACGGAAGCAGCGATCAGGATGGGCGTTGAACGCGCCGCCTTGCAGGTCGGTCGATTGGCTCACTTTTGATGAGTGCTCGATAGTGAGCCAGCTTCATATCGCAGTGTACCGCAGCTAACGTGGTCTCATCTCGCAGAGAGATCGCCAGGAACTTGAGGAAGAGCGGCGAAGGACACCTCGCGGTTCGACTGGAGAGCCTCCCGAGAGCACTTACCCGGTCGAGAGTGGGCCTCCGGGGCTTGACACTGAGGCATTTTTGTCAACGCTGCCCAAGACGCCGCGGTACGTTATGGCAATCAGCACGGATATCGGTACAAATCCTCGTCCAAAGGCACTAAGGCTGCTCAGCCAGGTATCGATTCTAATCAGGCTTTGCTTTCCGACGCAGATGGCTGAGGGCTGGCAAGCAACCAACTCTTGAGGATCTACTTGAGACCCCTGGTGCACAGACGCCAGTGTCCCGGCCTTCATCTCGCGTTCCAAGGTGTGTTTCGTATGTGCGTGTGCGTATTTGGGTCGCTTGGGTCGCTGTCCTCGTCGGCTAACTGTTTCCGGACGTCTGGTCCGCATCGTTTGCACGCTCGCAGTGGCTCATCGGACCGGACTGCGATCCCGTCCGCCGAGGAAGCGATCAGGAACTCGCACACGAACACACGGTTCGCCCACCCACCACCGCCAGCCGATTTTCCTCACGGTGTGAGCGAGCCTCGATCCCGAGCGGCCGATTCGGCAGCGGGTCGCAGCTCGCGCCGTCGGACCAGCAGCAATCTGCCCAAGTCCGATGATGCCGGTGCAGAAGCCGCCCCAGCAGCCGCGGCACCAGCACGCTCCCAGATTGCCCATGCGGCCGAAGGCGGGTCATGGGCTCCAAGCCAGCCAGGAACCACCTTGCCCTCCACGAGTTCCTTCAGCAAGCCCAACCCCGTGTCCCCCGAGTATCTCAGTGTTTGGAGCAAGCCCATCGAGGACATCCAGACTTTCAACTTCCACACGCCAACGCCAAAACATCGCTCGCACTCCGAGTCGACTCCATCTGCGCGGCGACGCAGCGGACTCTTCCATATTCTATCCCAGTCCGACGCCGGGACTGGATCAGGATCCGGCTCTGGGCCCGATCCCTTCTCGACAGCGACCCCAAAGGCTGCCGCTGGATCAAGGTTCGATGAGAGCGCGCCGCTATCGACTCCTCGAGGTGCCGAGATCGTCACCGAATCCGAGACTCTGACAACGACACCGTACTCGACCCTCAACGGCATCACACCGCTCAACCCGAGACGCGGCCACTTGCGAAGCCAGAGCGCCAGCACGAAATCGTCGACACCCTCGACGATCAAATCGGCATTGCGGAAGCCGTCGAACCCTGGCATGGCGAGCTTGGTGGACTACATGAGCGAGCGGAAGAGAAGCAAAGGCGTCACCCTGGACTTGACGCCCGAGGTCCGTGGCATGACTCCGTAGTTTGGCGCACGGTAGTGCTGATGCAGCAACCCGGAAGGCGGCAATCGAGGCGTCGTGCATGGCGGATAGAGTGTGCCAGGGCAGAAGGAGCATCCTGGATCTGCGTAGATGGTCGGTTTGTGTCCGATTCTCAATACAGACAGGCTTGGTGCATCGCCGGGCTGCACTCGGCCGTTCAGACGCATGCGAGATCGTGGCCGGTGCCCATCTGTCCCAAACGTATCTGTTCCAAATGTATCTGTCCCAAACGTATCAGTCCCGAGTTCAGGCGCGCACCAGGCCGTCTGCCTGTCTGCCCAAAGACCCGCCCTGGCTGTTTTCCGGCACCAGGCTCGTCGGGTTGCGACTCATCCATTCCCGGCCTTTCCCTGCTCCCTCCTGCCAACAGATCGATAGAGGCCCTGCCTCCAGCCACCCCCCCCCTTTGCGATGGCAACAGGTACAGCAAGCCGCCGTGGCAATAAAGCCGTCTGCAGCAGCCGCAGATCCGCCCTACAGACCAGCTGGCCGTCCGCCACCATCAACCGCGGCCAGCAGCATCGTCACCACCGGCTGAGATGATGCAGACGCCAACGGATGTTGGACACGGCGTGCCTGACGATTGCTCTTTTCTTCATCCTCGCACATGTGCTGCATCCCTCCAGCCGCCCCTTCCAACCAACGAGCCTCAGCGGGCACACGACAGCCTGCCCAAAAAGCCTATCTTCGAATCCAGAAAGCCCAGGAATTGGGATGCGAGGCTCTGGTCAATCCCGACTTGATGCAAGACTTGAGTATCGGCGAGCTTATCGAAGTTAAAAAGGCTTCCGCTGCCCCAGACGGACTCGGCGGTCAGTCAAAGTCGTCCGCGACCACCGGTTCGGCCTTGATTCAGATCACCACCCTCGAGCGGAGCCATTTCCAGCACATGCCCAACGTCTTGGTTCGTCTATCTTCTGTAGCGCAAGTGATTCCGAGGGTGGGCGAGAGTCCTTCTGTTGAAGCGGACCAAACTCTGCATTTGGATGTCGGGCGCCTGACGCAGATAATCGTTCCTGCCCCCTACAGCTGTTGGTCTCGGAGGAGTTTGCAAAGACCTTCAATCTGAGCCCCAGTAGCGATATCACGGTGGAAAAGGTCGGTTGGAGATTGACTCGCTATTGCGGTGCCTTGGTGATGCCGATGACGGAGAGCCACTGCTCAGAGGTCTAATGCGCACAACCACCCGACGCCAGGTTGATAAGGATACGGTCACGGCGAGGAATATCGAGCTCACTTTCCGAGAGCAGTACATCAGCCGGTCGGACATGTGGCGAGTCAAGATGGCGCTCATCGGCAAGGCGGTTTGCGAAGGCAAGAGAATCGAGGTGTCTGGCGTTTCGGCCACAATCAAGAGCATCTATATTGACGACTCTCACTCCAATGTATCGGTATGTCTCTCGTCACAGTGTTTGCGGTCTCTGACGGATTTGTACTTGCATATTCCTGCATGCAGCTCGACTCGCCAGAGGGGGCTCTGTTGCTCGCTGTATACAGTGGGATATCATGCACTCGCCCTGGCTGCTTGGCTCTCGCTCCGAGAACCGCCAATAGTCCTCGGGTTTGCCCTCGAATGCTTTCCGGCATCCCAGAGGTTCGACTCGACCGCTAATATCGCACTACATCATCAGCCCTGCTCGGGATACGTCACCGCCAATACTCGATACACCTTCCGGTCCGAGACAGCAAAGTATTTCATTTTCATCCAGATGAGCAAGGAGATGTTTGATTTTGAAGAAAACGGCGAGCTCTACTTTGAAAAGTGCGTCAGCGGGTTTCTGCCCGCTCTCTTCAAGCGCTGGAAAAAAAGCAAGACCAACCACATCGTCTCGATCGTGCTCTTCGCGCGAGTTGTGTACGAAAATGTGAGCGCGGAGAGCGTGCTGCCGGATACCTACGTGCGAGACAGCTCCGGCCGAGTCTACCAGGATTGCTACAAGGTCATCGTCGACTGGGAAACCCGTAGCGATTGGTCTCAAATCCTGGGGAAGCTCAAGGAAGAATTCATCCAGTACTGCAAACGAACGTTGGGGCCTCGCATGGACTCGCCGTTTGGTGCGGGCTCGTTAGCCTCTTCCTCGGAGGGCAACATTCTCGAGGCCATCAATCTCGCCTTGAATCCGTTTGACAAGCACTATATTGACCGCGACTTTCTCCGCACGGGACTGTTGGTTGTCATCATTACCCCGGGCACGGGTCTATTTGAAGTCGACAAGAAACTTCTCCGGCTGACGACACAGCGTATGATCGACAACGGCATTGGCATGGATCTCGTGTGTCTATCCAACCCGCCTCTGCATGTCGTGCCAGTGTTCATGTTCAAGTCCACGAGCGGCCCCAAGAGCCTGATCCTCACCCATCCAGACTCCCCCACGATAGGCGGTGCCGACAGGGCTGAAAGAGGGTCTGCTTTGGTGGTGGCCCCGTCGCATGCTTTGTATTCCGAGGATCGAGAGGGCTACTCGATGGAGACGTACTACGCACGAGAGCACTGGATTGATTACAGCTTCTGGACAAGGGCCTGGGACTCAATCGGCGAGACGCACGACAACAACAATATCCCCAAGATCAACCGCTTTATGCCGCGTGGAAAGGTCCCTGATATCCAAGTTCCCAGGGGCATGTCCACAAGCGACCCGCAGGTCCCGTTCCTGATTGCCGCCCAAGATGACATTGACGACACCGGCGGAGCGACCCTTCTTGGCCACCCTGGGGTTTACATGCGCGATGGCGACTTTAACCGATACGATGAGGCTGTTTTTCGTGCGGCTGACGTTCCAAGCGAAAGTCCCCCGGCTCAGCCAGGTGATTCGCTGTCGGCCCAGGATACCGACAGCAGCTTCGGCAACATCAGCAACGCCGGCGCACAGCAGTCCCACTATCCAAATCAAGCCGTCATGTCATCGAGTCCCAGCCAACGAATGCGCGCCGAGATTGCCCGCGGCATTCCTTCTGGCGGACAAGCAAACTGGGGAGGCTACGGAATGCACGACGAACCTTCACTGCGGCCACCGGATATGCGCGGCGGGCACCGCATGGCACTGACAGGCGGCATCCACATCAACCGATCGCCCGAAAACTACGAAAGCATACTGCGGCCCTCCAGCTATTCCCATCACGGACTGTACAAGAGCCATGTGCTGCCCGGCGCCATCGACACCGAAGTGCTGGCATCAACTTTGCATGACGGCTTTGATCGGCGCATCGAGGATCGAAACACCATCCACTCCACGACAACACCCATGAACATCCACAAACCTGCGAGTGAGCACAGCCGCACGGGATACTCTGGCTCCTACAAAACAAACACCTCGTATATGGACGGCCACTCGCGCAACTCGTCGCGCCACGGCCCGTCTACCTGGGGTGGAGTGGATCAGTGCATCATCAATCCGTACAACTTCCAGGGCCACCATGCACCGGCCTCAAGTAACAGCACCCGATGGAAGCACGTCTACCCGAACGAGTACGGACGAGATGTCAAAAAAGACGACTCGACCAACTGGAAGTCGCTGTGCACTCCTGCTTGCCTGCCCCTGACCACGGACTACTTCCCGATGATAAACGAGCCAGCAAACGGCAGCAAAAGCAACGCGAGCGAGTCGCTGTATCGAGAGTACTCCTATTTGGTCTCGCCCTCGGAAGACATCGGCCCCTATCAAGTCAACAACATCACCGAGCAAGAACGGGTTGCGATTCTCCTGATTGAGCTGATCGCCCAACGACTCTCGCAGGGGTTCCAGCTTATCCTGCCGTCCAGCATTGAGCAATCTCAAAAGGCCCAGCCTCAGTCGCAACGAAGTCTTCCAGAGACAAGCCAGTCTTTCCTCGAAGCCAGCAGCCAGCTCGTGACTGGAAACAAGAGAATCTTTCCCGAGAACAATGTCTACACTCGGCTGTTTCTCTCGTCCCCCTGCTATCTCTCGCTTGGGGATCAAGGTCAGCGAAGCAGAACTTGACAGCTAGGGACATGGGCGGGTACTGGCAGTGGGATTCGGTGAGCGTTGGCTAGCTGGCTGGCTGGCTAGTTGGTTGGGACACAGTATGGGCCGCCGATGGGTACGGCTTAGGAGCCTAATCGGGCTTGCCCACTCGTCCTCCCAATTCGAACACCGCAGTGCACAAGCTGTTTTTCGATAGCACTGGCAAAAATGTCGAGGTCAAGCGCCACATTCGCAACGTCCAGTACCAGAAGAAAGGCGAAGAGTACACATGCTTGATTTGGCCAAAGCACGCTGAGGGGTATCGGCAGCGGAGATTCACATTCTCGTATCCAGCCCTTGACAACTACAACTGGAACTATCTTGACAGTCTGGTCTCAGGGAACTACACCGACATGATTGACGGATTGCGGTTCTGGCGCGTGCGCTTCCTGTTGGTGCCTCAGATCAAACCACCGTCAGCCTCCGAGTTCAAGATCAACGAAAAGCTTAGCGATGAAGAGTTGCGCTTGACAGCATTCGATCGGTTTATCGAGTTTTTGGAAAAGTCGATCTGGATACCATCACAGGACTCAGCCGAAACTGAAGGCGACCGCAGCGGATCTGGACACGATAACCTAATCAAGGTCCAGGTGACGACGTTCACCAACGTGGCCTTCCTCCAGTCGGGCCAGCATCGAATCGCGGCAGAGTCCAGTCGGTTCAAGACCGATGGCAGCACTCGCCCTCCAGATGACGCTCACCGCACGTCTCGCAAGAACTCGGTCTGTCTGCTGACCCAGAATTCGCCCTTGGTCGACATTGCCTGTGAGATGCAACATCCCAAGACGGGTCTGAGGATCATCAACGCCCGGTGGCATTTTAAATACTACGAAAACATCTTTATCGGCAAAGAGTGCGTCCAGTGGCTGATCGACCACTTCAGCGACATCAGCACCAAGGATCAAGCCATCGCCTTCGGCAACGAGCTGATGGCCAAGGGCGTCATCGAGCATCCCCGTGTCGAGCACAAGTTCCTTGACGGCTACTTCTTTTACCGCTTCACCCCAGCCTTTTTCGCCGAAGGCGGTGTGCTCAAAGGGCAGGGCAAGTCCACGAGCTCCAGCGCGGCGCAGCGAGACTCCTCTGCGCCCGAGCAATCGATCCCCGCGCTGCCAGTGCCGATCACTGGGCTCCAAAGCCAAGTCAACCACGATATTCAGGCGTCGAACAACAAGAACGGCGCCTTGAGCGAGACACCGTTTCTGTTGTCGCGCCAGGTCATGATCGATCTGGATCCCGGCCACCAGAGCCATCGCCGCGAAATTGCCACGCTGCATTACGACACCCTCCACAATTCTCGGACCTGCTTTCATCTGGAGCTGCACTGGCTGGTGTGCTCTCCTCGTTTGATCCAAGAGCAGCTGTCACAATGGTACCGGATGAGCGAGAAAATCGGCTTGAAGCTGCTTGAGGCCCCGGTCATCCCGGCAAGCACCTCTGCCAACGACAATCCCTTCCAGTCCATTATCTCGATCACACTGGCGTGCCAGCCGCCGTCGTGCCCGGACTCTCCGCTCCACCACAAGCTTCCGCCTGGCGTCAACATCCCGACTCAGTGGTTCGAGTCCGAGCTACTCATGAGATTCGGCTTTATTCTGGATCTGGAAGCCGACCACCTGTTCCCGAACAGCTCGGTCGAGTACTCGTACCCCAGATCACCCGTCGAGCACACACAGTTTATTCATTTGCAGGGCATCGCTATCATCCAAATCCGCGAGCCTGGACAGGGCTTCTACTGGATCAACAACCGGCTTCGCTTGACAGGCGGGTCTTCCAGCCGCTCTTTGCTCAACCAGGCCAAGGCGACTGGAGGCGACACAGCTTCCGCCATCGATAGCTCGGGTGAGCGTGTTGATCAAGCCGCCAACTACAGTGACTCAAAGACCACCATCGAAGCCATCATTGCCCATTACGCGCAGTACACCGACCCCGACCTCCTCCGAGACGATATCGTCCAGTTTGTGCAAAACGCAGAGAAGCTCGAAGCCTTCTGGAGCCACTCGCTGGAGCGACTGAGGGTGATTGCTGGCTACAACGTCGATCTGTCCAACACCCGCGCAGCCACCGCTGCTGCAGCCGTGCCGCCAAAGAGCGCCCCGATCCCAGAGAAGCTCGGGATGTCCGAGCGAACAGCGATTGGCAGCACCCCACCGCTCTCGCCGCTGGCGACCGGTCTTCCGAGTACCCAGGCGTTCGCGATCCCAATTTCAGCGGCAAGGCCACTTGCAGACCGAAGTCTGCAGCACTCGAGCTCGTCTATCCCTGCGTTGGCACGGCGACCCAGCGAGAGTCGCGAGAGCCGCGACAGTCTCAACGCCGGTCTGGAGGCTGCCGAAAGCGTCAAGAGCCCCATGTCGCCCGGAATGTCGGCCGCTTCGGCGGTTTCGGCTACCCGTCACGAATTCATGACTCCGGCATCGCAGCTTTCCAAGAACCTTTCGTATGGGGTAAGCAAGGGCATATAAGCCCGAGAGAATGGTTTGTTAACATGAGCTTTTCGTGTTGGGGTCAGCCTCTGACTATTCCCTTCGCGCCTTGGCACAGATTCAGCATTGAGAGTTCTGTCATCAAGCCCGCAATCGAAATGGGCCGCCTAACGAGATATGCATCAATTCTTCTATCAGGACATGGCCGGATATGGACACACAAGCCCGCGTTCCTCCAATATGTCTGTCTCAGGCGTCACCCGACCACGAAGCTTCACGCTGCCCCTGAGTCGCAGCATCCACGAGTAGTTTTTACAGTCTATCCAGAAAGAAACGGGACAGTCACTTTCTGGCTTCTGAAACCTGCCGAACTTCCGTAGGCCCCGGTGAGCAAGCCGTGAGATTGTTTCCCGTCTTGGTTGGCAATCTCTTTGTTTTTGGTTGGTTTCGGGAGCACAGTCTTGAATACACTCGGTCGATCTCCATGGGCGATGATCGACTGGCATACCGAGATCATGTTCCTTGAGGCATTGATGTCTCGATGTGGGAGTGTGGTGGATGCATTCGACCCTCTGCACAGCTTCATGGTTTCTCGATATCAAGATGCTCGGGTGACTCGAGTCGCTTGGCTTCCCGACAATGTGGGCACACCTGGGATGTGTTGAACTCGTTCACCGAGCACACATGGATCTTGGAGACGGATCGGTCTGGTGGTCGTCTCTGGTGATGGGTGAACTGCTCGAAATACTTGGCAAACCGGAGTCTCCTGGGACTGGATGCATATCCCTTCCCCTGTTTCCAGGAGGCATTCCCAAAGGCAATCACCACTTCGGTCTCCTTGGACATACTTGCTTGGCCATGAATGCGATGAGTGGAAGTGTATTCAGGTTCCAGGAAACACACATTCCTGGTTAAAAACGGAGGTGTCTCATTTCATTTTGGAAACGCTGTAACCAGCGGATGTGCAAAGTATGTCGTGGGAGGGGGGACATATGACGCACAGCAAGTGTTCCCCCCCGGGACGCCTATTCGGCCATGCATTGATTGCGTGCTTCCCCGCCTCGCTGCTGTTCCTCGGCCACGAGGTCATTGTCTTGGGCACCGCCTCTTGAACATGCTTGGTCTATCTTCATCCAGCCACCCCTTGTAGCGTGCCATTACGCCCTTGAGCAACAATGTTGTTGCAGTTGCTGGGCATGTGAATCGACGGATGGTGCCGCTGACGATTACTCCATATCGCCATGAAGTCAGCCGTGCATTGAGGGGGCGCTGAATCAATGAGCATGTGTCCAGTCTGGATTTGGGGAGCGGCGCTGTTGGTCTCAAAAAAGTATCACTGAAAGCTATCGATGCGGAATATGTCCCAATCACAGCAGGTCAGCCAGCCATCAATGCAATATGTTGCCGTGCAAGAGTTCTGCGATCCACACAATCGTCCGTTTGTTGGAGATGGCCTCATCCTGGAATATGTCGCTATGGTGGCCATATGTGCCGTACACAACCGAGTGGTCCTGTGAATAAATGCAGCGGCCTTGGAAGGGTAGCGATAGCCACCGTCATTCCCGTTGCTTCCAAGACAGAAGCACCCCCAGGCTCATCATCAGGTCCGCTGCAGCCACAAGACTTGGCTGTGAATAGTGCCTTTGATACCGAGACTGCTCCGAGCACACCCCAAAGCTGTGGCGTTTTGCTTCATGAGAGGCCTCAATCGTCTCTTGGCCGTACTTGCGATTGTGGTCGCTCTCCTGGCGGTCGCAAGGGCACTCCCTCTTGGTGTCAGTGCCGACGGTGAGCACGAACATTCGCTCTTGTCGGTCCGAGGTAAGCCCCAGCAAGGCCCGACAGCGAGCGTCGCAGAGGCTCTATCCAATACCCAAGTGGACCACATCCGCCGTCTTGACCCTCGTCTTCCTCCGACGCTTTCTCCCCAAACACCCAAACACCCAAACACCAGCGTCGGCCTCAACCCAAGCGTTCTCGCCATACATCGACGTCCTTCAGTACCCGCGCCAGGACCTGCCCACGGTCGCGTCGTCGATGGGCATATCGTCCTTCATCATTGGGTACATCTCTGCAGATGCTCTGGGCAATCCGGCTTGGTGGGGTCTGTATCCGCCAAAGACAAGCTTCTCCCAGGCCATCGCCGCGCAAATCAAAACGGTTCAAACCAGCGGGGGAAAGGTGGCCGCCATTGTGGGCACACTCCAACCCAGCGATCACAGTAGGTAGCCAATGTCACATTTTGCGGTAGCTTGGCTTTCGCACATGTACCGTCTCTGCTCTGGTACATCTTCCAACATTATTTGGTCTCATACGGCTGTGGCTGGACAGGCGTCGATCTGGCGACATACCAGCCCACGATCAACTCGCTGCAAACAAGCTATCAGACGATCCTGCAGTCGTATGGCATCAGTCACTTGATCTTCTCGGTTCGCAACAGCGACCTCTCCAACAGCAACCAAATCCAGAGACAGCAGAGCGCAATCCTCAACCTCCAGCAATCCCTTGGAACAGCCAAGTTCAAGGTATCCTTTGTCGTCTCGACGGACAGCACGACTGCCATGAATGCCCAGCTCTCGATGATTGCCGCAGCGGCCAAGGCAGGCATTAGCATCTACAAGATATATGTGCTGGCAAGGAACTTTGAGGTCCTTCCGGCAGACGGACAGTGGGGCGCTACCCGAGACGCCGCTGTCCAGATGTACCAGTTCACATCCCTGAACAGCCGTCTCGGCAACGTGGGAATCGGGCTCTTCCCGGTCATTGGTGAGCCACAGTGTCGGCCGTGGGTTGCCTCGGCAGCCGTGATTTGAGCCATGGATCGGTGAGCCCGCAGCCATGATCTGGCATGGCCCATGGCAGGCTCTGTGACTTACACTCGAAATCAACTCTCACAGGCAACAACGACGTCCAAGCGAGCCAAGACTTTACACTCCAGGATGCGTCCAGCCTTGTGTCGTGGGCTCAAACGACGAGCTGGATCACCGACCTGTCGTTCTATTCGCTCTCGCGGGACCAGATCATCAACGGGGCGTCAAGCCAGTACCAGTACGCCGCGGTGTTCAAGTCGATCCAGGTTCCCGTTTCGCCGTCACCATCACCGTCACCATCACCGTCACCGTCCCCGTCCCCATCTCCCTCGCCCACTCCAGTGATCGTTCCAGTCCCAGCACCACCAAGCGCCAGCGGTGTGCCGACCTTGGCTCAAGCACAGGCAGCCGAGATCTCAAAGACGTCCTCGGCCGGCTTCCAGAGCATCAAAAAGACCGCTGCGTACATCGACACGGCAACAGCACTCCAGGTTGCGCCTCTTAGAGCGGGCAACCCTGCAAACGTCAAGAGAGTCGAGCAAATCATCACACAGGCCAAATGGTCCTTCTACTTCCCGGAGGCAAACTCAGCATACACATATACAGGATTTTTGCAGGCCGTGGCCAAGTTTCCAGGCTTTTGTGGCGACTACAGCGACGGCCGGGACGCCAACCACATCTGTCTCCATGCTCTTGCGACGGCCTTTGCACACTTCACCCAAGAGACAGGCGGCCACAGCCAGGCGGATCCCACACCCCAATGGCGACAGGGGCTGATGGCTGTGCGTGAAGACAACTGCATTCCGTCCAGCGGCAACTGCCCATCGTACAACTCGGACTGCGGCACGAGCAGCTTCAGCTCGATCTGGCCCTGCGGCAAGGACGCTTCAGGAGCCTATCTGCAGTACTTTGGCCGAGGCGCCAAGCAGCTGACGTACTCATACAACTATGCGCCTTTCAGCCAGATCATCTATGGAGACGCCGGGGTCCTCCTGAACGACCCTGACCAAGTGGCGACGAGTTGGCTGTCGCTGGCCTCGGCCATTTTCTTCTTTGTCTTTCCGCAATCGCCAAAGCCGTCGATGCTTGAGGTGATTGACGGCACATGGGTTCCAAATGCTGCAGACAAAGGCAAGTTGCTTGGCAACAACTTCCCAACGACGATCCAGATCATCAACGCCGAGTGCCAGGCAGCTACCACGCCTGCAAATGCGCAAAACCGAATCGATTACTACAAGGCCTTTGCGCAGGATCTCGGGCTGGACATCAGCCAGGAGAACATGGCATGCGCCGGCATGGGTCTCTTTGGCGCGGACAGCTCAACCAGCAGCGTTCCTCTGTACTGGGACAAGAGCTGGAGCAGCCAGTATGGGTGCGATCTGGTAACTTGGCAAACGCCCTTCAGCGCTTTGATTACCGGGCAGTATGTGGCGTGCGTAGAGCACAACTGGGGTGTCCAGATCTCTTGACGAACCGGGCAGGCAAGCAGCGAGGGCGCTGGCGGCGACGCTGCGGAACAGAACAATACACTCCAACACAACCCAGCCTTGCCAGAGTGCATCGTCGCGGGGACCTGGACTCGCAAAGTCATGGAGATGGGGTCTCGCAGAGTACTCCGTATGCGCAACGGCTGGGGCTGGCCGATTGCGAGAGCATTCCAGCCACGCCGCTGTTGACGAGCCCAGCGGCGGCCTTGGTCCTCGGCCGCCCTTCTGTCTCTGCTTGTGCCTCTGCTTTGCCCAGATCTTGAAGCAGAGAATGGGCGAGCAAGCCGAGACAACGGCATACGCCCGACTCACTGGCGGCGAATCTTTTCCCGTCGGCGACGACCAGGATCTCGAAGATGGCGAGATTATCGAGACTGCTGGACTCGACACCACCACCAACACCACCACCAACACCATTGCCCACGATCCGCAAGACCCAAGTCTTTTCTGGCACGCCCAATACGGACTCGACCATAGTGGACAGTACCATGGCAGTTACGATCCGCTCTACACCCACAGCATGCCCGCTTCCGACAGATACGAAGGATCGGGCGAGATCGGCGGACCCTCATCCTACGAGCCGCAAAGCAACGCCGAGATGAAGCTGGTGGTGATTTCGTCAGAAGTCCTCAAGCCCGGATCGGTTGTTCTGGTCGATGGCAGCGGGCTCACGATAGGCAGAGACCGGGCGCCAGAGAAGCGGCTGCAGCTGAAGGAGATGGCCGTTAGTCGGTTTCATGCCATGATATTTGTGCAGACGGTCTTTGAAGAGGCAACCTCGCAGGCCGAGATAGCCTGGCCGGAAACAGGAAGCGCCGAATGCCAGACAGGACAGCTTCCGGGTAGCGATCCGCTTGAGGCGGGGCTGCTCGGGGGCTTTATTGGCCCGATTGCCCAGAAGCCATCAGATGGCGACTCCCTGCATCGCTGCTATAGCGCCGACGTGGCGACCTTGGAGATCAACGAAGCCCAAGTGGCTATATCTGCAGCGCAGGGCTCTTTTGGTGCCGACTGTCATGGAGTCGAGCAAAAGCCGTCGCCGGAGAACGGCCTGGACGACCGGCTCCAAACAGAAGGCGGGCTGCCAGCCAGCGCTGAAGCAGAGTCTGGCGAGGAGGGGGAATACCAGGAGAAGGACAAGTCCATCAATAACCGTACCGACGACGAAGATGCAGCGCAGAGCCCACGGAACGAATCCGGTCAGTCCATGGACAAGCAGCAGTCTGGTGAAAGCGACCCGCAAACGCAAGCGGGAACGACAGAGGACGAACAGCAGCGCATCTACATCACAAGAGACTGCTTCTTCGTTGTTGACCAGGGCTCGGTGCATGGCACAATGCACAACGGCTGGCGACTCTCAGAAGCCAAGGTAAGCGATGCTCTGGCAGCCCGGCAATCTGTGGGCAATGGTGGTGGCCGACTGTCCTTGGCACCCACTGTTCCTTGATACCTAAATGCCTCTGAGCATCCAACTGTTCACACATCGACCCTCACAACGAACCGTTCTTGATCTCGCTTGTACCGATGAGCAGAAATGCTCCCAACCACAGGCCCTTCGGCACGAAGACACGATTACGATCGGAAGCACGACTTTTCAGGCACACATCCATGAGGCCTGGAGCTGCGAGGCTTGCCGGATCACCGACGACAACGAAATTGTCACAGACTCGACTGCAATCGCACAGGCCAAGAAGACGAAAGCGCCGGCAGCGTCCAAGCACAAGTCCCTCGAGTCTCGTCGTCGGGACGAGCTCAATCGCCTCAGACAAAAGTATCGCTTCGCCGACAAGGACACATCCACGAACCCCCAGAGTGTCGATCGGGCGCAGAAACGACGGGAGCGGGACGGACCCGATACCCCAGATTCATTCAGCCCCAAGCGGCCAGACCACAAGCCGAGTCCTGCAGCGGCGGAAGCTGCCAGCCATTCGCCCGGCCAACTCAAGTTTTCCAAGATGCAGATGAGACTGGGCCGTGGCTCGTCGTTCATCGCCGGCGGTGGACGAGGCAGATCGGCTGTGGCCTCCGTCTTCAGCGAGGAGACATCCGACCAAGATACCCGGCCGGCTGCACCCAAGCCGCTGATGGACGACGAGACGAACGTGGGCAACCAGCTGCTGCGGAAGATGGGCTGGACAACAGGCACCGGCCTGGGAAAGGAGGGCGACGGGCGGCACGAGCCGATCGCTGTCACCATCAAGTCGGAGAGATCAGGGCTTGGGTTCAAGAGCACATAGAGCGATCGCGAAGGAACCAAGCATTGGCGGCCCTCCGTCTATGGGCGGCGCCTGCTTCACTGCCGTTTGTGGGCAGGATCGCCCGGAACACCCACGCCAACCATGCAGCAGCAATCTAGATCTTAATTGCACCAAATGCACCAAATGCACTCGACAGGGTCTGCACTGTTCATCCGTTACAGCGAGCGAAATATATTGAATATCGGCGCGCATGGCCCGATCGCTCAAGACTCGAGACCAGCAGAAAAGTGCGACGCGACATGGGAAGGGATCAAACGAAAGCAGAGCCATCTGTTGGGGATACTGGCGCGGGAAATGGACGGCAGGGTTAGCAGAGCAATCAGTGCCAGATCAGAGACAGAACCGCATCCCGCATGTCGCACCCAGCCAAAGCACAGTATTCAGAGTAAAAGTGTTCCGCACGAATTATATCAGAAGAACGAAAGTTATGAATTGATTTGTCTCATCCTCAAGAGGCGATGTGCCGCTGCGACAAGCGGATGGCGAGTCGACTGCCCAGACCGTGGCTTACCTTACAACACGAACCAGGGCAAAAGCGACGCTGCAGATCGATGGCAGATCGTTGGCAGATCGCTGGCAGATCGATGGTGGGAAGCTGGCGACCACGAGCCGAAGAGAAAACGAAAACCGCTGGCGCCACATGCGCAGCAGACTGGATGGCGATGCGCAGCAAGTCCAGACGCGCAGCACGTGCGGCGCTGTCTTGGCCCGGTGGGCTCTGACGGGCTTTGATGAGCGCTGATGGGCTCTGATGTGCAGTGTGCGACGCCATTGCCATGCTTGTGTAGTTCCATGCCATGCATGTGCGGTCGGATGTCGCATGTCGGATGTGAGGTGGTGCGCACCGGAGTGTCGGGGGGGATGTGGCGGGCCCATGTCGCAGGCCCTGCGCCGACATGACGGGCATCTGCAGGTTCGTGGTCCTCGTCCACTCATCAGGCCATCGACCACATCAACCGCCACCCGCCCAGCGCCGTGCTGCAGTCCCCCCCAGGCCGAACCGCCTCGCACACGATGGCCACACCCCGCAGAGCCAGGAAGGACTTTGATTTGACCCAGTCCGACCTCATCCAGCATAAGCTCACTCCAACCCAGCGGGCAAGTGTCGGTGCTGACGCTCACGGCATGCTGCCCTGCCGTCGTCTTGCTCCCCCCTCCCCTCGTGCGTCGCTCGGCCCTTGGTCTGACACAGTAATCCGCTTCCATCGTCTTGCGTGGCCATTTGTGGGTCTCAGAAACAAAGAAAGGAAAACGCCGACCGGTACACTGCAGCTCATCGCCGATCCGAGAGCAGCGATCTCCCCAAGTCTGCCCGGAGAACATCTCTCCACACACCCCGTGGTAGGCGGCAGGACGGAGCAGCTCCGAGTAGTTCGAGCATCTGGCACAGTGTCCGGCTGTATCCCTATAACATTGGCGGTGGACGACTCTTTCCTTGCTAAACTGCTGCTTGGTGTTGCTCACCTTCTTCGGCCGTGCTCCGATTGTTGGCTGGCAATAGACAGCGACGATGAGGAAGCGGCCCTCGAGGTCCTGCGTGCCGACGTCCCAGGATCGTCAATACCCAAGTGGGGGCTTTACTCGGAGATCGATTTTGACAAGGAAGTCGCCAACTGGGAGCGTCTACGGCGCCGATCTCATCCTCGGTCTGTCTCGGGTCCAGTCCGGACAACAGACGAAACCAGTCCGCCTTCTCGACATACGCGAATGAGCTCGTCTTCGGGTGAGTTGCAGAGCCGGTATCTAGCTCAAGCAGAAGGCATGGCCCCGGTGTCTGGATGGATCGGGCACCTTTCAACCGAGCCATTCGTCGATGTCCTCGCTGACATTTGCTCTGGCGCTATCAAGGACCAGCCTCACCATCGTACAATCCCGAGCCCCGCGTGCAGCAACCATGGCAGAAGCTCAAGACAGCGGCTGCTCACCAGACCTGCCTTGATCCTGAACTGGCCTCTGAAGTGGGAACAGGACTGCAGTTCATGAATAGCACCATGGAGAACTATATCTATGGATTCAATACTCAGAACGGCGATGGCGCTGATACCCGTGGCATTGAGGTACAGACATCAGCAAGTCGAAATCAGGAGATATGTCGTGGTCTGCGACGACAGCAATGTTGGATCCACGCAGCCCATTCGCTCGAAGAAGTGCCCTGTTCTGCTCCAGGCGCATTCTGGCTTGCTTGCATTTACTCTCCCTCGTGTTCCAACGGATAGTGCGCCACATTCATATCTGACATCTCTTGATATCCCCTTCATTTCGTGCGTCGCTCGACACCGACACCAACACCAACACCAACACCAACACCAACACCAACACCAACACCAACCCTCGGGCTTCCTCTACGCCGCCCCATCTGTGGCTGCATGACCTAGGCTCTCGTCCATCAGTCAAAACGAGCGATTGGCCTGCTGACCAAGTTTGTGGATAAGGTTTGTGTTTCTGTTCACGGACTCGAGCCGCTCTCCTCGTTAGCCCCGGTTTTCACCGGAGTGCTCGTCCGATTCATGCAGCTATGGCGTCGCATTTTGTAGTCCTGGCTGCTGCGCCGTGGGAAGGAGCCTCTGCTCCGTCGAAACGAATCAGTGTTGGTCCGGTGGCTTATCCACTGCTCCCTCTGGTACAATAGGCAGCGCAAGACCACGCAGCTCAACAACAACGAATCCAGGAGCTGGAGGAAAAACTGGAGCATTCCGATCGACATGCCCGGGGAATGGAAAAGGTGAGCTTGCGCCTCGGATGCGCCTGCTCGGTTTTGCGGATCTGTCCATGGCCTGACCGTAGACCCGATTTGCGCTATACCATTATCGCAGCGACTCCATCTTGCGCTGGATGAGATAGCATCAATGAATGTCCAGCTGATGGAGCTCAAGCTGATCTGCAAGTTCAATGCAAAATACTCAAACTGAAGCCAAAGCCAAATCCTGCGACTCGTCCTCCACTTATCCGCCTCGCTTTCCATCTCGAGGCTCATCCGCTTTCCAACCCTCGGCTCTCAACCCCAGCCTCCAGCTTTGTGCACCTCTGGGACGGAGTCTCGTTCCACTCGATAGCTACGGAGAGCGCCTCGGGGTTTTGGGGGGGGGTATCTCCTGTATTCTTGGGCAAGCAACGCTGCCTGCTCCTGGGTGACCAGCAGTCCCCCCCCCGTCATTGCCATAAACATGACTTCAGCCTGGCCGACGGAGCACTGTGTCTTCGCAAGCAGCTACTTTACTGATGAAGGTATTCCAGGGGGGGGGGGCTATTTTGAATCCAACGGAGAGCGATGGTTGTGAGGGAAGGAGGGCTCCTGATCGTTTCAAATGAGTATTCCAGTCATCGCCAAAAAGTATCGATCATTGCGAGCGGTCCAAAATGTGAAGGTAACAAGCCAAAAAGAGATATTCTGGTGGAGAGGGTGTGTGCGATGGCAAGGGAAAGCAGATTCTGAGGGTCACGAGCAGGGCGCAGAGCAGCAAAGTCAGTGGCCCCAGGCGAGGCGGCCACACAGCGCAGTTCTATCGGCCGAGCGTATTGCAGGCCTTTGCAGGTGGTGGAGTATCGTGCTCATATGTCGTCCATGGCTGGCTCTTCGTCGGAGAAGGATCCAAGCGAGCTCATGTCATCTTCCTCCTCTGAGCTTTCGTCCGCGTCGGCCGCTTCTTTGGTTGCATACTTTTGCACGTACTCTGGAGTGCCGGTAACGGTTGTGGGGTTCACAGGCCATTTGAATGAGAAACCAAATGCAGCAAAGTGCGTGGCGGTGCGACGGAGACGAGGCCCGAGCTCGGACGATGAGAGCCCGCTCAGCGAGGCTGCACCCACCTTTGACACGCTGCTCATATGCAGCCGGGTCTCGCATGAGCATGGCGGCGGCCTCGCCGTTCAAGGGATCGGTGGGATTCGGGTATCGCAGGAGCTGGGGCAAAAACACCTCAAAGATGTTGACCATATCTTGGGGCGAGCGCAGATTCGTGTGGGGAGATTCGGGTGGACAGAGTCGGTTGGTCAGGGTCGGATGGACAGAGGAAGCGTAGAGTTAGTGTCGATATTTAACATCAGTGCATTCGAACTGGATCAGATACGGAGAGCATGTCTGTGTCCCAAGCCCACTGCTTTACTCACCGAACATGGGGCTCCAAGTCTGGTTTATCACATCCAGACAGACCGAGCCGCTCCTGTTATAATCAATCAAACGAATCAGCCGGCGAAGGAGCGTATCTATGGCCTTCATGAGGCCGGTGCAGATGCAGCGCCGCCAACCTCATGGCACGAGGCCATGTCTAGGGTATTCGACAGAGACGGACAAGCAAGCCAGGCAGGTTGGCGGGTGCAAGCCGCCACGCATAACCGCATTATCAAGGCGGTGCCGCTTCGAGGCGCTACCTACAGCTCGTCAATGTTGGGATGGAAGATTTTGTTCATGAAGCCAATCGAGGGCGACTTGTACGGGTACTGGTCAGGCAGCTCAACATGGATCTTCCAAACGCCGCCGCTGAAAGGAGCTGCAGAGAGCAGCGTCGAATCCAGCGAGAAAGGCGCGGATTTGTGATAGAGTCAAAGGGAAATTAACACTCCGGGACAAGAGGGCTCCAACCGAGATGATCTGCGCCATCGCGGTCGCGGTACATACTGTCTGAAGGGCCATAGAATCGGACGTAAAACTCTGAACGGACAGAAACGAGAGAGACCAGCAGGAGAATGAGCTGCGTAGTTCTGGGCAGACCACCGGGTGGCAAAGCGCATGTATCCGGTGCATGTGAAGCACCCGCTGCCCTCCTTTGCCCGAACAGGCAATCTGCATTCGATCATAGAGCATTGGCTCTAATCAACCCCTTCAGCCTGGAGGGAACTTGCCTTGCATGTTGTCGTTCACCAGCGTCACTTCGTAGTCGCCCATGAAGCTGAGTAGCACAGATATTGATAGAGAGGCATCAGACATGGCTCGGCTGCGGAACGAGCACCGGCCCTGCTTGTGAAGCAGCTCGTGTCGCCAAGGAAGGTGCTGATGCACAGATATCTAGTCTCGTGCTCGAGAGAGAGAGGATCATTTGGAGCCTGCGGCGTCACAGACAAAGCCAAACCAAGCACGACCCGCAGCCGCACACACTCTAGACCGGACCCGAAGCAGGCTGGATTGAAGCAGCACTCTTCAAGAGCGAAATGGCAGCATCGGAATACGGAAGGCACTGAAGGCCGCCGCTGCAGCCGCTGCGGTAATGCTATCGGTTGGAGCAGAGCGTGCGACCGCTGCGGGAGGTAATGCGTGGAATGGGTCTTACAGCTTCATAACATCTGTTTCGATTCTTCGTCGAGGAGAAGACATTTTTGGCTCCGATTCCACTGGGGAAATGTGCGAGTTTAACGGCTACGGAAATAGTCTGCGGAGAGGGTTGGTCTTGGGCTGCACCGACTGCCAAGGGTAATGGGAGCGATGAGTCGTCGGCGGTGGACGGACTGGGTTTAGCGGCAGCTGGCGTAGCTAATGGCTGGATGTGCGACGAATGTTAATGCAAGGGAAGGAAGGAAGAATACCAAGAAGATGAGCACGAGAAAGAAGATACGGCAGAGCAATCGCAAGTCGGGAGCCGGCAGTCCGGGGGGGGAGCGTCGAATCAATGGCGGAGAAAGGATACTTTGTGGTGGCAGCGGAGGATGCCGCGGTTCTAGAAAGTAGAGGTCGGGGATGGACAAGCGCTGCTGCAGAGGGAGATGTGGTGCTGGTGTCGAATCAACAGGGCAAGCACAATCGAGCAGAAGGACGGGAGGGGCAAGCGCCAGGCGGGGGCAGAGTACGATCGGCAGATGTGCGGCAGAGAAGACTCGACGGCGGATGAGCAAGGCTGGATTGAAGGCCGGATTGAAGGCCCGCCTGTCCGCAGGGCCGCGCTCTCGGCCGCGCCCTCGGCCCACCCTCGGCCGCAGAAAGGTAGGCTCTCGCTGCGGGCGGCCTCGCTGCGCTCTCGCCGGGGCTGGGAAGGGGTCTTGGTGCCACCATCCGATCAGCCACATGACCAGGGGTGCTTCTGGGCGAACGGGTCTCGATCACCAACAACAAAGGCAAGGGGGGGGGGCGGGAGGGCTGGTCGGCATGGGGCCAGCACGGCGGTGCGGCGATGAGAGGGTCGGTGGCCATGGAGATGCACTGCCCATCACGGTCCATCACAGCCAACCACAGCCGCCATCCAACATACTCTCAGTATATTCAGAGTGGCCTCGGTCCAGCGAGCACAGGAGCATGGTCATGGTGTGCAGCCCGATCGTCTGCGATTGTCCAAGACAGGATCGGTATCGGCGACAAATGACGGTGGCGGGGATGTGGAGGCAACAGGGACTCGCCGATGAGATGCAACGCTTATGGCGGTGAATGGGATGACCCCGGTGCTCCATTGTCGCTTTGCAAGGCTGTAGTGCTCATGTCGTAGAGGTGCCTGATTGTGGGGCGTCCATGCGGACAGTTCTGCGTGGTACCCCAGTTGTCCAGTTGAGCGATCGTGATTGAGAGCATGCGTCCACGACACCAGATCAGGATGATGCCGAAATTAGGATGATGCCGAAATCAGTGGTGGAGAGTGAAAGTATGAAGCATACGGAAAACAACCGAATTTTTCCGGTCGCCGTTAGAGAGTTAGGGCGAGAAGAGCGCTTCTGCAACAACAACGTATATCGGCCTGCTGCTTACCCATGGCTGGACCATCTCGCCCATGTGGATGATAATCTACAGGACCCGCCATCGCCGCGAGAAAAAGGCATCAGCGTCATGGTGAGAGCACTGGATGAATGCTCGGGACCGCCTCTCGATAAGAGCTGCGATGAACCTGCGCTCCTTACGGTACTCACCTGCCTCATCTGGCGATGGGTGAGCGATGTGCCGATCATGACGGACTTGCGGCATGCTTTGGATGCAAACAGACGTAGCATCTTGGAGCCCATCAGGTCCGTGTCGCCTTCTTTGAGCTTGAAGAGCAGCTCCTCAAAATCTGAAGCAGCGTGAGCAGCACAGGGAGGTTAGTGCCTGATTCCAGCGTCTGATTCCAGTGTCTGATTCCGGTGTTGGGCGAGGCCGGCCCAAAGCTACAAGGGACACGATGCAGGGTTTGTTGATATCGAGGACAGTGTCGACGTGATTCCATCGTCAGTCATGACTCACCATCGGATCCAAACGTCTTGGATTTCTTGGCAGGAACAGCAACGAGCTTGATGCGCTCGAACGCCTGTGCTTGGGGATCGATCTCAATGTCGTAGCCATTCATCCTGCAAAGATATCGCAGTCTTTGTAAATTAAGCGTGCCTGTGGACTCCGTATCCATTCAACTGGGCTTACTTGAGGGTTTCTATGTGTTCCTCGACAAGCAGCTCCTCTTGTGCTGTGAGCGATAGAGGCTTGGGGCTTTGAAGCACCGTCGTGGTAAGTAGGACGCTGGCATCGGCCATTCATCTATACCGATTCCACAATCATTGCAGCTATGTGTGCGTTAAAGCGGACAGACTTACACAACAAGTCTCTGGCTCTGAACCTTGGCTGACTGGCGGAGCTGCTCGTAGTTATACTTTTCATCGCTGCGAGACGGTCAAGCAAGTCAGCATGCGAGTTCCAGCAAGTGAGGGACGAGGCAAAGAAGCAGGAGATCAAGGAGTCCAAAACGCATATTGGAAGTTGGGTCGTCCCAAAGTTGTCAGGTCGCCGTGTCGTACCTGGCGTGCTGATCGACAATGAATATATCGCTTCGGAGCAACACTATGATGAAGCCCAAGTTGAACTGACCGACAATCTTCATGTCCTTGAAGTCACCCTTGCGTACAAAGCGGTTTAGCTTCAGAATCTCATCGCAGAAAACATGGCGGGGTATCTGATCCAAGCTCGATGCGACATTGAATTCGCCAGGGTCCGTGCGACCGTTCCCATCTGTCGGAATCGCCTGGCTCCGTTTGCTGTGTTTGTTCCGACGAAGTGACCAGAGTCTCCACTTGTGGTCAATGTCGGGCGGGGACAGGATCAGCGAGCCGGAGAGATTCAGGGTGTGATATCGGCTTGGAATATCCGCGGGCCTTGACCCGGGAACCTCCTCTGCCTTTGTGTCCACTTGGACGGGAGTTGGTCTTTTCTTTGGCCTTGCTTCGATCGTCTGGAACATATCTTTGATTGATGGTGTGGAGGCCCTGCTTGCCTTGCTCTTGATTTCCACCAAGGAGAGCGAGTGCGTCGACTGGTTTGTGAAAGATCTGGGGCGCTTGGTGTTCATGAACGTCTCCAGAGTTGGAAAGGACTTTTCGATCATATCCAAGAGCCGATGTGAGGACGAACTTGCACCGGCCGCGTTGGGGACACCTTTGGCCGGAGACTCTGGCGAAAAGCCACGGCGCTCTGTAAACAGCCTTGCTTTTGGTGCAGGGCTGGCAAAGGGCGAGCTGCCCGAATCAGGTGTGCCTTTGGCAAGCGACGGTGGATCTGGGACATCTAGCGAAGAGGCAATCACGAGCGCTTCGTCCGGCTGAGTTGGCACGCTTCCCGACTGGGTCAGGATGTTGGGTGCACTCTCCTGGGTCGTATCCATATCGAGGCTGAGCGAAATCGACTCCTGGCTCAATGTCGTTCTGACGTCACCGTCGATATCACCGGCAGGACTTGGATGGAACGTGGCCGTGCTCATGAGACCGCGCATCGGCTCAAAGAGCTCATCCAGTCCATTCTGTGGGGATCAACGACTGCTGGTCAGCGCAGACTCCTGCTGCAGTCCATCCAAGGCCAAGTGAGGCACAATGAGTCAATATGCCCACCCTGAGAGTATCAAGTAAAGCCTGTTCGGTATGAAGGAAGATGGTTCGCTTGTCGGGCGTCACGTTGACATCATACTGGTCTGGGCAGGATGAGAAAACTGTGATGAGCGGAGATCCATCACAGACAGTAGTGCCCCACACGGGGAGACTCACCTGTGGGGAGTGCTATGTTCATTACAACCATAGGGAACTGTTGCATATTGAATGACCGATACACCTCGTTGATGGTCTTTGAGACCTTGGGCAGGTCGCACGGGCGCTTGTTGATGAAAAAGTACTGCCGATCGTTCGTGTTGCGACCGCATCGCGCAATCGGTCTGTTGGCGAGCGGGACACATATAGATGCCCGGGTCGGAAGGAGTGTATCAGATTTTGCAGACTCGTGCGGATGTCTTTGCCTTCCAACGCCCAAACTCACTTGGAGATGTATCCGTAGACCTGAGGCTCATCTGGGTCTCTACAGATGTTGTAGATCCACAGGGAAGCGGTTAGCAGTTGATGCGGACCAATGGCAGTCCAGCCCCTCGATAGCAGGACTCGCGAGTGACGTTTGCATCGTACCCGGCGGAAGCGCCTGTGTCCAGCTTGAACGAAAACTCCATCAGCGTAGGAATCACCTTGGTCCCGAACACATTTGTAATATTGTCTTTGATGGCCTCGTTTCCATTCGTCATTAGCAGTGTGGATCGAGGACTGATCGCCCCGCGTAGATTGATTAAGGGCTGATGCAGCCGGAAAGGACGATATTTGGCGCTGCAAGCTCCCTGTGCCCTCCTCCTCGCTCGAAGCCGAAACAGCCAGCCCGATGATGCATGAGATTGCTTCGCCTGCCGCTCACCAAAGCAACACTCACCCTTTAACCGGAATATGGACGCACGAGATGCGCACATGTGTCGATATCAGAGCATAGGTTTGCATGACTTGCAAGCACTTGGAAAACTCGCGTTTGATGTTGCGCTTGAACTCGCCATATCGAACGGGCATGGCGGCAAAGATATTCGAGATCGTGACTGTTGTGCCGGTCTGACGGGCCACGAACGACTGCGACTTGATCTTGCCATGCATATCATACTCTAGCAGCGTGCCCTTGGGCGACTCGTCTTTCCGGCAGGTCGATATCGAGAGATTCGAAATGGCGCATAGCGAGCTCAGCGCCTCGCCACGGAATCCAAACGACTGCACTGTCTCCAAATCTTCGAAGCACGAAATCTTGGAGGTGTAGTGCTTGAGCGCTTCCAAGACAAGACCAGGACCGTGTGGCTTCGGTTTAGATAGGGCCAAAGTGCAGCGATTCCAGAGGGGATGGAGCATACCACAGACGACCGGGACTCGCAGAGAAAAACCGACAGCCGGCTCGGTCATCCGTCCATACGACACCTGCACTGACCCAGACGCCATATCGCTCTCGTCTTACTTATCGTCTGATAGTCTTCCTTGCACACGCCAACGCCGTTGTCTGCAGATTGCGGCACATAGTTCCGAATTGTCGTTCGGATTGTCGGGGTTGGTTAGGCCTCAGGACACTGACCATTTTTTGAGCGGCTTGGATGCCCACGATGGACTATAGAGCACTGGGCCTTGGCCAAGGCTCTGAGCTCACAGTCAAAAGATGGTGCCACCACACTCTCAAGCACAGTAGCGTTGCGTGCTCACCGGCAACCTGAATGGAGTCCAACCCGTAGTCCTTGATGGTCACCACGACCGAGGTGGCCTGGGCATCGATACTGTTCTCGACGAGCTCCTTGACTGCGGTGGCGAGATCCAAGATAACCTGGCCTGAGCAGATGCGATGGACCGATGACTTTGGGATGGCCTGTATCTTGGACATGGCTGCGGGGCCTGTGCTCTGTGCCAGCTGCGTCCCGCTCGACTTGGCGTGGGGGTTTGGTGGTGGATACGGTATCGCCTGTATGGCTTGGTAGGATTTTGCTCGGACCGATCTCCGAGCTGCTGCCAACAGCGATGCCAGGGACGATGCCAGGGACGATGCAAAGGACGGGCTGCTTCGGCCTGGGCCTGCCTGTGGCCGACCTCGCTTTTGCCACCGCTGTGGCGGTGCGAACTCCGACCGGATCGAGTGCACTCGAGCCGCGGATCCAGCCGGCCAGCCCGCCCGGCTTTGGCCCTGGCCTTTGGCCTGGCCGCGCGGGCTTGTTCCTTGGCCTCCTCGCTCGCGAACGCATCTCGCCGACCCCGCCCGCACCCTGCAGCTCCATCCTCTCCCCGCTCAAGCCTCGCCGTCGATGCAGTCCGAACTGACTCCTGAGCAGCGGCTCAAGATCGCCCTGGATTTTTTGAAGCAGTCGCCTCCCGGCGAGTTCCTCAGCGTCTACAACGGTGCGCCTTTCTGCCTCTGCCGTTCCTGCGATCGTTGCTGATAGAGGCGACCAGCTCAGCCGGGGAAACCCAAGCAGCAGGCACCCGTCGCCTTTTATGCTTGAGCCCTTGTGTCTATTGTGTCTTCGAGCTCCCCAGACCTGTGTATCGTGTTGTATCTGATGTTTACGTATGATGCCCATCTACGTCCTGCCTCATACCTTCGCCCAAACCAGACATCAAGATTCTGCTGGACGATGATGCCCTCTTGGATCAGCATGTCCGCCAAGCACTCGAGGAGTACAGCACCGAGCAATTTGTCGCCATTCCTCTCCCGGATAACTCTCGCAGGGTAACTCCTCGCTCTGGTTTCGATCGCGGCGTGCTCCTCTGGTGACCATCAAGCTCTCTGCCAACCTGCCAGCCTGCCAGTCTTCCAGCCCGCCGACACAATGCCTTTGCCGCTGTCATGGATGTTGTCGTCGGCGCCGTCGCTACGAGGGGCAAATCAACCAGGAGACTTTTATTGCTTCGAGTCAATTCCATGCCGTGCACCGGCTATCGGGTGCCGTCGGTTCTCGTGCTAAGACGGTCGATGCTCTCCATCTCGCTCAAAGGTCGTCATCAGCTCCTTTGGCCGAATCGAGCCTGGCCGATTTGTCGATCCCAAAGGCCACCAGTCGTTTACATTTGATCCTCTGGATATGGTTTGTAGCTGTGTGCTTGATGGAAGCATAATACCCATGACCGGCTCCCGCCGCTGCTCACATTCACTCTCGTGACGACTCACAACTGCGATGCCAAAACTCGCTGTGTACTTGGATTTACGCTTGCCATATCTAGATCATCACGGACGTCCAGCCCCATGCGCCCAAGGAAGAGTCCGAGGAGGCCCGGTAATGCAACATGTCGGACTGGCTTGCCCCGGCTGGATACGCCCGACACATTCCCCCGACTCGCTGCAGCTGTTTCTTCGCGGGCCCTCGGATTGCTCCAGCCCATGGAAGGCTTGAAAAGCAGCTTCGGATGTGGCGTAAACTCACATGCTGTCTGTATCCATTCTTTGCTGTTGAATGACAGCAAAGCGCTGGAAAACGCCGTCGAAAAGTACATTGCCCAGCACTTTGCCTCAGGCATTTCTGCTGTTTACGCCAACGAGGACGAGTCCTTCACTATCGTCATATCTGCCTCCAAGTTTAATCCCGACAACTTCTGGTATGAGCGAGCGCTGGGCAGTTAGTTGGCCCACTGCAGAGCGCCGGACACACATATGCGTTTCCACACGTGCTAACTTGGGTATCTGCTCGTGCCGCAGGAACGGCCGATGGCGCTCGTCGTGGACCGTCTCTCCCTCATCGACCGAGATTACGGGCACCGTCAAGGTGCATGTCCACTACTACGAGGACGGAAACGTTCAGCTGAACAACAAAAAGGAGATTTCGGCGACGATGGCCGAGAAGAAGGTATGCTGACGAGATATGCTCTACTTTCGGCTTCTCTGCATCCGTCTCCAGCCGAAATTTATGCCCATAGTGGCGCACGGAGTCACCCCAAGCAAACAAAGTTGCACCGGCTACGTGCCCGGAGCCTCCGACCGTCGTACTTATACGGCCGATCCCCGACCCACAGGAGCTCGCTGCCTTTGCCGCCGAGGTTGTCCAAGTCATCAAGAAGCACGATGCTGACTTCCAGAACGGGCTGAACGAGAGCTACAGCCAGCTCTCTGAGAACGCTTTCAAGTCTCTACGACGCAACCTCCCCATCACCCGCAACAAGATGGATTGGAACAAGGTCGCCAACTGTAAGTGCAGTCTGCCCGTACCCCCTGCTTGTGGCTGGATCCGGCTGGCACGAACATTGCTGATCATCGGTTTGGGACATGGGGCTGCCTCGCAAGCCGATTTCGCTGTCTGAGCTGCCATTCCCACCCTCCTGACCTGCTCTGGCCGTCCATTCCTCTCAATATCAACATGCGCCCCTTCAATTTACAGACAAACTCGGCTCGGAGCTGTCCTCGAAATAAGTCCACAATGCCCACGCATCCATCGTGGCTGGGTGCATCAAGCACACCGGACATCGCTCTGCTTGGGCACCATTGCGGCGATACAACTCGCGCTGCCACTACATCGGCTCCCTGCCATCCGGCGCCTCCGGAGACTCGTGGTCACTCGATTTGCGGATATGCGCGACGCAGAATACAGGCACACATGCGTTCATTTCTTTGCTCGTTTCTCCTTCTCTTCCAATTCCGCCACCTTCCGCTCGATCTCGGCATATTTGTTGATGGACTTGCGCACCTTGGAGGGCAGCTTCTCAAAGCAGCGCTTGCACAGCGGCGTGCGGTCGAACTCAAAATACCGGGCTCCCTTTGCAGTCAAGTCTCGGTGGCAGGTGAAGCAGATAAAGTGGTTGGCACAGAACTTTTTCTTCATAGTCTCGATAACTGGTCGCAGATTAGCAGTGGTGGAGGTGGAGGAGAAGAATAAGGTGGTTCATAGTCACGTTAGTATTTGGTGGGAGCGATGCGCTGCGGACGACATTGGGGCGGAGGAGTGTTGTTGTCCAGATGTGTCGAATTGGGAGGTGGGAGCGGGTGCTTGCATGGTTCACAGCACCGGGCTTGTGGATGTCCTCACCAGCGCCAGCAGCAGCCGAAGCCGGCTCGTAGCATGTTGCGCACATGGCCCCGATTCTCTCGTTGTAGTGGGTCTCGCAGTAAACCTGCATTTCATGTTCCCAAAAGGAAGTCCCAGCAAATGGCTGCTGGCACTCTGAGCACACAAAGTGCTGTCGATAGCCAAGAGATGGGCGGTCAACGTTTTGCTCGATTGCCAGTGCATCCTGGCTCGGTGGTGATGCCAGTCACTTTGGCACGGCCAGTGGCTGCTGCAACATCGACTAACTACAGCGCAGACGGTGCTTGATGTCCCTTCCAGGACAAGCGCGCCCACCTCTGGGTGAAACACCTTGCCGAGGGCAGCGACGCTCCGGCCGATGATGGTCTGCTTGCAAGTGTCGCAGGTCTGGGTTGTCGCCAGAGCATAGTCCTCCAGGCAGTAGAGCTTGCCTTCATGCTCTTTGAACTTGCCGACCTCGAGCTGCTTCTTGCACTGACAGCAGCTGAAGTGGTGGCTGTGGAACTTTTGGCCCTTGAGAACGATCATGTCTCCCTTGCTGATGTGCTTTTTGCAGCGCTCGCAGATTTCGCCCTGCAGCTGGATGTCTGTTGGTGCAGCCGTGGTCTGGTTAGCCCTGATGGAACAGTGGCTTTCTCGCGGATCGCCAAGGGTCTGCGTCGTCGGTTCCCCTTGGGCCTATTGACGACTGCATTCGACGCTCTTTGCGCCAGAATCGACACGCGAAATACAGAGGACTCGATCCCACGTTGATCATACATCGATCACCTATCCAATACTCACCTTTTTCCTTGGCCTTCTGATGGCATGGCTTGCAGTATGGCTTGCCCTTATACTTGAGGAACCCCGAGCCCGCAAGGAGTTTGCTGCATCCCTCGCAAGTAAAGTGCTCGGGGTGCCATTTCATGTCGAGTGCTGTGGTAATCTTACCCCGGATGATCTCGCCGCATCGGCCGCAGCGCGACCTGCCGCAGCCGACAGCAGTCTGTATTCAGCAGCCATTCCCAGCCGAAGCTCAACGAACACCGTCGGGCAAAGCAAAAAGTCGCTGCATTCGTCTGTATGGCGACGAGGACAGACACGAGCGCCACGCCGGATACTTGCCCGTGAAGCATGCCATAGTCGAACTCGCAGTAGACCGAATCGCCGGCTTCGTAGTACTGTCCGTCCGGGAACGGCTCAAGGCACTGGAAACATCTGCATACGTTAGAGCGACGGTCTGTGAGATGCTCTGTCCTAATGTACTCGCGTCCCCGTGAGAAGCAATACCCAAGCGCCATACCCCTCCAATGAGGAGCAGAGGCAAGTGGCAGACAATGATGGAGGCCAGACGACGGAGGCGCCGGTGGTCAGAGACAGCTTGCTGTTCTCACACAAAGCAGCCCGGATGGAAGGACTTGCCCGCAGCCGAGAGATACGGGCCTTGGATGGCTTCCCGACAGACCCGGCACGTCGAATCGCCCTCCATTGCGCTGTCGTCTGAGAGGAGCGGTGCATGGAATGGTGGTATTCGGACAACACACCCAGGGCAACACAATCTGGCGGGGGTGGTGCTCTCGGTCCTCCGCTCTCGCTGGCGTCTCGCTTGGCATCTCGCTCGGCATCTCGCTCGGCATCTCGCTTGGCGCCGTGGACAAATCCCAGCCTTGCCCCATCGCTGTCTGGTTCACCTCACAACCCACCATCCAACCAACGCATTACCCAACCGCATCACCATCGCAAGCACAGCCATGTCGCTTCAGGAAGCCGTCCGTGAGTACTGCATCTGCCGGGGACCTTCCACAGCACCTCTGTGCCCGTCATTGCCCAGACGCTCGTTGGGTCGCATCCGACCCCCGGGCACGTCGTCAACAGAGAGTCTGTCCGCCTGCAGGTCGATTCTCAGGCAGCCAGGTGTCCAGATCGCGGCCGATGTTTTGCATATCGGTCGAGGGTGTCGCTGCTGTGTGCAGGTCCAACGTACTCGTGGAGGTTTACCAGACCCTCTGGCCAGGACCGCAGCAATGCTTCGATGCTGCAGCATCATCCCCCCCCCATCGACTGCATCGGCCGCCGGTGACCCGCCTCCACGACGAACAGCATGTTTTCGAACCTGTGCCTTACAGGCGATGCAGCCGCATTCGCTACGACACCATCTCATCTTGTGCTTCGTTCCCCCATGTCTTTGGTCCGCCTGGCGCTCCTGTCGTTCAGGCAAGGCAACGAGCGAAAACAACACCAGCGAAGACTGGGCTCTATTTACCAATATCTGTGAACAAGCTGGGCGGTTCGTAGCCATTCGGATGCTCACCTGCAATGAAGAGGACAAGAACGAGGACGAGGACGAGAACGAGAACGAGGACAGGGATAAGGGGGTTGCTTGCTGCTTCCTTCCGTCCCCGGCGATTGCAGCACGCGGCTAACCCATCCCCGGTTCTGCCTTGCCATCGCTCCGCCCGACCGCCACTGCACATCCTGCAGAAACGAAGCCTCGGCTCGAGAGGTCGTGGATGCCGTCCGGGTTCAGACCACAAACCGCAATGCCAACGTAGGGGCCGTCGCAGTGGTGCTGGACGATCCGGAATCAGCGAGGCGTTCGGATCAACTGCCTGTGCATTATTGCATGTGGGCGAGGGGTGCTATTCCTGGTTTCCTCGCCCGGCTGCCCGCTCGCTACGTTGCATGCTGTTGGAGGGTGCTGCTGCCACTGTTCACACCATCGCTCATGTTCTCCCTGGACTCTGTCTCGCCCATAATTACCTGATAGGTCGTTCTGTTCGCCTTGACGTTGGCAAACTCGCTGGTCATGAACTGCACGATCGTGGTCCATCGAGAGATCGCCTCCAGGTCCTTCTGCGATACGCTGGTGAAGCAGATCAACAACAGATCGATCCACGAGGCCGTCCGGACGCGAATGCTGGGCATGATCCAACAGTGGGCCGAGGCCTTTCGCGGAAACTCCCAGCTTGGGTGAGCCTGCATGATTGTTTCCTGTCGGCGCTGTGCTTTCCTGTGCTCTGCTGTGCCGCTGGTGGTGGAAGTTGACGCTATGGACTGCAACGTATGGACTGCAACGTATGGACTGCAACGTATGGCAGTGACCATGCTGATATCCATGTTGATATCCATGTTGATATCCATGTCGATATCCATGTCGGTGCACAGCGCGAGAAGGACGAGGTTGCTGGACGTGCTCGATGCGGTTCTAACTTGGACTTGATGTGGCTCTCGCCAGGTATATGGATGACGTTTATCAGCAGCTTAAGCACCAAGGTAATCCCGGTGATATCCAGCTTCTGACGACTCGGAGATAGCATAACGCCGCTACCCCCCACCCAGACCCACAAGACTGACCCAGCGCCGCGACTCGACTAGGACACCGTTTCCCTGGACCACCCGAAAAGGAGCCGGTCAAGCAGAGCACTCTACAGAAACGAGCAGAGGAGGACGAATTGCAGATGGCTCTGGCGATGTCGCTGTCTTCGGAGGAGCAAGACCGAGAACGAGTATGTGATCTGTCTGACGACCGGGCTCATTGGCGTCCGCTTAGAGCCCGTGACCGATTTGGAGATACCCGATGATCACTGGCGGCTGCAGATGTGACTTTCTAAGCGTGTGTTGTTTTTGTTGGTCATATAGCGAGCCAAGCTGCGACAGTCGTACTCCAAGCCCGTCGAGTCTCCTAAACCCCAGCAGGCTGTAAGTAGTGCGATCAACTCGCCGTGGAGACCTCCGAATTCATTCGGCCGTTGGCACGGACGAGTTGGGTTGCGAGGGCTTTGCTGACCACGGGCGACCCCGAGAAACAGCCATGCGTCAAAGTTGGATAGTCTTGCGAAGCCGGCGAGGCACACAACCGCTGCAGGGAGACCGATGACAAGCCCGGGTGGGATCGGGATATTGACCATCGTTCGACTTCCACAGCCGGCGCTCTTCCAGGTCCGAGCTCTCTATGATTTCGCTGGCACGGACGAAGGCGAGATCCCAATGACGCGGGGCGATGTTATCGATGTGTACGACGCAACCACCTTCAAGGATTGGTGGAAGGGCAAGAGCCGCGGCAGGATCGGTCTGTTCCCTTCCAACTATGTCGAGCGCCTCCAAGCAGGCGCCGGTACCAGGACCGAGGGCCCGAGCGATGCCACCAAGGGCGACGTCTTGGCCCACACTCAGACGATCGAGGAGCTCCTGCAGCTGCTGACTCGCCTCGATCCTTCGCGGGACAATGTTATGGAAAACGCCCGAATCCAGGTACAGAGCTGACTGTAGCCGACTCAGGAAGCGAGGCAGCACGGCGCAAAGGCGGCTTGACGTGGTATCGCCGCAAAGATGATGCCCAGCTTTCCTAAGAGCCATGCACGAGTGAGCAGACACTCCGGATCGAGGCGCTGGAAGGTGCTTGGCGGGGCGTTTTGCTCGGTCATGTCGCTTTCGGTGTGTCGCTTACATCGAGTCAACCCTCTGCCACAGCAACTCTATCATGACACCATCACGCTTCGGCCAGCCTTGGTCAGGAACATGGAAGCCGCACGGACGCAGCAGGGTAAGGCAACACTGATGGATACGGTCGGGCAGCCGGCGGAGGTTGGGTGACGAGCGGCCGAGGCTGTTTCGGATACCGGATCGGAGGCGGATCGGAAGCCGATCGGATGTACTTCCGGTGGCCGGTCTGTCCTGATGCAGCCGGCCCGTTCCGATGTAATTGGTTCCTCGCGAATGTCGCTCCACCGCAATGACACCACACCTCCGGATGGATGCACCATCACTCACCCACACCGACGTTGCTGTGTATGCACTCCCACTGGCTGATCTAGATGAGCTGCTGGAGCTGAGCGATCGATTCGTCAAGGCCAATGCCACCTATCATCACCTTATGGAATTGGCCGTTTCCCAGTACCACACAGGTAATGGCACGGAAATATGGCGTCATGCCCGGAGGGCGGTGGATTTCGGAGCCGTGCGATGCAGCGGGCAGCATGGCATCGGGACGATGCATCGGCGGTTGCGTCGTCGGGATCGGCACTCGATTCGGACACGCCGGCTGTCTTGTTTGGAACCCGAATCGGTGGAAACAAGATGCTGGCAAAGCCGAGGGGTCGCACGAACAAGGTCGGCAACCATGGAGCCGTAGATCCATGGGCCGATCTGCCTCGGCCCTTGGAGATGACAGAGCGCACGAGCCGAAGGAATGGAAGCAACAAGGGCAGGATCGGGAAGGGACAATCACTCTGACTGACACGCGCTCTTTGCTGCTCCTGCTTTGCGCCGGAATCGCAGGTCTGGGGCGGCAAACAGGCATGCCGGGTTATTCGCAGCCGGGTGCAAGCACCTATGTTGTCGCCTCGCAGCCGCCTGCAATCATCGGGCAGCAGCAGCAACAACAGCAGCCGCCGGCTGCGGGGCCTCAGGGATACTTCACTGGAGGCCCATCAGGACCTCTGCCTGGGGCTGGATACGGCTACGGCGCTGGACAAGTGCCGGTCGCGGGGCTGCCACCGTCGGTCGATCCCTACGGAACAGCGGCCATCCAGGGCTATCCCAGCGGGCAGCGCTGAGGCGGAGAGCATCCCAGGGCCGGATGAGGACAGCAGCAGCACAGCATTGGCGAACCGCTCGATTCTGGCCTTGATTCTTTTGATGTGTGGCTGCTGGTTTTGGAACTTTGACTGAAATAAAGACCTGAGATATGACAAACCGAGCTGGTGCTCATGGGAGAGCCTCGAATCAACCTCGGCGGCATTGGGCAGGCTTGGGATCGGCCTGCATGCTCGATGGCGAGTGGGCGGGTTGTCGCTGCCATGTCCATGGACAACAAGGCGGCGCCTAGGGTGCGCGCCTGTTGTCTCGGGCGAGGGCGGCCGGATGCGATCCCGACAGGAGCCGGGGCCGAGTCGACAGCGCCACGGACAAGACCGACGACGATAGCCTGGGGAACGGACAGAGCGGGCCGACGGCGGTGATGCTGTTTGATAGTGTGATGTTGTTTGAGAGTGTGACGTTGTTTGAGAGTGTGATGGCATAGTGTGTGCATGGGATAATGAATATCACCACACAGGTGTAGATATGCGGATATGCTGATGTATTACTGCACAATTGTGGATCTATCTATCTACCCTCCAATGCGATCCCCGCCCATGCAGAGATGCACTCCCGGCCAAGCACAGCGACAGCACAGCACCTCGAGTTGCAAAGACGATGTCGTCTGTGTCGGCCACCCAGCCGTCTTTCGCATGACCATCTCCCCGGCCCAGACACCCCAGAGATCCCCCCCCTCCTTGACAGTCGATGCTCGTCCTTGCCAGGAGCACATCGGTCGTATGGTTGTTGCTTCTCGCCGGCGGTCTCGCTCGGGGGTGCTCGCTGCGGGTCTCGTCGCGCCGAGGCTGCTCTCGCCTGCTCTCGCTGTCCTCCGAAAAAAACTTGTTGTTCCGGCTCGGCTCGGCTCGGCTCGGCTCCGTTTCGTTCATCCCAACCTCTGCTCTGCCCTGCCGCCCCAGCTCTGATACCGCTGCTGCCGACTGCCGTCCCAGCCGCCGTCCTTTGAATCCTGTCTCTGCTGCCCTGCTCCCCCTGGTATGGCTGTTTCTGACCCTGACCTAGATCCAACATTGTCGAGCAGCCCGCTTGATACTACCTCGACTAACATCCATACTCGAAATCACATTCGCTTGCCTCTCCTGCTCGCCGTGGTATGCGTCCGAAATTCCTCGGCATCACCGCAGATCCACCACCGACAGCTCTGTGGGCTGCCTCGGAACTGTCTTGTCTCTGCTTCCCCCGAATCGTAAGGATCGTTCTCACCCGAACCCGAGCCCGAACCCGATTTGCATCCCATCGCATCCTGTTGCATCCCATCCCACAGCCCCCAATGCTGTTTTAATCCCGCTGCTCCTTGTTCCCTTTCCTACAACGCCAAAACCCACTTGCCGATTTCGCAGAGCAATTCTCGACTAGTATGGTTGACCCCATCCTGGTCCTGCCATCGGAAGTTGTATTACAATGCCTGAGCTTTGTTCCCTCCGACGAGTGGTTCAAAATCATGCGTCTCTCCAAGGCCTGGTACCAAATGTAGCGTATCGTGCGCCTGCTTTCCTGAATTGGGAGTCATCCAACCTGATACTGTCGCTGCAATGTCTGGATTGCCCGGGTTCTCCAGCCTGTCTTGGTGTTTCGGGACCGGTCTCTGCTGCCGAGAGCATGTCCAGCACCCGGGGGCTGGCCGGGTGGGAGGAGGCTCGCCGGCTGTGGGTTGTGGGCTGGTGCTCCAGGCCAACGGAGCCAGCGGCATCCTGGCTCGGCGAAACAGGCACCTGGCGGCCATGCCACTTAAGCCTGCAGAGTGCTGGGAGGTCTGCAGACCCGGTGCTGCTTTGGACCTGCTGCTGTCGGTGCTGCAACCTTGGTCGTCGCCGCTTCTGCTCCGCTAACGAACTCGGGCTGTCTCGGACACATGGTCGCCCGCTCTCCTTCTTTCTCTCTTTCTCTCTCACTCCCACCAGCACCCAAACCGAGTCGCTTTGGAGGGCCGCTCTGACCACACCCTTGACACAGCCCACTCCGACCCTGTTGGAGAATCGGGCCGCCGACGCTCGTGAGCCGAACCACCGCCTCTTTCTGTCTCCCGTCATCGATGTCTTGAGCCCGAGCCACGAGCTCTCGGCCGTCACCTTCAACACCAACCGCATCTTTGCGTCGTCGTCGCAGTCGTCGTGCTCATCAGCCGCTAGCGCCGACTCGGGCATCTCAACCCTCCTGCTTACCTACGAGGAACAAACCCACGGCTCTGAAACCTCCCAGAGCTCCGAGGAAGAAGACCACGATTCCCTCGAGTCCGTCCGACGGAAGCGGCGGAAGATTGCCTCTGGACTTTCATCTCATTCCCGGCCAGAGTCATCCAGTCGATCCAATCGCGGGAGGCAAACGCAGTATCCAATAAAGCTCTCCGACTGGATCCTGAATCCAAAGGCCTGTTACAAGGAGCTCGGTACGGATCTCGCTCGCTTCGGCACCACCCACTCACTCAGCTCCTGCTTGTCGAGGAGCCCACGGACCCTGGCCGATGCACCGACGACATGCGGGACCCCTGGGAGGCTGTATACATGCGCCCCTGCTGTGCATCGCCCGGACTTGTCCAAGTCCGCCATAGCTGTCACGGCCACTGTTTCGCCACTCGGTCCGCTCGTCGTCGTTGCCGCTGTCGCTGCCATCCAGCACTCGACAGGACTACACTAACGCCTGCTTCTTTGCTACCACATTCGCACTCCCATCGCGCCAGCTCTGCTGAGCCGCATGGCGTATTCCTCACACATGCAAATCATCGAGTCGGGTATAGAATGTAAGTGTGTTGCCGTTGTACATCGCTGTCTTCACTGGTGGCTTGTTGCATCGCCGTTCTTGTGCCGCCTGTTCTTACCGCCATACGTCGCCACAGCCTCAACCTTCGACAACGAGAAGCAGACGATCCACTCTGTCCTGGACGAGTCGCCAAAGTCGCTGTGGTCTTCGATTGGGTCAAAGACAGCTGACGTGGACGAGTTCCTGACCTTCCGCCTCATCCAACCCGCCTGCATCGTAACGAGAATCGAGCTGATACCCTTCAAAGCCTTCTATCAGCGCGGGTATGCACACTCGCGCAGTTGTACTTGCCATCATTGCTATCCCGCGATGGCCGTTTGGGTGCTGCCACCGCTTACTTTGCGCATGTGCTTACTGATCTTGTTCTTCCGTTGCATACCTCACCGCCTGCCTTCTGATGGCTCCTATGTACAGCGCACCTGTCTACGGCCCGCGCGAGATCTCGGTGTCGATTGGCTTCCACACGTCGCTCAAGAGAATGCACTACACATCAGAGCGATACCAGCTGGAGAACGAACACAAAGTACAAGTTATCAACATCGCACCTACGCTGGTCGTCGGAGAATTTGTCCGCCTCAATCTGTTCGGACGCTTCCAGAAGCAGAGTGGTATGAGCGACCTTGCGCGCTGCGGACTGGCAACCATGCTGATATGCACCCTTATCCACCACACTTGGCCACTATTGTATTCGTGGGCCCTTGCTTCGGATGGGTGCCCTAACGCATTTTCTGCCTCGAATGTTTGTCCCACAGATGACAATCTATTCTACTCGACCCTCCAAAATGTCAAGTGCTATGGTATTCCATTAGGTAGGCGCTGTGCCAGCCGTCGATCGATATCCTTCCTGCGATCCCTGTGCCGCCGCTCACTGCATGTCATGGACTCCACAGGCATGTGCTCGTCGCTGCGGTGGATATCGCGATCTCTTCTGCGGCTCGCGCTCCTGCTGACGGACGAACGGCACTCGGAAGAGTATCGCCGTGGAGCCGGGCACAATCGCTCCAACGCCGCCGTCGAGAAGGTCATGCAAAGACTCAAGACCCAGATCCAGCCCGAGCTGGCATATCGCGCCAAGATGATTTTCACGCGGAAGCAACACGCTCAAAAGATCATGATGGGCGAGTGGAAGTCTGTGGCCCGGGAGATTGCGTGCCACAACTGGCGTCACGAACTGCGGAGCCAGAAGTACCTCGAGTGGTTCAAGAAGACGGTGCAGGAGTATTTCAACAAGCGCGAGCAGCGGACGGATGCCGCTAGCTACACCACGGTCTGGGGAACGACCATCAATCCCTCCGACTCGAGCGGCTCTTCTTCGTCCGATCACTCGGATCTGGACCAGCCGACGAGTGCGACCGAGGCCCCGGCACAGTCGCCGCACGTCACCTCGCCCATGTTCATTTTGCCAGACTCGGGCCAAGCCCAGAATCCCATGGTTTTCTATCTGGACTGCCTCCACCACCTCGGCTCGTTCTTGAATGCATATGAAACTATGGAAATGGGTGAGTTCTGTTGGGGATTGGGTATTGCTGGCTCACGACCCTTGAGGAAAGGTCGTCCGTAACGACCGAGCGATGCTCTGACCCGCAGCCGAGGAATCTCGCTGTAGCGAATGTCCGCAAGCCTCGTTGATATGTCGGGGCTCGATGCTGGCGTGGCTCGGCCGTGCAAACCACGACAATCTCACCTTGCCCCAACGCCTAATATGCCACCTGTACTATCGTCATGTGCCCTACAGCGCGCATCTCGGTCGAAAGCAAATCCGTCCACCGAATGAGCCATGCCTTTTTCGCAAACAGGGTAAGTGCTTCGCGGCTGAACTGATCTCGTCAGAAGCTGTATCTCGATAGGATGCACTGCTTTTCAACAGTTGGCTCGCTCTCCTCCTGAAGCGTGGAACTAACATGGGCTCGTGTCTCCATGCTGCGACTTGCACACTAGTTCGAGTGCACTGAGGAGCTCGGTGACTTTTTCGCCTCGCACCAGCACACGCCGATTGCTCTGTCGATCTACTCGCGCGCACACATCACGGATAAGGTAAGACCGACTATATCGACAGGAGACCGTGCCAGCTTTGGGCTGAGCGTCGTGCCCGCACATGGGCTTAGGGACCATACCCGTTCCTCAGCCTCGGAGTACACAAATCGTGATGCTGATATTGGCTTGCCTCTGTGTAGATCATCGAGCTATCGATCCAGCTTCTGTACTTTACGACGATTTTTGAGTACATCCGCGACTCGCACGATGCCAATTACTGCAAACAAATCATTCGCCGGGTGCGGCAAAAGATCGGGCTTGTCAATGCGGTGCAGTTCTCATGTCAGCTACTATGGTAGGTGTTGCGTGGCTCTTTTGCCCGGCGGATCTGTCGTCTGACCTGCCTTCGGGCGCCTCAGCCCGTGTCCGCGCTACTAATCTTCGACTTCACTTGCATCCTTGGTTCTGCCCATATCGCGAAGTCTCGAGCCGCAATTTCGGAATGCCGTTGTCGAAGTCTTCCAAGTGGCAAGCGAAACGAGCCACATTGTCGAACTTAATGACCTTGTTGCCTGGCTCGGCAACTGGGCCATGGTCAAGGAAATGCAAGTCGACGACCAGTGACTCGCCATCGGCCCACGCTCCTCGCTGCTCGCCCGCCCCTCGTTTCTTGGTACTTGGACTCAACGCCACCCATCCACCCTGCAGTACTTATTTTTGGCTCATCCTCGGTCTCGTCGTAATTGGAACACCCTCATCGAAAAATCCACTCCGATCATCCACCCCTGCAGCCTCACTGCCAGCGACACTGACTGCCAGCAAATCATAGCTGGTAAAGTGCTCGACACTCGACATTCGACACTCGACACTCGACACTCGACACTCGACACTCGACACTCGACACTCGACACTCGACACTCGACACTCGACACTCGACACTCGACACTCGACACTCGACACTCGACACGATACTCGACACTTGACGCTCAATGCCGCTACATATCCCAGACGCTCGACGCTGCAGAGTCGGTCGTCGCTGCCCATTCTTGTTCTATTTCGCTCCTCAATCGCCACCAACGACACCACCACATGTATAGATGCCGGGAGATACCCGAGTATCGATCCTCCCCATCCGTCCCTCTGCATACATCCGCTTTTCCCAGCCCAGCACTTTCAACTGAACCACTTGACTCTGGCCATCTTGTGTCCCGGGCTCAAGCTCAAGCTCAAGCTCACTGACACTCTCTCCACCCCCCCACCGTAACATGCCCGCCACAAAACTCGCTGAGAAGGGAGACATATCTTCCCTATTGCTCTCCGGCTGTGGGGCAATATAGCATTCTTTGCTGAAAGGCCGTATTCCGTCAAAACAGGAGCTTGGCATTTGATTTTTAGGTGCTGTACTGACATGCGGTGATGAGTGGGCGATGCGGATGGATTGCGATCTTGGTGGATCGGACAAAGTTGATCGATTTGGCTGAATGCGGCCGATCGGATATCTTCGACCGAGTCCACCACAACAGTCAAGGCAGGCCACGCTCGACTCCCCAGGGACAGATAAGTTTGTTACATCGAGATGGTTACTGTCTCGGATGGATCCATCCCTGGCCCGTGGTGTCCCTGTGTGAGGGAGATGCATGGAGTGAGCGGGCACGACAGGGAACCAGCGAGTCACTGCAGGTCAGAGCAAGACATACCTGGGATGAGGGAGGCAGACGCAGGGCAAAGAGCAATGTCGCTGGTTTGGGTGCCGATCAAAGCCGTCCAGCCAGATCGATCAACATCAGCCGATCCACAAACCATCTGCGGGTGGTGCTCCGTTTCAATGCGGACATGCCGCCGGTCAGTTGCATCCCCCGTCGTCCCGCCAAAGCTCCGCGGGGAGGGGCTCAGGGCCGCCAGCTTCTTGCAGTGCCGCTTCCCGCCATAGTGATGGTATTTAATGTGCGGCTGCATCTGGTGAAGCGCCGATGCATCGTCGAACTGTCTGTCCTCCAGTATGGTGCTCTTCCCAAAGTCGCCGCTGCTCTCCAAGCCAGGCTTGGCGCTGTCGCTCCCGAAATTCCGACAATTCAAGCGAGCGCTTAGCCTGGCAGTCGTCATCGCCTTGATCTGGATGATCTCCACCGCCTCCCACAACAGCATCACCATCTGGGATGAGGGCTCGCTTCCGCAGGGAAACTTGGTCTTTCACGATCGCCTGTATCGGCTCATCGAAACCGCAACTTTGCGATATGCCGACTATCCGCCCTACCTGAGCGACATTTATGCCCAGCACGGAATCTCCGCCGAAAAGCCGTGCCAGGTTCCAATGCCAACACTCCCGCTGGCTACCATCGCAGATGAGCCGAGCAGCCCGCTCAACGATACGCAGCTGTGCGAGATCGATCGATCCAAGTATGCCATCAAGGTTGATGGCCCTATCGGAGAGCCCACCTCGTTTGGAACTGTGGCATCGAACATTGCGTTGCATCTTGATCGCCTGGGCTATGTAAGATCACGCACGATCGGCTCACCATCCTATGGACTTGATCCACCAATCGCCTTGCCGCTCTCACACACGACATGGTTGCTGCACCACCACGGCTGCGCTGCGATGGGTGCAAAATCGTACTGATCGATCGTCCCTAATCTCTGTCATCAGCCCATTATCCTCGAAACATGGACACCCGACATTCGGCTGAGTCCTGAGCTCGAAAACATTCGCGCAAGGCAGCCAAATCAGCGTCCCAACCTAACATTTCGAGTCAGCCATATCGACAGCCTCGCAGCAAAGCCTAGTACACACTATTTCGGCCTGACGGTCTCAGAAGTTCCAATAATGCCCCATACCACTGCGAGTGCCCAGTTCAACAGATTCTTGGAGCCGAGCAGCAGTCGATTTCAAAAGAAGCTCTTTGTTCCGACTCGTTTCAGCCAGGAGCTCCTGTCCGGGGCCGTCCCCGACGCCCAGAAACGAGTGAATCTCTTTCCACATGGATTCGATGCCGAGATCTTTACGTACAAATATCGCTTTGATCGGCTCGAGTCCAATCGCTATCAGTTCATCTGGGTCTCGGTCTGGGGCGGGCGCAAGAACACCAGGGCCGTTCTCGAAGCCTTTTCGTTTGCCTTTCCCAAAGGCACACTCACGACAGCATCCGGCCGCACCATCAATGTGGAACTCAAGATTGTGTGCGGATACCCGCCAACGATCCAGCAGTGGGAGCACGACCATTGGAACAGCAAGCCTGGAGTCGTCATCGTCGAGGCCGCGGCGGATCGACCGGCTACCGAAATCGCGCGATTCTACCATGAGGCCGATTGCTTTGTTTTCCCATCCTTCTCGGAGGGATTCGGGCTCACTGTGCTGGAGGCGATGGCGACTGGCTTGCCAGTGATCGTACCAGAGTACTCCGGAATGAAGGACTTTTGTGATCGCGAGACCTGCGTCATGATACCACCAACGCGGCTGATCGGCTTGAACTTTGGCAGTCACTACGGTGAGGAGCCGCCTCCAGGATGCTGAGAGTCGGCGAAGAGGCATCATCTGGGTGGATGGAGGGAGGCAGGGCTATCGAGACCCAGGCCAGGCGCGAATGCAAACTAACCTGCCCCCCCCCCATTTGCTTGCTCCCAACGCACACCCTCAGGTTGCGGTGCCGACCTCGATCCCCGGGTCATGGCTCCGGTCATGAAGGAAATGGTCCTCAACCGCTATGACTCGCTCGTCATTGGGCGGAAAGCGGCCGAGAAAGTTCATAGACACTGGACCTGGAGGCAGCTGATGCAGTCCTTTGATCAGAACCACGTCTGCCCGCTCTTTGCCGGCCAAGCCGAGCAGCGCATCCGCCCGACTGAAGAAGCACAGAGCCAATGAGTCGAGCCGAGCGGGCCGGCTGCTGGTTGCTCGCGCCCATGGCTGTGATGCGGAACTCGCGCTGTTGTCGATGGACGAATACATGCCCCACTTGTGCCGAGAAGCTGGATCGGAACACAAGGCGCGCTGGGAGAATGAATTTCATATATCCCGAACCAGAGGCGCCGACACAGCGCAGATGCGACACAGAACGCGCTCTCGCCGGGACGCTCTCGCTCCGGCCTCGCTGCCCCCCGTCTCTCGCTCGGTTTTCTTTTTCGTGGAGAGCCAGCGATTCGCACTTGTCTTTTGCCCATCGAGCATCCATCGCCGACACCCAAGCGATTACCCTCCCGATGGCTCTCGCTCGCTCTGCTGCCCTGGGCCTTCGCGCCCTGAACAAGCCGGCTGCCTTCTCGGGGGCCGTCTCTTCCCGATCGTACTCGTATGGGTAAGGCATTTGTGCGAGCGCCCCCAAACCAGCCGATATGGAATGCTCGCGACGGCGGGGCCATAGCAGCAGCCGGGGAGACCCGTTGCCATCCCGGAAGCAGGAGGCTTTGATCGCGGACGAAGCAGATGCAGCGCATTACCACACTGCCCTTTCGGGGAGACACCGATACATTTGCCATTGAAGCATCTCAAGGCATCGGCACATCGGCGAGCGTGCGCTATCATTTCGGCGACAGAATCTAACAATCGCGATTTGTTTCAATGTCCTCGATGCCCCGCTTCGACCACCGATTTTTCCTGGACCCTGTCGCTTGGACGGTTCCATTTCATGCTGGGACAACCTGGGGGCTGTCCGGGATCACGCTGGATCATGGAATATCGACATGCACCGCCATCGCGGGCGCTGGGACTGACGGCTTTTTCGACGCTCCGGCTCGGATCGATTGGATCCATACCGCGACAACGACAACGACAACGATTGCGATGCGGCCGTTGTCAACACTGTCATGACGGTCATGGCCCTCCCATCGCGGTGTCATCTGGACACGGCTTGCTCAACGTATCGTCACAGCTACAACATCAAGGACCGCGAGGCCCCCGAGGCTGGCTTCCCGGCAGCTTCCGAAATCTGGTCCAACAACCACGTCCCGCCATCGGCCCCCAAGGTCCCAGTCGACGAACCCGATGCCGTTCTGACCCACCCTGTTTACACGCCTCTTCCCAAGCCCAATACCTCGATCGGCCCGATGGCTGCTCCTCTCAAGTGGCCCGAGTACGACCAGCGGCTTCCTTCGGCCGACAAGTCGGGTCTGCCATCGCCCGCTCACTGGCACTACCGCGAGTTTGACGACCAGCTCGTTGCCCCCACCGGCGACTATCCCCGCGACGTTCCCTTCCAGTGGACTCAGCTCAAAGATCCTTTCAAGTACTGGGATCAGCAGGGACGCAGAAACTATGGCGAGATTCTCCATGACCAAGACGCCATGACCGACTGGCTGGGTATTGGCCCTGAGCCTCATTGGGGCCCGCTCGCCTGGGCCAGCGTCAAGTTCCTGGGCGTCATTGGCACCTTTGCTACCGTCATCTACCTCTGGGATCCGTCAAAGCACATGCATGCGGTGAGTCCCCCCCCCACGCGATCCAGTCCGCTTGTAGCCCAACCTGTGGCGGGTTGTCCGTCTTTCTCTTGCTCGGAGACGCCTTTGAAATCAGGCGTATCGAGCGACTATATACCCGAGCACCGCAAATTGCCCGGACAGTCGTCGATCTTTCATTCTGCATCCTTTCGCTGCGAATGTCACGATCACATCTGCGGCAACTGCCCACCGATCCAAGTTCAATTTCCACCGTCCCAGCCCGTCCCAATCGCGATCATGTGTTGCACACAATCAGCCCGATCCAGCCGGGTATGCTAATCGCCTTTGCACTCCTGTGTTGCTGTCCAGGCTGCCCGCGACTATCCGTTCGATGGACTTCGTGTCGAGCTCGGCTCCGATCCGGCGGACCCCAACGACCGTGTCCTTGCTGTAAGTAGTAGTTGGCCCGACATCAATGACATACAGCAATGACATCGCATCGCATACAACAGTTCGCATGCCGTGCTGGGTCGGTTTGTGTCAGCCCACAGACGCCACAGGAGTTCCTCTTGATCCCATACTGACACGCCTTCCTTTCCAACCTGGATATATTGTCATTTGTCTGCCTGTACGAACCTTCCAGGCCCGCACTCTTCAGCACTAGATACAGTGCTCACAAAATGGAACAGGGCACCGTGCATATATAGCCAGCAGCCACTCCCCTCGCCTCCGGATCATGAATACATCTATTCATTCATCCACTTTCCCGTTAGAGGCACGGCTGGGGACATGCCTCCCCGGTCGTTATCATATGAAGCTCGCTCGGCAGCGCCTGAGTCTTCGCCATCGATGGGCACAACCAACATGCGTCCTCTGATGCAAACCGCGACCCCGGGCTCTTCACCACCGAGTCGCTTTGCAGTGCCATGGGCAACGATGTAGATGCCCCAAGGTCTCCGCGTCCCATCCACATCCAGAACAGGGAATTCCGATCGAAAACACCGATTATATCTATACTGTACATAAGCACGTGGGCAAGTCGAGCGGCGACGGAGGGTCAGGGTATCAGTCCACTATCGGCCGAGTTATGCTCTGGTTTCTCGGCCACTTGACTTTGTATCACCGTCGTGGCATGTTTGGTTGTCGTCAGCCCGTACGTTGACTTGATGGTTGGGACGGCACCATCGCCGTAGCAGAACAGATTCTCGACCGATATGTAGATGGTCTCAAGGAATCCGAGGCATCCACCAAAGTAGAGCGGCACCCCAGCCAGCTGGATGGCAGTGGTGGCCTGCAGGAACCCGTCAAAGTCCAAAATCCCGCCCAGGTACAGGCCCAGAAGCGCAAAGTAGACCACGATGCAGAAGAAGCTATGAGGGCGGCGAGGGGCGGCGAGGGGCGGCGAGGGATGGTTGAGTCGGGCATGGTGGTTTCGTCAACACCCAGAAGCCCTCTGATTAGTCATTCGTATGAACTCCCAGCCGAGCTGGCTCAGTCTTGTCGAGCTGATCGAGGTGCCTCTGCAACGATGTCTGCCAAGGCGGCATCGGGGATCGCGCGAGTGATATCGACAAGCCCCGATCTCGAGCGATCTGCACATACCTCATCAGCATGATCGAAATGATAACCATTTTGAGCCACAGCAGCACAATGCTCGTTGCATCGGAGCTTGATCGCCGCCGGGAGATTTCCTTCATTTGGTCCTCGATCTTCTTGAGATTGCGATGGAAGACAAACCCAAAGGCCGAAGACGACACAAATACCGCCGTGATCAGGACGCCGCTGCCCAGGTATCGCAGGCTTTGAATCCTGGCAAGCGCCGGGATCTGCGTGAAGATCAAGCACATTGCGCAGCTCGTTCCGATAATAGCGTGGAAGACCCGGTCCTGAATGAGCGAGATGCCAGAGCCAGAACAAGGACCGTTTGAGAAATGGAACCGAAATGAACCAGGGAGGGTGCCAAAGACTGCTTCCAGTGATGCTCCCAGTGATGTTCCGAGTGATGCTCCCAGTGGTGCTCCCAGCAACACGCCGACACATCCAGCCAAGGTCAGTTACCCAAATAATCGAGTACGGCGCAATGCTCTTGATGATTTGAAACTTTCGGTGAATCAGCACGATAAAGAGCGTCACGGAGAGCGCATAGATGATGTACTCAAGTCGGCCTCCCTGAACAAAATCGTCCAGGGAAAACGGGGCATCGAGTGTAAGATAGGCCATCGTGGTGTAGGAAGATATTCCCTGTGCCAAAGACCAATGCGGCGACGCAGTATCAGCTTGCATGATTCGATCCCCGACTGCGATATCGAGCAGTCGGTGAGGGGAATGGGGCGAGCGGAAAGGGCAACGCACTGAACCAACTTGCCGCAATTCTGGTATGCCACTTTCAGAGGCAACAGGACGGGTGGACTCACAGGAAGCCGGCTAACGCTTCCGTCGATATCATTGGGAGAATCCGAGCCACACAAATGCAGCTCTATCCCAGCCGCCATCGAATCGCACGGTCGCCATCGAATGGCGTTGCGCACGGCCCGAGCTTACCAACATCGACACCAGCAGGCAAAAGTAGTACAGCACCGGCTGTCTGACAAACTTGTAGGCGGAGAATAGGATGTTCAGGGACTGCACAGCCAGTCCCACAATCCCCGATATATGACTGACATCCATGCTCTTGCGTCCAAAGTTCAGAGGGGGCACAGTCGGGCCTGTGTATGCGGGCGGGTTCGTAAGGCCTGGTATACTGATGTGAGTGTGATTTGAGGTGAATGTCGCCGTTGGTCGAGCTGCTGTTGTGGGACGACTGGAACCTTCTCGCTCGCTGAGCGTTATAGTGGCGACTGCACAGATAGCGATTCGTCCTTGGGGGGCTATCGGTGCCACGGGCAAGTGACTCGATATCCGACAAGTCGCCCGCTTGGCAATTCAAGATTTTGTGAAGATCGTATGGAGAATGAGCTTCTTGGTGGTCTCACAGCCTTGGCTTGACAAATGCACGACCTCGGAGCAGCCATTGTTCGGCCACCGCTGGACTCGCTTGGTCTGCGACTAACGATAGCCGTCTGCCGGGTCCGCTCATTCATACCAATCACGGCCAGAAATATGTGAGGGCGAGCAGACATATCGCAGACGACAATGCTCCGGCTGGGCACAATTGCTCCCAGCTGCTTTGAACCGAGCCGTGGGCAATCTACCCATATGGCGATTGTGGTGGACACGAATGTACACTTTATTCAGAAAAAAACGGGACACCACAGCCGTTTCCATGAACGTGTAGTATGTGCTGTGCTTGCGTCAAGCAAAGCCACAAGAAATAAAACAGATCACTTTGGCAGCCTCCGAGTGAAGACCACCGGTCGCTCTCCGATCTCCACAATCGACCTGCACACTGTGATCATGTTGCGCGCCGCATTGACGTCGCGATTCCACACTGTCCGGCAGCTGGGATTCTTGCAGCTCCTGACAAAGTGGGAATTCGCAACACTGGGCGCATCGAGTCCTTCCAACCGAACTGGCTCCAGGCACTTGGAGCACACTTGCGAGGTGTTGAACTCGTTCGTCGAGGCCACCTTGACGCTTCCGTGATGGTGATTGGGACGGCGTCGGTGGTGCTCGAATTGCTCAAAGTACTGAGCAAACCGCTGCCTCCGAGGGCTGGATGCATAGCCCTTGCCTTGCCGCCATGACGCATTGCCAAAGGCGATCACCACATCGGTCCGTATCGGGGCGTGCTTCAGGACGGCCTTGCACATCCTGTCGACGGCCACTTGGCGTCTCCTGTGGCCCGTGAATCGATGGTGACGGGCCTTCTTGCCAAGGTGGAAGTCGAGCTGCACTCGCAGCTCCGGTTGCAGGACATGGGTGAGATGGACCTTGAAGGCTTCCGAGGACGACACCTTGGGCGAGGGGGTGGTCGACATCCAGGTCTCGATGCTGAGTCGATACTTCATGATATTGTGCCACTTGGTGTTGGACGTATGGCCACACATGTGCTGGTAGTGGCCATTGGAGAATGAGACCACCTCGTCTTGGTGGCCCGGTGCTTGGATGACCGCCGTGAAGATGGAGCCGACTCCAGGATCGATGCCAATCCAAGTGGTGCGATCGGGGTCTGGGTCGCCGATGTGGGCCTGGATGCGCTGCTCGGCAGTCGGAGGAGGCTCGATGGTCTCGGTGTGATCGGTTCGAGGCACAAACTTGACGAGACCGATGGTGCATCCAATGCCATCGGTGCTGATATCGTAGTTGAACAGCTTGTGATTGATATCCCGGTCACGGAAGAGGGAACTACGCAGCTTGAAGCAACTGCGCCAGAGACGATCCTGGTTGTTGACACCGTCCTCACCTTCTTCCTTGAGCTTGTCCCTGGTGAGGTCAAGGCGCTTCTTTGGACCAAGGAGATTCCAAAGAGTGACCGTGTCAATCTTGACATACTTGGCCTTCGCAGTACATAGAGGAACTATCGTGCACACGGCCGGAGGAGTGTCCAGAGCGAGCTGCTTGAGGGCCCAGTTGATCCTGGATGCCAGCTTGTTGATCTTGGACTTGGTGGTGCCGAGCTCAGACTTGGCCGTGGTGAACCTCTTGTCGTCGGAGGGAATGCCTTGGGTAGTGAGCTCGTCCAGCTTGGCCTGGCGCTGCAGCTCGGTGACTCGGAGGGCGGGCATGTCACAGTCGATCCACTTGTGGACATTGTCGACCATCTTGTCTCGGGCGAGGATTCTCACATGGTGTGAGAGGCGATGGAGGGCCCGGAAGCGGTCCTGGTCGTTGCTGTACCGAAACTCGTCCAGGATGTGGCCAAAGTCGGGATAGAGGAACTCGAGATCGGCCTTGGGTGGAGTCTGCCCTGGTTTCTCGAAGAGCTCGAGACAGGCCTCGATGGCTTCGTGCTTATGCTTGTTGGCAGGGAAGACAGCAGCACAAAAGCGACGAAGGAGTCGCCAGTAGGCCAGGTCGAGGTGGGTGGTGCAGTTGGTGGCATAGGCATTGACAGCCAGTGTGAGAAGCTGACTGTGAGCACCATCAGGCAGACAAGGGGCCGGAGGCAGGTCTGCGTGCCGAGTGGTCTGGTAGTCGCGAAAGGAAGCGACCAGATGCTCGTTGTATTTCTTGGTATCCCTGGACGTCGAGAGGGCATCGGCCTCGACAATCGTGAAGCATTGGCGGATGAAAGCAGGGGTGGACTTGGAGATGACGGGGATGGGAATATCCTGCTCGATGCACCGGAGGATATGCAGGTTGAGCAGCCTGGATGCCTCGAACTGGATCTGGGTCATGGCCTCGACGGTGGCCTGGATCTTGTCGCGGAGAGCGGGATTGAGACAACAGCCATCATCGTCTGCTTGAAGCAGCTGAACTGAGGGGCGGATGACCTTCCATCCACGAGTGGGACGACAGAACTCTTGAGGGGCCGGTATTTGGGACACCTGTTGGTGTTGCTTCGCTGATGATCGGTGCCATCGCACTTGGGACATCGCTTGACAGGACCAGATGAGGGACCAGGCTCGGTGGGATCGACATCCATTGGATCTGCAGAAGCAGTGGTGGTGAGCGACGGAGCAACAGACGACCAAGCATGCGTGGGATCAGAATACGAACCAGAGACAGGCTCCGACTGTGACTTGGCTTTCTTGGGCCTGGGTGGCCGAGGCTGGCCATCACCGGTACCCTTACGCTTCGGAGGCATGGGGCAGAGGATGCTGGATGCCTGCCAGTGGTACTGGTCAGAGGTGAGACTTTTTTATCGTACAATAGCGCGATGATCAGATCAAGGCGAGGTGAGGGAAGAAAGCAGCAGGACGAAGGTGTGGCATTTATACCCGAGAGCAGGAACCCGTCTGCGCGGGCTGGTTGGGGAAGTGACCCTGTTCAAAAATCGCCGAGAGGTTGAAGCCAGGGATTTGAGCGTGAAAATGGCGGCTTGATTGGAGGGAACTCAACCCCAGAAGCGCATCGCTCGCTCAATCAGCCGTGGGAAGACATCTGGAAGCACCCTCCGAACGGCAGACTCAAACAGGGTCACCATCCCGACTCTGAACCCCTCGGACGCATTCAGCGCTGCTGCCTTCCTGTACTGATGCTTCACAATCCCAAAGAAGTTCTCGATGGGATTGAAGTCGGGCGAGGCAGGTGGGGTGAAGATCACTGACCATCCTCGGCGCTCGATGCAGTCCAAGACAGCCATTGTCTTGTGCATGCTGAGATTGTCCATCACAATCACAGAGTCGTCTGGGAAGCTCGCTCGCTCAAAGAACTCGACCATCGAGTGTGTCTTGAATGATGTGGGGATGTACATGCGATGCAGCACACCAGAGTGGTTGATGGCAAATGCAGCCGAGACAGACTTGTGTTTCATGTGATTGCGCTGGCGAAGCGGAGCACCCTTCGGTGAGTATCCGTAAAGAGGGAAAATGGATTTCCTGATCCCTGTCTCATCGACAAAAACGAGCCGCCGTGGGTCGATGGAGTGGACTTGGTCCCTGAACTGTGCCACTCGCTCATCCAGTCGCTTGGACTTGTAGAGGTGTGTTGCCCTCTTGTGTGAGAGACCTGCTCGGTGGATGGCAGTGTGGCAGAGTGAGAGTGATACTTTCCTCTGGAGGATGGACTCGAGCTTGCACCGCAACACAGGACCAGTCTGGAACGGGTCCTGTTCAATCAGGGTGCGAATGACTGGACATGCCTGCTCGAAGAAAGTGGATCTGCGAGCTGGGACCCGGGATGGGTCATCCAGCTTGCATCCTCGGTGCCATCGATGGATGGTGCTCTTGGATACACTGAATATGGAGGCGACCTTACGCAGGCTATGGATGAGGGCGTAGCATCGCAATGTGGCGGTGCGAAAGTCGGATGTGTGGCGAATGGTCATGGCCAGCGCGCGATAACATTGGGTAACAAAATATTCGATGAATGGTCAAAAACCCGGGTGTCCCGTTTTTTATTGGATTGCCTGTAATCAAAAACGAGAATGGCGCCATCCCCCAAGACATACAGGACGCCCGATGCGACTTTCCAAAATGCCGCAGACGAAAGGATCATATCAAATCTCTTCGATTGAACTAGATGTGGCTCTTGGCATGAACCAGGAGGCCGCCGTCGACCGCGATCGTAGCCCCTGGAATATGGTATGGGTCAAAGTGAGCATGGTGCCAACCGAATTCAGAAAACGGAGCAGCCAGGTACAAGCTTGTTCAAGCCCACTGTATCGCTCGCGGCAGTGGGCATATCGGCACGAAACAGGCTGAGAACGCACCGTTGACGTATGCTCCGGCCTTGCTGGACAAATAGATGCAGACTCCGGCCATATCGGCGGGCGATCCAATGCGACCGAGCGGCACCGAGGCCACAATCTGATCCTTGGCGCTTTCAAGCGTGGCCTTCATCATCTTGGATTCGAAGGGGCCAGGGGCGATATTGTTGACGGTGATGTATCGCGAGCCCAACTTGCTGGCCAGATGGCGACTCAAGTGGTGGAGACCAGCCTTGGAGGCGGAGTAGGCATACGTCTCCAGGAGCGGGACATGGATGCCTATTGAGTTGTGGCGGCTCAGTCTGCAGGTCTGGTCGATAGGGGAAGCTGTCCAAGCGTCGACGGCGGTGCACACGCATTGGCGATGGGCCATGGGCAGATAACCGGGATACTCAAAGCGCATGCCTTACCATCAACAGAACCGATGTTGATGATGCGTGCTGGATCCAATGGAACGGCGGCGGCCTCGAGCAGAGGCAGGGATCTTGAACACCACAGGGTATTTGCCAAGGGTGATTCAAGGGTGATGGAGCAGATCCCTTGTCAGCTTACAGATGTATGGCTCGATTGCACGGGGGCCCAGCCTGTACTGAGCGCACGACCAGCTGGTGCAGCTGAGAGCTGCAGAACGAATGCCCCAATCGATGCGGACGACAACGAGGCCGTCCCCAGATTCTCACGGGCGAACGGACGGCGCGGAGAAACAGATCATGCTGGCTTGACAGGTGCGTTTTGTTTGTGTCTGTGTGGCGGCACGTGAAGAAGCAAGGAAATACTCACGCCTGGATCAGGCTGAAGATGCGCTTGAGGTTGAGGCTGAGGACCTTTTCAAATCCCTCGTCGGGGTAGCTGGAGATGTCCTCGCCCCAGGTTGCGCCGGCATTGTTGACGAGGACGTGCAGGTCTGGCCGGAGCGATGACGCCAGACATACAGCCATCAGAGACAGCGGCCAGGACGAAAGCGTGTGCCCATGAGAGAAAGCAGTATGTTGGGGCAGCATGCATGCGGCTTACATGGTTCTCTCTTAGCGATCTCGGCCACCAGCCTGTGCACCTCTTCCAGCTTTTGGAGATCGGCCGGGATGCTGATGCACTTGCCGGGTCCTGGGAATACACGATGAGGGGATATAAGATCGGCGTTCCGGACACGCGAGGCAAAGACCAAGCGGCCGCCGCATATCCCATCGAGTCGAGGTGCGCAACGCAACGTCCGAACCTTTTGCACTGAGCCTGGCCGCTTCAGCATCGCAGACTGATTTGGAGCGAGAGGAGATATACACTTTGGCGCCCGCATCGACGAAGCCCTGGTAGATGATGCAAGATTCAGGGTCAGCGTCTCCTCGGTCAGCGGCGCTCGAGCCGACACACACACGCCCAGAGACCTCACCTCGGCGATCATAAGTCCGATCCTGTTGGCCAGCGATGGCAAATAGACGGGTTGGGCTCAGCGGCAAGGACGCGGTGTGAGGACGCTATCGACGGATCCAAACTGGCCGCACGTCCGCCCGTTCGGAACCAGGCCTGTGTGCATGGCGATGAGGAGGGCGAGTGCGGCGGAGGCGGAGACATACCCTCTGGATCCTCCCGTCACCAAGACGACCTTGCCCGAGACGCTGAACAGCTGCGACGACATTGTATGCTGAGTGCTTGCTTGGACGATGCAGATTCAAGCGCCGGGATGGCCAAGGACGGAGCGACTCATGAACTTGTGGTTGGCTGGACTGGCTGGACTGGCTGGATCGATCCGGGCTCATGCGATCCAGCCGGTTCGATGCCGTGCTGCGCGTGGCGTCTGCGCGGCTGGGGCGGTGGAACGGTGACACAGAGAGCACAAGGGCTGTTGCGAATACAGCCGGACTGAGCACGCGACGGTCGCACAGAGGCCCCACCGCGTATATTGGGCTGGGTCGCGCAGCACACTGCCGCAGCCTGAACAGCCACAGCAACAGTGCCGCAGCGTGCAAAGCACCGCGCGCCCCCCCGACGCGATGGGACCGCGGTTGTGCGCCCGCCTTTGGTGGCAATACCCGTCCGACACAGCCCAGCAACAAGCAATGTTGCTGATTGTTTCGGTGGCCGGCCCTTTGCTCGTCCTGGCCGCCCGCAAGCCCTTTCGTTAAAAGCTGCGACGCCCCCGCTTCGTGCTTCTCCTCACCGTCTTCGCTTCTGCCTTCGCTCCTGCCTCTGTCCCGCACCCCGCCGACACGATGAAGTTCGCTGCCCTCGTCGCCGCCGTCCTGGCCGCTGCCGCTCCCCTCGTCCATGCCCAGGCCTCCTGCGGACACAACGATACCATCGACTCCTTCGCCTACCGCGCCGCCGATCCTGGAGACCAGTACCACACCCCCAGCGGTGGCCTGATCGGTGCCGACGGCGCTAACCTCACCATCCTGCCTGCCGGCGGCCTTCAGATCACCGCTGGCTTCGACAATGTTCTCTACAGCCAGGGCGCCGAGCTCAGCACCCACCCCGGCACCGTTGCCACCTTCAACTACTGGTTCATCCAGTTTGTGAGTATTCTCCCCAGCAGCTGAGTGCGAGGGGGTGTTTGCTAGGCCATCTGGGCCAAGCCGAGGCGACTCGACGCAGCTTCACCTTGGTAGCCTGTGCAACGAGGTCGCAGCACGTTTAGACATTGCGGATGAAGTTACGGACGTATCGGGGGCCGCACGTTGGCAGATATGGCTAACCCGCTGGCATTCCACGCCTCTCTTTCGCTTGCGCTGCCTTCGACAGAACCCCCAAATCTGCTACGACATGAGCAATGCTGCCACCCTCGAGTTTGATGTTGTCATCGATCCCGGAGTCAACTTCAACATCACTCTGACCCAGAAGTCCGCTGATTGCCTCAACCGCTCCATTGGTATGCCAACCTTGTCAGCACGGCCCGCATGACTCGATTCGGCTGCTTGAGCAATTCGCTGCCCAGACGCTGACCTGATGCTGTCCCTGTGTCCCTGTGTCCCCCACCACCCACAGACTCGCAGTACTTCCTGCTGTCCAAGTACCTTACTCCCAACGGCCAGCCCCAGCACCTGTCCATCCCTCTCAAGGACTTCTCCACCAACCTGCTCGGCCAGCCCTACGACTTCAAGCACAACAAGGATCTCACCTTCGTCAACCTGACCCCCCAGGGCGGTAACATCGTCCTCAAGAACTTTGTCGTCACCGGCAGCTGCAATGCTCCTTCCGCCTCGGGCACGTCGTCGGCTGCTGCCCCCGGTGCCTCTTCGAGCCCCAAGTCCTCGTCGGCCTCTGTCTCGGCCGGCTGGTCCGTTGTCGCTGGTGTTGCTTCTGTTGCCGCTCTTTTTGCCGCTATCTTCTAAGGCAAGCGCCCCACTTCCTCGAATGCCACTATCAGTTTCAGCTCAATAGATTTCGTGACCCGGGTGCCCAGTTAGTTTGTCTGATGGGCTTCAGCTGGTCCTATGGATGATCGAAACCTCTAAAATACATGTATCCCAATGACGATTCACATCGCCCGGGTTGCTGCGCTGTGATGCGATGACGGAGACGGTGTGGGGTGCTGCCCATGGGTCGGGGTACTGCGAGTCGAAACCGATGATATCAGTCGCAAGACTTCATCCACAAGACCTCAGGGACAGACGGCAGCCGGGACAAGATATCAGAGCCAGCGACGAGTCATCGGACTGTTGTTGGAGTCGCTCCTTGGACTGCACGAGATGCGCCGAATCGATGCTCGATCCAGCGGGTGTCCCACATCGGATCATCTTGGAGCCTGGCCCACTCATGCACAACATCAGCACAACACCAGCACAACATCAGCATAACATCTGCACTCAACGAAGCCACCACGACCTGTTAGTTGCATCCCGCTCGACACCAGCACTCGTCCCTGCCAGTTAGTTGCACCCTGGATCGCGCTGACTCCCTTCACTCCATCTGGACACCCCGACTGTCTCTCCATCCACACCCAGTCCACATTCTCGATCCAGCTCGAGACCAGCAACCCCTCTGACCAGCTGTTCCCCAGCACCACACCAGCCACATCATTGGTGCTGGTGACCGAGATGCATCCACCCCCTGACAGCGCCCACCTGACAGCCACAATCCTCGACAACACAACCCCTGGCGGCCACAACCCCTGTTGTCCAACTCTGGCCACATCAACCCAAGCCCCCGCCAGCACGTTGCTGTCTCGCGGCCAACACAAACATCAACACCCAGGACACACCAGCAGCCCAAGCAGCCCCCTGTGTCGAACACCAACTACACCGGCATTGGCCCAACTCTATCGACCACTGCCGACCACTCCTCTCCACCCCTCCCCTGAATCCAGCTGACGCCACAAATGCACATCCACCCCCCACATCCTCGTGCATCGCACCGCCGGGGATTGTGGGCTGAGTCGGGTGCAGTTGCATCCATGCCTGGCACCTCCCAGCGATCCAACATCCACCCCCTTTTGTTGACGATCGGGTGCCTGCTCTCCCCGACATACCCGTGCGATCTCGCCGTCGGGCGACAACAGCACCAACAACTGGACCCTTGCATGCCACTGTTGGCGCCTTCCGCCCGGCAGGTGCCTCGGCTGCCCGCTTTGAAGCAGGCAGTCGTCTGAGCCCAGGAATAGCCGGTGCTGGCGCATAACGCTTCGCTCGCATGCCTCTTGCTGGGCTGGGCTGAGCACTCGATGCCTTGGGCAATCAGCGATCATCTGCCGCATATAGCAGACCCGCTTGGCTGTTTGTGCTGGGCCGTCTGAGTGCGGCCGCCATATATCACGGTGCGCTCCCTGCGGGCCAGCGGGCCTGTGAGTCAGAGACTGGCTCCGGCCATGGGCATTCTTCGGTTGAACCGGAGTAACTGCACAGCGACAACTGGACCGAGTATCGCCATCCCCAGCCGATCCCGCGCCAACTGCCCTGCAAACGAGGCTGCGCTGTAAGCCCGCCGACTCTCTGTCGTCTGCGATGCTGTCGATGCTGTTGTGCGGTGTGCTGACTGTGAGTCTTGGGCTGCCAGGCTGATTGCTGGCTGGCTGACTGGCTGGGCGGGTGTACCGCAAAACTGGCTACGGTGCAGGCCGCTTCCGACACCTGCATTTCTGAGCAAATCCTCGCGTTTCGCAGCGCTGGCGAGACTCGCCCTCAGGCCTCGTCCCAGAGCCCTCCTCTTCCATCTTGCTGCCCTCCAGACCGGATCCAGCATGGACCCACCGGGTCCTCCCAAGCCCGCCCCCACCCCGAAAACCAAGCGGGCGTGTGATGGTATGTGCCGATCCCATCTGCCCCCAGATCGCTCCCGGCCCCGTTGCCGATTTGTCCGTCGACTGCCAAACGCCCAGATTAGCCGCGAGTCGCCGCTCACAACCACACGCCTGCATCTGCATCTGCATCTGCACCCGCATCTGCATCTGCACAGTCTGCCGCATCAAGCGGGTCAAGTGCATCGGCGAATACCCATGCGAGGCCTGTCGGGCAAGCGGAATCCTCTGCAGTGAGTATCGAGCAGGCGAGCAGCCTCACTCCATCCCATCGATCGCGATGCGACAACGTCAACCCAGGTGTCTGGCTCTGGGCCCTCGCAATCACTGCTCACGACGTGCAGCTGCATCGAGTTGCAGGCACCAGCCAGACATCTTCCTCATACTGTGCACATCTCCATGCTGGCCTGCGTCCCCGCTGATCCGCATGCCTGCTTGCTCTCCAGCCTACTACACTCCCCCGAGGAAACGCGGACCGCAGAAGACTCGCCATCACCCAGCTGCAGGAGACTCGTCCAACTCGTGGATCAGCGCGACGGCCTCCAATTTGCCGGATATCAAAGCCCTTCGATCCGAGTCTTTGATGCAGCCTTGGCAGATTGGCTCGCACAGGACGCCGTGGCTGCTCCCGATCGATCGACGCCGTTTGGCCATGGTGCGCCTCCATGCCGATCGCACTCGCTTGGCTCGACCAAGGACAAAGCAGAGGATGTAAAACTAACCACCCGCCGTCTTCGCAACGGAATCCTCAACCGATGCAGGGGCAAAACACCCTCGGCATTTACTGGGGTATGTGACCGACTGCTGATGCTGCAAATGGTGCTGCGGCGGATGGACCAAGCCTGCGCTGCACGGACGGCGTCGGCCTCTGGGGCAGATCAGCATCAGCATCAGCATCAGCATCGACATCGGCAGTATGCTCGGCTTGCTGTGGCAGAATGAATACCGGTGGGAGTGGGTGTGGCGCCGGCTGCCTGATGTGCACCGCGAGTTGCCATGACGACCAGGAAGCCGTGATCGCTGGAGCCGACCACTCACCCGACTTGCTTTTGTCTTGGCCCGCTCCGACCACCAATGCCGTCTCGCCGTCGCGATCCATCACGCTCGGCATCATTGGGCGGCACTCCAACGTGCTGATCGGATACCGCCCCTGGCTGCCACCCGGAATCGTGCTCGTCGATCTGGCATCGGACCTGCCTGACCCGATCCACACCGACAACTATCCAATCGATGCCGGTGGACTCACCGCTCGCTCGCACAGTCAAGAGCACGACCAGCAACTCGGCAGTGCTCATGGGGGCAACTGCCATGGGCGGAGCCACCTCGTCGACAGCGTTCCTCGGTCTGCACGAGGAGCCATCGACATTGACTCTGACATCGCATGCCGTCCGACGGGCAAGCCCGAGGCACCGACATCCGAGGTCCTTCCATTCCCACTAAATTCCACCGGGCAGATCACTGGGATGTTCTTTGAGCACCTCGGACTGACAATGGACTTTGTCGACCCGGCTGCGTTCCGCGCCGAGCTGGCCAGGGAACGCTACTCCGAGGTACAGACGATTCTGGACAGGGCGACAGCGGGTGGTTTGGACGACGATTCGCAGGAGGAGACGGAGACGGAGGTCGTGGGGATAGGTGTGTGATTGGCGAGCCAGACAGTAGCAAGTCGCTCTGATCGATGCCCGCCGGATGCTGTGCATGGTCGCGATGCAGAAGTCGTCGATGACACCGAGCACACATCTGGCCATATGGAGGCAACGGCGGCCGCTCTGAACAGCAAGGCGATCCAGAGGACGACCAGAGCACGGCATCGATGCTGTGGAACGAATCAGTATGGCATTGTGGACCTGGATGGCGTCGCTGTCTCGGTGATCGGTCGGGAGCCAATCGACAGCCGCAACGTCCTCGACTGCCTCTCCCACAAGCCCACCCATGTCTCCATCTGCCTCGCCATGCGCCTCGATTCCCGAGCAGACACTGACGACTCGCCACTCTCTTGCATCTCCAATCCACACGCACACTCAAGCCCTTCCTGTTCCTCGTCTGGTCCATGTGTCTGGCGGTCGCTCACGACGACCGTCTCAGCGCATCCCTCGGCCTCTCGGACCCCGCCCACACCCGGAAAGCCTTGGCCGACCAGTGCCGCATCTACACCCAGCGACTCCACGACCACCCGTGTCTGCAAGTCTTGCAAGCCGTGGTCATCATCTGTGGAACGAGTCTGTCGACTGGATCCGGCGCCAGCACCGGCCACACCTACTACACAGGTAACACACTCTGCTGATCATTGGATCCTGGCTCGCGATGCCTCGCTGTTCATGGGAGTGACTCGATCCCCATCATGCAGGGCTCGCCTGGAACATGGCCCAGGATCTCGGGCTGCATCTCAGTCTCGACAGCCACGGCAGTTGGACTGCTCCGGGTCCGCACCACACAGGATCGGCCCTGAGTCACCCATCCGAGACCCCACTGCCACAAGCACCCACGGCATCCGCCTCTTCGCAGTCTGCACGCCCCAACCCAGAATGCCAGTCACTATCCATTCCCATGGCACGATCTGGAACGACAAGCCGTGTGTCCTCGGAGCTGCGATATCGCCGGATGACGCTTCTCGCCCTGATTCTGTTTGATCGTCTCGGAGCTCTGATGGCTGGGCGATGCCCGGCCATTCCCGACGATGGTGAGGACGCAGCCGCCCGACACCGAGCGCCATCTGGTGCGAGCAACCACAGAGCCCCCATCCTGCCTCGTCGCCGTCGCTTGGGTCTCTGTGGCAGCATTCCCCTACACCATTCCCCCTGAAACGCAGCGCCTCAAGGGATCGTCGCGTTGTGACACCACCCCGTGAGGCGCATGCGCCACGCCACACGGCCCTGGCTGTCGCTGCGAACATGAGCCAGGATGCCGGCCAGGGCGGGCTGGCGGTGCTGCTGCTGCCCAGGGCCCTGGCTCCCCGTTGCTGCATCGCTCCCGCACAGATGCAGGCACGGATGGGGTGTGGCGCACGCTGGTCCGAGATGCATTCTGCTGGTGCAGGCGGGCAGGCGTCTCGGTCGTGCCGATGCCTTTGCTCCCCTTGATCCATCCCGCTGATCCTGTCTCCTCCATCGCCTCGCTCAACGGTGCAACTCGGCGACAACACCCTGGATGACTCGATGGCTCCGCTCGCCAACCACCGTCGCTGCAACACCGTGTCGGTGCATCGGCCATCCAACCCTGTCCTGATCCCGGACCCGCACATCTGACCATCGGCACCCGCACCAGGCTGGGACTCGTCGTTCCTGCTCGATGGATTCGACTCGCTCTACGAGGACATGTGCATATACGTCCACCTCGCCCACATCAGTGGCAGGCTCTCGTCCTTGATGGTGTCCCCGGTGCTGACGAGCCACCAGCGGCAGATGGGTGCCGCCGAGGTCATTGTCGGTCTGCGCCAGTGGTGGAGCAGTCTCTCGCCCGAGCACCAGCAATCGCCCAAAGGTGCCCTCGGCCTCCATCACCACCTGCACTCGTATTTTCACTCCCTCAACATCATTGCCCAGCGCCTCGCCTCGACGGCCCTCGCGGGTCGCTCCCACGGCCAGCCATTGCACAGGACCAACAGCGACACAACACCGCTCAACTCACACCCAAAGCAGACCAACGCCGATCCAGGGCTCCTGGTTCATCCACATCCACATCCACATCCACGACATCATAGCGGCCGTGGAGAAGCAGCAAAGGGTGGCATGCTCGAGAGCAGAAGCAGCCCTTTGCCCCAGACGGTGTCGGGATCGAGCCCGGTCGCTGGCGAGCCCGACACATGCAAAGCACCGGCATCACTCCACAACAGACCCACTGCGACCGCCATCATCCATTCGTCGGTAGCAGATCGTCGCTCTCTTGAACTCGATGCTGGCGATCTCTTGGAGAACCGTCTTGCGACCCCAACAAGCGCCTCGTCGGAAGAGCGTGTCGAGTCCGTGGAAACGCATGCGAACTCGGCAAGCCGATCCTCGGTCGATGCCATCGGCGACCAGACCACGGGAAGCAGCACTCTCTCGTCGAATGAGACGCATCCAAGCACTCGGGCAAGTGTCTCCGTCAACCACACAAGCGCCCTCGAGAGCGCAAAGTACATTCTCTCCTGCGTCGGCATCGGATCGGCATCCGCGTCGTCCGGGTTGGGTCTGTTTGACTCTGATCGCACACTCCAGGAGAACATGCCTTCCGGCCCATCCTCCCTGCTCCTCCCGGGCATGTCCTACTTTGTCATGACCGCCGCTACGGTGTACTTGGACACACTGGGCCACTCGTCCGACAGGAATCTGGCCCTCTCGGTTCTGGACTGCATCCTCGATTATCTCGATCAGGCACACCACCGTGGCGAGACATATGCTCGCCTGATCAGAGCGACCATTGAGAATGCACATCGGTCTCCATGCCCGCCGACAAATGGCGGAGATGCAGGTGCAAGTGTCAGTCCTGGCACAAGAACGCCGCTATGGCCTGGCGGGCTCGCAATGACGTCGGCCGACGAGCCTGGCATCGGCGCTGCCTCTTCCGCTCATGCTCGCCCCACTCTGTCGCCAACAGCATCACGACCACGGCCCGCTGCACATATCCTGGACATTGCTGCTTCTGTTGCCGCTGAATTGCCTCCATCTGGATGCCACGATGCCGCCGGTCTGCAAATGCCGCTTGCAGGATCGGCCGTCGGCGTGTCTGATGCACATCCTCGCGGCCATCTGGATGAGTTCGTCTGGCTTCTCCCTGGTCATTCCACTCTACCCACGATCGGTGCTGTTCTTTCGGCACCAGACAGCAACCAGCATGTGTCGCCGCTGGGAGAGACATTGGTGCTTGGTCGGTCGTCGAGGCTCCCTGCTCATGGAGTCTCATCACCAGGGACGACACCACTATTCTCGACGACAATGGCTGCTCGCCACGGAGACATCTCGATGAACCCATTCTCGATCCCGGCGCCAACTCTTGGACAATATCCCACTGCTGCTGGACCATTTCCGACAGCTTCTCATTCGCACTCTGCCCATGACTCGCTTGCCTGGCCGGCATCGTCGCTGATGGCTCCGACTGTAGCGCCCGACCCTGTGGCTGTCGAGTCGATCACTCGCCATTCCCGACTCCATCCCCATCCCTATCGCCGCCGCTCGCTCCCCATTCACTCCATCGAGGGCCAAACACCGTTGCAGCATACTCAACATACTCAGCATCAATCGCAGTATATTCAGCGCCACTCGCATCCCGCTCAGCATCAGCTACATCCGTATCAGTCGCAGCCTCGTCAGTCCATCCACGACCCTGGTATCAACAGCAACAGCCTTCTCAACGCCGGATCTGTCTGTGCTGGCGATCAAGCCAACGGATTCTTCTTCAAGGCAGTCCATTCGTTTGATCAAATGCACCACTGGCTTTCTGGCTCGTTTCCAAGCGATCCGCCAGGGTTTGGTCATGATCTCTCCGAGGCATATCCACCAAATCACCTGGCCCTGTTCCAGCATCTCAGCAACACCACCAGAGCCACAGGTTCCAGTCGGCTCTCGGCAGCTATCGATACTACTGCAGCCAGGCTCGCTGGCCATGGAGGCTTTCTGGTGCCGCCTCTTGCCTCCGATCATGTGTCCAAGCCTGGTATCTCCAGCATATCGTCATCGACTCCAGCGCGAGTGTTGACACCATTGATCCCAATGGGTGTATCAACGCCGTCGAATGCCAACCCACTCGCTGCACAAGCACCACATCATCTCAAATCGTCACCAATTCTGTCCAATGCGACCACAGGCACCAACCAAGTCGGTCCGAGCAGGAGCTGGAACAAGATGCCAGGTGCTGTCCGCCTGAGCAACTACAGCAGCTCCCACATCGGCGCTGAATCGGTTCCCGGAAGCACTTTTGCTGGAGATGCATCCAGCATGGAGGTCGACGAAGTACTCGGCGGTGGCGACGACCGGATCCATGTCAACCCAAGAAGCACCCCTGATTCATCGAAACACACTCTGTCGACGATCCCTGGTGCTCAAGTAGCCAAGACGGCCGTGGCAGCTGGTATGGGAAGTACCATGGATGCGACGGACGATATCGGCTCTCGTCAGGACAGCATTCAACAACCAAGTCTCAAAGACGCTGCCAACGTCGACACCAACCTGGTCGGCCAGATGCCAGCCATCAATCTGCCGCAAGGGCGGCAGACTCCAGTTTCCTCTGGGCTCGTTGATCGTATCCCGGACAAAGTGAACGGACATGGAGCCGACAGCGCCGTCGTCCCAGCCAGCCATGACAGCACCATTCTGATGCAGACTAACAGAGAGACTGGTCCGAGTAATAAACCCACCGGTCTCTGCTACTCTGAGCACCCGAGCGTCTTTGACGTGGCCGCTGCCGGGTCAGCAGTCGACCTGGGCTCGCTGATGAGCATGGCCATGGCGGACTGGGATCCGAGTGTCGTCGATGACACCGACATGCCATCCGGCTGGAGCACCATCAAGACCACCCTTCCCGACGACCGGCTTTGACTCGCGCCAGACAGGCCGGCACAGACTCGCTCGATGTGCATCTTCAAGTAGGTATGTTCCTGATCCTGGTCCTGATCTTGATTCCGAATCTTCCAGAGGCACCAGCAGCACGGACCATCCGAGCAGACACTGTGAACGCGAGACATCCAAGCAGGACCCTGGTCGATGCTGCCAGATATCGGCGCATTGGCCCGATGCAGGGTGGAGGATAGAGCCAAGCCGTCCCTCGACTGCCATATCTCGATCCTGGCTTGTGGAAGCCGGGGTGCTGGTGCTTGACGATGGCATCTGGGCATGTTGGCAATCATCGCCATCCATCTCACCCGCATCGCCGGTGATCCTGCCATTCGCTTTCCCAGTCTCATCCACATCCAGCCCCAACAACAACCACAAGACGGAGCTATTCGTTTCCGATCAAGCGTCAGCATGCATCCTTGCAATCTGCAATCCAAACAGATCGACCATGCCTCTCAATCCTCGACTGAACTGAACCACCCTGGCCAGCAAGTCCACATCTGTCTCTCACCCGCATTCCCACTCCTTCACCTTCACAAACCCTGTGGCTCACCGAGGGCTGCTCTTCCGTGGCCATCACATCTGCCTCTTTGAACCATCGTGGCTTGGATCCCATCCGGTAGTACTCCCAGGCGAGGCCGAATGCTGGGACGCAATGACGCACTCGCTGTCAGTTGCCCATCGACACTCTCATGCCGGCCACCGCCACTACTGCCGCCTCAATCTGCACCAGCATCCCATCTGCATCACTTACATTCACCTCTGCTTGTGGAGGCAGCCCGTGTCTGCGACAGTCTAGATCTAGAGAGACATACCTCGCTCGATGTCTGGAGGAAGCTGCGGTTGAACCCACGATGGCCGACCGGGAACCCCTCCTCCCTTTCCCGCCTTCCAACACGAGCAAGCAGATGAATTACATTACCCGTATGTCTCCGAAGCCTTCCGAGCCATCTGGACTGTTCGTAGCCCTGTCTGGCTTGCAGTGTGGTGCTGAGGGTGGGCTCGAAGGGGTGGTGCAGTAGTATAGGGGTATATCGGTAACTATACCGTTTTTGAGGGGATGGCAGAGACGAGGGAAACGGTATAGGTGTTAGGGGTAGGGGTAGACGAGGGGTGGGGCAGCAGAGGACGGTAGGGTTGGAGTAGACGAGGGGTAGGGTAGGGGTAGGGGTAGTTGGGGTAGATGTGGTAGTGGTGGTAGTGGTGGTAGTTGTGATAATTGTGGTATATGGTGTTTTATTGTGAGGGTTTAGGTTAGGTTAGGTTAGGTTTAGGTTAAGTGTGGTTGTGGTTGTCGTGGAAGTCGTGGTGGTTGTGGTAGTCGTGATAGTCGTGGTGTTGTGGTAGTCGTGGTAGTCGTGGTAGTCGTGATCGTCGTGATCGTAGTGATAGTTGTGATCGTCGTGGTTGCTGTGGTAGTCGTGGTAGTCGTGATAGTCGTGATAGTCGTGATAGTTGTGGTTGCTGTGGTTGCTGTGGTTGCTGTGATAGTAGTGGTTGCTGTGATAGTAGTGGTAGTCGTGATAGTAGTGGTAGTCGTGATAGTTGTGATCGTCGTGGTCTTCGTGATAGTTGGGTTTGGACGTCCATCGGGTGTGGGGGAATTCGTCCTCTTTTATATTTCTGTCGTCTGCTTGCGTGTGGCTTGGGTTTGTGTGGTCCGTGTGACTTGTGTTATCGGGGGCACAGTGTGGTAGATACCGTATCTGTTGGGTTCGTTGGAATTCGGTGTGGGATGTCGTCGAATGTGGAGTATTGATATATCGTTGTTATTGTGGTTTGTTGATGGTTCCGTGGTATCCGTGCGCAGTTGTGTTTCATGTCTGTTTGTGTGGTGTCCGCTGGGGTTGTGAGAATGGTGTTATCGGTGTGTATGTTCTGGGATGGTGGGTATTGTGGTTCGTGGTGTTGTTTGGTGCTGCGCTATCATCGTGGGCACTCGTCGATGGCAGATCTTTCTGCTTGGTCGAACATGGTGGTGCGTGAGGCTTTCAGGTCGCGTCTACATGGTCGTTGTGGGTTCATGTTGACGCTTGAGGAATAGCATAATGGTCGTACTGTAAAATGATGGTCCGGGGTATCGACGTCATGTGGGGGCTGGCCCTGGCCCCATGGCGGGATGAGCACACCCTCCAGGAGTGGTTGCTGGCGGGTTTTGGCGGGTTGGGTTTTGGCGGGAATCCTGGCCCATAAATTCGGCTCGTTCTTAGGATGCTGTTTGCTCCCCAGGCAGTTGGGCAGCAGCAAAATCTCAAGACCGTAACGTAAGTGCATTTCCTTCCGTGATGATACTCCATGCATGTGCGTGTGTCATGCTGTGCGATGGCTAACATGATTGTGTATCGCCAGTCTGCACGTTCCATTCGCAGAAACCAAAAATGACAATCGCAATCATGCTCCTCCTGGCCTTCGTCCTCTGGCCCATTGCCCACTGCCTACTTCATACTGCCTCTTCTACGGCCTATACTATCATTACCTATATTACCTATATTACCTATATTGCCTGCTATCTTCCGGCACAAACCATCCTATCCATCGCATTCCGCGATTACTACGCGTCGCACGTCACCATCGACGCCTCAAGACATTCCTGCCCATCCATGGCACATCCGAGACCATTCCTGTCTCTATTGATCCACTCGAGCCTCGCTCGCGACACCAAGACCACCAAGCCCGATACTCTCCCGACTCAAATGGGAACCACTCCTGGAACATGACTCTGTTGATTTGATATGATTTGATAAGCCCTCTGCCGCCGCCCATCACAAACTGGCACTCCAGTTGAGACCTCCAGCTCTGTCTGGAACCACCGTGGCTCCGGCCACACGCGAGACTGGTTCATTGGTCTTCGCTTCAACGACCATTGTGGTCGGGTTTGAACGAAAATCTGGCGGCGGCAGAGGCGGACCTATGCCCAAATTCACACGGCATACGGACACCATGTATTCGATAATTCGTATGCAATACATTCCAATTGCACTTGCGTTCTTTCCACACTACTTGCGGAACCACTTGAACAGACCCTTCGGTTTGGCTTGTTCTTCGGTGACTCAAGCTTACTCATCGACTGCTGTTCTTGCCACTTCGAAAGCGGCAGTGATGGCTGGTCGAGCTTCGATGTATCTGGCAATCTCGGCTCGGATCTCTGGGGTGTTGAGGTAGATTGGCTGTGGTGGTAGGAGTGTTATTTGAGGGACTGGAGTAGTGGTGACAAGTGGCTGGACTTACCAGGATGATGACTGGACGGTAGGGTGTTTCATGGGACCAAAATACAACCCCGCCGGATGGAGTGAAGACACATTTGTACCAATTGCCAAATAAGGAGTGTGGGACCTTGGTGATGTGGCTGCCATGGCGGATCCACTGAGGTGCGTTTCGTTGGTCGATTTCGGTCCACTGGGACGATGCATGTGGGCTGGATGCGGTGGTAAAGTTGGAGGGATCTTCGTCGGAGCGAACCCACTCGTCACCGCGACGGACCCAGAGGATTTGATTGCCACCCACGTCGCGAGACAGAATTGAGTTGCCATCGGGCGAGATCGCCACAGAGAACACATAGTCTGTGTGTCCCTCGAGGGTGTGCTTCACCTGGACAGTCGTGGCATCCCACACCTTGATGGTCTTGTCCATAGAGCCAGAGACAATCCACTTGCCATCGGGTGAGATCGCCACGGATGTCACCCTGTCTGTGTGTCCCTCGAGGGTGTGCTTCACCTGGCCTGTGGTGGCATCCCACACCTTGATGGTCTTGTCCTCAGAGCCAGAGGCAATCCACTTGCCATCGGGTGAGATCGCCACAGAGTACACATAGAGTGTGTGTCCCTCGAGGGTGTGCTTTAACTGGCCGGTGGTGGCATCCCACACCTTGATGGTCTTGTCCATAGAGCCAGAGACAATCCACTTGCCATCGGGTGAGATCGCCACGGAGGTCACCCTGTCTGTGTGTCCCTCGAGGGTGTGCTTCACCTGGCCTGTGGTGGCATCCCACACCTTGATGGTCTTGTCATAAGAGCCAGAGACAATCCACTTGCCATCAGATGAGATCGCCACGGAGTTCACGTAATTTGTGTGTCCCTCGAGGGTGTGCTTCAACTGGCCGGTGGTGGCATCCCACACCTTGATGGTATTGTCCACAGACCCAGAGGCAATCCACTTGCCATCGGGTGAGATCGCCACGGATGTCACCCTGTCTGTGTGTCCCTCGAGGGTGTGCTTCACCTGGCCTGTGGTGGCATCCCACACCTTGATGGTCTTGTCAGCCGAGCCAGAGACAATCCACTTGCCATCGGGTGAGATCGCCACGGAGTCCACATAGTTTGTGTGTCCCTTGAGGGTGTGCTTCACCTGGCCGGTGGTGGCATCCCACACCTTGATGGTATTGTCCACAGACCCAGAGGCAATCCACTTGCCATCGGGTGAGATCGCCACGGAGGTCACACCGCCTGTGTGCCCCTCAAGAGTGTGCTTCACCTGGCCAGTCGTGGCATCCCACACCTTGATGGTCTTGTCATAAGAGCCAGAGGCAATCCACTTGCCATCGGGTGAGATCGCCACGGAGAACACATAGTTTGTGTGTCCCTTGAGGGTGTGCATCACCTGGCCTGTGGTGGCATCCCACACCTTGATGGTCTTGTCCTCAGAGCCAGAGGCGATCCACTTACCATCGGGTGAGATCGCAACGGATTTCACATGGCTCGAGTGACCAGTGAGTGTCACCTCACACGGATCCCAGGTGTGTGCCGGACCAGTCGTGATCAGAAACAGGATCTTGTCCTCGAGTTGGTCGGCATATGTCTTGTAGATCGCCGTCTCCTTCGGTGTGAATGCATACCCCGAGTTGTACACCTGTGGTGCACTCTTGATGATCGGGTCGGCAAACTCGCGGATGAATCGATACGTGTCCTTGACCAGTTCCTTCGTGGTGTCGTCGATGATGGTGCTGGGTGCCTTGGCGATCACACCTCGCAGCACAGCCAGTTGCTCGATGATCGGCTTGACCACATGTGTGAGCGACCCACACTCGAGCCAGTGGAACACATGGCTCGACATGAATTGGGTGAGAGACGGGGCCAATTCTTCGAAGGATTGTGTCTCAAAGGGACCATCCAACTCAACACCATTGACCTTGGTACCCTCAATCAGATGGGTGACCCAGTGGGCGACGCTGTATCGCAGCGACGGTGTGATCTTGTCTGCGACCCTGTCCTCGAGGTCAGCGATCTTGTCGTGAAAGTCGAAGATCTCGCAGATGTTGATCACTGGCTCGTGCGAGAGGATCACTCCGAGACATCCCTTGGCAAACACCGTGTGGAACGAGCTCGACACATGCCATGGGTGGCCAATTGATGCGTCGCCGAGGAGATAGTCCGCCACCGACTTGTGGTTGAACTTGACCTCGCCATCGTCGGTGGATCCGTTGGCACCAGGAGCGAGAACCAAGTTGAGACTCCTCAGGCATTCGCGAACAATGCGGAGTGCATATCCCTCAGCCACGTTGCGGAAGAAGATCCCGGCAATCATATTGGGTGTGAGGATGGTCTGCGATGTGGCGATAGCCGAGATCGCGGTGATCAGTTCGCCCTTACGACTCGACCCGGAGTGGATCTTGGTGAATGTGATCCCATACAGCTGCTTGACATCAGTGGCACTGTCATTGAGCTCCCTGATCTTGGTGAGTGTGATGGCTTCGCTCTTGGCCTGCTCCTTGAGCGTGTTAAGGATCAGGTTGATCCACACGAATGTCTTGGATTTGTCATCGTCAGCCGGATCATTGGTATCAGCTGGCTTTCCATGTTCATTCGACTGAGCCGGGTTGTGGAGGATGATCTCGATGGCATGTTCTCTGTCGGCGTCTGTGAGGCCCTTGTGCTCGTTGGTGAGTCGGTGCCTGATGAATACCCTCAAGTCGGCGATATTCTCCTCGCTGGAGGGCTCGATTGTTTTGGCATTCACTCCATGGAATGCTGCCTTGATGTCGTCCTCGGGACGGGATGTCAGCAGCAACTTGAGCCACGGACGGGTCTTGTTCAGCTCGACGAAGCGCCAGGCAAGCAGACTGAGCAGCTGGTCGCGTGGAGAGCACTCGTCGAGTGCATCCACCAGGATCATCACCGATCCCTTGGGTCTGTATTTGCCGATGGCTTCGAGTGGATCGGCAATCACGGCCTTGAACAACTCGGGGATGGGCATCTTGTCGAGACTGTCCTTGGAGTGGCCAGCATCGAGCAGCTTGCGGCCAATCGGGGCATACCACTGGCACAGGCCGTATGCGATCGTGCTCAGCACGGCCCGCGGATCGCTCTTGCGGGTGTCGTTGTACTTGAGGAACAGCGCCGACACCAGCTGGTTCTTGCCCCGGAGGAAGCTGGCCAGCTTGGCTGCGGCAACAGACTTGCCCACACCAGCAACGGCATTGACCCACAGGACAGTGTCCTTGGTGTCTTCGTTGACCCAGTCGGCCACTTGGTCGAACAGCCATAGACGAGTGCCCTCGACATACAGATCCTCAAGATCGTGCTGGTCCTGGGTCGAGTCGACAGGGTCGAGGAGGGATCGCAAGGCGTGGTCTTGTTCGGCGGTGAGGACGACACTACCGCCTTGTGTGTACACATCGCCTTGCTTGTCGGCAATGGAAGTCTTTGTTATGAGCTCACGAATATTGGGGACCAGTCTGTGGAATATCAATAGTGTGAGATTGTATCAACCGTTTCACTTGTGAATTTGATGATCTCACCTCTTGAGAGCGTTTCCATCCGCAGCATCGAGGGCCTGTAGCTTCATCAACTCAGTAAAGGTTTCACGGATCGACATTGGTTTGTTGTCGAACAACGGACTCTTTTCATGGATCGGGGTGAAGTCAGGGAACTCTTTGACCGACGGGAAATACTTCATGTGGAGTGTTTGTCCATCAAACTCTCTGGTGGACCACATGAATATGGGTTGGATGATGACCGATTCACCACATTTCTCACCGTCCTTCATTCTCTTGAGAGCATGTTGGATCTGCATTCACAGGATAGGTGAGTTTCCAAATACAATCCAGTTATATGCATTCAGACGCACTTACCTCGAGAAACTGGTTGTCTTTCTCATTGTGCGCGTTGTAGGTTTGATCGAGTCCAGCCTCG